CTATGTACGAAAACCAATATGTTTAATGATATACATTTAAAACATTCGCTTCTGGGTGCTCTTCTAGTACACGGTGTGACGGACAAAGAGGTTAAACTCCTAGTATGTAGGTTTCATACTTGGAGTGAATGGACTGGGCTTGGCAATACAATACTCATCCTGCAAAGCTTGTCTTCTTAGACATATTCAATGACAATGACGAAGAAACTCCGCCTATTATATTTATCTGCAGCCGTAGGGGCTATAAATGTTCAAACCGCTTAAGACTCTGGAGATGCTTGGATACACCTTTCAAGGCTAACTTGCAAACTTGGAAGAAAAGAAAAGAAAAATTTTTATCTTATCAATTTGACACCTGCTAACTGGCTACGCATTTTCCTAGGTTGTGGTTTACAATTAGATATGTTGGCTGTCAAAATAGGCTACCCTGTAGCAGCACCATGGTTGACACATCACTGGAGATGTCAAAAAAGTTCAAGGTTTATAGCAAATGAATGACCCAATTACTAAATATAAGGCACAGTGGATAACAAGTTACCGCATTGTATCGAAGGAGAAAGCACCCCCACGTGGCAGCTGAAAGTTCTTCCATGTCAACCGCGGGGCAGACCATGTCGAAGCATCAACAGTACGATTTGGCAAGGACCCTGGGGATCGACACTAGAACCATCATGATATCAGCTCTTACTACATCTGGAGTATCAGTAGCTTAGTCTGCAGGACAATCACATGCGGGGATGTTCCCCAGCTGAAGGCGATAAACTACTTAGCGTTGATCGTGGAGCCTCAAAGCAAGGTCTAGATGTGAGTCGTGAGAGTCTATGAAGGGTAGCGTCGAAAGCTCATCATTCACCACTTTGAGCTTCAACACACGGAAAAAGTCACTAGATATGCAGAAGGAATATCGCCTCCGCAAAGGTGCCCTTAAAGAGTCACGGTAGGAAAGTAACCCTTGTGCAACAATACGAATTACTAAAACTCCCCGAATAGCGCTGGGAGGGGCAGTTAGCACGAGTACACCAGGTTCAAAGCACCGAAGGGAACCGAGAAACAGGTCTGATAGAGCAAGATATTGGATATGGCCACAGAATTGAGGAATGAAGGGCCCATCAAACTTGGGCTACACCTCCGCACGATATGCGATAGGGATAGTTAGACTTCAAGGGTTGCACAGGAAGATCGTGAATCGAATCATGAGACTTTGACGTACATACGTACATGCATCCACACACGCGAATGAGAATACCTGCATGAAAGGCCTTTGAGGTGCATGCATTCATGATACTAGCAGCCATGTCTGTTGGGGACAAGTCGGGTTCAGAACCCGACCGTCAAGAGGAAGCCCAACCCACTAGAGTTAGCAGTTTTCAGATCCATGTTCAGCTTCACGATCGCTGGCCTGTTGATCTGAGAATCGAAGGTCAGTTAGTAAGTGAGGCTGAGGCGATGAGAGACATGTCGATGGAAGATCCACCAGAAGCAGTTAAGGCCTTCCGAATTTTGGGTTTGAGTATAAAAGAGCGGTGTAGGATCAAAGGCCCGAACGAGAGAGGTTAAAGACAGGACGAGACAAGTTCAGGACAAGACAGGTAATTGACAAATGTTGTGGACCTCTATCGGGCAATAGTGTTAGCATGGCCACTAGCATGTGGCTTGGAAACAAAGACAATTCAAGACGACACGAAATTGAGGGTCCGCGTGGAAGGTGATGAGACAATCAGAAACTGTCAAAATTCCAGCACACGGCAAAAACATTGAATAGCGAGGTTGGGAAGGATGGAGGGCCCAAGTCAAATTCAAGATATCTCGGCTGGCAACATACTCGACATCGACGACCAGAGTGGATTTTGTTGCAGGTTCAGTCAAGTCGCAGTCCCTTGCTTCACCGGTCGCCCACCTCCCGACCCGTGAGTGATACTCCCCTGCTTCTGGAGGGAGTCGTCACATGGGTGTGGTCGGAATAAGCGGGCGCGGGGCTCAACCGCGTGTCTCCCAAAAAAGAGTCATCAATTGTCGTCGTCAACATTGAGTTGGTGTGCAAGCCAGCATCTGGAGGTTAGGTCTAGGGTGCAAGTGTGACATCCTTTGGGGACTATGTTACTCTGGTGGATAGGTCTGTCGTCAACCTGCGCCGTGCCTTGCATTTGATGGCATGATTGGAGACCAGGCCAGAGGCTAGGACGAGGGCTCGGACAGTAGTCCAGGAACGATAAAGGTACCGTACATATCAAATGAGATGATTTACACTGACTGAGGGATATCGAGTGTTGCTGCGCTACCCTGGCAAGTGTGTAGTATTCGATAATATTGAAAGAGGCGCTTGTTTCCTAGCAACCAGCGGTTGGAAACGATTGAAAGGCGGTAAGCTCGTCTGTGGCTCATCCATTCCTGAAGACCAAGCTTCTGGCGAGTCCCCATGTTCCATGCTATTTCGGGAAGAAAATGTCTCGTACTTGGTGCCTGGAAATAGCATTGGAGGTAAATTCACCCAGAAGCTCGGGGCTTGACAGACGTGCCAAACCTTCAGTATGGCTCGTCATGATGAGCCAGCCGCGATTGAGTTGAAGAAAGAACCCTCAATGTTGATCATCAACACCAAGTGGAGCTGTCAAAGCGACGAGGCGCAAACGGCAGCTGGTTTAGAGGCGGCTGGTTGCGTAGTTTTAGTGTATATGCAGGTCAATTCTCGCATCTCTATCGTGATCCCTGGTACCGATGCGAGAAAACGGTATTAAGCGATGGGATAGAACTGAGGCCGAGGTGTGCAGAAAGGTTCAGAGAGTATCGGCCGGGTTGTCCAATTTTAGACTTGCCCCAGGTACCCGACAACACCGAGACAAGCAATATGGGATCCCATTCGAGATCTGGCGGCTGAAAGAGGAAAACGAAGAAAAGAGGCTGGAAGTCTAATGGTCACCGCCAGTTGACTGGATTGCCACCAATAACCAAGGTACCAATGGAATTGTAGAACAAGATCTCTTCAAACGCTGGTGCCAGAAGCTTTGCCAAATGCCCGATTTCGAGTGCTTGGCATTATGGGCATGATTATCATCCTCATTTCTCAAACCCAAATGAACAAAGAGAATAATAAAGAAGTTCAAGGGATACAGTGGTGCTGCAGCATCTACAGTAAGCCAATCAAGAGATGAAGACGGACAGACAGCGGCTGAAAGGGTTTCTCAGATCATCGGGATGTGTCGATAGCATCCAAAGGAACCCTGAATCATGCAGGACAGTGAGAGTGGGCTGCAGCAATAATCGTAAGCAGTCGAATCAAATGTGACCTGCCCAAATAATACATTGAGACTTGCAGTGGATAGTGCTAGAAGATGCTTCGTTTATTTTCCACCATCTGAATCCAAGCATCAAAGTGCTCATCTTTTTTTTGACTAGCGACATCCCACCTGCTTATCTCTTATCGATAGAGGGTCACAGGACGCACTGATGACGGGAAGGAGGGGGACGTGCATGAGGGATAGACAGAGGGGGTGGGGTAGTTACCGTCTCTAGCTCTAGCGGAGGGGCGAGGGGTTCAACGAGGATGAGACGGGAAGGAGGGGTCGTGTATTCAAGGCAGGTTAGGTTGTAGGTACCTCCTGTCAGGTACTTCCATTCGATTTGAAAGGCTGGAAGGTACCTCTGTTTCCTAGCGGCTCCATCTATAGAGAGAGCTCAGATCAGAAGCACAGCAAAGGCACGAAACGAAACGAAGTGAAGGAACAAAACAACCACGGAGCTGGCCGCTTCGGAAAAAGAGAACCTTCGGGGCTGGAGAACATATCTCAAGGACCCTTCAAGGGATACGCCAACCAACCACCACGAACTCTAGAAACCTTCTCCAGGCCACGCCAAAAGTCAATTTCAACCAGCCGTCCCATCCCCGACGTTTTCCACGCCTCAGGATCACAGCAGATCAAGGCGAGAGAAACGAAGTCGTTTATTGAGCGTATGGTATTACTGGGTTCATGGTTCATACACGTTCCATGGCACAACAGCGTGTTGTATATGTTGTCGCTACAAGAAGAGTACAGGAAGATGCTTGCAAGATCACAGATCGTCATCCATCGGTGGACGACTAGAATCCTTCCATTCGCACATCAGGTGGGCAGCTTGTGAGCCTCGAATTGTAAATGCATTCCTTTCAAGCTGCATGCGCAACGTCCAGCCAGAGCTTGCAGAAACGCAAATGCGAGCCATGTTACTCTCTCCGCACGCCTTGGCTCTGCGTTGTGCGCCTCATTTATGCGAGGAATTGCGGTGCGGGACAGAAACTTGAACTCGCTGTACAGATTCTGTTGCATCGGCTTTGAAAGAGACAATTGGAGCTAGATTTGATGTTGATACAATGCCTTATTTCTGCGCTCCAGCCTCTCGAAGGGTTCATGTGGCTAGTAGAGCTTGGACTGGTTCCTTGGTTAACTATGGGGTGAATAAAGTACCTGGTTCTTGACCACGATCCACTAGGTACGCTAGATCCATCCGCAAACATACACCGCCGTGAGATGCATGCAGGCAAACACTTTGGAGGCACCTGCTAAAGTAGCTCGCAGTTGTTGTTCGACCTGCATCGAGAGGACCAGTGTGCTGGCAGTTGACCCTCAGTGCGTCATACGAGGTCAGCATTGAGTTTGTCCTGACTTGTACGGCATCTTCGGAATCAGTGGCCAGCCTCTTCCTCATGCTGCGAACTATCAAATGCCAGTCCAAACTCCACAACAACCGTTACCTGCTACCGAGATACACCAATGTGTATTCTGATTTGCGACATTTCACGTCATTGCTTGCGCCCAACGGCGCCAGTGCGATGGATGGATCTCGTGGATGGGGCAAGTGGTTGACCTTTCATAATGGAGCCATCAAAGCAACGGTACCTTCCAATTTATCAGACCGCGATATTGGAAGCGAATAACGACACCGCAAAGACATATTCAACATCGGGAGAGATGGGCTTTATTTGAAAGGGTTGCATTGTGCTTGGATGTAGCTTGCCTCCCCGCACGATGTTCATCATCGACCTGAATCTCAAGCCCACCGACCTACGGGATCCAGGCACCATTATTCCCCTGCCCACCTATCATCAAGCTGAAGGGAAAGCAACTGTGTGTTGGCGTTAGGGACGCGGCGAGGGGTCTGTATCAGATTAGATCGCATGGGGTAAGCTGGCTGCATCCAGATGACCTGTATCTGCACCGACTGGGAGACGATGAACAATCCTTTGTTGCCTCCCAGTCTGCTCGACATCGCTTATTGAAATCATGTTCCTAGGTGTGCTGCTGCAAGCATGTCCACGGTAACAAAGAATAAGATTTGGACTCCATTTGAGCAGTGGTGAAAGCCGGAATCGTGTTGTCGTTGCAACAAATTTGTGGACTTGCACGGAGCAAGTTCAACGCCAAGCCCCCGACACGGCCCCTTGCGGCTGGTCGGCCAGGGACGGCTTCGCTTCGAGTCAAACAAGCACAGGTTTTTGGTTCACCATGCAGCTGGCGCGAGGTTTATTTTTACCATCGCACAGCGACAGATTTGGGGTCCCTGTGGGTGAAAACCATCAAAGCGCCGTCTCCAACGCTCATTGACATGGGCCTTGATCCACCCAAGGCTGAGAACCCAACCCCTCGCATGCATGCTGGCCCCTACTGGGTTGACGATATCGCGAATCCTGCAAGTTGGTTTGTGTCCTGATCCATCCAGAGCATGAGCAGAGACTGGCCCGCCCATAGGCTTTGACCATGTGCTTATACTAATGATTGAAGCTACGTTTAGGATCCGCTTCACTGGTATTAGGAAAGTTTGTAAAATATGACTATTCATCTAAGCGGTCGAGAAACAACGCACCGAAAGGCTAGGTGCTTTTCAGTGTCCATATCATCCTTGGGCTGGTCAGCTTGCTTTACCACTAGCTTGCTGCTCGTTGGTTGATCAAGCTGCAGCGCTTGCAGGGTTATACCTCGCATGGGTCATATCAGGTACATGCTGGCGCTATGTACCTGGCCCGCCCCCTGCTCAGCAGTGCAGGTGACCTGTACCTGACGGCTCTGACTGGCATGAGTTGCTGTTCAATGTGCCCTCAAGATAGAATTATTCAGCAAGGTGTTGTGCAACTACAATCAGTGCGCATGTTGCTTGATGCATCTGCTTGGAATTGGGCCCGCGCGCCTGGATACTACGGATAATGAAATCGTTCTGACTTGCTGCAATCCCACCCACCCACCTCACATATAGGTTATCGTGCCCAATAGTCACCGCTCAGGAATACGGATACTCCCAAGCAGCATCCATCGACTCATCCTGCAACCCGCCCCCCACCAAAGCCGGCGGTGCCTTGTCCTGTCAGGGTTTCCACGAGACGAGACGAGCTGTAATCGGTCGCAAACTGGCAAAGCGGAGAATTGTGTTGGCGCCGTTTGAACCGAGACCAGAGCTCCGCGCACAGCGAAACTCAACACCCACGACCATCCAGTGCCAGGCTCGATTTACAGCCAGCTGGGGAACCCTAGAGAATTAGGTTCTTGTCGGACTTTCCACCTACGGTGATCCAGGTCAATGAGCATGACAACAGTGAGCACGACTGCGTGAGGTGGCTGACCCCTAGATTGATTGGTCGGGCAACGCAACTAACAAAGACTCCGTCTTAGTGCAAGGGAAACAAGAAGAGTTGGGCGACTCCATCCTGCCTCCATGCATCCATCCCGGATCCGGACTCCACAGACAATCGACTTGGGGCGGAAAAGCAACCATAGACATACATCATCGCCACGCTTGCCCCTGCGGCCCTGCCACTTTTTCCCTCTGTGCCCCTGTCTCGACTCACCTTGTTGCGACTGTCAACCTTTTTTTCTCTTTTGCGTCACGCACGTTTTGGTTCACGTTGTTACTGCAGTCTTTGTATGCAAGCAACGCACATACAGTTTCAACTTTGACTTTTTCGGTTATCCCTTGATCACTTCAAGTTGCAACCACAAAGGATAGCCCTGATAGTGACGAATTATTCCATTGAGTGAGTTTGACTGCATCGCTTTTGTAGTTGTCGCTCATAAAATTATATCAACTCACCTCAGTCTGGTCTGTGTCACTCTGCGGATCTAGGCCCTGACCTTGGCTGGCTTGCATCACCACTACGCACGCCTCCCTCCCCGCCGGCATTTCTACGTACGCTCTAAGGCGGGCCTTAGTTAGCAGGTCGTGGGTACTGTAGGAGCCTGAGAACGCCTCTACTCATTCTCTTACAACCCTCACACACACTCCCTGTTTCTCCATCCTCATTGTCTCTCCTCTTAAACCCCTTACATCTATCCCTTTATCCCGTTGGGATCCGCACTCTGCCTTGACTTGTATATGTTCCGTTTTGTGTGTGCGTGTCTTGTTGCATCCCAACTCCCCGGACTATTACTTCTTATCTCCATATCCCCCATCGTCGGAAGGGTTTCGTCTACTACAGGGTTGCCTGTGGCCTTCATCACCCGCCTCGCGATTTCTGCTAAGTCCTTTGGCCGTCTCGCTTTTTTTCGGCCTCAGTAAGATTGTCGGGGTGCCTCCAAGTGCAAACATTGCAGTCCCGATAGCGCATATAGCGGTGCATAACGATTATCCGACCGAATTCTCGTCGTACCTGTGTGACCAGGACGTTGCACCCTCCGGGCATCTTTCTCGCCCTTTCCCGAGAGGTGGCCCCGCGCAACGGTAATAGCGTCACTGATATCGATAATATTGTTGCCAGTATCGAATTCGAGTTTTTGTCGCCATGGCGGCCGCTTTTCGACCAGTGAATTCTCCGCTGGCCATAACGGTCTCCCGCGAAGACGTCATGGCTTCATCGACCGCAACTCCTCGACCCAACACAGCCCCTCATACACACTCACAAATACCTGCCGACGACGGTGCGACTCCGACAAGGGCAACTTTCAACTTGGCTAGCCAGAAGCCTTTGCCATCGAGTCCTTTCCCCCAAGGGATACAGATACCTGAACAACCACCGAAACCGAAGATGCCCCGGCGTCACGACTCACGGCATTCGAACAAGTCAGGAGACTCGGGAGACGTAGATATGGACGACTCCGATGGAGAGACTGGCACCATTGAGGATGGCGCTGGATCTGACGACGAAAGTGTTGGAGCAGACGGACCCAGATCAAGCAAGAAGAAGAAGTCGCAGCGCTTTTACTGCACTGACTATCCTCCTTGTAACTTGAGCTTTACGCGGAGCGAGCATCTTGCCCGGCATATCAGGTTTGTGGTTTTCCTTTGTCCTCCGATTCGTCTTGGTTCGTCGTAATGCTGACTGATATCAACAGAAAGCATACAGGGGAACGTCCATTTCAGTGCCACTGCTCTCGCCGCTTTTCAAGACTCGATAATTTGAGGCAACACGCACAGACAGTTCATGTCAACGAGAACATTCCTATGGACTCACTAGCTGCAACTGGTTCCCGGTTTCAGCGGCAGATGCGGCCCGATCGAATCAGGCAAGCAGGTAATCGAGCAAGAGCATCGACAGGTGGTAGTGCCGGCGGTCCTCAACGAGGACATTCCAAATCGCTCTCTACCTCGAGTATCACCAGTGTCAGCTCTGTCGGCTCGGCTTACAGCGTTCAAGATGCAAGAAGGCGACCGCCTCCATTAGTGATGGCAGACCCTCGTTCACGATTGTCTTTGGAGTCGTACCGGAGTGCTATGGATGGCTCTTACCCTCACTACCGACCTGCTTCTCCTAGTGATTTCGGAACACCAACTTCATCCACCTTCTCGACTGGGCAGAGTAGCCCTAGATGGGGACCAGGCGTATCTTCCCCAGCAACGTCTCACTCACGTTCTCACAGCATGTATACGTCGGGAAGTCGAACACCAAGCCGCCGTTTGAGTGTTCCAGGGAATTCATTTCAGTCCCCTGGAGCACCAGGGGGAAGACCGATGATGTTTGGGCCTGGTCCTGCCAATGCTTCGAATGTGGGTGCTCTCCCGCCAACCAGTAACGGCATCCCTCCATCCCCAACTCCCTCATCGACTTCTCAATGGTCGCGAAGGGAGTCAATATCAGAGAGTGATTGGCGCCGAAGAACATGGCATCCAGACAGCCGCAATATCAATGGGAACCCCAGTCAGCTAAGCTCCGTTGTGAATCAGTCATCTGTCCGTCCGAACCCACCACCGCCGATCGCGAACCCTTCCACTTCTCAGTCGTCCTTCCGCCTGCCCGGCATCGAGTCGTTCGACCCTCTCCCTCCTGCCACCCCACCAAGGAGACAGCCTTCGCCCATGATGGTCGACCAAGAGCCTCGGATTCGAGCCTCTTATCAACCCCACCTCCCCGAAACTCCGATGCAGGACGAGAGACGAAACCTGAACTTGTACGATGCGAGCCTTCAGAGAGGCCTCAACCGCCTTGACATCAACCACAGTACGCCGCCTCGCGATAGCGCGGGTAGCTGGGCCTCCGAAGCAAACAAGGCTGTTCAGGCCCAAGCTGAGCATGTGCGACTCAATCCTCCTACTGTCCGGTTCGAGGAGCGGCCTCCGGTGTACCAGGGCCCCAAACCTCCATCTACCTCTGCCCCGCGATCTCTCCATCAACACACAGTGTCGGCCCCATCCATTACAACTTCGAGAGAAAACAAGCGCCGTGGGTGGTACAATGGGCCTGTTTCTGTTCATAGAGATACCCGATCCCCCCAGGAGCAGCAAGATCCACGGCTGGCTCATGTGGATAGAATGGTGCATCCGAACTTTACTGGCTTCAGTGGATTTCCCGTCAAAGAAGCACCACCACATCCTCAATATCAGCAATCACAACAACTACCCCCACAAGCTCAGCAGCATCCACAGCATCCACAGTATCCGCAGTATCCGCAGCAGCAGCAGCAGCAGCAGCAGCAACAACAACAACAACAACAACAACAACAACAACAACAACAACAACAACAACAACAACAACAACAACAACAACAACAACAACAACAACAACAACAACAACATCATCAACAGACCCAACAGCAACAGCAACAGCAGGGACGACCTGGCAGCAACGGCTCTCTGGGTCGTCTTGAGGCATTGGTTGCTGTTGCGACGAGCGAAGGATCTACTGCTGCAGCATACTAAGATGCCTCATTCACCCCGTCGTTTTGAGACGACAATAATTTGACGATTTATGACCTATTCCCTTGAACCGACTTGTTTTTCCCTCTATACCCGGCAGCGGAGACGACGCACGTTGCGGGCATGATCCTTTGCATGATACACGACCATGGAATTATGGAATTTTCTTTATCTCTTTTGGTACAACAACATCCCTACTCTGAATCAACCTAGTTCTGGGTTCAAATGACAGCATTTAACGATATCCCACCGGCATTGGTATCTGACTCAAAGGACCGACATTCGCCCCAACATTCTGAAACGTCTGGCCCCTGGGAGTTTGCGAGACAAGCTGAGCTTGTCAAATGTTTTTCTCTAGCCGCTTTTCCTATTGTTTTTACTGAGGGTGTCCTTGGCTTACTTCTTCCCTAAACTGGAGCATGGCCTGTCACGGTGAAGCAGGACGTCATCCGTTGGCGCGATACCCTGACTTTGTTTGCATGAAGCGACTTCAGTACATGATTTGGCAGTATATGAATATTTCCGACCTGTCGGTACATCTTGCGATAACGGCAGGGTTGGTTTTGTCGAACATCGTTGCGTCATTGTTGGAATTCTCGGGGCTAGACTCTGGTGATGGATGTTGGGAGACGTGTTGGTCACGTTTGACGCTTGTGTTGTGGGGTTGGAGGATGGGTTTGAATTTGATACCCTGTGATTTGAGCGGTTTCTTGGTTCTTGCTTCTGCTGGCGTTTGTTGGGATGCTTGGTTTAGACATGTGTCTCAGGATTCTCATGACCTTTTCTTTTATCAGGGAAGCAGTTGGTTTGGCAATGGAGTCGCGGCTCTGTTTACAGATTGATGAGGAGGAGGCCTGGTGTGTGTTTCTTGACGTTCATGATGATATCTATAGTTTTATACAGCGGTGAGATTGCTCAGACGTAGAGCTGAGCTGTAATGCAAACTGAGTTTAAGCTTGATCTCGAAGTGTTTATATATTCAAGTTGCATATGTGACCATAACTCAGAATATCCGCCACGATATAAGGTAGACATCAGTGGGGATTATAAGTCAGGGGATTTATATCCGGCGTCAGTATTACATGTACCAGCGAAAAGGTCGATCACTACCAGGCCGGTGACTGACTCAAATGGATCTTAATAAAGCTCACATTCGCTTGCCAAAAGCCCCGGAGCCAAGTAGGGCAGATGTGACGTAGCATATACATCATATATAGACGAAATGTCGTCGAGTTTACAGGGCATGGAAAAGCAAATTAAATCAGTACATAATAACAATTCGCCTCTTCATTTGTCCAGTCACGCATGGTTGAATTTTTGATTGATCCATTCAAGATGCCTGTCGTTGATTGTTGAGAGCTCCAACTTCTCGCATCATTCGCAACTCATACTCGCTTCGTCACCCCCAAGCTTCCCATTTCTTCTGAGGATAAATATGGATGATATTCCAGCGTCGTCGTCGTCGTCTTCTTCTGCAGGCCGATTGAGGACTCTTCTTCCAGGCCCAACTCGAGAAGGAGTCTCACCAAGACCTCCACCCAAGTTGAACATACCCAAGAGAATCTCTGTCAAGACTGCATGCCAAGCTTGCAGACAACGCAAAGCCAAGGTCGTAGGAGTTTCTGTGGTAAAGACAGGTATCGTACTGACTTTTGTAGTGTAATGGCCAAAGGCCGAGGTGCTCTGGCTGCATCACTGCTGGCCGAGAATGTCACTATGCCAGCAACCCCTACGAAGCCGAGGCCGCAGCAATGAAACGGAAACACGATGAACTGAAAGAACGAATGGTTGATCACGAGAGTCTTTACTCTTCGCTGAAGAACAAAGAGCCTCATGAAACAGACGAGATATTGCGGAGAATACGAGCCGGAAAAGACGTCAAAAGTGTTACTGAGGACCTTCAAGGCGGGGGTTTGGCCACTCCTACGTCTCGACAACAGGCACATCCTCTTCTACGAAACGATAGCGCCAATACTTCAAACAGTGCTACAACTTCTGGAAGTGCCAGCTCACCAACCTTCTCAGCAGCACGCATGAACCTTTCCCAACCCCAACAGCAGACAAGGGCCAGACTCGCAGCTTCGTGAGTACACCACAAAGACCCCAAACCTCTGTCTAATCTTTCCCAGAAATGACCAACCTGGCAACGCGTTTGAAGAACCCTGGCGAGAACCCCAGCGCAGAGCCTCCGAAGACTCTACAACCATTGATCTGCAAGGACATATACTCCCTCTTTCGCGATGGACGAGCGTCATACAAGACGACAAATTTCTAAGTCACTTGCTGCTACTGTTTTGGACTTGGGATACAGCATGTAACCGTATTATCGACCGAACTATCTTCGAAGACGATCTAAAGAACCTCGACCCTACGACATCAGGCGCACCCTCAGAACTACGATTCTGCTCACCATTTCTCGTAAATGCCATTTTGGCCGTTAGTTGCGTATGTAGGCTTTACCAACCTCTTTCAGAGTCCCTCCTGACTGAAACCACGAATATAGCTTTACACGACAAACCCGATCACATTCAGCATGCCAGACGAACTAAGCACCCGAGGACAGATATTTGCCCAAGAAGCCATCCGATGTCTGAAGCAAGAAGACACACGGCCTTCATTGCCGCTGGCACAAGGTCTAGCGCTTATGTATGTGTATGAAGCCGCTCTAGGCGACGGAGAAACGGCACTGGAGTTCCACAGTCTCATGCAATCGCGGTACATGGCGCTAAGACTTGATGATATATATCGTTCTACGGATACTGCTATTGCCGGTTCGAGACAGAGAGCTGAAGCACACGCTTTGTCTTGGATACAATGGGGTTTCTACGTCTGGGACTGGTAAGTAATGTGCTCGTGTTGAACCAATTTCACTGACACATGTGGCCCAGGAAACCAATGCACGGTCTATGTCGCCGTCTCGTTATCAAGAAGCCCGCACGAGCCAAAACATGGCAAGAAGAAAACTCGCCGCTGAATAGAACCGAGAATCCAGAGTATTGGTGGTTCTCGTATCCTGTTTCCGTAGCGCCTCAGCGGTCGATGAAGCGTGAGATATTTGAGGCCGAATGTAACTTTACAGAAATTACAGAGCAGGTTCTCGAGTTCCTTATTCCCTTGGAGCAGGGAGTTTCACCGTCTCAGAATTCAGGACGTGCTGTAGAGTTGTACTCTAAAATCATGGAGTGGAAGTTCTCCTTGCCCGAAGAGCTAAGGGCTGAGAATGCAGTTCTACCTTCTGCTGTACTACTACAGTAAGTCTTATACAAGATGAAGCAGAGGATTCTTGGTAACCAATATATATCCAGTCTCAGCGCGGACCTTGTAGTAGTCAGCGTTCTTCAACCCTTCGACGACGTCCCCAAATCCGTCTTCGGCCCCTTTCATCCACGCCTGACATCCTACGCCCACGCAACAAACGCTATGTCAACGATCTGGCACTTTCGAGCTCTATACACTATCCGTAGCGAACACTGGCTTATACAAGCATGTTCCGTCTGCGCCTTCAAAGTCCTGTTCGCCATTGAAGAGAGCCCCATCCAACTCGAAACATTTATAAAAGCGTGTCGAGCACTCATAGAGCTTCGAGAAGCGTTTCCGGTGGCGGAGGAGGTTATATACTCCATTGAGTCTGTGATAAAGAATAAGAAGGTCAATTTGCCTTCGTATGCGAGGGAGTATATGCCTAACGGTGCTGGAGAAGGCGTTGGGGACTTGAAGGGTGTCAAGGTTAGGGATCACAGTGTTATTGTTGAAAAGGCTAATTCGGATGAGAGTGAGGATCGTTTGACCATGACAGGCCTGCTTTCGACGCTGGCTCCTAGCGAGACGGGACTGTATTAGATCATGTAAACCAGTTATACATATGTATATCTAGATAAACGGGTTGGCGTTACTACGCGGCCAAGGCGCGGCAGCGCGCAGACGTGTGTTATTGGGTATATATATCTTATGATACATTATACAATAATGAGAAGTCTAATTTGCAAGGATCTTCACGAAGCTGAAATACCTCAAACCTCCAGGCAAGCTCAGATTGTCTGATATAGTCTTGGTAACTCCGTGTACCTTTCTGACCCAACATGTCCCTTGGTGCAATTAATGGTATAATAGGTCCTCAGCCCGGTCGATATCACGCTTCTCATTGCCTGCGTCATATTGGCAATGCTGAAGCTCCATAGCCTCTCAGATGACATCAGGTAAGGGAACAGCATTGGGGCTCGTATAATAACCCGGGTACCAAAAGTCGCTGGGGGGCAGAAATTTCCTTGACTTGTTCGTTTGAAACTAGGAGTATGCGTCAGTATCCTCCATATCACTATAGTATACCGCGGTTATTGTGGTTGGGATCTTACCTCTATGATGCAGAGGCAGCACCAGTCGCTGAAGGTCTTGACTTTGGTGAGGCGTTCGCCGGTCATAGAACTCAGAGTAAAGGTATCCGCCTCAGTACAGGACACATGCTCAATAATATATGCGTAGTAAGACGCTATCAGTTCCTCCTTTACCGATTCAGGTTCAAGAAATGTACTTCTCTCCATTGTGATATACCTTAGAACGTAAAGCCCACCGTCAACGGCAGTACCACGCTTACATGACGCCCCAGTCCCAGAGTCAGGTCTATACCTGGGGTCATGTAGCCTGGAAGGAGCCTTTGCCCAGCAAGTCTGAACTCCAGGCTTTAAAAGTGAGGATTCGAAGAAAGACTTTGTGGTGACCCGCGACACATTGGTGCGGTGCTTCTATGGACCTTGAGTTTGTGCAGCTGGTCTGATATCTTGAATATCTCTTCGATTCTCCAGATAGCCCTCGTCATTTGATTTCCCACAGTATCATGGAACTGCTCCTATCATCTGGTGGTGAGCCTCCCTTGGTCCTATTCGAAGCACCAAGGAAAGTCACGCCTTGGTCAGACCCGAGAACATCAGCATTCAGGGGGGAACTCGACCAAGTCGCAGTAAAATGACGCTACCTGAAGGTCTATTACTTCATTCGTGTTCATATATGGAAAGATTTGACATCTCAACTCTTCTGGCAGCTTGCTGAACGGATCCTGCCAGTTTGAAGCTATGCTTGTTGGCTCGCCGACCTCATAATCCACATCCGATCTCTGGAATTATCAAATACTCATTGTGCCATGGGTCAAGATAAATAAGTAAAAACTGACATGGAATAGCATTGTCAAAGCGGAGCTGATACTCCTTTACAAATCAGAGGTAGTGAAGTTTGTTACTGTGTTACTGGCGAACTTGAGGATAACTTCGTTCACATCATGATACATAATCATGTATCGTTTACCTATTTGAAAGTTTGAATGGCATTCTCGTAAATTGTAAGTTCTCTCATCCTGGGCACAATGAACACAGAAGTTGGAAGTTTGGGCCATTCCATGAGCATTGTATCGATACGGGAGTTCATACGATACTTATCGTCGGTCACACATGAACCACTCCCATCAATAGACTTGTCTGGCTTCTAACTCATTATCATTGACATGTGCGATAGCTAACATATGAACGCTAAGAACTGTGTCCCTTGTGCGCATCTCCACGCTGTCCTCCCATTTTCTGTATACTAGCCTTCTTCGTCTTCCATCACTATCCATGCCATACGCCCACCACCTGTCTATCTTGTCTTCATCTTGTCCAAAAACGCCTGGAAAAATGATACTCGTTCTGTCATTATCGCTCGTTATTAGGAATATGTCCCTCAACAGCGCTCAGCGCCCCGAGGTTCACTTCACCAAGACGCTGTCCCGCATCCTGGACACCAGCGAGGAGAGCCACGCACTCGATCACATCCTCTGGTTCCAGGAGATGCGACTTAGCCAGTGTAACCTTTGTGCTCGCACCGACGGTGACTGTGAAGACGTGGTTGGCGTCCAGCACAGGGCCTGAAGCGGCATTTAGGCTACGGAACATGTCCTCATCCGTGAAGTCGTCACCCATGCACAGCGCAAACTCGAGGTGCCCAGACTTGTCCTCAGACCCAGCGCTAGGTGTGTGGTACATGGTGATGAGACGCTTGGCGATCTCACCTTTGTTAATGAACGTGGGGCGGACTTCGATGTTGGCCTTGCCAGGCATTACCTCGACATCCCATTTCGCACCAACTGTCGACTCGAGCTCCTTGTGGCACTCTCGCGACATGTGAATGCCCTGCTCGGGGTCGGCCAATCTGTAATGCCAGGTCAAAGCACATCGCTTTCTCTCGATGAAGGAACCTATTTTATGTCAGTGTGTGTTTAGTAGAACTTGTGTCAGTGTACAAACCTTGAACCTTATCGGTGTATTTCTGAAAGACCTCCATCACCTCAGCCTGCCATCCCATATCGAACTTCTCTGCGAGGTTCTCCCACTCATCTGAGCCGGGGTGCTTCATAAAGCTGCCGTGCTCGGCTGAAAATCCAAGACGTCTGTTGTTGCCAAGGTGCTGCTTCAAGAACTCTTGATCTCGTCCCGAAATGATCCACACAGCATTCTTGGGATCGGATGCCAACAGGTCGAGGGTGTGAATAAGACGCTCCGAGGGCACTGCAGCACTAGGCTCGCGCACGATGGGCGTCAGGGTACCGTCGTAGTCGAACATGAACAGACGTTTGTTGGCTGAGCGGTACTGAGTAAGAAGAAGAGCTCGATCTAGCAGAGGAGTGGAGTTGGCAGAACTGCTGTCGCCAAGGACATTGTACACCTTGCGGATGAACTTAGTGATCCAGGACTGCACATTGTGCTCAGTAACGTGTCGGTACAGACGAGACTGCATCTCTTGTCGCTTGTCTTCGGACATGGTGAGAGCGGCATTGATCTTCTCAGCAACGCCGCTGAGATCCCAGGGGTTGATGTGGATGGCATCGCTGAGACTGCCAGCGGTACCGCTGAACTCTGAGAGAATAAGAGGAGCATTGCCCTCTTTTTGGCAGATGATGTACTCCAGGCTTGTGGTGTTCATTCCGTCACGCACAGAGGTGATGAGACCAATGTCACCGGCACGCAGAAGAGCAAAGTACTCGTTCTGGCTGAGGTACTGGGGGTAGTGCTGGACTGGAGAAAAGCCCAGACTTCCGTACATGCCGTTGATGCGCATAACAAGTTCATTGACACGGGTCGCAACCTTTGTGTCGTCCTCAAGGTCCTCCTTCTCTGCCTCGACGCTAGTGGGCGAGGTGACCTGGATGAGAACAACCTTCTCACGCCACTCAGGGTACATCTCAAGGAAGCGCTCAAAAGCTTGCAGCTTCTGGGCAACACCTCTGACACTATCCAGACGGTCACGTCCGACAATGATCTTCTTTCCGTGATAAAGCTCGCGTAATGCGTTATACTTGGCGGTCACAGCATCGGTCCACGCGTGGCTCTCAACCTTGGCAGCGTCGATGCCAATGGGGAAGACACCAACTTGGACACGAGTTCCATAAGCATCAATCCCGAGAGTATCGGATGGGAATCCAAGGATTCGTGTGCAGCAGCTCAGGAAATGGCGAGAGTAGCTGTAGGACTGGAAGCCGATGAGGTTGGAGCCCAAAACACCCTCAAGAACCTCCTTTCGTCGAGGCAGACAGCGGAGGAATTCGCTACTGGGGAAGGGCGAATGCAGGAAGAATGAGATGTACATGTTAGGTACTCTCTGTCGCAACATGCTGGGAAGCAACATGAGGAAGTAGTCGTGAATAATGACGATATCGCCAGGCTTGTAAATTTCGATGATCTTGTTGGCGAATTTCTGGTTCATTCTATAGTAATCGGCCCATTGAACACGTTCGCGTCGGCCATCGGTCGGCTCATGTTGCTTGTAGTGGAGGAGGGTGTAGAGATCGTGCTCAGCATATCGTCGCCAGCGGGCCTGGTCCTTGAGAAGGATACCCTCAGAAGTGGCCTCAGACTCATCGGAGAGCCAAACTGGGTAGGTGCGGATGGTCTTGTTGTGTGACAAACGGTACTCGAGGCGTTCTTGGTCCTCGCGGGGAACCCAGAGACCATCAACTGGAGGAGGAGTCGGTAGGCGCGTGTTGCCGTCAATGGGAACGGGTGCAGAGAGGGCGTTGAGCGATGTCGCACCAAAAGTGTTTGGGGCGGGCGTGCCGGGCGAAGAAACGACGTCATCGGTTGGAGCGTCGATCTCGCCGGTCCAAGCGACAACGGTGTGATTCCATGGAGTAGCGTCGGAGGAGAGGTATGCGAAGGAGTCAAAGAGAGCGGATTGACCGCGACGAGTTTTCAAGTCCTGGAAGGCGAGCAAAAGTTTAGTTGCGGCTCAATTTTCATGTGACGAGGGGAGGGGAGCTGAAGTTGGCAGGGAGGGAGCTCTCTCTAGCTTTGGTTGGAGAAGAGGGGAAAATGCAAGCTCGAGAGTGCACCCCAGTAACTGATACGAGATGAAATGTTGAGGAAGCGAAGCGAAGCGAGGTGAATAGTCAGTTACATACCCAATCACCGCCTTTTCGATAGACGAAAGAATGCGGTGTGTTGAAGGTAGCCGAGATAATGTTACCGCTCAGAGCCAAGTCAGGGTTGGCAGCTCGAATCTCGGACAAGGACTCGCGGCGGCGCAAGTTGGGCGCGCCAGTATTTTCGCTGGTGGTTGCCATTTTTCCGGTCAAGATGTGATCTGAGAATCAGGCTCGAGAGAGAATTAAGGTGAGGAGAATCGTGGACGAGGAGATGTCAGCTGGCGTCTCCTTTGGGGTTATCTTGTCGGAGGAAGGTGATCGCCGTCTCTCTCCCGCGAGGAAGTTATAGTAATGCGCGCGTATTCCGTGATTAAGATGAGATGGAAAGTGACGGGATAGAAGAGAAGAATGAAATAGCTGGGCTATACAAGCTGCGCGAAGCAAAGAGTGGTTGAGTTTGGGAGATGAAAGGAGAGAAAGGTTGTAAAGTTACGGCGGAGGAGGGATGAATGGGTTAAGGTTGAGCGGGACCAAGAGTGAGAAGCGAAGGGAAAAGAAGCGATTCTACAGGCTGGATAAGGTAAGAGTAACTTGGGAGACAGCAACGGTGACGTTAGATTCTTTAGCTGTATCTGGTCTGCCCCAAGGAGATATAATAAGTTAAGTCAAGTCAAGGCATGGCCTAGTCTAGTCTTAAAGTCGGGCCGGGCGGTTTCGGCGACTCATCGTCGTGTGTTGCTGAGACGAGCCATCCATCCAGGCGGGAACTGCTGTAGTCAGTGAGTGAGGTGGTGGGGCATTTCTCTGCTAAAGGTGCCTTGCTTTTTTGCGGGTGCATAAAAATAACACATGGTAACTTTTCTGAGCCTGGACAAAGTGGGTAATAAGTCTCTGAAATCACTCTGAAAGCAATTGAACATGTCTCTCGACAATTCAAACGTTGACCTATTCACAATTTCACTTCAAGTGACTTCTCCAGGTCTACCTACCCCAGAAACTCAAATCTCTCCATTTTATCGCAGCATCATGAGCCCTCGGCACACCTTCTAGCTCACGCGCCGGAGCAAAATTCTTAAAGGCCCGACAGCTGCCAAGATGCCTTGACTTGGGTTGCCAACTTGAGTGAACCCAGAAGACGAATGCCGATCAGGTACAGTTGAACATTCAATGGCTGAAATAGGTAACCTAGCATTGTCTATCAACACGCATGCTGTAGGTATAGTAGAGGACCAGCATTGCATTATCTTCAACGTCGACCCTCTGGCAACACTAGAATATCACGAGATAATTCTCGTCGTGCAAGTAACTTACTACTTGAAGCACCCTCTTAGTGAGGTTCACCTCTATAGACTGTCTTTTCCACTACATCGGATCATATAGAAGGTGATAGAATAAGATATCTGGGGCCTCGCATGGTGTTTGTTTCCATGTGACCGTGCGTGCCATGAGTTGGGGATAATCGCGGGGGAGGGGTCATGAAAGTAATTCGGCCGACAAACACCATTCATTGCTTATTTCAACTGTCCAAGCCGCTGAGAAAGCATTGATAGCTCTTACTCAGCATTTTTTAGTTTATTAAGCTTCCCCATTATCTGAACATCCAATCCAAGCCTACGCTGACCACCGAAGAAGGTTTCTTCGTAGGGTCAATCAAGTGGTTGCGATACCGCCTCTCACGACGTCCTCATGTCTTGAGGTCAAAATAGAGTATCCAGGCCCTAGTAGATCATGTGTTCGGGGTTCAAGCCCTTCGTACTGCTCAATTGCCATGCTCATTCCAGCCTCATGGAACTCATCTCCTAAATCACCAATTCTAATCATCATCGACAAAATCCACTTCCACGATCGATAAGATGCTATTCAAAAGTCTCCACTGGTTAATGCACCAACGACAAACAAGCAATACGGCAGAGGCACCAGCAAGTTAGCAACTGTGCCCCCAAACCAGACCGAACCAAACAAAAGACGGTGAGACCCCCTTTGACGGAGGTGCACTCCCGAGATGCCAGCGTACTGCGTAGAGCTCATGATACTTTGCGAACCTTCTAAGCCATTGTCATATGCAGCAAAAGTATTGAGTTGCGCAAGCATAGTCCAAGCTTCTATTTGACAAAATATGACGCTGCATTTACCAAATCCCACTTAAGAAACAGACGGTGCGCATTTCGTACAACATTAGCCGTGAACCGGTCGTCTTTCGGTGCAAGCCCGTTCACGTCGAGCCGCATCCGGGGCTTATCCCCCGGAGCCGCCCTGTGCGAAATGACCCCGCCATCGCTTTTACACCTACTGCTAAAAAGAACACACACGCCATGGGCGGGCCAGGCCATCATCATGCCTCCATCATCCAACTCTCATAATCTGAACCATCCACCGCCAAACGTGACCGCACGTTCCCGGCAAATGATGTTCTTCATTTGGACGTTTCTATCGAGATTCTGGCTTTTCTGCGAGAATATCCGATCATCGAGAGGTATAGTTGCTGATAATTGGTTGTTACCCTGCCTGAAGATTATCTTCGATGGTGGCTGCGTCAAGTATGCATACTTGAGCCATTTTAACTGGCAATTTCCTCATTGTCGCTTTGTTTACTTTGAAAATTGCTTCTTTCGTTTCTTCCGCTGCCTGATAGGAAAACCGGGCTGCATCTACATGTCCTTGTTGGTTGGTTCACAATTAAAACCTCGTGAACTTCGTTACAACAGTATTACACCATGATATGCGATCCTATAAGGAGCTTCTGAAGATGGTATGTCATATTACCCGCATTCTTTTTTGTGTTTTGCCCATTCGATATGTACATCTCACTCGGTCTCGCCAGTGTGGTTTATCAACGAGCTACCATTGGAGGTTGACTGATGTTTCCAAGAGGTTCGAGACTGTCTAGAACCGCACAGCGACTCAACATCCCGGCCCGGTAAGGCCGTTACAAGTGACAAGAACTTCCTGATGTTGACACACGCAGAAGCAACGACCATAGTGAGCGTTTTGTTCTCCAAATCCTTCTTCGACAAGCATTCTTTTCCTTTTCATTCTCGTTGTCAAGTCTATCATATCATCTCGAGCTTGAGCTCAAAGCTCAAAGAACCCCACCGAGGGGCACATTTCGAGGATCCGCCAATGGCAAAAACCTCTTCAACTGCCCGTCATCCCGCTACAGAAGCCCAATCACGATCCAATCACTTGTCTCATATTAATATCAGATGGAGCCTCTAGTTGGAAATCGTCCAGGAACCTTGATGTGACGAGTGGTCCAGACTCAACAATCGTGATCTATCAATCGTGGGCCCGCTGCCCCTCCAAGGAGGACTAAAAGCTCCAGTGCCATGACGCAAGTGATGAAAACTCCATTTGTTGACTTCCATGTGAACGAGGATTCCTTGATAAGTAGCTTGGGCAGCCACAATCTTGTGGGCTCGAAAAAATGCCGCGTTCGAAGGTGAAGATGCAAACTTCTCATGCAAAATCTGCGACCTAAAGGCCATTTTCGACCCCAAAATGCTTCTGGTCAAATGAAAAAGAGGCGTGGTATTCTTTCTCCATGATTCCCATACTAATACTCTATCCTAAAGAAATACACCAAAAAGATTTCCTTAAACCCCGAGTGTCCCAATCCCACCCTCCAAAATAGGTCATTATCACAAACGCCAGATATGTATTGTTGAAAGTCCATCATCTCCACCTGAGATACAGCCACCTATTTCTCCTCATCCTCAGCTGGAGCACCCATCCCCGAGAAGGGACACACACCACCAGCGGGCATACCACTAGGATGCGGAATTCTTGACGGGGTGTTTGGCTGATGATGTTCAGAAGCATCATCCTCAGTACCAGAACCACTACCCTCACCAATGATGCGCTTTCCATGCAAGTAGCCCTCACGCTCAATCTCGATATCAGAATCGCCTGTCTCGAACTCGGCACCGTCCTTGACATGCCATTTGGCCATGAGGTCGTTTTGGATCCAGATGACCTTGTTGAGGGCCTTGACTAGAGCTGTCTTGCGCTGGATATGTAGACGAGGATGTGAGAGGATGGCTTCGGTCATGATGTCCTGGATGAAACCGAGACAGACACCAAGATGGACGTATTCGATGTGAAGAGGGTGCTTGCGGCCAAGACCAACGTGCATCATTCTACTGAAGTCAGTTATGTCCATAAACTTCTAGGAATTGGGATTGCATACCCAACCTTATCCAGATACTCCCAGAACTCCATTTTGCTAGGATCTGAACAGAGCTTCATAAGGTAAGCGCGCAGAAACATCTTTCTGTGCAGAATTTGAGGACTGTTCTCGTCGGGGATTTCATCGAGAGGACCTTCGAAGGAAGTGCTTCTGGTGGTGAAAGCACGAGCTGTGATATCGTATTGGAGGAGTTTCTTGTAGACGATGTTGACGACGGCGGGAATGAGGGCCTTGACGTATTTTGCGCCAGTGATGAGAGCTTCAATGTCACCTATAAACGTAGAGCGTTAGTTGAGCTTGAGTTAGGGATCCAATTTGCTCTCAATTGAGAGATTGGTGTCGAGTCATGGTATGTTTACGCTGGGTGAAACGTACGGCTTGAGAAGTCGAGGAATGAGTGAAGATACTGAACACGGGCTTCGAGGTTCGTGTAGAGATCCTCGCGATCAATGTGCTTCATAGGTCGTGAAGTCATATTGAATGCGGTATTATCTTTGGTGGTTGGAGTTTTAAATGCGTAGGTTTGTCGCTGAATCGTCGAAACAGAATCTGGAAGATCGACTCCTGTACTAGATTGTGGGTATAAGTCTCGAGATGAAGGTGTCGCAGATCGTAGGCGCAAGAGAAAGGGCGAAGTGAACAGTCGGTATTTAACAGAAAAATTCTCAGCTGATGCAATAGCTCGTGTGACGCAAGTCAATTTGAAGGATTTAGTCTTTGCAAGTAACAGATCAATATACAGAATCTCCCGTCTTGAACAGTAGCTAGGCCACGGTATTTATTGGATTGCTTATCCTTGGTAATTTACCCCTCAGTCCCTTGTCCATGACAACATTTTTTTTCCCCTTCTTTGATTATACGCGTGCTCATGAAATGAAAGCTCTTCCCCGAGTCTCGCCTTGCTCCGTTGGTTGTTTGTTAAGCTGAGCGCATCACGCCAGGTCGATATATCAGACGATGGTGATGGTGGGCTGATGAGTGGGTCTGTTCAAGGGTCTGTGGTTATCGCTGCCAGCCGGACGCACCCGAGGAGAGATGAGATGAATTCAATGTATTGGAAATCTGTATTTTATCTATGAGAATAGCAGTATAGAAAGTTGATATCCTGAGATATAACATTGTACTGGCAGTCTAATCTATGAGAGTCTGATATAGGAACCTGGAGTTGACACTTGACAGCTTGAGTGGGTATCGACGGCGACTTGCGGGGACAATCAATGACTGGATGGCTGATTCATAAAGGGAAAATCAGCTTAATGTGATTGGTGTAAGCTTCAAGCTTCGAATACCCGTTGAAGGCGGCGGATAGCGACAGCTAAAAATGGATGATGAGCGCTAGATCAGACAATCCCATATTCCAGAAAGTCTTTCGAGATCTACACAATGGCATTGTTTCAGAATCTAGAAGCTTGTCGGGCATGATACAAGTGACACAAGTCCCTGTTCATGTCTCTTCAATTTGTGAAGACCCTTCTCTTTAATGCTGCTATATGACATGTATCAACTGTCACTTATTGCTTACTGCTCGACTTACCAGAGCCACATTTTAAAATGGCATTGTACTGGGTCACAAAGGCCCATGCTGAAATCTCGACTCATCCATGCGGTTCAGCCGCAAGCAGGGACAATGCCAGATTCCCGAATTTCCCGATAGGATTTCGTCACAAGATGAATATCTATACCCCACGATGAGCCATTTGCACAACCCTTGCTGTTGGACAACGGATTACTGGATTACATTCAATGTTGCACAAAGTAGGATATTTTTGTAGACTAATGTTTCGGCCGAAGGAGAGGTTCGGGGCCAAGCTATAAACATCGAGAGAATAAAACAAATACACCGTGACGACAGCGTACCAAGACTATTAGATCAACACAAGAAGAAACACAAACCATCAAATATCATAGACCCCAAAATGTATTTGGCATAGTGATGGAATTATATATATTATTGCATGGGTAGGTGCTGTAATGAATGCTTTGAAGACAGAATTCACAGTTCTGGAAACCTGTCTAGGGTAGCCAGATTCTAAAATCACTGATATGATACGAAAACACGTGACCTCATCGCCCACCAAATTCTTCCTTTCGGCTCATCGGCCTCACCTCGCTTCAACACCCTCCAACACCCGGGAATCCTCCGACAATCAGCCATCGCGACGGCCGCAACCATTCAAGCCAGTCCAGTCCGGCGCCATTCTCAAGGGTCCCGCTTACGGATTACACCAGCTCCGCTGGAGGCCGGCACAGCCTGGCAGCTCGCCGCCATGTCCGGCTCACCACCTCCACCATCACCAAACTCCCACGCGACCGCGACGGCTCACGCATACGCGAGCAATGGGCTCGAGATGCTCCAGGCCGCCAGTGATGCGGCCCATGCTATCAACCACCACATCAGCAGCCCCCAAGCTCTTCAACATGCCGCCGTAGCTGCCGCCGAAGTTGTAGGCCACCAACAGCCACATGCGCCCATGGATCCTCCGGACGGCATGCCTCATGCGACCGAGTTGCCTACTCAGCTTATACCTGGAAATGGAGCTGTCATGCGCGACCCGACCATTAACCCGAAGCTTACTCGACTTCGGCGGGCCTGTGACATGTGCAGTATGCGCAAGGTCAAATGCGACGATTCGAACATACCCTGCCGACCGTGTCGAGAACTGGGTGTAGACTGCACCTACAACCGCGAGACGAAGCGTCGGGGACCACCCAACAAGCATGCTGAGGCCGCAAAAGCTGCCAAGCGCTCGCGGGTCGAAGTGCCATCGGCGACTGCAGCGGTGGCAGCTGCTGTATTCGGATCTTTGTCTCCATCACCGCAGACTGCGGCGAAGACACTGATGAACATCTCCACCGATAATGTCGATGCCGAATCCATTGCGCCTATGCCAGTGTTGGAACTGCTGGTCGACGACTTCTTCACCTACATACACCCGCTTGCGCCATTCCCACACGAGCCTACGTTCCGTCAGTCATTCGCCAACCGCGAGGACCGTACAAAGCCCGAGTTTCTTGGTCTGCTAGCGAGTATGATCTGTGCCCTTGTCGCATCCTTCCCACGAAGCGCGAGAGAGCATCTCAAGGCACAACACAGCACCCATCTGTTTCCTCGAGCTATCGTCATGGTTGAAAAATGCCGTGAGATTGCTTTGCTTACACGTGGGAATAAGTGGCAACTCAAACAGCCGAAAACTCTGGACGATGCTGCGACCAGCTACTTCTTGGGATTGGCATCGGGATACACACATCAGTGGAATGCTTCTGGTCAATTCATGGCTGAGACCCTGACCCTCCTCCGCGAGCTGGGATTCAGCCGGCCCAAGCACCCTGGTGATTTGCCGACATTTGGAAATGACAACTGTTCGCCAGATCCTCTTCCATTCAACCATGTCAAAGATCAAATTGGGAAGCGCATCTTTTATTGCCTTCTTCTTGGCGTGCGGTAAGTATCTCTTCCTCTCGCAGTCGGCTCTACTAATATCTGTCAGATCCTTTTCTCAACTGGGTGCATCTTCTGCAGACATGGTGATTGCACCATCAACACCCAGCCTCCCCTACCCTGCATACCCGGAAAACGTTGATGACATCTGTGTTCTTGCGAATGAAGTCATCCACCAACAGGATGGCAGTGTCACCCTGTTGACCGGCTTTCGTTTCGCTATAGACATTTACACTACCATGAACGGTATTGTCAGTCTTGAGCTGGCTTATGGCATGAGCACGCTTCCTTGGGCGGACCAGCGTATTTTGCTTCGAGATGGTCTTATTGCAGCCAAGAGCATCACCGATAACCTACCACCAGAGTTGCAGCTTGGAGACCACGGTGTTGAAGCCAATACCATGGCCAGTCTTGATGATTCTGGCATGCAATACGTGCCTCCTGCATGGCCTAACAGCCAGCCTGCACACGATCTCCGAAATATGATCAAGAACCAACCCGCTCGGCGCAGGCATCTTCAGTATGAGATTCAAAAAGCCAACATCTTTGTCTCACAACTCGCTACACGTTCGTATTTTGTCGAAATGTACTTTGACCTACGGGATGTCCACATGGCAGAACAACGACAGGAAAACAGCCCTATCGAGGGCCATTCAGAGGAGGAAAAGGCAGCTCAGGATGCTGATGAGAAGGAAATTTACGAGTTCATGTCGGAAGAGCGGGAACTGATTGTGCAAAATCTTCTCACAGTTTTGGGATCGATTTCGCAACGAAACATGGAACCGAATGGTGGATCACTCATCAACAAGATCCGACAGGTTGCATCGACACTTTTGAACGATGCACCTGAACGAAAGGGACCTTTTGCGGTGAAATCAGAGGAGGCGTTGTCGCAGTTGATCAATATTCTGGTAAAGCTTGAAAAGACGGGTGCTGGCACCGGAGGTGGTATCGATACGCATGCACAGGATCCGTCACAGATGACATCGCAGGATGAGGAAGAGGAATTGCGACATTGGGCAGACCTTCGAGATTATCAGCTGCGATTTGCAGCGAATGGCGGGTTTGCTGGGAATCTGTAGGCAGTTGGGGTCAAAGACGAATCGATGCAATGAAGCAAGGTGTTACATTACTACAGAAGGCAATGAGAAAGACGCGGTGTTGATTAGAGGCAGCATCTATGTATGATAATGAGACGCCGCAGAAGATGACCGGATGGGGGTTAGCGAGTCCTGTAACAGCTATAGCACCAGGTATTGTAGCTTCATGTTTTTGTCCCAAAAGTAGATACTAAGAATAGGTAACAAGAGGAGCATTGCGCAAGCTATAGAACCAATGACTATGCTCTTGTTCCCTTTGCTATAGAATTGGTATGATGTCGAGAGGGGTATTCACAAGTATAAAGAAAAGACCGAAAGCCGGGGATAGCTTTGACACGGTCGGAATATGCGATGCGAAAATGTATGATCAAGTAATATTAATCGCATACTGCAAATTGTTTGTGCTGTGGAGGTACAGCCCTAAAGATATAGGGGATTTCTCAGATTGCCGCTCAAATGGGTATATGGCTGTTTGCGCTCTGCCTCTCCTTTCGATAGAAGCTCATCTCGTAGATTGACCACCCAAACAAAACCCAGTTAATAATACTGCAGTCAATTAGCAACACTATCCAGATCATCACAAGAGTCTACTTACGCTAGTACCACTAGAAGTGCAATCATCGAACCCTCCAGGCTTCGATTCCAGACAGAGTAGTTCTCCATATGATAAATGAGAATCGCAAAACACGCCGTTGCACCGAGCGCAAGAATGAGCTGCACGATGGTGTTGACAATTACCGGGACGTGAGACATGGAGTGATTGGCGCGACGAGCAGAGATATTCATCACGACCGCCCAGAGCAATGAAGCAATGCCCTATAATCAATCAGCGCTAAGCTCAAATAAAAAATGGGAGGGTTACGTACAACAGGTAACGCCGTCCATAGCATCCAGGAACATTCATGACCAACAGGTACATCGCTGGGACATATCTGCGATCTAAGAGACCACCAAATACTCAAGATGATAATGACAACTGGAATAGCGATATTGAGCTGCCGCGCAGTCACGACAGCGAAGTTCTGGCGTGGAGTGCGGCGGTAAGGAGCTGGTTGGGCTTGATACGGTGGGTAGTATCCATATTGGGGCGGTGCATTGTATTGCGGAGGAGGATACTGCTGTTGATTAGGGTACGGTTGCTGTGGAGGGTACTGTTGCTGCTGCTGATTTCCGTACGAGTACTCGTGAGGACCAGCCATTTTGACGATTGCTTCAAAAGTGTTGATGTTGAAAGAGTTGAAGATGGATGGTTCGAGGCGCAGTGGAGAGCATGACGTTGGCACATCGAGGTCGGCATGGAAAGTGGAGGTGCAGGCGCCAAATGTTTCGGATATTTCTGGACATTAGCGCGGGGTCCATGGGGAACTAAACTTTAATTGAATACGACGTGCGAATATTACCGTAGATATCAGATCAATAGGTATCATAACCAGCCTCGATATATACAACAAATATAGTCCTAAATGACCCATTTAGTAAGTAATATCCACTGTGGCTAGAATCCTCATAGAAGAATGGAAAAGTTGCATAAAATTACACTCATGCCCAGCCAAATCCTTCCACCTCGCCTAACACCATCCAATCACCCTGATTGTCTGTCTTCAACAGCCCACTCATCATAAGCTAGTGGTCTTTCGGCATCCCTTTTCCAAAGCAAATATCTTTTCGATAGGAACGGAAGCCGTTTTGTCAGCTGATAGTGCGCGAATCGACTCTTCGGATTGTTAAACACTGTATCTAATTCTTCGAGGGTAAGCTGTTTTGTCTCTTCAACGAAGAAGAAGATGAGCACGAATGCGACGATGTTGAGACCTGTGAAGAAACCTAGTGTACCGGCCATTTCGAATACGGCGTTGATTCGAGGGAGAAGAATTGTTAAAAGGCCCGCGAAAAAGAGGTTGATGGAAATTGCGACAGATGCGCCCTGGAAGAGTCAGCAAGTCATTGTTGATGAGCACATGATGGACTTACCGCTTCTCTGTTTTTCAGTGGGAAACTACAGATGAAGAGTCAGTGTAAATAGTGACTGAGTACTGGGGACGTACCTCTCTGATGCCAAAGTGAATGGGATTGGCCCAAGACCAGGACTATACGCCGCGGCAAAAAGATAGATAAAGATAATTCCAGCAATCGACCCTCCTGTGTCTGCTTTAGGCTTTGGTTGATCACCAGAATCAACCTGAGGTGCCACTGCGTAAGAAATTGTAGCAGCCATGAGAAACATACTCATCATGGGAAGCGTTGATAGGAGCCAGCTTCGTCGGCCGATGATATCGATGGACCTGTTTTTGTTAGCACCGTAGAGACTTCTTGAGCGTTGAGAGCTACCTCATTGCAAGTATACCAAAGAAGAAGTTGACACCACCTTGTTGATGTAAGTAACATGTTATTTATACCGATTTAGGATGTATACCAAAGCCTAAGCTGTAGGCCATACTTGTCTCGACACCATAGTCGCTAAACATGCCGTCTGAAGGATGTCAGTAATTCCCAAGCGCGAGGCTCGAGTTTCTTACTTGAATAAAATGCGAACACATTGACTAGGGACACGGATTAGCTAGACTGGCTCAATCACCGTGACGCCATAACTTACTTCCACAAAGTTGTTGCGATAGAGCAACAACACAACTACTCCAGAGCGCATTCCTAAGTCTTCGTCTCGTAAACAGCGGCTTAAACTGATCAGCAGAGAGTCTCGTGACAAGGATGATGAGGGATGCGTATGTCAAACCAGAAGCAAGCGTTCTGCTTCTCCTGTCCTCATTCTTGGCGTTGACCCCGTTCTGGTATTCGGAATGGTGAGAAATCTCGTGGCGACTCTTCTCACGATGGTCTTGGTGTATCTCCTCATCTCGAGTAGACCACCAGATCAGGAAAAAGTCGCGAGTGGCTTGAAGCTAAGAAACCTGTTAGTGATAGTTGAGGCATCATGAAGTAGGCTGATCTCACTCCTGTCGGCCGAACTGAAAGAAGATTGCGAAAAGCCCGATCGAGGTTATAGTTAGGCGTACCCGGCCGCATATAGAATCTAGGACTCTCGTAGCAGAAGCAAACCGCGATAAACAGTAAGAGAGATGGTACAACAGGCGCAGCAGCAATCCACTGCAAAGCGTGGTATCGACCTCCGTGCTCGTTGAGACCAGCGTTAGGTTGACCATCTAGAGTATTAGTCGCGGCTGCAATGACAAAATTGATGACGAAACCGATCATGATACCACAAGCGACCCTGGAGTATGTTAATGACAATGGAAGTGTGATCGCAAGAGGCTTACCAGAGTTGCCAGGCCAGGATAGTTGAACCTCGCCAGTATCCAACTGCAGTCTCAGAAGCGAGAATAGGGGCACTGACTGCCTTGATGCCCATAGCTAGTCTGTTGTATCAGTATTCCAATGTTTTGCCGCTTTTGAGAGCCTAATGCTCACCTACTCCTCCAACAATCCTGGCCCCCAATATCTGCTGCCATGTCACAGCAAAAGCCGACCCAATTGAGCTCGCAATGATAAGTAGAGCCGAAAACCCAAGGGCACCACGTCTTCCAAGGCAGTAATTAACCGGTAGAGAAAGCGGCGCACCGGGAAAGGCAGCCGTGAGGAACGGAATTGCGTTCATACCTCCAAGTTGCCATTGAGCCGCCGAATCGGCCCCATTGCTCTGTGTGTCGCCCTGCCTCTGTATATCGATACCAACGGTCTCGACAAAAAGACTCATAGCGTTGATGGATGATTGAACGTGGCCTTGGAGGAAAGCTGCCAAAGAGACTGTGCAGATGATGATGAGCATGCCGCGCTGACTGAAGAGGCGCTCGCGTTCAGCTACGAGACTTTCTTTCTCATCTTGCGTGAGCTCAACGACGGGTGACAGATTGGTGATTAGGCCTTTGGAGAGACGGTAGTAGTAGTTTCCGTTCTTAGCTACCTCTGCAGCTCGCTCGACCTCGGCGCGTTCGAGAGAAGGGAGTTCTCTGCAGAGAGTGTCGATGCCTTTTCGAAGAACAGGTTCAGATACGCCGGCTGGAGAAGTCAGTCTGGTGATGTTAGGAACAGAGGGCACAGGGTACCGAGAGAGTTTCCGAATTCATCGCGAGTGTGGATTTGTTTCTCAATCCATGCTTCCAATCTCTTCTTGAGACTCGGTTGGTGCGGTTCTCGATTATCGCGCCCCGTCATGGTGATGAACATACGTGTTGTTCATCCAATGCAAGACATCAATTGTAAGTCATGAACTGATTAAAGAAACAAGAAGATCAAGAAAGACAAAGCAGCAAATTGGACCCCAATTGACCTCCTCATGTAACCCTGCTTTCAAGGCTCTCACCTCCCATGTTGAGCTGAATTCCAAACTTTGGCCCCCAAATTTTATGTATGACAACCAAGGCAGACCCTACGACACCGGAATACAGTACGAGGCCATCTACGCAATGTCCATGTCCAACAGCAGATACTCGAGTGTCGATCAGCGGATCAAACCTCCACATTTGGTGACTGTCCCGTGGGGAAGCCTATATCAGCCCTATCAGACCTGTCTGTCACTCGTTTAAGTGGCGACTGTCTCGGGTGGTTTTGATGCAGGGATATGCTTGAAAGTACAATTGGGAAGGATCATCATCTGACGGGTTGAGCGAGTGTTGGTTGTACAGTATGGTCTTGACAGTACAGGTGATACTGATCATCGCAGGCTGATTGCCAATGCGGGGGTGATGCAGTATAGCCCGTATCCGTCATCACAGTCTTATCTTCGCGGCTGTACTTTTCCCAAGAAAACATCGCCATGATACCAAATTCTCCAAGATGGCAGAGTTAGCCTCAGCCGTTCAAAGCTTCATCGCCTCTAGCCTAACAGCATGGCACCGGATCGACACAGTTGTAAGCTCTATCAAAGACGCTCCTCGACATGTCGAGCATTGGAGAGTTGTGGGGAGCGTATTGAAGGAGTCATTGAGTCAAATGGAGGAGAGAATACGCCAGCGACAGAATTGTTTGACGGCACCGGAACAGAATCTTTGTAGAGCTATCGACAGGTTCACCCGGGATTTCTTGTGTGATCTTGAAGAATTGGAGAGAACGATACCGGTGAAGAAGGGAGGAAGATACTGGGTTCAGTTGAAGCTGAGGTTGCAGGATGATAGGGAGTTGCTCACAGAACTCAGCCGTAATGTTCAGGTTTTCCAGTTAACTGCTTCAGCACTATCTCTGTAAGTGCCCCCTTTCCTTTGTCATTATATTTCTAACACAATGTAGATTAGACCCCTCTACCGACAGCTCCGGAAGTAGAGTACATCAATTCCTCGAAGGCATCAGTGACGACAATCCCGAGCAACTCGACCCCGATGAAGCAACCGATCTACACAAATGGAGAGAAGCTCTCTACGAAGTCGCCGACATCGCTGCCCGACGAGAGTTTCCCGACCCATCACCACATGATCACACATCACAGAAAGACAAAACACCAAGAAGACCATCGGGTGTAAGCCCGATAGAACTACAATACCGATTTGAGGCCGCGATATCACGCGCGAAACGAATGCACGATGCCAAACTGCCGATCATGGCAAAAAAGGCACATGACGAAGCGATAAAATATGGGGGAGAGATACAGGCGATTGAACCGAGTGCTATTAGTGTTACCGAGCTGGTTGACATGGAGATTACTTATGTGCGTATCATCAAGGCATGTAGTCCGTTTGTGGACTCGTACGAAGCGCTTGCATGGGAGAGGCTACAGAACCTCAAGTCCAATCTTCTTAAACATACTGGTCACGGGAATGGCACCGAATTTCGTACCGAACAGGAGAAGGTCGGGATTTTGTGCGCTGAACTGCGCGATCGAGAGGGAGCGGTTGAGTTTTTGAGAATGTCGCTTGACGCATACTTAACGAACCGTGAGGAGTACGAAGACAGAATACCACGAATATCGATGCTGGTCTGCGAACAGTACGAGTGCATGGGGCAGTGGAATAACTTGGATGCCTTCAAGAAAGTCATCTTCGACAAATTGGGCTACGATCCAGCCTCGGAGCCGAATGCACTCGCGAACACGATAAGATGGTGTCGCCAGCATGGCTATGAAGCTTCTGATGTCGAGGGAAGACTACATATACCGGAGGAGAGCTTTGTTGAGAGTACACCGCTTCACGATGCTGCTGCCGATACGACCGTCGAGATGGAGATCATCCATCAGCTGATACCTATAGTATACCATGCAAGACCAGATGCGAACGGTGATACACCCCTCCTCGTAGCAGTACAACACTCCAACAATCTCGCGCTTCAGGCACTCCTACGAATCTCCGGGTCTGTTCATGTTTGGGACTCTAAAGGCGGTACTCCATTGCATCGATGTGATAATGATGAGACACTGAGACTACTGCTCGAAGAGATCAAAAAGCCCGTTCACCACTCCTGTCCCAACGAACAAGACTTTCGGTTCGTCGACAAGGACTCGACAGATGGCTACGGCGAAACAGCTCTACACAAAGCTTGCGAAAAAGGAAACGAGCGCATGGTCGGCTTGTTAGTAGCCGAAGGCGCCGACGTCAACCTCGTCTCCGGATCGAACGAGACCCCATTGATGATAACATGCGTACCATCTGAGCTAAAAGGGAAGGGCAGGCTGAGCAAAGAACGACGGCGAATTGTGGAAATACTGGTAAATCGCAATGCAGATACCAAGCACAAAGATGACTGGGGCAAGCCCGCTGCTCCAAAAAGTCTCAAAGCGAGGGGATACAGCGAAACGGAGATTGGCAAGATGCTCTCGCCAGACTTGACACGAAGATTCACAAGAAGATGGGTACAGGAGAGATTTTCTGTCTCCACAGGTAGTAGTTCCGAAAGACCATCCTTCGCAACACTCAGCGCCGTATCATCGTCGTCACCAGTCGAACTCGTTGGCGACATACCCTCGAGACCAGCGGAGTTGCCCTTGGCGCCGGTATCGAGTTATGTGCCGCCTTCAGGGTATGAGTTGAGATCAGGAGGGACATGGTCAGAATTACAATTAGCTGAGCTACCAGGGTCGACGCCTGTTGTGTCGGTCGAGCTGGAAAGCAGGCCAGTGGAGGTGGTCGAGTCGCCGAATCAGAAGTTCTTGAAAAATGGGAGGATGAAGAGTATTAGGAGGAAATTGAAGATATTGGGTGATCGGTGATGAAGTGTGGAGGGATGGCGATTGCTTGGTGTTGAGACGTCTGACGGGCCAAATGCCTGGAGACTTTATGATGGAAGAGGGATCGATGTATGAGAGTTATAATACCCTGAGAGTGTATGAAGTATTTGAACCCTGTGGTATGTCGATGTTGGTAACGTGGTGCTAAAGGCTGAAGAAGTAGATGAAGATTTGGTATAGATTGAACATGAGGACGTAACTTGCCTAGCCAGTTTAAAGATGATGTAATCTAAAGTCAGGTCTAGATCTAGTAAGCAATTAGTGTCATAGATCAGACAAGACGCATCTTTTGAGGACCCTTATCGATGATGGTGTCGATGTGAAGATTGGTCGCATTGATCGACGCCATGATGGTAGACCGCCAGAAATATTCTAGCTTCATACATGTAGGAGATTGACGCCCTGAAGCTCTCGGTCTAAGTTGCAATGGTTGCGATTAATGTAATAGCAGAATATTGGAGCCGAAATGAATGCGCCGTTTCAATGAGAAGGCTCGGTCGCACCAATGGATTCCTCGCAAGTGATGGCCTCTCGTCTCATGAAGATTGATGGTCTGCACCTCAATGCCATATTCATGAGCTAGGAGGGCTACGGCCCTGATACGATGAAAGATGGTAGTTTCTCGAATCAGCGAGAATGTAAAAGAATGGTGAATCTGAAGCCTCGAGGCGTTGCTGAAGTACGCACAGTTCACAACCTGTTCACGACATTCTTGGTCCCGCGCTCGTCCTTATTTTTCGCCCGCCAATACTGTGCTGAGGTAACTGGCTACATACTGAAGGCCAGGTTCCCCGTACAATGGTCGTCGCGCCTCAAGAGTCTGAATGAACACACACGCTGTTTCCTAGGCACCATCGCAGCCGAGAATGGCCACAATTCACGGTCTTGTCACGATGACTCAATCGCCGTCTCCGTGGGTGGCGATGGCTCTTTTCCCCATGTCGTCACAGGTTCCATGGCGAACAGAAAAGTTCGGCCTTGAGGTGACACTAAAAACTCGCTTCGACGTCGTTTTTGTAGCTTAGCTGTTCGTGAGACTGGGCGGACCAAGAAACATATGTGAGAGACTCGGGTGGAGGATCGTGATAGACTTGCTTAGTATTGAGATCGACCATAGAGAAGGACAGAACCTTGATTTCTTACGAGAAGTAAGAAAAGACATTCAGTTGTTTGGCCAGAAGATGTTGAAGTTCCATTGGGTATGGGAAGGATGGAAAGTGTGTCAAAGGGGAGAGGGTCGGGGAGATCAACTTTAAAGGAGATAGGATCCCAGACGGATACTGGCAGTGCAGTGAGTCAGCAAAGCTAAATTATTCTGCGACGGATAAGAGCCTCATATTATTTAAGGATAAAGAATTTTAAACTCTGTTCGTTCATACGCCACGACTGCCTAAACTCTCGCCCCTGACTCTTGAATCACAGTTTAGACACCATCTCGTCTTCACCAACCAAGTCTGAGCAAGACCAGCACAAAGTCCCGTTTACCAAAGCATACTGAAGCAATACAGCAACTCTAACATACCCTCGGATGCCCATATTCCATCCCTAACACTACAATAGATGCATATCGAACCCCAGAGACTCACAGAGAATTATGTAACTATCCCCAGAAGTATGCGTATCACTGAATTTTAAATTAGACTTCAGGGTCACTGAACATAAACACTCCCTTGATTTCCCGCTCGAAAAATATCATCATGGTTACTGCTTTCTTCTTACAAGCACATCAAGTTATTCTGCTAACAGCTCTTACTGCTGTATCACTGTCTTGCAGACACTTGTAACCACTATCAAAACGTCGCGCTACACTTGCTGATTCTTGTAAGCCACTTTTCAAGAGCCCGCGGGACTTGAACATGTTGCTAACAGTGATTCAGTTCTTTGTTGCTTGACAACCCGACACTCTTCAATGTGTTGGTGAGGGATTCTATATACAACCCTCCTGTCAAATCAACATCAGCATTCTGTACATCTGTCATTCTTCTTTCTCTTCTTATCTCAACTCAAGTCCTCCTGTCGTCATTTAAGACAGTATCCGCACATTTAAAGTGTTGGTAGAGGCATATTTCTCCTGGTCTAGTCAGAGCCTTGGTTACTTCAATACCATGTGTCTCCTCACAATGCTCAACGCTGGCCGTACTCGTCATATGTCAAAGTCAAAGTCAATGCCCCTTCCATCTAAACAAAAAATGGGCTACTCAAAAATTGACTACTCCTCTCAGCAAGTCTCAAGTGTTTCGGCAGGAGAGACCTCTGCTGCTCGAACAAGCCTCCCCTCATACTGTGACTTTATTACAGAGTGTCCAGTTGAGGAGGAAGACCCAAGTTGGAGCTTGTTCGAGGGAGAATGGCACGAAGACGCAAAAAAGTGCACGCTGCGTATGAAGCAAGAGTACCTAGACCAGTTTGAGAACCCAGTTGACCCCTGGGATAAATACTACAACCATACTGCTGAACCAGAATCCACTTTGGAGTCTTGGCCAAAGCCCAAAAGCACCTGCAGTATCTCACCACCAGCCAGCAAGTCAAAACAAACCCCTGGCTGGACCGGTGAATACTCTTCTATGACAGAACATGGTGCAAGTCCTAAAGTTTCACAATGGACTGGGCAATACTCTGATCCCTATGAGTATAGTGTCTCGCCAACAATGACAAGACTTGGCAAATGGGCTAAACCACTGGTCCCTGGCGGCAAGCCAGACTTCAAGTGGATTCTGGAATATACATCAGAATAAAAATATGGTTGCAACTTCTTTCTCTCTCTCTTTTTTTTTTTTCTCTCAGCAAGCTAAACGAAACTCTTTACAATATTGGTGGTGTTCTTTTTGGTGTTGAGTTTGCAGCGTGGTGTTTGGGGTACAAAAATGATTTCTGATCTCAATAAACGAGTCAGTAAAAAAGCGGGTGTTTTAATGGTTGAAGTGGTCTCGATAAACGAGCCTGCAACCAGTCCAGCGTTGATCTTATAAAAAAACATTGTTTTTCTTCTTCTCAACCAATTGATGACTTGCTTTATGATTGCATATTATAATGAGTCCACTACTTCACAGTATATTGGTGGTTTTCACCTAAAATCACTTATAGTAATTCAGATTTCGACCTAAACAAATAATGACGAAATGTTGCATGAATCCTACCTACCCTTTGAGCTTACCAATGAGGTGAAATGCATCACGTGTTAAGCAACTAAAATGAGGAGGTGTTCTCAACCCAAGCTATATCAGTCTATCTTCCTAGATGTTCCTTTTCAAAAGCTATTCTTAAATCATATAGGTTCTTTAACTAAATCCCACAATGAGCGATTCAATGGCCCGTGAAGATCTTACCAAGAGGAAGCTTCCTTCTATGACTCTTGCGAGAGGTATAGAGTCTCTACCTTCAGCAGCCCAAGCACGTACAGCTTCAACTTTAGATGATTCTTCGACAAGATTTAAAGTCCCTGGCGTTGCAGTTGTTACTGGGGGTTTGGGGACCATTGCATTGACTGTTGTTCGATCACTGTTGCAGCATGGCCTGACCGGGCTGATGCTGCTTGACCTTGACGTTACTTCGGAGTCTGCAATAAGCAAGGTTGATGAGCTGAAGAGGGAGTTTCCGGAAATGACAATTGAGGCTGCGCCTGTGGATGTAACCGATGAAGACGCTGTGGCAAAGGCCATGGCTTCAACAGTTGAGAAACTTGGCGGCATCAACTACCTCCTCTGCTTCGCAGGCATAGTCAACTGCACTCATGCCCTCGACCTATCACCCAAAGTCTTCAGAAAGCTCCTCGATGTCAACACAACTGGAAGCTTCATCTGCGCCCAAGCTGCAGCAAGAGAAATGGTCAAGGCAAACACCGGCGGCCGCATCGTCTTCATCGCTAGCATTTCAGCACATCGCGTTAACTATCCGCAACCACAAGTTGCTTATAATACATCCAAGGGAGCTCTTTTGATGCTGAAAAGTAGCCTCGCGGCAGAGTGGGCGCGGTATGGAATTACTGTGAATAGCATTAGTCCGGGATACATGGATACTATTCTCAACGAGGGAGAGGGATTAGCAGATGCAAGGAGGTCATGGGCCGAGAGAAACCCGAGTGGGAGAATGGGAATGCCTGAAGAACTGAGTGGAGTGGTTGTGCTATTATGCTCCAAGGCTGGTAGCTATATCAACGGGTCTGACATGGTCGTCGATGGTGGAGGAATAGTGTTTTAAGCACCCACCATAATCGAATAAGCGCTGATATGCAGAGAGTCTCTAGCCAACTACCAAAAGCAGACACAAGAATATCAACGCCAATTCCGAGGCGGAGCCATCACGTAAACGCGATAACTCCACGCCTGCTTATATGCCAAGTCCGACTCCGCCAGGGATCGGCTATGTAAGTAAGCGGCCAACAAAAACAAGACAATTCAACAAAATAGACACTCTTTGCTCCCCAAATAAAGAAGACGCATGTGAAACATTCGGAATTGGTTTATTCCAGAACCGAGGTCGCAATATTCGGAAGCCATGGAAGCTTAATTGGGGTCATAGCGGCCGAGTTCCACTGAAACTTAATCCTTCTCAAACTCCGACTTCCCCTCTCTCATCGCTTGAACTCCGAAAGCTATGTCTTCAAGATCGATATTCGTGAGTGATGAAGACGATCATTATTGGCAGTGACTGAGTGAATATAGGGAATTTTATTCATTGGGCTGATTGCTTCTTTCGTTTACGAGAGGATCAATCTGATTCAGACATTCTATCAGAATGCTCCCACGCGTGTCACCAAGGTGAACAACATCGGGAAATATGAAGTCAAGTTTGAAGATCAGATAAGGAGCTGCGAAGATGTCTTGCTAATTGAGGAATACCACCTCGCAATTCTTGCCTGTGATCCAGGAAGAGAGCGTCACAACACTGTCATGGTTCGTCTAAGCCCCCAACAGTTGGTGATTGTTATTGACAAGTGCAGGGAATCTTTGAAGGAAATGTTTCCATTAATGCTGAGCTTTGGGCATACGACTACACAAACACCAATAGTCCTGACTCTGAATCCCTCAAGAGGATCAAACTGGCTGGATTCCCTCATTCTTCCGATTTTCACTCCCTGGGCATGGCGTTTGATCTTGAGACGTCTAATCTCTTCGTCGTTAGCCACGCCGTGGTAGGCTCACGCATTGAGCTATTCAATCTCGACATCGGATCATTGACGGCCAGTTATATCCGGACGATTCAGCATCCACTCATCAACGCACCAAATTCAATCGCTTCGATCAACGGCCATGAATTCTACGTGACCAATGATCACTACATCACCAAGAAGCAGTCATTCCTGTTGAGTAACTTGGAGACGTACCTTGGCCCACCGACAGGCTCAGTTGTACATGTCACTCTCAAAGATACAGAGATCGATGTCAAGGTTGTCGCGTGGGTTCCTTTCGCCAACGGTATCGAGATTCTCAACAGTTCAACCGTTGCAGTGGCGTCATCCTCACGAGCAGCCATTTATATGTTTAATACCCCAGACGCCACAACCTTCAAAGAAACCTCCAGGATCAAACTTCCTTTCCTACCAGACAACCTCTCCGGATCTGGCGGTAAGCTCATGATCGCAGGACATGGACACATGCCTGTTCTGACGAAGTTCACTCATTCGCGTCGTTTTTGCAACGACCCTGTTGAGTATGAACGCGCGAACCCTACTGTGAAGGAATCTTGTGTCAAAGAACAGGCTGTTTCTTGGGTTTCTGAATGGAGTGAGAGCGAAGGATTGAAGCACCTTTATGTTGATACTGAGTACCCGTCGAGCTCGACTGTTGTCAAGGATGCTGGAAAGGGCGTTGGAATTATCAGTGGTCTCTACGCCAAAGGTATTTTGATTTGGAGAGATGAGAAATAACAGCATACTAGCTTTGTGGTCATCCCGGAGTATTGGAGAGAAAGGTTTCAGGGGTGAGGGATTGTATCTGAACCAGTGGATGCAAATGCATCCCAGCATGGTAATGCTTCACGTTGGCTGTGGTCATTCAGTATGCATCTGATTGAGAGTATATGGAAGGGCGTCCTCAGATTTCGCAGGCATTCGCAATTGGGAACGAGACTGAACAACGGAATTTCGGCTAGAACGCTTCGTAACATCTTCCGTCATTTCACTATCTCAAACACCGTCAAGGAACAGTATTGGATAAAACATTCACAGGAGTTCTGAATAAGGCACTTAGGTAGTGAATCTGTGATCTCATCATATCGCTCCGTGAATAAGTCCAGAGGCTCAGGTATAAATTTTCCCATTGCGTAAAGTTTGGACGAAAAACGATCAATTTCATCGCATCTAGACCCCAAATTCTCGAGAGACCGCGCTATCATACCATGATGAGTTCTCCCACCACTCCCCAAGCTCTTCCTGCCGATTCCTTGGCTTGCGAAATCATTTACTTGTCTCCCGTCCCTTCAGCTTCCACGACCAAAAAAAACCAGCCTCATCAATGTGCCCGTCGAATGATATGCCAGTGTCCTGGATGCCATGGCTGCGAACGTTTCATCACGCACTGGGCCACGTACCAGTGCGCAGTTTGCTTTCGTAACTGCCCTGCCTAGGGCTATCGACCTAGAAAAAAACTTGGGTATCCGGTATCGATCACATTCTTGGTATAGTTTTGGAAATGGGAAATGCTGGATGCTGGCGCTGTCTGGGCGGAGCCTTTGCCGATTTATTGTTCGCTCCAGATAGCCTTGTAATGAGTGAAAAAAATACGTCATAACCCCCCCCAAAGAACTCGTCTCAAGTTGTAGTGACATCAAGCATTGTAAAAAGTTTCTTCGTTGATATCATTCTTCGTGATGACCACGTCGTGCAACTTCGTCGCCTGAAGCTGAGGCAGTTCGGGACATCAATAGCTTCAAAGACCTCACCATGCAAGGTTAAAGTCTCGAGATTGGGAAAGTTTGAGTCGTCGAAGTCGCCTGGACCGGGTTGGGACATCTTGCCGAGCTTGATAGATTTGATGGAACGTCGATGAGGTTTGAGGATATCCCCAACCAAGGTTAGACTCCTTTGGGGGTCTTTTCTACCCTCGAACCGGAAGTTGTGCTCCCATTTCAAAGTGAAGTGCTCTAAGCTCTCGAGCCAGTCCACAAATTCTCTTATCGTGTCGGGATGTTATGATGAGTTGAAGAGAACGAGACTGGAGAGACAGAATTTAGACCTTAAATGGGGATTGCATAGCTGTTTGTGGTCAGTGACTGGCTGCCTCGATGCACTTGGCTGGATGGTATTATAATACTCACGTCGGCTTGAACGTGACAGTAGCTGACAGGAGCGTGCCAGGCGCCGTGCGCACGACGAATAATCAAATGCTTCAGACTTAAGTAGCCGCCGTCTAATCCTACTTGAGTATCGTACAGTTCTAGAGCATCACCATAAGCGAATATACTCTTCAATATATCGATACGTTCCAATTGTGGCATGGTTGTTCTTGCGTAGAACAGTACACTGAAGGTGACATTTCCAAGCCCCAGGAGACATATGCCATGTGTATCACCAGATATGATCAAGGTCCGAGTGTTAGAAAGCCATCTAGTACAACTCAGGACAATCCAAACGAAGGTACGCATATTAGTAGGGAAATCTAGCGCCAAAGGGTCCTGAATGTCGTCTGAAGGAAGGCTGAGCGACTCCTCCACATCGGGTTCTGGTATATTTCCTCTGTTATCCAGTATGAAACGAGTACAGTAGCGGCGAAGTTCTGGATTATCTCACAGTGTCAGATACAGGCGTACGCATTGTGCGTAAGTAGAGAGTCGCCTGTCGCAATGGTCCTCGCTGTCGTTATCATCATCCTGATTCCGCTCCCAGTAGAGGTCGTCGTCATCACCGTCATCGGTGTGGAGGCATATACAAGAATAAAGGCTCTCGGTAGCGATTGCGTTGAATCTGCGGCAGGCCAAGGCCAAATAAACAAGATCGCTGTAAGGAGGGAGTGCTATGTAATTCGGATGGTCCTTGGGCGACATCGGCTCCGAGGCTTTGTCGATGATCAGGCGTAGCACTTCATCTGGGATCGTGAGGATCTGGCACTGCTTGCCCTTCGATTCGCCCTCCATCGTCGTGAAGATTTGAAGCAAATGATGGGTTGAGAGAAGGAGGAACGAGAAGGGACGAGAATGAATCCGAGTAAACCTAGAGGCAGAGACGGCGGGCGGCTGGTATTGGTGGCACTGGCCGGCAGGTGCTGAGAGATCAGTAATAAAGTAACATAAGTTGCGTATTATTTTAGAATAGAGATTATCAAAAGATATAAATTTAGAATAGGAGTAACTAAAATATAGTAACTCTTACTATAAGACTTTTAGTAGTTTAGGATGATGTCCATAATTTTTAAATACTGGTTTAGGAAAAGTTTAGTAAGGACTGTTGTTTCTTCTAATAAGAACCAACAATACTGGCCGTTTAATGATAAGGTGAACTACACCGACACAATCACCAAGTCCTTTGGCATCTCCATTGAACCGCGACAATAGACGACAAGATAGTTGGACAACATCAAACACAAGCGGGTCTCGATACTGCCAAATCGATTGCTCTAGACCGCTATCGTCAACTGACTAAGGGAAATATTTAGTGGGGTGATGTTCTTTGTGGCTGCCCATCTCCACAAATTCATGGAGAGTTTTTTTCCATTTTCTTTCTTTTCTCGATATTCTTTCTCCACTCGAGGACCCTGAACTTTCACTTTCAATTCATCTCTCAATTCACCACTAAGACTCTCAATCACCGTCAACATGCCTATCTCAAAGAAGGATCGCGTAAGTTATTGAATGATGTAGACTGTCAGCGGTGAACCGATTCTGACATTTCGCAGAGAAACAAGGAGCACAAGAAGGCCGACGCTGCCGGTACTCGCGCTCCCGTCAAGGCCAACGGTCTCCCCGTCAAGGCCCCCAAGCCCACCTCCATCGTACGTATCTCTCCTCTCATCAAGTAGATATCAACTAACGCTTTCAGTGCCAAAACTGCCGCAAGGAGATTGTCAACACCAACAAGCTCCAGCTCGAGGTCCACGCGTCAACACACGACGCTAAGCTCTGGCCCAAGGAGAAGTGCTGGCCCAACGACTTCCAATAGATCACAAATTGATCTTGGGTATTAGGATGGTGAAGATGAAAGGCGTTGCTACACAATAGCGCATGACTGGCTGAATTTGAGGGGGTGCGCGGTTTTGAGTCGTGGTAATGATTCATGAAGAAAGATAGACTGACAAAAAAGATGAATGAACAATTCAGGCGTTTCTTTGATAATCTAAACACTGCCTGATCTAGTGCTACTCCAAGTGTCTATCTCAGACAAACTCAGTTTATCCATCTCAAGATCCACCTCGAAAACACCAGACGCACCTTCAACAGCTTCATTCGGTCCTTTGATTGGGAACCTCTCCCGTTTCAGATATATACCGCCATCCTTTGTCGTCATGTAAAAGGTCAACTCTCTCCCCGCCAAGCCCTCAGACCCTGATTCAGCTGGCCCGATAACAAAGTGCCGAACTCTCATTTCATCAGGCGGTAACACGCCATACTGGGTCATAAAGCTATCGACGTCTTGTCCTGATATGCCATGTTCGAGATCGATCGTTCTCTGCGCAACGACCTGAAGTGTATGGCTGTTCCAGAGACTTTCTTGCGCAGCACAAAGAACACCCATTAACCGAAGTGCCTCGATACGAGTTTCTAAATCGCGACATTTGATAGCAACGAAGAAGAGATATGGCGCGAAACCCATTTCGAAATGAAATTCAGACGGTGTTGATCTGGTTCGCAGTCCAGCCAGTTGCCTAGCGCCCTCAACCATACGCTTGAAATTTGGGATGAACTTATCGTAATCTGTTTCATCGGTAACGAACTGCACTCGCGATAATATCATGCAGACTTCGTAAACATGGAAGAGCCATATCCGCGATGTCAACGATGCTTGTATCAGCTCAGCTGGTGTTTCAGCTTCGAATTTGTCGAATGCAGATCTCCACTGATCCAACAAGTCATGTATCTCATATTGCTCGAGAAGAACATCCGGTGTAGCTGGCTCGTTTCTCATGTCACCGAGACGGTAGTCGGCTGTCCGCCGAAAATGTTGTATAGTCATGTTGTAAACAGCATCGATCGAAGTCTGGGCTTGAAAATATGAAGAGAAGGACTCGGGTATTTTTGGAGATTCCGAATAGCCCATGGGCTGTGAGTCGCCAAAGTAGAACGGCAAGATGCTCATGCGCCGAAATATCGGTAATAGATAATGCAGCGCCCATTCCGGTGGATTTCCAGTGTTTAGCAGGTTCATTCCATGATAACAATGCTTTATCGCCATATCTCCATTGGACTGTAACACCTCGATGCATACAAACATGAGGCAAGTCAGTAACGCCAATATTATATCTGGTTTATGTGGAGTTTGGAGTTCCCGAATCGCAGCATTATAATGCTTTAGTGCAAAGACATTCCTTTGAGCCGCAACAGCCGAGGAGTTGTCTTTTGATTGGAGGCTCTCGAAAAGAGAACTGATCGTCATGATGGAATGCCTAACAGCAGGTTCATGATCACAGAACTGTAAAACAACATTCGTCCAGAAGTATGGGTCGATAGGCCCCGATAACGACGGCGCTGCAACCCTGCAGAAGAACTCAATAGCCCTTGATTCGGTCTTTACATTGTTGCCCAGGACGTGATTCTGGGGACGGTATAGTTGGAGGTGAGAGTATGAGGTTTGGTTATACCCCAGACCATGACATCTGCGACCAGCGCTAATGCATCGCTGACACGTTGGTTTGCCTTCATCGCATTTTATCTTACGCGCCCTATAGAGAATGCGTTAGACTGCAGATTTAATGTTTAATCTCGCTTGTGTTACCCACTTGCACGTTGAGCAGCCACTTCTCGTTTTGAAATTCCCTTTACGAGGCATTTCGACGAACTCTCGGTTAAATGAAGTTGAGAAATGTTGGTTCCAAGCTTCCAACTTCATCAAAGTCGCATTACATAAGCGACAAGCGAGTCAATGCGGGGCACGGCCGGCCAATTGGCGATCGCCAAGCCATAGGGCTGTGACGATGCTACCTAACAAAGTATCAAACCAACAACATCCGCGACGATCCGAGTTTTCATCGTATTGTGACTGCCAAAAAGTGATGAGAAAAGAGGCAAAAAACATACAACAGTGAGGATTCCCCGGTCGTCACCGACCCGAGTACTAATTCACCGCTCCTCGGCTTGACGATGGGAGAGCGGACGGGATCCAGTATTCTCCGAGGGCTGTGGTCGTATGTGAAGGTTTGGGGACGATAGAGGCACTATAAAGGACTATTCTGATATGGGTTCGTATTGTAGATCGATTAGATAGGAGAATAAGAGATCAGAGGTGGCTTGATGTCCGTCGTGCGGATATCTCCGTGATCTCGAGCTAAGGCTATCGCTTCGCGTGGATGAGGTTCTTGTGGCGCTTCGAGCCGTTGAAGTCTATCATCGTATAATGTGAAATACTTCATATAATAGACTTAATGTAAATTTCATCTCGACATATCGATTTTCAACTATTTCAACCAAGTTTGAAGCAGACCATTCATCTAAACACCAGTGTTGTTACCAAGACCAACTCAGCCCCAGTAACAAACCCATGTAACTCATTCTTCGTTTCAATCTCTTTCATACGAGAAAAATCAAAAGAATCTCTTGTCTCCTTATCCTCAATCACATTATCGTCGCACCACAGTAGTCTGACTCACCCTCACCCGAGGTTATTCTTAGACGCCACTAGCAAGCTGATAACAGGGATCCCATCCATCCATCCTCTCCCTCTTCCCCGCCCAAGCTTATCAAGTCACTTGACATCCCCCTCGCACCACCAATTTCCGTGCTACGTTGCAAATCATGTTTCCTTTTTTTCTTCGATGCTACCAATCACTTCGGTATCGTATATGCTTGTAAGACCTCAGCACCTTCCTTCACACCAAGATCGACGAGATGCTCCTCCCTCGTATTTGGGGTCTGAATGTGCGTAGTCCAGTAGTTAAATAGTAATACTAAAACCTTGGAAGTGCATAATATTGATTACAATCTTCTTCATCTCGTATTTTACATCTACAGCCTCAAAATGCATTCCTTTGTCTTCCTAGCTATCGCAAGCCTCGCTGCAGCTCACGTTCCTTCTGTCAGCGTTCCATCATGTCCTAAATCAAACAGCATCACATTCTCAAAATCCGTACCCGATCAGGACCCCTTTCCCCGTACGAAAATCGACCTCTGCTATACCTCTACTGCTCTCTCTCTAACCTTCACGGCCCTGGACGAAAAGAGCTTCTATTTCAACTCTTCGCAGGGTACAAACGATGATATCTGGGAATACGAAGTCGTCGAGGCCTTCATCTACAAAGGAACTAAGGATCCGCAAACATATCTCGAGTACGAAATCAATCCCAACAACGTAACATACCAAGCCTTCGTCTACAACCCAACCAAAGTCCGTGAAGAGGGAGCTCCGTTCGATCACTTCTTCATCACGGATCCAGAGGCCGATGGTTTTGAGGCGAAGACGAAATTGAATAGACGTGCGGGAACGTGGGTTAGTAAGGTCAAGATTCCGCTGGGTTTGTTTAATGTCGATCCTGGATGTGCGAAGGGAACAAAGTGGAGGATGAATTTCTTCAGGACTGTTACGAATCCGAAGATCTTTCCTGATCAGGAGCTTGGAGGTTGGAGTTCGCCGGATAAGGCGAGCTTTCATATCACCAAGTTCTTTGGGCATGTTGATTTTATTTGAAGCTGGACTGGACCATGGACTGGCAACAAGACTGAACATAGCTTGAAAATCAATTCCTATTGACCCCCTACATTTGTTGATGATATTTTCTGTGAAGCCTAAGAAACAGCTAAGATTACATGTCGGGCTAATGCTCGATCTATCCGAAAATTTGACTTTGATACTTCTCGCAACGGGTTTGAATGCACTGGGTCAGACGGAGTAAGCACAGTAAGACAAGGTAACATCACCAGTCCCTTCGTCATTATGAGAGTACGTCAATTCATTCATTACTAAGACATCCCCAACTAGGTAATCTGTTTCTGGAATCCTGGTTCCATAGCAATAGTATTTCACAATTTTCCATCTTCCCCTTTATCCCCATTAAATAATACCCACGACACTTAAACACTACCTCGCTCGGGTTGCTTTTCGGGATGACCAGAAGGTAAAACATCGGCAAGAGTCTCATCAGTGCCCTTGAGATCGTCCTCAGTGCTCACGTGGTCGCGAATCTTGAGGAGGATGACAGGTGCAGCAACGACGAGAGATATGGAGAGAAGAGTCCAGTTGCTGATGAACTCAGATCGGTAGGAGATCTTGCGTGCATCAAGGTTATTGACTACTGCGGCACCGACGGACTGGATGCCCTTGTAGAAGCCGACATAGTTGGCAGATCGTCGACCAGAGTTGGACAAGGCGCCCATAAACCTAGCAAGATTAGCAAAGTAAAATTGAAGGCTACAACTGAGGAGACTCACCAGTAGACAGTAGCCTGCCAAGCAGCATCGTAGAAGCCGTAGAAGATGTACAGAAACATGGGTCCAGCGTATCCAGAGTCGGTCCAGTCGCCTGGCACGAATCCTGAATCGGGAGAAACAGTCTCACGAGTGTAGGTTTTTTCGAAGGCATAACCTCCACCCCAGATAGCAAAGGTCAAGACAAATAGAGCAGCCCAAGCAGCCTTGGCACGGGTGGTACGGCGGAACTTCTCAATATCGAGAAGCCAGCCCCAGAGCGCGGCAGCGAGAATTTGAGCCAACCAGTACAGCAGGCCATTGAGCGCTTTGGTTCGGGTATTGAAATAGGCGCCGTTTACAGAGTTTTGTTGGTAGACGTAGAACCAATTGGATGAGAAGAACATGGGGAAGAGAAGAATGACGAAAGGTTCGAAGCGAAGTGTCTCCCAGAGACCCCAAAGCTCGCTCTGCCATGTTGGGTTCTTCATGAGGATGACGCGAGAACCGTCCTTACGGATGATGTCGTTGGCGTTGCAAAGTGTGAGGGCAAGGATGGCACCGAAGAACATCAGGACGATGAAACCGATATAAGTTCCATCGCTGACGGTCTTGTTCTCTTTGATGTTGATGTTTTCACCAAGGGGAATCTGCATGTTAAATTAGCATTGGTATAGAGGAATGGACCAAGAAGCTTACCAAGCTGCCAATAACAGCGCCCATGTTGAAAATACCCCAGAACCAAGCGAAATACTTTCCCTTCTTGTTCTCGTGAGGATACGAGATCATGATGGTACCCTGCGCGGTCCATAACAAAGCAGCACAGAGACCGAGCCAAACGCCAGCAAAGATGTTGAAGCCAGGAACATGCTTGTGGACCGAGACGAGAAGACTGATAGCGTAGATACCGTAACCGACACCACCGAAAGCGAGACATAGTTTGACACCGAGTACGTTGACAAAAGTACCGCCGAAGAAGCCAAAGACTGCAAAGGTGGCGTAGAGAGCCGTGTTCTAGCCCAGTCAGCGCGCATCACTCGGAAGGAATGCAATGCTCACCATGTTGTCAGCCAACGTGGGATCAGTTTTACCACCGCCACCGAGACCTCCGAGAGCATTGAACATGCCAGGACACATGAAGCAGACAAAGGCGACCATGCCAAGCTGAATGCGCGGCGAGGCATACCAAGGGAGAGTCTTTCCAAAGAGGCTGAATCGTCGGTATTTCCATCCACGCGGAAGATCAACATCGGTGTGATCATGGTAATCAGCCTCTGTTGACATGCCGCCCTTTGAGGTAGCGGTTGGTTGTTCGTCGGCCATGTTTGAGTGATTGATGGTGAAGCTCAATTGGAGTAGCCGTTGAACCGTTGTAAGAGAGGAAGTGGATGTTTGGCTGATTTAAACCCGTTGAAAAGGCGGGGGTGGAGATGGTGATAATAAAGAAAGAAGTGGCATGGCAGTGGAGACTGCGATAATGGGTACGAACTGGAAGGAGTGGCACGCGACCCGTAAGATTCGGTGACTACCAAAATAAACACCCAAACACTGGACGGCGGGCAGATTATTGAGGGGGGAGGAGAAGAGATGAGACGAAGGACGGTCCTGGAGGCTATCAGTGCGACGTTACACTGGGGGAGCGTGCCCTACAGTACCAATGGACCCCCTACAATGAATGCATTGGACCCGACCCAATGTCCCCATTGATGCCCGTTACTTATCGCGGGGTCAAGATAGCCTAGCCCTGCTCAGTGCGCTGATAGGCGATAGGGCCAGCCACCTGACAGGCTCAAGGTATGATCTACAGATCCAGTTCAAAAGAGGGTGCGAATCACCTTCCGATAGGGAGATAGTCTAGTCAGATTAACTCAGTTAGGCTCTCTGTGGAACATGCCATGCAACAACCTACGGCAGCAATCCGGCCATTTATCACCAATTGCTGCTCATTTGATAACGGCTGCTACTCCAAGTGCTACGTTGAAGCTATTCGCACCCGACCTTTTGCTTGCTTGCTTGGCTTGGTGTAACCAGCCTCAAACCTCTCTAATCTCTCTTCTTTCCGCAACCGGACGCTTTCTTACTTGGTTCGGTTGGTTACAAAATGTCACGAGCAAACAATTCTTCTTCGGGTCGAGTGGTTTCTCACTGTGCATCGTTACTCGACAATCTCATCTGTATCTATGAAATCTAACGGCGTATCACGACGTTGCTTTGGCCTTGAAGTGCCATCGCTTCGAGACGGGTCAGCTGCAAGGATTGCAGTGAGAATGACGACCCTGGTTAAGTAATGTTTCAGCCGTGATGCACAAAGGGCTCCAGCTTACATTTCAGCTCGAATGATAATGTAACACACGTGCCTCTTCTGCAACGCTGACTCAACACCAAATTGCAATGCCTACCATCACTTCAAGTAACAATACACACCTATCAAAGAAGTCCATTATTTATTCCTCTGTCTAACAAAACAACGCACGTGAGTATAATCTATATTATAATTATTCATACTAATAAAGTATTCGAATACTAACTAAACATTAACAAAAGCTATGAGAATAGGAACAGTGAGTAACTTATTATCCATGGATTGTACATATTGATGTACTAATACTATCAAAGGTGATAGAGCTCGCGTCAAAAGTCTTATTTCTCTATCTAGCCTAGGTAGTTCCTCTTGTTTCTTCCATTTCTCCAGGAGCCGAATCGATTTCTTCGAAAGAAATGACGATTTCCTCATCCAAAGGACTTTTATCTACACTAAGCTTGATAAAAGTCCTGTGAGTCACTTTGTATGACTCGACGCTGGGTATAGATGCCCCATCAGAATCGGGAACATCTGCGATGAGTTTGGAAACTATCGCTGGATCTGTGTTGATATGCTTCTCAATTTCATCCGCTGCCTGGCTGAGAGGTACATCATGATTGCTTTCACTGGCAAGCGAAATAACTCGCAGCATTGCAATGAGATTCTCATCGAGAGGATCAGGCCCCCAGCCGACAGCCTCTAGTGTCGAAGCGCATCGATCACTGATTCTATCAAACAGTTGAATGCAAAGATTGTGCATTTCTACGTACGGAAACGCAAGCTCCCGTGCCTCTCCGGCCAAAGCTAATGCAAATTGTCTCAGTTGTTGGTCAGGGGAAAGCGGCGCTGACTTTTGCCGGTCTTTAGACTTGGGATTTGCGATCCGGTTCTTCACTTTCCTTTTCTCTTCTAGGTCGAGAGAAATAAGGACGTTTGTGCCGTCATCGGCAATCGTCTCTTTGTGTAGGCTCGCAGATACGACGTAAGCCAGGTCGTCCCATGATAATTCTGGGAGCCCGCTACGTCGATTAACTGTTTCGGCGAATATCATGGACACTGGAGCTATGCCCGGAGCTCCTTTGGTGAATGATTTGAAAAATTCTCGTGGCGCCTTGCGTTGAACTCTGCTTTCTTTGGGTGTTTTCACAGCGGACGCTGGATACCCAAGCTGGATCAAGAGGCGTGTCATGAAATGTTTACGACTCGCTGGCTTATCCGCGAAAAATAAGTCGCGCACCTCGAAGCACTTTTCGAATGCTTCCATGTCAGGCCACCGCGTCTTGAGTATCTCGAGCTTTTCCATAGAGTTGTACAAGTGAGCCATGACTGTCATTACGCCAGCATTCTTGGTAATCCTCAATGCCATTTTGGCCGCGTGTCCCCTAGCATGGAATAGATATAGACCAGAAAACGCTGGCAAGATCTTGAAGATTTCGAAGGTAGCCTCGTCTTGCTTGTTTTGTTGATCTTCAGGTTCACAATACCCCACGATAGTGTCAAAACGCTTGACGAGGTGGCCGATGCTCTCACCAACGTTTGAGGAGTCAGTGGGCGAGCCTGGACGGGAGAGATTGACCATGAAGGCTTTCAGTTGGTCTCTCATGTGCTTTGTATGTTTTCGTAGCTGGAAAGAGCCTCGTGCCAAGTCCTCCCGTGTGAGATGGAACACATCAAGGTGGACTTGACATGCGAATGCGAGGTTGAGCGAAATCATGTGATGACAACTCGCTCCATATGCATAGCATGAGAACTTATCTATGACTCCACACTCCCTACGTTTTGTGAGAAAGACCAGTGCTGCGTTCCAAAACCGTGCTGCCATCAGCTGGTCTACTGAGAGTTCCAGAGTGGCACCGTCGCTTCCTGGTATGCCGCAACGAGTCTTCAATCTGCTTATCATCTCGGAGGAAGACAAGATTTCTTCCTTTGGATTTGGGAACATCGCACTCAGAGGCTCAATAATTGTCAGCGCATGTGAGAACGTGCTGTCGAAGAGCTCAAACAGCTTAGTATCTGCATGCCTGCCATTCCAGCACTCGTCGATTTCCTGTAAGGAGTAACCCTCTTCAGTGGCTTTGATGCCGAAATATGTCCTCGCAACTTGGAGGCAACCGCCATGTTTTTCGAAGAGTGCGGATGACTGGTCCATCAGATTCTGTATCATATGGATGCCAGTATCTGTGATGACTCCAGCAACTGTAAGATCAAATTTCCCGTCGCAATAGCCTTTCTAAACCCATGCGATTTGGTTTCGGATTTTGCCGGCATCCAAAATCAACAGATGCCATACGGCCAAAGCATCGTCGAGCGAGGTTTGCTCTTCTGCCTCATACGTCGTGCTATCCCCAGCCCTCTGTTTAGGGCGCTCGATGTCCGGAGCATCCAAGAACTCCTGCGACGGCTCATGGACCGTAAGCAGGCTGAATCCTTGGGTAAGATTGCTTGGCTTCATTGGCTGAGGTGATTTTTGTTTGTCCGCTTTCATCATGTTGGGGCGTAGAACGTCTCGAACAGTTTCCAGTACACTGACGAAGTAAAGATGGTTTTTGTTGGCATTTTCATCGATATCAACTCCCTGCTTTACCATTCGTGCTCTAAACGAAGATCTAAGGTGGATGACTCGGTTTATGGTGCTTACGAACGAAGTAGGTACCTTGATGGTAGCCTTGCGATGTGCAGCGATGCATTTGGCCATAGGGACATAGTCATCCAGAGCGACGGTATACTTTTGTCCGGTTCCATTCTTACTATCAGTAGCCTGCCCTTTTGCCTCCTTGCGTGCGTTTCCCTTGAGACGACCGGACGGCTTCTGCTGAGCGTCCTTGTCGTTGGGCTCAGCCGTCTGTGACTTGTAGCCACAGTGTTTTGCCGTTGACGCAAGCCAAGCAGCGACGGAGTTTGTGTCCTCTTTATACCGCTGCAAGGCGCCGACCAGGTCGTCTGGTAGCATTGCAGGTGCCATTGTATGGGATGTGGTTGTGAGATGTACGGGTAGTGTCGTTGAAGGTGAGTTGTTGTTAGGGGGGAAAGGGATCACTTGAAGGCCAGAGGTTGATGATGACTTGTCGAGTTTGATGAAGGAAGGAAATAAAAGTCTAACAGAAAGAATAGATGGAAGAGTAAGACGGGAGATCTTATATACACGTTCGGTTCGGTGTCAGTGGAGGTTTGTTCATCGATGTGAACCACCTGTTCCAGTGTCGCAGCCATAAATTCCACTGGTAGAACCGAAACTTGCCTTCACAGTGGTTGCTTAGGCGCTTAGACCATCCGTTCATCTGTGCTATAAAATGCCTGAATCGTAGGGTGCTGGAACGGGAGGGTCATGGTATGGACTCGGAAGGGACCAAAAGATCTCTATCCCATAATTACAGTCTAATTACGAGGCATAATCTATCTACCTACTTACAGAACTCGGCTGCGATATTGGTCAATCCCTCAGCCACTTGTTCAATTGACTTCACGTAAACAAACTCCTCCTTTCCGTGGAATCCCTCTCCTTTTGGCCCCCAGAGTAGGGGCACTATCCCTTTCTCAGCCAACAAAGCGCAATCGGTCCAGAACGGGGCACCGGCAATAACCGCATCTTTGCCAGTGACATTGCCTACAATGCCGGAGACAAGCTTGGTGAAGGGATGATCTGCATGTGTAAACTGGGGAGGACGACTGAAGAAGATCTTGGCGTCTGCCTTGAAGTCGGTGACTTGCTTTGCTACCTTGGCAATTAAGTCGTCGAACTCCTTCTGGATAACCTCATTGGTCTCTCCAGGGATTGTACGGCGCTCTGCGATGATGGTGCACTGTGCGGGATAGGATGAGGCTTCCTCGCCACCCGAGATGACTGAAGCGTGTGCAGTGCCTGTTCCCAGAGTCTCATCGCCTGGACCTTCTTGTAACTTCTTCACATATCGGCCAAACTCCACGAGGAAACGACCAGCATTGACAATAGCATCAATACCTAGATCGGCCCGTGAGCCATGTGCGGCAAGTCCATAGACCTTAATCTCAACGTGACAGTATCCCTTGTGCGCGTGATTGATCTCAAGGTTCGTTGGCTCCGAAACAACAGCGGCATCTGCTCTCCATCCCGCGCGAAGGATGTCTTCGGTTCCCTTACTCAAGCTCTCCTCGTCGGCAACACCAGTGAAGATCACATCTCCACGAAGACCAAGTTTCTTAGCATCGGCCAGAGCAATCATAGCTGCTGCAACACCTCCCTTCATGTCAGCGGAACCGCGACCGTACAGACGACCATCAGCAATTTTGCCGCTCAATGGATCATCGTCGTAGCCCATGATGGTTACAGTGTCCAGGTGTCCGTTGAACATGACACTCTTTCCGCCGCCAGAGCCACGAACAACACCGACGACAGAGGGACGACCTTTTGTATATTCAACCCAATGTGTCTCCAAATCCCGATGTTCTAGCCATGCAGCGACGTAACGTGCGATAGTTGTCTCGCCAGGCCCGGGAACAGAACCCAAGTCGGGACTGGCTGAGTTGATCTGAACAAGAGTCTGAGTGAGTGCAACTGGATCATTGCCAGAAACGTCATGAGGCACATCATAGTCTCGGTTTCGCTCTGTACAGAAGATCACGACGGTGGACTTCTCATTGAGTCCAAGGGCTTTCTTGTCATCCGATGTAAGCCGTCTCAACGCAGCCAATGTCGAGGCTCCACAGGGTCCGGCGTTGATACCCTGAGATTGAAGATACAGGACAGACTTGTGAGCTTCATAGTCTGACACGGTCAAGCTTGCATCTACGCCATTCTTCAATAGGTCCCATGCGATTGTTGAAGGAGCTCCGCAGTTGAGACCAGCCATGATGGTGCCAGTTGTTGGGATCTCAGTGAATTCGCCCTTCTCTAGACTCTTCCACAAACACGCCGCAGTATCAGGCTCAACTGTCAACATGGATGTGGATGTACCTTGTCTCTTGAAGTGAGAGACGACAGCTTGGGCAAAGGATCCAACTCCGACAGGAGCGATGACCAAGTCAGCTTTGGTAGAACCGAGTTGCTTGTCAACCTCTCGCATCATGGTGCCATAGCCATCAACAATCCACTGTCATTATACGTTAGAGTGACAAGAAGTGATTAATAGAGAGGCTGCGAACCTGTGGAACGGTCTGATAGTCGCCGAATGCATGGTCCTGGACCATGATACCCTTCTCATGCTTAGACGCAGACTCGGCCTCAAGCATCGCATCTTCATATCTGCCCCTTGACATGACAACTTTTGCGCCTTCAGACTCAATCAATTTGACAGTGGAAGGATGCATCGACGCTGGGACGTGAATCTCAGCTGAGATGTCGAAGATAGCACCCATACGTGCGACCGCACGTCCATGGTTCCCTTCTGTCGCCGCGTACAGCGTCAATTGATGAGACTTGGCTGCTTCCCGAACATTATCAATCTCTGAGTCAAGAGGCAACCCCAATTTCTCGGTTATGGAGCGGAATGCGCCCCAAGAAGCACCCAGAATCTTGAACGCTGGAAGACCGAAGCGGTTTGTCTCATCTTTGACATGGACTGCACTGACTCCAATCTCCTTGGCGAGGTTGTCGAGACTAACAAGAGGCGTTGGCTCATAATTGGGGAGACTTTGATGAAACTGACCAATGGCTTCTGGAGAGGCAGGCTCAGGTGAAGTCCATGATTTGGCTTTGGAGTTGAAGTGAACGTGTCGACGAGTGGTCATGATGCTTGTTGCTGGGTTTCTCCAACTCAAGGCTTGGAGATGGAGTAGGTTTGGTGCGGAGAATTGAGTGACTGGCGGGGAAGCCAGAACAAGATGCAATGGGAAGCTGAATGAAGGGAAGATGATACTGTTGAGATATTCTGGCTCTTCCGAGGAAGTTTTACAACATTTTTATACGCAATTGCGCCCAAGTTGACATTGGTGATGCGCCTTCTGGGGACAGCACTAACCCCGCAGAGGGCAGTCTCATAATTAGGTATCCTCCGTTCAACTCGTACTGATGTTCACGATGCGAACTACTATACTCTCCGTCTTCCTGTGTCTTTGAAAATATATATTTGCAGTCAAATATATATCCCCATGCTCTCAATCGTTGATGCCAAGGTATCGCACGAGGCTACAGTACACATCAACAAGAGTTTAGACCAATAATTTTCGGGCGCATTTCTAGCCGCTGTTTTACAGTAGGCTAGTCTCCGTCAAATGTCATCGGCTCGTAAAACTAAGCAGAATCGGGTAATTTTATACGATTGTTGCTGTACACATTCAACGGGTCTGCGCAGTAGACAAACTTCCTGTGTCGCTCCGCATTTCAGTTCTGCAGGTGAACCCAATCTCATAAACACGTTGTGTCCCAACCAGCGCTATTGGATATGGACATAATTCCATTGAGTCTAGAACGATGAGCTCTGGCTGCTGTGATTGCAAAGGATGAGGATCAGTTTGGCTTTGTGCGGTCGTGGCAGAGCGCCCATATACCGTCCCAGAACTCCTCGGTCAGCCACCCTGTATCCATGTGTAGTGTTGTGGCTATGACTTCAAGAACGATGAGAAATGTTGTAAAGTGTATCCCTTTTCAATATGATACCTAAGTTCAAGCAATTTTTCTAAGATCCGACAGTCCTACAGCTACAATCTTATGGCAATGCCCCTAAAGATTGTCCTGACATACAAACTCTATGGGTGCGGTCGTAGTTGACTGTGTACCGAAAGAGCAAACGCCTCGACAGCTATTTTATTATTGCTCCGACCTTGATCCTAACCAATCTCTTCTAGAACATGCAATTGAATAGACCCATTGCGTGACTTCCAATTGGAAAGCATTAAAGTATTTGCGTATTGAAGAAGGCAGGTTCAGCTGACTGTCGACTGTCAAACTCAAGATAGCGGAGTCGCAGCGCCCTCTAAGTATTTTTCCACCGCAAAGCACAATCAAACCTTGGCAACATCGGACGTGGGCATTGGTGTGATATCGTTGATCTCTTCAATCTTCAAGTATAGGCTACAAATGATGACCTGCAGGAAAACACCAAAGAGTGCCGTTAAAGATATCCCAAACGGGCGGTGCGCGCTGTTACTGCATCGCGGCTGTGACTAAGCCCGACATCGCTTCAAGCGAACGCTACGCGTGACGTTATCGCAACTTCCAGTCTCAAAACTCCACTCCAACATCTTCACATGCCTCTTCATCAACCCTCTGAAGTCGTTGAGAGGCCATTGCCCTCAGTTCAGTACGACAATGGACTTTTCGCTGGATGACATTCTATTCACTGGCGGCGAAAATGCTGCGCTTACACTTCCTTACGACCAGATTGATGATCTAGCCCCTCAATCGAGAAGCTCGTCGAATTCGCTTACTGAGGGAGCGATTATCGACAGCACTCTACAGACGATCAACCCTCAAGAAGCGTTTAGCTTTCAAAGCTCAGAGATTCCGGATTTTCAGATTGATTGGTATGCCGACTTTCAGCAGGCCAAAGCAGCCTCCGAGACACCCGCAGATGATCTCAATCAGGACTTTTCTTTTCTCAATCAACCAGCCACAGATTGGGGTATCCCTGCGCCGTTACCAACTTCCAATGACTCCATTAAAACGCCCATGACTACAATTGATGAATTCTTTGTGAAGAATGGAGCCTCTCGCCCTCCTGTGCCGTGCACGAATTGTCGTCGAACCCGTTTGCAATGCCTGATCTTGCAAACTACGGTTGCAAACCCCAACCCTACCAAGAGTTGCAGTAGCTGTGTCGCCTTGTTCCGCGAATGCAGCTTGGCAGGGCAGAAGAAGAGGAAGCCGTCAGAATTTGAGACGTCGGAACCTGTTATCGGTCGTCTTCATGGGGTTAGTGAGCACAGTATCCTAGGTGTCCCTGCGACCGTTGATGAAGGCCAATCATCGCAGGGCCTTTCAGTGGCAGCTCTGTCGGGCAAAAGAGCAAATACTCGATCGGTGCGAAAGACGAGGGTGCTGCGAAATTGGTATCTTTCCAATCTGGACCATCCCTACCCATCAGAGGAAGAGAAAGTCAGTCTTTCTCAACAGTCGGGATTGAGCAGGAGTCAAGTAGTCAATTGGTTTGCCAATACTAGACGACGCCATCGACTCTCCTCGACTTACTCTGCATCGCCTGGCCGGGGTCGTCAAGGATTTGCACCAGGATCCCCCATGCCGCATTACCTCCGCAAAAACATGTCACCCTTGGATCGCTGGAAGAATTCTCCGCCCGATGAGGAGCCTGCTTCAGCGACGGCAATCCAAAATGCGCTGGCTGCTCAGTCGAGTGGACATAGCTCGTTGGACAGTGATGCGGGTGCGTCTGATGGGCCAGGGTCATCTGCGAGCAATGACTCTCTCTGGCTTTCTAATCTGCAAGAGGCCTCGTCCAACTCGGCATCTTCTTGTTACTCATATCGTTCAAGGGAGGCGGCATTCTTCTCTCGCTCTGGTAGTAGCTCAGTGGCAGAAGGACCCTCCATATCCAGGACTACATCCTCAAGATCACGAACCAAGAAGTTTGTCGCGTTTCAATGCACATTTTGCGGACAAAGCTTCAAGAAAAAATACGATTGGGTTCGCCATGAGCGATCAATTCATCTGCCGGGTCTCGATTCATGGATTTGCGCATTGCCTGTCACGCCAGATCAATCGTTTTTAGTCTGGCGCATGAGTGAAGATGGCCCGCAATGCCTTTTCTGTGGTGAGAACTCACCCAGCGACGAGCACATTCAAGCTCACGAATTCGACACTTGCGCCGAGCGTCCCGTTTCAGAGCGCAAGTTCACACGCAAAGACCACCTCTGGCAACACCTACACAAGTTTCATGGTTGTCGCAAGTGGGATGGCTGGAAACCGGACCTGAGTCTGCTACAACACCGACAAGATATGATAAGAAGCAAATGCGGTTTCTGTCAAGTCATGATGGACAGCTGGGGAGAACGAACAGATCACATCGCTGCTCACTTCCGGTCTGGGTTGACGATGGAGCAATGGGTTGGAGGATCCGGGATCCACGACCCCGGCGATATGGGTACCGAAGACCGGTAGATGAGCCGCTCTTGGAGGTGGATACGGATACGGGAGATGTCACTGACCCGGCATCGGTACGGAAGAATGGAGGCAATCGGGGGAACCGATGCAGCCCTGCATTCGACACGTGGGAACCTTGTCCTAGTGACTCCGCTGACGGCTAACGGCGGTTAAGTCCAGAAGGCCCGTAGAAGGATTGTTCAATTAATTCGACATTCGAAGCCATTAAGCGAAATGCCAAAACCTCGAGAACAACTTCTTCACGAACAAGAGTTCAACTCAAGTTCAGAAGACCAATACCCAGTGACTCCCTCGTACTCCAGCATCCCTGCGTCAATGTGGGGAATCATGAAGTTGTGGCAAATGTCAAACTCTCTTTGACAAGTGACAACAGACACGCACACAAGAACAGTGGACATGTGAAATCCGGAGTTCGGATGACAGCGTCTCATTTGACAGCCCCTGGTCCGACTCTCCATGACTTGTCAGAGTCTCGACCATCCCTTGCTCACGCGAGCCGAGACTGTTGATTCCTGTTTATTTACGGCGGCCTTACCTTTTTGGATAAATTGGGCAACACCGAGCCGAATGTCACGTACGTATGCGGGGATTCTTCTCTGTTGTTCTTTTCTGTCGGTACTCCTTTTTAACTTTGTTCTTCTTTTTTTCTTTTCTCATATTTCATTCTTTCTTTTATTTTTTCTGTAGCTTTGTTGTGTTTTGCTTCCCGTGTCTGTCGCCAACCCAAGCCTTCATCTTCAGCTTTACTCGCACAACTGCATTACTCTCTACAAGTCAGTAAAAACAACTCCTTCAAATCAGTCACCATGATCATCACTCGCGCCCTCTCCATCACCAACTTTATCATCGCCGGCTCGGCACTCAGCTTCCAGGTGGGTGTCCTGTACCCATGGCACAAGCAGCTTGACGATGGCTTCGAGGAGCTCAAGAAGGAGCACTTGCGCGTCCTGTCAGCCGTCGAGTCGAAAGTCTAGCAAACACGAGACACCGCAGTTCTCGAGGAGAGCCGTAACAGCGTTCGCGGCTTGCTCGGCAACCTTGCCGCATGGAAGGCCTGAGCGTGGCCGACTTCGGGGGCAGCGCAACAACAACAGAACAAAATACCCAGCACAAAGCAAATAAAACCACATATACATCAAAGAAGAAAGAACACTAGCGGCGTCTTTTTGAACATTCGACAACGACCAAATTTCCTACTACTCATGGCGTTTCTCCCACGTTTTTTTCTCGGCGTTCAAATCCTCGGCCCGGGTGGGGCCGGCAACGGTCACGATCCGGGTGGTCACGTGTATCCCTGAACCCCCTCTTCCGGATTTCAACGGTTTCACCCGATCGGGAGTTTCCTTCGGTACCATTACCTTAGACGGGCGCACGGGAATATCCAGTTAGTTACGGCACGGGAAAGACATTTACATTTGATCTGCTTAGACCATTTATAGCTCGCAATTAGTTTATGTGTTTGCTAAATGATACTCTTTTTTTTTTCTAGAAGACTGCTGTCTTGTCTGTCGCCATTTGTGCTCGGTTCAATTACCGCCGTGATGGATGTGTCGCGTCTTGCGCCGCGACTCTCAACTTGCTCTTACTGTAACAATATCATGAAATGCTGGTTATGTTTAGCATGATCATCATGCGATAGGGAATATGTTGATTGAAGTCTCAGCGCAGGTAAGCATCACGAACACGCCACCAGAATAGCATTAACACGCTACAGGCCTTGAGTGAACTGTCCACCGCCATCTCCCACCGAAATGAGCCCGACTCCCACGAAGCGCCGAAACATTATACACCTCCAGTCTTCCGTCTAATTGTCCACCTTGAACCACACAGGGTTATTCGCGTTATTCGTCATACGAACATCGAAGGTGCCCGAATAACCGGGCATGATACGCAGCGGCGCGGCATCGGAGACTCGAACGGGGAGCGATCTACTGCCGTTGAAGAGCTTATCGATGTTGTTGTTGAACTGTACAAGCAAAACGAGAATTCCGATGAGCGCGCCTGTCGCGGCGAGTTTGACGACGAGGTCGAAGAAGGCGATGACTTTTAGAAAGCCGGATGATGACTTTTCGGCGGTGGTCATTGTGGGGATGGTTGATGTTTGAGGGGCGGTGGTGGGTTTATCGGCCATGAGCTCGATGTATGCAGTATTTGAATGTGAGTAGGTACTGAGGAGAACACGAGCAGAGACGACAGGCCCAAGGCTGGGAAGACGAGACCTTGAAATACCGTAGGGCTATCCGAGGGAGACTCACACCGCAAGGCTGATCGAAGGGGTTAGGCACTGAAATAAGCTTAACTCACCAAGCTTCCAGGACTTGAGACCGCCATGACAGGGGTTTAAGTGAAGCTATTACATTTTGAGAGAGCGCTAGATGAGATGATGTGCTAGTTGGACTCTTGGAGGTTTCTAGTTGGTGGGTGTAACGTCGTGAAGGGTTGTCATTTGATGAGCTTCCTTGCTTTTGGTGAGGATCCTGTGCTGGGCACGCTATGTATGCTTGCCCTGTTTGTGAAGGCGGCGACGATGATCGTAAGATAATTGGTCACATATGGTTAGCATCTTGTCAATCTCAGAGACCAGGTCAAACTAAGGTCTTGGAACTTCATTCCATTTTCGCCTTGTCAAGAGCAAACAACTCATCAACTCATCAATTAGAGGGGTGCACTATCCATCTAGCGCACTGTGGCTGACACAGAATCCAGCTATAGCACTAACATTTACCGACTATCGTCCCTCCTAATTCTGCTAATGACCTAATAGCGGGGTCCCGTCGCACCAATTTCCAGGGATCACCCTGTGATCTACCCGGAGCTGAAAAGAGGCCCCCCAATTTGAGCATGCTGTGCGCAGCGGATGTTTTCCCAAGAATGTTTAGGGTCAAGGTTAGAGATGGTGTGCTTGAGGGAATTCGAACGCGGTAGTGGATTGGAGGAATTAAAGGTGCAGCTATCGTGTAATTGGGTTCTAAAATTAGTAGCAATGCCCTACCACTACCAGGTGCGACCTCTAGCAGACAACGGGATCACTTCCATTTCTACTGGGTCTTGCGATATGACATCTCGAATGGCTCTGACTTTGACGGACTATTCATTTCAACTTCATCCTGATGTCCTCAATACATCCTCTCACAGCATCTCATCTCACAAAATCACACACGGCGGTGGTGTCCCTGGCCCCTCCTCCCTCTCCCCCAAGAGCTCATTGCTCCAGCCAAGCTTTTCGAACCTCCCCCTCATAACCCTCGCCTCTTCAAGATAACTCGCTCCCTGAACATCCTCGGCATACTCATCCATCAACTTCTCCAGCTCCTCATGTCTATATCCATCGTCCAATGACGCCCATACCAGCTTCAAGAGCTCAGGGACGTAGGAAGCTCCACATGGTCTGAATGTCTGACATCGATTTGCAAGAAGTATTGAATCATCGCATATCTCGTGAGAATCCTGGGTGTAATCTGGAAGGACGCCAAAGGGGTTGAGTGTTGGGCCGATTAATGCTGCTTGAACGAGAAGGCCTGCGTGACCGGAGGCGTATTCTATAGCTTTCATTCTACAAGCAGGTGATGCATCTGTTGAAAGCGTTGCCACCATGGCTTCTTCGTAGAGTTTCCGCATCACTGCTCGTTCCTGTGATAGCATGTTGTAGTAACATTTCAACTGGTAGAGATATCTCTCCGGATCTCGGAGAAACACAGGTAAATCTCCTATCGCTCCGAGTTCGAAGCAGTAGAGGTTTTGTTCGTAGTGGTATGGGCGTGTCATGATAGTATCCTGAACGGCTACGTCCCAGAACCATGACCCAAGCTCGACCTTTGGGTCGCATAGAGCGGCGTATATCTGATCACTCTTGTTAGTCAAGTTATGTACGAGTAGGATGAGGTCTTACCGCTTGTAAGCACCAGGCTCGTATATCACCTGAGTGAAGTATCTCGCCCTGAGATACAGCTTCCTTTAACAAATATGCTATGACTCCTCGATGCTTGTTGGCATGCTTGTTATCAATCCAGATCTAACACCGTCAGTACCGAAGCCAAGATGTTCCACCGGGTATAGTTACCTGGCACAGCATCATCATCAAAACGAGTTCCAGCTTAAGCATAACCGGTTGGTCATCATCACTCAAGCAGTTCTGCAAAGACCTTAATGCCTTCCCATACAGAGAGAAAATCTTTTTGTCAGCAGTCTTCCGTAGACGTATTGCTTGGAACGATGCAATCATGGCAGAAGTGGTAGTGTCGAGAGCAGAATTCGACCCAATACGTCGAGGAAGATCAGCAAAGAAATAAGGACCATAGGCTTCAAAACCAAACCGATCATCATCAATCGCCATAAGCGATATGAACTCTGCAGTTAGTCTAGTCGTCTCGTTGCTAGGTGTTTCAGCAGGAGGCGTGATAAGTTGTGTAGTCTGTACATCAGGCTTGTACTGATGAAATTTGAAGCGTCTTGTTCCACTTCCAATGCACTCATCACCAAGCCTCATACAGCGGCCGCATTTTGGTTGCTTTTGATCACACTTATCTCGTTAGTTAGTTCCGAATCTCCAACATCACAATAACTCGTACATACCCTTTTCTTTGCCTTTCGACATGAGTTGCAGCCTCGGCTGCTCGGAACACCGACCATGATTGTTTGATGACTGTTCAAAGTTAGGTAAATGGGGGTGAGATATGTCTTGGTGGGAGATGACGGGCAGAGGTGTTATGTAAGCGTGAGATTTCTGCTTGGCAATCCATGTGCTAAGGGTGATGAACCAATAGATAGAAGAGGAGACAGTGCGTGAGAAATAAGCTTAATATTTAATTCTACGGGTGGGGGGGAATGCGCCGCTTATCAGATATCAAGCTACAGCAAACAGGCTTAGCTTGCCAGATTGGGAATGCGGGTGCCAGTCCATATTGAAGGATAAGCCAGGAATCCATATCTTGGGACGCTTGAAACGTAGATAGTTCGAACGATCATTCTAGAAATGACGTAGCTTCCATGAGCACCTTCAAATTATCATAGTCTTCACAAGCTATCTGTATGGCATCAAGAGCAGCTTGTAAGCACCCAAGAACTTATCCCTCACTATCTCAAATGCACTCGCGTATCAATTCCCTCACAATATAAATAGCCCCTGCGAAGTTCGCTTTTGGGAGATTATCGTTCACCCAGGGGAGAATAGGGTCAATAGCAAAAGACAAGCACCGCCAGTACAAAGCTCTCACGAGGAGCTGCATCCGTGTATGATCGGTTCCAAACATCTCAACCAACTTTCGATCTTCATTCAACCAGATGAGCCCGTCTGCCACTATGATAGCTTCTGCATACTCAGCCGGTCGCCAGTAAAGCGTGATATCGATGATGGCTGGCGGATTGTTTGTTTCTGTGTTAAACAGAACGTTTCCAGTGAGATCGCCGTGGATAAGCTGTTTCGTGATTTCCTGTCGAAATGACTGTCGTAGCTTCAGAAGTTGGTCAAGAATTGGTTGAACAACAGCCATAATATCACTGTTGATCCCTTCCACATCTTCAAGATTCTTTTCCTGCCACGTCACAAGATCTGCCTCTGTAAATCGATTCTGTCTCATCGATAGAAACGAGGGCTTCTCAGTGACCAAACTCGCTACATCGACATGAAAAGCACGACAAGCTCTCATAAGAATATCAAAGTTGCCTTTAGGGGTTGCTTTTCCTTCAAGATATTCCCAGGCCGTCCAGCCATTACAAACATATTTCGCAGGAACTCCTGAAGCTAAGATCGGAGAGGGCACACGATAGTCAGTAGGATGAAGCTCAAGGAGAGATTCGCAGAGGTTTGCGATGTATTCGGATTCTTCGTCATCGTCTGATGGTCGGAGAAGAATGCGTTGCGATGTTCGATAGCAGAGGCCTCGGCCTCCTGGGACGTGTAACAGAGAGCCTTCTGCACCAAAGGCGTCCAAGGCATCCGGAGGCGGTGGTTGGCTCATGGTAACTTTTCTATACTTGCAGTAAGAAGTATCGAGAATCAAGTTGATAAATTCTTCTGTTTTTATCTTCGAGCTGGACAATGAGGGGCGCGCCCTTCGACTGATGAGTCAGGTCATTCGACCAATGCCATGGAAATTCACCTCAAAACAGTCTTGCAGACCGTATGAAGTATGCAAGTACTGGGGTCGAATATTGGTGTGTTCTAGAGGTTCATCATTACGATAAGATAATTCAATTCTAGCCTAAGCTCAAGTCTTGACCTTATGTCAATGATGTGAACTACCCAGATGAACTTGTGATCCATGGAAAGTTCGTGTATATCTTGTACATTTATAAGAAGTACATAATCTGGGCTCTTCCATCGTTTATGGTCTATCTACAGACAAGAATTAACTCGCCCTCACTTTTCTAATGCCAGTGAAACCGCACACTCAACGGCAAACCCAAAACTCCTCGCATACCACCCAGGACCCCAATAACTCAGTTCGATATTATGCGGCGCCGCTTTAACAACACTCAAATCCACCCTCTCACTCTTCGGGAACCCCTGCTTAAAATCCTCCAAATGCTCCTCCGTAGCATCCCAATAATGGTCCCTTTCCGCCAAAGCAATCATAACTGGCACCGTAACATTAACCCCCCATTTCTCCTTCCACTCCCCCAACCAAGACTTTCTCAACGCCGCAAGTTCCTCAAACGGAATGGCGTGGTCGAGACGCTCAGACTGTGCATAAACAGTTTCGTCTGCCGTTCCTGGGAGAAGCAAAGTCTTGTCTTTTACTTCGACAGGGATGTTCAAATACGAGGGTGGAGGATCGGGCTGTGAAACATGACCGCCTGTGTCTTTTAACAGGGAGCCAAAGCCTGACATGACGATACCGCCGAGGGGGTATGCAGGTGGCGATGAGGTTGCATGCAGGGATGATGCGACGATTGCGCCGTTGGCTCCGAGGCTGTGACAGTGAAGAACGATGCATGTGCATGCATTGGACAAGCCATACTCTTTCCAAAGGGCTGGGAGAATGGATTCATGTAGTCTTCGTCCCCATTGTTCAGGATAGCTTGATCCTTCGGGAACACTACCCACGGGTGTAGTATCCCTATAATCCGGTCGATCTATAGCCACAAATGGCACAGAAAGCGCTTCACTGATACCCCTCGCCGAGTATTCTGGGGTAGCATCAAAGTAGTGGCTCGTATAGCACCCCCCGTGAAGTCCAACCACCAAAGGCCGATGCTTCAGCGTTGATGGCGATGATGTAATGATGAAGATTCCAGAGAGCACTGTGCCGTCTTGTAGGGAGAGTTTAAATGGTTCCATGGCGTCTAACCAATTAAGCATAAATAAGACGACAAGCAGTAAGAATCAGTTGTGGCTGCTGTTTGTCTCGACCAACAGCATAAGATGAGCAGAGTGATAACAGTGAAAAAACGCTCTGGGTGGGGGTTGGTTGCAGTGTAGGCGGAGACGGACAGAGATCCGGCGATCTCCCGCCCCCGATATCACTTAAGAACCAAGAAATGGGGATGGACACTCACTAATAGATAGGAACCCCACTTCCCTGGACATTTTCTTCAACTTCTTCACCATCAATTAATTCGTCATGGCCGATATAACAGATCCTTCGACGAATCCATCGTATCGAGTCCCCGAGTTACATCAGCACGATCCCCCGATTGAACCCGATCATCCACCTCCTCCTACCAACGACGATGTCGCAACAGACGATGGCTACGCTTCATCCGCGCCTTCCGCACAGTCTTCATCTCTAGCGTCGAGCGTGCGCGATTATCAATTCGAGAATAGTCGACGATACCATAAATTCAAGGAGGGCCTGTACCAATTCCCAAATGATCTACCCGAACAAGAGAGAGAGGATATGAAGCATACGGTTGCGGTGCATCTTCTTGGTGGGAGGTTGCATAATGCGCCGTTGGACCATCCTCAGAAGATCATTGATATCGGGACAGGAACTGGAAGCTGGGCGATTGATAGTACGTTGCATAATTGGGACGCAAAGAGAAATGCTGATGCATTGTAGTGGGCGACGAATATCCCAGCGCTGAAGTCATTGGGATTGACCTGAGTCCCATTCAACCACCATGGGTTCCTCCCAACGTTCGATTCCTCGTCGACGACGCCGAAGCACCATGGCTATACTCCGAAAACTCAATAGACCTCGTCCATTTGCGCAATATGTCTACCGCAATCAAGAACTGGCCTGCGCTGCTGGGACAGATCTACCGGTAACAACCCTGCGACTGGCGTAACGCTTCCAACTAACATTCACAGCGCATTAAAACCAGGAGGATGGATCGAGATTCCTGAGTTCCGATGGGTATACGGATGCGACGACGGAACACTACGTCCGGACTTTACACCACCCCAAATGGTAGCCAACATCCGAGCTGCCCTCGCCAAGTCAGGCATTGAGATGCACGCTGCCGAGAAGAACCCCGATAGACTACACGACGCTGGATTCGTCAATATCCGCCACGATATCAAGAAAGTGCCAGTTGGTCCATGGCCCAAGGACCCAAACCTCAAGATGATTGGCCTCTATAACAGAAGTGTCATCTATGATGGTCTGTATGCAATCACCATCGGTCCGTTCACTCGAGCTTTGGGGTGGACGCCTGAAGAGGTTGAAGTCTTCCTTATCAAGGTTCGAAAGGACTTGAAGGATCCTTCGGTGCATTCTTATGTTCACTTCCATTCGCTATGTGCGCAGAAGCCTTTCAATCCATAGACTGCCCTCCCATGGTGTGCTGCGGTGGCGGGTTCTCCCGTCGCTACCACAATCCCCTGCCATACGTGTGGGGATTCTCTCGTCCGTACTTTAGATAAATCCTACCTCCTTCTTGAACATCTCCAACCATTGCGCGTGGTCCGCAGGTGTTTGGTTCCAAGGATCGTCACTGACAGGGTAAGTTGGATGCTTCAAATGACAAGATGGTGGGTACTTACTCATTGTAAAGCAGACATCGAGCTTGATGTCTAAGCTCCTCATCCGAAGGAACATGACAGATCGGGTTGTTCGGTGACATGGCAGCTTTTACCCATCTCTTCATCTCACGAGCAAACCACGGGAGGTGATTCGGATCATTCAAGACATAGATCCCCGGACCAAGCCATGTCGGTCGAAGGCCTGACTCACCTTCTGCTCCGGGACTCGGGGTCGTCTGGGGTATTTTAGGTAGTGACTTTTCGTCTGACCAAATCCATGTAAAGTCGTCGAGTGACGCATCAAACATGGTTTGATCGGCGTTCTTGTCTGGTTCGTTTGTTGGCCAAGTCATGCTTGCGCCCGAAGGCCCAGCCTGCCCCCCGAAAGACCAGTCGTTTCCGCCAAAGAGAGACGAGTTGTTTGCCCAAGATAGATCATGTTGTGCCTTGACACCTGTCTGCTCAGTAGACCATGCGATATGACTTGGCGATGGAAGCTTCCAGCTGTCATCGGCCGACACTATGTCTGCGCGCCGTCGAAAGTCGCTTATCCAGTTTGTTGAGTTATACAGAAACCCAATCAGCCAGTTAGCCACAAACTCTGGCTTCGTTTGCAACTCGCTCTCCATTTGCATAACAATGCGGCCAGCCTCTTTCTGCAACTCCCCGTCTGATACCTCAGACAACCCCCTCATTCTTCGATCACGCATGAAGGCTTGAAGTCGTGACTCCAGCGGACACTCCTCAAATAACGAGTTCTTTCCCTTGATCCTCAACACAGAAAGTCTACTCTCTGTACTCGATCGAATCGGTGCGAAGCGGGCTTGTTGAGCAATCTCGTCAGAGGACAGAAGCAAGTCTCTGAACCATGATGAACCTCCATGAGAGTCCAGGTTCGGTTCGGGAAATGTGACTTCGGACGCAAACATGATGCGACAAGCCTCTAGTTGTAAACTCGTGTGACTCGGTAAGCTCCCAATAGTGTCACTATGGTTCGAAATGAAGTATGCCAACTCCATCGTGATGAGCTCGTATGCGCTGCGAGGAGAATCAGGCGGCTTGCCACTCGCAGCGAAGGGGAATGGAGTTCCACGCTCCAATTCTACCAAGTCTGATACCCGTTAGTACCGTACCTCAATGTGTCAAAAGGCACTTACATGGCGGCAAAGCCTTCTCTATAGTCTTCAATATATCATCCTCAAACCCCCAGTCGCCAACCCAATTATTCATCGTACAACCCATCTTGAAATGGTTCGCGACATGATCAACTCTATCGATCCATCTAGTCAACGAAGCTTGACAGAATCCACATCTCGAAATAATGTCTGGTTGTGCTGTCCTCCATAGTTTCATAGAAAGGTCAGATAATCTAGCGTTGTGCACAAGGCGCAGATGCTGCTTGAGGTGATCTTTTCTGCTGAACGATCTCTCCTGGCATGCAGATGGATTATGGCCAGCTATATGCTCATCATCTGGGTTATTTTCACCGCAGAATAAGCAGATGATTTGACCAGTATCTGGGTCCGTGGTTGTTGGACCGTTAGGGGAACACTCCCATCGTTCCAAAGATAGATGAAGTGAGTTCTCATGGCGCTGCCAATCATATTTCCGACTAAAGGTTTCGGTACAGAACGTGCATTGAAATTTGAGCCGAGGCTTCATAAGTGATGTCTTCTGTGGTCTTCGTTTCTGGATCGGCCTGCCACGGCTGTGTGACGAGGTGCCACTAATGGAGCCGCGTGAGGAACGTGAATCTGTCGATGCACTTCTCGATGTTCCGAGACTGCTAGTTGTTGATCTATGGCCACGTCTTCGGGGCAGTCTCTCATCACTTGAGAATGTTCCCCTTCGACTTCGGCTTCCTGTTCTTGTCAGACTCCATCTTGAGTTTGGGTGCAAGGTAACGTACTGGATGTGACTAATTCGCCTGAAGCCATCGCACGTGCAATCGCAGACACAGCAGCCGGTTCATTTTCAGGTGGTGAGTCAACCCATCTCTGCAAAGGATGTATTCCTTTCTCAGATCGTCTTCTTGGTATGGGTGTACCAGCTCGTGTTGGCGTATACTCAGAAGGAACCTTGCCAGACTTTCCTGAAGCTGTCTGAGTTCCGCTATCGGTAGTAGTTCTCCGTCTTCGAGCATTTGCTAGCCAATTTGTAATTTGAGTTCGACTCAAGCCGGTTTGGTGTTCTAGCATAGTCTTTTCTTCTTCATTTGGATAGGGGTTGTCGGTATTTCGAGCGAACCAGTCCTTCAATGAGCGGATGGCATCGAGGGTGAAGCGATGGCCGATCTTTGGGGGAAGGGGAGATGGGATTGGGGGGGTTAGGATGCTTGGAGATTGGGTTGACGATGGGGACTCTGAAATGTTCCTCATGAGATCCCCGAAGTTGAGTGCGAGTTGCTCAGTCCCTGGGCGCTGTAAGCCATCATGTTGTAAGCTTGTATCGCTTTGAAGCTGATGGGTCTGTGTGAAATCGATCTCATCTGCCGTGAGAGGAAGTTGAGCCATATCCGCAGACCACAAATCGTCAAAGTTGAACTCGAACTCATTTCCCTCCAATCCATTCTCGAAAGCAGGTTCATATGTACTCGACTCGGGTGCACCAGGGTCAAAGGCCAATGCGTCAAAGTCCAAAAAGGGCTCCCCACTGGAGGTTGCATAAGGAGGGGCACGGTCCGTATCTTTGGCATTACCCATATCCACGTTATCAGCGCGCATAGCGTCTATTTCGGATGAATGTATCCGTAGGGCGCGGGTTTGAGAGTAAAGAAATGTTGATGAGGAGTCAGAGTTAGCTTTGGCTTGGGACGATTCAAGGCCCCACTTAAGAGATGTCAATTGCGCCCTCAACGGAAGCAGCCGAATCTTAACTCCGATGATCGGATATCTTTACAACATCGAGATTTATGATGATCTGACGGGAATAACCATCAATGCAGTATATCACATTGATACAGATCGCATTTAAGGCGCAAGATGTTGCGTTGCGCGCCCTTGCAAATAATCCCTGTTGACTACCTTGGAGGTTGCGTGCAGAAAGCTCACGAGGACAATGATCAGATAACAGGTGATCCATAGTCTGCACAACATACAACCCGGCCAATGCAATGCTCTATTTCAGCTTATTGTAATTTCCATGATGACGTGCAGCTTGACCATGGTAGACGCACAGCATATCGATTACTCACTTGTGGCATCCTTTTCAGCCCAAATCACAAAATGGTGGCCTCAAGTCAGCAAACAAACAGCACGATAATTTACACATCCATGTTAAATCACTCCCAAGGCATCAACTTCATCGACGAAAGTTATATAAAGCTGAGACGTCCATTCTTGCCCATCAATGTACCCCTCCATAGGCCCTTCCTCCTCACATCAACACCCAATAATTCACCTGTTTAGCATACACATTTCCCCTTACGCCCCTTTTCCCAAGTCACTCTGGTCAAAACTTTCGAGCCAAGAGTTCGACTCAATGTTAAATTCTGGGTCTATGTTGAACATATCCAAGTTATCCCATTCTCCGGTACCAGTCAAAGAGCTTGAAGATTCATGCTCTGGGATATCGGGAGGTGGATGATACACAGGATCCTGATCTGCCAGGTCGGCAAGACCAAAGTTGTAAATATCCTTGCTACCCGCCCCGGGGTCGGAAAAAGCAACCGTCGAAGGATATGTTTGAGGCCCAGTCACTGCAGACAAGATGGTTGAAAGATGAGATGTATCATCCCCCGTGGGCAAAGATAAAGAGTTCGGATTCATCTCTTGCTGTGTCGGGACATGTAGGTTTCCGAACTGCATCAAGAACATCTCGTTCTTGGGTCTGTTCTCAGCCGAAGCTACGACATTGCCGATGGTGCTGGGAAAGATAGTTTCACGAATCTGTCTCCAGCTCCGTTCAGAAACGTTTTCCTTGCCACCGTCTTCGTTGCGTTCATGTGGAACGGAAGTCTGTTTCCAACCTGGGTTCTTGAGGCGCTCATACTGTGCCTCGTCGATAATATAAGACTTTTCCTTAGACTTCTTGTTTTTTTTCGAGGGCTGTTTGGGGCAGGTGCCCTCATGAAGTGCTTTAATGGAATTGAGGTCCTGGTCGCTCAAGGAGCTGTTGAACTTGTACAAGCAGTCTTGGCACCAGTACAGGGGAGAGTGGCAACGTTTGAGATGTTCACTAGTTTGGTTAGTGATTGCCGTGAATAGGTTTGGTCTGACATGACTTACTTGTGTTTCTCGATACTGCTGAAACTCTTGGTACAGAGGTGCGGAAATCTATCTGCAACGATGCAGGGGAAACGGTTCTTTTGTGATGCAGTAGCGCCGCGACGATGCGTGGCGCGTCGCATTATCACACTCGATGGATGGATGGTACACTTCACCCGACCAAGAGGGTCGATCGTTGGGGTCGATCTTACGTGACCCTCTCTATGGTCGCCGATGATGCCTTCTGGAGTCCTTGTCGACGAACGCGATGGGCCTTACAGTCGGTCATTCCGTCCCAGCTCGAGTCGGAGTCGACGACCTATTGACCGGCTGGTGCGATACTGTCACTCCTTTGGTTCGTTGGGGGCTTTATTCGATGAGACAAGATCAAGGGGGGGTGACCCGGTTGAAGGTATGGTGTTTGTCTTAACTGTGCAGTTGACAGTCAGACAGCGTCGCCTCAAACAATCGCGCCTCATTGAACAGCAGAGTGTTGACTTACCTTTCTCGGGATACCCCAGCTAAGAGAGTAAGAAGTACAGTAAACTACTTTACGGTACGGTACGCAAACAGGAATAATCCAAGAAAACGTTGCGAGATGGCGGTCGGCTCGGCATTTGCATGAGCAGAAATGAAGAGTAAGGAAATGAGCCTCTGAGACACATGACGGAGCCTCAAAATTTCCATCGCAACGATGAAAAAAATCATCGCAGCGACGTTTTTTTTGACCCCCTCATATCTCCAAATTGCCCAACCCATGCCCAGCCCCTTTTGGGTGTGATCAATCGCTTGCCTGCATATGCATGCACTCCAATGGCTACGTGGCTTGGATGCACAGTTGACCGCTTCTTTGGCCTTTGATTGCGGTCGTATGCAGGGTGAAATTGCGGGTGGTTCCGACAGCCTGGATGAGTTGTAGTTGATTTGGGGGCGGAAGGGAGGCTTGGCTGGGTCTGAATCTGGTAAGCTTTGCGGAGTTGGTGTTGAGGGGACCTCTCCACGTGTACGTGAATGATAGCTTATTAGTATGGCATCTTGGAAACACAAAATTTAGACATCACAGGCTCATGGTCGTCTGTAAATATTCAGTTCATGTCTATTTCCCTTGAGCCGAGTTGATGGATAACCGCCCACCCAAACTGCGGGGGACTCAGGAACGGGAGCTTATTTGGTACCGAAATGCAGGGGCAGTGATCTTGGCGACCTATCGAAGCTCTCGGAATATATTAACTGAACACCATTGGATCTGTTGCGTTATTATTGGAAGATCTAGTGCCTGAACTTGCAGAAACACGTGGGGTTGGGTCGAAGGTGGCAGGTCTAAAGCGTTCTCGGCCCTTAGCTTAGAGGTGTATAATTCCGTAAGGCTACTAGGAGTATTTGACTCTTTATTGTAACTATTGAAAGATTTCTTCCAGTAGGAGATACCGGTAGAACTGCTGCTAACCCTGTCACATGCTGGTGACTCACTGCATTCTCTTGGTCCAGGGGCTTTCGTTGATTACCATTTTCTATATGCATAAGACAAATATCTCAAACTGATTCCCAGCTCATAGTTATGGTGAAATCTAATCCTATCTTGTATGTATCGTTGTTACTTCTGAAAGGACAGTACAATGACTAAGATATCATTATCTACCCATCTCCCGTGCATACCCTTTCCTGGCATTTGCCCCCTACTGTCTTGCACAACTAGACTTATCCCTGTACCAAATCAGCACCTTCCTGACCTTGAATCTCAATAAAGTTCCCATCAGGATCAACGATAAAGATCAGCGGATCGACACTAGGTCCAAGTCCTTGAATAATCGCTTCCCTCTCCTCCAGACTCAACTGACTAACAACAGCAGGCGGCAACCCAACAGCCGGGCCAACCGCAAGATCAGTAGTGAGTTCAGTAAACTTCTCTCCATATTTCTTGACAATCTTTACATCGGACATCGTCTCCAGACGCTCTTGGATCGCCTTGGCATCAGGAACAACAAGCCCAATATGGGCAAAGGTGTTGGGGTGCTGAGAGCTGGACTCGATATTCTTGGTTGGAATATCAAGGTAGTAAATCTCGAGAAGACCCTGGGCGTTATTCTTCTCGCGGTTCAACTCGAGAGCGGTTTGATAGCCTGTTCCGTTCTTGCCGCCGTGGGCGTGAGCTAGGTAGGTGATGGAGTATGTTTTGGAGACGTGTAGGGTGAACATCTTGCGGAAGCCAAGGACCCTGGAGTAGAAGTCAACACTAGCAGTGAGATTTCTGGTGGAAATGGCAAAATGATTGATAAAATAGCCAGTGGTAGCCCAATCTGCGGGCTCATCCGTGCCGAGTACAGGGTAAGGGTATTCTTGTCCTGTTCGAGGAACCATGTTAGGGATTGAATGAGAGGTAACTCTCGAAATGAGCTGGGCTCCTACAAGGAGAATTGATAGTAGTCGGACCATTATTTTTGTACGTTGTTGGAAACGCTGATGAATTGTTCTCGGTGCAGAATGATTTATTGAGATGGGATGTTGAGAGAAAAGCTGATGCAGACTATCGACTTTTATCATTAAACTACCCTGTCATCTATCTCAAATCATCTATTCAATTACTCGAAGTCGCCTTATTCTCGGACGAATTTCGCACGTAAGATTCATCCTGTTGAGGAATTGATGAGGCATTGTTGGTGTCTTGACCCAATCGCTCAATCTCGCGATAGTTCGTAGCGAAACGCGATACTGGCGTGATTGGCGAGAGCGGGATAGGACACCGTAAGCTTACGAGAGCTTCATTAAGTCCGATTTCCGCTTACAAACTCGGGTCCTCCAGAGTATTGTAGTTATTCTGAAATGCTCCATGAGCTCGGCCTCAAGAACCCAACTGAAGCTCGACTTGGAGGAGAAGCTGATGATGTCGTATTCACATGCCCACTTGAGGATTGGGCTATTTTCGTGATAGTGGACCAACCCCTAAAAACTGGTCTAAAACTCCCCACTGACGCCATGACATCGTCGCATCCACTAACTCGAACTCCTCACTTTACTGTACGTTCCTGACCTCATAAACGGTCTCCATGTTTCAAAACGGTGCAAAAGAGTGTCGCTTGAGAAATTTGTATCGCTGATCGTATGAAGATTTCCAGGTTTTCACATCTGCTGATCTTGCTTTTGAGTTCGGCACTTGCCTTGAATCTGTGCCGATCCCAGATGGACAGCCAAGAGTAAGATCATCACCAACTTGTCATGTTTCCCTGTACCCACGCTTGCAGTGCAGGTTCAGGGCGGGTATCGATGCCGATCGGGGAAACTTTCTTGGTGGTTGCGAGTTGCAGGTACAAGGCACAGTGAAATACAATCAAGGGACGGCCTACAGGGCAGTCAAGGTACAGGGCATGGCCGCAGTGAGGCACGATTCAATCACGGTCGCATTCACGATGCAAGGACACGAAAGGTTTCAGAATTTGCTTTCAATTGAACTGCTCCAGGCAATTCCCCAAGACACACTCAGACGCGTCCGCCCAGTGTCACCTTGGTCAATTCAATCTATGCTATTGATATCAAGATTCTATCGCTGGTCTATGCCAAAAAGTCAAAATCCATGGGTTCAAATTCGTCGTAGACTTTTCAATGCCCCCCAATCCAAACGCCATAAAATAAAAACAAAGTTTCGTTAAAATGTCATTGTCGCACGCTTAGACGACAGCGGCGGCATCGGTAGCGTCACCGTGCAGGACGGGGTTGATCTTCTCATCGAAGAAGCACTTGAAGTCCTGGCCGAGCTCGTTGCGGAGAGCCTTCTTGACGGCTTCTAGAACATTGGGGAAGACGCCAAAGTTGGCGGGGTTGTTCTCGTCGTTGTCTCCGCCCTGGAAAACACCAGTGCGCACCAAGCAGGTGTTCCATCCGTACATGTTTCCGCCAATGATGTCGGACGCGGGGTTGTCGCCGATCATGTAGATGTGCTCGGGAAGACGCTCCTCGCCGTGGAGCTCGCCCATCCATGAGGTCAGAACATCGTCAGCGTACTTGTAGGTAGCCAACTCGGGCTTGCCGTAGACGACACGCTCGAGGTCAGCGCCGGTGAGGGCCTTGTACATAGCCTCGAGACCGATGCGGAAAGCACCCTGGGACATACGAGGGTAAGGGTGCTCGGTAGGGCAGAGAAGATCGCCCTGGGAGAAGTAGATGGGAACGCGCTCAGCAACGGGGTCCTCAGCGACGGTGCCGAGACGACCGTTCTTTGCGCGAAGGACATCCATGATGATCTGCATGTCGGTAGCATAGTCTCGCGAGTCAGAGAAGACCATGATGGCCTCGATGCAGATCTTGGTGAAATCACGGGGACGAGAGGTAGCGCGCTCCTCCTCAGTGAAGACACGGTAGGGAGCAATGGTAGGGTCCCAGGCGACAATGTCGTTGGGGACGACGATGTTGCGGAAGCCGTACTGCTCAGCGACCTCACGGCATCGGTAACCCTCACCACCGACAACGAGCACGGTGCTGTAGTACTCAGACAGAGCACTCATGGGAGTGTGAGACTGGATGAACTGGTCGGTCTCGACAGGGTTGCCAAGGATCTTGGAGAGCTGCGCGCAGCGATCCTTTTCGATCTTACCAGATCCGTTGGTAAGGAAGATGTGAGGGATCTTGATGCCAAGCTCGTTGTCACCGTTGAGGATCTCAAGAGCCTTCCTACCCTCGGGGATCAGACGGTCACCATGGACGAGAACACCATCAATGTCAAAGGCGAAGGCCATGTTCTTGGCCTTCTTGACCTTCTCAGCCTGGAGGTCCTGAACCTGAGCGACGAGGAGCTCTCGGGTAGGCTGGATCGGGGGCATGCCGGGACGGGTGGGTCGTCCGTCGGCATGGTGAACGGAAGAGAGGCGCGACTGGCGCTTGCGGGGGATAGGCAGAGCAGTACCGAATGAGTTTCGGGAGGATCGTCGGTCCCTCATTGAGGGCGAGACGCTGAGGTTGTGCATGTACTTTGCGGCCTCTGAGATGGAGGATCTGGTAGCGGGGATCTCCTGAGGGCCGTTGGCACCGTCGCCGGGAATGGCGAGGCTGTCGTGGTGGCCCTCGCCGTTACCCTCGCCGTTGCTCAGGTTTGACATCTTACGGAGGGAGCTGGGAGAGTTTGGGGTGTGAAGTTCGTTGTCGTCGTAGGCAGGCATGATGAACAAGAAAGACAGTTGATGCGAAGACGAATGTCAAGTTAGAGAGGGAAAAAAGACAGTCGTGGATTGGGTTATATCAGGGGGTATCAAGTATGAGTGAAGGGAAGACTGCTTGGGTATGATGATGATGAATGAGATCGAGATGAAGTCAAGAGAAATGGGGCGGGGATCCGTATTTATCTATATTGAGGGTTCTCCCAGATACTGTAAGATTCAGTCAAAACTCGCCCTTCTTGTTGATATCATCATCTTTTCTCACTTTTCACTTTTTCCCGGGAACGTCTCGTCCGTTCAAGACAAAGTCCATGTTTCCTCTTGTCAAACGGCGCTACCGAAGTGGATCTCGGGCGTTCACCGTCAATGCAATTGTTGTCAGTACATGGGATATCCGTTATCTAAGAGCTAGAGGGCCAAAGAACGGACTGGAAGACGACACGTTGAACCGTTTCTTCCCGTTTCCGCGACAGCCAGTGTAAAAAAATGAGAGTTCTACACACGCCCCAAGGTACATGGCAGCAGAATTAAACTTTCTGCCAGTCGTCATAGCAGAGGTGACGTGAGGTTTGTGTCAGGATTGACTCCGCAGCCCCTCTTGGCAGGTTACACCATTCGAGAAAGATATGCCTCAGCGATAAAAGTACCTCGAGGCCTCATTATCTGTCGCTATCTTGCGGCTGCTTGGTGACTAGGCCCGAGAAGAGTCCGCACCAAGTGGACTGTCAGTGGAGATAACTCTGGCGGTGCCTGTCTTTGCACGGGAATTAAATTGGAGAAGGTGAGAGAAATGCATGCCAAGGGTTCATTTCTGACATCATCCCTGTCTCCACTACCGAACAGGGACCTCCTCGACCGTCTTTTTAGGTGGATACAGTTACTGAAGAAAATACGGCTAGAGCGGGTATTCAGCCTCTCGTCTCAAAACGTACATGAGATTTCAAGGGGTCGTTGTTTTTTGAAAGGATCGCCACTTGCGGTTCCAATTTTTAAGTGATAAGATTACTTTTTTCAACTCTTGAGCGTCTGGTTGGCTGTTGCACATTTCCCTGACTCAAGTTTTTGTCCACGTAGCTCTCCTTGGACGAAAACTCTACAGTGCCTTAGCTGAAGCGAGGGGCGATCAAGTAACTGTACCAGCACAGTACGTACACCCACATCCATGGCGAAACGGAACAGTCTCAGTAATTTTTCTATCAAGGTGAAAATTCGTTACTGAGAAACTCTCCCGTTTAGTCTAACTAAGCCTTTCTAGAAGTTTCCCAATTAAGGACATGACGTCAATGACCATCTTGACCCAAACACGCCTCGCGCGGCCTCGGCGAAAAAACCATGACCATGGATAACAGCCACCTCATCAAGCAAAAAACGTGCCATCCATACAATGGCCGGTGCGTATAGAGTTTTCGGTGTCGGTACCTCTCCACTGACGAAACGTCAATTGAGATATTTTATCATTAATTAATCCCTTTAAAAGCCGTTCATCTTAAAACTGCCCCTCACTAGCCAAGATTCTCACTCCCTATCTTTCACCTACTCACATACCCATCACTCACACCCAAACTTCACCCTAACATCTACACCATGGCCGTCTCAAACAAGACCACATTCACCCTCAACAATGGTGTCAAGATGCCCGGTCTGGGCTTCGGCACTTTTGCTAACGAGGGCGCAAAGGGCGAGACCTACGATGCTGTCAAGTGCGCCCTCAAGGTCGGTTACCGACACCTCGACTGCGCTTGGTTCTACCTCAACGAAGGTGAGGTCGGTCAAGCAGTGAGGGATTTCCTCGCCGAGAATAAGGATGTCAAGCGAGAGGACATCTTCATCTGCACAAAGGTCTGGAACCACCTCCACGAGCCCGAGGAGGTCAAGTGGTCATTCGAGAACTCCCTCAAGAACTTTGGCCTCGATTACATTGATCTCTTCCTTGTTCACTGGCCCATCGCTGCTGAGAAGGATGAGGACTACAAGCCCAAGATTGGACCTGATGGCAAGTACGTCATCAAGAAGGATCTCACTGAGAACCCTGAACCCACATGGCGCGCCATGGAGGAGATTTATGCTAGCGGCAAGGCCCGTGCTATTGGCGTTTCCAACTGGACCGTCGAGGGTCTCAAGAAGCTGCTGTCCTTCGCCAAGGTGAAGCCAGCTGTCAACCAGATCGAGATCCACCCCTTCCTGCCCAACGAGGAGCTCGTTCAATTCTGCAAGGAGAACGACATCCTCCCCTCCGCTTACTCTCCCCTCGGATCTCAGAACCAGGTCCCCACCACCGGTGAGAAGGTCCGCACCAACGAGACACTCAATGCTGTCGCCGAGCGCAGCGGCAACACCCTTGCTCAAGTGCTCCTCGCCTGGGGTCTGCGTCGCGGCTATGCTGTGCTGCCCAAGAGCTCAACACCCTCTCGAATTGAGAGCAACTTCCAGATTCCCAACCTGTCAGAAGAGGACTTTGAGGCTATTCAGAGTGTTGCCAAGGGCCGACATACTCGCTTTGTCAACATGAAGGATACTTTCGGTTATGATGTCTGGCCTGAGGAGACTCCTGAGAATGGAACCTCTGCTGTTTAAGTTATGAGATTATGATGAATACCCTGGTGCGTGGCAGGCCGCGTAAGGATGGATGAAAAAGATTGGAAAGGAAAGGATGTATTATAGCGTTTGGTTAGCGGGACAAAAGTTAGCATGAGAGTTATTCCGCTGTTTGGAAAGAGATGAAATTGATCACCTTTCAAACAATCATGGTAGTAATTCTTGTGACATCGTGATCCGTGAGACGAAACTCATCTCGGCAGATGACATGAGACTCTGGAGATGGACATTTTGCTTACTTCAATTAGAATCACTCATGCGTGAGAGACGATGAATTCAGACGACAACTGATCAGTAAAGTGAGACGATAGCTTCACCTTGAACTAACCAGCCGTTGAGCATATATCTTTTATCGTGATGGCATCATTTCAATTCGGCAAGTGTGCCGATAGGATGCACAATCTCATCAATGATCTGCAAAATCGCGCCATATACAAGACGCATCCTTGGTCTATCTCGGCGAGATCTTGCATAGGGTTATCAGATAGATCAACTCCCGTATAGGTACTTCTTATCAGTGACCAGTCAAATCAGTCCTCACATCTCACAAAACAACATCTTATCATAAGCATGGGCCAGTTTCTGACCGCTCTTCACGAGGGACTTTGATATACTGTACCCTGATGAATTGATAGGACGTGTTAATGGTTGTCGACAAGGTAGCGATCTTCAAGGTTGGCGACTTGGCGTGTATGTGCGCAGATAAGCTTTCATCGACTATTTTCACGAAACAAATAGTATCAAATCAAAGGTGTCCTAGAAATAATGAAGGGGTCAAATGTATGTGAGCTTCATGGGCGAGTGGTGATACTCTTCTGTTGAAAATCCTGAACGATTTCAATCGCGCACAAGGCCACATATTTCAAAATGATGTATTAAGGGAGCCGCCTCATGTTTAAATAGGATGACGGATAACTTGTGAAGCATTAGCAAGGCGCAACAGGAGAACTATGTTACTATCTTGATGGAGTTGACCTTAATCTCTCGTGCACTTGAACCTAAGCCTCCATCTTGTGCCAAGCCATGGCATAAGCACTGAGATCGAAACAATAAGGAAATTGTGCATATTTATCTCGCCAAGTGAATAAAGAAAAGGGTTCCATAAGATCGGCCCACTAGAATCCAAACATATTCTCATCCTCCACGTAACCCCAATCTATCAAATCGTTAGTAACCAGCCATTAATCACAGAACTAAACATACCTTTGAGAGCAGGAAGAGCAGCCTTCTGAATCATCGCCGGCGGACCGCACAAGAACACAGCACTCATCTCAGACGGCTCGAACAAGCTTTCCTTGATGATATCCCCATTCACATGCCCCGTCCTTCCCTTCCAGCTATCACCAGCATGGCTCAAGACATGAGTTACTTTCAACTGCCCATTGGACTTCTTCTCAAACTCGTCAAGCTCTTCTCTCAGTAAGATATCAGCCTCTGTTTTATTAGCGTCCACGACCCGAATCTCCGTCTTGTCGTTGTTGGAGAGGAGAATACGCGCGAGGAGAGAGTAGCCTGGTGTTATGCCTGAGCCACCAAGCACGAGGGATACACGATCGAAGTGACGATCTTTACTCTCGATGACGAAGCTTCCGTTGCCATTGTAGACTATTTCTCCAGTTGGGCCGCGAAGTTCAACCTCTTCACCGATGGGAATACAGTCCAAGATGTTGGAAAGAGCACCGCCCGGTTGGTTCTCATCGGGGAAATAGGTCTTGACTGTGAGCTCAAAAGTGCCGTCTCCATCACGAAGGGATTTGGCATTTCCGTTGGCCAACTTGTCATCTGGGGCTGGGAGAAGCGGCTTCGTGGGTGTGTAGGAGCGAATTAGCATCCTGTCTAGCATATGGAAACCAATCTGAACATGTTGGCATGTTCCAAGGCCGAGAATGTTCTTGCCCTCTGGCAGTTGGAAAGTATATGCTCTTGTGTCTTTGGAGAGATTCTTGCGGTCAATGAGTTTGACTGGAATCCATCTATGCTTTTCCAACGCTAGATGCTCGTCCTTGTTGCTCGACTCGGATGCGTCTTTAGCAGCGGCTGTTGCATTTTGTTTGATGAAGTTGGCTGCCTTCTCAGTCACAACACCAAGAGCACATTCTATTCCTCGTCAGACATATCCATGAGTAAGACTGCCGACTTACCTTTGAGTTTCTTGTGAGCATAATCATCATGGATACTGGAAAATTCATCACTCGTCTCCTGGTGGACTTTACCAGCATGGCCGAGAATAGCTGCAGGACCGCCAGGATGCCATTCAAGTACACTAGTTGCATCATAGACCTTTCCGTCGACGACAAGCCAGCAGTCGTTTTGAGTATTATGCTTCTCAATCTCTTCTCGGGTAAACTCCTTCTGAGGCGCGCCAGCCTCTTGCTTCGCCTCTGCAATTTTGTTCTCAACGCTTGGCTTCATCCATCCACCGTCTTTTGTAGCTGGTTCAACAGGGTGTCTGAATAGAATTGAGGGCGTTTCTGAGTCATTGTCCTCAGTTATCTCCGGACGTACGGTATACCAGCAGTTGTTCATCATACCCATGACATTCCAGTTTGGCTCTCTCGGCTGCGTGTTTTTGAACACGTTGAAGCATCGCACCATGATACTCTTTGCACGAAAAAGATGCACCAGCTCAACGTCTAAATGCCAGTGAAGCCAACTCCAGAACTTGTTTCCGTGGCGAATTGGGTAGTCGGGGAATTTGCGGATGCAGTACAGCCAAGTTGCCCCATCGTCGAGGGAGACTTCGACACGCTGGACTTCATGACCTCCACCGTCATACGCATATCCCTCAATGCGATAGTTCTCTCCTTTATTGGCTCTGTCCAAAGGAATCTTCTCGCCTTGTGCAGGCTTGACGATGACAGAATTGAGGTTCTGCTCATTGCAGGCTGTATCGGGATGATGAAAGAGGGCTTCGGCGAAAGGGCCATCTTTCTCGGTGACAAAGGATGGGAGAACTCGATTATCCCAGATATGATAATAAGAATCATTTTCCTTTTCGCTTATCCATATCTTCTTCAGCCACTTGACATTCCTCCCGCCGACATAGCCTGGAATGATAACACGAACGGGGTATCCATGATCAGGCGGCAACGGAACGTCATTCATCTCGTAGGCTAGAATAACGTCGTTGTTGGGTGACATGGCATGCTCGAACGGTATGCAAGTCGCGTACTTGCCCTCGCTCAAATCGTCAGTGCCTTCAAAGTTGACCCAATATCGCTTCTCCCCTAGGCCGGGAGGTTTCTCAGGAACACCATTCGCAAGGAGTACATCTCGAAGAAGAGGCCCTTTCCAATATGCGCAACTCGCGCCTCCAGCGCCCCAATTGAATCCCTTACTCTTTTTGATCATGTTAAGTTCCTTTCGCCTGTTTCCATCGCAAGCAAGCGCAACAGCGATGTTGATCGTATCAAACTCTTTCAGATCATCCATAGAAAGTCTCTGGGTTTTGCCGTCGTAGGTGATCTCCAACTCGTGAAATTCCCAGAGAATTCGCGGGACAGGACCATGGTTTCGCACGTAGTGAAGCTCGTTAGGCGTGATTAAGCCAGCCTCGTACAGTCGCGTCAACGGTGCCTCGGCATTGAGAGGGTGCTTTCCAGTGAGACGGATGAGATCCGGAGAGCGAGGAAGCCAATTGTCTGGGCTGAACTGATCCTGTTCATCGATTGAGATTTGCGTGAGATTCTTGTGCTGAGGAGACCTTTTCTTTCCGTTGTTTTCTTCGAGATATTGTATGTAGCTCTTTTCGTGCTCCAGAGCTCTGAGAAGGGCTATCTCAGCTGGCGTATACTTGTCTAAAAGCTTCGGCTTCTCATTCGAGCTCTTTTCCTGTTTCTTTTCTTCGTTTTCTTTGGTCTTTGCGTATGCATCGTGATGTTTGTCTTTGTCTGAAGAGCGTTTCCACTCGTGCTCTTGCTCAGGCGTGTCATCCTTTTTATCACTCTTTGCTTCTTCCTCTTTTCTCTTCTTCTCCTCTTCCTCCTTCTTCTTCAGGTTTGCGGGCCACTGCTCTTTATTCTTGACCCAATCTTCAGTCGCATTGAGAACATATCTCCATCCAAGTGAGCGATTCTCAGGATGTCGCAAATGAAAGTCCTTGCCAGAGTTAGTTTTCTGGCCGATTGAACCCCACGACACAGAGATTTACCTTTTGATTCTCAATCAAGTCTCTGAAGTTGATCAACTCCCCACTCTTGGCTCTCTTTTGAAAAGCAAGATACTTCTGCTTCTCTCGCGCCACCTCCTCTCTCCACTCATCGTCTTTATGAGTTAGTCCAGGAAGTCTGTCATTTCGGTCTCTGAAGCCAACACGGTGCTGGTGTCCGGAAACCCAATCCGGCTCGTTCCGGATCTCTTCAGCCGTTGACCCAGGATGGGCTTGAACTTTGACAACCCAAGGCTTGCTGTGAGGCATATTGTCAATATCTCAGACGGAGCTTTCGCAAATTGAGTGACCAGAGTTACTGGTGTGGTCTGACAGTTTATGAAGATTCCAAGCGTGACGGTTTCGGGATCTTGACGCCGCGGAGAAAACGAAACATGACGTCGATGACATCCAGAACAGCTTAAGCTAAACTAAGTTAAAGAATAATTGACTAATATAAAACTTTTAGCTCTAGTTTTTGACTTTCGCATCCAAGAATCATGATCCAATCCTGCCGGTACTGCCGAAGGATGTTGAATGAAGCAATCGCAGCATGACAAAAGCCGGAAAAGCTGAGTTTATGCAGCTTATCCTTGATTCTTCTCAATATCTAGATATTTATCACAAACGTTCAATGAATTATTTCACTTTAGAATAATACTTATGGCCCGTTATTATGGTGCTTTCTAATTGCTTTTATTGTTTAATGAATCATGCTGCGTCTCGGAGTCGAGGCAGTAGGAAAATATTATTGCATGAACCTCAAGTTCAAAATTCCACACATACAAGGTATAGCTAGCCAATTAAGACACTGTAACAAAGGAACCAATTCTACTGCAATCCAGCGCAGAGACTTTTCAATCAAAGACATTGCGAGTAATAAGGGTTGAGAACCTTGCAAGTCGAGCCCCATTGGCAAACCGTCGGTCCTGTATATTCCTTTCCCCCACATTGGCTGTACTTGGGAAGGCCTCCTGTAGCGGGACCGCAGATGATATCGTCATCGTCCGTGGGCTGCGGTGTGTCCTTTGTTGTGCTAGATGAAGATGACTTGCTTGTTGTTGAAGTCTTCAGTGTTGTATCGCCTCCAACAGCAGTGCTGGTCGATGCAGAGTTTGCCTTTGATGTTGAAGAAGACGATTTGCTACTCGTGCTAACTTGGGTCTGTCCTGGTACAGTCGCACTCGATGTTGCAGTTGCGGCAACAACACGCTGAGAGACAGTAGAAGGGAGACCAGGAACCAGTGTAGGGCCGGGAATCTTATAGGACAAAGGAGTGGTGTAGAGGTTGAAGAGAATACCAGGATCGTTGGCCTTGTAAAGCTGTGTACCCTTGACGCCCTCTGGAGCCAAGTCTCCGTCACCAGTGACTTTAAGATTGAAGCATTGGGGGTAGTTCTGTGCTCCATTAGGCTGACCAGAGCCGTGCAGCGCAATAATCTCGTGGCGAAGAACATAGTTGCCTGGGGCCAGGGCCTCGGGGATTTGAAGTGTCCAAGAGAAGCCAGTGGCAACAAGGACGTCAGCTGCCCATTTTCCGCTGTGCATAGACATGTCTATAAGACCTTCTTGACCAATCTTGAAAAACTCAAGATCGTTCTTGTCAACAGTCTCGCAGTCTCCAGGACATCTTGCAAGATAATCAATCACAGGCCCCTTGTGCGACTCGGGCCATGTGTTCCATTGCAAAGTGATCTTGTCACCTGCTGCGACAGTTACATGGCCCTTGCCAGGTCGAGCCGCCCTGTGGCAGATGATATCGGGGTCTGCGAATGAATTGGGCTCAACATAGCCATTATCAGTCGCACCGTTGGTCCAACCGACGACAGGAGGATGATTGGGATTCCAGCTCATCTCTGGGGCAGAGTACCCGCGAAAGGCAACACCATTGGTGACAAGCCAGTCTACGTGGCCGTGAGCAGCGACTTGCGCGGCTGAAGCTGCGAAGGTGAGGAGTGAAGATGTCTTGCGTGAGGGCATCGTGAAGTGGAGACTGACTAGCAGTAACTGAGATCTGAAAAAGGAAAGCACTTGTGTATTATTATTAACTTGGCTTCAGAAGGCTTCTTTCGACTATTTTATATATCTCGTCTTCATGCTCTGCCAAGTGACCCTGGAATGGCTGTCTTGAAACCCAGATGGTCTAGACCAGACTTGTCAACGCCACCACGTTCTACAGCGCAATTCCCGCATGTGGTTGAGACAGCTTCAAGCCTCAAATGCCAATGTCTCAAGGACAGACGGAAAACTCGTCTGATCATGGGTTTCAATATCTTGATTTCGTGTTGCAGTGGCTTATCAAGGACGCCATGGCTTATTACTGAAGATGGCACAAGTGTTTCTTGCAAGGTGTATTCTCAAAACTCGATCTTCAGAATTAAAGCCATTCGTTTGGGTGGAACAAGACGTTTCATTACCGTGAGAGACGCAGTTGAACTATACTGTGATTTCTGCTTCGAACAGCTATTACTCAGAATTCGCAATGCCATCACTAAGAACGGCAGAAATAGAAACGAACGAGCCTCAGGTCCATTTAAGCCCAGATGTCGATCGATCAGATCTTATCAGCCCTGCATCCTGTTTCTGTCTGGCCTAGCCGGTATCACAATCCCTTCACAACACATGGTTAAATCTAAGCTTAAGCCACCATGTGCAACATATTTGACTCCAACTGAAACGTTCCACCGGCCTTGAATCTCTTCACTAGAGCTGTACCTGGTATCGTGGCGTTGTCAAAGTATGAGATCGAGCTGGAGATTGATGCGCTATAAAACGCCGGATGGAGCTTGGGCCTGCTTTCTTGAAATATGCCTGATGGACTCAGCTCCTGTTTGAGGAATGATGGGCGATATGGGACACTGAGTGAATGGTATTGTAAGTGATAAGTTTATTGTGAAGTTACGAACTACCAAAAGCGTCTTGCCCTGTCATAATGCCCTTGTGAAAATCCTCCCTTGATCCCAAGGGCTTCGAGCTGGCCATTCACCACATTCCAAACCCTAACGAGAACCCCCTGTAAAGCCCTTCATAAAAAGCTTCCAGGAACCAACAGGTATGCATCCTCCCCTGCATACCCTAGCCTCACCAACAAACGCCACTCAGCCATCATCTGGAGTTGCAAACGGGAGCGTTCGGCCGCACCCGTCCAAGGCATGCGCCCATTGTCCAAACATCTCGATTCAATATCTAGAAAGTCCATTCTAGACTGGTTCACAAATCCGGTGTTTCCTCGGTAAATTTCTTGGCGAAGGCGAGATGTCTTAGACCTCCAGCTAAGGGGTTGGAATGCACTGGCTAAGATATGTGACGGCAAGCTTTCGCTAACTTTAATGATAACTTTATCTATATTCTTGCTTGTTTCAAATGTGACAGGAACAAGGCCTTACTCTTGAGTTTACTGAATAACGGTTATTGAAGGTCAAACTGGTGATGTTGGATGCACCATTCCTCTGTGCGACGCAAACGTCGATCTTGAAGAATGCGAAAGGCTCTCCGGTGGTTTGATCCTATGATTGGCCAGTGACTTGTTAGAAGAATACGACAAGTCAGAGACAAGATTGATAGCTTTACGAGAGACTTGTCCTTGGACTCGGGGAGCAAAAAGGCTTCGTGTCTTGGAATCAGAATACCAAAACAACTGGTTCAAGGGCTTCTTGAACTTATACGACCTAAGTCTACTCAACTTATTTTTGTCGTTTAGCATAGAAGTCTGAAGTTCCTTCCCTCCCCAGCTAAATCAATGGTGATGGTTTAGCATGCAGTTATAGCAAAATGGAAAACGACTAGAACACAATTTCGTTTTATGGCATGTTATTATGTAGACAGCTTAAGATGTAGCTTGAATAATCCTATCAGCCATCTCGCTCAGACTATCCGACATAACATCCATCTCCCCAAAGATGTCCACGCAGGGCTCTTTCTCCAGCACAGAGCAATACGCAGACTTGAACCTGCAGAACACCCATTAAATGAGAAATGGCACAATAATGATTCACTTACCCTACTAACTTTGCGGCAGAAACATCCCACATATGGGCTGCGGCGAAGTAAAGCTCTTGGGCTCCCTTCAACTCCTCAAAAGTCGAGGCATATGCCTTGAGATCCGGCTTACCTACTCCAAACGAGTCACAAGAAATCAGATGCTCCCTCGGAAACTCAATGCCCGCCTTGTCAAAGTATCCAAGCACTCTATCAAAGTCCCCAGCTGTCAGACCACGCACCGTGAACCCCGCTGCGCGAAGCTTATCGAAACACTCCTTGAGATCAGGTCTTGGCTCAAGTTCCATGTACCCTTGCGTAATCTTCTCAATATCACCCTCACTTGCGAAGGAGCGTGGCTCCTGGATGCCTGCGAGCCAGAGCATGCGATAAAAAAGGGACGAGAAGAGCTTGTCGAATGCGATGTAGCGGTTGGTGATTGAAAGGTACGTGTATTCACGCTCAGCGGCTTCAATCCAGAGGTTCACGAGAAGATTGGGCTTCACATTTTCGGCCAGTAGCTTTTCACCGAGTTGTTTCTCGACTGCTTCTATGAGCTTGTCGTACGAGACGCAGGTCCCGACGATGTCGAAGACGACGTACTTTTCGTTGTTGGGTGACATGTCGGTCTCAGGACAATGATAGTGACTCGGAGATGAATAGCGCGCAATGAGTGTCTGCGATCACAATCATAGATAAGTCTCTCTGCGTTGACCCACAACCCCTCAATCTAGTGATGCAACCTAAAATCAGCTTTAAATCCTCCGTAATCGGGTACTGGTATCCGGAAGTTGGAGTTGATAGATATTCGGATGCGTATCCGTTGGCTCATGTGGGGACCGGGTAAAGGAACCGAGACGTATCAGAAACGACAATACTTCGTCTGTGCATTTGATAGCTATGAACATGTTATTTGCCAGACCTTCTCAATCCAGCATGAATCCTTGAAAAACAGTGTTCATCGTATATACCATCCCTGGTAAATCCTTCCAATCGGTTCCCCAACACACCTGCTATAGGCAGTCTCATACACGGCTTGCGAACTCCCAATTAATGCTTGTGGGGATAACGGAAATGGCAATAATCACAATGCATAACCAGCTCGCCGCCATCAAGCTCGATGTATGCACCAAAACTCGCCTTGCATCTTCGATTGCGGCATTTATCGATGTCTTCAATGTATTCGAGAAACGAATCAAGCTTGTCCTTGTCGAAATTTCTGGACGCTAGTGTTTTTGCATCATCTCGCTCCTTTGTGAGGGCCTTAATCCTTTCTTTCTCTGCTCCCAGAGCTTGTTGAATTTGGTCTCGCTCAGCTAGAGACATTCCGACTTGTCGTTTTCTCTTCTCCGCTTCCAGGTCTTTCTTGACGCTGATGCACTCTTGAATGGCTTCGGCTGATTTCTTGCGCTCGTTGGTGTATGCGTCTTGCCAACGCTGTTTGTCGCTAATCGCGTCTGCGGCATCAATACTCGCTGTCTCGAGTTCCTTTACGGTTCGAATGAGTTGGGCAGAAAGCTTCGATGATTCTTTTTGTTCATCTTTCAGAGCATTTCGAAGCTCGCCACGTGCAGATGTCAAGACGCTGTCCTGTGTCTTCTTCAATTCGTCATGCTCTTTGCTCAAGGTGGACAGCTTTTCTTTCACATCCTGCCATCGAGATCTGAGCAAGTTCTTCTCAGATGTCACCACTCGTAGATCCTGTTGAAACACCCCGAGTGTTTTGGTGGTTTCCGATAGTTTCAAAGCTGACTGGGCAGCCTTATTTCTCTCATTACCCAGGCGCCGCTGAAGATCATCCCGTTCAGCGGAAACAGTAGCGACTCTCTGCCGGAGCTCTTCTTTCTTAGATGAAGTAGCCGGTTCCTCGCCCTGTGACTGGGTTTGTTCAACGGTAATATTTGAAATATTCTGTCGGAGTTCTTCCTTCTCAGCTGCAATAGCCAATACCTGGTCTCGAAGTTGGTCTCGCTCAGTGCAGACAGTGTCTACTTGCTGTTGAAGAGACGCGACTTGGGTTCGGAGCGACTCGAGCTCAGTGGAGCTTTCTCTCTGGCTTGCCTGAGCTGGTGCGGGTTTGACTTGATCTCCGTTTTGCTGAGGAATATCATCTTGCTCTCGGAACTTGGGATGGAAACTTTTGAGCATCGTCACATGGTCGAAACCGTTCGAAGTGGTCAGAGAATGCAAGTGCCCCCTCGCAAGATTAAGAAGCATCTTCTGCAGCTTATCGTCCTTTGACTTCAAGACAATGGCGGTAGTGAAAAGGAAAACCGAATCATACCAGTCCCTCGCGAAGACCTTCTGGATGTTGTCCCTAGCAAGTTCGCATAGCTTTGAAACACCATAGTGATTGCCGATGGCACTAATTTGAAGATGGCAGGTTAATTCATCGCGCATGTAACGGTCCAGAGCCGGTACACCTCCAGCTGATAGTGATTAGCTTTTGCCATGAACATGAACGATAAAGGCCAACTCCATACCGGCTTGCAGCACACATGGAAAGTTCCTTCGGTCAACTTCATAGCATCCGGTCTTGAAGAATTCAACCATACAGTTTACCGTGTCCAGAGAGAACTCTTTCACGGTGACAACTGGATTCTGAGATGGCTACTAATGTTAGTTACGCCCAAGAAGCAAGGAATGGCAGGTAGCTCACATTATTTGCGGCATCTAGAGAAGCTGCAAGCTTTGGTGACTGTGCTCGAGCGGCCGATTGAAGGACGCTGAACGCGAAATCCTTGCAGAGAAAGATGATAGACGGAAGTGTCGGCTCCATGGTAGCGGAGGCTTGCACAGCTGTAGCGATCTAAAAAGGTTGTCACTTATCGGATTGCAAATATTACAGGCGACGAGCAGAATGAAGATGTAGGGAGAGAGAAGAATGGGTTGGTGTTGAAAGAAGAGAGCTGCCTTAGTGAATCGGAAGGAGGCGGGCGGGCAGGCGAGCAGCTGTTGGCACTGGCAGCGCTTTCCCTCTGTTCAGGTTTAGGCAACCGCCTTGACAAAGAGGTGGTGAAAGACCATTAACTTCAATATAAGATCTTGCTCTTCACTTGAGTGCTGATACTGCGTGATTCATAGGCAAGAAAACTTAGGACCCCTATTCTAAGTAACAAAAATACTTAGGTAAATCTAATATAGATTTAATAGGTCTTTTGATTAGTTATTTCCATCACCTAGCTTAAGGTTAGAAGTTTTCTTACTACCTGGGGTCTCGCCAAAATCCTTCAAGGTCCAACAATATTTATGCTTAACCAACACTGATAACCTCACATTTCAGGCTTGGGATGATCTGGTCGGTTGTTGATCAAAGATCTGCACTTATTGACACGATCTACGCATCGAGGTGTCGCGGAGACGATACCTGTGTTTTAACTGGTCCCCAGTTCCAGGCGGTCAGGGTAGGGTAAGACTTTAGTTTATTTAGCTGCACATTTGGAAATAGCCTCTATCTATTGGAAGACATTTGAGACCTGAACTTAAGAGGTTGCGCAGTACTACATATTGCGGATCAAGGTTCGAGAAATGCTTGGATGGTGCTGTTGTACTCTGCTTTGTGATCGTTTGAAAGTCAAGTATTGATCACATGATAGGGTCAACTCGGATATGACCGGCGGCGGTTTTCGTCTCATCATCAGAGTACCCGTGACAGAGAGAACATCAGATAATGATAGATCATCTCGTTCCAACCAACATATGTAGGTCAAAACTTGCGCAGTGAATTGGTCGATAACGTAAGCTTCGGGGTGGGTAGTTGAAATCATTTGTCAACAGTCATGGTTTCACAGTCGAATTTCGTAATCACGCACTGGCACGAGTAGCGTTATTGAGACCCATTTCGAGACACCAATCTTCGGGTATTTGAGTTCTCATCTGATCTCAATAGCTACGATGAAACTGGCCTCGGCCGAGCATAAAATGGGCTCAGGGCAGCGTCATCACCCAGCTTCGGATCTTGGAGGAGCTTCTTCAAGGCCGAATACTCATCACCGACGTGGTAGAAACGAACAACAAGCTTATATTCGACGCTGAAAGAACCGTTCTGGTTCCCTTCATTGCACCGGGCGTATAAGAACTTAAGGAGGATCTAAGAAAGAATCCAGTTGTACAGTACCTTAATAAGAAAGACTCTCAAATAGGCCGTTGGCTTAACCAGCTGCTCAGTATCTTGGCTATACCCCAATGCTAGGTATATCTACCTATATTACATATTGAAAGTTAGCTGAATCAGTTTCAAAAAAAAAAAAAAAAAAAAAAAAAAAAAAAAAAAAAAAAAGACAATGCCAGGTAGTGTAGTGGTAACATACCACCCTTCACGATATCGCTCCGGCAAGTCGTTGTATAGCTGTGCTACGAAGGGTGGTATCGCAAGGTTCAATCCTGCCCCGGCAATATTCCTTTTTTAATTTCTATGTTTTATTTTATGTATTCTTTATTTTATGTCTATATAAGTAGTATGGTTTAGTCTTGTAAACTACAAGTTTGTTAATACGGGTATCCCATTCTATGGCGATAGAGTCAGCTTGTTCCAACAACGAGGTGTAGAACTTATTCATCTCTCGCTTCAATGTGTTCTGGTTGTCGCTGTACAATGCTCCTTTGGCATTCATGCACCTGAGCAGCTTCCTCTAGCGTTGGGTCCGGTGCGATGTCGTCCATCTTGAACATTAGATGCAAAGTGGAGGGCCATTACCATCGCATCGAAGAGATCGAGGTGAGGATATATGATCAGATGAACACGCTCCTATGTTTATTTCTAGCAAGCGAGTCGCCGTTGTTATCATCGTCCGCTCATTGGCTATGAGTCTGATGAAGACGGCCATTCCCGGCCTTGAGCATCTGTAAATACAAGAATTTGGGCTCGGGACGGTGCCCTCGCAAGCCTCATCACGAAGGAGTCTGTGAACAATTGTATTTCACTGATGTTTCCGTTTGGTATTATTCAAATCTTACACGCGCGGTAGATAGTCTCTCAACGCACTGATAAACAGTCACTGCATGATCCACGCTCCACATCGAGGATTTCCCTGCAGATCCTTTCTTTGGGTCTCTGGATGGCGCAGACGGGAAATCACCCGTCCCTCAACATGGGTGTGCTTAGTGTGATTGTAAGTCGACATAATAGCGGGAAAAATGACAGAAAGGTATGACACCATACTGCCTTGCTAGTATATGTATCGAGTCAGGTGCAGTAGTGTCAAAAGGAGCACGAAAGCAAGCAGAAAGCAAGTAGAAGGATGTGACAGCAGCATAAGGCGCTTTGTGCTTTTGTCGCCTGTTCTCATCTCTCTTGTCGGCGTTGTGCTTGTGTGCCACGTTGCGAAAGATAGCGTAAAGGTGGGAAGAGAGGTTGTTAACTGCTGCGTAGGTAGTCAGACTGCTTGTGTGGAGTCGGTACCTTGATTGATTCCTGGCATTGTCAACACTGCGGTGCCAGGTTGTTTATGCCATAGTATCGGATGTCTCCGACGCTGGTTGTCCCCTGGCGAAAGCGTATATTTACTGGCGTAATTATTGAAAATTTTCATTGGATACAAGCGGGTGTTTAAACTGCCCGAAATTGTATTAAAAATGAGGTATTGGTTTTACCGTGTTGTCTGGATCTGGGGTATCTTGTGATGTTTCCGACGCGTTCCCAGGCAATGGAATGGAATTAAGTTTTCTAATAAGTTATAAGAAATATGTCCCTTTTACTACCTGCTTATTAAATATAAGGTTTTAGTACGAATAGATTATTAGTACTCTTAGTCTTTTCACTCTCAGAATATGCAGAGCTCTCGGCACCGGTAGCTTCTCGGCCTGTCTTATTACTGGTATAGCACTGAACTCGGATGGTCACGACCTTCGGGAGACTAAGCGCCGTCACGACGAAGTGAATTCATGTGTCGACTTCCTTCTCAACTTCGGTGGATTTATGTACATCGGTGGTATTCTACCCTGGAGTGACTTCCATGATCCTACTGGTACTGGCATAACCTGGAGTCGTCTCATAGGACTAGGCCTTCTCGTCCTTGTCTTCCGTTGTCTGCCCGCCATTTTCGCCTTCTACAAGCTCATGCCCGACGTCTGCACCAACTGGAAGGAAGCTCTCTTTATGGGATACTTCGGACCAATCGCTTTAGCCGTCACGTTGACCCCAGTGTAGTTAACCTTCCATCCAGCAGGCCTCGTGATAATAACAGCTTTTCAGACGATGAAGATCTTGGCAAGGGACAGAAGCACGGTATGGCGATCGTTTAAGCATGGAATGGTGTTTATGTTTTGCAAAGTCATTCTTTATGTTTAGTCTGGTTTCTGGATAGCTCGTAATTTATTTGTCATGGTGTACATGATGCCACTCGTTTAAAAAGCCCGCGGCCATCTTCACTGCCTACCGTTCTTTGGGGAGCGCTTCCATTGAACCATCACTCTTCGTTCTTTGTCATCCCTTGCCTTGAAGTTCTGAGCGGCACTCTCTTGAACAGAAGTATTAGAAGAAGAGAGTGAGAGTAAAGTGGATGCCTACTCTTCGATACTACGAGCCCGCGATCGTAGCGCGCTCGCCTCTCAGTCCAAAATCGAATCACATAAGATGCTGTGGCGATTGCTAAGGCGCTATCTAATAGTAATCTTCGTATAGATCAAAGGGAATAGCAGGAATCTGGATAAGAAGAAGCAAACAACGCCTTAACAGCATCTAGTTTATTGGACTTCCCCCCACGAGGCACGACCAGCCCTTCAGTCCGTGTGACATCTCGATTCAGCCGCAAGGGAGCGAGAAGGAGGCAAATGGTCAAAAACCAATGATCAACCCTTCTTACGCAATCCACTTGTATCATGCCGCCAGCTCTAGACTCAAATCCAGCTGGACGGGGAGTTCAAAAGAAGGTGTGCCTGCTAAGACACCAACTTGCCACCCAGCTGAACAAACTATTGGACGCCATCCGTTGGGACGGGGAGTTCGAGGCTGTCACGGACCGTCGCGGTGGGTCAACGGCTTCTCGCTGATGGAGGCCTCATTAATCACGACATTTAAGCTAAGCGTTGCAAATTGGCTTTGGCTTGGCTTTGGCAAGGATGATTAGCGTTGGTGGGAGAGGTGCCGACTGAGCGTGATGGGGTCTCGATCCGTAGCTGTGCTTTGGAAGTTATCTGATAGTGATCTTAACTTTGAAGTGCCGCTTACGAAGTCTTGGACCAGTCATTTAGCGCAAAAGCCATTCATAGTCGTCTTTTACACGGTCAACTATGGCTGAGAGCCATTACGGTTCAATGGTTGCCGTTTTACGGATTCACCCACCGTTCGATATGATCCACCACGATGTCAACCGCCGGGTATCCCGGCGAGACAAAATTTTCAGACTCGGACGGTCGCCGATTAAGGGCATTGCTCACCCAGATCACCTCAATTTCCTGCAAGATTTCGTCTGTGGGGGTAAGCACGCATTAGTCGGTGATAAACTTCATCAGCCAAGCTAGAAAAGCCATGTTCTAGTGGTGAGAATTTGAGGCTGGAATTGCGACATCCGAAGCGACAAGGGTCAAAAGGAGGAAAACATGCTCGGATTATCGGTGCGGAGTCAATGAATGTCATCCCGCGTGTGCATGCTCGGTCAGACAAGAGGCTTGGTCTCGTGTTCAAGGAAGAAGCAATTCTGTTGCCAAGCTGGCGGGCATGTCTTGTCGTGCTTGTCGTTGGTCATCGCGTACTGTCCAAGGTCTTAGCATGGGGGTGATCTCTTCTCGTTTAAGCTTATCGTCTCATCAAGGCAAGAATTCCGTCATCCGGAACTCGTTGAATTGGACCGATGATTCCGACGCTAAGAGGGTGAGTCGTGTACCCACAGAATAAGGCTTGGATTAAAGCTCATGAGCTAATTCTTAAGCTTATTTGTGTCGCATTCATGTGATGATCGCCCCAGCATAAGGGATGCCTTTCTCTCTCATTCTTTCGTCACGTTTCTGATGTTACTAACAACTTTTGAGAGCCATTCTCAGCTTACGGCGTTACTGAGCTCCCCGCTCAGAGCGTTTGTTGCCATTTCCCTTGGCGTTCCTACGCCAAGTGCGCTGAGCGAAAAGTTTCGGGGCGTCTGGCGGGGAGTTCATCTGGGCTACTGTGATAAAGTTCGACACCATGCAGACGCCTCGCCGGGGAGATGGTAACCCATGATGATGATTGGACTCTTGTTGATTCGGTGAGTCATTTATTTTACTCGTAACCCCCACAAGTTGGTGAATTTGGTGGTAATTGAGATAAGCCAAGATGTCTTGGGTTGGTTCCAAGACGGGGAGTTCGAAAGGTTGCAAGGATGGGCTGTTGATCCTCGACACGACACCATCTTTGATGGTGGTCATGGTTCGTTAGTGTCGCCACTGTCACATTTCTTTCTTCTTGTATCATGTTATTGAATTGAAGCTCCGCTCTTGTGTTGTGAAGAGATTCAGGCTCTCTTGAAGCAGATCTCCTGTGAAAGTTCAATTAAGATCTGGGCTGGTTTCAGGGTGATTGATCGCTGCAACTCCCCTAGCATCGAATTCTATGGCACGGCTGATTGGGGTGACAGAAGAAATGGCTGGAGAGTCATAAAACTGGTACTTATCTAGATTTAGAAAACATTCTATAAGAACAACTTAAATTAATAAAGAATTATATAAATCTTTTTTCTGTATATACTATTCTTTATAATTTTATTTATTCTAAGATTCTCTAAGACCTGCCATTTCTTCTGTCACATTAGGGACGCGCACCTGCCCCGGCACTTGCGTATTGCGTGCTCACTTGGCTTGCACGCCAAGGCCATCGAGACCGACACCAATTCCGGTCCGTCGTTTCCTCTTGGCAAGACTTGAGATGATAGAAAAGGGCGACATCAGAACCTTTTTCTTTCTTCCCAATGCAGTCTTCATCAGCATCTTTATCATTCTCGACCTCGAAAATGGGCAAGCTTGACACTGTTTCATCATCAAAGTCCCACTCGGACTTCCCTCAGCCTAGAGAGGATGAGGAATCTCTCACCCTTCGCAATGATTGGTCCATTGATGAGGAAAAAAGAGCCAAGCGCAAGTATGTCATCACCCTACTCTTCAGCTTCCCGTCCTCGTGGGAAATACACAAGCCTGCGTTCGCTGCCCTGCTGCCCTAGGTGTACTCTTACGGCTTGCAATTCTTTCCATAGTTGTCGCTGTCGTGGTGTTGTCCCGGTACTAACCGTTGTGTAGGCTTGACCTTATCATCATGCCGCTGTTGACCCTCGGATTTTTCTGCCTTCGTACGGTGTCCAGTCGCACTATTTTATGATATTTCCATGGCTAATAATAGCAGAACTCGATCGAGGTAACATCGCTAACGCCCTGACTGATAACTTCATGGAGGATGTCGGCGTAACCCAGAACCAATTCAACGTCGGTCAGCAAATGCTCTCCCTCGGCATCGTCCTCTTCGAAATTCCATCCAACATGATCCTCTACCGTGTCGGGCCCGGCAAGTGGCTTACTCTCCAACTGTTCCTCTTCGGCACAGTCAGCACCTTCCAAGCTTTCCAAAACAACTACGGATCCTTCGTCGCAACACGATTCCTTCTCGGTATTACCGAATCTGGGTTCATCCCCGGCGGACTTTGGACTCTGTCGACTTGGTACACACGCAAGGAAACTGCTAAGCGTGTCATGTTCTTTTACTTTGGAAACCAGTTTGGCCAAGCTTCTAGCAAGCTCTTGGCTTATGGTATTCTTCACATGCGTGGCGTTGGAGATAAGGCTGGTTGGTTCTGGCTTTTTGTCCTTATGGGTGCTTTCACTGTTCTGAGTGGTGTTGTTTTGGGTTGCTGCTTGCCTGATTCGTTCAAGAATCCCCGAAGCACGTTCCTGCCCAACGTCAAGATCTTTAATGAGAGAGAGTTGCATATTCTCCAGACCCGTGTTCTTCTCGATGACCCTATGAAGGGAAAGAAGAAGAAGAAGATCGGTCTTGGTGCCTTCAAGAAAGCTGTAAGGGCATCGCCTACAACTATGAAGATCACACGTGGCTAACATTATCAACAGTTCTCCAACTGGCGCCTTTGGGTCCACGTTGTCATCACACTCACCAACAACGGCCCGCAACGTGCTTTCGATACATACTCCCCTTCCATCGTCAAGAGCTTTGGCTTCCAAGGTCTTACTAGTAACGCCCTCGCCTCAGTCGGTCTCTTCCTTCAGATCCCTGTTTCGTGGTCCTTCAGCTACGTTTCTGATCGATTGTGAGTCAACTTCCGCCAGTAAATTGTCACTACTAACAAACTTAATAGTAATAAGAGACCAGAGACTGTTATCGCGGGCTTGAGTATGCACTTGTTGGGTTACGTGTTCAACCGTATCTTCACAGAGCTCGGACGTAGAGGAGTCAGCTATTTTGGTGTTGTGTGGACCCAGACCTTTGGCACCTTTTCCCACCCTCTCAACATCGCATGGATGTCGCTGGCTTGTGACGATTCAGAAGAACGAGCCCTTGCTATGGCTATGTAAGTCCTCCACATCACAACAATCAAGGATGCTTACTAATAATAACTCCTAGGGTCATTATGGGAGCCAACATTGCAGGAATCTATGGTGCCCAGATCTTCCGATCCGACGACAAGCCCAAGTATCGCCGTGGCTTCACCATCAACATCGTTGTTCTTGCAATCGGCCTCGCACTTGCAGTCCTTCGTTTCTTCGATGATAAAATCTGGCGTCGCTCCAAGGTTGCTGAGATCCAGCAGCAGCTTGCGCGTGAAAACGGCGATAGTCAGAGTGATGAGAAGAGTGATGGACAGAGAGACGACCACACGCCGACTCTTGGGCTCGAGAAGACATCCCCTGCGGAGTTGAACCCTATCGCAAAGCCTACTTAGTGATTGTTTGCAGTTATATCTTTATTCTGAGTCTTCGGTAAAGTTTTATAATTATGCCTAAAGTAGTAAAATAAATCGCTAGTTTTATACAAAGTCTTAAGAAACTTATATTAGTTTTATAAATTTCATAAATTTTATAACTTTATCTAAGAACCTGTAATTATAATCCTTAAGCCGAACCAGACTTAACAGTCTTATAAATAGAATTATACCCCGCCAACGACTTTTCCTCCAACTGCGCAAAGTCCTGTCCTCTAAATCTCTCAGGATCAAGAGCCTCCTTCGTCTGGTGATCCACTTTATCCCCATCAATGATCCTCGTCAGAACCTTGGCTGTACCAGCAGCATGAGTAACCCAGACTGCGACTGCCATGAACAATCCCTCCAAAGACTCAACCTTTCCAGCAAGGGGCATATTGTCTGGCGTCATACTAAACACTCCATTGAAGTAATTCCCATCTTGAAATTCCTGTGCTGCAGCAGGAGGAAGTAATCCCGTAGCGAAATCAAGAGGTTGCTTGAACCAGTCAACCCACCCTCCCTTCGCGGTAGTGCTCGGTTTGTAACCGATAGGTGCGTGGTCATAACTCCCGATGCCGAAATTTGTACCATGATCGCGTGCGTAGACGTGATGTTCTGGCCAACGAACGAAAGGGATCTTGTGGGGAAGTGGTTCGTGAGGTTGAGCATGCATGTAGGGATGACCGACGGGGATGACGGGGACAGGGAAGGGGAGGTTCGATGAAAGACCTTGGGCCCAGATTCCAGTTGTGAGGATGACTTTATCAGCGGTGAGATGACGCGATGTCTCATTCTCAACAACCTCAATGCCTGTGACGCGGCCCTCTGAGATGGTAAGTTTCTTCACATCAGCTTCCACGAATTTGACTGCACGCTTCTGCGCCTCTTGTTGATACCAAGTCGTTATCTTCACCGCATTCGCCGTCCCATCTTTCTCGAAGAAAACCGCCTCACCCTCGCCATCCTCATTCACCAACTCAGGTACCAAACTATGTGATTCCTTAATGCTCAGCATCCTGGCCTCGAGCCCCAGCTTCTTCGCATCGTCACATCTCGCCTTCAATCGTTGAATGCCCTCATCTTGAAACGCAATCTCCAAACCGCCAACTCTATCAAAACCACCAGGGATTTTTACATATTCCGAGACAGTGTCGATGGCAAGTTTGGTGAGGATCTCAGACTCGTTGAATTGGCCGATGAAGCCGGGGGCTATGCCTGATGAACCGAGAAGAGAGGTGAAGGAACGGTCGATTAGGGTCATGGTTCGAGGGGCTGATGATTGGGAGAGGTAGTATGCTAGGGAGGAGCCGACGATGCCGGCGCCGATGATGATAACTGATTCAGTTGGTTTAGACATTTTGAGGTGAAGAAGAATTTTTCAGATTGTTTTAGTGACAAATGCAGGCTGTGAAGACTATATAGCCTCATCGGAAGAGACTTATACGACGCCCAGCAAAAGTCAAGTCAGTCCAAGGGCGCATCGGGATCATGATTCGGCCAATCAGGTCTTTTAAACTGTCCCTCTTCAACGACATGTAGACCCACTATGAGGTTCCCTCCATTACCCAAGCTAAAAACTCCACAAGCTGAAGAGTCAAGAAATCAACGCGCCCTTACAGCGGGGACGAAAAATTCCGGTACGATGAATCGGAGGATCCTCGTCTTTATGTCTGTTTTAAAGCAACTTGGCTAACAAAAGCCGGTCAGCCATGCTTAGTGCGGTGATGGTCTCAATAACGACTCCCTGGGGGACGACCGGTGTCAGCAATAAGACCTCGTTGGGGTCAATTAGACGCACGCAGATGCGAGAAGCGAGACACGAGATCTGACGGGTGTCTTGTTGATATTGCTGAGTGAGATATTAGCTTATTTGCCCAGGGAGGTGTCAGAATTAAGCTTATATCGTATCCGAAAAGGCCACATGCATAACGATTCAGTCTTGTGATACATCCTCTACATCCCAAGATCACCGGATTCTTGTCGAGTATATAGGTATGCCTCTAGTGATGTAAAGTTATCTCTAGGGAAGATTCAAGTAGCACTCCAAAGTTGATATCATCACACCAGATAACCTTAACCATGGCCTCTACACAGACGCACAAGATCAGATCAGCCATCGAGGCCACTGTAAAAAGCTATATTACATCTTTCATCGATACTCGTACCCAGAACAATCCCTCGCTTGTAAACCGAAACCTCACGCCGGACTGCACACGCTCGATGCTTCCCTCTACCCTAGGCGGCGGTTTCAGCATGACAAACGACGCATACCTTCATGCCTTCACCGAAGGTCTAAAAGTAGGCGGCATGCATGAAAACACCATCTTCGACCTGATCATTGATGTTGATACCCGGAAGGCAGCTGTTACTACTATTGCTGAGTTGGTTTTCAATAATGGGGAGGAATTAAAGTTGGATTTCTCGTGGTTCTTGCATTTTAATCAAGATGGGGATAAGATTTGTAAGATTGTTGAGTTTGTGGACAGTGAGAAATTTAAGAGTGTTAAAGGAAGGGAGGGGGAGTTGAGTGGTGAAGCGCAGAAGAATGCGTAAACACCCTAGGAACAGTGCTATCAGAGCAAATCTATTTTCCTTTACGTGTATATTCAGACTCGTACATGTCTCAATCGCGCTGCTAAAGTGTCAATACTCAATCGAGGACTTAGTTAGGTAGTTCCAGCATCGCTGGCACAACTCTTAAGGACCGCCTCAGCAAGATGCTGCAAATCCGGCAGGCCAAAAGGAAACCCAAAATCATAACCCACTCTCGCTTCAAGTTGAGCCAGACATGCTTCATCGGTCAACGTACGCTTTCCCCTCTCAACGATATCCTCTTGAACTAGACCGCGAGTATGAGTGCTAGGGCGCAAGGCCACATGAAGAGCTCGTCATTCTTTTCAGCAGCCTAGAGCTCTTCAAACCTTTCGACGACGATTCTCTTCACCGTATCGTTATTGATCCGAGCGAAGAAGATTGCAATCGCCAATACAATCGTCCCACGCACCAAGCTGTCAGTTTCTCGACTCAACTTATCGAAGAGAGACTTCACCGAAGTATTCAAACATCCAGGTCGTCGAGATTCTGGAAATTAAACACCGGTTAGCATTTTCACAAGACTCTCTAGACTAGCCATTGGACAGTAAACTAGATGGACTTTCTTCCAGCAAGTTTCCAAGGCTTCTGTGACTCTTGGTCTCATTGGTCTATAATCATTTGTAGAAACCTTAAGTTTACATACCTCCAGAGTCAATTTCAGACCAAGAGTAGAAGCGATGATACATCCACCGAAGAGCTAATTTGGCTTGAGGAATGGAGTTTCATGACACACTCATAATGTGAGAGAAATGCTCGGGCCATAGGCATCGATATCCTCTGGTTCTCTAAAGCTTATTAGCTTCAGCGGATGATGGCCGAGCCCGGGCTCATTCTCAGACTGGGTGAGGCTGAGCTGAGATGCAGAAAATCCTCAACCCTACTATGGCATGGATCGAAACTTCAGTATCCAATCGCCTTTAACAAGGCTACATGCCGACTCCAGTACGTTCGGAGCCTAGGGGAGACAGGAAAACTTAGGACTTTTATCATAAGTGGCAAAAATAGCTAAGCTAAAGACCTTCTAAGTCTATACTAAACTTAGCTAAATCTTTGTATCACTTAGAGTAGAGGTCCTAAGTTTTCTTGCTCCCTGAGGGGAGCTTATCAACGTCCCGCTTAGCCCATCCGAAAAGCTTCAAAAGTCCCAGAAATCGGCCCATGACGCGACGTCATGACGCACTCTCGTTCAATACCCCATACACTTGAGACAATGCTACTTAACAGATAATGTTATTTTCGGGACCTCCAGAAGCACAGACGCTTCTGCTTAGAAATAAGGTTGAGCTTTGGACGGATATATCCGAATCTCTAGGTCTATCTGTGAAATAAGGTTTAATGTAAACCGTTTTCTGTTTCAGGTGTGAACTTTGGGATATATGAAACGGTTCCAAGGAACTTTACTAGAGATCGTCATTCGTAAAGATGGATCTATAATTTTAATTAACTTTCATAACAATTATGAGTTGGTATAATAGAAGTGATCGGAAGAACAGATGGTTTCGTGAAGCCTCATCAAGTTGCTTTCAACCCACAGTCTTTTCTTTTCTGTCGTTCTTTTCGTTTCCATCACGTTCATTGAATCAATCAAGATGATTGTATTTCATCTACTTTCTTTCGTTTTATGGGCTTGTCTGGGACAAGCCACCTTGACCCCTCGTAAACCGTTCGATACCGCATTCTATGTCTTCAATGGAGCCTGGCCATGTTCCGAAGATCAGCTCAAGACAATCTCCGGGGCCATCGACGAGGCACATGATCTTGCCAAGGCTGCTATCAATATCCTTTCAAAGCCTGAATCCGAACAGTCCATCGCCTTCGAGTCTTGGTTTGGAACAAGTATGTCTCCGTCTTATCGTAACAGGACCATTCTAACGACAGCTTGAAGGCAACGGCACCCCTGATAGAAGGGACATCATTCTCAAGAGACATTTCCAGGCCGTTTTGGACAATCTAGTCCCATCCACCGCCGCCGCCCAATTCCGACTCTCTCACAGCCCATTCCTCAACCCCCAGCAAGGTTTCACCATCACCGAATCCTCTCTAGTCTACGCTTGCCCTCCTCCCGCCTCCCCGGTTTGCGATGGCAATACAGTCGCAGCTGTTCAAAGCGCAACCGGTTCTAGAGCAGCAGTATTCGGAGCCACGCTTCTCGTTCTTTGCCCCGACTTCTTCGGAAACAAGCCTAATCTCTCGAGTGCTGTGGAGTTGTGGAAATCGGAGCATACGCTGGGTGACAATTTGTCGCCTGGGTTTGCACTCGTCCACGAAGTCCAGCATATGATCCAAGCGACAGAATCAGAAGAAGAACGCTGTGATGATTTACAGGATCCGTTTGAGGACAACAAGGATTGTTACTCAGCTAGCTGGTAAGTCTGAATTTGGACCTCCAACGCCTGATGCTGATCACCGCTCAGTTGCTTCCGACTTTCCGATGCCCAAAAGTTGAAGAACGCTCAGAACTATGCAATCTACGCACTTGATGTTTTGGCTTTCCCTGACACTGCAGGTTCTCCGTCATCGTCTTGCAACCTCCCCCAGAAGCGTGAAGAAGCATCTTTCTCGAACCTCTTCAAGCGTCAAGCACAGCCGTTACCGGAATCTGTGCCTCCAGTTCAGCCTGCTCCTTTCCAGAACACATCCGCCAGCTTCCTTACCTTTCCAAGGACAAGCACTGAACCTTTGTCCTCAGGTGTTCCTGTGACTCCTACCAGCAACGTTACTACGCCAGGCGGGGTTACTACAGAACCGGTTACATCTGGTAGCCCTATCACCACTTCATTCACCGATACCACGGCCACGTCATCGGCAGCACCAACTACGACCGTCAGCGGCGGTGCCACAGTCGTAGTACCTGTCGGTGCAGTTGTTGTTGGCGGACCCGGAGGCGGCTTCATCTCTGTTGGTGGAGCTTTGATCCCCGTTGCTGCTGGTGCTGTCATAACTGCCAAGCCAGAGGATGAACAGAAGCCGACAGACCCGGATGACAGGTCGAAAGAGCCTACGACCACTCCAACTCCTACTTCTACTTCTTCTTCTACTGAGTCCGAGCCATGCAGTGCACCAACAACAACAGCTACGTATGGTTCAGAAGGAAGCGCTGTCTGTCGTGATTTATCTGGGATGAGTGACGCAGAGCTCTTGCAGCTCATCCCAGAGTTTGGCAAGGTCAGCTCTTCAGCTGAGCCTGTACCAACTTCGACACCTGGTACGTCTAATACTACCATGATCATCTCAGGCACGCCTTCGCCCTCAACCTTTGTGACGACAGTATCTCCCAAGCCAGAAGTTCCGACATCCACAGTAAACACCACTTCAATCCTTGTGACACTTCCAGCCCCCGACGGCTCAAGCACGCTGGCAACTGTTCCGACGATCCAAACTACTGTTCCGTTTATCGGTGATACGACCAACTGCAACTTGACAAACAATGCGGTACCGGAGTGTCAGAACTTGGTTAACGGAAAGAGGGCTTGCCTTTACTCTCAGTAAGCATAGCTTTGACTTTTAGATATCTCCGTTACTAACTCCAGTGTTAGGCCCAAGGGCTTTTTGTGTGTTGCAGACTGTCCTGCCGGGGATCCTTGCCCGCAAACCTGCCAGTCAATGAAATACAAGGGTGGCTATTGTAGCAATGGGTTCGTTTCTGCGCGGTCGACGCGAAATTCATTCATGGCTAATCCATCTTCTAGGTCTCCATCTTGCGTGTGCTCAGATGACGATCCCACTGCTTGATCATACCGGTTGCAAATTCTGCCATCCTACGACCTTCGGATCCTTCATGGTATTCAAGAACTGTACATATGCAAAGTTTTAGGTAGATGAGAGAGTAACGATGTTCCACACGGAGTTCGTAGCTAAATCTCTGGTGTTTTGACGGATGATATTCCACCTCATTGAAAACGTACTTCACCAACTTGGATAGTCTCGAGTGAGTAAATCGAACTCACGAAAGAAAGAATTCTAGAGCTTATACGGAATGTCTTAAGACATAGATTCGTAAATGCAAAATATCGAATTCCAATCTCGCCCCAACTTCAAACACAATGTCAAAGCATGCCTCACCTAAAGTACACTGAGCAAGGATCACATATAATTCACGTGCATCAATTCTTAGATTAGCATATTATGACTAGAATATCTGAAAGATAGATCAATCCGCCATGCAGCCACTTTGAGAAGATTCTGGTCCTCTACTCCTCGGCAGCGACAAGCTCGACAGTCAGATTTTGTTCAACCTCTGCGTAAGATTTGTTAGTGTCTGTTACTCATCTTTTCATGCACACATACCGTCCTCGACGGAAACATAAAGTCTGTCGTGCTGAAGCCCCAATGGGCGACCAGTCTTGTCATTAGAAGAACCTATCACATCACCATCGTCAGCGCCGCCATCAGCATAGAAATGGGTTAACAAACCTCCGAATCTCAGTTGAGACCCATCTTCACCCTCTTTGACAATTACAGGATGCAAGAGATGAGCCCTCTCCATTACAAGCCAAACAACGGCTTTGAAACCAGTGTCGCCAGTCTCAGCAGGGTGGCGGCCCAGAGCCCATGTACCGCTGATCAGACGATCGCCCTCCAGCTCGAAAACAGCTGGTGTTATGGAAGCCTTGTCTCCGACTAGAGCATTCCAGGCTTCACTGTGGACTCCACTGTCGTCATGCTCGGGCTTGGCTACATGTTTGCCGTCAACGACGATATAAAAGCGCTTGGGGATGGAGGACATGTCGAAAGATATCAAAGCTTTTTGGTTGCAATGTGATAGATAAACTTGTTCATAGAGCTTGTTAATGTGTTGGAGAGATTGGTTGAGATGATGGACATACGATGATATTTCTACTTCTTAAAAGTGCTCCACATAATGAAGCAGTTGACCATTTCTCTGTGATGCTGGAAATCACAGAGCCTCAACGTTCCTGTAGCACCAGCCCACTAGCCAGTGATTATCATACAAGTTCGAAGAATATTCTACGGCGAGAGTCTGGTGGAACAGCGGGAATCAAATATGGAATGTGATACACTACCGGTCAAGTTTCAACTGTTTATTCGGACCGAGGTGCAACATAAGATTGTTACAAGACCATGGCGGTAAGTACGCCAATTTTCTTCGGTACTTACTATCGTGACCTTGTGCGGACGTTGTGAAAGATTGAAAAAGCCTTGGCTGACCACGTAAGGCTTCTGTGCCCAAGCAATTTCCTGGTCCACGGTATTGTTACAAAAACATTAGTTCCTTTTTCAACCCTAAGTGGTTATCGTGGTAAGCACAGTACTATTACACAAATATCAATTTCATTTTCAACCATAAGTAGCTACCGTGGTAAACACAGTCCCGGGACTTCGTACCTGCTGGATAGTACTGTCCTGCTGATATCTCACCGTTGGCAGTTGAAAACAGTCTGGTCACGTATGTCGTCCCGAATGGGACGGTTAGTCTCGCAGACACACTTCCTGGTACCCATCCTTCACACCACGGTCAGATAACTAGAGCTGCGAGTGCATCTTCGTAGCTCTGAATATGAAGTCAATAGCTTGTATTAACTAGACTTCTGCTTCATACTCTCTCGATACTTCAACATCCATCTTGCAGACTGCGCCACAACCGCATCGTGATCCGAAACAGGGTTAAATGCCAATCTCCTTCTAGCTTTTTCGATGCTATAAGTATGTGTGTAGACACAATACTCAAGTGAGATTCTTCGTAGCTCAACCGGAGGCTTGGCTGTATTAAGAGTGAAAATCCAGAAGCACCAGTCCGCTAAAAACACAGCCACTATCATCACCCAAGCAGGCAGAACAATGATGTCCTTGAAAACATCTTCACCTCTTGCTGTTTTCCAGATAACTCCCGTGTGATGCCAAAACGGCACTGGAGCTCCATCGGAGACATTGAAAGCTTCTCCATCAACTTTGCCTGCTGCTCGACTTGGGTCCAGGAGAGCTTTTGCAGCTAGAACATGGGCTATCGCGATATTTTCTCCGGATACAACTTCCATTAGATTCTCCCCGTCCCCGATCTGCACAAGTTTCTTGTTCTTGCACATGTCGAGAACTTCAACCATGCCCTGGACATGTCTCTCTCCATAAGCATGACCAGGGCGTAGTGTGACGGTACGAAGTTGGGGGCCGTTTGCTTCCCGAACTAGACGATCGCCAATTGCTTTTGTCCGATTGTACTCATTTGACTTGTTGGTCGGTGACCAAAGAGGATATGTCTCGTCAGCATCTGTGTGAGGCGGGTTGGCGTACGCGTCAACGCTTGATGTAAAGACGAATGCTTGAACAGCACCACATTCAGACGCAACCGTAAGCAGGACTTCAGTACCTTTGACGTTTGTCGCGTAAAACTCGCCCTCTCTGCTCATAGGCAACGCTGCAATGGGAGAAGCGCAGTGAAAAATGACACTAGGTCGAATCTCGTTGATTACACCTCGCACAAATTCACTATCGGAGATGTCTCCATTGACATACGAGACATTTTCGTGTAGATTTCTGGATGTATCTCTGTCCAAAACGTAGACCTCAACGCTTTCGTCATCTTGCAGCAGCTGTCGCACGAGGTGATATCCAATGAATCCGCAACCACCAACGACTAGGCTGGAGCTGATGAGAGGTGCCAGAGTCTTTCTTATGTCAGACATTTTTTTTTACTTCTGTCGGTTCGGCGTTGGATTGATGCAAGAGTGAAGGATGTTGGGAGATGGTCATGAGTGGCTGCGTGGCTGCTGACTCCGACGCATCCGTTGTTACATTGTCATCTAGCGAATCATGATCAACTTCCGAAGACATTGACCTCCAGGGACTGGAAAATGTAATATTCGGCAACAAAGCAATGTACCTTGTAGTATATTTGCAACTCTAACCCACGACGTTCGTGAGTCTCCTGTGGATATTCAGCCCCAACTCATAATCAGAATAATAGTTGACCCGAGGAGGTTCGGGAGCCACTTGTGTTGGATCTCTGATTCGCCGGTTCGTAAGGCAGCTCCATCCCCAATCTGACATACTATATCAGGCCTAGTATACGATCCTTCCAGCAGGCCCAGGAACGACATCTAAACGACAGGGCCGCTTTTCCAACCCATTCATCCTCTCATCTGCAAAGTCCTGTATCCCTAGACAGAACGTCGTATGGGCATATTGGTTCGATATGACGCGAGTGAAACCTGGACAGCGACAACGCGCTCGAGCCCCAAAAGTTAAGACTGGATGCGACACTTGCAAGTGAGTCCATTTTGGATGGCTGGTAAACGAGTGAGGATAAGGTGACTAACAAACTGCAGGAGTACGTCGTGTCTTTTAGGTTCAATTAGCGTGTTTGTAGTTCTAACTGAAGTAGTCCGCAGAGTTAAATGTGACGAAGGCCGTCCAGCCTGTACAAGATGTATATCCTCCTGCATAACCCGACACATGGATCTGTGACTGATTGATCCTTTCAGGTACATCTACTGGCCGGAAATGCGACGGTTATCAAATCGACACACCTAGCCCCCCAGGTGCAACATCCCCAGCCTCCATCATCTCCACATATACCACTCGACCCGAGGCACGATCATTCCAGTTCTTCATCGAAAAGACCTTGGTCAGCTTTCAGACCTTCTTTCCAGATGATCTATGGAACACAAGAGTGCTTCAAGTAGCTCAATCGACAGACTGTATAAGACATGCTGTCGTTGCCTTGGCTTATTACCATGAGCTGTATCTTACTCATGAACAGTGGCAAAGTCTTGAATCTGTGCCTGCGCTGAAACATTACAATCTTGCTATAAGGGAACTGCTCAGCCCATCACCTGGTGCTTCGTCGCAAGGTCATATTCTTGTCCTGTCATGTTTGATTTTCATCTGCATTGAGGTACCTTTTCACCACTCATACTGCTTGGTTTCATGCTAACCGGTGTCAAGCTTCTTCATGGCAAGACAGGATCAGCTATCGGGCTCTTCAGGTATGGCGTCGGAATGATCCAGCAGTTTAGAAGGACTTTCTTTAGCAACAGAGGCCACGGCTCTCATCCCCATACTGACGTCGAAGCAACCTTCAACCTGGCTGATGCCTGCTTCAGACGTATTGCCGTGCAACTCCTTATGGTATGACCTCACCATACGTAGCTTGTGCAATTTTCACTGACTGGGTTCCAGCTCATGGGTGATGTTGATGCAGGCCTTTGGTCCTCATTCCACGACACATTCAGCAATGCTCTTCCGCCTCCTGAGACTTCATTTACATGCCTCTCTGAGGCAAGAGAAGCTCTACTGGAGCTGCTTGTCGAACAAATCAGTCCTGGCCTGAAGGGAAAGTCCAACTACGAAATAATGTCCCATGCTACGAAAGTCGAGCGCTGGGTCGAGTCCTTTGACAAACTCTTGTCCGAGCTCAAGTTCAGTGATGAGGACTTGACTGATGCTGATCAACGAGCGATTGCTCTTCTCCAAATGCATCGAAAGTACCTCGAGATCAATGTCGCTAAGTATCTCCACGGTCAAGGCGACCCATGTTTTTGGGACCGTTTCACCGCTGAATTCGACGAGATTGTCAACTGTGCTGCTACAGCAGCTGGACTTGACAATAGCTACACCCAAAAGAGCTGGGCCGGCGACTCGCCCTCAAAGGCATATTTCCACGTCGATCTCGGTTTTACATCCGTCTTGGTCTCGGTAATCGCGCGATGTCGCGACCCTTTTGTTCGAAGAAGGGCCATTGCAGTTATGCTAGCAGATCGCGTCCAAGAAGGCGTGTTTAATGGATCTCAGTCAGCCAGAGTAGGGGCAAGGGTGATGGAGTTGGAAGAGGCCAGGAGCGGAAGGGAGGTTAAGTGTAGTAGCGATGTACCTGAGGAGGCTAGAGTGAGGACGATTCGTGTGCATATGATGGGGCCGGAGACTAAGAAGGTAAAGCTAGTGTATGGGTTTGATCGTGGATACTGGGAAGAGGTAAGGGAGATGGCTGAGTAGATGCATAAATAAAGCAAAATATCAAGATCTAATTGTGAGCTACACCCTACGTAACTATAAAATAAAGAGGAGGAAAAGCGAGTACGAAAATAAGCACAGGGCTTATCAGTGTAAGAACCAATCAGGAGTGCCAAGAAATGATTCATCTTGGAATTTTCCATTTCTGGTTAGCTCAGATCGCCAATCTGAAGCCAACCGACCAATTATATTTCTCCTTCAGAATCTCTCAACCGCAGCTCGAGAGTCATACATAATGAGACTATCCTCGAAAAAGAAGTCGACTCATCTCGATTCACCAACTCCAGCATTATAACAACTGCATCAAGCCCGCCATTCTCTTCAACTTGTTCATCATTCACCTCAATTTTCTCATGAGCCTAACATCCACTCTCACAACTTCAACATCTACAATATCTACAACAATGAGGAAATTCACAATCCCCAAGTGCGCTACAGGTCTGCGCGAAATCGACCCTTCGCTCCTTGATCTCCGCTCAGACTCGGAAATCATCGCTCAACTCCAAACATACCAACCCATCACCTCTGAGAAAAATGTCTTTGCAGTCTGGGATAAAGGCTTCGACGCAATGTATCCCAGCCATCAGCAGACAATCCTCAACTGGGTCCGTCGCCTCGGTCCTTCATGGACTGTTCGTCTAGTAGACTTCGTCGAGGACTCACCAAATAATATCTACAACTATGTCGACAGAGAGTGGTTTCCCGAATCTTTCATCAACAAGACAATGGATGGAGAGCACGCCCCTCAACATGCTGCTGATCTTGCTCGTCTGCCTCTTATTTACGAGCATGGCGGCGTATGGATGGATGTTAGCAATCTGCTTCATATCAATCTTGATACGCTTTTCTGGGATCATATTTCATCGCCTGATACGCCGTATGAAATGACTGCATGGATAATAACAGGCCAAATCAGAGCCAAATGGGGCGACTTTGGCAATTTCATGTTCGCTGCTCGCAAGAACTGTGAGTTCATCAAGAACTGGCACGAAGGGTACAAAGAGCTCTGGAAGGGACGAACAAACGTTGATGGGTTTCACAAACATCCTCTCATTACTGAGATCGGTCTCGCTGAGGGTATGGCGAATCCTGAGGATGAGAATCAGATCTACTTCATGACAGACTATGTCTCACAGATGGTCATCGGAGATCGCACTCGCAACCTCGTCGATGTTACCACCGGCTGGAACGGACGCGAATTCTGGGAGAACAAGGTCTTTATGGTAGAAGGCATCGAAAACGGTATTCTTGGTGCTCTCAAGACCAACCTAGACGGTCAGAAGCAAGCCGACTATTTCCTTACGCCCCTTGACGAGCCTAATCTCGACAAGAGAAGCGAAGCCGAAGCTTTCATGGTGGAAATGCTCGAAAAGAGTCACATGTACAAGATGTATCACAACTCGATGGGTGCTCGTCCAGCTCTGGGCGATCTCGTCAAGAAGAAGGAGAGTCACGATATTACATACCGTCCGGGGACTTTTGGGGAGTTGTACCGTTATGGAACGGCACACTGGGAACCGACTAGGGAGGTCGTGAGATTGACACCACAGAGGAATGGGGATGAGTTGATATACGGTACCCCTACGAAGACGGCTGCTCAGGTTAAGAATTAGAGGGTTATAGAGAGGAATAGAGGAATAGACACTTATGGGTTAGATATGGCGCATTAGATAATGAAACGGTTTTGTTTCCGAACCTTACTCATGACCTATACGTTGTGATAGTTCCAAAATCGCAAATCGATACTTTTTATTAACTATATACGCCTATATCTCCGAGCTTCCATCAAACCTTTACTTTCCGTATAGGCGCCGTTTTCCATATCTATTCCCCACGTCAGTATTCGAATAAGCCAAACTGAAAATGAACTTACATAGATTTCTATCCCAATTGCATTTGTAAGAAAACCAAGCCAACCTCCAACAGCATATCCAACTCTCAAAGCAGCCGTTATACCAGGCAAATCGTTCAAGTCCCAATTCGTCGTCACAAACGCTTCTTGCAACAAGTTCTCTCCTAAAACGTATGCTGAACAACTTGGATATGGGTTCTGCCTCGTTCCAGGGAAGCTTTCGTGTAGGTATTCGATGACCGCACACGGCATGCTCATGGTCATTGATCTAGAGGGTTGGCCAATGACATGAGCTAGGGAAATCAGGATAACTCTCATGGTGATGATTGATGTTGCCTTTTACACATCAGTAGCTTGCTAGTCTTTAGTTGACGGAATACTCACCCAGAACCAGGCCCTCAGCATCCAAGCGCGATGCTTCTCAATCTCCCTGTTCTTGATACTGACATAACCCTTCACCATCGCGGTAGTTACCAGCGTCGCAAGGGTCCATGTTCCAATCCTATTTGAGAAGATCCCACCCATAGCCTTACTCTCAATAATCAATGCCGCAACCGTCCCCAACCCCGAGAGTACCAAGACAACATATCCATTTATACGGTGGAACTTTATATACTTCGGTTTTCGAAGAGCCGGTACGAACTGAAAACACACCAGAGCCCCCGCGGGTAAGAACGTCGCCAGATGTAAAAGCATGCCAGAACGCATGAGGCCCGGTTTCTGAAATACATAACATTCTCCCGGTACAGACCACGGATCTCCTTTTGCGCAGAACACGCCATCGATGTTTATGTAGGGAAGTTGAAGAGTGGAGAAGAGAAATAGGATACCGCCGAATATGCAGAATAGGACGAAGGAGGCCGTGTTTGTGAAGCCGAGACGGCTTTTTAGAGCGGCCATTTTCGTAGCACGTTAATTGACACTTCACTGAAACTTCACCGAAACTTCACCGACGAGTTTTTAAGAGTTTGCGTATTCATGCAAGGAGCGGAAGGAATTGACGTTGTAGAGGGCTGGTGCTTACGTGAGTTTTATATCCCAGGGGAGATTTGATGCTATACTCTTTCTGTCCCTGAAGGATTCAGTCGCGTATTTCTGGCCTATTACATTGATTCAATCGCGAGAATGGACAGGGGATCACGGCAATCAGGGTCCAATCAGAGATGGTCTTATTGGTTGGTAGTACTTACAAGGACATACGCAATTCCGCGCGTCTGCGTGAGCATCATGCTATGCGTTGGTTTCTCTACGGGCACAAGGCGTCTTCCACGTGTACATCAGCAATAAATAATACATATTATTCCCTTTGCATTAAACGAGTAGCCGTAGTCATAGTCATAGGCACTAGATCTCGATCATAGAACATCTAATTGTGTGAGGCCATATCAAGGATTGAACAAGAAGCAACCCAGTTTGGTCGAAACCATGCAGAACATATCTAACCCGCTTTTCTATCCTCTTCAAGCTCTTCCGGCAGCTCAGGAATACTATGGCGCTTCACCATCAGCTTTCAGCTTTCGCGCCTTCGTCAGCCAACCTGACTGCCTCCTTAGCCGCTTTTCCAAAGTCTGCCTCAACGTGAATATCCAAGGTGGCATCTTTGAGCTAGAAGTGTTTCAGTAATTATTCGGAATATGTCCTCGAGTTACTTACCAGCTTGAGTCCAGCCTCTGAGTTTGTTCCCTGTAATCTGACTACCATGGGAACCCGCAAGGGACCAAGTTCGCTTGCTGCTGCTATGATGGACTCTGCGATCATATCGCATCTCGCGATTCCTAATATGGTCAGTTCATACTCCGTATCTTGAACAACAAACTTACCGCCGTAGATGTTGACTAGAATCGCCTTGACTCGCTTATCAGACATGATGATCTTGAAAGCCTGCAGCATCGTCTCCTTCGTAGCTTGTCCACCAGCATCTAGAAAATTCGCACTCGAACCACCATACAGACTAATCGCATCATTCGTCGCCATTGCAAGTCCCGCGCCGTTAACAACGTTTCCAATATTTCCATTCATGTGAACATACACCAGCCCATGCTTTTCCGCTTGCACTTCTTCTGGGATCTCCTGTTTCTTATCTCTCAAGTAAAAGAGCTTTCGCTGTCGCTCTCGAGCTGCGTCGTCAAAGAAGAAATCCGAGTTGTTGCAGATAAACGCTCCATCTTTAAGAAACAAAAGATCCGTTTCCAAACTGAGCGCGTCCTTCTCGGAAAAGATCTTGAAAAGCCCTCGGATAACTCCTGCCAAGCTGTCCTTTGAGTCCTTGCTCAATTGAAAGCTCTGCGATATGTCGGTGAGTAACTCCTCAGTGATACCGGTACTTAGGCTGAACTCGAAAACTTCCTGAAATGCACGCTCGTATAAAACAGTGGGAAGGCCTTTGGGGTCCTTGGTGTCTCGAATCTTAATAACTGGTCGATATCTCTCTCGATCAACAGCCATAGTAAGACGCCACTTTTCTTCATGTTCCACAACCTTTTCCATAAAGAGTGGGATTGTCAAATCTCTATGGTCTTTCTGTCTGGTAGTCTCTCTGACATAGCGCAGTAATAATTTCGTTCTATGTTTTCCGTCATTGGCATTTATCAATTCTGTAGACTTTCGATTGTCATGGAGGAGTTGAAGTTTTAGAAGTGCACGAGAGTTTTCAGAGTGGGAGTTAGCATGATGAATGAAACGGTTTGTCTGCCTCGTATCCTACTCCCTATGCGGTCTATCATAACTCCTGCAGCTCGTTTTGACTTGACGATTTGACCCATTGGCATTGAGATTCCAGCCTGAATGAGAGTTTGTGAGCCTCTTAGCATTGAAAGGTAGCAGCTGGTGTTTTGGCTTACTTTTTCCATGAGCTTCTGTGACTGATATTCGTGTATATGGAGACATCTTATCTGAGTCTGTCATTCCCTTAGCAAGCGAATGTAAAAGTTGGGTGACGATCAGTACATTAAACGTGTTCGAGAATAAAGAAACATTTTGTAGTTCGGGTCTAACTCTAAGAGCCATGGCAGTGAGAGAGGGTTCTAGAAAAAATGAACAAACACCAAAATTTGATGATCTTGAGAATAAGGCGATGGTCAACGAGGGGTAGACTTGGAAACGGCTGAGTTTGCCGATACTGCTGACTCAGCCGATTCAAGCTCGATTGACAGTGGATAACACATGAGGCATGAGGTGAAATTGGCGAGACCTTCAAATCAAGGCAGTTCCAGGCATCCCAATCGATTCATGGACGAGTATAGCAGTTCAGTATGAGTGGAAAGCGTACCAGTGAACATCAATTGAGCATCAGTCACCAAGATCGAGAACTTCAAACTGAGAGCACTTCAGTATACAAAGCATCTGTAAATTCATGTCTATCATTTTCGCCAAGGTATAGTTCATTTTTAAGCACCCAACGCCAACCATGCAGTCTAAAAAGCCTCATTATCTCACGTCCTACGTAGATCTAAGCCCATAACCCCCAATCCGTGGGACCGTGATCCCAGTCTAATTCTGACATTGAACTGCGCCATCTAAAAGTTGGTCACGTCGCTAACTCCGTTGGTGGCCTCCTTCTTCACGCGAGCGGCCTCGATGACCTCGTCGAGGCATCCGGCGCTGGCGGCGACGAGACCGAGCACTAATACAGTCAGTCATGGCGGGTGGTGATCATTGGAATGGGGATACTCACGCGAAGGTGCGGGTGCCAAGGTCTTGGACTTGTACTCAGGGTGAGCCTGGAGACTGTAGGCGGTCAGTAATAGTCGGTATGCGCGATGGATAATACTCACCCAACGAAGAAGGGATGATCCTTCAACTCAATGGTCTCAACTCGGACACCTTGGTCATCCATTGAGGTCAAGCAAAGACCGGCCTTCTCGAGATCCTCAATGTAGTCAGGGTTCACCTCATAGCGATGTCGGTGACGCTCCTCCACAACATCGGCTCCTCCGTACAAAGCTCGGAGCTTGCTCCATTCGGTGCCAGGCTTGAAGTGGGTTGTTCGGCTACCAAGTCGCATGGTACCACCCATTTTCCTGTCATTTATTAGCATCACTCCTTGGTTCGTCTGACGTTTACTTACTCCTTAGAACCCTCAGGCATGAAGATGACGACCTTGTGCTCAGCGGTGGCCGAGAACTCCTCGGATGTCGCGTCCTTGAGGCCCATCACGTTGCGAGCGTACTCAATGACAGCAGTCTGCATACCCAAGCAGATGCCGAGGTAGGGGAGCTTTCTCTCACGAGCCCACTTGGCGACATCAACCATACCACGGATACCTCGAGTACCGAAACCACCAGGAACGATGATACCCTGTGCTCGAACAACATGAGCCCAAGCCTCGTGGAACTTTCGGGGGTCCTTCTGCTGCATATCGGGTTCGAGGTGCTCGGAATCGACGGAGATGAGGTTCAGCTTGCGCTTGCATCGCATAGCAGAGTGCTCAAGTGCCTTGTGAACACTGAGATATGAGTCGTCAAGGCTGACGTACTTGCCGACCAAGACAATGTTGACGGGCTCGAGGTGTCGATCGGGAACAACGGTCTTCTTCCAGAGATCCCAAAGAGCTTGGCCCTTTTGAGCCATGGGAGGAGCAACCTCAAGCTTCTCGAGGGCAAGACCCTTGCGCAAAAGCTTGAGCAGACCCTCCTGCTCGAGGAGGAGAGGGACTTGGTAGATGGTGTCCATGTTGCGAACACCAATGACCTGCTCGTCTTCGACTTGGCAGCTTCGGGCGATCTTTGTGATGGTAGCGACGTCGAGCTCTCGTTCGCAACGGCAAGCAATCTAGAGACTTTAGAGGCGGTCTAACTCGAATCGCACAATACATACCACATCGGGGATCAAACCGGCGCTTCGAACTTGTCGGATGGCGTGTTGAGTGGGCTTTGTCTTCTCCTCTCCATTAATGATAGGGACGTAGGAAACGCTGATGCTAAGGAAGTTGTCGCGGCCGAGTCTGTGTCGCAATTGCTTTATAGCTGTCAGTATTGGGCTTCGAGATCGGTCTGGGTGTCATACTGAAAGAGCCTCAACGAAAGGACCGGATTCGAGATCACCAATTGTTCCGCCCTGTCGCCAAGTCAGTCGCCGTTCTGGGCTATCGGAAATCGGTAGGATATCGTACAAGCTCGACTATGATGGGTTAGTAAATATCGCGCAAGATCTGGCTCGAAGATAACGTACTAATGCAAACATCTGGCGATTCACCAGAAGCATCAACTGGAATCTTGGCAACGCGCTCGATCCAGTTCTGAATGGCATCTGTGATGTGGGGGACGACCTTGAAGGCTGTTAGTTGGATCTACAAGATCGCAGTGCTGCGCAATGTACCTGAACAGCTGTGTACATCGTTAGCATCTGTATAAACCAGCAATCTCAAACGAAACACATACTCTTTCCCAAGTAATCTCCTCGTCGTTCCTTCTCCTATACATGAATTGTATTAGTGGTGTCTGATCGCATATCGAAGATTCGTGAGGGTTCGTACAATGACCTGCTGGTAGATCTTGCCAGTGGTGATGTTGCTGTCACGGCTCAATTGGATGCCAAGGTATCTGCAGTACTATAAGTCCCTGGTCGAGCTTTGGTTGAGTCTGATTGTCGAAGAACATACCGCTCGTAGTTTCCAAGGTCGAGATCGGTCTGAAGGGTCAGCGCAAAGTTTTTCGTCGGTGAATATTGAGCGTACCTCGCCGCCATCGTCGAGAACGAAGCACTCGCCGTGCCTGGGGTGTGTTAATACGAGTAAAGGCAATTGTGTCAGATCGCAACGTACTCGAGAGGGTTCAGAAGACCAGCATCGGTGTTGATATAAGGATCGGTCTAGTCGAGGATTAGAATCGTCGGTGAGGGAGGGTTTCGTCGGTGGGGTTTACTTTGATCGCCTGGTAATGTTAGTCAAAGCTCGTTCGGTAACCATGATTGTCGAATCGTACCGTGACTCGAAGTCCAAGAGTCTTGAGAAGAAGACCAGCGCTACTGGCTAACACGGTGTCAGTCGTTGAGAAGATCAGCACAGCTCGTCAATTGCCATACCGATAATGCCTGTGATTCACGAATTAGCACGCCCTTCAAAACAAGAATGCGACGACGATAAGCTTACCTTTGCCGACACCAGAGATAACTCCGCCGCTCACAAGAACAACCTTCATGATGCTGTTTGTTCTGTCAGTTGTTCGTTTATATAAAGTATTGAAACTGCTAATATTGCAGGGCAGAATTGCTGGGAGGTTTTGGACGGCGCGTTCGCAAAAACTTCAATCAACGAAAAGAAAGATTCGGCGGTGGGGTACGATTTCTGCCACGCCCTCCGAAGCTCAGATCATTCACCGCTTTCCAGATGCGGCCTAGAGTGGAGATAACCCTCTGTGCGTCACGCCGTGGATGCACCCTGGTTGAGCCCCACCAGGAAGCCTGTGAGCTGTAAGTGAAGGCATTCAGAAAAAGGACTTTGGGGAATGAAGAAAGTAGCACATGCCAGAGTGAATAAGTCCAGAGCTTCCATTGGATAGAAATGTAAGTTCAAATGTTAGCTATGTTGTTCTGACTGTCCCCTGTTATAGCTCGTGTAAACGCTACCTATTCATGCGGAACCCCACTAAGACTTACGATGGTGAGAAGACAGTGTGTAGTTCTACAAGCTCGAATTGACGTAGAAGGGGATGATATAACATTAGCTCATTTTTACCAAATGACAGGATCCTCCCTACCAATTTTATCATGACTAGAAAGCTCGCAATCAGGGCCAATTGCTAAGGTTGTCTCTTGCTACAGGTTAGCAACAATCCATGGTGGTTGTAGCCTGGGATCGCGGGGTGAAGCTGAACTTGAGGCCGCGCAGCTCATTAGAGAACACCGCCGCACATCCTCTAAACCGAAACCTGTCATAGCGATGGTAGCAGGGCGCACGGCGCCTGAAGGAAAGGCTATGGGACATGCTGGTGCGATCTGGACAGACGGAGAGGTTACTGCGGAGGCGAAAAGTGAAGCTCTCGAAGATGCGGGAGCGATCATCGTGCCGCACCCTGGTGTTATGGGTGAAAAGATGAAGGAGTTGCTTGGGATGTAACGTGCTGTCTGTCTAGACGAGCTTCAGCGATGGAATTGAGCTCGACCATCTGCATTACCGTTCTTGCTTCTATTGTGTCCTCATCATTGGCAGTGGTGATCTTGGAGTCTCTTCAAGGTGATAGAGCGAACTTCAACCACGAACACTGTCTGGTGTATCTCCCAGGTATAATTCCTAACAGCGAAGTGTCTGGTACATACGACCATACCTATCAGAGAACTCGGGATCCCGTCCGCTCTCCCATAGATAAGCTGATAAGGGGCGGATTAGTAGTTGGGTCGGTGACGACCAGCGAATCCCCGCTGTTGTATGTTTTTGCCATTTTCTCTTTTTGTTGGAATGTTGAAGTTGTTTCTACGACGTTGTGTTGATCATTCTGTAGATTGGTGGTGTTGGTCGGCCGACTGTTGGCCTGTTGAGGGGCCGCCTATCACCGCTACCTAGGGGACTTCTAACTCGGAAACTCCTAACACTGAACTTGAAAGGAAAGATATCTGATCTTTATGCCTGGAAGTTAGGCAATGAGGATGGGGTTAAAGATCTAACTAAAGCTTAGGCATGTGTGCTACAAAGTCACTACAAGAAAGCCAAACTTGTCGTAGAAACTAAAGCTCTTGAGCCCCAGAGTCAATTGATTTCGGCTCAAGTTCAACAATCCCATATTGATATCGATGCTGATGGCCGTGCGCTCCAATTCAATTATCCGATATACATCGCCATTTCATTCCATACTGACGATCGTAATAGCTTCTTCAGGTCCGTCTCCCGCAACGATATAGCTACCGTGATTCCACGCTCCAAATCTCGGGGCATGAAATACACAAGACCTTCTGATGCAGGCCGATGCCATGGAACCCTGATACACTGGACGATCCAGTTGGGCTTGAACATGTATGCAACGTTGGTACATTCAACACTGGCCCAAGAGACTATAGCAACATCTTGTGAAGGGTTAAAAATTGCGTCTGAATCAAAAATAGGGTTGTCGACCGCTTTGTCAGTATTCCACACGAATTGTGCTACATCCTGACTGAGTACGCCTGGATTCAAGGCCTTATGAAATTCCACGGCCATTCTCCCGATACTCATAGTGCTCGGATTGGTGAAGTTAGTGCAAGTCATGTGTTGAAGTGCCCCAATATATTTCCCTTTCACCCCTCGGACTTCGCGTGCATCGACCGTACGAAAGCATCTCACTGTCGTCTCCTAGGTGACTCGTTCGTCCCGCGCACAGCATATGTTTCGCAATACAAAGGCGGTCAGAGCATCATCTGTATCCACCAGGTATTGTGAGGGGCTGTCATAACTCATGGCCAGGTCCTTTATGTCCCGGAGAGCGTCTGGTTCGAAAGAGAATAGAGCCCATTTAATATTGCTTGCCTGAAACGGTGGATTTTGAGGTAACAGAAGCTCCGTCACAAATTTGACTGGAACCCTTACGTGCCTTGACATCTTCTTGTCATGATCAAAATACGCCGCGTGGGTTTCCATTGCCGATATATCCAAGGATGTAAATTGCTCCCCGCAACAGGCTTTAGCCAGCATTCGAATAATCATATCTAGGCCTGTCATGTCGACGGCTTTGTTATGCCCACTGATGGTGAGGATAGCAGCGCCTTTTTCGATGGTGAACTTTAACTCCATCACAGGAAAGGGTCCCGAGTCCGACGACGGGTTGTATATGGGAATATGATTCCCATTGATCCAGACCATGGGAAAGTGCTCGCCTAGCATATCTGTAAAGTCCAGTTGGGAGGTGTTTTGGCAGTTCTCGACTTGGAGCCGCGGTACCGCTTGGAAAGGGATGATACTGTATTGATTGCCATCCTGATTTGTGTATCCGTCGTATTTGACTTGGCCAGTGACCCAGGGGAATTGTTTCGAAAGGCGTGTCAGGCCGTGGTGTATGTGGGAAACAAAATCGGCGCATGGCTCGGAGCTCTCGATGAGGTAGACAAAGCTGAGGTTGTAATACTCTCCAAGATGGAGTCTATTAGTCAGGGGGTTGAGTTTGATGTCCAGGTTAAACATTTTGCATTGTAATATTTGTTGATGATTTTGTGTTGATGAGTCTGTGTTGATGTTGAGTTTCTAGCGTGAGTAAGCCTCTGACCTCATGATACTGGCGAAGGAGAGGGAAAGGAGGGGAAGGAACACACATAGAGAGATTCTCGAGGTAACAACGATGCAATCTTCAAAAGCAAGTGCAAATCTGATCAGGAACTTGAATTTACAAGGTCAACTAAAACTAATAGGCTATTTGCACCCAAGGCTGAAACAATTAGAGACATCACCATCCGTTTATTAAATCTCAGGCTGTCTGCAATTTCCCTCAAGAGTGTCATAGTAAGAGACTGGATGATTTTGTGAACAACGTTATGCATATGCTGTACTTTGAAGCCAGGGAAAGCTATCACGAACTCCTTCTTATTTTTTCCTCAGGGCCACAAGCATTAATGTCGGAAAGAGGCACAGCAAACCTTCTTTATCAGTTATTCATTAATCAACTTTCATTTCAATGATTCTACTACCAAACAAGAAGTATCTCACTCTTTCCCATTTGATTGGTGGACCGTAGATTAAACACCATCGTGGCTCATCCCTGTCGTCTTCCCACCAAATGACGTCGAGGCGCCACGAGAACCGGTTTTTAGAGCGACACGCGCCACACCCAAAAGACACAGCATGGCATCACAATGCGTCTTGGACAACCACCACCAAGAAATGAAACAGCCTATGAGATTTGCCTTGCGTCGTTTCAGATCCTTGCAAGGTGGATGACGTAGCAAGACGCGCAATGTGTATAAAGTGATGTCTTCGGGACGGTCTTTCAGTCTGATAGATTGGAAGATAAACAAGACGATAAACGATACAGCAGATTTTAATCTTATTTGATATATTCTTCACAATGGAGTGGGCTAAGACTACCTATAACGACCAGTACGAGAAGTGGGTTCCTTGGATGGAGGACGTTTATCTTCGTTGGTTCACCAAGGATAACAAGGCAAGCTATGCCACCAAGCGTACGTTCCCTTCCCATCTCCGTCTTCCCCAACATCCCTAACATGATATAGAAAACCTCGACAAGACCAAAGTCACTGGCATCGAACAAGTCGACACTCTCCAAGACGGCGTTCACAATCTCGCCACCGGTCAAGTCGGCCAGGGAGGTCTGCTCCAACCCGTGGGCGACCTCGCATCAAAGGAGGGCGTGAACCGCGCTGAGCGACAAGGCCGCGATGAGAACGGCGGATACGTCAACAAGGAAGTTCCAGGCTCTGGAGCTATGAACAGCACAGCGAATGCTGTTGTCGGTGGTGGACAGGGTGCCGCCCAAGGACTCCAGGATGTTGGAAAGGGTGTCGGTAACACCGTTGGTGGACTGTTGGGTGGTAAGAAGGAGTAAATACTGTTGATGATTCCTTTTGGTGTTTCGGTAATGGACTTGGATAAAGGGTTGGGTACCTTCGGCTTGATGGTCTCGGTAAAGGATACGATACAGGATACGGGTAAGCGATACTATTATGTGAATGCTTAATTATTATTGGTATATACCACAGAGTACTATATGCTTCAATACAGATTGATCTCCATCAACATCATTTCTTCTCTTCCGACAAGATGTGTATGAGCAGGGTCAAGTCACACTGATGAGAGTAGAACACGTTGATCCAGTAACTTGGTATTTATTTAGTGATTATTAATTTTGCTTTAAACTTGTAATGTACTTGTTGAGTTCCAAGCATCTCAACCAAATCAAGGAATGTTTTAGTAAACCAGATTCTGTTCCATCAGCCCAGCAGGGCCCGTAGATCACTGCCAAGTTTCATGTGATACCAACACAACCAATCAGCAGCACCAACCTAAAAGAGTGACACACTCCTAACCGCTGGTTCGCTCATTCTTACCGGCGTGAGCCTCAGTATCGATGGTAGTCTCAGGGTTGTTGGCATAGTCATCCTCACCACTGAGCTCCTCAAGGGTCTTGCGGGCAGTCTCAGGGATGAGAAGAGTGGTGAAGATACCGAGAAGCATGAAGAGAGCGTAGATCTCAAGGACGTGGTCCATCCAGGGGGCCTCGTTCTTGTCGGTGGCACCGTGGGTGCGGAGGATGGAGATGGCACCTTGGCCAATGATGGAACCAACCTTTCCTGAGGCGGCGGAGATACCGTGGGAGGTAGACCGGTAGCGGGTAGGGAAGACTTCACCAGGGACGATGAAGGTAGTGGTGTTGGGACCTGGAGTTGTTAGTTTACGTTTTTTAATGAAAGGAGTAAAGACATACCGAAGTTGAAGAAGAACTGGGCAAGGACGTAGATGGCGAGGAGACCGTTGGAGGAGATGTGGTTGTAAGCAAAACCCATGACCTAAACATGTTAGCGCTGTAAAACCTCAACCACGACAGAACTTACAATGAAAAGAATTGTCAGGATGATGAAACCACCAAGCTGAATAGTCTTTCGTCCAAGGGTATCAATAGTAGCAACCGAAACCCAGTAACCAGGGACAGCACCAGCCAAGACAATGATGATGTTACCAACAGCAGTGTTGTACAAGAACTCGTACATGTTGTTGGCATCCTTGGAAGAGTAACCAATGACCTTGAGGATAGTACCGTTGTTCAAGCTGAGACCATAAAAGGCCACATCAAGACAGAACCATGAACCAGCAGTACCGATGAGGATGGACAGGTTCTTCCACTTGCTGTAGTGCTGGCAGAAGTCGCTCCAGCTGGCCTTGGGGACCTGGAGGTTGGACTTGGCGCTGGCGTGGACTTGGGCACGGGCGATCTCGTCGGTGTCGCCTTCACGCTTGCCGGTCATGTAGGCCTTGACGTCCTCGTCGGCTTGCTCAACGTCGCGGGCGACATCGAAGGTGTAACGGGGAGTCTCAGGGATGGTGAGACGATCTACACGAATATCAGTATGTGTTTGAGAGGTCAAGATGTAATTGACTTACAGTAGAGGGCAATGCAAGCAGGGACGGCACCGAAACCAACAAGGGTACGCCACATCTTGTCGACGGCGACCTGGCAGTCTCCAGTGCAGTGCTTGGTATCAGGGGCATTTTCGAGAGAGGACTTGAAGCCGAGGGTGAGGAACATCATGACGAGAGCGGCAACAAGCTGGCCGATACCCTGCATGGCAAAGACAGCAGCCATCATGGCACCACGCCACTTGGTGGTAGCGAACCTGTGATGTTAGTCAACCTGGATATGACAGCCGTGAGTGTAAATTGACTTACTCAGAGGTAATAATGGAAGAAAGGGGATAATCACCACCAATACCCACGCCCATAATTACACGCCAGAAGATAATAAGACCAACAAGCGAGGTGGAAGGCGAACCAGCAGTCAGGGCCTGAGCAAGAGTCGCAAAGATGATGACAATAAGCTCCAGACCATACATCCTCTTACGACCGACAATATCGGCCAACATACCAAATCCAAGCTGTCCAATAACAGTACCAGCAGAAGTGGAAAGCTTGATAGCATTATCAGAGCTAGTGGCAAGCTTTCCCTTGCCAGGATAGTAAACAATGCCCAACATGATGGTCAACATGGACACGCAGAAGATATCGTAAGAGTCAGTGAAGAAACCAACACCGGCGACGATACAGGCGCGGACATGGTACCATCCGAAAGGAGCCTTGTCGATCTCGGCGAGGGCAAGACGACGACGCTCATTGGGGTCGGCGATGTGAGCAAAGTCGTTGTGGAAGTTGTGGAAGGCATTGTTGCCGCCGCTTGTCTTGGCGACGGGACCAGGGGTGGCAGCCATTTTTGGAAGAATTATTTAAAGAACGATATGAAGAATAGAACTGGTCTTGAATTTCGTGTACGTGTACTTGGAAAGGTACCCAGCGGCACGTTCACAAGCAAAATTATCCTTGCAGCCAAGAACAAGCCAAGAGATCTAGAAAAGAACAGAACGATCTAATATATATAAACCCTCCTTCATATTAATCCCCCATAGTTCTCTTTGCAAAAATCCCATCAAGAGCCGTCCGAACCGAGACGCACCAGTCAAATTTTGTTTCTCGAGGACATGCTCTTCTAGAACTCGACGTGCTATCTCCTGAGTCTCCATGCTCGGTATAGGATGAAGCACACGACAGTTATAAGTGAGGACGAATAGACGTCAAGCTCCGTTCCCACGTGCATTCAAGCGTTGAGATTGCTTGGCTAAAAGCGTTCCAGGGTCTCGGGACACGGCACGGAATTAGCGTGGCTCCGACCCGCCTTGGCATCAAGAGTGACAGATTGAGGTGCATCTGGACTTGAATGGAGACACCGAGAGAGTAAGCTTGTCATTAAGGACTAAGCTTGTTGGTGGTAAAGTTCTGCTGCTTTGGGACACCGAAGGCGTTTGGAGTCTTCAATATTCGGGTATCACGGCTTCAGCTGAAGAAGAGTATCGATTGTGTTGCCGGTTTAATCCCGCGGGCCAAGACTTTTTCGACTTGGAGAGCACGTGTCTTCCAACGACTCTCACAAGTTTGACTTGTCGAGTTCTGCCTCTTTCTTTCTCTTGTGACTTATTTCTCCTTTTCGGGCCGTCGCTGTTGAGGGGGTTGTTGCATTCGCTTATACGCAAGGTTGTCGCATTCTTTGCGCGCATCATACGTCAACTTCTCATCTGACTCTTCAAACATCACCATGTCGGAACCAACAGAACCACCACCTCTATCAATCGAGATCTTGATCGACTCAAAAGAAAAGAAAGATGCTCTCAAACTCATCGTCGACAGTGTCGCGCAACAGCGTCAAACAGCATCACGCGCCCTAATCTTCCACCCAATTCCCCTCTCCGTCTTTATAGCAATCCTCGCAATCGCACACTATGGCGCGGGCATTGGCAAGGACATCAGCACCATGCTGATCATCTACCCCGGTATAATACTCACATACCTCGTCGCAATCCGATACTTCACCAGTGCGTACATTCGCATCGCTGAAGAGACGGATTGGCTTGACTGGATGAAGAAGGATGGTGTTGAGGATACCATCATCGGGGCGCGGTTTGGGAAGGACATCATCGCTGCAGTGGTCCTTCGATTGGAGAAGAGCAACAAGACTGCCTTAATTCGTGCATGGACAACGAGGGCGCGGTACAGACGTCGGGGACTTGGTGGGGATATGCTACGCGAGAGTGTCAAGATCGCGAAGCAGAGGTTGGGCAAGGAGTGCACTTTTGAGTTTGCGCAAGATCATGCAAACAGCGAAATGCCTCTGCATGAGATCTTCAGTGCTCCTTTCCTTGCCCGACAAGTGAAAGCGAAGAAGGCGCTCAGCGCAGCGTTGAAGGATTGGGAGGAGGGCAAAGAGGGACCTCAATAGCGACGAGAGTTGAGTATGTATTAGAGTACTGTAAGTTCACTCAATCTTGCGCCTTCTATCACTGATCGCTAACATTAAGCAGAGATTCTAGTCATACTTCATGCGACGGTGCGCGATCCTATCTGCTTGGCTGAAGTCCGATCAACTACAACTACCCTTACCATTGTGACTGTTACGTTCAAAGTACGCGCAAACGGTTTCGCCTTTCCAACCGTCGACTCAAAAAAGCAAGAGTTGAGGTTATGCCAGCAATGGAGACAATGTTCTCTCCCTCGCTGCCACTTCCACCAGCCCAGCTTCACGTTTGATGGAACAGTACAGCAATAGTGTGTGGCCCATCCAGTGTACAGGCCGTCGATTCTTGGTGTCTCACGACCCAACTGCCGTTATCTCTCAGCACATTTGATGATTTACAGTTTGGATGTGATGCTCATCTCCATGCACCGAGTGCAGTGCCGAAATGAACAATGCGACATAACCAAATGCCGACGACCATGGGCCATCGCTCTTATCGCTGTCCTAAAATACTATAATAACAACAAGATCTCCCGAAATTACATGTCAAACAAATACGGAGTGGTCCTCGTTTCTTTGCCAATGTGTTCTGTTGTACCTGGATGAATGCGACCGGCGACGTTGTGAGCTTCTGAATAGCGTTTGCAAGTCTCGTTAAGGACGAGGACCCGGCAAATGCGATCCCTGAGTACGAATACTTCAGGAAATATGTCCTCGAGTTTACGCGTTGAATTGAGCAAGTTCCGACATTGATCATGCGACATGCTGCCAAACAACCGATGCTCAATGGCAGCAGACGCAACAGAGAAGCACGCACAAGCGGCAACTCTACGGACTACTACACTCAAGGCAGCTTACAATTCTCCGAAATTCCTTGGGGTATCTACCTCTCCGAGCGCTTGCTCTCTCTTCGCTACTTAGGTTGAGTATAACAATGTTGAGCAACATCAACGAAGATGGTGATCTTGATCACGGTATACGCGCTCCGACTGAGGCCAACGGACAGGCTTGTGAACGGGACCCGATGCTCCGAAGGCTCGTGATGTCTGGGTTAATACTTTTACATCTTTGCACCCTTTGTCACAAGCTCTCGTGACTTCTTAGTCACTGGATATCAAGGGGTTGTGAGCAACCATCATGAACAAAGCGGCCCCCAGCCACACTCTCCATGCACATCGCCATCACACAGCATCGGCACTCTCGCCAAACCCGAGTTTTTCTTCATCATTATTGCAGAGTCTGCATCACATGTGTTCAAAAACACCTTTCGTGGTCGCCCAGCATGTTGATCAACTGGGTCTTCAGTCGATCATATAGATACGCGAACGTGATCAACTGTGATCGTCGAGATCAGAACCACAGCATGTTGCATCGTGCGATCAAACTAATGCAAACTCCAATGTTTCAGATGGCATGTCAATCCCGTGCCACCAACCTTTCTCTCATTCCACGTTCCCCGTTCACCTCATCGTCCGATCTTATACCCGCGTTGCAGGAATGTCAACGACGGGCCGTGAGGGATGACACAGCCCGCACACCGGGGCCTCTCCGCTCTGCTAGTATCTGATCTAGAATGATTTGGGGACTTGTGCGATCAAGGGAGGCTCAAATAAGACATTATTGGAGCATCTGTAGCGGGTTCCAGGTGATAATTCCCTTCACATTCCAGTATTGTTTCATAACAGCTTGTTGCGATCATAATGACTAAGAAATCTCATAAACGTATTCTCTGTACATACTATGATTCGTGTAAATATTCTTGCAAGAAATGGTGAACCCATATAAACTATTTTTGGGCTCCGTGTGTCTCTCGATGTGGTGCTTCATGTCTCAAGTGACGTTGCCTTTAATATTCGAGGATCTGTGTAATACCAGCCCTAACATTTACAACACATGAGATTACTCCAGAATACACAAACTCAATTATAAGTTATCCTTCGACAATTAAGCTTAAAGGCTTGCATGAACCATAAACAGATGTACGAAAGGTTTCTTTCGGCGAAACAGGGTAACCCCTTCGACTGCTCTCCATCGGAGACGCCTACACTGGGTCAAGGCGATGCATGAAACCTGAAGTCTCAGAAAAGAATGGAAATGAATCATGCATATTCTGAGGCTGCGACAAATACAATTCAAATTTTGCAAGAACTTCATACTGTAGATAATTATGGGCTCAAGATTGACTGTTTGCCAAGCTTTATGATCGTATCGCTTGCAACAGTGGATAAGAGAGATCTTAAGTGCTGACATGTGGTCAGAGTGTATCCGTACCGCTGCGGAACATGTCCCCAGCCGCGGGGTGAAATGTAAATGCAATTGGATGTCTTCAAGTGGTGGTTGGTATTGGTTTGAGAATTTAGTTGTTAAATTCACATGACAGAATGTGAAAACGAGAGTTTGTCGATGTAATCGTCATCGGCAAATCCGTACAAATTGACTGAGGATTGAGTTGATTGACCATTGACAAAAGTGCCCCATGATAAGAACGAACCCCTCGTCTAAACCTTGACCCCTCTTATCACGCACATCCTGGCCTCAATCACCAAAGTCTGCAACCTCTCTATCTCTCGTAACATCGGCCTCATCTCTCACAGTGATAAGCTTTCCAAGATCCAGCCCTAGATCAGCAATTGAGATCTCAATCTCCTTTTCCATCAAATTTTCACGTCTAGACATTTTCTTCGCCACCTAAAAACCTCCCGACGCAGGTACCGAGCATGAGAAAACAGGGATCACAGGAGCACACGCCCCTTGGCAAGACAGCTGGGCAATGCTTAATTTCGGGCCAAGACCCAATGATAAGGATGTGAATGACGACAGTTGAGATGGATTAGTGCAGCCACTCAAGAGCGATTTTTTAATCAGGAGAAGGAAAACCTTGCCTTGACATCTAGATCGACGATGGGTTAAAAATATCTCATCTGCCTGCTACAGTAGCAATGTACCCCCCAGCCTTGTTCCCTCTGGAAGCATGGCTGTTGTCCCCTTTCACAGGCCAATTGGGTATTTCTTCATGTGTCATGGACATATCTTCACGTGGCAGAAGCTCGAGGAAATGGAAATAGACTGGAATAGACTCTTGAGAAGAAGAAAGTCAATGGGAGAATGTTGAGAAACTGCGGCAGTGGCTCACAGTGGATCGAAGAAAAGATGCCACATTTTTTGGACGGGCCGGTAGAAGGTTTATTCTGAACAGGACCAAACCAGTCCATCATGAGTTTGGCTTTATGTCCGAGCTTTGAGACAACGGTCTCTCCGCTCAACTTCGTGTTTTCGCATCAGACCACTCCGCTTACTGATCTGATCGGCAAAGCAAAATGCTATGTAGAAGGGATAACAGCACCCATGTGAGTTTTTACGTGTTCATGTATCATGTTGGCCTCCTCATTGTTGCTTCAGTGACCTGTCGCCTTGCGTACAACACCTCACGCGCTGCAAACCTGAACATGTCACCGAGTGGCGTTTATTAGTGCGGTGATGGTGAGGGGAGAACATTTTGACGGGCAATTTTTTAATGCAAAGCTATTTTACCTCTAAAGCTCTGTTTAATGCCGAATTGAGTTCCCCTTTTAAAAAAGCTTCTGATCAATAACGTGGTTCTGCTATTAAATGCTGAGGCATCGAAAGAATGATACGGTTTCTTCTGTTCATCCCATGCCAGCTGACGACGACAGGGTTTGCAGGGCAGACACCAATTGCAAGGATGTATTTCTGGGAACCAGCCCCTCTTCGTTTGTCACTGACGCTGGACCGGTAGTGCATGGGTCGTCTGTACTCCGTACCCTGGTTTGTTATCTCGTGTTGGTCATGGACGTCTTTCCATACGAGTCCATCATCATCTGTTCAAGCAATTGAGCAAGAATCTGATGTTAATTCTCGTTAAAGAAAAGATGACCATGATCAAAGCATGAAGAGAGGAGATATCCTAATACAGACATCCCTTGTCCCGGTTCACCAGACAATACAGAGTTGATCACCACTCAGATGCACTGATCAGCATCGTCACTACATTCACACCCGTTCCGCCCCGCTCACCCTGGAAGTGTTCCGTCTACAGACTAGATCATGGATAATAGCACTAGAAAAAGAAAAAGAAAGAACGACAACCTGCAAAAGAATACGAACATTGTCCAAATAGCGCATGCAATAGCTTCCGCACCACCCTCTAGCCCTCCCCATCACAAGCCACGGCGTTTCTGTTATTTACCCTGCCTCCAAAGGGATATGCATGCCCCGCGTAAACAACATGGCGTATTTGATCATAAACAAAAAATATCCTCAATTAAAACAAACGCCGCTCATTAATCTATAGGTAATTCGTATATATGCAAAAAACGAGAAGGCTTTATCTAGTGGTTTAGGCCTTCTTCTCCACGTTTATTGACAAGCTGGGGACGTCGAATGTTACTGTCGTGTTGGCCGAGTATGCTTCTGTTCCCCAGGACATGTAGCCGATGTAGTCGGATGACGAGGGGTAATTCGCGTTGTCCATGGAGAGAATCTCCTCGATTAATGGCCAGAGATCACCGTCGAACTTTTCGGTGGGCTTGTCGACGTACCATGTCAAGACTTTTTGCTTGGCCTGGTTGGTATCGTAGTAGAGTTTGCTGCGACGGTTAGCATAGCTTCTCCTCTGCGCAAGAAGCTCAACTTACAATTCTGTGCCGTGAAGAGTCTTTGTCGCAAGGGGATTCGCTCCATCGACGTTGAAACCGAGAGGTTGTGTCGCAGGTCCAATGGCAGCAAACCACACCATGATTTCGTGCGACGCATCCTCACTGTCCTGCGCCTTCTTCTGATCGCTGTCCATGAACATATCCATCGCGACGTTGGCGTTTAGAAGATGGTTTTTCAAGTCGGTGAGGTCTGTCTTTGTAGCCGGTGTAGCGCCCTTTGCGGAACCGTTGCCAACGGCGTAAGTCCATTCAAAGTCGATCTCGATCTTGTCAATGGTGTTGAGCTTGGCGGGGAAGACGGAGCCGTCGACTTTGATGTTGGGGTAGGCATGGACGGGAGCGGTTTCGGGACCTTGAGGGTATTCCCATACTACGGACCATCGAGGAGCGGTTGTTTTTGTTGCGTAGGTTTCATTGTTGTTTATGTCGACCTGCCATGGTCAGTATCGGACGGGAGAGCTGGGTGTCGCATGATGGCATAACATGATATGCATCATGAGGAGGTATCATGATAGAGAAGTAGAGGATTGACTTACATATAAACATAATCCTCCGTCATCGCCTTCGTCCCAACCCCACTGATTAGGATTGACTGCGCGACAGTTAGCAAAGGTACAATCGTAACACAAGACTCGATTCCATCCCGAGTTACACTGCAACTCCGTAGCTTGTACTCACGTGTATATTCTTGGCCCTTGGTCTCAGGATGTACACCATAAGACTTTTGACAATGCTGTTCCGTCGTAATGCCATTCTTCTTCTTTGGTGCTGTCGGTTTCGGGTCCGGCTTGAACAAAGGCGGTCCACCCGATGCCTCTCGCGAACTGTTAAGACCGATCAACACACCCAGCGTGATAGCGATAGGAAGGGCCAAAAGGCCAAAATTGACGAGGAACCGGATCGTCATAATTTCTGCTGGTGTTTTTGAGCAGAGAGGAGAAAGGATTGAATAGAATTGGACCTCCAACAATGGAGGAGGGAAAAATGAACAAGCTTTTGCAACTGCGTAGACGTTATCATTCGCACAGGCTCATTATTCCTAAATTGGGCGGCCAGCCAATGCAATGCACACTCCCCCTCCCTTGCATATGCGGAGTGGTGCTCTGTGGAAATGCCGACATGCCAATCACGTAGCGCACTGCGCAAGCTGATAGCACGCTCGCAGCTGAAAATGCCCCTGATCTAAACCCGGGATTAACCCCTGCGCTGCGATACGAGAAGGGGGTGTTGCGTTAGTGCTGTTAGTTGTTCCTGGATTAGTCTCACGGCATGCTCGGGTCGTTCGCTCGTGTTAATGGGCTGGGCTGGAGCTTGTTTATTCCAAGAATAAACCAATCCTGTACCAATACTGTACATACTTTGCAGAGACTGGGGACGTACCAGTTGTGAACCTACCTAAACTCAAATCAACACACCCCCATCGGATCTCTCCTCTCTCTCCCTTGTTCTTTTTCTTCTTCTTTCTAGTCAATCTTCTCTCGTTTTCTTGGACTCTTGGGGTTTCTTTTCCTTTTCATACATCATTTGCAAGTACCAGTCACTCGTTAAAAACAAGAACACCCAAGGTTCGCCAAGATACGCCATTGACTTTTTATCGGCTTGCATACTTTTGTACCACGTTGTACCTGCGAAACCCAAACGCATGCGTCTCACCCGTCCAGAGTCAAGATGAACGGGCATCATGGCTATGCAGAGGGGGAGCAGGAGAGGGAGTATAGAGAGATGGTAGAGATCGACGTCCAGCGTCAACATCAGCAGCAGCATGAACAGAGACAGTATCAGCAGCAGGAGTACTTCCAGCAAGACCTCCACTCTCCATACGGTCCCCCAGAACAGCAATACACGCCGTATTCGCCCTACCATTCATCAACGGAAGAGTTTCAGGGCCGTTCTGTCACTGAGCAGGGACGACCGGCTAGACCTTCACCAGCGCACTTTGATGATTACAGTCCAGCGCCTGAATGGCCTCCACACATTGCCAATAGCCCTGGGCAGTACTTCAACGACACACCGGGTGGTTCACGCTCTGCATCGCCGACTCTGCGAAGCGGTAGAGAAACACCAGCTCGTCTGCATCACCACCCGGGCAATTCGTCCGTCGACTGGAGACCATCCAGCCTAATGGTCAGCTCCCGCACCCTCGTCAACAAATCGTCCAATGTCACTGACTCCGACAAACAGAACCAGAGCCACCTGAGTCTCGCTGCGCTTCTGCCCGGCGGGGGTTCACCTCAGAGCAGCAGCGCAAACACACTTTATAACAAGGATTATATCGTTGACAGTAGCGCTATTCAGCATGTGCATAAGCGCGATGACGCTGAGATCTGGGGTGGTTGGAAGCGATGGGTGTTTAGGCTCGTTCCTGTTCTCACGTTTGCCAATACTGGACTTTACATGGCGTATCTGGCGTTGAGAATCGCTTGCGTTATTTGGGCACAGAATGCGGCGCATACGACGTATGCTGGTGCGTGGATATTCATCGGTGTTGAGATTGCAACGGCGATTCCGTCATTGATGCATAATACGTGGACGATGTGGTCGATGAAGAAGAGAAATCGACCTAAGCTGCGATTGACAGGCAACGATGTGCCAACTGTCGATGCATTCATCACTTGCTGTGGTGAAGATGATGATTTGGTTATGGATACGGTGCGGGCGGCGTGTGATCTGGATTATCCCCGGGATCGATACAGAGTCATTCTGCTGGATGATGGAAAGTCTTCTGGTCTGGAGGAAGCGTGTGCGAAGTTGGCCATGACGTACCCGAACTTGTACTATATGGCTCGAGTCAAGATTCCCGGCCAACCTCATCATTTCAAGGCGGGTAACCTGAACTATGGTCTTGATGAGGTGCACAAACTGCCTGGAGGTGCCGGTCAATTCATGGCAGCTCTGGATGCCGATATGGTAAGTTTCTTCTCCTCATTGAACAACGACATACTTACAATTGTAGATTCCTGAGCGTGACTGGCTCCGTGCTATTCTTCCTCACATGCTCATCGACCCGAAGATGGCTCTTGCATGCCCTCCCCAACTCTTCTACAACACCCCTCCCTCCGATCCTCTCGCCCAGAGTCTCGATTTCTTCGTTCACGTGATCGAGCCCATCAAGGACGCTCTAGGTGTTGCTTGGTGCACTGGATCAGGCTACGTCGCTCGTCGTGAAGCTCTCGACGAGATTGGTAACTTCCCTCTTGGATCTCTCGCCGAAGATGTCGCTACGTCGACTCTCATGCTCGGTAAGGGCTGGAAGACGGCTTTCATCCACGAACCTCTCCAATTTGGTACTGTTCCTGAAGACTATGGCGGTCATCTTAAGCAGCGAACGCGATGGGCTATTGGAACAGTTGATACCTCTTTCAAGCTGAACTTTTGTCTTTGGGGCGATAAGGTTCGCCAAATGACCACCGCTCAGCGATTCTCGGGGTTCTTGTACGCCTCGTTGAGCATGTACACCATTTTGCTCACCATTTCGCTCTTCGCCATTCCGATTATCCTGATCATGCAGAAGCCTCTTGTGGCATATGCTACCGACGAGCAGCTCCGATGGTTAATCCGCGCGTGTTTCGCATCCGTCATCTCGAACCGTCTTTGCGAGTTTGCTCTCTTTATTCCCGCCGGTTATCACACCGGTCAGCGAGGTTCGCGGTACCAGCTCTGGATGTCTCCCTACATCGCGCTCTGCCTCATCCGATCGTTCATTCTGCCAACATGGCTCGGCGGTCAAACTCAAGCCTTCAAGCCCACAGGTTCGCTCGGCTCAGCCCTCAACGAGCGCGACGCCAAGCTCCGAAAGAACATGTTCCGACGTCTCTGGGGCATTCTTATCAACTATATGGCCCTTTTCCACTTCGCCTTTGTGTATCTCACCCTCGTCGCTGTGGTTCTCACATCGTTCCGATCATTCGTCACGACTCACACCGTTCGCGACACACTCACCGCCCTTCTCACCCACGCATTCTGGCCACCTCTTACATTCCTTTTTATCTGCAGTTCGCTCTGGACACCGATTTCTTACGCGATTGACCCGCCCGCTATGCCCGACCGCGAGGACCTGCTGAACCGAGATCCAAAGACGCAGGTGGCGCATCCAACCACCCAGAGCAAGAAGATCGCGTTTGGCGGTCAGGCTGCGTGGTTCGAGTTGGAATACACGACAACTACTATTTATACATGCCTGGTCTTTGTGTGCTCATTCATTTTCTAGAAATGAGATGGGGCATAATAACGAAATGAACTGTAACGATAATGTACGAGGGCCATACATACGAGGGAGGGAGCCCATGCTTCGTGGATGAGATGAAAAGGCGCAAAGACCAATTGGCAAGGGTACTCATTGTTTGTTATTGGATTGTTTTTTTACATGGTATGGTACATAGTGCACGCATCGCATTAAACATAAAGATAGAGATCAGCCCGTAAGCGGCATACGAATAATAGAATGGCATCAATTATCACATGGACCTCGGGGAGCCAAAAACGCGTGAGATCTTCAATTTGAGAGATAAGGACAACGAACCACAAGCCTCGCGATTGCACCATAAAATGTTAAGTACGTTGAACAAAAGTCTCCCAAGTTCACCATAAGATTGCATCAATCAATCCCAAAGTTGCCTGTATTTTTGTCACTTGTAACCGAGGTCTCGTTCCTTGCCTCCCCTCGACGAATTACCATTAAACCAGCCGCCAAATATCTCATGCATGAAGCATTGAATCAGTGTCAACATGTGAAACCTTGACTCGAACAGGCTTGACTCGAGAAGAGGCGCTTAACCTTGGCCCCAGTCCGCAAAACTCCCTTGGTCCGTATCTACGCGACTCAATCAGCACAAAAAACCTCTCAATCTAGCGGAACAACTTTTGTTCCAGAAATGTTCTCTGCGGCGCTCTAAATAACGTGACCAGTCAGCCACTCACGAAAGGTCAGACCCTTATCTGCGGTGTGCTCCACTCTCTTCAGGAACCGAAGACCGCATGTGAGATTAGATCTTCTCGTCTCGAAATTGCCTCTTCTCTCTACCTTAGCCTTTCGTATCAGAAGAGCGAGCCCACGGTACATTCTCTCACCGCAATTGAAAGCTCAACAAAACTGTAGAATAACAGCAAGGCTCCCTTGCAAGAAAGAACCCACTCGGTTAACCTCTGTGCTAAGCTCACAGCTTAAGGGTCTTTTCGTTCTCCACATCGTGAACACGTCTCCCTCTACTCTCCATGATCTCCCGCACATCGTGGGGCCGTGATTGGCCTGCCAGGAGTACAAGTTCTGGACCCCTATTCATGGGTCCCTGAGTTTGTGGTCTTTTCAGAAGTTTTTTTTTTCGTATGCTATTTCGGATTAGGTCAAGAGCCGTAATCCTGAGACGAGTCTGGTATCGGTAGCTAGAAATAAATAATAAGAGCTTTGTTGGGGCGGGAACCTTTTTCTTCTCCCCGTTACCCCCCTCTCTTCTTTCTCTCCTCCTCTTTAAACTTTTTTTTCTCCTCTCGAGTGAATCTTGACAATTGCATCTTCTGCAAACGTTAGCACAATGGCGACTCGACAGCGAACTGCCACCACCGTTGTGGTCGAGGACCTCCCCAAGGTAAGTCGGTCAAGAAGCTCCCCTCGTCGCACTCCTAACTCGTGTTCAGGTCACTCTTGAGGCCAAGTCTGAACCTCAATTCCCCGATATCAAGACCATCAAGGATGCCATCCCCGCGCACTGCTTCCAGCCCTCGCTCGTCACCTCATTCTACTACGTCTTCCGCGATTTTGCCATGGTCTCTGCTCTCGTCTGGGCTGCCCTCACCTACATCCCCAGCATTCCCGACCAGACCCTCCGCGTCGCAGCATGGATGGTCTACGGCTTCGTCCAGGGTCTCTTCTGCACCGGTATCTGGATTCTCGGCCATGAGTGCGGCCACGGCGCTTTCTCCCTCCACGGAAAGATCAACAATGTGACCGGCTGGTTCCTCCATTCGTTCCTCCTCGTCCCCTACTTCAGCTGGAAGTACTCTCACCACCGTCACCACCGCTTCACCGGCCACATGGATCTCGACATGGCTTTCGTCCCCAAGACCGAGCCCAAGCCTTCCAAGTCGCTCATGATTGCTGGCATTGACGTTGCTGAGCTTGTTGAGGATACACCCGCTGCTCAGATGGTGAAGCTCATCTTCCACCAGCTTTTCGGATGGCAGGCGTATCTTCTCTTCAACGCTAGCTCCGGTAAGGGCAGCAAGCAGTGGGAGCCCAAGACCGGCCTTGCCAAGTGGTTCCGAGTCAGTCACTTCGAGCCTACCAGCGCTGTTTTCCGCCCTAACGAGGCCATCTTTATCCTCATCTCCGATATTGGTCTTGCTCTTATGGGAACTGCTCTGTACTTTGCTTCCAAGCAAGTTGGTGTTTCAACCATTCTCTTCCTCTACGCTGTTCCCTACTTCTGGGTTCACCACTGGCTCGGTGAGTTCGAGATCAATCGAATCGATCGAATTTTTGCTGATTGATTAGTTGCCATTACCTACCTCCACCATCACCACACCGAGCTTCCTCACTACACCGCTGAGGGCTGGACCTACGTCAAGGGTGCTCTCGCCACTGTCGACCGTGAGTTTGGCTTCATCGGAAAGCACCTCTTCCACGGTATCATTGAGAAGCACGTTGTCCACCATCTGTTCCCGTAAGTCACCTGTCTCAATGGCACCGATTCACGTCTAACTCCTCCTAGTAAGATCCCCTTCTACAAGGCTGACGAGGCTACCGAGGCCATCAAGCCCGTCATCGGCGACCACTACTGCCACGACGATCGCAGCTTCCTGGGCCAGCTGTGGACCATCTTCGGCAGCCTCAAGTACGTCGAGCACGACCCTACCACCCCGGGCGCCATGCGTTGGGCAAAGGAGTAGAGCTCCGGGTCTGGTACTGCTGCTGGGGCAAAGTGATAGACAATTGTGATAGACATAAACGATAGATCAAGTTAGACACGACACGCGACATACGCGATTAGAAAGAAACTAGAGCATTTGGTTTTCGCGCTTGGGACGCAATAAAATGGAGTTTGTTTGTTAAACTGGAGATTGAAGGGATTTGTTGAGTGAGGCACAGCCTGAGAAGCATGATTCAATCCCCGCACTTCTCGCCTCCGGGACGTTTTAATTATCTTCCGCCAAATGCCAAGTCCGCTCTCCGCCACTGAAGTCCAAACAGTGTCTCAAGAATGTGAGGAGACAGAATCGTGAACCACTGAGATGGCAGGATAAATGAGATATCACCTATTCTCTAGCGCAAACATGAAATTGGGTAGCATCATAGATATTCTCACATTTGCCACGATAAGGGGTGATTGATATTCAGGGATGAAATTGTCAAGGTTCAAGGTCAAGGTACCCTAGAACCCCCGAAGCCCCTGTTAGTGCGGCGGAGTTTTGGCGGGCTTTCCGCTGCGCCGTTATCCGACAATGCATCTTGCAGTGCAGGTTTCAATCAATTGAGATCTGTTCAATTAAGAATCGATATGGAGACAGCGCAATCAAGTAGAAGAAAAGGTGAGAGTATGGTTAAATTCTAAGCAGAGATTGGCCTAATATCGTTTATAGCGTGCGATTATTGTGTGTCGCGGAAGATTAAATGCGACGGGCGCAAACCGACATGCTCTAATTGCACGCTATACGCTGTTACCTGCAAGACGACTGTAACAAGTCGTAGAAAGGCGCCTCGCAATGGTGGAATCACTCCGGCACCCATAGCGCAATCTGAGACTCAGTAGGTACCTGTAATTGAGTTTTGTTTCGTTGTTGTTAATGACGCAAAGACCCGATCGTATGGCCTCTCTTGAAGAGCGCTTAGCTAACATTGAGGCTCTGCTCACCGCGCTTGGGGGACAAACAACACAGCCTGGACTCGACATTTCTCTCAGCGATATTGATGCTTCTGGGTCCTCGAATAATTGGGGCATTTCGCCGATTCAGACACCTTTGGACGTAGCCCATTGCGACGATGCAGCCCTCTTAAACGCGAACTCTCAATTGACCAAGGCTGCGACCTCAGATCAGCTCGAGCTCGCTCCTCTGTCAGAAGTCCTCCCACTTGTGGACAACTATTTCCGTAATTACAACACCATAGTCCCACTATTCGACGAGAATGCATTCATGCGCATGCTTCTCGATTGGTACTCTTCATCAACAAAACGCTCTATGGTCACATGGGCTGCTATAAATGTCGTCTTGGCCATCAATTATCGCATCCTTGAGGGAAAGACAATGGACGACCCTGCATTTTCCAAAAGTATTCGCAATGTACGTTCTGTAATGTCAGAGCTAATGACGCAAGGCCAGGACTTGATGGGATTGCAAGTGCTTCTGGGCATGGTGATCCTGTTTCAAGGGTCTTCAGAGGTCCAACTCGCTATCGTTTTAACTGCGAGTGTCATTCGGCTTGCGCAAAGTCTCCGGCTGAACTCGAAGAAGGCGCTGAAAGGACTCCCGAAATCAGAGCAAGCACATAGAACCCGTCTGTTCTGGCTTTCGTACATCTATGACAGGGTACGTTGAACTCACCAGCTATACCCATGATACTAACGACTGGCAGGAAATGGCCCAAAAGTCCCAATGCCCGTATCACCAGCCCGACAGTGAAACAGACATGGACCTACCAGAAGCAGACCCTGAAGACAATCTCGGTGTCATTACCTCATCGACTGACACCATTCGGTTCAACTACCTCCGTTCATGCGCCAAGTTTGCATTCATCCAAGGAAAAGCCCATGATGTTCTCTACAGCCAACAGTCCCATACCCTCACACCAGAAAAGAAAGCCAGCTCAATCACCCGTGTAGAAGAGATGCTACAAGAATGGGTGGACGAAATACCCCCTGAGCTTCGCACCACAGAGGGTATTGGGAAGAGGCTATCCCCAGTAGCTAGGGATATGATGACGAACTTATGGTCTCGCCACATTGAGACCCGGATCAAGATTCACTCGATATTTACCTTTGAAGATACATGGATCAACAGAGTGAGGCGGTATTTGTCACCCGCTGTGATAGATATCAGCGACGACGTTGATGGGGAGGTTAGAAGAGCGGATCTTACGCCTCTACCAGCGGGGTGGGAGGAATGTGTCGGATATAGTCGAGTCTGTTTGGAGTTACTCAGTTCGGCAAAACTGACAGAGTATATTCTATGGTAAGCCCCCCGAAGCTTCTTCTACTGTTGATACTGACAGAAGTGATAGGCTACATACATGCACCGCACTCCCATGCCTGATCCTCATCATAGTCAACATGATCGAGTTTCCCGACCACGATCTTGTTACTCAAGATAGGAAGCTTTTGGATAGTTGTTTTGGAGCCTTTGACGATATGATCAAATATCTGCCCAAAGAGCCGTTTGGCACAATATTATCTATTTCTCATCAGTTGGATCGAAGGGCCAGGGGGCAGGTTTACCGCACTATGTTGACGAAAGGGGATATATCTTATGACGGTGATTTCCAGATGAGTCCTTCGACTGCGTGGGCGCTTTTGGATGACATCGAGTTTCAGTAAGGGAAGACCTGCTCACCATATTATCAAGCATTAGTTCAGTCCAATCCCATACAATGTCTTGAATCCTAGCTTACCTTACAAAACACATCTTGGGGAAACAACGTTACACAAGGCATGCAATACGTGGTTTAATATCACCGGCTATGATATAATTCTATGGTATAGCGCCTGCAGTTCCCCTGATAGCCCTCTCATTCTCCTCAGTCAACTCTACACCAAAATACTTTCTCAAAGCATCCAACCTCTCCTCTTCCGTCCTGAAAGTCTTTTCCCACTTAGTCTCTCCACCCTTTCTATACTTAAACACATTCCCATCGATGATAAAGTTTCCATCAATGACACCACCCACGTTTTTCAAGTCCCTAGCGCTTCCATCTGAATAATCCTCCTTCTCAGAAGTGAACTGCACACTAACGACCTTGAAAGTGAAGAAGCTTGAGGGACTCTTGGACGGAGACATGTTCATGACTCGAATATCTTCAGGGAGAACCTCATAGTCCATAAAGCACCACTGAGGAAACCACTCGCCTCTGTCATGAGAGCGATACTCGTATATCCAGAGCTTTTGATTGCTGACATTTTGCGCGATGGTATCATGCCGCAATCGCATTTGAACACCGTCTGATCGCTTATGAACAAGCTCGTGCACAACTTCCAACGGCTCCGTCGGGTTTCGTGCCCCAAACCCAACATCAACGGCATAAGTCCTCCCAGCAATAATCACCAAGCTGAGACAATGTGAACTGCCGCCAAATCTTCCAGCGTCAGGGTTAAAGACCCTTGCTCCAACCATGTAGGCATGATAACCCAGCGAGAGAAGAACTGTGTTGAACAAAGTGTTGTTCTCCATACAATAACCGCCTCGCTTCTCATTTACGATTTTATCGTAGAGATGATCGGCGTTGACGTCGACGGTGCGATGCCATGAGTAGTGAAGAGTAAGATTCTCAAACGGAACTGCGAGAATTTGTTGTTTTGTTAAAGTGTCGAGGTATGACTGTTGGTCTTCAGATGAGAGGTTGCTGATGTTGTACTGACGATCAGATGCCGGAAAGGCAATTCGATCGTAGTATTTCTCGAGCTGAGACTTGCTGTATCGAATTCGGTCCGCCATATTGGAGTTGCCTGGAATTTAATCCGAGAATATCTGGTATTTAGGACCATATATTAGTTATTTTGATGTCGGATACCGGATTTGTAATCAGTCATCGGGCGGCTATGGGTGTCGGCTTTTGGAGACGCTTGATGTGGATCATGTTGATATCAATGAGGTCATTGGTCAATCAAGACTGTGACGCTATTGAAGCTGAACCACGGCATTGTGGTCTACTCATGACACCCGAGGATGTTCATATACAAGCCTAACTGAGGTTGTCATGGGTGAGTAAGCATGCAGTAAATAAGTTATGCCGTGTAACTAACCTGAATGTTAAAGTGGTTTCTATGAAACGCCATTGGCTACGAACGTAAAGGTTTCTGCCGTTTCGAAACTTGAATAACTAGAGTATCCTAGCAAAATCAGGGAAATATTAAAGGAGTTATTGACCAAGATAGTGAATATTATTGCTTCGCCGACTAATTGATATGCAGATTGGTGAGCTGTTCCGGTGTGAAAATGCCTGGGAGTTCCGTGGAACTCCGACCTACCCGGAACTCCAGCCAACTCCGCCAAGCGAAAGGATTCACTGATGAAATTGCAACTCATGCCAGAACAGCCATAGAATTGTATTTATATAAATAGTGCAAGAGTCACTCTATAATCATGATCATTCTCTGTATCCGAATCCATTATCGAGAGCTGGCTTGATAGTATTTTGCCCTCTGAAGCTGCCGTCAGTAGCTCACGACTTACACCATTAACATGACGGGAACAATCATCATAACCGGTGCCAATGGGTCTCTCGCCCTCGCCTATATAACCCACCTCATAAAGACCCATCCATCCTACACCGTCCTCGCAACAGTCCGCAATGCGTCCCCCTCAGATCCCAACACCGCTCAACTCTCATCTCTCCTCTCCTTACACCCCAAATCCTCCATCGAAGCTCTCGATCTCTCTCTTCTCTCCAACGTACGAAGCTTCTCTGAAAACACAGTGAGGCGTATAGTTGCCGGTGAAATACCTCCTATAAAAGCTATCATCTGCAACGCTTTCACAATGTCTGTCACAGAGCAGATTTATACTCCTGATGGGTTCGAGAGGACGTTTCAGGTTAATCACTTGTCTCATTTTGTTTTGGTGCTAAAGTTGATTGGTAGTATGGTGAGTGATGGGAGGGTTGTGATGCTTGGTTCGAATACGCACTATACGGATCGTTCGCACCCGCTTTTTAAACAACGACCTGGTATTCCAGAGGATACTGAGCTGTTGGTCAAGCCGAGGCCTGATAAGAAGGGGAAAGAGTATGATGGAGGATTTCATCGGTATGGAAATTCGAAGTTGGCGAACATCATGTTTATGCACGATCTCAACGCCAAGCTTGAAAAGGTAAGCTATAGTCATTACCTGGATATCATCAAGCTGACATGTTAGAATCCCAAGCTCTCTGGTATCACAGCTATAGCAATGGACCCAGGCGGCATGGTCGATTCCCGTGCGCACAGGATTCAGACGCCGTTTATGCGGCTTGCGTTTAGTCTTGTACTTATATCACTCCCTGTTCTTCGACACTTCACCGATACTATGCGGCCAGCAGCGCAATCAGGTCGAGAATTGGTGGAGTTGAGCGTTGGTGAGAAATTTAAGGGCACAAAGGGGTATTTCATGGGTACCAGACGGGAAGAAGAGGACGTTGTGTGTAAGGATCTCCACAAGAGGGAGTTGTTGTGGAATGCTTGCTGGAAGTGGGCTGGAATGAGGGAGGAGGAGACTGTTCTGCCTTAACAGAGCTGAAGGCTTGGGCCTGTATGGTTGATAAGACGCATGAAGTGTCAAGAGGGACATTTCTTTTTGTTATCTCCCTGCACTGGACATGACCAGCGGCAAGTAAATTGCGTGTAAGGATGAACACAGACGAAGAAATAGCCGGCGGACAGAAACAAAAGCCACATTACAGATGGAAGGCAGCAAGATACCATCGTAAGTATGATCATAAGATATTGAGTCTCAATTTCTATATTCAAGTCTACAGGACCCATGTACACCTAATCACCAAACAAACCGAAACAGAAAACGCCCTCTAAGAGCCATGAATGAACGTTTTAACGCTTTAGTACAACTGCAACCTGTTAGCATCACCTCTCAAGCAGCGACTAAAGTTGACTTACCCAGTTGAGCAGCCACATCACTCCAAGGATGGCTGCAACGCGCATGTGAAGGCCAGTCGTAACAGACTTGGCAAAGTCTTTTGCGCGGTCCAAGTGAACGTTGTTAAGCATGGGCATGTTCTCCCATACAGGCTCGACAATCTTCAACTCGCCCTCATCTTCCTCATCTCCCACAATCTCTTGGATTCCTTGCTTTGGCTTGGCCTCACCCAGAATGAGCTTGACGATCTTGCCAGATGCTTCAGCAACCAGGTGGCTGACCCAGAAGAAGATGGGGACAATGACTGCGAGATCTCGCCAGCGGTCATTGAGGAGACTGGCATCGCCCTTGAAGATATCCAAGAGAAGGACGCCCTTCGTGTCAGCGGCTAGAAAGACGTGGAACTGCAGGATGAATGTCTCAAGAGAGCATCGACCGAGCCACGCCGCGGCAGTAGAGTAGTAGTTCCTCATGGTGGAAGTTGCGTTTCGGAGAGCGATGAAGGCAAGAATAGGCACCGCCGAAATGACCGGATGCATCATGATATAGATCTTCCTGTCACCAGTGTATGTGCAGAGGTAAGCATAGCCAAGGATTGATAGGGCGGAAGGAATGATGGCAGCTTTGTAGTTGGTGTACCAGGCAGAATCACGCTCGAGTCGCTGTTGCGCGACACCAGCGAGCATACCGACAAACACAATGGCTCCATCGAGGGTGACTCTGAACATCCACTCGTCGAGGTTCCACTTGATGCGGAAGACGACATCAAGGATTGCAAAGGTCCATTTGAGGATTGGGGTGAAGTTGAGAAGGACTGTAACGAGAATGAAAGAGACAAAGATCTTGCTCGTGACAATCTTGACACTATCGTTGAAGCCAGAGCAGATAGCCATGGTGGCATAGACAACCATGAACCAGAAGCTGACCAAGGGCGCGAAGTAGTAAAACATGTAGTCGGTTCCCATAACGTAGGGAAGGGCGCAGCTCAGGATGTTCAGGCGCAGCATGACACTAGCAATGCGACGGAATGAAAAGTCCTTCTTGGAGAGGAAGTAGATGGTATGTCCATATCCCGTTTGGAACAGGTAGGCAGCGACAAGCAATCGGATGAAGATGTAAATGGGAAGATTGCGAATCGCGCCAGTCCAATGGTAAATAAGAATGGCAGCCTGCATCCAGCCCTTCCACTCTTCAGTCTGATCTCTTGAGAGGACGCCAGCATCCTCTTCAACTTTCGTGGGGGTGGTGGTAGCCTCAGCGACTGGAAGACGAGGCGCACGGAACATTGTCTTGCGTATGGTGAGGCCTGCGATAATGACACAGATTGCAATGAGGAGGTAAAATTCATTAGGAATAAACTCCTTCATTCCCTTGGAGAATAGATGGGTACGGTCGGCAGCGAAACAGTAGAGAAGAGAAACAGCAAGCATGCCAACCTTCATATCGAGCCACTTGATCTCGATGGAAGAGACGAGAGTGACGCCCTCGTAGCAGATGCATGCAATGACGTAGAGGGTAGCGAGGCCGAGAATGGCAATCTGAACCCATGGTCGCGAGCCGTAATCTGTGCAGCAGGTTCGAGTGTAGGGATATCCGTTCAATCGGTCAAGCTTGGCGTTACATCGGGCATTGAGCAGAATGTTGGCTTTAATCTCAGCGACGGTGTCAATGACGTGGAAGCCAGTTTGAGTCCTGTCGACAATTGCCTCAGGCTGATTGAGCGAGAGTTGAGGGAATGCTCGTAGCAGACGGAGGTTGTGTTCTTCTTCCTGGCTGTAGATGACGGTGTCAATGTTTTCGACCTCGCCCTTGTGAATACCCTTAGGTCCAGTACGCGATTTAGGAAGTTCATTGTAGTATGGAGGTGCGACGGGGGCGATGAAGACTTCGTTACCAACGCCTTCGACAGGATCCATTGGTCCTGTACCGAACTTGGTGAGGTCTCCAAAGTGAAGGATGTCGGTGATGTTGTCCAAAGCGACGGCGAACCGCTTGTCAGACTCATTGCCGAAGAAGTTACCGGCGTACCAAGCACCAGCGCCTAGCATAATGAGACCAGGATCGGAGCCATGGTGCTCTTCCTTTCGCTTCGCCTTCTCTTCAGCGGACTCCTTGACCGTGCTGTGCTTGTGCTTGTCTTCGCTAATTCGCTCGAGCTGTTCTCGTAGCGGGTGGCCTGGTTCGGTATGGTAAAACGGGTTCCAGATATGTAGCATTCGAACGCCATTAAAGGTTGTGTTGTAGCTTCGGTGAGGCTTGGCTTTCTTGCGACCTTCCATGGCCTTCTTACGATCCAACTAATTGGCAGTTAGTAGCAGAACAATGCGCGGATGCGAGTACAATTTACCAATCGCGCAGTGCCCCAGTATATCTGTCGTGTTGTTGAGTCGCCCGAGAAGACCAAATGGCGATCACCCATGCAATCCTTTATGTCCTGCGCCGTGTAATGATGCAGCATACATCCATCAGGCTGCCAATTCGTGAACGGCTTCCTCGCACCCGTCTCATCCGGAGCATGGATCCAGCTTCCATTTCGTTCACTCTCGCCTAGCAGCGCTCTACATCGATATGGATCATCTGAAGAATAAATATTGTGAAACGTCAACGAGCTCAACAAGACAAGACAAAAGACAATTGGAAGAAATCTCGCCGCGAAGGCCATGGGCCACGATGGTTCCGACATGATGTAAGAGAATGTGGTTATGCGTCGGATGAAGGCCAAGAACCTGCGAAGTGACGAGATGAGAAGATAAAGGGCTCTCTTGGCCTTGGACAAGTATGAAGAGACATTCTGGTGGCTTAAGAAGGGTTGCGTCCCTTGCTTCACCCCCTGAGACCGTTGGGGCATGTTGGTATGAATGGAGGACGCTTGGAATGAACTAACGGCATGCCTAGATTGAGGTGTGTCCAAAAGGAGCTGGGCAGAAGAAAAGGAGAGACAAGAGCTAAAGCCACGGGGGAAAAAAGGAAACAAGCTGATTCAGAGAGTAACAGAAAAGGAGAAGGAATAAATGAGCGGAAGCATAGGGCAGTAAACAAAAAGAAAAGAAAGAAAGAGTCACTATGGTAAAAGAGCCGATGATGATACTGTACGAAAATGCAGTGTCACCTGTCACAACAGCCACTGACACGGAAGGCAAGATACTTATCACACAGACATTTCGACCCCTAAAAAGAACCCCTCAAAGATAAAAATCGCACTTGTCAGGTCCCCTCATCTCTAACCTAACGTCAAGTCCAGTAGTCTATTACTAGCCTCTCCCTCTAGCACCCTCCGTTGCAGCACGGACATGCACTACAGCTCAATAGCCAGCGCCACGCAATAAGGCACCCCTGACTAGAAAAGCAAGGGAGCGCTTTTCAGCTTGCGTGCCAGCGCCCAAAAACCCGAAACCCCCTGCATTCCGTCAAAATAACAAGCTTTTTCCATTCCCGTGCCAATTTTTCTTCAGTGTTAAGATTAGATTAGGTTGAAAAGTTAATCGCGTGCGTGGCCTGTTTCCCCACTGATCAAAAGGAGTACATATGGATAATATTAACCTTATAAATTAAAGAAAAAACTCAATTGTTTGTTTCCTTGACTGTTTTATTGCCGGTTTGCTTGCCGCGTGTCAGCCCTTGGATTGCTGGTTGATGAAGCGCCACTGAGAATAGCGCCACTTTGACACCTCCAGTGATTGCCCTGATCTTCATCAAGGACAGATATGTACGTGCACCCTTCTCGTTTCGTTTGGGTGACGAATCTGATACAATTGTCGCACCGACCGATCTGTCATTTCTTTGTTTGTTGTTTTGAGTTACAGAGGGTTACACGTTTCCGTCATGATTCAACTGCCGGAGGATTAATGCTTGACACTCAATGAAGGGCCATGGTTTGCTGCTTTGGCGGGGTGTGATACTGGACGGTTCTGTAGAGGTTTCGTTTCAGTGCTTGATTGACCGACCCGGGGACGGAGCCGGCACAGCCCCGCATCGGCGTCGACTTCCGATCGGCTTGGACCAGCGACCGGCTCATTTTGAGTTACAGATAAATAGCATCGTTCTCAGTAGTTTATCATGAAAGACTATCCGTAATTAACAGAATATCCAAGTAAATAATCTGCTTAAAATGTCATACTGGATCGAAACAGAAGACTGGCACACTGCCGGCGAACCCTTCCGCATCGTCCAAACCCTTCCAGCCGGTCATCTCCCTCACGGCGAAACTGTCGCCCAACGTCGTCTCACTGTTATTGACACTCCCAATCACCCTCTTGACCAACTCCGACAATCTCTATGCCATGAGCCGCGTGGCCATGCGGATATGTACGGCGGCTTCATCACGCCCCCAAATGATCCCGGTGCTCATTTCGGCGTCTTGTTCTGGCATAAAGATGGCTTCTCAACGGCGTGTGGACATGGGACTATAGCTTTGGGGTATTGGGCTGTTACCAAGGGTCTGGTGAAAGGGCCTGAAGATGGGAATGTTGATGTCGTTATTGACGTTCCGTCTGGGAGGGTTATCGCGAACATTGCTGTGAGGCAGGGCAAGCCGGTCCATGGCGACTTCATCAACGTCAAGAGTTACCAGATTGCCAAGGACTTGTCTGTCAATCTTCCATTACGAGGCGTTGATGTCAAGGTCAATCTATCATTCGGAGGAGCTGTTTACGCTACCATAGACGCAGCTCAACTGGGCTTCAAGGTTGAACCAAGTCAACACATCGACTTCATCAACCTTGGACGCGAGATCAAAGCTTCTCTAGGCACTAGAGCCCACTATAACACATACGATCTATACGGCGTCATATTCTTCAACGATGAGGGCACTGGACCAGCTGGAGAGGTACTTCAACGCAATGTCACTGTCTTTGCAGATGGTCAGATCGATCGCTCACCCTGTGGCTCAGGCACAGCTGCAAGAGTAGCAGTGCTTTTAGCTGAAGGAAAATTGGGAGCTGGAAAGTCAAAGCTTCTGCACCGATCGATTATTGATACGGTGTTTGAAGCAGATATTATTTCTGAGGAGGAGAGTCCTGTTGAATTCCCAGCTTGTATTCCGAGAGTGAGAGGAACTGCTAATTTGGTCGGGAGGATGAACTTCTTTATCGATCCGGAGGATACTGTATTTCCTGGGTTCCTTCTAAGGTGAACGGACGTTAAAAGAGAAAGCGAACATGTTCTTGAAAGTGGCAGATTCCATCATTATTCATTAATATAGAAAAACACGCTACCATAACCCATGCCATCCTATTTTGTACAATCTATTCCAGTCTATCTATGCCAAATTAAGATTTTGAGTATATGGACTCACAAATGTGTTCCAATCATTCAAATCCTCAGTCACCAAAACAGGTGACTCCTTTTGAGTATGTAAATCTCTCATGCGCCAGACTTTCAAAATCACCGCTTTTGTTCTCTCGACATTAGCCAACGTCAACCCTACCATGGCATCAAGAGTCTCCAAGACAAGCTGTCTTCCAGATAAAAAGGTGCCTTGACCACCGTGAGCGAAGATCTTGTCGTCGTTCAAAGGATCCAACTCTACGGCTGCAACGAACAGGGGGAATAGAAGTCCTGCAGCGCTGCCTTGTTGAATAAGGTTATGAATGCTATGCAAAACCTTGATGACAAGTTGTGAAACCTGTGGTGTAGAAGGATCCGCATCTCGAAGCAAACAGTGGAAGTATATCTGCACCGAAGTCTTCTTCAGATCGACACATCTTCGGACATTCTCATCCATAGCTTCAACCACTGTGATATTGGAGCTCACGAGGGTCAACTCCCTATCAAGCTCCTCAACTTGGACCTCATAGTCCTCTTGAGACATATCTCGGGTTCTTGTCCTTGCCAGTTCAGTGATCTTGAAAATCACAGAAGCCATGGCTGGGCTGCAACCCATCCAGGCATCAATGTCTTCTGTGTGGTCCGGTCTTTGCCAATATTCTAGACCAAATATAGGGGAATTTCCACAAGCCGTTCTGCTGATCACATCTTGAAAAGCAAAGTATCGCTCTGAAAACGCAGCGAGACTCCCAAATGCTGAGTTCTTACTCGACGGAAGTGCAAGTTGCTGACGTTTCCGCATAAAGTCTTGACTTGCCCTTAGGTGAAACACCCATCGATAATCACCATTATCAAGAATCTCGTAAAGACAGAGAAACATCATTGTTGCAGGGACTTGGGGATCCAGGATGACATCTGCTGTGACGTCTGGAGATCGAATTCTTTGAAGAAGACCGGTCAGGGCTTTGCCTTTCATCTTCATTGCTGGACGTGTCCATGATGGATCTGTGATGCTTCGATGTCGAGCAGAGAATGCGAGGACGGATTGGACGAGAAGGTCTTGGCCTGCGTGGGTAAAAAGAGGAGCGACCATGCTTGCGAAGGGCGACGAGAGTTGAGAAGAAGGTGTTGTGAGAGGACATAATCGTAGGAGATAGTATTCGAAAAGACTTGTTTCAAAGGTGCTGAGCGTAGGGAATGATGATATTGAGGGTATGAGTCTCGGTGGTGATCTTTGCCTCCGCATAAGCGCTGAAGACGGTTCAGTTTCGTCCCTCAACTCCATAGCCTCCCTAAGAAGACTCTCTTCATAATTCGGATCATGAACAAAGTCGCTATAATAAGTATTGATAAAATGTCTCGGCTCAACCATCCCAAACCCCCAAACCTTTGGCGCATGAACCTGCGGTGGTCGTCTCTGCCTCGCCCCATCCTTACACCAAACGCCCTCCCGCCCAAACGAGAGCCCCTTTGCAGTAAACTCAGCCTCCCATTTTAACTGCAGCGTAGTATTACACGACAATCCGCGGGACACGCAGTTCCGACATGCAGGTTTAGCTTCGTCGCATTTTACCTTGCGGGACCGGCACGTTTGACATCCTGACCTTGTTCGTCTCTGGACGGGGCCCGTTTTGCCGGGGGGACGGCGGCGCGGCATTGGGGAGATGGACGGAGTAAAAGTGCCGGGAGAGGGAACGGATTCCTTTGCTTATGAGAGTAATTGATTGATCGTCTGATGGAGGTGGAAAAGCGGGGGAGTTTTGGAGGAGGAGACGACGCTATGGATGGGGCTATCACCTGATGATAGCGAATGGGCGATTAAACCGGTTTAGATCGGGTGATGAGCCAATCAGATGTACAGTGTGAATCAGTGATTCGGCAGGACCTTCGACGACATATCTCGGTTGGACCTTCGACAGAGGCGATAGTATCGGGCATTTCCTATATCTTTCATGGTCCGAGCTGATTATTTCCATTCTTTATCCATTGTATCACTGGCTTTACAATCTCAGAAATGGCCTCAACTCTCAGCAAACAGTCCCAAGTTCTCATCGTTGGTGGCGGAACATGGGGATGCTCAACTGCCCTCCATCTCGCTCGTCGAGGCTACACCAACGTCACCGTCCTCGACGTTAACCACATCCCATCACCAATATCAGCTGGTCATGATGTAAACAAGCTTGCAGGCGGGCTAAGTAGGTCATGTATAACACAAGAGCCTATCATGTTTTATTAACGAGAAGCAGGCACTTCTGATAGCAAAGGCGATGACGAAGACTCCATCTGGAAAGCACTTAGCTACGCCGCGGCTCAAGGCTGGCTCCATGACCCCGTCTTCCAACCTTTCTGCCACAACACAGGGTCTGTCATCGCTGGCTCAACACCAAAGTCTATCAAGCAGGTCGTAGAAGATGAGATCGGTGACGACATTGACCAGTATACACCTCTCAACACAGCAGAAGATTTCAGAAAGACCATGCCGGAGGGTATCCTGACAGGTGACTTTCCAGGCTGGAAGGGCTTTTACAAGCCAAAAGGTTCTGGCTGGGTTCATGCTCGAAAAGCCATGAAGGCCGCTTTTGAAGAGGGTAAGAGACTTGGAGTCAAGTTCATCACTGGCTCCCCGGAGGGAAAAGTCGAAAGTCTGCTTTTTGAAGATGGTGATGTTCGAGGTGCCAAGACAGCAGATGGTAAGGAGCACAGAGCTGATCGAACAATTCTGTCGGCTGGTGCTTCAGCAGAGTTCTTCCTCGATTTTGAGAACCAGATCCGCCCTACCGCATGGACATTGGGCCATATCCAGATGACACCAGAAGAAACCAAGCTATACAAGAATCTGCCACCTCTGTTCAACATCAATCAAGGCTTCTTCATGGAACCCGATGAGGATCTTCATCAACTCAAGATGTGCGATGAACATCCCGGCTACTGCAACTGGGTTGAAAAGCCAGGTTCCAAATATCCCCAGTCCATCCCCTTTGCAAAGCACCAAGTACCAATCGAGGCTGAACGACGCATGAAGCAGTTTCTTAAAGATATCATGCCCCAACTCGCAGATAGACCACTTGTTCATGCTAGAATCTGCTGGTGCGCTGATACACAGGATAGAATGTTCCTGATCACGTATCATCCTCGACATCCTTCACTTGTCATTGCTTCGGGTGATTGTGGTACAGGATACAAGCATATCACGTCGATTGGAAAATTCATCTCTGATTGTATGGAGGGCACATTGGAGGAACGGTTCGCCAAGTTTTGGAGATGGCGACCAGAGAAGTTTACGAAGTTCTGGGGTAAAGATCCCCTGGATCGCTTTGGAGCTGACGATAACATCATGGATTTGCCCAAGGGTAATGTAGAGGGATGGACAAATATCAAGAATGATAACTAAGGGCTTAGATTGGACAAGTTCACAATGAGAAAAATGTCGCAAAATTTGTATCATGATGTAACCATTTAAAAAAACTCGTGGCCTTGTATAGCAAGACCAGTGCTCCCTTCGTGTGAATGCCCTTGCGACCATAAATGTTCTCACGTCCACCTTATACCAGAGATCGTGAAACTCCTTCTGATAGCGCATCGGAAAATGCTTCTTCAAGCCTATCTTGTAACAAAATTCCACCACCATCTGAATCTTCACTAGACGAGACATCATAATCTGATTCGCTGTCCGAGAATGGCACAAGTTCCCAGTATACCTCGTCACCATCTTCCTGTAGTTTCCAGACTGCAATTTGCTCCCGTGGGCAGAATCGGTTGTGTTGATGATTACTATCGTCGCAAAAGAACTGGAAAGAAGACAAGCAAACGCCGCAGTTGAAACAGTCAAAGTCGTCCACGCAGGTTCTACACAGTTCGCATAGCTCCCCTCTCATTGGTGGCCAAGAGGAACGTGCCGCATCATCTTGTTCAGATGTCGGCGGCCACGGTCGATCGTCCCAGTAGGGACAGTTGCCCTCCTGCCCATACCAGAACTTTTCAAAATCTCCGCGAGTATACCCGGTAATATACCGCGCTTTTCGTGGATAAAATCTCCTAGTTTCCAGAATGTCGTAGCCGACATAAGTCAGAGCTGCATCCCAGAGATCGCCTCTCGCTGAAGTGCAGAAGAGGTAACAAGCCTCACACGTGGCACCGTAAGCATAGTGCGAAGGTTGATACCCTTCGTAGTCCTCGGCATACACGTCGGCACCATGCTCTATAAGATATGATAAGAGATCCATGTATTCTGGTAGGTACCTGAGCCAACTGTGAGATTTAAGAAAGAGGTTGTGTAGGCAAATTTGTCCGTTAAGAGTGCTGTTGACGTCGTAGCCTTGCTCCACGAGTAATCGTATTTGCTGACATGCCTGGTGTGGTTCTGAATCGCCTCCAATGAAAGAATTAAGGCAAACTCTTGGAATCAAATCCTGATTTTGCCAAGCGCTTGAATTGGCATAAACAAAAGGACTTACAAGTAGCGTCTGCTTCAGTCTCATAGAGTTTACCTCTGTCTAATTAAGGTCAGAAATAGATACAGGCTGGAAATGAAATGCTCATGTCATGATTGACAATCCACTGAACTGCAGTACTTTGCCCCTCGACTTGTAAAGTCACATCAGCCCCTGCATGAAGGAGGGCTTCGTAATGACCTACAGAAACCCCATGCACAAGAGCGAGATGAGATGGAGTTCTACAATATTGTTATTCCAAGCACGAGGCGTTATTGAGGCAAGAGCCATACATCTGGTAGTCCTGATCGGGTCGGGGTGCGACTTCATCGATATCTAGTCCCTGTTCTATCAGGAACTTCAGGACCGGGAGGTTTCTTACTGAATGCTGTTCCAAAGACCATCAGACAGTGTTAAGAGTTTATGTTAACTGTTGATGACTTACATGGAGTAATGACCATCCATATGTGTCATGATCATGGATACTGGCTTCCCCTCCTTCGAATAGTTCGACAAGGTCTTGGACTGATCCGCTTCGGGCTGTATCAAATACCAGAGAGTCTCTGGGTAAGATATTGCAGACCGTAACGCAAGGCAACATGTTGATGGAACTGTTGAACAAAAGCTGCCCCTGATTCACCGACAAGATAAGCATCTTCTTTGTGCTTTTGGATGTGTAGGTAAGTTTTGCGAGGAAGTCTCTTCTGGGCTCCTTTTTGCCTTGTTCCCTTTCGATTTGAGAAGCTGATTTTGGGCGTCTCTTAGCTGCCGTAACTGTTATAACTCCGTCATCTGTTTCAATAGTCTTTTGTTTCAGTTCTTGCGAAATTAAGAACTGTTTGTCCGTCAGCCTCCACAATCTTGCTGCTTCTCAACAAATAAGCAACAAGAGCATATAAATGACACAAACATACCAGCTTGATTGATCATCATCGACGGAGCGGAGAGGATGATATTTGCCATAAGCTTTAGTTCTTTTGAAACGTCTTGGCGACAATTTTGACAAGTTCCTTCTGACTCGACAGGCTCTGCATCTTTTCGGATGCATGCCAGAAGATACTCCAGATCTCCAAGGAGCTCTTCTGAATCATCAGACTCGACCACGCATGGTTTCTCCTCCAGTAGTCGCATCAAACGACTTATACTCTCATCTAATGATTTATCAGGTACGTAGTCCATCTCCTCATCATCCATCTCCGTCACCCTTGCTGAAGTGAATGATGAGTCCTCCTCGGTGATCAGGGTAGCCGTGTTAGTTGTTTGTGGCGCTGTGATGTCTTGTTTTAGTTGTTGCAGAAGGCTAAAGATTTGGGTTAATTGTGTCGCTGTGAACGACCCTTGTTGCACCTGAATAAGATTGAGCCGAACTGTGAGATGCTGTACATGGCCTCTAACAACATGCCGGATCTGGTCAAGGTCCTTTTCTGAGAAACAGAGCTTCAACTTTCTCCAGAGACGACCTCTCCGACCGTCCGAGGCTGAAACGTCAAGGGATTTCAGTTGAGAGTCAAGTGCGGTCAAGTCGTCTTTGCATTTCCTCGCCAGACTTTCTAACTGAGACTTATCGATGTCATCAACGGAAACAAAAGACACTTGCGATAGCCGTTGTAGAATACTCTCGAGCTGGGCAATCTCATCGGTGAGGAAACGAATGATCTGAGGGCCATCTTGGATCGCTGACAGAGCTTCGTGAATTGATTTGGTCACTGAGAAGGCGACAGTGATAAAGGAAAGAATGCTGGCGCCAGCGCCAACAGCCTCCATCTTCTCAGAGTTGAGACAAAAGAGATGATGTTGGGGGAGTGCAAGGTTGAAATATTCGGTCTAGAGCGAAAAGTCCAGCAGGGCTGATTTGTGTCATTGTGAAATCCACAGCGGCAAGCACAGCCTGATTTGTGACTTGGAAGGTACCTTACTTCCATTGCTGTCAGCCCAATTGGTCTCACAAGTGCTAAGCCACCACTTACCGCTCAGAATGCAGGTTACATGTTACAGCACTTCACATCCAATCATTCAAGATCAGGCCGTAGGACTGAAGCGGTGAGCTAATAGGGCAGACCATAGATAAATTACGAATAATAGAAGTTGTCATTTTATCACATGATGTATTTAGAGAAATGAATTGATACGACCGCAGAGGCTCCGCATCACGTCCGAGATCGCTGGACTTCGGGCCCAGAGGACTCGCTCGTAATTGCTTTATGACTGGCTGTGCTTCTGCAGAGACTTTGTTATATATATAGGCACCAGAATATGTTCTTGTCGGGCTCAAGGAGTCAAATCGATTGTCAACCTATTTGAGAGTAACTGTAATCCCTGAGCCAAGTCAACTCTAAACAGTACTCTAGAGACTTCTCAGTCCATAGACACGATTCCGGATAGTGATTAGAAGCGATAAATTCTGCGCACGTGAATTCTGCCGGGAGATTGTCTATAGGTTCCTTGTGACCGAGCTTTTGCTCTGATACGGAGACTCGTGAGAACTGTGATTCTAGCAACAAATGTAGTGAATAAAACGTCGGATGTGCCAATGCATTTCGGAGTGATTAGTAGCTGAGGAGGATTTGATGCATGTAGGATAACATCTATAACTTCCCTACTCGAACGCCTATTGCCCTTCCTCCGACATAAGACAAGCATTCTCTGCCGCACCGTCAAACGATACAACAACCACACAAACATTCCACAAAGAACCCAACTGCACACGAACCACTGTTTTGAAAACACTTCTCACGAATATCAAGCCAAAATGTGCACCAAATATATAAGAACCTGTCTCAAATGTGGTGAAAAGGGGATTATTAGGTGGAGCCAATGTGATTCTTACACGTTATGGCTCACACATTCTCCAACTCCCGCCCCATCCGAACCTGATATCGCCTGGCATGATCAAGCAGGTCGTCCAGACATCGATGAGGTGCCAATGGACTTCTTTACACCAGTAACATGTCCCAACGCGGCATGCCCGAGTAAGAACTGAGGAAGAGAGGAGAAGAATGAGGAGAACTAGATGTGGGAAAGTATAGGAAGGAGCTGCTACATTGGCCATGTACCACAAGAAATTTTTGAGCTCCATGACTTCGAGCTTCCCTATCAATTTCTAATGGTCTGAGCTCAATGTCTTTAATTAGTTTTGGATATTTTCTCGGCAATACATCTATGCTAGTAGCATTGTCATAGTGACCCTTAGTCTACTTTACCAGATTGTCAGGACTGGCATCAGAAAGCTTCACAATTTACAAGTATCATTGACTCCTTTGATAATGTTCCGACCCAAAGAGCCCTTTGAGGGTCAAGAGACAATAGATGCACGTCTCATTGAAACCAATAATTAAGGTACAAATGTCTTATCATCACAATGCGTCAAATTTGCGAAAGATCGGCCTGACGATTTCATGAACTACTTGAGATATGCCTGGAACAAGATGGTCCTACTATTCGAGAGAATCAAGAACTCGTGGAGAGACTGCAAATAATCGAAATAACCCGACCAGACGGTAAATTAACCAAGTTGAGGAAATTCTACCTACCGCTCCCTCAACTTGTCTTCTTACGAAATCGATATCTTCTTCCTAACGAGGACTTCAAATTTCTCAACCTCGAGCCTGGCCTGTCTTCGAGTACGGACCTAGGGCCATGGGCTTTTCTCCGGGACGATATTGGTATTCAGTCAGTTGGCTGTGAGGTGTTCTATCTCACGCTCCGGTATTATGTACGAAAGCATAACGAAGTCGGCACTGTGGAGTTTCCACGACGAGTTTTGGAACTATATCTACGCTTGCAGGCTGCCTGTGAAACGGGCGGGGAGAAAGCTAGGGTTTATATGAGGCGAGCAAGAACCAGAAGTGCTATTCGGTAGCTCTTCTAATCAATACTTTCAGAGACTGGTTTAGGGGATACCCGCTTGCTCTTACACCCAATGGATGGAAAACTTCTGGTTATTGTCATGTCAAAGTCTCTCGGGACCTATCTAACACAATCTCTGACTCTACTCTACTTCCGCCACCCAAGGAGTAGGAAGTCTCCAATTTTGAACTTGCAGCCCTTAAGAAGTTCTATAGGAACACACTGGAGATCATAGATGGGTCACTGGACTCGATTTCTCCGGAGTTCAAGGGGAAGCCTGATTTCAAGAGGGCAAAACAATTGTATCACGCTCTACAGACGATGAAACCAGAGCTTTCAAAAGATGATGTCAAACGAATCAGGTAATGCTCCCTGACCCTGCGCAAATGACTAGGCTGACATTGATTTAGGTCATTCTTCAGGGGGGAACCACGCCTCGTGCTGTCAGAGCAGAATCCTGAAAAGTACCACTTGACCCAGTGTGTCTGGGCACCAAAGTCAGCGAGCCGACACAATGCAAACGAGACTTGTCCGGAGCTTGAGTCCTTCTTTACCGACCTTTTAGGAGTTCACAAAACCGACATTAGCGTTGTCTGTCTCGAGCTTGTCAACTTCTTATGATACTCCATTTCCACCTTTCTATATTCACAAAAGTCGAAGCCACGGGCTGAATATCTAGATCTCAAAGCAGTCGGTTGAAGTCACGACTTCAGTTGAGCTTCCTCGCTCGTTGGGGGCGTGGCCCCTGGGTGATCCTAGCCATCCAGATGCAAAACAGACTGACCCGAAGCTCGTCTACCTCGTGGGAACTATACTCAGGGTCAAATATCACAAAATTTCTGCTATCAAGGATATCCTCGACGGGGAAGGTATTGTCAACGTTGACAAACTACAATGTTCTATTCATTGTACCCAGAACCAGTGAGTTCTCAGAGCACTCATTACTACTAGTCTTTGCTAACTGTGTGATAGGAATCAAAAGTCCCCTCACTTGTTCTCCGCTCAGCCGCCATCACTAGTGTCTAGTCGTTCAACTCTAGACTCAATCCGCACTTCGACACCAGCGCAAGTTGATGGCCTGGCTCAGCAAGTATGGTCGTTGAGCTTCCAAGGAAACAAAGACAACAGCACCACTGAGGACTCGGGTTGGGTAAAATATTTTTAATGGTAACTAAGCCCGTGTGTCTTTCGTGTTCATAGTTGTATTTTTTAATACATAACTGATCGTCTCTGGCGGATTGCCGCACTAGTCCAGTACATCACCCTCAACGCCGCCGCTTCCCAACATAAACATCCCGACTTACTTAACGTCCTTCATGAGCTCGCTGTCTTTATCGAGCTTTGTCCACTTATCCTTTCCATCAGGAATGTCAACCACTCTCTGAGTGTAGAAGATGTGGCACCTTAAACTAGTTAGTTTCATCTTGGACAACCTTTGGTAATGCAACTTACTGTGGCTGGAAGTTTTCTCGCAGCTGAGGCGTATCAAGGTTCAAGAGGGTAGGGAACAGAAGGACCATGTTTCGTCCCTCATCCATGATCCAGCTCCCGCACTCAGCACAGCCGACCTTGCAGGGAAGAACGTGCTCATTCTTCTTAGAAGAAGTCTTGTAGAATCGAAGATTCTTAACGCCGTTCTCAAAAGAGAGGTCTGTCTTTTTGAAGATAGCTGCCCACTGGAAAGGAGCACCTGGAACTTATTAGCCACTGAACATATAGCGTTTCATTGAGTGGAGTACCGTGGATCTTCTTGCAGTCTATGCAATGGCAGTACTTAGACGCAAGAGGCTTGTCGCTGCTCAGCCAATACTGCACTCGACCGCAGTGGCACGAGCCATGAACTTTCTTTTCAAAGTTCTCTCGCTTTTCAGTAGCTTCATCGGGTCTTGTGTAGGGAGGTTGAGTTTCCCAATCATCATGGTTGTCGTGGGAGAATTGGTGCTGATGCCCTTGCATATGCTTCTCGTCGTCGTCAGAGCCCATTGTGATAGATTGGATATTCTTGGCAGTAAATGAATTAAGTTGGTCCCTAGATCTAAATTGAAATGATACGAGATCTAAGATTAAAGAGAATCTGGGGTTTTGTAGAAACTGTCGCGTGCCCTTGATCGACGTGGCGCATGGTTGTCGTCATAGATATATCAAGATGACAAGTCCCCATCATGACCCTCATATTTTTGCTTCTCTCTCGATCTAATCACTCGCTAGGACCATTTCCTCCCTCGATCTATGCACTATTCAATATGTCATTGATCATCTCGGCCCACTTCCACGGCTCCCCGATGTCAGGGCTTGCCTCCGTGACACTATTGTAATATTCCCAGCCCATTATTCCTCCGATCCTTGGGTACCTACTCACCAACTCTTTGAGACACGCGCGGAGTTTTGCTTCTTTTACGTGTCCGGAGCAATTGGCTGGGTTTGTCACTAGTCCGATGACGACTTTTTCCTGCGGCCAGCCGCGCGCGATTATCGTGTCGTAGTCGTGCGTTTTGCTCATGTCACCCCAGCCGCAGTAGAATTGCGTGTTGTACCACGCGATTCGCGAGCCAAGTCCCTTTTCGAGCTCTTCCATGTTGAAGCCTCCGAGATTCTGCCTGTTAAGCAAAGCTGGTGCGACGGGCGCGAGGGTGATGAGGAATGATTGTCCAAAGTCTGTCTTGAGGTGATCAATCAGACGGACGACGCCTCCAAGCGACATGGCCTCTTCAATATCTAGGTCTAGTCCGTCGAAACCCGCCCACGCGATCATCTTGCGCAAGGGTTGATACCATCTGTGAAAACCTTCCAGCGACCCGTCAAGTTTGGTGTATGACCCTTGGGCTGCGCCTCCGAGCATGCCGAGGACTTTTACACCGGCGGCTTGAAGTTGACGTACTTCATCCCAGAGAGGAATGAACTTATCTGCATTGTATAGATCATCGTTGAGGGTGATACGCTCAGGCGTGTTGAGATGGATAGCCGCGACAATGACGTGGGTGACTCCGGTGGCTGGGAGAATTGTAGGTTGAAGAGAGATGTATTTGTTGTCTTTGTAGTTCGTCTGATGATAAAATATGATTCTCTTATAAGGCTTCGGCTTAGCACCAGGATCAGTGTGAGGAACAAGCATTTTGTTTGAGCAAGGCGCCTATAATTGTTGGAAGACGCACGCGGTGAAGCGATGGCATTTAGCGTAAGCACTCTCCAAGTTCGGCTGTGTTGGTAGAGCCAAGCCACCAGAATTAGAGTCTTTTATTGGCCTGGCTGGATATGAGCCGGATATAAGAGATCTCTAGCCATTTGTTGATAACCTTATTCAATCTCAACGAATAGATCAAGGCAACACCTCATAAAGAAACCCAAATTCTCTTATCCGTTGAGACACAAATGCATTATATATATACTTGAGTATTTCGGTTGGGCTTTACTCGACTACGACATGTATAAAGACACAGATTAAAGATACCACTGCTACAAATTCACATCTTACTGGCGAACACCAAGGCAAACTCTCCCGAATATGAAGACAGCTAGGTATCAACAGTCGATGGCAGTGGTATTTTTATGGGAGCCATGACTTTTTTTTCGTCCGCTTGATACACCTATACAAGGGTTATTCCTATCAGGTCACGATATTTTCATAGATACCTCGGATCCTTGGGGAGGTAGGGGCTAGCAGGAAACTTAGGACTTTGATGCTAAGTGATAAAAAAATACTTAGGTAGATTTAGAATATATTAGGATAATTTAGGATAATCTTAGTGGACTCTTTAACTAGTTTATTTTTGCCGCCTAAGTCCAGAGTCTTGCGTCTTCTGACAACCCGAAAGGGAGATAGATTCCAAGACCCTGATAAATGCCTATCTCTCATGTCAGTCCCATATTATGGATACTCTCGGCTATGCTAACTCTCAAGGACATGTAGAAACCTTGCATACCGGATTGCCTAGTATTCCCTATCTTGTCGATCACTATATTGCCGAGGTTGAGGATCTTGTTCGACACGACAATTTCAACCCCATTTTCGACAGATTGTCCAATTCCGAGTGACGAGAATGGCAATATATCTATAAAGAAATCAATCAGACCTCTTACATGCCAATTTCCATCTTACTAAATCAGATATCACATCAATAGTCAAAGTTCAACCCCGCTTGAAGTTGCAACAACCTTAATGCTACATAACCCCACTATCCCAACTCATGCTCTTGCCAGCTTCCTCATTGAGCTAATCTCTTCCGTGCCAAGACATCTTTTTCTTGTTGATTTCCCCCAAAGTCATGCTTAAATCTATGCTAGTTCTCTGATAACTGACGATCTTTTGAATCTGAGGGGAAATTGAGCGCGGAAGCAAGAAGTAGAGCCGTACGTAATAAGCTACCTCTTTAGGAACCAACCTCTGACCATGCAGGCTATAAAAGCACCTATTTCCCTCGTTGGTCAAGCTCTGCAGAGGTATCCAGCTTTTCATATATTCAAAGATGTTGGGAAAGACGATCTTGCTCGGTATTTCGGCCGTATCTGCTGTCAATGCCTTTCAATATGGTTACAACCACGTACCCGTCCGGAAAGACATCCCCTTGGTAGCAGCAAATTTCAAGGATGTTGATATCGGTCTGTATGCGCCAGCCTTTCTCGACCCGGAGAGTATACAGGCGGGTTTCAAGAACGGCACTCAAGGGCCGACCTCTCATGAAGATATAGGTATGCATATATCCGAACATTCCGGTGAACCCACGCTCACAACATGCAGAGGCCTATATGGAAAGCATTGCTTCAAAGAACGATTACATGACCTATCAAACAGCAAACTTTACATCTGAAGAACTGAGATCATTCCCATTTATCAAGCTCTCATCTTCAAAGGGTCCAAAGACTTCAGACAAGGTCCGAGTTTGGGTTCAAGGCGCTGTCCACGGCAACGAGCCAGCCGGTGATCAATCCCTCCTTGCCCTCCTCGGCAAATTCGACAAAGATCCTAAATGGGCCTCAAAGATCCTTAAGAACCTTGATATTGTCATTTTACCCCGGTACAATCCCGACGGCGTTTACTACTTCCAGCGTGTGCTCGCTACGAATTTCGATCCTAACCGCGATCATACTAAGCTTGCACGACAGCAGACCCGTGATATTAAGCAGCTTTTCAACGAGTTTGCTCCACATGTTGCTATTGATATGCACGAGTATGGTTCATCAAGTCGATATGGTAACTACGTTCAAGCTTCTGATGGTTTGTTCTCTGCTGCGAAGAACCTGAACATCAATAAGAATATTCGAGAACTTTCTGAGAAGCTGTTTGCCAAGAACATTGGTGATGCTATGGTCAAAGCTGGGTTGCGGTGGGAGCCGTATGTTACTGGAAGAACAAGCACTGATCCTGATTACGTGCCCAAGTAAGTTTTAGGCTTTCGTTTTGCAAATTCGTTAAACTCACCTGTGATAGGTTCGACGAAGCTGGCTCTGATGCCAAGATTGGTCGCAATGCAATGGGCCTCACACAATCCATCACATTCTTGATCGAGATGCGAGGAATCGGTCTTGCAGACCAAGAATTCCAACGCAGAACTGCCGCTGGTTTAACCATGGCTAGCTCCATCATCGAAACTGCTTCCAACAACGCTCAAAAGGTCTTCAAGACTGTGGAGGGCGGTATCAAAGATTTCATCAAGTCCAGGGAACCCATCGTAATCACCGACTCAACAAAGTACAGCACACGAATGTTCCAGATGATCGACTACACCAATGGCTCAGTCGTCAAGGTTCCTGTTCAGTTTGCGTCTACTACACCAACCACTGCGAACCTAACTCGCTCTCGACCGGAATCCTACCTTATTCCTGTTGCTTGGGCTGATATCGCTAAGCGCCTTGAGGTTTCTGGTCTTGAAGTCGAGACTCTTAGCAAGCCTTGGAGCGGTACAGTTGAAGCTTTGAGTGTTACATCTTCAGAGCTCAGCAGTTCTTACTACGAAGGAGCTGTGCTTGCTACTATTACAACTGAAACTAAGAAGCGGCAGCTAACTTTGCCGGCTGGCAGCTTCCTAGTCAGCACCAGGCAGAAGAACGCAGGACTGGCTTTGAATGCATTGGAGCCTGAGAATATTGATTCTTATGCTAGTTTCAACATTATTCCTCTTGAGGTTGGAGATGAGTATCCTATCTTTAGGGTCATAAAGGGTTAGGGAAGGATTTAGGTCCGACAGAGTCCAACAATATTCTTCTTAAACAAAAATTTACATATAGCCTTTGAAGATTGACACCAAATACATGTAATCACACACTGAGTATTTCTCTAGGTTCCATGATCAAGCCAACAGTAATTTCAGTCCGAAGGCCGGTATTCTAGAATTATCTCAAACTTATATCGTTTATCTTCCAATTCCCCTCATCTTTCAAGCCACAACTAAAATTTCAACTTGAAAAATATGGAGTTTCCTTTTCCCAACTTTATGAATAGATATCCGTTGGATATTGGTTTCGTGGAGTATTGTCACGGCATTCGGTTTCTTTTGCCGACCCGTATCTAGCCTTGACTACCCTCCACCAAGCCAAAATACTACTATACCAAATTCAGAAGGCCGATGGAGACGATGCTGCCGTGCAACAGCTGTAAGGTCATTTATCAATAGTTATCATGAACTTTTGTGTCATTGGACGCGTCTCCTCACTTTGGCTTCCCCTTTTGGATGTAGCTATCTGGAAGACGATAGCTAAGTGCGGAGAGTGGCTTATACTTATTATCCGATATCGCCAACAGCCAAACATTCTCAACTCATTTCACATAGCTTTCTTCTGTCAATATCACAATGAGGCTTCTTACACGGCAGACGGCGTATACGATTGCAAGAACCACCCTTCGCAGCAATAAACTACAACCTAGCTTCAGCCGTGCTGGCGTTTCAACCCTTCATGCCAAGATCAACAGCCCGCCCCCAAGAATCGTCAAAAGTCAAGGATGTTGGTTGGAAACCGAACAAGGTCATCGAATTTTGGATGCGTCTTCAGGTGCAGCTGTTGTATCAATCGGACATAATGAGTCAAGAGTCAAGGACGCCATTGCTGCTCAACTGGACCAGGTAGCATACTGCTACAACCCATTCTTTACGACAGAAGCTGCAGAGAAGATTTCGAGTTTTTTGACTGAGTCTACCAATGGGGCCATGTCCAAGGTTTTTATCGTCAGCTCAGGTCCGTGTCGTACTAAAAACGAATAATCCTGCTGTCTCTAACAAGAATCCTAGGCACTGAAGCAGTTGAAGCAGCTCTGAAGATCGCCCGTCAGTATTTTACAGAATTACCAACACCACAGCCATCCAGGACGAAATTCATTGCACGCAAGCAATCTTATCATGGAAACACGCTCGGATCTTTGGCAGTTGGAGGCCATAAGGCCCGACGTGGCGTGTACGAACCCATTCTTGCAACAAATGTGTCTCATGTTTCTCCATGCTATCCTTACCGAGAGATGAAAGCAGGCGAAACGGAACAGCAATACGTTCAACGCCTTGCTCAAGAGCTAGATGATGAGTTTCAACGTGTCGGTCCTGACACCGTTTGTGCATTTATCGCTGAAACAGTATCTGGAACATCATTGGGCTGTGCGCCTCCGGTTCCTGGTTATTTCAAGGCAATCAAAGAAGTATGCGATCGTTACGGCGCTCTTCTGATTATGGATGAAGTTATGTCCGGAATGGGCAGGACAGGCACGCTTCATGCTTGGGAACAAGAAGGTGTAGTACCAGATCTGCAGACTGTTGCTAAAGGGTTAGGAGCTGGTTACATGCCCGTGGGAGCCTTGCTTGTCGGTAACAAAGTCGCAGATGCTCTGGCTAATGGGTCTGGAGCTTTCTCTCACAGTCAAACCTACCAGGGCCATCCTGTTGCATGTGCAGCTGCATATGCTGTGCAGACTGTTATGAAGGAAGATAACATGCTGCAGAATGTGCAAGACATGGGCAAAGTACTAGGTGAGAAGCTCAAAGAGAGGCTAGCAGGTCACAAGAATGTGGGAGATGTCCGTGGACGAGGACTTTACTGGGGTGTAAGTTGAAGCATCACTATAGAAAGGCTTTGCTAACCGTGACCAGTTGGAGTTTGTTCGGAACAAAGAGACGAAGGAACCTTTTGATTTGAGCGAACAAATCGCTGGAAAGCTACATAAGACTGGGCTGGAAGCTGACCACGGTATCTCATTAATTCCTGCCACCGGCAACCTAGACGGTGTTCGAGGAGATATGGTGATTGTCTCTCCTCCTTTCACAATCACGAAGGAGGAGATCGAGATGCTAGTTGACAAGGTCGATAAAGTAGTCGCCTCTGTCCTAGGAGCATAGATACTTGCATGATAAACTCGCCGAATAATCACATTATAAAAGCCTGCGTCGGTCCACCAAGCAAGCTCGTCCACCGAATCGAAGACTGCGACGCCCAAATCTCCTTAACCTGATCAATAGCCCTCAACAAATTCCAACACCCCGTCGTGTTATGCAACTTGACCAGCTTATCCAAAAAGAACTCTCTATGATCTGCCGTCGAGCTCTCAGCCGCTACGATGAAATACGGCCAAGCTAAAAGATGTCTTCCTACAATATCAACATAAGCGTCGACTTGGCCGAGCGATTGTTTGAATTTTTCGATCATGGGGACGGTTTCTGAGGGCGGCGGGTTGAAAATTGCGCGTTGGACGTAGATGTCGCAGGCCCATGTTGTTAGGGAGGCGAGTTGGGAGAGAAGGTCTTTGAGTTCGGGGTGGAAGCGGTCGCACCATGTTATGAACTCGAGACAGGCTTTTTGTTGGGCTTGGATGAAGTGAACACCGTTGGTTTCGTTGAAGAGAGATTCTCCAAAGAGGCAGACCCTATGAACGTATTAGAGACCGCACTATCGAATGAGACTATTCGACATACCTTAGTATCTGCATCTGCAGAAACCTTCTCAGATCAGACCTCTTATCTTCGGCATTCTTCGCAAGTGCGTTAACAACCACCCGCAGCGAACCATAGATAAGTCTAAAGTTATCACTTCCACTGATCATCTCCCGAATGTGTAGTAGAAGCAACGCAGTGAGTGCAGAATCGTCATCTTGAGGTGCACACTGATGAGACCGCATAATAAGTTCTCGAACAAGAGATCCATAAGCCGCTGGATCCAGAGATATTGCAGTGCCGTTTTGTAAAGAGAGATGCTGCTCGACAACAAGAAGAACTGCTTTTCGGACTAGAGGGTCTGTTTCTGCTCTTGGTAGGACGAGATCACGATAGCCATTGAAGCCCATGTTTATGACTGCGATGAGTTGGGCGATGTTATTGGAGACTGCAGTTAGTTAGAAAGCGTACAAGAAGGGAGTGAAGGGAAACTTACAGTAGCCAAGACAGAACCTCGACTTTGGATCGACGTGATCTAAGCCCCAGTCGATAGATACTGGTACGTGATTTGAGACAACCAATTCTTGAATCTCATGTTCTTCCTCAGTTGTCGTATCGACTTCAACTAAGGATTGCTCGACAGTCTCATAGCCACTTGCACGAAAGGGATCGTTCCGTCTCTTGCAACTTGACACCGATGTCGTTTCCGCAGAATGGGTTTCTATCCCATCAACGATAGGCAATGATTTACCAACAAACTTTCCACGGGCGGCAATGCCATCATTGAAGCGATATCGTAGACCTAATCCACTACACTTGATGCCTTTGGCTGAGCATTTGCCACATGTTGGCTCTTTCCGATCACAGTCTATGCGTCGACGAGAGCATTGATAACATCCTTAGAATTAGGTTAGCGACTACTGGTTGAATTACTGTGGATTATTGGTATAGCTACCTCTGACTTTGGGTCTTTTCTTTACTTTGTCCGACTTCGGAGGCGTTGCGGAGGGCATTGAGTTGGGTCCCGGATGCGGCGGGGACACAGTACTGTGAGCGACTCGCGGATGTGTCGCTGATATCACACCCTGCTGTTCAACTGGAAGGGTATGTCGCAGTATCTTCCTGTCTTCTGAATGAATTGCAATCAGTATGAAGAAGCAATTGATGAAAGAAGTTTGGTGTCGTGATCAGCAAATTGTTGTTATCGCGTCGAGATACCAACGAGATGCTATTTTGAGTTAGTGCATGTCGCTCGCCCTGGCGTACAAGGCGGGGTAAGCTATTCCTTTGCAGGAAATTCCACACGAAGATCTAATCGCCTTGATAACCAGGGCTGCCAGGCAAGAAATGATACATAACTTACTCTGACTACTCTCATCAGTGGTAGAAAAGAATGGCTGTACTACAGAACATTCCTCAAGAAACAATTGCTAGGTCCCTTTCGTAAGACGTTATCTCCCATGCAGCTAAGAAGTTTTGAGTATATCGGTTATTGGGCATGGAATGAGTAGCGTTTTTTAAGCTAAACATCTCTCAAAGCGCATTGATATCAGAAACACAACAGCTGAATCAAGCAGAAGTAGTTTGAAGAGTTTCATAAAGAAGCGACATGTCTGATTGGCCGGGCCCCATGGACAGCAAGACCGTACCAGCTATCACCTTACAGCCTCAGTTGGCTTTATAAGAACTGGAACTTCGCAGTAGACTGGATTTGTATGATGTGAAGTATTCTAGGATTTCTTCCAGATGATAGGTAGTCTATGTCGTTGAGCTTGAAGGGTCTCAGTAATATTTAGTTCTACTAATGCAGTCTCGCCCTACGGCTTCATCGACCTCCTCGCAACCCAAAATTGCGCATTATACGCGCTCTTCGTCAAAGCCCTATCATTAAACCCATAAACAGCCTCCATACTTCTAATCGTCCTCCCCTCAAACGTCAACGGCCCGCAACTGTCCTCCGTATCAAGATACTCGAACCCCATCGCCTCAGTAACCTGCACAATCTCCTCCAACGTCAACTGCACAAACGGTCCAGTTCCGTAAAGCAGCGGTCCAAGGTTTACCCAGTGACCACCTGGTTTCAGAACCTTTTTAATGGTGTCGAGATAACTCATTAGGTTCCGGGCTGTGTCGATGAAGAAATATGTTACGATTATGTCGTAGTAACCGGTTTTGTCGTTGAAGACGGTTGTGAAGTCGCCTTCGGTTAGGACTACGGATGTTGAGTTGAGGGATGTGTCGGGGAAGGTTAGTTCGCGAATCATGTCGGATTCTGTGGCGTGGTGGGACCAGCCGTCGATGAAGGGGTGGAATGAGTGGGTGTTTTGAGCGCGGTTGGCTTCGATGAAGCGATAGGCGATGTTCATATACATGGACCATTCGTTAACAGTCACCTCAAATCCTGAACGATATTAATACTGAACTCATATCTTGGACAGCAGTCTCAAAGACCGCCGAAGTTTCATGCTTGTTCAAGGGGTTCTTACCTCCGAGTCTTGCAATATCATGTCCAAGTCGTCCCAAACCCGATCCAGGAACAAGAACCTTCACCAGATTTTCATCATCTCTCACGGGAAATAGCCCCTGCAAAGTTTTCACAAGACAGGAGAAAGTCTCCTTTCTCTCAGACTCTCCTGCCTCTGTCCAATCTCGCACGTAATGCTTCAAAGCTTGAGATACAGAAATCTTATCTGCAAGCCTCCCCGAAGCATGAGCGGCACTGATATGCCTTTGAAGCTCATCTTCGTCAATACCATAGAAGCTCATGGCATTCTGAACTATGGCATCACAGAGCTCTTGGTTCTTCCTCAAAAGAGCGTCTATGCGAGTGAACTTTTTGGAGTAGTTGACCTGGTGCTCTAGTAACTTTGTTCATGTTAGACTTTCGAAAACGCACGTGAACAGGGCAAACTCACGGATTTTTGAGCTCTGGAAACATGCTTATAAAGACCCTCAAATCGATCAACTTCAGCTTTCTGACGCTCATGGTATCCTCTGTATCCATACAACGCATCAAGCAATCGATGCCTTGGATGCTGAGCATTCCAATTCCCCCATCCTATCGCCATGCTCTTGTCCAACTTGTTCTTGGCTTCAACATGACGAGGGGTATCAGGGTGACAGGAAACCTGCTCTAGTGTAGTGACAACAGACCCGGACTGTGATCGACGGGTTAGCTGGGGAAGTGTGGTTGTCGCGGTGAGCATTCTCTTCCGAAGTTTGTATGCGATGAGGAGGAGGAATAGCAGGAAACAGACCAGGTTGGGGATGGAGGCGAGATCAGGGTTGTTTTGCTTCAAGGCGTCTACCTTGATGTTCTCGTCTGCAGCTGTGCATAACGGTCCGAACAGGAGGGTGAGGGCCGTTGAGGCAATCAAATGTGGCTTCATGATGAGCACCAGTCTCTACCTGAGACTTGAAGAAATGTGTTCACCAGGTCCAAGAGTGAAGAGTGCGATTTCACAGATTATCAAGGTTATGGTTGGTCACAAACAGCGCAAAACTCATCACCAATACCTACCAGCCCATTTTACAGACTTTTATTCCCGTTGTCGAGGAATAAAAAATAAGAGTTGCCTGATTCGTTTCTTGGCCAAGCAAAAGCGCACTGCAGTGGCAGAGTGGATACGATTATTAGTGGTCGTTGGTGGGGTTGTCTAGGGGATCCAGTTTTTAAGGTGAGGACCTTGATGGGCATTGCCAAGAGAAGCCTCACGATGAGCGACAGAGACATCAACGACAGGGGGCTTGGGGTCTTTTTGAGCGTGATCCTTTTGGCTATAGAGACACTTCTGTTTGTTGGTGTGAGCAATATGGCTGGTGGTGACTGAGATTAGAGGGGCGCTGAGTACCTGAATGACATACCTCCACTGACTTACACTTAAATGAGGTGTTGGATGCATCCTGACAGACAGTGACCAACAGTTAAACAGGCCATCTACTCGTCCCAAAGTCCAGCTGAACAGTTCAAGTCGAGAGGAATACACCCCAGCAGTCTCTACAGAGCTCGTAATACCCCCACGCGCTGACAATGGATCACTCAATGCGTCCATTATTCCCTCCCCGACAGCCCGTTCCTTACTAGTCCAACACTTGCATCCCATGAACCTCGCAAGTGGCAAGTCAATTATCTTGGCAGTGCCTGTGAATCACTCTCACTCTCATTCCAAGGGATATAAAAATTTCCTCTCCCACTTGTATCTCACATCAACATCCTCCTCTCACGCACATCAACATCTCTCACGCGCATCAAGATGAAGACCACTACTTTCGCCGTCGCCCTTCTCGGCCTCTTCCCCGCCATCATGGCTCAGGCTCCTTCGCCTACTGAGTCTGTTGGTTGTGAGCCTCATGGTGATCACTGGCACTGCGAGGCTGCCCGTACTGATGCTGTTGCTGCTACCTCTGAGGCTGAGCATGATCATGACCACGATCACTCTGCTGGTGCGACTGAGGCTCTTGCTCCTTCGCCTACTGAGTCTGTCGGCTGTGAGCCTCATGGTGACCACTGTATGTCATTCAATGAGATTGATTGTGATGGAACTGACATATCTAGGGCACTGCGAGGGCGCTCGATCTACTCTTGCAACTGAAGCCAAGACCACTGAGTCCGAGCATGATCACGACCACGACCATGCTACTGGTTCTGCTTCTCTTGCTCCCTCCCCTACTGAGTCTACCGGCTGTGAGCCCCATGGCGACCACTGGCACTGCGAGGCTGCCCGTACTGGCGTTGAGGCCAAGGCTACCGAGTCTGAGCACGATCACAGCCACTCCGCTGGTGCTTCCGCTTCTCTCGCTCCCTCTCCCACCGAGTCCGTTGGCTGCGAGCCCCACGGCGACCATTGTACGTTCTCTACTCCCATTGTTCGTAACCGCTTACTGACTGTTTAGGGCACTGCGATGGTCCTGCTACCGCTGCTTCAGACAGCACTCCCACTTCCAGCGACTCAGCTGCTGTCACCGACAACGCTGCTATTGGCCAGATGATCCCTCTGGCTGGTATGGTTGCTGCCGCTGTTTTCGCTCTGTAAATAGTGTGGTTGAGAATGGATGATCGGGGGATATCTGTGTCGAGCCCTGGATTGATGCAGTGGAGGATAGAAAGACACACTTCATGTAAATTTTGTTTCTTGATGGACTGGAAGCATTTTGACTACTGGTCTAAGAATGGGATGTAGATATGATCCTTAATTACGACTTTTACTTGACCTTGCTTTGATACTGTTGTGTTATGGGTGAGTGTTGGTTGTCTTGAATGGCTTGTCTCTTCAAATGAAGAAGAGCCAATCCAATCCTGCAGATGTCCTTTATAAGCATTTTCAAAAGTTCTTGCTTGTATTTCCTCGTAGTAGTATCACAAACCAATTTCAGAAACGCTTTCGGGTAATTGACAGCTGAGCCTCACTGAAACATAACCTTCACCTTCACCCTCACCCTCACGTCACACGTCAAAACAACCTCCTCAATAGCGTTGCACCCAAAATTACCCATAAACATAACCTTGTTTTTCTCCCTCCCCTACCCCTGTCCTGCATACTCAAATTCTCCCGAGCACTGATCACTTCACGTCAAAAATCTCTCAGCCCAGCAAAAGTTCACCGGGCTTGGCCCACGCCCATCAAGGTTCTCAGCAACCCACCACCGCCGAACATCATATCAGAACGAGTTAGCCGTGGGAATAAAGCAGGACAAATCCCGCGGTCTTTTGGGCAAAAGGAAATCTCTGCTAGTAAGTAACCTTGTTTGCAAGCTTACCTGTCCGCGGTACCAAATCGGATCGTTGGGTTTCAACGGTGTCGTTTTAGTTCTCGGCGGGAAGGTCCACGGTCTGTCCTATTGCCACCTTTGTCCTGTACCGTAATATCTCTTCTGTAAAAGGCTTCTCGTAGACATCCAGGTCATGTTGCCCCACGGCTCTTTTTGTTCGGTGCCAAGAGCCCGGTTGGAGTTTTACTGACAAAGAGAGGACCTTGATGTTCACCTACTCCCCCCACGCTAAATGAAGTTGCCTCTCGCAGGAACTGTACATAATAAGCTTAAACATCCAGAGTTTATTCTTTTCAGCATCATTCGACTCATATGCAAACTTCTATCATGGCTCGTGTCAAGAGTTTCTTCGAGAGCCGTCGTGCCACCATAATCGCTGGGTCTCTCCTCTTCGTCGTCGCTGTTTCTGCGACAGCGAACCCAGGGGCTGTCAAGAGACAGGCATCCGCTACGGCGACGAAGACTGGCATTGACTTTGAGAGTTTGACGGGCTGCCATATGCATGGTCCAACTCAGTACGCGCCTCTCCTTCCCTATCGTGAAATACACTGACAGTCCAGGTTCTGTATGGATGGCTCAGATGAGTATCAGATCGTCCTTGAAGCGACCATGACAAAGGATCCTCCGACTTCGTACACAGACTGTCACAGCCATGGCTCAGACACGTACGTTCTATTCTCTTGACATTCTGTAGTAGCTAACTGGTTAGATACTGCATGAATCCCAACGGCGGAGAAGTCCAGGTCCTCGTTGAAGGTGCTACAGCTGCTACTCAAACCGCCAAGGAAACTGCAACCGCGAATAAGGATGAGATCACTGCCGTTTCAGACTGCCACATGCACGAGGCTTCTCTGTAAGTTTGCTCTTCCACTATTGGTAGAAGATTCGTGGCTAACAAATCCAGCTACTGCATGGGCCCCAGCTCATCAGAGTACTACGTCCAAACTACCATCACCAACACTGAGGAATATCCCGCCCAGCTTACAAGCTGCCACAGCCATGGCGAAGAAACGTTAGTTCCTCTTCCATCACTGCCAGCTCCGGCTAACCTTTTTAGTTACTGCATGTCCGACGACGGTGAAGCTCCCATTCTCCCAGCTGCAGACGTCGAGTCCGGCAAAGCAGACCCTCAAGAAGAACATTGTCATTTCCACGCAGGCGTCGAGTTCGTAACCCCATCTTCCCCTAGAGAACTTGACTAACACTCGATAGACACTGCGTCGGCGGAAGCCATGGCTCCGAAGGTGAAGGCGGCCAACGAAACTGCGGTCGTACAGATAGAGACTATAAGATCGGCATTCGTATCGGAATGTTGTTCGTCGTTCTGGTCGCTAGTTCTATTGGTGTCTTTGGGCCAATCCTCATGTCGACCTTTGTTCCCGTGCGATCGAACATTGTCCTTACGATTCTCAAGCAATTCGGTACTGGAGTTATTATCTCGACTGCCTTTGTTCACGTACGTTTTAACTCTCTTTTGAAGACAACAGCTGACTGTTGTAGTTGGTCACCCATGCGAGCATGATGTTTGGCAACGAATGTCTTGGCGAGCTACTCTACGAAGCTACTACTGCTGCTATCGTAATGGCCGGTCTTTTCATCTCGTTCCTGATTGAGTTCTGTGTTCAGCGTGCTATGCGATGGCAGGCGACAAAGAAGGCCGAGACCGATTCAGCTTACCTGTCACCTAAAGCTGTTGAGAAAGCTGAGATGGCCAACATCAGCATCATGGAAGCTGGTATCATCTTCCACTCACTCCGTACGTCTTTCGTCTCTATGCTTAACCTCAGCTAACATCTTCAGTCATCGGTATCACCCTTGTTGTAGCGGGAGACTCCTTCTTCATCACCCTCTCCATCGTCATCATCTTCCACCAGCTCTTCGAAGGTATCGCCCTCGGCACACGAATCGCCTCTCTGGGTTATGGTCAAATGCCCCTCGCTCTGGGCCACTCGCACTCCCACTCTACACCGCCTCCATCCGTCGAACGAACCGGAACATCTACTGTCCCCCTGTGGAAGAAGCTCTTCCTTGCTTCTGGCTTTGCCATCGTCACTCCCATCGGCATGGCCATTGGCATTGGTGTTCTAAACGTCTTCAACGGAAACGATCCTGCTACCCTGATTGCTATTGGTACTCTGGATGCTTTGTCCGCTGGCATTCTTGTCTGGGTCGGTCTGGTGGCGATGTGGGCTCAGGATTGGATGCTGGGAGGTGAACTCAGCGATGCTAGTCCCCTTACTACGGTTTTGGCTCTGTTTGGTTTGATCTGTGGCATGGTTCTCATGAGCTTGCTTGGAAAGTGGGCTTAAATGGTCGGTCGTTACAATGTATGGAGAGCGCGATGCGACGCCAGTGACGTTCATCGCAGCAGCCAAGAGGATCGCTCATTAGAGATATAGAAACAAGCAGCAGACAGTATACGGCATACGGCATTCAATTCTCCTAAATCTCCTTGCCACTCCCTTCAAACTTATTCTGACTTGAAATTTCGAGAGTTTCTTTAGAGATAGGAATGCAGAATGAGTTTAATTGAACCCAATTCATAGCGCCCTATACTTGGCCGTAATCACGTCTCACCCTCCAGTATCCTCACCCAAACATTCTCCTTAGTCTCTCTTTGCGCGCGCAGCCTGGATCTTCTTGGTCAAGCCCCCGATTCCAAAGAAGATACCAATAACCGTCTCATTCACCCAATTAGGCAAACACGACAGTATCCAAGTCTTGGTCGCCATACCACCAGCGTAGAACCAATCCGGTGTCCCTCCAATCAGGCCGCCCAGATATCCCTCACCCTTCAACGCAGCAGTCACCAACTTTTCCGCATACCTCTCCGTCGGCATCGTCGCCGTTCGCTGACTAAAAGTCAACCGTCGCTGGAAAAAGTCATTTATGGGCATGTACAGAGAGTTCTGCGGCAGAGATCGATGTGTCCGGCTGGCGATGTTGGATCGCACTGTTCCGGTGACGGCGACCATGACGCGCACGTTGAAAGGCTTGAGTTCAAGACGAAGGGCGCGGGACCAGACGTTGATGGCGCCCTTGGTGGAGGAGTAAATGGCGCCGAAGATGTAGGGAACGAGGGTAGATGTGCTGGAGATGTTGATGATGAGACCACGGGCTTCAATGAGGAGAGGTGCAAAGGTCGAAACCATCTGGATTGGGGCAAAGACATTGACTTCGTATGTTTGGCGAACATCGTCAAGATCCGTGTCAATAGAAGGGATGGTGTGAGTTCGGCCACTGGGGAAGTCAGCTATGCGCAATATACTGAGGTGCGAACTTACGCATTGTTGACGAGAATGTCAAGACGGCCGCCAGTGAGCTCAGAGACCTTCTCTTTACACTCTTCAATACTCTTGGCGGAGGTGACTTCGAGAGGGAAGACGCTGATACCGGGCTCTTCAAGATCCTTGATCATGTCTGTGTTTCGTACGGTCGCAATGACATGGCAGCCTATGGATGTGAGTTAATACTCAATTTACATATCCCCAATCATTCAACTCACCCTGGCGATGGAACTCTTTAACAAGAGAATGGCCAATGCCTCCAGGCGAGCATCTGAGGTATTCTCATCAGCTTCAATCCTCAACAAATTTGGAGCTCAATTGCTTTACCCAGTGATAAGAACGTAAGTTTTTCTTTCGGCCATTTTGCTGACAAGTTCCTGATTCTGACAAGAGATGTAAGTTGATTCGTTGAGACGGCAGTGAGCACTACTGCAAGTAAATAATCGTGGTGTTGAAGCTCACAATTGAGGTCTATTGAAGCTCTTAAAGTAAAGTGAAAACATGTGAAATTGGTCCGAGCTGTTTCTCCATCTCTGTTTAGTACTTGTCGAGACCCGCGGTGGATCACGATTTGGGGTGTTTGAGCCACTGAGGATCGACCTGGTTTCGCTGCCCGCGGCTCGCGTTGACATTTAAAGAGTCACCATACGACTATCGAGTGCGAATGCGAGGCTCTATCTCGATCCAATGACTTCAATTAAGTCATAAACTCACCTATTAAGGGCTTTTATTAATTCTCGTCTGTTGCTAGGCATCTATAGTTGACGACAGAGAGTTCTTTGTTTTTGAAGCGGGGAACATGTTGCCTCGTATAAACACACCAAAAATGCTACCCTGTACTTTACAACATCGAGCAAGAATGGGCATCGTTTATTAACAACCTCTAATTCAAATGGGTTGAATATGACTTGCGCAGGAAACTTTTGTCTATTTTTCTTCCGGCTTCTCTAAAAGGCTTCAGAAGCAGTAACAATGGAAGCCGGGGCTGACTTGAAGCTTAAGGTAGAAGGCCATAGTGCTAACTCCCCAGGGATTCTTGTAAAGGATCATGGATGTAATGGAGATAAACGGCAACGGAACAACCTGCAGGCTGCCGAGGTTCCTTTAAGGATCAGATCGCGTGACCAGTGTGAAGCATTGGATATGGTCAAAATCTCGATTACATATGTCGATGGTTCCGGAGACATGTACGGCAATTCACAGTGCCGCGTAGGTAATGAACGCCAGACCTTGCACGCCGAACCGTCTCAGCGAACCTTATCAATATCAACACAATTGCTTCAATGCCTGATCATTAACCGGGAATATAAGCCATCATCTCCCTTGATCATACCTCCTCGCCCTAACCCATGCTTAAGACGATAACAGGCTTTAGCACCACTTGGATTCATACTTGCCAATGAATTAACCTCTACCGAATACCGGGCGGCATTTTGTTCGGGACTGACTTTGTTTAATTCATGAGGCTTCTGACCGCAAAGTATTATTTGAAAAGAAGGCTTTCGCGTCGCATTTCTTCCGTCAGCAACAATAAACTTTGCCTGGATTGCGATAATCTTCATTTAACGCCTGCGCTTCAAAGCATGTCCAAGCCAGATGTCTCAAACCTTATCGCTCAAGAAAGGAGACAGACTCGGGGGCCAGACCTTAAACTATGAGTAGATAGGTGCTTGAAAGGGACAGAGTGATGATCATGTCTCGAATCTTCAGGCTCTTGTTCGAACGAAAAACCGATGAGGATGTGGAGGATTGAACCAACCCCGAGGGCTAGTCGCTGTAGAAATGCTCTCTTCGCCCGCTCTTCCTACAATACAGAGGCGAGTTAGTCTTACGAGGCGAACTGAGTAGACACTGGTGGTTCTGCAGCAGTTGAGTGTCACCAACAGCATGGAAAGCTCCATGACTTCGATAAAGACGTCACAATCGAGACCAGTTAGACAAATCACCTTCTTTAAGAACATAGCATGGTGAAACAGTCAAATATTTACGCTAAATGACAACCGTTATGATACATCCAGTACCGTCCAAACTCCACGAGGCTATAACATCATACCCATCCAGAACCATTATTCCTTCATTCTTCTATAAACCATTAATCTCTCCAGCCCGATGATATTGACGAATGTGACGAACTCAGACGCGATCTATCCCCCCGTGGGTCAACAGGCGTAGACCCATCCATCTCAACCGCCGTCCCTGTCCCATCCATCTCATAAACCGGCGACGGCGCAGCAACAACGTTATCAGGCGGCAGTTCCGCCGGTCCAGCAGGCTTGTAGAATCCAGCATTCGGATCAGGCGTTCCCATTGCTTGATGCGGTGAACCAGCTGCTGACCACGCTGGTTTCGGCTCGGTAGGTTGGTACGGTGAACTGTCGCGGTTTTCGTAGTTGGGTAGCATAGGGTGCGATTCTTCGGCGTTCTTCTTGCGGCGCTGCATCCAGAACCACACGAATAAGCCTACTACCGCTGCACCACCCACTGCTGCGCCAACGGCTACTCCCGCTGTGGCGCCCGTTGACAATCCCGTATCATCGTTGCTCTCAGCGCTCGTCGTGGCAGCAGCTGTATCTTTCGTGGTACTCGCAGAGTCGGTCGCCGTCGCAGATGCAGTCGAAGAGGTAGCCGCATCAGTAGTCGCACTCGCTCCCTTCTCCGCCGCCTCCTGATACTCCTTCTTCGTAACCTTCATCGGCGTCTGCGAATTAGAACACGCCTCATTCATGGTGTCGTACGTCTCATCCACATCGCCGGGCGACTGCTTGCCGATACAGGCAGCGGAACCGAGGATGAAGTCATTGTTGTAGTTGCCAAGACCGCAGAGGCAGTAGTTCAGCTCTTTGCTGTCAGCGCCAGTGCACGAGGCGTCGTCGGCGGCTTGGTTAAGACATTTCTGCGCGCCTTTGGGGTAGAAGTCGAAATTGTTGTCGAGAGCCAATGAAGGCGTCAGGAGGAGGAGGAGCGTGAACCAACGCGACGCCATGGTTGATGTCAATTGGATGTGTGTTGGTTGTGTTTTTGGAGGCCCCCTTGAGTGGACTGAACCTGGTTTTCAGCTGAGAAAGCCACCCAACCAGGCTAATTATGCAAAAACGATTGCTGATTGATCGATCATTCAAAAGCCGAAAAAAGATAATTACTTCAAGGACAAAAAATTATTAATTCCCAGCTCGTTATGTAGCGAATGACAGGAAAAAGGAAAAAGATAACGAATGGTGATGTTTGTTTTAAAAGTCGATGTGATGATGCAAAAAAGAGGAGAAGGGAAGAAAAACAGGGGGAGGAGAGACAGAACCGGGTTCGGGGGGGTTAGTGTCTAAATTATCGGAACCTCTCAGAAACTATGACGGAATTAATGGAATGGTACTGTGACTATGAGCTGTTTGGTTTGGCTTAATTTAATTACTTGGTCGATCCTTCAGGTCAGCACCAAACCCATCTCAGAATCAGGCGTGAGAATATTCGACGATCGACCCTCCCAAGCCCCATCCGTCCATGGCGCAGTAAATCGTCTGTAGGGAGTCCTGATTGGTGATTATCGGGCTAATTTTAGGATGAACCCGTCGGATATCCATCAGCCGTGTTTTGTGGCTTGTGTTGATGTCGGTTTTGTTATGGCAGACTGCAAAAGGGTGAGAACCAAGATAATGTCAGTCATTGTTGATAACTGGATGATATACTTATCCGTGGCAAGAACTATAACATCTGAACTGATCATCAGTCACAGCCCTACGGAACTTCAAGGCTTGGCAAAAGCTTACATGAGGCGATCTCCAACGGCAACGTTAACTCCGTAGGATCCCAATCAGCCTTACCTTTTTGCTGAGCTGGCATGTGAATTTCTATGCGTCCACCAGGATATTGCTTGACTTCCATAAACAAGGGTATCATTCTTCTACGATTTCTCCAGTTTTTAAAATACATCAAATTCCATATCTCACCTCGGCCCCGCCCGTCGTTTCACTGGTCTTACAACCGACTGAACACCTTGCCAAAAATCTCACGAGCCTTCAATAGGTTCAGCAGACAAATCCGCTCGTTGTCCAGATGAGCGGAGTCGCTTGACTGTCCGCATGGGAGATGAGCTGCAGGAGCTTCAAATTCTTTCTCCAAGAATCTGATCGCTGGGATGGATCCACCCTCGCGAATATAAAGCGGCTTACGGGGTTTGCCCAGCTTGGTCTTGACTGACAGAACCTCTTCCTCTTTGGACTTTTCTGTCTTATCGGGTTCTGGTGTAGCTTCACCTGATGAGGGTGTTGTTTCGAAACACTCCTCCCATGTCTCCAGGATGGCCTTCTCCAATGTCTGGAAGATAGCATTGGTAGGGTCTCCAAGCCATGGTTCAGCTCTGTTGTCGACATTGATGGTCAGTTTGTTCTGTGACTGAAGCTGTGAAAACTCATTCTCCAGGAATTTGACAAGTGCTTCAATCACGCTGTCCACTTCTTGCCCTGGCACCATGCGCAGACTGATGTGGGAACTGGCATGACTGCTTACTAGACTTCCGTCAGGACCAGAAACCTTGTATCGGTGGAGTGTCAGATTGGGCTCGCGCCACCTTGCCATAAGTGACTGTTTGAGCCTCTGTTCGGGTCCCTTTTCAGGATTACTGCGGATCAAGATCTGGGCAATATCATCGTAGCGCGCTTCCTCTTCAGGTGTCACCGGAAGAATGCCATCGTAGAAGCCTGGAATCTGTACCCGGTTGCCAGGGCCTTTGAGCTTGCCAAGGATCTGAGTGAGATCTGAAAGAGGCTCATTCATCATGTAGGAACCGTCGACACCCGAGTGAATATCTGGACGAGGCGCATCAACACAGACAGTCGTGTGCAAAACACCACGAAGACCGTACGTCAAGCATGGGACTTCGTCGTCCAACCAGTAACTGTTGGCAAGGAGGATATAGTCAACTTCACCGATCAACTCTTTGTTCTTCTTGACAGCTTCCTCGAAGCCTAGCGACCCAAACTCTTCCTCACCCTCAATCAAGAAGATAACGTCGTTCTCCAGTTGCTGGTTCTCCATCAAATCAGTCACCGCATACAGTGCAGCGATGATGGGGCCCTTGTTGTCACTGACACCACGGCCATACAGGTAACCGTTAGTTCCTTGCATCGTGAACGGATCGGTTTCCCATTTGCCTTTGCGGCTGTCGGCAGCAACAACATCATAATGGCCGTAGAAGAGAATTCGCTTTCGTCTCTCAGCAGCCTCCTTCTTAGCTGAGAAATGGGCGTAGACGACAGGGTTGTGATGCTTCTCGGTGCTGAGTAACTCAACGTGTCCACCGAGACGTTTGAATAGCGCACCGAGATAGGTAGCTCCCTTGCGACAGTCTTCCGCAAACTCGGGGCGCGAGGAGACTGTCTTGTATGACACAAATTCTCGTAGTGATGACAGTAAGAGGTTGTCTGAAGCCTGCGATACTTCTTTCTCTTGACTGTTGCACTTATCGGTGTCGATGGACCAAATTGAGATATTGTCATCGTTGGCGCCGGTGATGAAGTATTGCTTGTTCTTGTAGTTCGTGACAGCCGATGCAAGGACCTTGCCCTGATGAGCTTCCCATCTCAGGAGGCACTGGTATTTCTGGGGAACGGTTCCGGAGGAGGCATGTTGGTATTTGCCGTAGTGGGTGGTACTGTATTTCTGGAAATTGTCAGCAAAAATTTGTGCCTGGTCGATAAGAGTACTCACGCTGGCCCAACCATTAGTTGCGGCAGTCCACAAATATCCCCAGCCCATTTGTATCGACATGATATCGCAGTCGTGAGCCTTGATAACCCTCAATCGCTGCGCGGTATCGAGATCCCATAGTTCAACGATACCATCAAGCTTGCCAGCGTACAGGAACGAGCTGTCAAGTGCCAGAGACAAAACAGACTCGCCATCGTCTGAGCCAAGTGTCATGATCTCCTGGATACCACCGCTAAGCTCCTCGTCATCCTCAGCAGTATGCCCAAGGCTCCAAAGCTTGATTGTACCGTCACCCGCACCAGAGATCAAGACATCATCATCAGTTCCAACATCGACTGTTGGTCCCTTGGCCATCAGCATGCAGTACACATATCCATAGTGGGCAAAGTTTCTAACGCAGCCTGAATGCATCTCAAGAACGGTGTGTGCTTTGGGTATCAATCCCCATCGATCGTCGTTTCGTCGGGGCGTACTTGCGCCGCCGCCAACAGCTTTGGAGTCGAAGAAGCGATGGTTTCGTCGATCGGGATGCTGTTGTGACTCGGGAGACACGCGAGCTGTAACGTCGTTGAGGCCGACCCATTGAATGGTGGCGTTTTGTGCACCGATGTATAGTGTCTCATGTTGGGGACTGTATGCGGTACAAAAAATATCGCCGACATCGTAGGAGCCGTAGATTTCGTAAAGTCGAGTCAAGGTGCGTGGATCCCAGACATTGATAATGGGGTCTCCAGCGCTCGAAAACAGGAGTGACGCATCGGGCGATAACGATAAAGACAGAACACTACGCTTGTGGGCTTGGACACGGTGGACTTGGCGGAATGTATCAAGAGACCATGCTACAATCTCTCCATCCTGTGTACCAGCATAGATCGTCTCATGCTGTGGACTAACGGCGAGAGCGAGGACGGTGCTTGTATGGGATAAAGAATGGACGAGGTCGGGGCTTGTGGCAGGATCTTCGGCGGCTTCGAGTGGTGAGAGAATCGGAGATGAGGGACCTGGTGACATGGTCGGTGATACCGTCCGTGAAGGCATCGTGAGGGTGTCTGGGAGCTGCCTGTTAGCTTGGTGGTCGGAGCAGCGGTGGAGGATCTCGAGGGAGGGTCAGACAGGGGTCTCGAGGAACACAGCGTGCCAAATGATTGCTTGCGAAAGACAACTCAAGTTAGGAAATGCGAATTAGAGGTAAGAAACGCACTCTTGCTTATCACCAACTTGGATACAATTATTTGTGGTGTTGTGGATAAGCAAGATAACATAACAAGAGTCAGCGCTGAAGCTCCAGCGCCGAGACCGCTCAGAATTCGGCCAGGTATGACGCGATTGCGCAATCGCCAAACCCAGGCAGGGTCTCTCCCTATTCTCCCTTGCAAAAGTCCACGAAATGAATCAAAGCTTCAAAAAAGCACAGACAAAGCCGCTGAGCCCGATTGTGTCATTTTTGGTTGAGCATTCGCAATTGAACACTCTAGAGTGTTGAGATTGTCTCTCAATTGCTGGTTATCATGGGCGACTACGCCACAGCCTTTTGTCATGTTGGAGCGTTTATTGGATGATGGAGGAGAGCACAGCCACTTGGCCAGCCTTGCGGGATCAATAGCCACACGATCCGGTGCCCCGTAAATCTGCACTAGCCTTTCGGGGAATATTGTTGATTGTAAGTCAGAAGAGACCTGATGCCTTGTTCAAGATGTGATGAGAGTTCTGAGAATGGAACAAGGTGTTTGGCAGTGGTTGAATGGCTCAGGTCACTCGACCTTGAGTAGAATGAACGAACAATGAAGGATATTATGGAAACAGAAAGGACATGGCTCAATTCGTCTCAAGTGTCAACGATATGAGAGCAACACTTACCATCGTCAGAATTGACCAGCAACTCCACGGCCTGTCTCTTCTCATACTCCAATATCTTTGCACATCCCCTACAACCACCACCATCCATCGAAGAGTCAAACATGATCACGACGCTCATAACAGCAAATAATAATAAAAAACGTTAAGCAAAGAGATTCATTTAATGGAGAGAAGTATACGTGTAAGAAAAAAGGAGTAAGATAAGACAAAACGTCTGCCCCCAACATAACATTACCAGCTGACCTGTACGACCTGTATACGTGTGCGCGTCTCAGAGATACAAAGCAACAAAGAGACATTGGCTCACCGATATTTTAGGCCACCCCTGATCCTGATCCTGATCCTGAACGTCTTTCAGCCCGGCTGCGGCTTGACATGGGTCCGGCTGTTGGCGATATCGGGGGCGGGACGGACGGGAGCTGGCCTAGGCTAGGATAAGGGTGCATGCGCTGAGCCGTTGCATCGGGAGTGAGTATCCTTGTTATGGTCACATTCAGGTCTTGGCTGGCGATTTTGATCATTGGATGTATTTTGTATTTCTACAGAGTATCCAATACTGTATCTTTCCATTCTGTTCTATCTAACCCCCAATGTAATACATTCCTGTCTTACATCAGTTGCGCAATGAGGCCTTGCTCACCTCATACTTGTAACTTTCTCTCTCTGATCTATTCCCATCCTCGCCCGGTCATTGGCCCTTCTGTACCCCAGATTTCAGCACCAACGATCGCCGCTGTGGCACAACATTCAGGCCTTAGCACCCTCTCTCGTCATCAATACGTTTGATTCATCGCAAGTTATATTATCAGCACAAAGATGGTGTATTGTAATCGTGCTGTGGTTGTGTGAAGGACTGTCCTTAGAAGGTTAATGTACTCGGTGGCCCGACATTGAGACTCTTGAGGCTGGGATCGTCGAACGTCATGCTGGAGGCCATGATTATAAACGCACTTCGACAAACGGGATACATGAAAATCGTGATTTTCGACACTGAGGTCGTGTAACTATTTGGTCGACTCAGGTATGCTAGCCTGATTGATAAGTGGTTCATATGTAATTGTTGTGAAGAAGGATTCTGACGGCTTGAGGATGAGACGAGAAGAGTTGAACGGCGGTTCAGACGAGGGGATGGAAGAAGATGAATTGAGAGGAGGAAATTGAACGATATCGCCAGGAGTCAGGCGTGGTAGAGATGGCGAGGAAAGCTTTTGCGGAAGTGTATCAAGTTGTATCGATTGCTTTGTCGGGTTTACCACGAGGGCAGTGCGTAAATTGTTTTATAATAGGTACTTGACGGTTATGAACTCTCTCTTGTGTAAAGCGTCAAGATGTTTCTGTCGCTTAGGTTCATGTACACCTAATGCATGAAAGTTTATCGAAGATATGTTGGAAAGGCAACAGGGGCTCATCGAAATTGCTGTTGAGAGTTCAGTGCGGGCATTTGAGATGTGTCTGACCCAATCTTTCTCAGAAATACCGACGGTGATAATCTCGTCCTCCATTCCCGGGTACACCCTTTGAACAAGATGGTAACTGTAAGCATGGCTTTGGTCCTTGAGTGAGTGAACATGAGATGCTCTCGTTCAAAGGACAAGATCAAAGAATGTCGCGAAGATCTCCTGTAAGTTCTCCCAGTTCCTAAAGCCAGATATAGATGGTAAATATGGGGTTGTGTTTGGGGAGCCTTTCTCAAACCCTTCATCAGTAGTGTAGCCAAGTTTATTTGAGTTGAACTCCTCATCAGCTGCCTCGGCCTCGGTCGTACCTTGGGTCTCTTGGAATCAGCAATCCACAAGGCTCAGGTGAGTAGCGGTCCAAAACAAAGGATGGACCGCGTTCAGGTTTGTCTCCTGCCAGCAGTTTCTCTGCACATGCGTACCTTGTGAACCGTGCGCATGATTCTCTAGTTTCCATGGCCGACTGTCGATACTAACTATATTGTAGGATTCGGATTGATGTGTTGTCGTATTTTCTGATGTTTGGCACCAGTAGCGGATATGTCAGCGACAACGTTGGCGGCAGTGGAATTGATGATGTCGAGCTCATCGGTGGTCTGATATGAGGTATCAGCAATCTCATACCAATGGTTCATCCCAGTCGGGTCTGGGTTGCAGAAGAGGCTTCTTCTTGACATTATGGTGCCGGTGCTTGCCCTTGCGAAAGGGGTGTTGCATAAGGTTCTTGACGTTAGGACCCTTGATAAGCCGATTGATTCGGAGGACCATGGTACCCTCGCAGTACCTGCGGAATACGTGCTGGGATTCATAGTACTTGTCGATGAGCCATGTATGCTTCGTTTGAGCCAGAAGGGGCTGGAGCAATGTCCTATGCATCGCCTTGATGGGTAGCTGCGTCGCTGCTAAAAGAATATCTCCCAATGGGTTCAGCGAGGTCTGTGGTGTCCGATGCAACTGCTTTGACAACCGCCAAGGCCAGAGTAGTCTTGCCGGAGCCGGAGCCTGACCCTAAACCTAACCGATGGCCTGGATCTGCATGCCCATGATGACATGAGGAGCATGGAGTGAACTTGACCTTGTAGTTGTTGTGCGTGCCTATTGATACAAAAGAGCAGCAGACGGTATGCCCATGCCTTCAAAGACATCATATGCATGAAGAGCCTCTTTAGGGTGTCTATATACTTGACAGCTGCCAGAGAGGGCCATGCATGGAGTGAGGTTCTGTCAACGAAGGATCAGGCTGTGCGTTTGAGGAGCTCATGAATGTGCCAAGAGGTTTCTAGCCTAACCTCCAGAGCAGGTATGTGATAGAAAACATGGTTGTCATCCTTGGGATACTATATAAGGCCCTTTAGGTATAAATGCTATTTCACACGGTAAATCTCGCGCTAAATGAGTCGCTATAGGCTAGCGCGATATGTTAGAAGGCCTGAGTTGGAGTCTCTTGAAAGTTAATTATATATTGACTTGATCTTCGTCGTATTGTAGATAGAGTGGGCATGAAGTTTTATCACCAGATAATCCCATTGGATAGTTGGAGAGTAAAAGTGGTGGTAAACCCGATATCTGCATCCCTTCTCTCTACTCATCCGGCCGGTCACCGTCACGTTGGTCGATAGAAGGACGCAAGATCAAATGCCCAACTTCAATTGGTGAGGTTATACTTCTGCACCACAGCGTTGATGTTATTGTCAAACTATTCTTGCACCTTATCAAGGCTATCCTGAGGTGCAAGCCACATCAGGGGTTACGGTTCCAATGTGGTTGGGTCGTAAAGGACTCTAGCAACCTGCTCTTGTTTTTGAGCGGGCGATTCAGAGGTTGGCCTTGGACTTGGGCTTTGTGATCCGGTTCTTCACCTTCTTTTTCTCTTCCAAGTCGAGAGAGATAAGGACCTTTGTACCGTCATCGGCGGTCGCCTCTTTGTACAGGCTAGCAGATACGAGGTAAGCAAGGTCATCCTCATCTCCTTGTGCGCTTTCCAGAGCCTAGCTAGCAACGTAGTCTTGCTATGTAGCATCGGAAGTACTCGCCCTGTATGTGATCCTTCTCCCATACTGATGAGTGGGCCTGTGAACTAGCATTCTCTGACTTTCTGCAGACCGGTACATGTCCGGACATGCAGGCAATATAATGCGCATTGGTGCGCTCCGGCCTCTTTCCTTTGCAGAAAAGCATGGTACAGCTTGCGTTTGGGATAGCTGAAGTTCGGTTGTTAGCACTGAAGTCATGCTAGGTAGTTGACCACTTCAAGTTGGGAAGTCAAGGAGGATAGTATCTTGCTGTGAAGAGGTTGAGGGCACCCGAACTTGTCATCGCAATGGACTGTTCTTTCCTGCGCCATCTAAGTCTTGATCGTCTCGAATATGACGATTTCGCGGACTTCGTCTGCAGTTCAAGGGGCTCAGTATCATATCACATCCTTTGTTAACCGAGCCGGCGTCGAAGAAGTCTCGGTCCCAGTCAAATTTGTGTGGTCGTTGTGTCGTTGACGTCTTTCTTCGGAATGGCTCTTTTGATGCTGCACATCTTGCAGCAATCGTCGGTCTTGCCACCTTTGCCTACGACATTGGGAGTAAAGGCCATGCCTGGCTTGTGAGAGGGCATGTATTCTCCGTAGAAGGGTCTCCGTGTAGTATTCGGCATCGCTATAAGGACCCAAGGCATCATATGTGATCGAAGATGCGAGGACTAAATCCCCCTTCTAGATGGTAGAACCAACGATCTCCACTGTGTGAGGTGTCTCCCATTTGCAAGTGACCAACACCAGTTGGTTCCGTCTAGGTCTACCGAAGAGCGAGGCCGAAACAACCAGGAGACTTGAGGTTTCTCTGTCTCTGATGCAGCCCTTGCGGTTAGGCCCGTCGTTCCATCCCGTCTCTCAAGGAGTCTGCAGCACAGAAGAATCGCCCTTTTGAAGTCCTTGTTGGACTGCGATTGCGCAAGGCCGTCCTCGTCGTCGTATTCATGATTCTCGAGGTCTAGAGATACATGGTAAAACATATGTGCAAGCTTTAGCAGTTGTATCACATGCAATAGCATGAAAGCCGCGGTATCAATCTCACTGCATCTATCACCAGCGAGGATGACGAGAGCTGTCTTGTTGCTGAGCGTGGTACCGGATCTGGATCGCCCTCCAAAAGGCAGTGATTCTTGCCAGCTCAGCTTCTGCATGCTCGCGACGCCTTTCCGCGAGATCAAGCTTCTCGCGAAGTTCTTCGTTTTGTGGTATGCACAACGTAGGGATCCACCACGCCTCTGTTCAGCTTCATGTGGTTCGGCAGGGTGTTTGCCTCGTACTGAGGGCATTCGAACGTGCCCTTTCCGGAAAAGGTCGGGTCGCTGTAAAAGCTTCGGATTGTTATCTCCTCTGTACCGTGGCCGACTACTCACTCGTGTTACTAGCAAGAACGGCCTGCACTGGTGTGATAGAGGGATGGTGCTCAGCACCTCCTTTAAAACCCCCATGTTGAGAATCAGGTGCCGAGTCACGACACCTGTTCTACAAACGGGGACTTTGTGGTGCCATGCATCGGTGTGGTCAGCCATACGTGGAGTTTTATATATACTGCATGAGTTTTGAAAGGAGCTGCTGACTATGTTGTATGGCTAATAGTCCGGTTTCCCGATGTTCCTGGCTGTGCTGCGTTCAAGAACCCTGAAGACTCCAATGTAAGTATACTCATGAAGGCAAGGAATAGGACAACGTACTGATGCTGAAGCTACGCCTTGTTGTAAAAGGTCAGTTCTATACAGCCCGAGACATACTCGTCTTCTTTGGGCTCCCAGGTCGATGAAACTCTGTCATTTCCCGTGCCAACCCTGCCACCATCAAAGAGGTGGATGTTGTTAGCCATGAACGACGACTTGAGGAGGATATAAACTGGTATGGGTAAGCTAGTGGCGCCTTTCCTCGAGAGCGAGCTTCTCGCGAAGTTCCTCGTTTTCGATGATGAGGGGTTAGTTCTCCTCACGGAGCTGATCGTTCTGTTCGTTCACGTATGCATTGTCCTCCTCGATCATGCAAGCGGGTATAGGTCTGTCTCTAAAAGACCCCCCAGAAGATACTGATCAGGGATTTATATGTCGATCTTGCATTGTCTCATTGATGAAATACATGGTTTAGTATATATGATAAAGTTGTCGTTGGTGATGAAGAAGAGAGCATGTTGGGGAAGAAGGGGGTATTTATACTTATGCCGGGACACTTGCAAACTCATCCATTCTATTCATAAGAGAGCATGTTTTAACAACGCGTCATTTCCGAGGCACCAATCTCAATGTAAATGCCGTTTTGCTCAAACGAAATTATAGAAAAGGTGACAATCCCTGGATGAATGTCTCATTAAGCAACCTTGGACGAAGCAAAGACAAAGTTAGCGACAACTCCGCAAGACACATCATCATCACAATCTCCACGAGTAGAGGACACCATTCATCAATCCAACTGTCAAAACTACATGTTTGGTCAAGTATGTGTTGTTTATAATGCGGTGCTTGGGATCAATCGATTCGCAAGCATGAACAAGCTGCGTCTGATGAGAAAACACCTCATCAAGCAGAGGAATGGCAAACATAAAACCGCTGCATCGCAATCCTCCCGATTTCAAAAATGCCAATTCCGTCAGGCAATATAATTTGGTCCAAACTTGCTGTCGGCTGCGAAGTCTCTGTAGGTTTTTGGAAAGCAACTGGTAACATTGAGGCAAGCTGCAGTTCTTCGCTCAACACCACTGCAGCCTCTGGTTGGACCAAATCATAGTAAACATCATAAAGGAACACGACAATCACCCATATGCAATTCTCATATCAATCACGACAAAGGTACAATCCCGTAACGCAAGCATGCTAGCGAAGCCCAGGCATCCGTCACCAATCGGCACGGTGACACTTCACCGTTGACTTGCAAACCCCCGCCTTAGGGAGCAAGAAAACTTCTAACATTTAATAACAGTGACAAAATTAACTAGTCTAAAGACCTACTAAGCTATACTAAAATTACCTAAATCTTTTATCACTTAGGTTATAGGTCTTAAGTTTTCTTGCCTCCCCTAGCCTCACACCAAACCACCATCAAAAGGTCACGACAAGCTTCACAGTCTTATAGCAAAGACACACACACAACTTAACAATCCAAGAGAGAAGCATAGGCTTCCCATGTATTGATATACATACCCCGCAGGGCTACCTAAAAACAAACAACTCTTCCCAATGCAAACAGCTCCGTCATCTGTCTTCCGTGCGTCATGCAATAATTCCACCTCACTCGAGCGTGTGCAAGAGCATCTTTCATAGTATTCATAAAAAGAAAAGAAAAAAAAAAGAAGAAAGAAAAAACGAAAGGGAATAAATCGCTGGTGGGAAGGGCATTCTTCTTCGCCCAACCATGATCTGTACTTGAAAAGGGGAAAATCCGTAATGTAATGTAAATCTTTGTCTCGTCTACCGTAGATGTTGGCATCCACCGGTCTTTAAAATGCGCCAGGGTAATATGCAAAAAGAGGAAATAGAAATGTGTAAAAGAGGGGGTATTAAATCCCGCGAGATCGTTATGCCATGACGAGTGAGCGCTCCTTCTTCTCCTTGTTCTTGAAGAGGGCCTTGAGCATGTTGCTGTTGTTGCGGTTGACCTTGGGTCGTACAGTGACTTGTGATTCGTCGTCTCGTCGGCTACTTCGGCTGTCGATTGACCTCGTCTCGATCCTTTCGGAACGCTTACTCCTTGATGAGCGGTGGCTGCGTTCACTGTCGGCGATGCTCTCTGCGTAATCCTCACGTCGTGTACTCCTGTCGTCATCATCCCGACGACTCCTGTGGCTGCGATGACTACGGCGGCTGTCGTCTGTTCGGTGAGTCTTGTGACTTCGTGAACTCTCGTGTGTTTTGCTTGTTCTTGTGCTTCGGCGGGACTTGGTGTCGAAATCATCTCCTCCATAACGACTTCTTGTCTCCCTGTCGGCCAAGGGTGTGATAAGCTCCATGTCGACGACACTCTCATCCTCTCCATATGGCACAATGCCTCTTCTCCAAGTCTCAATTGAACTCAAGTCGTCATCCAGGATGAGAGCCTCATCAACACCTGGGCCATACTCGACACCGTACTCGCTCTGGGTTCGCATAGGTGCAGGTCGGTCCATAGGAACACCCTCGTACGCCAAGGCCTCCCGCGCCGCCTTCTCCTCCTTCATTCTCTGGAAGATCTTCCATCCTCCAAAGCAGATGACCGTGACACCAGCGGCGATACTCGTGCCAATCAAGAATTGCGGGGACGATAAGAGAGAAAAGACAGCTGGCGATCCACTCTTGAGAAGACCCAGAAAAGCGGGCGATGTCTTCTTAACCATCTTTGACAACTCAGCAAGCGAGAGCGCAACGGCCGCCGCGTGGTCTGGGTTCTTCTGGAGCTCGGCCATTGTGGTTGTAGCCGAATGGTGGATACATTTGGCTTCGGTTAAAAGACCCTCGACGCGGTGAACAAGACCCATGGCCTGCTTCTCATCGACGTACTGCGGGTCCAGATCGGTGCGGTCCTTCAGATCGGGGGGAACGCTTCCATAGGCGAGGTCCATGTCGATTTCCTTGCGCGGCCTCATCTGTACTAGTTCTCCGGTCGATCGATTTCGGGGCACCATAGGGCCAGCGCCGTAGGCAGAGGGAGCCATGGTGCGCTGGGGCATGGCAAGCTCCATGGGGATCTCCTTGTATACAGTTCGGGTGGGAGCTTTGCTGGGAGCGGTAGCGGAAATTTCGGTGTGTCTCTCGAGGTTGTCAAGAGTCAGCGCACGGCGACTGGCAAAGTCCTCTCGGGGGTGTCGCGAGTGGACGCTTCGCGACCGGCGACTGCGTTGTGAGCCAGCTTCGCTGCGCTGGTCACCGGCGCGAGGAGGATAATATCGGGAACGGTCATCATCGATATACATTTGTTGTTGGGGAAGGGCTTGGGGTTGAGCATTGACGTCGAATGATTGGGAGCGCTGCACGCCCTGCTGGGCTTTGATCTCGGCCTTCTTATCTTTGTAGGTGCCTTGAGCTTCCTTGAAGATGGAAAAGAGTTGCTTGCCCTGGGAATTGTTAGCCGAGGTTGGAAAGCGCAAGCGCAAAGGGGTAACGAACGGTCTTGATAATCTTGCCGGAGTTGTTAACAATGGTGATTGTCTGTTCGAGCGCCATGTTGGGCAGCGGTGTAGGTTTTGTAGTCCTGCTCTAAGTCGCAAAGCTGCGACGAGATGAGAGCAAGAGCTGTAGATGCGTGGGATATATGTCGAAGGGAGGAGGCCAGCTCTCTCTATTTGTCTGTCGGAATGTCTATCTCTGGTTCGTAATGAGACAAACAAGACAGGACAATATAAGGAGCTGATGCGTCGTATATGATTGCCAATGCGACAGACGCAGACCGCAACGAAGCTGACGAGGTAGATACAAGGACAAGGGCAAGCACGAACACGCCCAGCCCGTTCTTGAAGGATACGATCCGATCAAGGACTAGGATCCCCTTTACAAGAAATAGGGAGCGCGATGGAATAAATGATTCACGCTTTCCCGGTCCCGCGGTGGGAATGGATGGGCTGAGGTTGATCCGCAGTGGGGGTGAGTTTGAGAGATCAAAAAGTGGGCGGGGGAACACAAAAGAGAGAATGGGTAATAATAAAAAGTATGAGGTCGGTCAGGTTCCTTGCTTTGTACCGGTATAACCACTGAAAGAGGTAGCCCAGAGCTTGCGGTACAGCGGCCTCCGGGGGTCAATTGCAGGGGACTAGCTCGCTGTGGCTCAAGAGATGGAGACGTAGTTTCTAGGCGGTGGCGCCGGGGAACAGAGAGTTCGGTCCACTTGATTGAAAGAAAAAAGGGTCTGTCGGGGAGGGAGCTGGAGCTGGAGGGGAAAATAGGTGAAAGTGGAAAAGCTAAGCTTGTTGGAGGCGGTGGATTTGTCGGTGAGGAAAACCCGGGAGTAAAGGGCAGGGTGATCCCAGATTTGAAGGTAGGACAGAGGAGATAGAAGGTGAAAAAAAGAAGAGGATGGGAAAAGGGGTTGATAAGTGATTATACAGAATTGTATCAAATCAAATAAATCCCCCGTGGGCAGATGGACATGCAGAAGGTGCATTCACATCGATAGGTACGGTACATCGGTTTGAGTTTGTCCCAAGGCGGCAGACCACGGATTGGAAGGGATGGATAGGTTGGGCTGTTAAATGACGGGATAACTGAACTATCAAGAGTGACTGGCTGATAATGATTCTCAGGCACAGTAGCTGTAAGCGAATAGGCCCAGAGTGTGACAAGCTGCACGATGATGAGGTCGTGTTACAGTTGGATCCCGCATCGCATTGCAGATGGAGATTTGAACGATATGATCAAGATATTGACTCAACCGTCCGACTTTGAACACTACGGTATGACGACGTTGTATCTTTTCCAAAACTCTCTTCCTCGGTACCTACCTATCGTGTACTGTAGAGTCAACCTGAATCTCCAACACGATACCAAGATTACAGTCCCATTCTCTCATACCAGTTCTCTCGCAAGTTGACGCCCATATCGTCTCACCTCCATCTCCTGGAGTCTCTGCCGATTGGTCAAAGAGCCCACCTCCTTCGTCAGGCGCCTGTGCATAGAATCCCAACAGGGCATATCCCTGTTTTTTTCGTTCCTCTCTCTGTGTCGAGGCCCGCTAGGCTCAGCGCGCGCCAATTCCCATCACACATGTGGTTTGTCTGGCACCCTATCAAATATTGACAGGGCGACGTTACCTACGTAGTCAGGTAGTACTCTCGATACCGACAATTAGGGAAGAACTAGAAGCAGGAGAACCTGGGAGAGAAGAAAAGAAGATGGCTGGACTCGCATGCGGGGATGCGTTCCGTACGAGACGAGATGTGAAGGGTTATGCTGGACTGTCGATCTTGTGCTGCCATATTCCCTCTTGTGTTGGTCACGGGGATGAAAGAGAGCATGAATCTGAAGTTAAGGTCAAGCCCAATCAAATGCTGAGCCACACTTGGCCAGCGACTTCTGTGGCTGAAGTTAGTCTCCTCTTCTCTTGTCTTTCAGCTGGCCTTGTCACACTCCCCACGGTCTCGACTCGTAGTCAGATGCTTACAGATGAGTCTGTTCATTCATCTCATCATCAGATATCTTTGTCAAGGCCACATAAGCCTGTGGCAAAGCAAGTCTCATACTCAGCTCAAATAATCACTCACTGCCACAATTCTCAAAATAATACCTCGTCTCTGCCCAAAGAAACACATGGGTCGATAACAACAAACCCAAGAACAGACATGCTATGCTCGGATTGAAGCAGACGATGCCATGTGGCAGTCTCCCAAGCTAGTCCCCTACGGAGAAAAAGGAAAAGCAATCATTAGCCCTCCCGTGGCAGATCCTGCTCCTCCGAATGGTATGGGACTGATCGGCGGGCTTGGCTCACCCTAGACCTGCCTGAGTGAAATAAACAAGAAACTGCGTCGAAGGCCTCAAGACGGGATATACTTAATTGCTGACCTTTTCTCCACTTGATGTCTCGTGTCGTGGTTCATTACGACTCTGTCTTATTTCAATAGTCTAGTCCGTCCTTTTTGTGGTGGCTTTTTTATGTTTCTTGAGCTGTCAACGTACGTCAGGCTCTGGTCCGATTATCGGGATCCCCAAGATTCACCCCGCAACTTGAGCTTGTCTTGGCAATTGCATACGTAGGTTACACTCAGATGGTCAAGACGAGTTCCGATATGAACCAAGTCATGAGGACTTTGTAAAGTTTACAGTTTTCAATGAGAGGGTAACTTGCAACAGCCGGAGATGCTGTGCTTAACGTTCAACGCAGCAGCAGAGTAGATACCCTATAACTTGATACCGTTAAAGTTGCACAATCCCTGCCTCATCGACTCAATCACCCCATAACTAATCGAGCCCCGGATCTTTCTTAGCTCAGATCACGGACAATCATGTCATCTCAATTCAGTTCCTAAAGCCCCAATTCGATTCAATTCCTCTATGTCACTCATAAATATGACATCTAATATCTTAATAATCGATTATTAAAAAAAGCAAATAACAATTCAATCCCCCGCGTCAATTCCGAATCTCCGTAGTGTCTCCACCAAATTATCCCGCACCGTCGGCACTCGTAACGCAACCTCACATCATCACATCAGTAATCATGTCCTCAATATCCTCCCTCTGCGCCGCACTGCAGACCTCTACGACACACGTCGTAGACGGTCTGCGAAGCTTCGTCACGTATTATCCGCAGGCGAGGCTGGACCTGGCTAGCTTGTCCCGGGAGCTCGCGGAGCTGCAGATGGTTGCGAGGCTGCTGCATCATAACGCCCAGGCTCTGGAGTCTGGAAGCGCGCCGCTTCCGGGAAGGTTGGATGAGGCGATAAAAGGGGTTGTTAGTGAGGCAGGGGAGTTATTGGAGGAGGCGGATGACGCGTTGGATACGGGAAGGACGGCAGAGGAGAGAACGCCCTCGTGGTTGGAACATACTGCCGAGAGGTTGTCGCCGTTTGCAAAGTTGCTTGAGGGTTTGAGAAGTGCCATGAGTTTAGGGCTTGATTGCGTGTTACTGCAAGTTGACTCCATTCCCTTTTATAAGATATTCACTAACATTATCACAGAGCTATCAATTCTCAGCCTCATGATGGTGAGAGAGAACTTCCTGGCTACAGCAGCTCTCAGATTCTTCAAGAGGCATCGACTATCCGCTCACGATTCCTCCAAGAATCAGACAGCGAAGACCCTCGTGTTGAGAGCCAAAGATCTATCATCACAGAATTCATCGAAGCTACTCAAGACTTCATCTCAGAAAGCTCATCTGCTGCTCCACCACCAATTGATGACACAGAGAGTCGAGATCACAGCAACAGCAGCATCGCTAATCCAGAGTACGTCCCCTCTCACAAATGTCCCTCAGTATATTAATATTGTAGAACAATCGCTTCATCCCCTCACTCAGAGACCAATGAGCCGCCTATCCCGGACTACAATGCCATCGGTATAACCTCTCAAACACCGCTCCGCATCTCACTCCGCCACCTCGCCAAGAAAGAACTCTCCAACCATGAAGTCGTCGAAACCGCGTATGTATCTCGCCACAACGCCCCCACAATCGCAATCTCAACCCTCGAGTCTCCTACACGGTTTTACGACACAAGCGCCAATCAAGTTTCATGTCTACAAAACCAGCACGGCGTTAACATGATCTTCTCGCGCAATGGTCGTCAGTGGGCATATCTTAGCGAGGAAGACGGCAAGGGTCTCAATGCGGCGAGTCATGATGGTATTAACTTTAAGAAACCGGTTGTTTACCTTGGCGACTACATCAATGGACGAAAAATCCCGGTTTGTAAATGGCCGGGTGGAAAGCCACTTGCGTTCTCGCAGGACGGGAATTGGCTTGCGGTGGGAAGCACGAAAGGTCGGGTTGGACTTATGGATTGCAGTCCGAATGTTAACAAGGCGAGCGTTGTGATTCCGTGTCATATGGATGAGGTTACACACGCTGTGTTCACGCCGGACAGCAAGCTTCTCATCACACAATCTCGCGACGGCACGATTCGCATAACGAACGTGGAAACCCGCGCATCAATCGCCAAGCTCGAAACCGATACCTGGAAGAAACCCATATTTCTCGGAACGTCGCCCGATGGAGAAATTATCGTTTCGTTATGGGGCGATACGGTATTCCACTGGAATCACAGCACCGCAGCCATCGAGTCATATAACCTCAGCGGGCGAAGAACACGCGAGGGCTGGCCCATTGCTGTATCAGCGGACTGTCGTTTCTTGTGCTGTAGAACGGATGATGGTGTTGATGTAAGTGATATGTACTCGGGAAGAGTGCTGTATACGATTAAGTTTCAGAGCGGGTTTGTCACGGCGGCGTCGTTTAGTTGGGATGGGAAATACTTGATTCTTGGAAAGGCGGCGTCGTGGATGGGGTTGAAGATGGGAACTTCGACGCTGGATGTTTGGGAATTGGTATTTTAGGCGTTCAAAATGGGCTGTAAATTGGATATATGTAAGCTAGAGAGAAAAGCTATGAACTCGAATTTGACCTTTACACATCTGTAGCTTTACTGTTGAAGTCATTATTTTTTGAGAGCATTGTCATATATGTATACTCTTTACTCAACCTCTCTCCATCTCGCCTCAAGCATCTGTATCCTCATCAGAGGCCCTCCACTCATAACCTCCGCTGCAGCCTCTCTTGACTGTCTATCGTACGAATACCCCTGCATAACCCACTCATTTGCATGTCCATACCCAGCATACGAGTTCCCAACAGTATAGTTATGTCCCATAACAGCATCTTGACTCCATCCCATACTCTTGTAAAATGTACCCTGCGTGCCTAACATCTGCGCCTGCACGGCTGCTATCTTCTGCTGGTTGAGGATTTGCTCGCATTGCATGATTGTCTGCGTATAGACAACATGCCTCTGCTCTGCAATGGCTAACAGACCTTGCAAATCCCCAGTTCTACACGCTTCGGTGTATAGACCTCTCATGCGCGGTGAGTAGATATCACACATACGCTCTTTTTCAGGCTCTCTCACTCCAGTGAGCGCAAAGCGAGGTTCTAGTGCTGTACCCTTTGCAAAGGAAGCGTAACAGTCTTCACAGATCGCCAAGACTCCCCATCCCCACCATCGTCTATTCTTGCTGAAGTTCTTTCTCGGGCATTGCTGAACATTGCCCCATTGTGCAGTCCAGTCAAGAAAGAGCTTGCTGTCTCCCCAATTGCGTGCGTTGACGTATGCTTCGAGAGCCTGAAACGCCCGTGGATGACCCAAGTTGAAGCCGCAGAGATATAATTCGTCTGGCTTGGTGCCGTTGTCTTTCATAAACCATCGTGACCCTCCAATGGGTTTGATGATACCTTCATAACACGCTGCGCATATTCCCCAGCCGGGAGGATCGTTGATCGGCGTATACCACGAACTTCCCTTTGTTCCATCCTTGTTGCAAACTGGATACTTGTCCATCTCCCACGCTGCATTCCAAAAGAGACTTCTATCCTCATCATCCAGTGCCTGATGCATTGGAATAATGTGATTCAACTGTCCAAGAATACACCTGGTCTGGAAGTTTCCTCCGGTAACCTGCTGCCATTTATCCTGATCTTCAGAGGCATAGAAGTAATCATGGTAACACGCTGCACACGCTTGCAGTTCACTCGGTCCATTTTTGGGCTTGTACCATACACGCTCATTAGCGTTAATAGCATCGATCCTGGGGCAGCCCGGTATTTGCGCGCGCTGGTTGAACTCTTGACAGAATTGGGCCCATTTGTTCTCTTTCGCGTAGTCTATGAATTTGCGTTTGAGAAACCACACGCTTAGATCGCAATAAGCACCGCCTTCGTTGGGTAAGAGCTGATAATACTTTGCAAATGATGAAGTTATGAGACCGTCTTCGAAGCAAGCTTCGCAAATTGTCCCGTTTGGAATGTCAGCTGCTTTGTACCACGACTCTCCCTCGGTGATGTTTTGTTCTCTGCAGTCTTTGATACTCATTCTCTTCCCCAGGAACTCGACAAGCCTGTCAAGACTCCCGGACTCAATGGCCTCAGGAAGCAATGCATCTTTGACACGTCTGGTGTTGAAACGACATCTGCGCTTGTGGCCATCGTCGTAGAAGACCTTTCTGAACGAGTCCCTGAATTTGGTGTCGTAGATGTGATCTACATAGCAGCGAGCGCAGATGACGAATTCTGGTACCGCAGCGTGGTAGAACCAGTGTTGGGGGAAGGATGTCAGTGCGCCTGAGCATTCGAGACCTGCTTTTGCACCACAGGCATGCAGCTTTGCTGGCTCAGGGGTTCTGACGCGAGGGGTCTTTGGCGAAGAGAAGGATTTTGGAGCGATAGGTTGTTGTTGAGGTGGGCTTTTGACAGGTGGAGGTGGTGGATATGATGGAGTGTTTGCCTGCTGCGGTCGGGGACTGGCTGGAGCTGGCGCATGATATGAGTTCCGTTGGCATGTCTGCTCGTGAACTCCAGATGAAGGTTGTGCTTGAGGGCTCGGCGGGGGTGGAGGACAATATGGTGTCCGCTGCGAAACCTGTTCAGGAGACACGACAGTAGGTGACAAAAGCTCACCAGCCTGTGGTTGAATTGGAGTCGTAGCCTGAGCAGGAGGAGGTCCAGGTGGAGGAGGTGGTATATAGCCCTGTGAAGGACTAGAGGGCACTTGTGTTTGACTCTGCGGCGAAAGATATGAGTTCTGAGCCGGCGTAGCTGCATATGATACCGGCCGTTGTGCAGAACTCACACTCCCAGTTGTAGAAACAGGTCTCCTCGGCAAAGGCGGCGCAACATCCTCCACATCCGTATTGATCCTCGGCGGTAACGGAGGTCTCTCCACCTCCTGTCTCCGTTTCTGTATCTCATCAAACAACCTCTGCTGTTCTCTTACCAGCTCCTCTTCCGCAAGCTGATAATTCCTCGCCTCCTCAGCTCTCAACTTCTCTAACTCCCGAGTCTGCTTTTCTTGCTCAATTCGCATGCTGGCGAGATCTTGTGTGGCTTTCTTCATTTGCACCTCATATTCTGCTTTGTAGTGCGCTGCGAGTCTTTCTGCTTCGCGCCATTGGGCTTCTAGCTGTTGGGTATGTGCTTGAGGGGGGTATGGACTCTGGGGGTAAGTTTGCGGAGGTGGTTGTGTTGTTGGTGGCGCGGTGTGAGGTTGTGAAGGTGTCTGAGAGGGTTGAGCACTCGATGGACGATACGGTGATGGTGGAGGTGGATACTGTTGCTGTTGAGGTTGGTACTGTGGTGATTGAGGCTGGTGCTGAGTCTGAGGTTGTTGATAATGAGACTGCCCAGTCTGATACTGCTGTTGCCATCCCGAAGGTGAACCTCTTTGATACTCGCCCTGCTGGTGTCCTTGATTCGTTCCTTGTCCATAAGACCCAGACTCTCTCTGCCTTTGTTGCTGCTGTAACTGAACCTGCTTCTTATACTCCTCTCCCACCTTACCAACAAAATCCTTTAACCAAGCCATTGTACCACTTCTTCAGCACAGAGCATCACAACGTCCGAGGAATGAGGGACCTTGACTGCCTAAATACCCTCCCCACGTCAGATGTAGGTGGGTTACAATAAAACCCGATCACGCCCTGTGATGACCTGACCAGATGAGGCAATTATCGATCTCAGATCACGTTCATCAAACTTTGAAAGACGAGACTCGATTTCACACGCCATGCACGTCTTGAGTTATCAAATCTGCGATCTAAACCTTTATATATGTCCCCATCCAAAGGTCAATTTACGTTGCGGAGCATTATCTCCAGATCTGATCACATCAAATGTGCGCCTTTTATTGTAACCCACAAACAAGGATCATAAGCAAGCCAGCCTGGTCCCTTGCTTTCAGCTCGGTATCATCGGGACTTGGCTCTTCAAGTTTATTAACGCCAACGGTATAAGGAACAACCTTATTCTTAAGCTTCGCGAAGCAATTTACTTAAATATTGCCAAAATTAACAATAGCAGCAGCCTCTTATTCTACTCTGCTTTTTCTTCACATCAAAACTGTAAAATGTGTATTTGCCTGTGCTTACGATCAGTCCATCTCCACACTCGACCCAGAAATCCTTCGATCTTCATTCCTCAACTTCAAACGGTCAAGATCCTTTGTAGCCTGTATCACCATCAGCGGAACATGGCCGCACCACGGAATCTGTGAGCCAGTGTTCACAAACATCACGGACTGAGACTCGATAAAGTGTACCAAATTCATTGACTCCTATAATTGCATGCTGAGCCCCTAAACACGGCTTTTGTTCATATATCTTTCAGCTCATCGCCAGACACAAGGTTAAACCTCTGTCTGCCCTGAGCCTCCATGACATGTATCAACTTCTGAATAAAAAACAATAGGTATATGCATCCATCCATCCCAATAGCAACAAACGCCTTCCCACCCGGTTCATGCTGGTACTTCGTAACTATGTGTGTTGTTTATGCGTAAATGTACGATACCTCAACGCCGTTGTTTCATCAGTTGCCCACGTGTAGAGCAATCCGTTGCGAATAAAAACACATTGCCTATATGTGTGGTCCGTTGTCCATTCATCCGTAATGTGATATATTAAGCTTCTTCCTCAATCATTGCTCGAACCTCAGGTTCGTTGAGAAGGATACGCTTGCCCAGTTCCTCTGGTGGCTTGCCATCTCGGACAGCTCCAAAGTCAAGAATCTACATCACGTTAGTACTTGTTGCTCTTTGTTATCTGCGCTGTAACATACCTCAACGTAGGTCAGTGAATCTCGCTGGACAGCGGCCACGCATCGTCGTTCGTCAAATTTGACTTGCCAAACACCACTGAGATCGCTCAACAAGTCCTGAACGCATTCGCCGGTTCGGACATCCCACATCTTGACAGTCTTTTCACTGCCGCTAATGACTTTCCGGCCATCGTGCTGGAAACAGGTAATAGCCCCAGTATGCGCCATGAGAGTATTACGGCACTTGCCATTTTCTGGATCCCAGATACGAAGAGTTGAGTCGGCCGCCGCTGACACCAGTCGCTCATCGCGAAGGTCTAACAAACCGACGAGCAAACTGTGCCCCTCGAGAGTGTATAGACACGCGCCAGTTGCGAGATCCCAAATCTTGACCAGCGAATCCATCGAGCCCGAGATACAACGATTGCGTTCATGGTCGAGGACGACAGAGTAAACCTTTTGAGAGTGACCGTGGAGCACATGGAGAGCCTCACCAGTGCTGATACGCCAAACCCGGACAGTGCTGTCGTAAGATCCACTGACGAGGGTGTCCCCATGAGCGGAAATGGCGCGAACAGAATGTGTGTGTCCGGCAAGCACTCGAATGAAGTAAGGGCAGTCGGATTCATGAGCTGGGGGACCTGTCTGGATATATCGGCGGGACCCAACCTCGGGAAGTCGCCAGACCCTGAGCTGACTGTCTCTGGAACCAGTGATGATGAGAGGCTTCTCGGGCTGCATGATAGCCTGTCCACTGGAATCTCTCCCGGTCTCGGTAGGCATCAAGATTTGCAGGCAACGAACAGTACTAGTATGTCCGTAGAATACCTGCTGGCAAAGGCCACGTTCGATATCCCAGACGCGAACAGATCTGTCAGTAGAGCCGGACACCAGCATGTTGCCTTCATACTGTAGTGCCCAGACACCACCCTCATGACCCTCAAGCTTCTTGCGGAGCTTGCCCGTCTTGGTATCGTAGATGTGGATGAGGGTATCATCGCTACCTGTAATGATCTTGTCTTCGTCAAACTGGAGACACGTAATAACGTGACGAGGATGAGCTGCAAACGCGACGTGGCCAGGTTTAACCTCGCCGCTGGTCCAACTCTTACGGATCATGTGATGACGGCGGTAAAGCGACTTGTAGAGATGAAGCTCGCGAAGACTGGGCAGTCCAAGCTGGGGATCAGGAACAGCTGTAGCGGCAGCATTTGCAGCGGACAGTGGTCCTTCCGACTTGTGTTGGCGGGCCTCGGGCTGCGTCTTGTTCTCTTCACGAGCCACGGCCTCCTGAGCACTGGCACGTCGCTTAGATCGCTCGGCCGAATAGGTGTTGAGCGCTCGCTTGCGCTTGGAAGCCCGAGACTTGGAGGCTGTCTCCTGTCGAAGAGTCCGGGTAAGCTCGTGCTCAGTTGAAGTCAACCGGGTTCGCATGCTCAAATCCTTCTCATATCCACTTGCCCCAACAGGATCTTGCCAGCCCCAACCCTGAATGATGGCTTTCTGGAGTTCCCCAGGTGGAAGGGTGTAGCCATCTCGGTCGAACAATTCCTTCCACCCTGTTTCGTTGCGATCAACAATATTGCGCCAGTGTTTGGAGACTTGTGCAGCCCGGCAAAGATCTCGGTGATCGAGATGAGACAAAACAGAATATCCAAGTTCTAGGGGTAACTGTCGGAGGAAATCGCATTTCAGGGCTGGGTTCACAGCATTGGCCACAACGCGGAGGGTAGGTCGAGGACATCGGCGAAGGAACTGGTACATCATGAATGTCTTCATTTCGGTTTTCATGGAGTCGAATGCCTCGAGGAGTGTCTGTGTGTCGACGACTTGTAGTGAATCAACACCTTGAGGGACGCCATCAGTGCGAGCAAGGGCGAAATCATCCTGGGAATGGCCAGCACGGACAAGGGCAGTCGAAGAATCATCTTCCATTAACTGTGATTCATCAACCCATCGGGAGGGATCCGAGTTTGAGGTCTGGAAGCTAGACTGTGTCTCATCATCATGATCGGCAGTATGTAGCTGAGCGGCTGCCAAGGTAGGCGACAGTCTGGGACTAGGAAGACTAGCATCTTGGGCGGCAACGACATCGATACTGGGACGAGGGTTAAAGGGACGGATGGGTTGTTGTAAAGATCCATCAGCATCAGCGAACGGTTCTGCGTCAGCATCAGTAATTGGTGGAGTCGCCACATTGCTGCTGAAGACGGTATGTGAATCACTCTCTACGGGGCTGGTGGCTTCGTAATGAGGGCTGACGGCTGAGGGAGATGCTTCGGGTGATTGATGTCGTTCATGGTGTGACGAGCGTCGGTGAGCTGATCTCTCAGCCGCACCAACGACTTCTGAAGTATCGGGAGTAGCAAGGAAGCCCCCAGAAGGTCTGGACGACCTCTCTCCCTGTCGGTTCGAACCATGGGCAATGGAGCGACGAAGTTTGTCCGATACTGCGTTCAGGGGGATGGAGCGACCGGGTCGTCGAGGATTCGAAGTGGGTGCTGATGATTCGGGGGAGTCTATAGTGGTAGCTCTAGAAGCTCGGGAACGGCGAGGGTATCCTTCTGAGGGAGATTGTGATCGATGCTTGGGTATCCGGACGAGGTTGGATTCTTGAGGGGACTCAGTTTTGACTTGATTTGGGGTAGTACGAGAATTGCAAGATAACTGTGTATATGTCAGTATGATCAGTTCTTCATGTTGCTGTTGCAGACAGCAGTAATCATGGAATATAGCGTGGAAACTAACCTGATGATCTATCGGTTCATCTTCAGCTTCATCGTCAGTCTCTAGAGCACTTGGCATGTTATAGGAGAACCGGATCAGTTCTGGGGGAGTAGGCTTCATAGCGAGAGGATACTCTTTTGTGTCTAGGTTCTCCAGAGGTACAGGGTCACGCACGAAGACCTGAGGGAACTTTCGCGTGAGACGAGTAGTGGTCGTAACAGTCTTAGTCTCGACACACTCGCTCACCTCGAGCTGGAAGCGGCGGGAGCGGTTCTGACTCCCCTCGGAGATGTTGACGGATACTGTTTGTGAAGGTTTGGGGTGACGAGGCTCAAGAGCCTGGCTAGTTGCGGGGGATGGTGTCATGATTCGGTCGGTCTTTGGGTGTGTTTGTGTTCATCCGTCAAATGCACAAGGCTAGGGACGAGTTCCGATTCAGCAGTCCTGATGGGATCAGTATCAAGACTGGCTCCGGAGCTCCAAGGTTTGTAGTATCAGAGATGTGTTGTTGGAACAGGTAAGCTCCGCGGGGAACAAGGAACGCGAAAGAGGAGAAAGAGTTTTTGCTCCAAACATGCAGCTGCTTAAGCGAAAGTTACGTTGTCAACGGCCAGAGTTCGAAGGCTTCGACGGTTGCAAGCCCTTGTCTCGACTCTTATCAAACTCTCCAGGCTCGATAGAAAGAGAAGACTGGCAATGCCGGCAGCTTCTAAAACAATATGGTCGTTATTGAGATATGTCGACAAGGGGGATGGGTATCGACAACGGAGACACACGAAGGGCTTTCGATATGAGGCTAGCCTCAGGCCCGAGACCGGGAAGGGGACGACACGGTCGAAACACAGTAGATCGAAACTGATGGAGACGCGGAAGCCAGGGCGGCGGAACGAAGGGTCGTAAGGCTATCTGACTGAGCGAGCACGCGTGCACCTGAAGGCTGGGGAGGCAAGGGGAGTGTACAAGGGAGTGTGGCGATGAGGGTGAAAAGAAAACGAGTATAATTAAGAAAAAGCGACACGAAGTAGCAAGGGGCAAAAGCAAACAAAAAAGAAACCGTCGCCTGTATAATTCTGTGTCTCTGACCCTTTTCTGTCTTGGGGGGAAAGGGTTTCGTTTTGCTGACGAGGCTTTGGTGAGAGAGAAGATGTGGTGCAGGCTGATGTGACGGAGGAGTTGTTGGTCTCTGGTTCTCGGGCCAAGGTGGATGTGGACTCTCCATTTTCACAGCTAGACCTATTGGGGAATAGCTTGGCTGTGGACTGGCTGGCCCTGCGTGCTTTCCTAAGACTTGAACAGGGTCTAGCCAGTGTCACAGGGAACGTGATTGGGTGAAAATGTGGTCGTCTTTGGGGAAGGGGAACATGACACTAGACGAGTTAAAGTACCTCTCCGCACGAGTCCAATACGACTTTGGAGGTGATCGTGAGAAAGGGTACTTTTATGCACGCCGTTGCAACCTCATCACAGCAGCAGACGGAGTTCAAAATGGGAATTAGGAAGGGCCTGTTGGTGATTGTGCATCGCCCATGCCTGTCTAGTCTAGCGAGACGCTATTCGAAGCGTGCGTTGCCTTGGTCAAACAACGGAACGAACCAGGCTCTACGACATGTACGGTTACGGCCGAACCACGGCTCCGGCGACGCGACGGATGCTGGAATGAATTCAAGACAATGGAGCCCCAGGACAGGTTTTGAGATTTAGTCAGCCCTGAAACTTAATTTGACGCCTTGGTCGATTCGCAACAGGATTTCCTCGTTCCAAATCGAGCTCTAGACTAGCAAGATCCACTGAATCCTGCGTGCTGGAAATCAAGGCCCGTGATGGTATTCAGCCCAGGTTGCCTGTTGCAACCTCACGTGATATCTGTCCAGGTCTGGGTTGGGCAATGAACCCGGAGGGTTTGACAATGAGACTGGAACATTGAGGCGTCTATGGGAATAGATTAATTACACGAAACAATGAATTAGGTTTATAATTGGGGTTTGTTCAATAAGCTTCTATTGTTATTCTTTATCTCCGTCAAGGGAGACCCCCAATTAGATCAAGATTGATCAAAGGGAGCAGTCCAATAAATAGGAGAAAATGTATTAGCAACTTCTGCTGTTCAGCTGACTGATTCTGCTACTGATTATCACTTCATCTGACGCCCTTTGTTTATATCCCATCCCTTTCACAACCAACCCACAACAAACCTTCTCCTTGTAACCCAATGTTCTCATGATAAATCATCATCCACCATTCGCCGACTCTATCCCCGACCATTCAATCCCCATCCACGGTCACCGCCGAGTCCTCGCCACACGGCTTACTGAAAAACTCACCTCCGATTCAGACTTTGTCAGCCTACCAATCAAGGCATCCCGTCGGCTTATCCGGATTTCCTGTACCGGACGGGTACCGACATTGGATGCGGGGGTGGTCCGATCGGGGCTTTGTTAGGCGATTCGCCGATTCTAGAGCTGGGTCGTCATGATGCGGCTGAGGAATGTTGGACCATGTATTGAAACAGACGGTGAGTTTTTAGTTGAATCAGGGGTCATACGCCCTATTATTATGGATGTGTTGGTGATCCAATTTATGTGCTAACCAAATATCGCTGACATCTCGCTTTTTGTGGCATTCCCAAGATCGCATGATACGCCGTTATCATGATAACAATCCAAACCCCTCGCTAACGTCCAATCATTTCCAAATATCGGCTCTCATCCAATGTATCATGATATGTAAACTGGCATACGGCTTCCCAATAGTTCGCTTTTACTCAACTGTACATCCAACTTATTAAAGTCATGCAACATTAACCAGCATATCATGCGGAAAATCAGCGTGCACCAAACATCATCATGCGAGACCTCCTGTTCATACAAAGCAGCCTCTAGTCTAGGTCTGGGTTGCTCACTTGCTAACGAATACGCATCACTCACAGCACTGCCAGGTCTGCTAGACATGGACGGACGGCCGTTAGCCATGGGACCGAGAGGAATGTTCTCCACGCTGGTTTGGAGACGAGGGGCTGGCATGGGGGGAGGCGGCGAGGACGCTCGTTCAATTCCACGCATGCTGGATGCTTGGGTACGGCCTGTGCCTGCGCGGCGGAAACCGTACCCTGCAGGAGCACCAACAAGGCTCGTTCTACGATCTGTTGAACGTGCCGCACGAGGAATAACCTTCTCGCGGATAACGTGGAAGTAAACTTCCATAAACTTGTGTTGTCGCTCATCAGGACTGGCTTCGTGCATGTCCTCGAATCCGATGGGCGTAACTCTAGGCTGTCCATCCTGCCGTGTATGTGGTGTAGCCGGACTCCATTCAGCGTGCAGAGACTGCGTATCAGATGAACGGTCTTCTCCGTCATTTAGCAGACGTAGAACTTCTTGGATATGTGATCGCAAAACATCTTGGACCATTTCTCGTCGTTTCTTCTGTACCTCGGACTCATGAACCTTAACACCCATCTGCTCTGCAAAAGGGGTAACAGTGCCGCTGGGTTCCTTGGCTGTCAAGATCTGATCGCAATCGTCGATGGCTTCGTGGAGTGCCTTGAGGGTACACATCTTTTCCGTTACGTTTTCGTCCTTGTTGAAGGCCAGAATCTGGTCAACGTGCTTCTTGATCTTCTCGACAATGATTGGGTTTCGACGGGCTCCAGGCAGTGAAATCGGAACGAGGTCCTCGTAAGCTTCCATCACTTTGACCAGTGACACTGACTGTTTGTCCCAGCGATCTGATGTTGGGTTGGGAATATGGGTGAACATGCTGTTCTTGATATGAAAAGTTCGACTCAGCATACCAAGGATTTCGAAGGAGACTAAAGCCATTAGTATGTGTATCCAACGAGGCAAAGAAACCTACCAGGAAACAGATGTGATGTATGCTTGCCAGCATCTTGGTAGGCACGGACAGCATTGTTGTTACATCCAATTCGGATGAGGGTCTGAGAAATCTCCTCACGAGTTGCCAGCTGAAGGAAAGCCAAGTTCTCCGGATCGTCTTCAGGAAACCGGAGGCGTCGCTGATCCAAAAGCACGCTGTAAATCGTCGACACATAGCCAAAACAAAGCTCCTTGACCTGGTCAACGGGAATCACTCGATTTGCTTCGAAGCGACTCCTCCCGTAAATACTGAAAGTAAACATTAAACCGAGATCAGTGACCTTTTCTCCAAGAACCATAAAACCATTGCCTTCGGCACGATAACGTTCACGCTTGCGGTCGAACTCTTTCCAGTAGATACCCAGAGCCGCCAACATCTCGATAAGATGGCACATCGTCGTCGTCGCGTAGGGGCGGAGAACAGTTGCAGGCATTGTATCCCAGCTCTTACGTTTCCGTTGAAGAGCTACTGTCATAGTATGTGCATCGTATAAACTGGGAGGGTTGGTAGGAAGATCGTGGTGCTGTGTCTGTGCATTGGGAGGCCCAACTTGTTTATGCATGCTTTCGTATTGGCTCTTCTGCCACTTCTCCGACTCGTGCTCCATACGCTGCACGGCACTGAGAAGCAATGTCCAAGAAGCTCGCTCGTTATCAGCAGTGTGGATACGCTCTCGTTTCGTCTTGTTGGCATATTCCTCTCTTGGATTGATGTCCAGCTCAGACCACGTGTTTTTGAGACTCTCGGGACTTCCATCTAGAAAGTATATGTCTGCCCCACGAATTGGGCCATGTTCGTTGTCTGGAGGCGAGACGAAAATCACAGGGGCCTCGAACTCGACCTCAAAACGGAGCTCGTCCCAAGAGAAGCGACGAGTTTTTGTGAGGGCCCATTTTCCCATAACTTTCTCATTGCATTGAGCGTATCCCGCGGCAGAGGCGTAGTATTGTTGCATGACCTGCATGAATGTAGCTGCCAGAGCAACCAAAGACACGAGGAGAGCCACGATGGCCACCACGACTTCGGGATCAGCATCAGCCATGGTGTTGAGGTCGAAATGTTCTCTCGGCCGTTTCGTTCGTCCTAGTCTGAGATAGTTGCCACCACTTGAGGCAAAGTCGTTTCGAGTTCAAGTGTCGGACAGCTTCAGCAGTCAATGATAGGCACGTCGTTCGTGGCCGTCGCGGCTAGGAGGTTGAATTTAGACGGAGGTCAAAGCGACATGAGGCCTTCGTTTTGCACAGCCATGAACTAATTCCGGCGTATTTAGTCGTTCAAGGCGTCGCCATCATTACCAAATGGGAAAAGACAGAAGAAATGTTGAAAGGAGGACAAACTGGACAAACCCACAGCCTGGTTTGAACTTCGCAGGTCGCGCATCTTTCTTAACAAGGACAGGGGATGACACCCAGGGCTGTTGAGTCCAGGGTTCAATTGGGTCAAGTGCTTATTGAGTGGATGCAGTGGAAACATTGGGGGCTGTGGCCGCTTTGAGGGTCGTTGCAGGCCTCAACTCAGGAGGGTAAGTAATATTGAAGAGAAGGTTTTAGATGGCGGTTTTGCCATGGGAGCTCGCCAAGTAACCACGACTTCATGCAAATTTCCTCGTTTTAAAGTGAAACCTTGACAAGGGAATCTCTGACTGGAATTTTACCTCCCAGGTATGAGTCTTAGATTGAGTTAGGTTGCGGCCCGTGATGACGTTGCGGCTGATAGCACTAAACTTTAGCGTATCTCGCCCTGAATGGTTGGTTGATGCGGGGAGCGGGCGCTAAAGTCATCCCGTCCCGGCTCACATCAACACTTCAGCCTCAATCGGATGGATTATTGGATGACAATGGAAAGCTGAATGCTTAATGTTGGCCGTTTGATCATGAAGTTAAATAGTGAGTTCGATGCCGCACTTATCTGGCGCGATGGTACTGATTCTGGCAGAATTGAATGTATTCCGTCGCTATAAAGGGTAGGTCGTTGGATAACCTCATCTAGTACTTGAAAGTGAAAGAAGCCGTCTAAATGACAACTATCAGAATAGAACTGTTGATAAACCGAATACTTAGACTAATATTTCAGGCGATTGCCTATTCCAATCACCCGATTTCGCCCTCTAGACAGGTCTCGCAAGTCTGTGAAACGTCCATCAACAACACGATATGTAACATGTCGACTTGGAGCCACCCTATAGCTTCTCCTCACGTCCCCAGTTCCTCTCTCCATCCAATATCAGCGCAACATGATTACTCAACGCCACAACATCGTCCTCCCTATCAAAAACAATAACTTCGGCATCATACCTCCCATCCTTGATAACCTTTGCACTGATACGTATCCTCAACCACTCCTCGCCCTCCTTTGGTAACGCTTTCTTGACATCTAAACTCATCGACACTGTCGGCATCCAATAGATCTTGTCAAACGCAAACCTGTCTTTAGGAACTGGTGCATCCAAATCTGTTGGTCGGTAGCCCTCGATTATGAGTGCGGGCGCGACGTCGGCGATGTAACCGAGTGCCCATGTTGTCCAGCGTTCGTTGTTGGACATGCGGAGCCAGAGATCCCATGTTGCTGGTGGTGTTTGTTTGTGTTTGGGGAAGTAGAACTCGACGTGCTGCATCATGGGTGCAACGTCCATGACAACCATGTGCAAGCGCTCCCAATTTGGGTCTTGTTCTATTGCAAGCTTGGTCAAGTCCACTGGAGGAGGTGACGCAGAGAGTTCAAAGCCAGTCGGCAGACTGAGGCCTCGCTCACCATTGAGCAAATTATTTGTAACATATGCGGCGACTTTCTTCTTCGACTTATCGGATATCCAAGGGCTGTCAGACAGGAGACCTTCTTGATATAGCGTGATATGGAGGATTGACAACGCCCGGCCTCTTCGAACCTCCTCTACTACAAGTACAGCTGGGCCGGTGTGCGTTGCACTGAGAAAATGCCAATGAGCAGCGAATGTATCTGGTTGATTGTAGGGTGTAAGGTAGGTACTCGCTGCGCGCAAGAACATGGCTGATATATACCCTCCATGAGGGACTGTCTGGGTTAGCAATGATGTGAGCTGTTGAACAAGTGCTTACCTGTTCCGACGGCAAATGGTTGGGCGAGGTTGACTGTGAATGTAGTCGTGTCTTGTTGCGTGACTCGTGAGTTCACTTCCAGGGACGGATAGTCTGACATGTTGTTTTCAATTGTTCTTCGTTTTAATGAGTCGTGATTGATGGAGTGGTTTTGTTCATGTTCTGAGACCCTGATATGAGCAGATGAGCCGAGGATGCAATGGTGACAGGGGTATTGTAAGCAACCAATTATTGGTTCATGCGAGTCCTCGCAGATCTGCTTCTGGCAGCTGCTTCAATCGCATAAGATACAAGAAGTCATATGAGCCGCTGGTCTGGAAAAATTATACTATATCGCCTAATGAATCTCCGCCAGATCATTCATCTTACAGAAGTCTCCTGATATGTACTGTCGATATTCATGAAACTTCGTCTAGGATTATACCTAAGCGTATGAAGATCTAGAAGCTGTGACGGATCAAAATATAAGACTTAAGTTTGAGTTCATGATTAGATTCACCTTATGCTGCCTTGGATGGTGCTCCATTCAATCTCATCACAGTTCATTGTATTATATTACAACTGCTCGAATTTCAGCCGCAGTCTTGCGATGGTCTAATCTATACTAAGAGTCTAGTTACATGGTCTTGGAACAAACTTCTGTTTGTTAGAATTGATGCAACCTAATTCCTTGGTAATCGTATCTTGGACACAGGCCGCTTACAACAAGTGCACCTGATATTGCCTCTCCCACTCTCCCCGTACCATTCGTTGGCACATTCTTTACACATGACAGCACTGCATCTTGTATCTGTGCATACAAATTGTAGATCAGGCTTTTCCTCAAGACAAAATGCACATTCCTCGGTTTCTTGCGGCAAGATCATGTCCCGGAGCTTCGCTTTCAAGTCGGTCTGGTTGTGAATAAGTTTGCCGTCCAAAAGAAGAGGGGAGTTGTTTTCAGGTAGGACCTGAACCTTGCTGGAGAGATGAGCCAAATCACAACTCGATGCTATATCGAATAAAGACATCCCTTTTAGGGGGTTTGTGATGACATCGTCATCGTTTCTGAGGAAGCTTGATACGTTTTGCTCGACCAGGTCACGTACAGTCGTCTTGCGGCTCTCGATAGTAGATACACCCGACACACAGGCATAGCACTGGAAACTGCTTAGATCAAGACCTTTGGGACGGATTTCCTCGGGCCAGATAATTCGGCTGAGGCACTTGGAACATTCCACGGTTTGCGCCGTGCATCCGCTTCGGCAGTAGAAGCACTTGGGAGATTTCCCTTTGTTGTCATCAACGATGTACTGAGCTTGACAAGAACCGCATTCAGTCCAAAGCACAAGTGTACTTTCGTCATGATCCTCAGGTGCGTCGATGGCATTGCGGCCAGCGGAACAATAGCGGCATATACCGTCTGAAGTCATCACCGTGACTGAACGGCGACGATTGCATGTGTGACATGTCTCCACGTGAATTACCGCTGCCTCTATGTTGCTTGGATGCCAACCTACCTTCACATTCAGGGTAGCTGTGAGACTCTTCTCAAGCTTCTTGTAATCCACCAGCGTCTGGAAGAGCTTGCGGTCTTCAACTCTGAGAATGCTCTCTTCACCGGGCGAAACCAATCCCCTTTTCTCTAAAAATCGGTCTGCTTTGAGTAAGAGGGATAAGCACCCAGTGCTCCACGTTTCGGGTTTCTTGGTCGTGTTCCACTTATCCCGAAATGCCACGAGCTGGGGAACAGCCACGTGCAGCAATGGGACTATCCCCAGGCTTATGGTATATGCAGCAAGGAGAGCAGCTGGGCGTTCTGTAAGCTTGGTTCCAGGAACGACAGCATGAAGCAAGTAATTCTAGAACTTGTGTCCGTACTCAGTGGATGCTAGTTTGAGAGGGATCCGAGGAGTGAGGCAAGGCAAAGTGTTTTTTATTTTGGCGGGCATCTTCCTCTCCTGCTCAACATAATGCATGCGGATCAGAACATTTCCTAAGCGTCTCAGAATGTCCTTGTCGCACGACCGCCCGATGTCGAGCAGCTGTGCACGAGTAAGAGCTGCATCGTCTTGATTTGGCTGTAAATAAATCGTGCCTGGATCCGCATATATAAGTGGGAATTGGTGTTCTGAAGGAATAGTTAAGATCGCGTCATTGATCTCGTGGAAAACGTTATAAGACTCTTCCAACCAAGCCTGCGTTTGTTTCTTGTCTCTGACATCGGTAATTAAATTGAGATGGGCTCCGAACTTTTTCAAGAGACTTTTCTTCATGTTGTTGGTGTTGTTGTTGTTGTTGTTGTCGGTTTGGTCGCTACAGACGGCGTGCCAAAGTGGTCCGTAAAGTGGATGGATAGCGATGACAGACATCTTGGTATCGATGATTCGATCAAGCTGCTTTAAAACGCTGCGTTTGTAGCCTTCATCGCCGTCAATGTAATTTATGGCTAAGTTGCTGCTTGTGTATATGCTGCTAGAGCCGCTGCTGATGAAGTGCCCCGTGTTGGTGCTGACACCATCATATCGGGCATGCAGGCAGCTGCGTCCCTCATCAAGAGTGCTGGTTTGGTTGAGGTTGTTAACCCAGTAGAATGATGTGGAGTGTTCGCCGCAGAGTCCCTCAATATTGGCCTCGGAAACTGTCTGGAGTTTCTGAGTCAAGGCAGTGCCGTGTTTGTAGGCTATTTTGAAGGACTCTGGTATGTCTATACTGCCATCAGCCCGCATCCAAATGAGGAGCAGGCCTATAGTGAGTCGAGAGATGACTCTGCCGATTTTCGTCGTAAGATAGAAATCGCCCCCTGTCATGGTGGACAGAAAGAGATATGGGCTCCAATCACTGTTGTAATCTCTGGATCCAAAGCCGAAAGAAAGCACCACAGCTCTCTTGATAGAAAGAAGATTGCCCGCGAGAGTATGAGCGCCAGTAACCCAATCCCTGAAAAGGTAGCCTGTTCCACCATAGCCATCTTTGAGTGACATCTGCTCCAAGTTGTAATGCCCACTGGTCTGGTCAAACATGGGAGGAGCACAGGTATAAAGGAGGATGATGGTCGCGTTCGCATCCGGTCTCATCTCCTGATACGCTTTGGCAAGAGCCGCTTTTGAAGCTCCATGTGAGTTGTCTTTGGAGTCCTCGGGCAGCTCTAAAGCTTGAACGAAGTTGAGTATGTCGTCTTGACTCACACAGCCGGTAGTACTAAAAGGAGAGCACCATCCTGACCATTGTATCACGTTATTGGAAGAATAATTGCGATAGGCTAGGACTCCGATGCGCTCGAAGCAGTCAGCAAGAGCCACGAAGTTGATGATATCGGGAATGGCCTCTTTCAACGCCGCAACGCCGCCCTGCCCGGTTGTTATTGCATCGAAAACGATCATCAGATCGTGGACTTTAGGTCGAGGGTTCATGACGACAGTGATTGATGGGAATGAAGTGATGATGATTGGAAACCTTTTCAGAAGCTGTGAGATGTTGCTTATCACTAGGGGGAGCTCAAGACGATGGGTGATGTGTTGTTGTTAGTGTTGTTGAATGATGAGCTGTTGCGTAAGGAAAGGAAAGACATCATCTCTGTTTTGAGGGCGGTCAGTCGTTATTGAGTCAACTATTTCCTCGATAGGTAAGTACGCTTGCAAGCTGAGACGTTGAATATGGATAGCTCTTGATGTGTTGCAAAGGCGTGGAAGTTGGTAACGGCAGGCGGTTAGTTCTTATCTAAAAGGAGGCATAAATATTGACCAAGGTAAGGTACCTTAAGACAGACTGTTATGATACTGGGTCTTGCTTGTATTGTCTCTCTGTATTAGAACATGGCATTGCATCGTAATATATTCTTTTATACCAACTGATATGAAAGTCATGACACCCAATGCGTGCCCAGAATGCCTCACGCTTCATCCTGCAAGTTGACGTGAAAACGCTTCGTTACCGCATCGCAACAGCCTAACATTCAATGCTGTGATCATCATGTTCAACCAATACCAAGAATGCTTCTGGCAATCAATGTTGCCTGTTGTCTGTTTTCCGCTTTCGGTGACTTGGGTGGTGGTGGCTTCACCAAGCTTATGCCTGTAAGATGCTTACCTAAGGCATGACGCGGTCCCCTGAACAAGCGAGGGAACGTGATGTCCATGTTTCAAAGGAGGCAGCCTGAGCTCTTCCATCTCTCTCCCTTTTCTTCTATTCATCAATCACATCAAAATACCATCTCAGTTAATTGTCATCAACAACAATGTCTCGATTCTCTCGCTACGACACCGACGAGGAGCGTCTCCCTGAGGGCATGCAGAGAGTTGGCTACGATGCTGACACTCAGGTCTACACGTTCCGCGACGCCGACGGAAGCTACTGGGAGAGCGCGCCAGGCAATGAATACGGCCAGCTCACAAAGGTCGGCGAAGCTCGTCCTGAAGGCCAAGAGACCGAGACCTTCCTCATGACAAGCCAGCAGCAACGTCCCAAGATGTCGTGGTTCACCGAGATGAAGCCTTTTCTCAACTTTCTCATGCTCGTCATCTTATCGCTCGTTCTGCTCTTCTGGTTCCTCGGTTACAAGGCTTCTTCGTCGGACGAGCGTATTCCCATCCCCGACTGTCCGGAGGGCACGGTGGCGTATGCGGTTCACAAGGGCGATACATGCTGGGAGATTGCGAACAAGAATGGAGTGAGTGTTGATGACTTGAAGAACAAGAACCCGGACCTTGATTGCGAGGCTCTCAGGATTGATGATCGCATTTGTGTGCCTGGCAAGAAGAGCGTTGATTGAACGCGTCGTACCATGTGTTGTGGACGGGAGTACAAAGCATCACTGGGTAACTGGTTGTAGCCGTCAGGCACGGCAAATGATGCGACTTGTCTAACGGTCAAGCTGCGTCAAGATGAGCCGGAGTGAGCTATGAAGCTGTCTGAACAGAGTTGGCGACGTACAAACAGACTATCGTCTGGGGTTAGTGGTGCAGTGGCATCTCCTCTGACGCGTACTGGACATTGCTTGGTGGCAGTTCATAGGCGTTATGGCAGTAATATTTCATGCCTGACAGACCGTCAACCAATTCTTGGATGAAGCTGTATCTGATTGCTTGGTGATAAGCATTCGAAACCCAGGATTCTGGGACCGTATCAATCAGCCTAACGCGTGTCAAGCAACCAACTAACGTCATCATGGGCCTATCGGCCAACAATCATTGGACATGGTTCATGGTTGCCATGCACCTGAGCTAGTGCAGCATCTCGGCCGGTGCCAGCAAACTCGAGGACTTGTCTTGGCTGTCAAGGTTGCATTTATCCGACATCTTCAGCGATGCCTAGAGTAGTCAGGCTTCAACAATGGCCATCCCATCCCACCAGAGACGAGTCTAGACAAGGTCGACGAAACAAAACACAACAACACATCGCTCCCACCCACCAAAGGCGGTCAAGATCAAGCATTAACTACATACAACTTCATTCGGCGTCTTCTTAACCCGTCCAGGAAATCATCACCACAAAAAGCCCCGCGCTAAAAGTGGAAGAAACGAGGGGCAACACCAGACCCTGGGCTGGGACCACCACTGCCAACCAGCGCGTGCACCTGCAAGAGCGGGGCCTGGGAATTTTTTTCTCTTCCATGCTAATTTCGACTCGACTCGAGGGGACCCCAAATAATTTAAAATTTTCGGCGCGGGTCTCTCGCGACTCTTTTCTTTCCTCCTCTTCATTACTATAAACCTTCGGTTTCTTTTCCTTTTTTTCCTTTCCTCTTTCTTTTTTTTTCTCTGTCGTTCAAGCTTCGACACAGAAATCATCATGGATAAGGGGAAGCTTGCTCAGCTCCTTGAAGGGAGCCAAGTCCGTAAGTTCTATCACCGTCTACGTCAACAACAAACAGCTGGCAAGCTCTGCTTTGCTTTGCTGCTCTCTGTTGCCTCGCTACACACACTTCGAAACTAACATTTTCTCTCCAGCCAACACAGAGCAGGTCAAGGCCGTTACCGCCGAGCTCCAGAAGAACTTCTACACACAACCAGAGTCGCTGCTCGCCCTCGTCGAGATCTCCCTCACACATGGAGACGCCGGTGTTCGACAGCTCGCCTCGGTCCAGGCTCTTCGTCTGATCCCCAAGTTCTGGGAGAAGACCGCCCAGGACCAGCGACAGCTCGCCCGAAACCACCTTCTTGAGGGTGTCCTCAAGGAGTCCTCCGCTGGTGTCCGCCACTCCCTCGCCCGTCTTATCGCCGGCATTGTCAGCGCTGATATGGAGAACGGTGAGGGTGAGGAGTTCCTCAAGCACCTCCTTCCTCTCACCAACAACGATAATGTTGTTGCCCGTGAGGTTGGTTCATTCCTCCTCTACGCTATCCTTGAGGAGGATCCTACCCACTTCGCCGACCACACACATGAGCTTCTCAAGCTCTTCCAGGCCCGCATTGAGGACCCTCAAAGCAAGGAGGTCCGCATCAACATCGTCCGTGCTATTGGTGCTATCCTCATGATTGTCGAGCCCGAGGAGGACCCCGAGTCCCTCAAGGCCATGCAGAACTTTGTTCCTAGCCTGGTCAACATTCTCAAGGCTACCGTCGAGGCTGAGGATGAGGAGAGTTACAAGATCGTTTTCGAGGTCTTCCACTCTTTCATCGCTTACGACTCTTCTCTCCTTGCCCTTCACCTCCGTGACCTTCTCACCTTCATGATTGAGCTTGGTGGCAACGTCAACGCTGAGGAGGACGCCCGATCTCAGGCTCTCGCTTTCCTCATCCAGTGTGTCCGCTACCGACGCATGAAGATTCAAGGCATGAAGGACATGGCCGCTGAGCTCATGGTCAAGGCCATGCACATTGTTACCGAGCTCGATGCCGATGACGACGAGGAGGACATGTCTCCTGCCCGTACCGCCATCAGCCTCATCGATACTCTGTCTAACGAGCTCCCTCCCCGACAGGCTATTGTTCCTCTTCTCGAGCAATTCCCCCACTTCGCTACCAACAACGACCCCAAGTTCCGTATGGCCGCTATGCTCGCTCTCGGTAATGCCGCTGAGGGTGCTCCCGACTTTATCTCTACTCAACTCCAGCCTCTTCTCCCTACCATCATCTCTCTTCTCGAGGACTCCGAGACTCAGGTCCGACATGCCTCTCTTGTTGGTCTGATCCACCTCGCCGAGGAGATGGCCGACGAGATGTCTTCTCACCACGAGCAGATCATTGCTTCCGTTCTCAAGAACCTCGAGGCTGCCTCTCAGGGTGTCTCCGACAAGAAGAACGTCAGCATCATCCGCTGCGCTTGCGGTGCCCTCGATACCTTCGGTGACGGCATTGACACCAAGATCATGGCCCAGTACGGCCCCAACCTAATTGGCCCCATGGTCCGTCTCCTCGACCACGAGGATTTTGGCGTCAAGGCTGCTGCTGCTTCTGCTATCGGTGCCATCGCTTCTTCCATGGAGAAGGGTTTCGAGCCTTACTTCAAGGATGTCATGTCTTCTCTTGGAAAGTTCGTCTCCATCAAGGAGGGTGAGGAGTCTCTTGACCTCCGAAGCTCCACCTGCGATAGCTTGGGTCGCATCGCTATGGCCGTCGGCTCTGAGTCTTTCCAGCCCTATGTCATGGACCTCATGTCCGCTAGCGAGGAGGCTCTCGGCCTTGACAACCCCCGCCTCAAGGAGACCAGTTTCATCCTGTGGTCCAACTTGTCCAAGGTCTACCACGAGCAGTTCGACCACTTCCTTCCCGGTGTCTTCAAGGGTCTTTTCTCTTCTCTCGAGCTCGAGGAGGAGGAGATCGAGCTTCCCGGTGTTGATGCTAGCCAACTTGGTGACGGTGCCATTGTCGTTGGTGGCAAGCGTGTCAAGGTCAAGGCTCCCGAGACTCAGGACGATATCACCATCGCCACTGGCGGTGACGAGGACTGGGATGATATCGAGGACCTCGATGATCTCGGTGCTGTGACTGCTGTCGCTCTCGAGCAGGAGATTGCTCTTGACGTCCTTGGCGATGTCATCTCCAACTCATGCAACAGCTCCAACCTTGAGACCTACGTCGAGCAGACCATCGAGAAGGTCTCTCCCTTCACCGAGCACACATACGAGGGATGCCGAAAGACCGCCATCTCCACCCTCTGGCGCACCTATGCCCGTGTCTTCCAGGTCTGGGAGGAGGGCGCTGGTGTCAAGTGGGAGGCTGGTCTCCCCCCTAAGCACACTCCCCCTACCTCGCTCATCAGCATGGGCCAGGCTCTTGAGAAGGCCACTATGACCATCTGGTCCGACGATAGCGAACGGTTAGTTTACCCCATTGTCTTTTCTATTTCTGCCAATATGATGAATACCTTGCGTTATACCCAGCTCACTCAGACGCGAAATGCGGTTGCTGAGAACACGTCTAATCTGCTTCTGATTCATGGCACTGTTTCCTCTTGTTTCTTGCATCATTGTCTTGAATCATTGCTAACAGCCAAATAGTTCCGTTGTTACTGACATCAACCGCAACGTCGCTGCCACCCTCAAGGCTTGCGGTCCTGCTCTTCTCGCTTCCAAGGATGGTCTCCTCCAGGAGATGGTTTCGGTCGTTGGTCTTATCATTACCCGATCTCACCCTTGCCAGCAGGATCTCGGTGACGAGGAGGAGGAGCAAGAGGTTGATGCTGGCTCTTCAGAGTACGACTGGCTCGTCATTGACACTGCTCTTGACGTTGTTGTCGGCCTTGCTGCCGCTCTCGGCAACAACTTCGGTGAGCTCTGGAAGATCTTCGAGAAGCCTATTCTCCGACTTGCTAGCTCCAGCGAGGATCTTCACCGATCCACCGCTGTTGGCACCATCGCTGAGATTACCAAGTACACTGGCGAGGCCATCACTCCCTTCACTGAGTCTCTCGGCCAAGCTCTTGTCCGCCGCCTCACAGACCCTGACCCTCTGGCCAAGTCCAACGCTGCGTACGCCATTGGTCTAGTTGTCCTCAACTCTGCCGACACGGGCAAGACTTTCCCCATGTACCCTCTTCTCTGGGAGAAGCTTGAGCCTCTCCTGACTGTGAACGAGATGCGCATGACTGATAACGTCGCCGGTGCTGTTTCTCGCATGATGACCAAGAACCCCAACAACGAGTTCGTTTCCCAGGCTCTTCCCGCTGTCGTCAATGTCCTTCCCCTCCAGGAGGACTACGAGGAGAACGCTCCTATTTACGACAACATCTTCAAGCTCTACCAGCAGTCCAACCCCACTGTTGAGCAGCTTACTCCCCAGCTTATCGGCGTGTTCGAGAAGGTCCTCAGCCCTCCCGAGGAGCAGCTTGAGTCTGAGACTAGGGAGATTCTCCAACACACCGTCCAGAACCTGTACAAGGCTAAGCCTGACCTCCTGGCCAACAACCCCGGCCTGCTCAAGCTTGCTGGTATTCAGTAAACGGACAACATCACGACTTGACGAATTTTTCGGTTTGGTGGATTATATAAAAGTGACGAACTGCGACATGATTTGATGAAGAAAAAGAATGCACTAGACTACGATGCATTGATAGAGTAAAACGTAGTGGCATCATGCAAAGGAGCTGCATGGGTATAAAAGGGCATGGACTGGGAAAAGGAAAATTAGGGACGGCAAGCGCTGGGATTTCGCGATGAAGCTTTAATGGCTTCGAGGATAGAGGACTTTTGATACCTAGGATTAGAAAGATACCTTTCCATATGGACATTTGTTTCCTTCATGCTGTTTTACGGATGCACAAGTGAATGTTTGATAGGATGACAACAGAATTGTTGTCTTAAACTTGATCATGTAATGCGAAAGTTAACGCCGTAAAATGCTACAGAAGAACGCATTCATTCACCAAATCCTCTTGGCAACCATCTCATACCTCATCACCTTCTCAAAATCATCCTTCTTCTTTTCTGTCTTCTCAACCCTCTTCCCCGGTCCTTTACCACCCTTCAATCCCTCGTTCCTATCAGCATGAATCCATCGCTGTCTCTCCTCTCCAACCTCAACCTGACCAAAACCACCGACTCTTCGTCCACCGGGTGTATCAAAAGATTCAGGAGCACGGCCCTGATGTTCTGCACGTTTCATCTTCGCGTATCTGTTGCGGGAGTATTTGAGAAGGACCATGCCCAAAAGGAGTTTGAGAATGAGGAGAACGAGGAAGGCGATGAAGAAGACTACGACCATGGTTACAGCGGCGATGAAGTCGTCGGATGTCCAGGAGTACCAGGGCCGAGAGTTGAGGGGTGAGCCGTAGGGGTAGCCGTATGTTGCGCGGCCGAGCGAGTCACGGATAAGAGAGTCGAAGCGGTTGAGGGCGGCTATCATAGCGGGTGATGAGGGTGTGGCTGATTCTTCGGAGAGGGATGTTTGTGTTGATTGGGGGATGGGCATTGGCATTGGCATAGGGAGATGTGTGGACAGAAGCATATGGTAGGTTTGGATGGAGGCGCGGATAAAGAGGCAAGATAGGGGTATGACAGCGAGACCGAGACGCTTGGTCAGAGAAGGAGTCATGAAAGCCTAGGGGCGTTAGTTGTAATCTGACAAGGGGTGAGGGTGACTTACATTGGTGTAGTAGTCTTTACACAAGATGTCAAGAATACGGCTATAGAAAGCTGGCTTGATGTTGTTAAACTTCGTCACATAGGCGTGTTTAATAGTATCGACAAGCATCTCACTACCAATGACAATGAAGAAAGGAGAGAGAACTTCGCCTGACATGAGCCACGAGGGTAGTACAGTAAAACTGTGTGGCAGGATAGAAGGGCTATGATGGGGTACAGATGTCTCATCATATGACTCCGAGCCTGCACCGGGGACGCTGAGGCCGCCAACCTCGACGACGTTACGCATCCCGATGATGAAGAGCATGATCCAAAGCTGGAAACGCTCAACGATGTCAGCGCATGTAAGCTGGAAGAGGTTGTCTTTCTCGAAACGCTTGAAGACAGTGGACTTGATCTCAACAAATTGGTTGGAGAGAAGAAGGGTCAACAGGGCGTTGGAGTAAGAGTTGACGGCAACATTAAGAGTGATGACTTGGTAGTAAAGCGCGATAGAGTGAAGACAGCAGTATACTAGAGCAAGCATAAACATGCCCAGCGGGAGAAGGACCTTGGAACGACCAGACGCATTACGTGAGAGCGTTTCCGTGCTGAAGAGACACTCCAGAATGTCCTGTCCCAGAGCTGAAAGTAGACGATCACCGACTTCAAGAATATTGTATATGACGTAGAGTTTGATGGCGGACTGAGCTCGAATGAAGTGGTACATACGGCTTGCGTCGAGAGTCATCAGGGCCATGGAACTGCATATTATGACAGCACCTTGGAGAAGATCAGCTTTGTGAAAGGCCGAGAGATTTGAAGGCATGGATTTCGTCCTCCTATGACGAAATGCTCCAGACTTCGGTTGTGATCGAGACTGTAAAGGCTTGAAGTGCCCGTTTCCATTCCCGTTTCCGTTTGCCTTGAAATCGGGAATCCCGTTTTCATCGTTTGAGCGGCCTCGAGGACGGCTCTCACTGCGTGATCTTCCTTCATCAGAGGTCTCATCAGCTCGCGAGGTCCTACCTCGTCGCCAAAGGCGTCCAAGGCCATACCACACGAAGCCGAGGAGCCATCGAACTTCTTTAAGGATCACATAGCCCCACCAACGAACTAGCATACTGACAGCTTGGATAAAGCGCATAGGAAGGATGGTGAAATTGTAAAGCCAAGCATCGAGACATGCTAGGGCCCCAAAATTGAGCGTAAGTTCGAGATGGGGCGGTAAAAGAATCACGTTCTTAAGACGCTCGAATTTGACAGCATTGGATTCATAGGGGATATCGTAAGCGTGGGACTGGTGGATGTACAATGGACTAGGTCTTTGCGCTGCCAACTCCAGCTGTAGATGTGTAGGTAACGACATGGGCGGTAGAGGAATGATGGGTGGAATCGGTGATGGTGGTCGAAGGCCTGAAGAGTCTGTTTGGAGAGGTATGGCTGTTGCAGGTGTTGACCGGGCGCTGAGAACAGGAGATGTTCCACCTGCACCGTCAAGGTTGAGATGTAGAGATGTAGGTCGTCCAGTTGAGTTGAAAGAAGAGTATCGTCTCGGCGAAGACGTCCCACTCGAATCGCTTGCTAATACACGGCTTGTAGGAGGTGTAGAGAGAGTTCTCGCTCCAGGCGATGGCCGTCGGTGAATATTCATCTGAATATCTCTCGCAGTCCGTAGGGCAGAAGCTGGACCTGTGCGAGCTTCTACAGCGACACCATTTTGCTGCGCTGGGGGAGCCGCATCATCAAGGCGCATCGCATGCTGACGTATAGCTTCGCGCTGATCGAGAAGGTGGGTTGTGGATTCTTGATCAATTGACCTCCGTTCTGGCGCGGGAGCCACAGGTAACGACTCAGGAGAGTTTGTGAGGCGCTGCATCTCAGTCGCGGAGAGACGTCTAACATTAGGGTTCGTGGTATTGCTTATCGTACTGCTACGGCTGGCCCTGCCAGAGGGTACAGCAGTGTTATCATCCTGGTCTTTCTCTTTGTCTAAACTCTCCTCCACAGGCTCTTGTTCTTGTTCCTCGTCATCTTCGACCGCTGGTTCGGAAATAGAAGAGTTGGATTCTACGCGACGCACACTACTACTTCTGTGGGAGCCTTCTTCAGAAGAGTGGTCTTCGTCAGAGGGAATCGTGGGGAGTTTGTCGTTTGTTGTGTCGGCGCATGATGGAGGAGGAGTCGAGGATGGTGATAGAAGCGGTGGGAGGTGATGAGAATTGATGGAATCGACGGAGGCGGCCATCACCAAGGCTGAGACTCTCGAAGCATGTTTTTCCTCGAGTTATGGGTTTTTCGTAACGAGGGTCAATCGGTTGGTGATCGCGTGTGTTGAAAGAAGAGACGTTGCAGCTGAAAATGGGTTGTCAGCATTGAATCACCATGAGACAAGACGCAGCTGAGCTGAACTGAAGTGAACCGGTTCAGTTGACAGTGGGTGCGCCACAGTGGAGTCGGCACCGAGGGTTCCCCTGAGCGGGAGAGCGTGCGTGCTCTGAGCACTGAAACTTTGGGACAGTGGGGGGTTTGAGCAGGGGTTGTGTCAGTGGCTTGAGATGAGAATGGATCCATGGATCTGGATACCGTGGCGGGAAGAGCATCGCGAATCTGTCTTGGTGAAAGCCAAGACGGGTACAACAGATAATAAATTGTTGAATTAATCACATCGAAATCGCCAAGTTTTGCATAATTTCTTGCAGTACGTAGTATCACCTCTTGTTTCCAAGGTTCTAGATCCTCTGCCGTGTTAAGGTTTCGCTTCAGTCCAAGACAAGGTTTCACTGAGCATGTCATCCACCATTTACATTCTTTAACCTCTATTAAATATCTTCATATATATCATTAACTTATCTACATCTATCCTAAGCAAGGTGCTCGTCAAACCACTGCACAGCCTGGAAGAAAGCTTGCTCCTTGGCAAATCGCTTATTCTTGTCTTTCAGGTCAGCGCGCACAGCAAATCCATGCTCAACGTGAGAGAACAGGTTGATCTGGAACGGCTTGCCAGTCTCGATGAGAATCTCCTCCGATCGGTGGCGGAGCTTAGTGGGGAAAATGTTGTCGGTTTGAGCAGCAGCGATAGAGAGGGGACCAGTGATGGCCTTGAGCTCTTCTTCCTCGACGAAAGAAGGGTGAGCGATGTAACCGACGTCGATACCCTCCTTGTAGTTGCGAACAACGTACTGGGACTGTTAGTGATGTGCTTTTGAGTCAAGCTTAAACGACATACCTTGGCGCCGAAGCAGTATCCGACAGCTCCAATCTTTGTCGCACCCTGCTCCTTGAGCGTCTTGATAGACTCAACGATAATAGGGTCGATCTGAGCGGGTGTATGAGGGTTATCGCCATTGGCACCCTTTGTGATCCAGCTCATGATGTCAAGACCCTCAGGCATAGGCAGAGGCATAACATCGCCGTTGAAAATGTCGGGGATGATGGTGGTGTAGCCGTTGGCGGCGAATTGATCAGCCATCAATTTGCTGTTGGTCCAAATTCCGAAAATATCGGCAATGTAGACAATTCCGGTACCCTTGTGCGCCTTATCCGCGGGAGCTGTCGCGATGTAAGCGTCAAGGCCGCTACCGAGCTTGATCATCTTGCCGGTGGGCTCGCCTCTACAAATTATTAGATATAAATTGCGCGAATACCTTTTTCGAGGTAAAACTTACTCATGGCGAACACCCTCAGTGCAGCACTTAGCAGGTTGGTTAGAAGCCATTGTGATAGTAAATTTCTCTGCGGAATTGTAGAATGGAGGGGAAATTTCTCGGAGGTCACTTGGCCGAGTTTATATCCTCTTCCAAGCGGAACCAGGTCTTTCCGAGTGACGCAATTAATCGAGGCCGAGATGCCGTGTTACCCCACAAACAATGGCCGTTGCGTGAACTATTCCCGTGTGCTTTCTAAGCAACCTCTTTGTGCTAATTGGTGAAAGCGGGATATCTAGGTCTAGAGAAGAGTCTGCTTGTGGATGTTTTTGAAGCTATCCCCATTGGGTCCCATTTTTCGCTCTTAGACTTTTAACTCCGACGGGATATACGGATATGGACATTGGGCCAAATGCCGAATTACGAAACTACCCCACAGCATATTATTTTGACTTTTGAGAAAATCGGTATCGGTGGGATGTGTTGACTGTCATTATTCGTGCGGATGGTATCATTATATGTTCTAGGAATGTAAGTAGTGGTATGGTACACAGCGACAATCTTGTCACTTTTGTCGAATGCCCTTGGGTTTTCTCTTCTTGAAGACCACAGTCTGTACTCCCGGTCCAGCTTCCTCTGGCTCTGGCTTTATCAGAGGTTCAGCAGGTGCCTCTGTCTTGACATCTGTGTTATCCTCCGCCTTGACTTCTGTCGCATCTTTCGTCTTCACGGTTGTATCCTGTGTCGCATCGTCCTCCTTCTTCACATCCTTCACATCCTCCGTTTCCTCCTTCACAGCCCTAGGTGTAAACGTCGATCCGCTTAGTAGCGCATCGAGTTCCCGATCTTCTTGTTGTGGCATGACTTTTGAGTCTCGTCCCCATCGTCTAGGCTTCTTGAACAGACCTCGCACAGCGTCCTCCTCTTCTTTCTCGTCCTCCGTCACTTCACGCTTTCGTACACCATTGGCTCTGGCTTCAACCTTTGCTTCTTCATCCTCTTCTGTCTTCGCCTCGATAATTCTCGTATTCGTAACTGTCCACTGTCCAGGCATAGCCATCTCAGGTCGAAAGTCACTCGGCATCGCGACGCCCATCGCAGCAAGCTGTTCTCTCTGTTTCTTCAAAGACGCTTCTGTCGGTGCGCTCTGTTGCGCGCGCGGCGCAGGTCTCGACGATGGACCTGCTTCCGTAGAAGATCCTCCAACAACTCCATTTAGGCGTTCGACTTCCCGCTTGGCGCGGTCTTTTTCGCGTTCTTCTCGCTCGTGGTTGCGGTGCAGATCGCGGAGGAAGCGCTTCAGTGCGCCCTGATGTCTGGCGGTAGACTCGTGGTTTTGGCGCTCGAGTTTTGTGTCGCGCACATAGCATTCGCAGTGCTTGCACCAATATTTGGGCGTGGATTTCCAGTATTCTGACATTTTGGGTGGTGATGTTGAAAGAAGGTTGCCTGAATGTTTCTAGAATTAGTGGCTTGAAATCAATGTGCTTATGCTGAGCTGCAAGGCTAATGCACGGACCAGGAAGAAGCTCCAGGGTAAGCTTCTTCATGTGGGAGAATGTCAATCAAAGCTGCTGAAGAAGCCAGGGTAACGCAGCTTTGGCTTTAATTTTATTCGAAAATAGTAGTAATATCTACTCTGGTGTAATTCTTATATATGTTGTTCTCCAATGCTGATCATGGTTGCCACTATCACTCCCAGAGACTAATTCGCAAGCTCCGTACTTCCACTTAAGTACGCATGAATCCTATATATGTGCAAATTTAACTTTCATAGCACCACTCAACTCACATAAAACAATATACATAGTCAATGCTATTACAGAGCAGAATATCTTATAGACAAACTGATTACGTAGAATGATTCCCAAAAACCTAAACAAACCGAGGCACTGATCAGTTTAATACAGCCATCCCATTGTAAACCTAACAAAGCTCCCAAGTGACGACTTCTACACAGCCGGTAAAAGACTATTGTATATTCTGAGCTGTAAAAAAACCCTGAACGTACACTTGTATTCCTGAGCCTATCATACCTACCAAGAGGTAATGTTCATTCCTTGATGAGTATGATCTGCCAGTCCCAGGGCCAGACACAATCGCTTCCTTCATGGCGATCTTTGATGTTTGTGTTTAGCGCGATGATATACATCGCGTCAGACACTGCATGGTACCAAAAGTCATTGGGACGAAGATCCGAGTTATCCAGTTTGATCGTACGAAACTATCCCTCTTGGGCAAGTCAGGACCAATTCGAGCCGACAAGGACCCTGAATTCTTTTTGCTCCGAATGGGCTGAGATACGCGAACAGAGATCCAAGTGGTTTCACGTTTCGTTTCGACAATCTGATGACCCAGATCCCATCTCCAACCGAAAATACCTTACTTGTAATAGCATAATAATAAATATCTTGACCAAATAAGCACAGGCTTCATTACCTCCCTCAATCGGAGAATATCGCAATGCTGTTATACTCTGAAAAAGCGTTAGCCCAGCCGCCCTGTCCCTTGCATGATCCCTGGATCCCAACATCCTTCAGTGGAGCATCGTTCAGCATTCAATACGATATCGTACGTACTGTACTGTCGTAAATACCGCAAAACTCAGTTCATTATAATTTGAGAATTGCTTGGCGCTTACAGCGTTGGCCGCCAATAAGCGCATCTCAAGACGCATTGCCTATTCTGGGTCTCGAGTAAGCGATGATTCGGCGGTGGCGGTCTTTCAGTGGTTTTTTTCTCCGGAGGAGGAGGCAAAAAAACGACGAGAAACTTGGCGGTCGCTCTGCCGTTGAGCCGCAACCTTGGGATGCTGGGCGTTTTTGAACTTCACATCATGGCAGATGAGCGTGAAACAAGGGATTGTTTGTGTAAAAAGACCCAGAATTTGTGAGGTGTCATGGCGCATCAGGATGTAAACTTTTCTTTTCCTTGATGATCTATCTGGACCTTGCAGCTCTTGTCAAACTTGCTTCCATAATGTTCGTCATATCACATCTCACGTCACGCTCAGCCTCCAACGCTGCAATCCATTATGTAAATGAGTCCCTTAAACCGGGTTGCCTCTGATTGTCCATTGGATTCTCTTCTCACAAGATCGGGGGCTATCCCTATAGCGAGGTCGTCGGGTCCAGTTGCCGATTCTGGTCTTTGACAGCGGAATGTCCGTGTAAACCGCACCATATTTCTTCCTGTATCCACATCATCCACTGTCAGACTCTTTAACGAATCATGTATCAATTTGTCTTTGCTTGTTTCTACAGGGTATCGAAAAACTCTGCAGAGTTTCTCAGCCGAGGATCCACTAGTTCTCAGGCTCTTGCGCTTTTGCCGTAAACGAATCATGAAGTACATCACGTGAGAAGACTTCGCACGTGATCTCTTAATGAGCTGAATTGAAGAGTTTGAAACTGTGACGTCAGGTACTGTCTTGGCATTTCACCTCATAAACTTCGTTCGGATCGACATTCCGTGAACAAGTTTTATAAGTCATGTTACAACAGCAGCAACGAGATGGGTGCGTATCTGATGCGACGCGACGATCTCGGGGACTTGCGAAATGAACATCATGGAGAAGGAGAAGCTTAAATTGCAAGATGCGCTGAACGGACTCTTCTCATCCTTGAGCTCATGAGGTTGTTTGATGGGTACGCTCCTCCTGATGAGAGAGGTTCAGTGGAGAAAAACAGTTGCCTCCGCCTCCTCTAATATCGACGATATCCACCATCTTCACTCGGACTCGCCATATTGCTGCTCCAGTTACTTAACGAGACTCCATAATGACGCGATGTCTGCAATTCTCGCTCTCACTCCTCAACAAGGGTTCATCGCCATCAAAGGATTGCAACCACCGACGACCCACTGAACTCTCCACCACCACCATGTCTGAGTCTCGACTTTGTGGGTTTTGCCTTGCTGTGGCCTTCTAGGATCGTCTCTATGAGTTCCATCCTCATAAATCCCTTTGCTCTCGCTCTCTCTTTGACTTCTTCTTTCTCTCTCTTCATCCCCATCTCCCATCTCCACATGTTCTCAACCCCAGATATCTTCTGAGGTTGACAAAGTGGTTTTGAGCTGTCTCATCAACTAACAGCAACTCGGCCGAATCATCTCCAACATGTCCTCCGACTCGGAAAAGGCCTCCAAGAGGGTCGAGAGCCCCAGCCCCATCGTCGAAACTGATGGTGGTAACGCTGATGGTCTTCATCGCCGTCTCAATAACCGTCAAGTCCAACTCCTCGCTATCGGAGGCACTATTGGTACTGGCTTGTTCATCGGCATCGGTGCCGGTCTGGCCAAAGGTGGCCCTGGCAGTCTCCTCGTCTGCACAGCTCTCTACTCCATGGTCCTCGGTCTCACCAACAACTCGATTGCTGAGATGAACACTTATATGCCTGTCTCTGGCGGTTTCATCCGTCTTGCTGGTCACTGGGTTGACGACGCGCTCGGCTTCATGGTCGGATGGAACTTCTTCTTCTACGAGGCTCTCCTGATCCCCTTCGAAATTGTCGCTCTGAACCTTGTTGTCTCATTCTGGAGTGACAATGTTACTGACGCTGGTCCAACTGCTGGCTTCATCATCGCAGTCATCATCGCATATGGGTAAGGCTTAAACCCCGAGCTGCATCCTGATGAACATCGTCACGGATGCGCTCCATGGTTTCTTTCCTCAATTCTGCTTCCCTCCCTTTCCCTGTCTACGTGTGAATGCATGCTAAACATCCGTCTCCTTTTCTAGTGTGTGCAATATTCTTGCTGTTGGTGTCTTTGGTGAAGCTGAGTTCTGGCTGGCCCTCGGCAAGGTCCTTCTGATCTTTATCCTCTTCATGTTTACGTTCGTGACGATGGTTGGGGGTAACCCCCAAGGTGACGCTTATGGCTTCCGCTACTGGTCCAATGCGCATGACGCATTTGCTACATTCCGAACCGAAGGTGATCTTGGACGTCTCGAAGGCTTTATGGGTGCCTTGGCATCCGCTGCCTTCTTTGTCGTCGGCCCTGACTATATCTCTATGGTCGCCGCCGAATCTAAGCACCCTAGCCGATATGTCAAGACTGCCTTCAAGACCTGCTACTTCCGTTTCGGTCTCTTCTTTATCGGTGCTGCCCTGACTTGTGGCATCGTTCTTAGCCACACTGATGAGACACTCGTTGAGGTTCAACTTGGCAGCGGATCCGGCGGCGGCACTGCTGCTGCCTCTCCTTGGGTCATCGCCATGGCTAACCTCGGTATCGAAGGATTGCCCCATCTCGTCAATGCCCTTCTTTTCACAACTATCTTCTCTGCTGGCAACACATACACATACTGCGCGACCCGTTCCCTATACAGTCTCGCCCTCGACGGACGTGCTCCAGCCTTCCTCCGCAAGACCACCAAGAGCGGTATCCCTATCTGGTGTTTCGCCGTCACCATGGTATTCCCTCTGTTGGCCTTCCTTCAGCTCGACAGCTCCTCCGCCGAGGCTCTGAGCATCCTTCTCGCCCTCATCACTGGTGGTGGTATCGTGGATTATATCACCATGAACATTACCTTCCTCTTCTACTACCGTGCTTGCAAGGCCCAGGGCATTGATCGCAAGAAGATGCCTTACTTTGGCTACTTCCAGCCCTACTGTGCTTGGATCGCTCTTATCCTTCACACAGTCGTTTGTTACACCTACGGATACACATCCCTGGCCCCCTTCAACGCGAAGAACTTCTTCTCCAACTACACCATGCAACTCATCGCTCCCTTCATGTACCTCGGCTGGAAGCTCTTCAAGCGTACCAAGATCGTCAGTGCCAAGGAGTGCGATATTGTCTGGGAGCGACCTGTTATTGACGCCTATGAGGAGCGCGCCATGATCGTCGACCCCCCGACTGGCTTCTGGGAGGAGATTATTGGTCTTGTTGGCATCAAGAAGAACAAGAAGAAGAACGCTGCTGAAGTCCATGTCTGATCGTGCACCTGAAAATGGTAGACGCGAAGCAAGAATGACGCTGCGATATTCACGATGCGCAGAAGCAGCCAGTCAGTTCGCGGATCGTCGCGACAGAGAGGTCAAGCTCCGCCGGTCATCATCATCGAAGCGACGATATCGTGGATAGAACCCTGCTGCGCCGCCTGAAGTTACAGGCGGCATGAAAGATACCCAAACGTCATTCCCCAATGGGTCGAGTGACGATAGCTTGTATGAATTAGAGTGTATATACGAATATATGAATGAACATATCCTGCTATGATTGACCTCTTTGCGCCTTCCAACGACATGTTCATCCAGTGTTGCGAATCACTGAGAAGCGGGATCTCTGTCCTGGAACATTGTAACATGGTCGCTTGACGAGTTTGTAACACACATGGCATCAAACTTGGCCTTTCGAATTGAACCATGACGGTATCCTTGTAGGTCACGGATGTACATCTGTATACACATCTTTTCTTTCCTGTGACACCCTCTAGCGGGTTCATCTCTACGCTGCCCCGAGGAGCAAGAAAACTCCTGACCCTACCTAAATCAAGGTGCCAAAAACACCTAGTCTAAAGACCCACTAAGTTATACCAAACTTACCTAAGTCTTTTTGTCATTTAGGATAAAGGTTCTAAGTTTTCTTTCCTCCCCTAGACTGCCAGATTCTTCTCGCGCTTGTCAGCACGTCACAGATGACAAGCCGGAGGTTGGTGGGGACTAACGGCCCGAAAGGCCAGCTCCGTAATTCCGACCGGTGCCGACCGCCGAGTGGATCCTCCGGGAGGGAGCAAATGGTCGGCTGAACGCAGCGTTGCAATTTCTTGGCTTTGACTTCATCGGCTTTTTTGCGAGGTCGGTTGAAGCTATAGATGATCCGCTGTTGGGTGTGCGTGGCTGGATGGTTGGAGGTTGGTTATCAGTCTTGCGGCGCTGAGTGATCGTCAAATCTTCCTCAGCAATGATCATGGCAGTCTCTCTAAAAGCCCCGCCATTCAACACTCGACATGCCGCCACGTCTCTCTTTTGGTCGCAACAATTGAGTATCTCGAACAGTACTTGCCTTGTACTCAGTTTCAAGCCAATGTCTTCGTTTGGCGTATTCCAAGATGCTCTCAACAGAACTCTTATCCTGCCATCGTAATGGGACCTGAACAACCCATACTCCAGACCGGCTCTTGATCTCCGTCTCTTCATTCAAAAGGTCAAGTGGAATTCGCCTGCGTTCCGCGCGCCTGCCAACAAATAACCATTCACGAATGACAAAATCCGGGTTTGCAACACTGATGGCAGAATTCTTAGGTTTGCAAAGATCTTGAGGCACCTTGGCGCCATGAAGCATGAGAAACTTGACGGCCTCCAATCTGTGGCTTTGAACGGCAGCATTCAAAGGCGATCCGTGTTCATGACAATGATGTTCAAGATCACTAATCCCGAACTTGATGAGGTTTTGAATCGCTGTGACCGAACCCCAGCAGGATGCTCGGCATAGCAAACAATGAGTACCTGGAATTCCCAGGCCACACAACTGGCGAATACCCTCAATCTTGATTGCAGGTTTGGCATACCGGAGGTTATAGGTTATCGCGACCAACGCGTCTACTCCGTTGGAGAAGAAAGGGTCAGGCCAACTGCCGAGCTTTCCCACTTGTAGATCGAGTCTCATGCCCACCATGCATAACAAATAACCCCGACAAGGGCTTGTAAAAAGACAATGGGAAGCAGAGTAACCGAACTTATCGCATAAGTATAGATCAACGCCATGTTCTAAGAGCCACTTGAAGAGCCCAATGTTGGGTTTGGTACCTGGTTGGCAAGTCCATAATGTCATGAGGCTGAGGAGATTTCTTCCATCCACGTTTATTCGTCTGCTCGATAGGCCGGCCTTGAGAAGAATGTCGACCATTCTCCATGATCTCTGTACGAAAGCCACATCAAGGAGTCTGTAGGATGAAGTATTCATCACGTCGACATGGGCACCGCGACAGATGAGTAGCTCTACAACTTCCATTGAACCGTGTTCAACTGCAACAAATAGAGGCGTACAATTTCTGTCGTCGGTTGTGTTGACATCGGCTCCATGAATAAGCAGAGCATTTGCCGCTTTGACATTGTTTTGCGCAGCTGCCATAAAAAGAGGAGTCCGGTTCTGATGACGGATAGCCTTCTGATTAATAATGGCACTGAGCGAGTCAAGTCTTGAGGTGCTTTTAAAGATGAAGTTACCTGAAGTATCCAGGAAGAACTTTCTGTGAACTAAATAGCTGCTTCCTGCCTCAGTGACTTGTATGAGTTGCTTACGTGACTTCACCTTGGCCCAAGGCCTTGCCCTGAAGTTTGTTCATCATTATCATGGGTCCATCTGTGTTATTTGAAGCGAGAGGTATGTTGAAGATACTGTGTTGTTTGTGTGAAAAGGTTCCTCCCTCTGCAAGGCATGCATTCAATAATGTTGGAAGAAGGATGTTAAGGTTCGGTCGCTCTGGGAAAAGATCGAGAACTGTACAATGGGCATCACTAGTAGGATGAACCATAATGGTTGAAACAGGTGCTCCCCTTCTAATTAGCCACTCGATAACCTTATAATAACCTTGAAGTATGGCCAGAGCCAACGGCGTCAGAAGTAGAGCAAAGGGCAGATTACACTCTAATGGGCAGCCGAGACTGTAATGCTTTTTACAAGTCTGTACGTCATCCTGAAGAATAGCCCGATGGAATGCATATGCCAGAGCACGCATACCACATGACGTTTGTGACAGGATGCCGAATCGATGTAAGGATTGAGTAGCCTCAGAGAACCTGGGTTCATACACAATGAGGGATAGGGCAGATGTGTTCTTTGCAGTTGAGACCTGTTGCTGAAAGCTTATAATCACCACACAGAACTTAGAGGGATAGGGCTTTACTGCTTGTCCAGTATTCTTCCGTTTTGCAAAAAGGCAGGAGAACAGAAACAGCCTCGAGGTGTAATCGAGTCGCTGCCGCACAAATAGGAGTCTCATGGTGCTTAGATGTCATTTTCAGCGCAACATCAACGTTGCCCAAGTCAAGCAGCTCCTCCAAAACCATCACCGAGTTCACCTCTGTGGCCAAATGCCACACAGTCCTGCCCAAGTTATCGGTATCGAGGATTGACCCACCAAAGCGCACTAATTTTTGAAGAGCCTCCCAGGTGTTCTCCCGACAGCACATATGAACTGGCTTGAAACCGTCGGGTCTATCAGCACGCGGGCCCAGGCCGAAGGCTAACAATGGGGCTAAAACTCGATAAGATCTCTCAAATAATGCAAGATGAAGAGCATTCCAGCCAGGATGCTCGGGATCAATGTCTGTCGACTGGGCCAATTCAGCTCTCCGTGTGGTAAGGAAAGCGTTCATCCCGGTTTCATCGTTCAGTTTGATAAGTGAATGGATGTATCTAAGAACTTCTTCATTACTAGCGCCGTCGAGAGATTGGTCTTCTGGTGATTGGGATGGTATCGTTTCGCCTGTTCTTAAGATAAACTCTCCGGTTTCCTGGCGAAGAACAAATCTCGGCGAACCTGGCGTATTATTGTCACCAAGGGTCTTGTACAATTGCGGAAAGCGGGACCACATTTGTGAGGTCTCAGAGGTGAAAGAAGGCATCTGTAGGTACCGATCATAACGAATCCTGAAGAGTTGCACATCTTGAGCCGTGATAGACACACCAGCCTTAACAAGCTCGATAACGATTTCCAGATTGTTGGTGAAAGTGTCAGGGCATGAGAGGGTGAGAGATAGGATAGTTTCCGATGGTAACGGGGTGGCAAGGGGTGACATTGAGACGTTCAGCAACAACTGAACTGTTTGTAGCCGAGCCGTGTGTGCAATACGAAAATTTCTCCGATCAGACGGGACCCCCAGGTATAATGTCATTATTTCGCAAGTGAAGAAAACTATAAAAGAAACCTTGGCCGCCAAGGGCACAGTGGAACGGAGTGCCAAATCTGCTGCATGCCAGTACATCAGAGCCACTTTCCAGCAACTCCTGGCATACATCACGCATACTGAATGCAGATGCCATATGAAGAGGGGTAAATTCGGGCCTGATCACTGCAGTGATGGCTTGCGATAGAATCTTTCTTGACTCGGAAGAGGTGTTTAGAGATGAGGGATGATGACAGAATATGAAGTCAATTGCCCACAGACAGAAAGCGGGCGTCTTGAATGGATGAAGGAGCTTTCGCAGGAGCTTGTGCGTTCTACCTTCCATCTTTAAGGGTGGCGTTGTATATGACGTCCAAGTCAGTACTGATTTACCGTAAAAAGTTCTGCGCCTGCGTTGCGCGAGAATATCGTCGATAGTGCGTGATGTGTCACGAGTCGGCGGAAATCGCTCCATATCCTCCATGGTAAGGAAGCGAAGACAGAGGAAAGAAAAGAAGTCCACACCATCTGCGTGCGAAACAGTATAGTCCCTGAGCTGTGGGTATTGATGATCCGAATTGCGAGTTTTTAGCGACTGAAGATATTCTTGGACTGTAAAGTGTGCAAACTGAATTCTCGTTTTGCCATCGGTGAAGGAACTGGATTTGTCGACTCGAACAAGGCTACTGCACCATGGCAGCAATTCCTCTTCTTCTACAATCTCATCATTTTCGAGAGTTGTTGCATCCTCTTCCAAAGAGATGGCCTCGCAAATTTCTTCTCACTCCGTTTTGAAGAAAGAAGTCGCGGGCATTAATAATGCTTTCTTCACTAGTCGTTTCACTGTATCATCGTAACCATCAATCCTCAGTAAGATGCGATCATAGGTTTTATACAGTGTTGGGGGGAGCTTGCTCAAGGCTTCACGTCGAGCTTTGTCTGTTAGGGGTTCGCACATGTAGTCCAGTTGACAGGCTACCCAGCGAAACCTAGAGACCTTTTTAAGTCGGAGCGAGTGGTATCGGAGCAAGTGTGACTTACATCCCTTTAGCTTCCCCGACCAGTCTTGTCATAATGAGCTCTTTCAGACTCTGGTCACGAAGCCTCAACCGTTTCGAAGCAATCCTTTCACTAAGTTCCGAGGCAACATAGAGCTGTAGATCCTCAGTATGGGCCTCAATTTCGACATGAGGAAAGTCTTTTTCTAGACGCGTACGTATGATGCTCTCGTCCCGGCTTAACAGTGCCATGTTGATAACATCATCGCCTTGTGACAGGGCAAGGTTGGCCAAGCAGTCTACATTTGCTTCCACTCGACTGTCACACTCATCAATACCATCAACAATAATATAGACTCGGGTAAAACAAGCACAGATGCGATGCAGTATCTGTGTGAGCATTTCAGCTGTGGGCTTTGTGGAGAGGTGATGACTTGAGAACAGTTGGTCGTGATAATCCTGTAAGATTCGGAAAGCATTTTCGCACTGCATTGCGAGTTGCATGCAGAGAGACGAAAGAATGACGACTGGATGTTGGGAGCGCTCGTATTTATAGGTGCAGAAGAAGTATGCGACTGCTTTACCTGCATCATGAGCATTTCTCTGCAAACACTCCTCAATCATGGCTGCAGCAAGGACGGATTTCCCAGCACCAGGTATACCACTACACCAGAGCCTTGAGCTTGGAGTCGAGTACCAGCAGTCAAACCCTGGACCTTGCGTGAGCCAAAGACCGGTGAGGCCATACCGGAGCTTCCTGTTCGTCTCGTATTCGCCCCGGGGATTGACTTGGCCAAAGTCTCGCAGAACTTGATTCCTTTTGGCATCGAGAGCGATCTTGACTTGGATGTCCAAGATCTTTTCCGCAGTGCCTTTAATCTTGTCGAGCCCATCTTTTATCTCGGCTTGTCGTGATAAGCAATATTTAAGCAGGGCCAGAGAGTCAGCGGCAAGAGCTGTATGGATGATCTGATTGTAGCGCTGTATATCTTGGATCATTTCCTTGGACTTGGTTGATGTGAAAGGCCATTTTATTCGAGCATGCAGTCTTTCGCGTCCAGAATCCGAATTTAAGGAAGATTCTGTACGCGAAAGGCCTGTCTCCAAGCGCCTCAGCAGTTGGTGGCAATCGTGGAGATAATGCGGTTGAAGAATGGGCCGCGGCTCGTGAACAGTAGTTAGCTCAGGCGATTCTGTCTCTTCCAGGTCAAAAGCGACAAGTGAAATATTGTGCAAGATAACAGAGAGGCTCCTGATTTCACGGATGAGGTTTGCAACCTCTGTTGATGTACCTCTGTAGCTCTTGGCGTATTTGGTACCTGACCTGAAGATGAGATCGGCAAGAGCAACTAACCCAGCGATGCTCGCTGAGATGGAAAGAGGGTCCGCCGTTGAGATAAAAACGGCAAGAATGAAGAAAAGGAAAAACAAGAGCAAGAGTGAGGACTGGAGCTAAGGTATTGGTCAATACTGACTGAAGAGAGGAGCATAATTTAGGAGCTGGTACCAGTTTCACCTGTCACGGTCAGCTCGGAGAGCCTTGTGGCCAGCCTGCATCATACTGGCAGACGATGGTGTATTGTCCAACCAACTCATTGGAGCGAAGACCCCTCACTGAACAGAATTCCTTGAGAGTCGGAGGGCATGGATGATTTGCTGGGCTACCGTTCTGAATGCGACAAGTAAAACGCGGCGCCTGTTGTACTGCATAAGCTTGTAGGTGCATTTCCTGATGAGGCCACACAAGCCCCCACGAAACTGGCCTTGGCCCAAAACATGGCGTTGAGCTGAAAACAAAATCAGGGACTTAAGCGTCCTCAGCATATCGCAAGGATACCTACCTAGGTACCTTAGCCAATTGCTGCTGATGGCTAAAAAAAGCAACGTTGGATCTCAGCATGTATAGGACGAACAGTCCGAAATTGAAGTAGTGCGCACTCTCCCCTCCCAGCCCTCATCGGCTTCAATCGCTGTTCATGTCGCGATAGCCTTTACCCAATCTAACATCAGAAGCCATGAAACTCCTCGGTCTGTTGCCAGTTCTTTTCCTTATGCCATCCTCGGTGATGGCAATATTTGGTGCCAACAATGAGACCGACTTTTGGGACGATTTTGCCAATAATTTCGCAACGGATCTTGCGCCCGTGATCGCTCTCTTTGGTGAACAAGTCACCAAACAATTTCTTAGCGAGTCAACCACGATTCTAGATGTCATCATCTTCGCAGTTGGCCCTCTTGGAATAATTACAGCTGTCGTATCGTGCATTAGGGTCGCGAACAGCACATTCCTAAAATCTATCATTGGAAGGGCACGCGAGCCTCATGGATTGCCAGAGGTTGAGCTCTGCTCCTCGACGAGCGGAGACGTCTGTGAACTTTGGTCGAATGGAGGAATTTGCAGGGTTTTTGGACGGCCGAGGATACTTGAGTTCATGTATAACAAGCCTAGCAACCCAAGTGACTATCTTCCAACCATCGACCACTCTGGCGATGAGATACCTGCCAAGTGCGGTATTGAATCGACAAGGGAGGTCTTCGAGAAGTTCAAGCCTACAGAGCCCAAACAGACGAGTAATCCGGCTGGACGATGGGAAAGGATCTCTTCTTCTCAATTCTTGAGGCTTTCATTTCTTTCCAAATCGACACGAGGCCACGAGAGCCCAGTCAATGGTGGGAAGCACGTAGGAGCAAACGGTGAGCCTGACGTTGAGGGAGGTACTTCCCACGATGGTCACGGCCAAGCCACAAACCCGGTGCTGGCCCGAGGAATGGACACGAAGATAGGCGAACAAGCCGAGATCGATAGGAGCTTTGCACCATACCCAAATCTGGCATTGAACATAGGAAGGCCGAGGTCATCAAGAGCAGTCATGGGTTTGTGGGCTGCAGCCATATTCGGAATATTACTACAGGCCAGCTTTTTCGGCTATGCGACTTGGGCTACGAGGTATAAAGCGAGCTTCTACGATAACGCCAGAGTCCCTAGCAATCCATCATGGTTTATCCTGACTGTAGCTGGGACGGCCTTTATTGTGACTGGGATGGCAATGTCTGCAGAGGTCATCGACCGTATTTCCACCGAGCGCAGGTTCGTCTTCCGCGGCTCGACAAAACCTCGAATGTTCTGGTTACAACCTGCTGGACAGCGAATTGGTGACCAAGAGTTTGAAGGCTTTGCCTACAACCAACCAAAGATTGACTACATCACATCCTGGAAGACGGTGCAGAATACATCAGACTTTCAATGGCGTGTCTGGTGTGCTGTCATGCTATCGGTTGTAGGTTGGGTAATTCAGTTTGTTGGGCTCAGAGGAGTCCATGGAACGGTTTCTCTGTACCAGTTCGTTATCACCATCATCATGTCAATTATTCGTGGATGCCTTCGAAGTTACAGCACCCCTCCAAGAAATCAGCTTTTTGCGGAGGATGTTAAGGGGCACGAGCTTGATTGGCAAGCAATGGAGCTTGCGAACAACTTCGACCGAGGGATTTCGGACGATAAAGGTAGAATTACTACTACTAAAAGAGAGTTTGGCTAATGGTTGATTACCAGTAGCAGAATTTTGGTTCATTGACGGCCGACGAATCGATAAAGAGGAAGAAGGCCAACAGACAGTCGAACGAGATGGACATATCTTCGATAAAATGTATTGGAATTCAACGTCGAATAATATCTTCCTGATGCGTGACTATAGTGGTCGTTCGCGCATCAATTCGCGAAACACGATTGAATGGATGGAGAGCAGAGATTCTTCATATTGGCTGAGCACTGATGCAGAAAGTATCTTGGAAGAACTCAGAAGAATAAGCAGTTCGGATGTTCTTGGGATCTCGAACGGGGGTGACTCTGAGCCCAAGTTACCGCAGTCAGCAGTGAGGCTGCTGCGTATTCGATCCCGCTTGGCATTCTTGACCAACCAGCCACCCTACCAAGTATGGGATGGCGAGATCAGAGACATGGCAGCACGGCTTAAAGGGTCACTTCAAAGAGCGGGGAGACTTTTGACATCGGGTTCCTTTTTCGGCCAAGAATCTCCGAATATCAAGTCAATTGTGTGGTCAGCGGCCTGTCACTCTCAAAATTGGCCCATGGACAGCCATATGTCAAGCACTCAGCTCTTTTGCTTTCACATGTTCCGACCAGACCTTGGAGATGACTGGAATATTGACGAGCATCACTTGGAAGCCGTTCTGGGGCTGTGGTTATGGTCGTTTCAGAAATGGAGCTCCCAACAACAGAGAAAGTTGCCGACGGGCATCAAGCCCTTTCCCATCAACCCAAGCACAAATGACACCTTGACTATTCTACTACATCGCTGGGGAACACGGCCGCACATGGAGAAGTTAGGGATGCCCTTGGAAGAGTTGACTGACTTGTCCGTCCCTGCCATAATGCTGCTACAGCCTCTGAAACACATGAATTCGGTGTCGGGGAAGATACAAGCAGATGTGCTATCTGTAGACTCCAGATCGTCAGTACTGAATCTAATGGCCCAGGATATTTTTAGTCTTTTTATGAAAAGCTTGGCCTTGACGTTGGAAAGTGGTCTTGTCGATATACTATATCCTGACCTCGCCGGAAAAACAGGCCCCCAAACTTCCTTCATTGAGGGTCTGATAGAGATACTTGTTTTGGAACGTTTGGCAACTCGCGATGAAGCTGTCATGTCTATAGTTTCAGGTCTCTACCAGGATTCAGCGTTTCAACGATCTGGTCCGCCATTGCACCTTCGACTGATCTCAAAATCAAATTCTCTCAAGCGACAAACCAAGTTTGAAGAAAGTGAGCTTTTGATTCAACGACTAGTCGCATCTGGATCGAAATCCGTTCGAGCTCTTGCTCAGCAGAGCTTGTGTGAACTTTACCGATCTGAATTGAGATGGAAAAGCAACAATTCATTGATGTTTACCACATCTGAGATCAGGTCTAGAGCCGAGATGATGTGCAAAAGATTGGAGGAATTCAACAACGACACAGACAATGCGTACCGAACTGCAATCGATATGTTACTCGCTCGAAGTGCTGGGAAGGATGATACTTGCTATCATCCTTTTTATCATCGTTTCGGGAATGTTGAACTGGGCCCGCCAATAGGAAGACGTCTCGATGAACCTCAAATACCTCTCGACATGAAAACCTTGGCCAGCCTCAACTTGGACAATATGGAGAAGCCACGAAAGTCCCTAGCCGCACTGTATGTCTTAGCATTGACCTTGGTGGATAAATACGACCTTGGGGCCTCTGATCTCCATGTCCGAAAACAACTTCTCCGATGGGCTATCGAAACAGACTGTCATGGGTTGGTCGAAGACTTGTGGATTTCAGAGCAACACCTGAGCGATAATATGAAAGCTTTTGGTAAAGGAACCGATGAGATTTTCTGGGCAGTCTTCTCTCTGGCCCGAAACGAAAGTGCGATGGCTACGATCCTGTTTTTGCTCGATGTTACGCAAGGCCCTGTTATAACTCAGCTCCAACAGAAAGATCAGATGAACGAGCCATGGTGGTCTACCAGCGCGCTGCAAGAAACTATCAAGACGGGTTATGAGCGATACGATTGTCCATTGTCAGTAGCATCCTCAGATCTCGGTGGCCTGGAATATGTGCAGTTATTGGCTGGATCGAGGAATTGGGGCCTTGAGCGCTTACACGCAGCGGTGCTTTCAGCGCTTGACTCTGGAAGCCTGGAGACTGTGAAATACTTGTATTCAAAGACGTGGGTATGGGAAAAGATCGGAATGGATTCTCAAACTGCGTTGCCTAAGCTTTTAGAGACTGCATCACGTTGGGGTCTTAAAACATGTGTGAGAGTTGTGCTCGCAGGCGAGAAGCGTCGAGGTCTCCGGCGATTTGGCGTCGGTGACTTTGAGACCGCACTCAAAGCAGCTAGGGAGGGACTTTCTGAGGAGAATATGGAGAGGGGGAAGTATATTTTGCACTATGATCAAGCTGGAGTTATTCCACTTCTGGAAGAGGCAATCGAGAAGCTCCAACGGTGGATTTCATTTCAGGACAGCATGAGGTGGGTATGAGATATAGTCATCGGATCAGTCACATCATATATATGTAGAGTACCAGTGGCCTGAAATACAATCGATGCTTTTGATCTACTTCAACCGATCAATGCAGCACTTGGCACATGAAGAGTGATCGATAAATGATTTATATAGTTCCGAGGAAATATTGGTTAGTATCGGGCCTTTTATGTCAAGGACCCGAGTCTTCGGTTAGCTAGGGCGGAAAAGAACTACGGTCTTGGCAACGCTAATGCAAGATATGAGCTTATAATGGTCTGCTTTCAGAGTCTTCCGATGGTCCGAGTTTGTGGCCATATCTATCAACATAAGGTTGGCTGTCTCCAATTCTCAGTCTATCAGATAATATATAGTCTGAAAGTCTAGTCGAAGTTGGGCTCTGGTCCAAACATATCGATCTCCAACATGAACGACAAAGACACCCCAACGCAGCCGGATTTGGAAACGCAAGAGATTTCGCCGACTTCCGAAAAAGCCCCAGATGGAGGATATGGTTGGATCGTCACAACTTCAGTGGCCATCGTCAACGGTCATTCATGGGGTATCAACGCAGCATATTCAGTCTTTCTCGCCCATTTCGTCCAAGAGAATACATTCCCCGGTACAACTCCACTTATGTACGCCATCGCTGGATCTCTCAGCGTAGGCGTTATGATGCTCATCTCACCATTCGCTACTATCATGGCTAGAGAACTCGGTACAAGACCGACGATGCTTATTGGGGCTACAGTACAGTCTGTTAGTCTTGTCTGTGCAAGCTTGTCAACTGAAATATGGCAATTGTTTCTTTCTCAAGGAGCACTCTTTGGAATTGGAATGGGATTGCTGTTTCTGCCATCCTATGGAATTATATCGCAGTGGTTCACGAGACGACGGGCTTTAGCCAATGGTATTGCCATTGCTGGCGCTGGTCTTGGAGGCTTGACGTACTCGCTTGCTACCGGGGCTATTATTCGCAACATGGGATTAGAATGGGCTTATCGGATTCTTGCCATCGTATCGGCGGTGGCGAATACCACTTGCACCCTTCTTATACGAACTCAATATAACTCACAAGCAACGAGACTTGCTTTCGACACGACTCTTCTGCACAGACCGGAGTATCTTCTCGCCTTGAGCTACGGCGCCTTCAGTATGCTAGGCTATTTCGTCCTCATTTTCACGCTTGCGAACTACGCAAATGTCATTGGACTATCATCATCGCAAGCATCGACGATCCCAGCATTCTTCATGTTCGGCCAAGCTATCGGCCGTCCATGCATCGGATGGTTAAGCGATCGATTCGGTAGAATCAACCTCACCTTCATCATGTCTTTCATCACCGGAATCTTAACCTTCGCGATATGGATCAACGCAAAGTCATTTGGCGTACTCCTGACGTTTGCACTTGTTGGGGGTTTATCAGCTGGCGTCTTTTGGGTAAACATATCACCTGTCCTCGTGGAGGTCATGGGTCTCGAGAACCTAGCCTCGGCGCTGAGCTGTCTTTGGGTTGCTATGGCTGTTCCATCGACGTTTAGTGCGCCTATTGCTTTGGAGATTTATACAGGAACAGGGAGTTACTTGGGTGCACAGCTTTTTACTGGGTTTATGTACATTGCAGCAGCCTTTTGCGTACTTGGAGTAAGGCGGTGGAAGATTAGAAGCTTGGCTGGCGAGAAAACAAGGTGTACTGCTTCAGCACCAGGAGAAGATGAACAAGATCTGAAACTGAGGCGTTGGACTTTGAAGTGCCTTCAATTCGATATAGTATAGCTGACCACAAAATACCCACGCCTGACCCCCAATACCGATGCCGTCAAACCTTTATGCCATCCCATTGAAGTCATTAAAATCGAAGAATCCATTTGCATCCATCATTGACTGATCCATCCCCAAATATCCCATATCTATAAACGTCGCAACATCTGGCACACCCGAATCCACAGATTTGAACCACTCATCCGTAAACATCCCTTGATCAATCGTTTCTCGCATAGCTTGTGGATCAGGTGCCGCAATTAGAGAGTCAATCTGGCATGCAAAAAAACGAGCAAGATCAAAGTATAAATGTGCTGACGATGTCGCGGGGAGGTGTTGTACCACACGGTCAAAGAATGGAATAACACTGATGACTTTTTCTGCAGCGGCGGCAGTTTCTTCTGCTGTGATGCCGCCTTTCTTTACAGCCTGGGTACCAGGTTAGTGAAGATTAAAATCCTGAGATAGGAGTAGCTTACCCGTAGTATCTCGGTCATGGCATGACAGATCATAATGAACTGGTTATTCTGAAAACCAACTGAGACGTCGTTCATTACTTTGTCTGTGACTAAATGGTCAAAGATACGACCGGCGACTTCAATGTTTTTTCTCTGAATGATCAAAAGTGCTGATGCCGCTGCGCTCTCTTCAGAGGCAGTCAAATCTCGTAAAGCCTGGGCGTTGAACACCAGAATACTATGATCCATGTAAAAAGCCAGTATTGGGAGACATCTTGAAGATGGCAGGTCATCGGGTTGACAGCGTTCGTTGCGGACGCGGGTCAGGCGATCGCAAGCTTCTTTGTGCCATTCTAGGATTGAAGCTGGCGTCGAGACTATATGTCTCCGTTTCTCCATAGCTTGGAGCTGTGACAAAGATTGTCAGCTAAATATCGGTCACATCGTTATTGAACTTACCAATAGCCCCCTAATCTCAATCACTCCACTGATGATACGGTCTGTTGGTTCTGCCATAGGTGATTTCCACCAATCTACTGCGGTACGAGGTACCGCCTTCCAGCTCATACACTGCAAGCGTCCATTCAAGGCTCCAAAGCCTTTATCTGCGATAAAAGTGTACAGCCATGTTCTTTCGTAGTTTCTGGTGTATCTCTCGGTCAACTCTGGTGAAGCATTTGGAAATTCTGCGTTGACGTATTCTTTCACAATGTCTGATCTGTTAATACCCATCTCCTTGGCCAGCTGAACAGCCCGCGGGGAAGTCAGCACGCGTCTGGGAGCATGGAATAATGTGGGCGATACTCACATGGCTTAGTGATAGCCAGTACGGATCATCTGCTTGCCTTGGGGCGAGGGGAGCCCAGTAATGGAAAGTGATGATGGCTTGGATGGTTGAAAGGGATTTCACCGACGCGGCGATACACCATCTGATATTACCGCTGGCTAAGGATGACAGAACTGGATAGATAGCTCGATCACGGGGACGCGCTGAAACAGCACACCCGAGAGCGCAGATGACAGAGAACAAGGTGAATGAGCATCCGTAGACATATTCGCGGGTATGTAATGTGGCGTCTAGAAGGCCGATCAGAGGATGGCGAATCTGGAAGAATCTAGTTGTAAATGTCAGCACTATGGCGAGAGCACTCGAGATTGATTGACCTACAGTTGGAAGTACAGTGAAGCGTCGTTATCGTCGATCAACCTTGAAGCAAGTGGATCGCAAGTGCCTCTCTCTAGCTTGAAGGGAGAGTCAACTGCTTGAGTTGCTAGAATCTCCCAGTCTTTCTGCTGGGCTCTATGTGAAGCTGATACGAGTTAGATAATAGAAAGGAAGACACATGCTCTCACCTACCAAAATACAAGGCTAGTCGTTCTTTTATCGGTGCCATGATAGCTTCACGCATACCCGGCTGCATCGGCATCTGAGACCTAAGTCTGTCACAAGCCTCAGAGGAATTCATCGAGATAGCAGCGGTGACCATAGTTATAGGTGATACCAATCCATCCGCATCATCACTCTCATCATAACTGACCGAACGTCGATAAGTGACAGAGCGTGACGATTGACTAGTATCGTGGCCATGCTCAGGCGCTGAATCAGTCCCCTGTCCATGTGTCCACGGGGTTCCTCTTATAGAAACAGTAGTATTTGGACTGGGGAGAGTTTGTCCCAGAAGAGCTGTAAGGACTTCCTCTCGAGCACCGCTTTCATCGATACGAGCGAGGAGCTTTTCTAAACTATCTGGTTTGCTTTGATGCGTTAGAATTGCCTCAGGCGTGAGCTATGATCTTACTTTGTACTACCATGCTTACGACCCCGGTTCGAACGAGCTGGATATTTACAAATGCGATCATGAGAAGCGCAGCGAGAGCTAACATTATTGTGTCAGTCAGTCTCGCGTGAATATGATACTGGCTAGACCGACTTACCAAGGATCCTGGCGATCGCATTTCTGCCTCGATGCACGGCAGCTGAAGCATGCAACCTGATGCTGCTGCGCCTTTTCAGCTGGAACCTCCATTTCGGTTATCTTTGTATCGTTAGAGGTGGACCTGGGGGATTTGTTAGTCGCCAAGAGTAAAATGCGGGAGGTTCGGGGTCTTGTAAAGTCGTCGCTGTTTTGATCTAGACCCCGGTAGTATCCACACGTGATCGTCCTGAGTAATCAGTGGACCAGAGCAATTCCGGAATTTTAACCTTGAACGGTCTTTATTAATTACATTCATCGTACCATTATGGAACTTAGTATATGAACATGTAAGCCTTTGATTGACTTTTGGAAGCCCCAGTGTGCGATAAAAAGAGGGAATCAAACTGACTAATTGCCCTCTACCACTAATTAGAGATTGTCTGTGTCAATAAAAAACTCCGGTATATATCATTAATTGATCTGAAGCAGAACTGAGAACTGTTCCAGCTAGGACTTAGGCATCAATAGGCTTGAGGTTAAGATTTAATATCAGACTAAAACATATAAGTGAAATGAATACTAACTAGTAGTAACAAGAACAATGCTTGATCTACTTCAGAGAATAGCACCATCTCCTTCCTTCATTTAATGATTCAGAGACGGGATCCCGCAAGTACAGCACAGACAGGGCTATTGTGAGATCACTTTTCATTCATTACCCATACAACAAGCAAAATCCAGTAGTAATGTAGTTGCAATCATAGTTCCCACCAACATGTCTGAAAGTAATATTCAGTTGATGTCCAAATCCCCCTGCTCCCTGTATTTCAGAATATTATTCATCTCACCCATCGAGTCCCTAGTCTTAGTTGACTAGACCATGAATACACTCGACGAAGTTCATGGAAGTGCAATGTTGAAGATCAGAGAGCAAATAAGAGTCGCAATCAGTGGTTCCAGAAGGAATGAACAGGACGAAAACCTTCTCTGCTCTTTCTGAGACGCTCGCCACTCCACGAATGCGGCATGTTCATCGTTAGACATGGCCACATGTCTAAGCCTATCGCCATGGCTCATGTAGATATCGTCGAGAGTCCACTTGCTCTTTTCCAGAGGAGCCGCAATCACCTCCATTTGGCACCCAAGCCAGTCCTGGAACTCTTCCCAGTCCATATTGATGTAGAAAAATCGTGTTAAATAGACGAAAATGATCAAGGACGATGCAGCTAGTCTGACTGGAAGATCGAGGCACTAGGGTGTTGGGTACTGGTAAGAAAATACAAGATAAGTGCTGAGACTCCCAGGGAGCATTATTGGTTTGCGAGAGAGAAAAGGGCAGAAGATCAAAAGAGATACCGGACCGTCGGGTGCTTATGAGAAGGAAAGCACCTCAGTAGAGGTTAGGGAGGGAGAAAGGTATTTACTCTCCAACTTTGAACAGTGGCAGCGAAGTTGCTCTTTCGACGTTGGCTAAAATGTATGTAAATCTCCCAAGCTAACCAAAGATTAATGAGTATTGAATCATTGAATTACTTCTTTCTCAGACAGGTAATATTCACCTGGGATGACAAACAATCGATTGTTCGGAACGCTCATAATGACTAATCATTAGATCTCATGTGAACAAACTATGCTCAAATCGCGGTGAATGAGAAGTCTCGCTTATGCTGTTCTGCAGTGTTCACAAATGTGCCTGAAGTTCCAAGTTGATTTACTGCATTCCTTTCACGCCTCTATCTCATCAACATCAAAGAGTTTCGTCAAGTCATTCAACAAAGACTGGTCGAACGACTTGCAAAATGAGAAATTATGCAACAAGCGATAAGGTTGGGCCAATCAGTGCGTTGTCTTTTGGGATCAAGACGTTAGAAAAGATGCGCGTTAGTCGATAAGGGTCAGGTTTAATCACTACTCAATCAGATTTTCTTCAATTCAATCTATGAGTCTAATTGAAAAATCCATATGAATGACACAATGGAGGCTTGGGCTGCCACATCAGCTGTTTTCAAGGCAGACAACGACTTGGGCAGTTCCGTCACTCGTTTTGAGAAGGGTTCTGTCAAAGGTCAAGGTCAAAGCTCATGTCCAAATTGAGACGGAGGACATCAGAGTATTAGGGCTGTTACCGTATCTGGCATAATGAGAACTGGGTGAATTCAAGAGCCCACTTGCGACGAAGGTTTGTTTTTGAGGGTCATGTTTAGATCCGATTATAAGAGCTCCGAATCTGAGGCGGCAAAGCCTCATCTTTGTTCGAGGTATCATGGTAAAACTCCAGCGCTTAAAACTAACCAATAACAATGGCAAGTCGTCAACCAGCTTCCCTTTAATCACAGGTATCCATGTCCTCCTCCAGGCGAACTCCCATACCCTCCAGCAGGCGCCAATCCTCCACCATGCGTCGTCCCCGAAACACCACCATAAACTCCTCCATTAACACCTCCATTTGGTCCTCCACTAACACCAGAATAGACACCACCGTTGACACCGCCGTACAGTCCGCCATGCGGTCCACCGACGCTTAACGATCCATTACCAGAGCTGTAGCCAACTCCGTAGCCGTACTTGTCTTTATCTCCTGACGGTCTTGGACTGCCATCGAATTTGCTTCCTTGGAGTCTAGATGTAGCTTCTGGTGTTCTGCGCCCAAGACTTGTTGGACGTGGAGGCGGTAGGTCGTCCTTTTCGTCTTTGTCTTTTGAGAAGAGATTGAATAAGCACATTTGAAGGACTGAGAAGTTGTGTTATGAATATTTGAACAGGTAATTGCTTAGGGATAGATTTTGAGTTGTGAAGTTTTAGGTTTTTGGCGTTGAAATTTTTTGAGATTAGGATCAAGGTTAAGAAGACGCGTATTTAGGGGTAGAGATTGACTTTTAAACGATAACGAGGAATATTTAGAATTAAGGTTTCTCGTCTCTGACACGCGTTCAGCGCTAAAAAGCGGGCTCTAGTGGCTGTGTGAACCAAGTACGGCCAATGGGATACACCGTTCGAGCGCTTGGACTACACCGCCACTCATGTTGGGATTCCGTAGCCCCCTGATCTAGCACAGCCTTAAAAGACCCTGCATTCAGCTCATGCGACACGACACGACAGCATTACGAGGCAGAGATTGACATCATCAATTAACAGATATATCAGGCTGAAAAATAAGCGTATCTTCGGTCCTAAACTTAAGAATAACGGTATGTATTTAATAAAGTCTATATAAGCTTATGAAGATATTATCATGAACTTAGGGTCTTAGGCAAGTAGACCTGGGTTAGGTAAAGTCTATAAGATGTTATAAGAATGTTATGATGATGTAGTCCTAAAAGATTTATTCTAAAACTTATGGCCACTGCCTAAAGCTATCCTCAGTCCGTCTCCTGGTGTTCGTCACAGCAGTCGTCGCAATACTGAGCAACAACAGCATAAGAGTTATCCATATATATCGTTCCGCGCTTCGTGTCCTTCTTGAGCTCTGCGTACGCATCCTTAACCTGCTTGCCAGCCATGCCACCCTTACTCCAGTCCTTACAGCTTATTATGATTCCGCAGCCATCACCCGAACCAAAAACCTGAGGGAAGACAAGCTTCTCAACAGCGCCATAGATGGCTACTTTAGTATATCGGAAGTCATCCTTGTAGCGACTGGTAGCTCGGTCGCAGGAGTCTTGAAGGTCATAGCACGATTCCTTGTCAAAGTCATCGGTGCCGGTTGCCTTGGGTGTTGCAGGTCGGATCGTCGAGGGAGTGCCCTTGCCGTCGGTATGAGTGTACTTTCCGCCGGGATAGATACCAACCTTCGTCGTGCGGTCGGGGTATGACAGGATGGCACCGCTGCCTAGTGACAGTGATAGGCTTAGGCTCAGGGGGAGGAAGGGACTCTGTAGGAACCAAGGTAACAGAGGCAGGGTACGTGTGATAGTAGTGGCACTGGCCGGAGATAAGTGGCGCACTGGTCATGAAAGTCTGACCGGCTGTTATGGTTTTGCAAGCGCAGTAAGGTGTTGCGACCTTAGGGCCACCGTAATTGAAGAAAGGGTAAGGGCCCGTGAAGGTCTCAGTAGACTCTGTGGTGGTAGTTGTTGTTGCCTCTGAGGTGGTGGTGATGAACGAGGTTCTGAGAGTCGTAGATAACTCGGTTGTGGTTGTCTCTCCAGTTGACTCAGCAGTTGACTCAGCGGTGGAGGACTCCGAAGTCTCACGAGTGCTAGCTTCAGTAGTCTGGGTGGTAGTAGGGGCGGCTGAAGGCTCGGTGGTAATGGTATCGGATGCAAAAGTTGCAGACGAAGTAGTAGCTTCTTCAGTTGAGCTAGGCCCAGCTGAAGTCGTATCTGTGAAGCCATCTCCCACCAAGAATTTGGCATTGGGATTGTCTTCACGCTTCATGAGGCCTGCAAGCGGGTCCATCGTATCACCGAATGGGTTCCAGAAATCTTGCTCTATCACCCTCCTGTCCTCGACCCAGAGTCTCCATTGATCGACAGCCAGTCCCGGGCCGTGGGGTCTTGCTTGCTTATACAACGGTGCTCCGTTTGCAATCTTAGCCCCAGCGTTGAGGAGCATCTGCACCGTTTCGACAGTACCCATTACCGCTGCAGTCTCGAGCGCCTCGCAGGAGCTTGTTTCTGGTCCGCCATAACGGTCGCGATTTTCATGTTTGTCAAGATTCGGATCTACGCTGTTCTCGAGAAACCAGTCAAGGAGAGCATCATTGCCAGCGCGGATAACGGACGGGAGCAGGACAGACCCGTAGAAGCCAGGCGTATTGACAGCCCACCCGTGCTGTAGAAACAGTTCGAATAAGGGCATTTGCTGGTCTTTTGGAGCTTCCAAAGCCCATGTTGGAGTTCTTTTTGTGATTGGCGCTCCAGAGTCGAGTAGATAGCGCGCGACATCAACGTTGCCGCTACCCAAGGCATTGACAAGACCTTCATGAAGGAATGCTGGGGTGCGAGTTTGAGAGGTAACAACGGATTCGACAGTAGGTAAATCACCTTCTACACAGGCCGTGCTCAATTGGACAAAATCGAGCTGTGAGAAAGCATAGCCGTCGAAAAACATCAGATCGCCGGGCTTATTGATGGGAATATCATCGTGAGAAGTGGCCATACGATTGTGTCGCTGTTCTGGTGTCATTCGCTGAAGCTCGTTGAATTGGCGCTGGGCCATGGCGAAGGCCATTCGTAGCATTCCAGGAGCCATGTTCTGCTGCTGCTGTTGTCGCATCACCATCTGCCGCCCCCTCAATGCGAGAGATTCCCGAGTTTGCCCTGACGACATTGTTCTGGTGAGTTTATACTTGTTAAGTCAACTTAAGTTGTGGCTGTTCTAAGTTGCCTTACAGGGCTGAGGATCCGGTGGTTTTGTGCTGTGCTCAGCTGACGTAGTGCTGTACATGAGTTTATCGATAGTGAAAGAGAAGGATTCTTAAGTCCTTTCCAAAAGGCCTAGAAGTGATCTGCTTTTTTATTTTTAACATCAGACTTTACTAGTGGAAAACGTCAACTTTTGACCATAAACATACATTCATTTCAACAAATACATGGCAAGTATTTGTATTGGCGCAATTTTCGATGAAGAAACCGTGAAATTATTATAACCATCAAAATTGCACAATGAATGAGGCTAGTCCAGCCATAAATATGGCACCCAACATACGGACAGCACTTGATCCAGCCCCGTTGGTTTCCTTTGGTGCCGCAACATCAGTTGAAGTGCTAGTTGCCATAGCTTCGGTACTGCTAACCTCAGTTTCACTTCCAGTAGCTTGGGTAGCACTAGAATCTTTCGTCGTTGTAACTTGAGATGCCGCTTCAAGCAGGTCCTGACCCTTGGTGATGACGATCGGCAGCGTATCAAACTTCAGCCCAAACTCCTTCGTGATACTTCCAAAGCCAGTAGCGGTTTCCGTAATTCCGTCTTCTCCAGTTTCCTTCGGCAGCAGCATAGTCGTACAAGTCTGAGGCGTGCCGCTGCTCACAAGGCACTCAACAGAACTGACGCCGCCCAGATCATTCAAACCTAACATCCAATGAAACGTGCCAGTTGAAGCTGCGCCAGCTGGAACAGTTTTTCCTCCCCACGGTCCTACTACGATGGTGTTGTTGTACCCAGATGACTTGCATTCTGCTGAGACTTCGTCAGGACAAAATAACTGCAGTGTTGTTGCTGTAGAATCGGCGGCGATGACTGCGGCTGAGGGCGTGCGCTCTTTGTAGACAGCAAAGGGAAGTATGAAAACTGATGTTGTGAGTGCTGATGACATTTTAGTGATATAACGATTGACGACAGTGGGATGTTGATGATGAAGAGTCCTGAGTGGGAGTGGTCAGGTTTTAAGGGAACAAAGAGGCGCAAGGACATCGGCGAATTCTTAGAATGGAAAGTCAACCCATCATTCTAATTGGTCAATTATAAGCACTAAGAATAAGAAACGCTGCTAAGACTAAGCTAGGCTGGTAATTTCCGGTTGTTGGTTAAAGCCGGCTAATATGATCTTATTCACTGCTTCACGATCAATCGGAATTCCGCTATGATACATGCTCTCAATCTAAATCATCTTGTAACATGCCACCCCCCAGTAATCACAGATGGAGATAAATCCTGAGCCACGGTCTCTTACTAGTTTATAATAAGAGAAGCAATCACAGCTATTGCCACAACTCCCAGAACACAGGCAGCACTCGATCCAGCCCCATTCGTTTCCTCCGGTGACGCTGTATCAGTTGAAGTTGCTGTAGCCTCTGTACCCAACCCAAGTAGCTCCTGACCAGCAGTGATGACGATTGGCACACGCGTAAAATGCGTTTCCAGCGAGAACCCTGCACCCATATTTGTCGCAGTAGCAGTGGCTGTATACTCAAAGCCTTCTTGAATATCCGAAGGCATAGTTTCCAGCGGTACAAATGAAGACGTGCAAGTCTGAGGCATGCCACTACTCATGAGACACTTGACAGAGATGACGTCTCCCGTATCACTATTGGAAAGGTACCAATAAAACGTGCCTGTCGATGCTGAGCCTTCTGGAACAACAGTACTAGCCCATGGTCCGACGACAAAGGTGTTACTATATTTATATGGGCAATCGGACTTGACGGGGCACCCGAGATCGATTGTTGTTGCCGTAGGGTTAGCGCTTATAACCGAGCCGGTTAGAGTTGCCATGTCATATTCATCTGCCTTGCGAATGAAAAGGATCTGGGTGACTGGTGAAATTGTTCCGGATGAGGGCTTGCTGGATGTTTCTGTAGCTGTAGCAAGAAAATCACTCCCCAGATGCTCTTGACCAGAGGTGATGACGACCGGTATCTGAGTGAGATCCACCATATCCTCCGTATCTGTCACAGTCCAACTATGGCGCGTCCAATGATGATCTTTTTCCCACGTCGTGTATCCCAGCGGAATCTGAAGGCCAGTACAAGTCTGACGTATGCCGGAGCTCATGAGACACTCATAAGATATCGCCTCCCTTTCGACTTCAAACAGCCACTGGAACGTTCCTGTGGATGGCAATCCTTCTGGAACGACTGTACTGGCCCATGGCCCAACCACGAAGGTATTCGTGTAGGCTTGGTCACAATCCATTTTCGGATGGCTTGGACATTCCAGCCCGATTGTTGTTGCTGTTGGGTTGGCGTCTATAACTGAACCTGTTGGTCTTTCCATAGCGTAAAGGAACATGGAAATGACGTTGACCGTCGTTGTAACCGCGGATGACATTTTGAACATAGATGTGCACGTAGTGCAAGTTCCTCCTATAAGTATAAAATCTTGATGTATGTTTCTTTTGGACAAGGGTTAAGTAGCTGCTGGGTAGGAGGAACATCCAGTGGAACTCGTGAGTTTTATAGAAACGGAAAATTATGAAGCCGTCGGTGATCTCCAAGAAGGGAAGTTCGAATCTATTGATTTCCATTGGTTCATTCAGCGCCAAGAAGAAAAAGCCACTGCCAAGATCATGATCTGTTGTTGGTTAAAACCGGCTAATCGTCCGAAGAGAGACAAGTTGAATCTCTTTCTGGTTCGTTGGCTCCCTCCCGAGTAATGAAAATTCACATGCTGTTCAAACTGAACGAGCCCGAGAATTACAAGCCCGTACGATTATTGGTTACATTTGTCTAAGACGTCAAATCTTTATCCGTCATATATCTGGTGTCATTGATCACTGATTGAGGCTCCAGGACTTCCCCCGACAGCCCTTCGCGAGAGTTAGCAACATATCGGATCTATTGATCACACAGATTCGAGTTTCTCAATCTATGTTACACAGGAAGAAGCAATACTTCTAGGGCTTTCTACTCAATTGAAGAACTCATTAGCCAATCGCTAGAACCCATTATGCATGCTATCGATAATCTCAGCCCTCCGTGTTACCATGTTGGCTCGGCACCAGCGCACAATATTTCTAGAGATATAATTCCCCTTTCTCTGTCATCAAATCTTTCTCTTGTGTCAACCATCCCCTCAATGACAATGTCTTCCCAGCGCGCGAGCTTCACATCGCTCTCGAACGAGCTGATAGCTCAAATCTTCGAACTCAGCCATGTCTCAGATCATTCCAACCTCGCAATGACATGCCGTCGTCTCAATGAAGGTGGCCAGCCCACACTGATCCGACACCAGAAGGCTTTCCAAGAATACAACCTCGTGTCCGATTTTTTGCCTCTGACTATACCCTCAGTTCTACAGAAGGTTGTTCGAGACCCATATGTTGCCTGGAATATACGTTCCATCGAGATCTGGGGCGATCGTCCGAGCTGGCGTTGCTGGGGAGCGTTCCGGCTCGAAGAGCCAGAAAACAGAGTATATAATAGGTTAGAATGGCCACCGTACTTTGAGAGCCCGACCGTTGAAGACTGTATCCCGTCCGATGAAGACCTAGAGCTGTATCTGAATCTCTTGAAAGAACAAGCTCATTTACCCCCAATGGAAGTGGAAGATGTGAGAGAAAGTCATTTCCTTGGAGGGATAGATTGCTACTACAAGCTGCTATTGATTCTGCTATGCCCTCGTCTGCGTAGTCTGAAAAATTTGAGACCTGAAGACAAAGGATATAATTGTGACGAAGCCAGGTACGTTTCTCAGTCATTCGCCAGCATGGCCAAAGAGCTTGGAATCTTCTAACCCAACTCGTAGTCCTTCTATACAGGTGGTCTCCGAAGCCATTGCGAGGAGCTGGTACCTTGATTCATGGGCACCTGGTCTCCGAAGTCTCCGAGAAGTCGCCCTCGGCCTCCAAGCCGACTTGTGGTTTCAATTCAATGAGGAGTTCCAACGCTGCAAGAATCAAGCATACAGCGACATAGTCTGTCGAAGAATAACTATATTACCATGCGTTGAATATGTATACTTCGAATGCATAGAACTGTCCTTATTCTCGGACGGACCCACCCTGAGGGACTTGGTATACGACTTGTTCGATACAATTCGCTATGTCAACTATGAGACGGTTTATTCTTCCATCGAACATATTTTCCTGGGTGGCGTTGCCGACCCCGTTAACGACCCTGCCACCTCTGCCACCGACAGAAGACCGACAATCCGCGAAAACCCGGAAACCTTGTTTACAAATATTAAGGCTCTCAAATCTCTCACTGTGGGTGAATATTCGGACGGATTCTGTATGGACGCTCAGAAGGCACTCCTGCGTCATAAGGGGGCCATCTCTGGAGAGTTTGATAGAATACCGCCCTTTTAAAGAGAACTGCGGGCTCTTTTCTCCCTACTTCATGACTCCAGCTTGGACAAAGTTGTCCAAACTGTCCGTCAGCGTCATTCGATTTATAGAAACGGGCTTCCACATCTTTGATCTAACCCCAGCGAAGATGCGACGAGCATTAGATTATAGGAATGATTTAAAGGTATTATTCAAGGACGTCGTTAAAACTGCATTTCCTACTAGCTCAGAAGTGATCTTTTTGCAAAAGGCCTTCAGTGAGTATAAGAAGTTGGACATGGAATGTTTGGAGGAAATTCTGATTGCAGTCGTGCAATGCGACGATGCTTACCCAAGGCTCAAGGTCCTATGTCTAGAGCAGGCTGAAGATGGATATCGAAGGCACGCCAATGACTACAGTTTCTCGAAGCTAGTCGATGTTGCCTGGGAGCGCCGAATTGACGTATACGTGCGGGGAAACACTAGGACGCGGTTGCATCAGCTCGATCTTCCCGAGCCACCAACCCTGACATCGCTGGAGAGGTTGCGGCCACAAGCTCAGGCTGCCAAAACGGTATTCTGTCCTTTTACTGGAGTGAGAAGAGTCATCAGATATGAGAGCGAGGATGAAACGGGGGATGCTGAAACTCTGGTCCTTAGAGAGTAGAGAGAGGACGAAAAGGGAAGCTGGAGAAAACACCGACTGACGGCGCTTTTGCAATGGAGAGGTGGACTTGAACATTCACAAAGGAAGAACATATTGATATGGCTATTTGCGTGGATTCGAGATCAAAAGGAAGCTATTGAAGGAGGCAACCTGGACTTGTAGCTATTCTCTTCAGCATGATTGACCGAAGTGATTCTAGATGAAGAAGTTCTATATGTTTATTCTTCAAAGTTCCCAGGATCTCATGATGGGGAAGCAGATTTTCTTCGCTGAGATTCAACAGTGAATTGCTCCCGTACCCGCGTTATACTCGAACAGTCAGGTCCCACTTATCTGTAGCTATCACGACAAACCTCAGCACAAACAGCCATCGAGCCATCAGGGACGAATACGGTAGAAAAGACGATATTCATGATCAAATTTTTCTATTGAAGCATTTGATACTGTAAAAAGCAGGTAAACTTCCTTAGGAACAGCCGATTTCAAGCTGTGATCGGGATAGGAAAGATAAGCCCGCAGTATATCTTATCATCCAATCAACGACTTTGTTCTTATCGCGAACATTGAACCATTTAATACCCTGTTACCCCAGACTTTCAGCCTGCAAATTAATTGCCCGCTTCGATCGACTGTTACCAATACTCATGTGATTACCAAAGCACATGACAGGGATACGATCACGAAAAGGTTGTGGTGAGTGCAGAAAACGAAGGCGCAAGTGTGACGAAGTGAAGCCGAGATGCGGTCAATGCGTCTCGAATCATCGGAGCTGCAAATATGAGCTGAGGCTTGTTTGGAGTCCGGGAGTACAGAATAGGCGTAATGGTATGTGAAACGAAGAAATCGAAGTAAAACCACTTGCTGACCTCATTCAAAAGGTTCAAATAGCTCAGTAGGTTTCAGCGGCACCTTGAAACTTGACCCAGAACAGGACAGCTCCGTATCATTGATACCTGAGTCCCTTCCAAATGGTTTAGCGCTCCCAAGGCGATACAAGAAGCTGCTGCATCACTTTGCTGAAGGGGTTCTGGCATCATTGTCCAGCCATCCGACCATTCACGATGACTTTCGTCGTGGCCTCATGCCCACCATGCTTGAATCTCCTCACCTCCTGTCTGCCAGTCTTGCATTATCGGCTGCGAGCTTTGAGTCAAGAGGTATGAAAGAAGTCGAAGGAACAAGCACATCTCGAATAATGGAGCACCTGCAGTCTTCGGGTTTGCCATTGTTGAGATCAGCACTGGCACAAGGACAACAGAGCGAGATTCTCATCGCAACATGTCTGATCTGGTGTCTGGCGGACGTCTTTTCCGGTCAACAGGGAATGTTCAGGTGGCCAATACACTTACAGGGCATCAAAGCTCTTCTTCACGGTAGTCGGGATTATCAAAGATTCGTTACGGGAGATATGGCTTTGAGATCCGCTATGAAGCACCTCTTCATGCTTTATCGGAGTTTAGAGACTCTGCCTCACGTACCGACCATAACATCTGGAAAGGTCAACTTCGTTGTTAGCTCGAATGCAGAGTATAGCCACCAGATCGATGGATTCCTGGGATATAGCGAAGAACTCCTCGACATATTACAACAGATCAATGCATCAACGCCAGGATCTGGGTCGGAAACATCCGCTGCAGATGCGGATGCCCTACTCGGCAAGCTCAACGCTATGATTAGGCGCGATGTTAAGTCTCCACCTGGCGTCTCGATCTCCTCACTTTCATCACAATCAGGTCGCGACTTTGCACTTTGCAACAAAGTCTTCCAACAGGCTACATTGATACAGCTATATCGACAGTTATACGACTTGCCCTCATCTTCGCAACCTATACAGGGTGCTATTCAGACTATCAACGGAATGATTAGCAACATGGCGCAAGGCGAGCCATGTAACACCTGGGTTGCAATGGCCATGCCTCTGTTCACTGTTGGCTGCGAGGCCTACAAAGAGGAGCAGAAGGCTTTCATCCTTGATAAGATACACAAACTTGAGATTTGTATCGGGTCGTTACACGTCAAGGTGATTGAGCAGGCGCTCAAAGACATTTGGAAAATCAGAGAGGATTGCAACGATTTTGAGGGGAATTTATGTGCTAGCCACTTGCTTGGTAAGTTCTCACTTGATCCTTCATCAAGAACACGGCTGATCCAACTTGAATGATTAGAAAAGTTGTCATATAATATTGTTTTGTTTTGAAGGCCTCTGACTATACATCACGATCTCAGATCGAACACATCAAGCGTCTATACCATCCTATCTGTAATCAATCTGTATGCGTGACGATATCTAAACTCTTCGTCGAGTTATCCGCTCCACTGTTTCCGAATGCCTATTCGATGATGGTTCCTCTACAGCTCTTCTTCCTTCTTGCCCTCAACCATTCGGCTGAGAGGCCCCTTCTTGACCATGATAGACATGACCTCGTAGAGAACGTCAGCAGCCGCCATGGTCGTGTGCTCAGCGTTGGTGTCGTAGGCAGGCTAACACACGTATTCGTTAGTCTAGACTCTGGATCTCTTCTCACGTTGATTAAACTTACAGCAACCTCAACAATGTCTGCAGCAATGAGGTTCAAACTTTCCAATCCTCGAATAATGGTTCGAAGCTCTCGGGTAGACCAGCCTCCAGTCTCCGGAGTACCGGTAGCAGGCGCGAAAGCTGGGTCAAGAGTATCGATGTCGATAGACAAGTAAACAGGGCGATCAGTACCCACGCGCTTGAGAATCTTCTCGATGATACCGTCGGTGCCAATGGTATCGATTTCTCGAGCCTCCACGATCTCGAAACCACAATAACCGTCATTATCATAGTCGCTTGGGCCACTGAGTGTAGTTCTGATACCAGCATGAATGTTGGTATCATTGCGGAGCAGGCCTTCCATAGCGGCATGGTAGAAGTACGTGCCGTGGTTGATGGCAGCGACCTCTGAAGGGGAGCCACCAAAGACCTTGGGTTTCCCTAAAAATCAGTTAGCATGTATAGACAAATTATAAAGACCTGTATTACATACAGGTGTCAAGATGACTGTCGAAGTGAATCACAGTCACAGGTCCATAGGCACGGTTAATGGATCGAAGAAGAGGCAGAGTGATCGTATGGTCACCGCCAAGAGTGATGACTCGAGGAAGAGTCCTGCTATTCAGGGCTGGACCAGACTTGTCTGCATCTGTGGCTGGTGGGCGAGAGAGGATGTTGTAGTGGCCTTCCTCGATTTGCCGAAGCGCCCACTGATTATCATACCTTGGGGTCATTAGAACAAGGGCACAAGGAATTGGGAGACCAGACTTACGACGTAACTGGGATATCACCACAGTCGAGGACTGTCGCCCAGCTGTTGAACGGGTTGGTAGCCAGAGGAACATTGTAACCTCCACTATTGATCAAGTCAGTGTTTGTGTTTGGTAGGCAATACGAAGGCTGGCTTACTAAAGGTTGAGTCTTCGAGAACCTTGTCGGATACCAGAAGGCCCAAAGCGAGCACCAGGTCTGTAAGAAGTACCTGTATCAAACGGAGCACCAATGAAAGCAATGTCATACTTGATGCTGTTCGCCTTCAAGCATGGCTGATATGGCAGACGTCCGAAGGTGCTGATACCGGAAAAGACGGAGTCGGCCTAGACTTTATCAGCTTGATTTGCCACAACCGGAGCCATTTGGTACTTACCTGAGTGCCGCCATCGCCAGGCAGGGTATTGTACCAAAGACCTTGGTGAGGACCTGACATAGGCTCTTGATCATGGCCATGGTCACCATGGGCGACAGCCACAGAGGCAAGGCTGAGCGGAATGAGGGACTTGAACAACATTCTGAGGGTAAGTTAGGAGAGTACTGTTAAGAATGTTGTATCATGTAAATGGTAGAATCACAGCGAGTATTTATGTCATGTCACAGCTCGGCTTCCGGAGACCTTCAGATCAGGATCACAGTTACATTCGTGCCAACCACTGGTCCATTATTTCACCAACGTAATTCCATCGACCAACTAATTTCTCTTCCTACAAAGTCATATCATCACAAACATCTCCCGCAGAAATCATCACCACTTACAACATCAATATCAACGGGCGTCCAAGAAGCGCGTAAATATCTATAATAGGCTAGTCTGGGGTAAATTCCTCGATGCAGCTAGAAACAGATCGGCACCCCGCAACCTCCGCATTCTTATCATGGCTAAGTTGCCAAATTGAGTAAACCTATGATAAGTCTTGATAAGCTTCTTGTACGACGATGACTTCTCGTTGACGTTGTGCAAACCAATATTGTGTTACGTTGGAGGAAGCTGATGATCGTGAGGTTGCAAACCCCACAGTCTAACGAAAATGGCGCGTTGCAGTTGAATATGCCGACATCCCACTATGACTGCAAGCTTATCAGTAGTTCTGTGTTGGCATTACTGTTACCAAATTGTGATAATGACTCTTACCGAATTTGACCGGTGACTTGAAGGTCGAATTCAAGTAATTGAGAAGGCCTGTTCAGCCCCCCCGAGTTTGGCTGACTTTTGCTGAAGTCCTGATCCCTCTTTTTACATCACCAAGACCTTTCTCCAGGACAAGTCGCCAGAAACACACGATAAACAAGCAAAATGGCTCCTCAAGCTCAGGCTCGTCGGCCTCACTTCGAGTCTTTCCCAGACGAAGAAACCCCTTTGATCCAACCGATACAAGACCCTTCGATCGACTCCAAGAGTCGTTCACCATGGCTCGACGAAACTGTCCTACTTGTCAAAGCCTCTGTGCCAGTCATACTAGCCTACATGCTCCAGAACAGTCTTCAAACAGTTTCCATCCTCATGGTTGGACGTCTATCACCCGAAGCACTTGCGACCGCTGCGTTTTCTTACATGTTCGCCATGGCAACGGCTTGGCTCATCGCCTTGGGCGGAACAACTGCCCTCGATACGCTCGGTTCGAGTACCTTCACAAGCTCAAAGAATAAACATGATTTGGGAATATTGTTGCAGAGGGGCTTGTTCGTGTTGACGGGCTTTTATGCGGTGGTCGCGATTATTTGGTGCTTCTCTGGATATATCTTCCGGGCTCTTGGACAGGAAGACTTTATCTGTGTCCAGGGTCCCAAATTCTTGCAGTTGTTGATTCCTGGTGGCCTTGGTTATGTATGGTTTGAGGCGATGAAGAAGTTTCTTCAAGCCCAAGGGATTTATCGTCCTGGTACCTACGCACTGCTCGTCACTTCTCCCCTCAACGCTTTGCTCAACTACATCTTCATATACCCCCTTGGCTTTGGTCTGTACGGGTCACCCATCGCCACTGGCATCTCGTACTGGCTCTCTTTCTTCATATTAGTTGGCTATGCCGCTTTCGTGAAGGGGGGCGAATGCTGGGGCGGCTTTGATCCACGCAGAGCTCTCAAACATCTTGCACCCTTTGCAAAGCTTGCCTTCCTCGGTGTCATTCATGTCGGTACAGAGTGGTGGGCTTTTGAGATTGTCGCTCTTGCTGCTGGTCGTCTTGGAACAATACCTCTTGCTGCTCAGTCCGTTGTCATGACTTTGGATCAAATCATCAACACCATCCCGTTTGGTCTTGGAGTTGCCGCATCTTCCAGATTGGGCAACCTCTTAGGTCTGGGAGATCCTCTACAGGCAAGACGCTGTGCGCACGCCGCAGCTCTCCTGTCTGTGTTCTTCGGAACCGCGATCCTTGCGATCCTCATGTCTACAAAGAATGTCATCGGTCGCATGTTCAACGACGACCAAGACGTCATTTCACTTGTCGCTCACATTATGCCTTATGTGGCACTCTTCCAGATCGCAGATGGTCTGAATGGGAGTTGTGGGGGAGCTCTAAGGGGAATGGGGCGACAGTGGGTTGGGGCGCTTGTCAACTGTATTAGCTATTACGGAGGTGCACTGCCAGCTGGGATATGGCTTGCTTTCCAGGGTTGGGGTCTTTCTGGACTTTGGGTTGGACAATGTGTTGCGTTGTTCCTGGTTGGTATTCTAGAGTGGATTATAATCGCGATGTGTGACTGGAGAAAAGAGATTCAGAGGGCCGCGGATAGAATTGAGAATGGGGGCATGGAAAGTGTACACTGAGATAGATGACATGATAGACAATATTGGATATAGTCAATATCACTTTGGCATCATAAAAGCTCGGTAATTATCACCTCAAATGATCTATTCATTCGACCATTGCCTTCCCAAACCTTTGGTATACTGGCGCGGCAGATGCTGAAGCTTGAACGCGATTTCTCCGCAAGAACCATGTCGTAGCAAAGTCGTAAGATTCTGGACCGATGTAACGGTTCTGCGCCGAGATAAGGCGGAAGTCTGGAACCCCCAATTGATAAGACAAGCTGGGGTAGCAATTCTTAGTCTCGCATTTCAGCAAAACCATCTGCTCTGATAAGAAGAGCGTGGTATCGGCATCTGTCTGCCGCCTGATAAACATGGTGCTAGCCAAAATAGGGTCGCACACGCACAGAAGCTATTGAAGCCTATCTCCGTGTTACTTATCTTTGCCTCATATGGTCACGCATATATAGATACAAGTGCAGCTCAGTTGTAAATAGTGGCATACAGCGGGATTTGTGGCATATAATTGTGTGCGTTGGTATCTAAGCAGGCTTCATTCTGCCATCTTTGATCTCTGGTTCGACCAATCTCCAACACTGAAACGGTTCACTGATATCTCAAACCCGCAATGGATGTTGAGAAAGTCAATGGTGGTATCCTTGAGAAAGGGGATATTACCGAAGGAGAAACAACTGAACAAGGCTCCGTGATCAATGCATCTGGCCATACAGATCAACTTACTCGCCAGTACGGCCTTGTTGGACTCACTGGTATTGCAGTGACAGTCAACAACGCCTGGGTTGTCCTCGGCTCCTCAATATCTGTATCAATCCTTAGTGGAGGCATTTCAGGTGTCATCTATGGCCTCATAGTCGCAGTGATCTACTACACTTTCATCGGTCTGAGTATATCAGAGGTATGCATGACCTAATCCTTACTGAACTTGACCCATCTAACATCCTGATAGTTCGCTTCATCTTGCCCCAGCTCTGGCGGTGTCTACCACTGGGCTACCATAGCTGCCGGGCCCAAATGGGGTCGTGTCACGGGCTTCTATACTGGATGGATCAACTTCTACGGCTGGATGTTCGGTCTCGCATCTCTCGTTCAAGTCGCTGCGAACGCAGGTGTTCAATGTTATGCCACTCTCACACCTGGCTTCTCTCCCTCAGCATGGCATGTCTACATCGCATACCTGATTGTCATCTGGCTCAGCACCTTCGTCGTGATATTCTCGAACAGACTTGTTCCATACACTCAGAAGCTTGGACTTTTCCTCGTTGTTGCAGGTGGTCTCGTGACTATCATTATTGTCGCAGTTATGCCGTCAAAGCACGCCTCTAGTGACTTTGTCTGGAACTCGTTTCATGAGAACAACCTGACTGGCTGGAATGACGGCGTTGCGTTTATGGTCGGAATTCTCAATGGGGCTTTCACTATTGGAACTCTCGATGCCATTACTCATATGGCAGAAGAGACCAAGAACCCAAAGAAGGATCTACCTCGAGCTATCTTTCTTTACATCTCCATCGGTGGTGTCTATGCTTTGGCTTTCGCTATTGTATTGGGATACGCCATCTCCGACTTGTCTGTTCTACAAGGAAACTCTAACACATTCCCCTTGGCTGGAATCTACCGCCAAGCCACTGGAAGTGCCTCTGCTACGTTTGCCCTACTCTTCATCATTCTTATCTCATCTCTTTGCTGCGTCATCGGAACGGTATTGACCAACTGTCGTACGTATTGGACTTTGGCTCGAGACCAAGCTGTGCCCTTCTCCAGTTATTTCAGCAGAGTAAGTGCCAAGCTTGGTACGCCAGTTGAGTCAACCCTGTTCGTGGCAGTCATCGCTTCAGGTATTGGAGCAATTCCACTAGGAAGCCCTGTTGGGTTCAGTAACTTAACTGGATCGTTCATCATCATCACTACAGTGTCATATGCCATCCCTATTGTGTCGAATCTGCTCAGCGGCCGCAAGCGATTCTCGCCCGGACCCTTCCACTTGAAGAACCTGGGTTACTGGATCAACGGACTCACCATAATACTGATTGTGGTCTTTGATGTCTTCTTCTGTTTCCGTAGGTGCTCTCAAGCTTTGTTGGACTCTCACAATTGCTAACCCCTCATAGCCGTGGGTATCCCATTTGATGCAACGACCATGAACTATAACTCCGTCATTCTCTGCGGCCTTTGTTTCTTGATTACGATATGGTGGCTGGTGTCAGCCTCGAAGCATTACCCGGGACTTTCGTTTCATCAGATGTATCAAGGAGATGAAGAAAAAGAGACCGTGGCATAGGAACGCTTAAATTATACTTTGGACCCATTCTTTCATAGATAAATAAACTGTTAACATCCCTCTTCCTATTCTCCAGTTTACTGGAATGTGATCTATGTCCATCGAGTTTCGTCCCAGTCACAAGGGCTTCGCTGCCATGCGAGATCTATGGCCTCAGAGGCCGCCTCCATGTTAACGGAATCAAGCCATCCATGGTCGCGATAGATCTGCCTATACTGGATATAATATATAAGAATACATTTAAATCCCTTAATAAAACTAAAAGAGGGAGGGGCACAGGCTTGGTATTAGGTGCTACTACCAGCGGTAATTAGTACAGTAGGGTCAGGCCTCCTCGGAGGGCTCCGTTTTGGGCTGGGAGGGTAGCATGGAAAAATCATTCCAGCCAATAGGAATCGCTCCTTATCTCCCCGACGCTCCAAGGAACCAAGTTCCAGATAGGTATGTGAGACGATTTATCTCCCCAGCGTCTCGGGGAGAAAAAGTTCAGTTTACCGTATTTTAGATATATTATGGGCAGGCTGGCCACTGTCAAAGGGCAGAACTGCTTCGCTCGGCAAGAACGCTACTAGTGCCCTTTGTGTCTCTCCTTTTTTTCTTCTCCCTCTGTCCTTCATCCCTCACAGCAGCTATGCCCGAGCTCACCGTTCCCGGCGCCGTTCTCCACTACGAGACATTCGGCTCGGACGGTCCCCTTCTCCTCTTTATACCCGGTGCCGACGGCCGGGGCAGCGTCTTCCACCCCTCTGCCCAATTTCTCGCCGCCTGCTTCACTGTTGTGTGCTGGGACCGTCGCGGATATTCACAAAGCTTTCTCGTCGGTCAGCAAGACTTCCAACACCGCCTGCAGACCGACGCCGACGATGCCCAGCGACTGATCGTGCACCTTTCTCGCAACGGGACCGCCATTGTCTTCGGAACTTCGTCCGGCGCCGTCGTTGCCCAACAGCTGCTGGCCAGTCATCCCAAGTGTGTGGCAACGCTCATTGCACACGAGCCCCCCGCCTTCTCCGTTCTTCCCGAGCAGTTCCAGCTGCAGGCCCACGGACTCATCAACCACGTCTATAGCATATTTAGAGCTCATGGTCCCGATGCAGCCATGGAGGCCTTCACTTCGGGTCTATCCGAGGGCCCTGATTCGAATATGATGCGTTACTGCATGGATGCAAAACGCGGCGACGAGATCCGCGCAAATTGCCTCTTTTGGTTTGAATTTGAGCTGAGACAGTACACCGGCGCCCAAGTTGATGTTGAAGCCCTTATCAAAGCGAAAGAGAAATTGATTCTCGTCGCGGGAGAGGATAGTGGCGATGGGCCAGGTGTCGGTCCAATCAAGGCCATCGCCGGACAGACAGGCAAGGAAGTTCTGAGGGTTCCTGGCGGCCATCTAGGCTATATGATTGTTCCCGAAGTGTTTGCGAGGAAACTATTGGAGTTGCTTGGCCTGTAGAAGGATACTAAGGACATGTTCCAATAAAGCAATGATGTGGTATTGTTAATGAAACCCGGCTCTTCAAAAGGTTGTGCCTGAGTTATGCTGCATTATTGCATGACCCAATCGATGCCTTGAGAGCTGAGCCAGCTTTGTTCAAGCGAGTCTGAGGTGAAAAATTCATTGAAGTCCTCTGCCATTCCTGTTAGCCAGCTTTCATCGACAGCGGAAGCAGCATCGAAGGATATAGGACCAGCGATTTGGCCGTCGTTGGAGTTGGCGGACTGATCTAAAAAACCATCAGGATCTTGTGTAATTGCGCCTAGCTTATCTTATTTTACCGCGAATATCTTGACTTACCTTTTTTCGCAAATGTGGAAAATCGCAGGCGATATCTTCCCAGTGCTTCTATGCCCTTTGCTGCAGATTCAACGTGTGACTTGTGAAACTCGAATATTTGCAAGGCTCTCTCCCAGGAAGTTTTAGCGGGGTCATGATCCAGGTTGACTTCCAAATCGGGGCAGAGACTGGCGGCGAGAAGGGTTGACGCAGCTGCGAAAGTAACTATACACATGTAAGCTTCCGATTGTACGTAGAGCTCTGCGCCCGAAGGGGGAGGGGCGTTACATAGCAACGTGTGCCATGCTGAAGTCTGTCTTAAGCTACCTAGGTTTCGATGGACCTCGTCGAGGACCTCATGGCAGGTCGATACGCATAGGCGATTTATTTCCCTGAGATAGGACCTTTGAAGAGAACGAGTCGTATTGTTGTTAATTGAAAGTTGATTCGAAACGCTTCGTCGTGTTTCGATGAGAAGCGAGGGCCGTAGCAGCAGAAGCCGTATGTACAAAACCCTATCCACAGTGAGAGCTGCTCCACTACGGCTCAGGTTGTATCATACCTCGATTTCAAAATCATGGCTTGCATATGGAAGCAACTTGCAGATTCATCTTCAAGAGCTCCCATGTCACGGTCAGCTTTAAGATGACCAGGCAAACTCTCGACAAATTGGTCTAATTCCGAGCATAACCTAGGAACATCGCTCAGATACTGAGAAGATGTGACTGTTCCATCCTGGGCTAGCTTTTGGTACCCATGCGAGTAGAATTTGCACAGAATCTCGTCCAGAACGTCGAATAGTTTCATGTTGTATATGAAGAAGGCTATGCGAGATGGAGAGTTCTCGGGTTGGCAGCCTTCATCGAATTCTGATAGGTATTCGTCATCAATAGGCTTAGGCAATGGAATAGCATGGGGCCTGCAATGAAGGACAGGCCGGCCAAAAGTCGTAGCTGAGAGCCTGAAAACAGTCAGTGGATTATGAAGGTCCATAGATGCCATAGAATGTACCGATCCAAAGCAACACAGTTGTGCCAAACTCTGCGCCTCATTTCTCGTTTTAGTTGGTTTGTAGACGAGGCGGTCTGCTCCAGATGCAAGCCGAGGCCCTGCGCCACTCTCAGAGCAACACCAACCATGTTCCAACAACGATCGGCATATGTCGTGTAATGCAGATAGATCGCTCGTAGAAGAAGCAGTTGCACTATTTGTAATGATGAGAAATCAAGGGTCTCAATAGAAATTAGCTGATGAGATCGTCTGTAAAATGAATCGGCAAACTGGTTTCTCTGCGCTGAAGGAATTTGTTCGCTGCGTTGGCATCCAAGGGCCAAGACCATGTTGAGTGTCGCGTGAAAGACGATGTCATCATTCGTTTGCTTGTAATGATAAGCTGAAGGCGTGACTTGCTGCCATAAATGGTCGTACATGGTATCAAAGGACGGTCGGTGCAATATAGGGAAGACTGGATGTATAAAATCCCAGAAACAACGAAAAAGAGCATCTGCAAACTGACGCTCCGGGAGTGAGACAAGATCCACACCATGAGCGAGGCTAGGCGACTGGACTACAGTGAAGCCTAGAAGGTCTGGCATAGTTCTTTCCTTGGGGTAGGTTGTTGACTGGGAAGGTTGCGTCGTGTCCACCTCAGGGTCTTGTAGTTGGATTACCTCCTGAAGGAAAGAAATGTTCGAGGATGGGCCGTAAACAATCCCCTCCTCCGCGTCATGCGATTGACGCATCACGCTTTGCTCCGAAGGGACCGGAATTGCGGCTACAGCTCAGGTCAGCCTTGTAGAGACATTGGCCAAATACAGGAACTAAATACTGCCAGACGCTGGAGAGGCGCCAGCCAGATTCTGGCGCAGGTGCGGATCCCCTCGGACTTTTTGTTCTAAGCTTTGAAGTCGACTGTTGACGTTGGAAAGAGTTCTGCGAGAGGTTAGGAAGGGGCTATCTGAACAACAAAGAGACACACAGGGTTTTTGAGCTTGAGGCTCTCTCCTGGTAGGCGCACTGATCTCCCAATGCTTTCATGCTGCACGAAGTACAGACTGGCCGGCGCCCATCGCAGCCAGTCTTGCGAGCACGGCAGGGATTGCATGCTAGTTGAGTCCTTCGTCGCCGACGCGGCGGTAATGCCTGTTGGGTGGACATTGTAGAAAAACGTATTAGGCTGGGTTATTACCAACTTTGGTATTGGTTGTCTTTGTGTTGGTAATCGCAACCGGGAGCGGGCACAGGCAAAGGGCGCCGTCTTCGGCCCCACGTTGACCGTTTTGAATCATCCGGCACGTGACGCATTCGTGCGGTCGGACATTACTCCATGGGGGAAGAATCAGGTATGAAAATGATTAGAGCTACAACAGTTAAAGGGATACTTACCCCTAAGCCACAGGTAATTGATCTTGTCCTTCTTTTGGTTCAGAGTACAACATAATGGCCTTTCCATTAGAGTCTATAGGCATCCTCTGAGTGAGCTAGTCGCTTTTAATAGAGAGCAAGGGCTTATAGATATTTCTCGCTGTCGCCTCAGACTTCCGTCCGTACCGCTGCGCGTCATATCCAGTGGAATTTGTAACTGCTATAACGAGAACCTCATATACCAGTATTTCCATGCACTGTTGAACAATGACAGGAGCTTCAACGACTGGCGATGCCTAGCGAGAAAGATATTGCTGGGGGTTTCACCATTGGACATCGTTAATCCCCATGATGGGGCCTTTTGGAATCTTACCAGTATTCTTGAAGCACTATGGAAGCGACAGTTTCCACTCCTACCCTTTTCGAGGTGGATACAAAATGCTATTACTCTATGGCTGGAAGATCTTGTGGAGGCCAGCATCAATCTCGAAGATTATATGAGCTTGGAAGTACTATACAGCCGAGAGTGCCATAAGAATACCATTGGCAAGGACGCGAAAATGTGGATTCAGCCCGGGGCGCGTTTACCAGAGTTTGGACCTTCACTGGTGATTCTTTCGGTTGGACCGCGTGCTGATGACTGGTCCTTTTCCTGGGACCCCTGTGTAGAAGAGCTGTCAGGTGAGTTCTGGACAACACTTGAAGATGCTCAAAGAAAAGTCCCAGGAGCTTGGGTAGACGAGGAGGATGAAGACTTTGAGTGTATCATGGGAAACACGTTCTTATGTTGGTTCCGGCGGTGGGAGAAGTACTACAAGGATGTGAATATGTCCAAAATGGTGATCCAAGACATGTCGAATGAAAATATAAGCAACACATGTGCTTGCAAGGGCTAGAGTGGTCAGAGAAGCAAGATCGCGAGAGGTTACGAGTACGAAGAATGACGGCGTGCGAAGAGTTCTCGCCATACGGATTCAAAGCCAGTTAGGTTTGAACTTTTTATCTTTGGCGTACGTTTCCAGCCACGGCTAGTATAGGGTTGACAACTGAAGGTAGAAATGCGACCTACATTGGATCCCTATTATCAACGCTCATGGTGACCTCTACTAAGAAGACCAAGATTTTTATCGTCGCTATAAAATCTCTTAACCATAACCGATGACTTGTATATCTTTTGCTATTATGCCTATCTGTATATGCTGGGGTGCGTTATTCCCTTTAGTCTTGGGGCTTGCACCGTCTTTCCTCAATCTCAGACAATCAGCAGCAATTCTTCCTCCAGCGCTCGATAAAACAGATCGTTGGAAGACCTCGGGGGCTAATTGCCTGTCTAACCACTTTAGGCGTTAGAATGTCCCCCAGTTATTGACAGGTCCGAGAGGTTTGGTGCCTGACAGCGCGCTCACTAGAAAGTCAATAGTCGCGGCCGCTTTACTACTCCTGGCGTTCAAAATCGATAGTTTCTCTTCACTACACTAAAATTAGTTAAGCCAAGCTTCATCATGCAGATTCTAATTTCCCATTCTCTTATCTACTGAAGAATTCGCGAAAGGAACCCGCACTCTCTTTCTCTTAGTTCTTTGCATTCTCAGTGGCTTCTTTATGTCTCAGAATGATTCCACGACTGGTCTTACCGGCTGCGCCAAATACTGTGGAGATAGCCCGGGCTGTGTTTCCTTCTATGCGGAGGACTACGTCCCTGGTCCTGGTGCGCCGACTTTCAAGATCTGCTTCTTGTTCAAGGGCTATGAGAAGGATATTCCGTTCGGCGAAGGTCAGGCCGGCAGGCCGACGTATTATGAGCAGGGCTGCTTCGCTTGTGTTCGTGATGAGGCGCCTCAGCCGCCTATCCCAAGTTAAGGGACGAGATTGAAAGCCTTTAGAAATACTTGGCCTAATGGCTATAATGTAATGAAAGATAGTGGCAACAGTTCTTATTTCGAATAAATATATAAACGTGTTATTCACGATTTTTCCACGTGCGTCACAAGAAAGTTGAGTATATCGTCAACTTCTTCTGGCGCTTTGAACCAATGTCCCTCTAGTTCTGCTCCCTGGTATTCTCTCCACTCAACCTCAAAGCCAACTCGAATAAGAATGTTTCGAGCTTCTCGTCCCAGTTCAACATCGACGTACGCATCATCAGTTCCATGGCCAAGAAAGACAGCCGTTGACAGAAGCCTTTCGCGAGATTGAGTAGATGAGACCTTTGACGGGGCCAGCATTTCAGCGGCAAATCCAAGTCCCTCATCTGTAGTTGCCGGCCTATCATTGGATAGGTAATCTCTAATACTGGAAGCGAAAGGAAGCCAGGTGTTTGTAGCGAGGAATGCGCCGAGTGGTCGCTCAATAGAATCCAGGCAAAGTAAAGTCCACATTCCCACTGCTGCACCTTGGCTAATTCCACCCAAGACTACCTTCGTTGTATCCCCACCAAGTCTCTCAATCTCCTGGTCTAAGATCGCTTTGATATAGTTGACCGATTCCTTGATACCCGGAATCTGGAGGTCTTGCCGAGCCGTAGTATCCGTCAAAGAATGAGCCTCAAACCAGGCGGGCATGTCTTCTTGGAAAGCCGTGCTCCATAGCTCACGCGAAGAAGGAAACACCCATCGCCAACTGGATAATTTCTGAGCGAGATTGGCTTGATCTGAAAGTAGAGTCTCTTCGAATAGCTCTCGGGCGAACTCTTCACTGTTGCTTCCTCGGCCGTGGAGGAGGATTGCTGTATGTGTATGCGGTTCTACTGGCTCAATTGTATATATTGGGCCAAATGATTCACCTTGACTTGCTGACGCGCTGGCTTTTTCACTCATTGTGAAGATGATGTTGAGGGGAAAATCTGGGATAGAAGCTCCAGTGGGAGACGGCCAATGACCAATCACAGCCTCTGAACCTTGAACAACAGACAGGACAAGAAATAACAATTCCATCTAGAATCAATGGCTTTTTCAGTTCAGGTATATCCCCTGGAAGAAATATGCCTTATACAATTTAACCTATGCACTGTCACATCGTCATTACTTCAGCTCGGCAAAGTCCACTGATAATAGAACACTCAAAGGTCCCGAGGTTGCTTAACCTAACCTACACCACTTCGGTAATCAAGAACAGAAAATTCGACTATTCAGAGAAAAAATGACCTATATATACAATTCTGAGGATAATGAAATATACTGAGTCTCCGAAGACAAGCAGCGAAAACGGATATCTTCATGTGTATTGCTACAATGTTAATGTTCTAATCCCCAGGAACCACCGAAGCGTACTTCTGATGCATGATTCGGATAAGCTTCGTCGAAAAAACAATCCAAACGCACCCGTTCCTGAACAGTTACATGAAGACACACCAGCTTACATCAACGGGGTTTGTCATAGTTGCATGACTTTGTTTTTGTTACTCCATATTTTTGCAGAATCACTGCTTTGACTCAGGGCTCACGATGATTGCCGTCGCAGCCTCTACCGCAAATACCTCTCACGCGAATGGAAGCGCTGTGATGTGAGACAAAGTCCAACAGTTCTCCTCTAGACGTTGGCTTGGGCAATATTACTTATCCTTCACTACAGATTGTGGATTGGCATTTGCCGACCTCGAATTGCTTTTAGTGGCGTATGTCGTGCAGCATCGCGGGGAGAAGGTAGCCGCAGCCGTTACCGAAGCCTCAGATCAAGATCAATCGTACATACGGAAATGCCAAATCGGATATCTTGGCATTATATCTCGCAGAGCTCCCCGCAGTGGCGGCTCTCGTTTCCGAAGCGACATTTGGTGGAGTCTTTATCCGTCAATGAGGGGAATTTGCTTTTCCGTCTTCTAGTGGGACTTCATTCAGAAAGGTGGAGATCCGGATATCCGATTTCTCTTCTATATTATATAGCTTCTATTCAATAATTCAACATGAAGGAGTCCTCTGAATATGCAAACATTATCGAAACCATGACTATCAGACACGACTCCAACGCCATTGAGGCTCAAAAGCCCACTATGCAGCCGCCCTCACAGGCGAAGCTGTTTACTCTGGATGAGATGATCAAACGACGTGCTGCGGAGCTGGGAGATACGATTTTGATGGGTGCACCGGAGACGGGTGTTGATGATTTCAAGGAGCATAGTGCTGTGGATATCGATAGATATGCTGATGCAGCTGTTGCGAGACTTCAAAGCCTGGGTCTCGAGCCCGTAGTAAGTTGAACTGTCACGTTATGAAGTCGAAACTGACATAATAGGATCCAACGCTTGAGAAAGCACCAGTTGTTGGTATGCTGGGCCAATCAGGCATTCACGTCGTTATCCAGATCATCGCCCTCAACCGATTAGGCTATTCTTCATTCCTCATCTCAACACGTCTTGCAAGCCCAGCAATCACTCAACTCCTCACCCTAGCGGATTGCAATGTCATTCTCACAACACCACCATTTCACCCTGTTCTGAAGGAAGTCCAGCAAAATCGCCAACTCGAGATTCTCCCTCTTCTGCAAAGCGCAGATATCTTTCATCACAATGCACCAAGATTCGCCAGACATTACAGCCCCGAAGCGGAATCTCGCAAAGTCGCTGTTATTATCCACTCCTCCGGCTCAACAGGTCTCCCTAAGCCAATCTATCTCACCAACTCAAGCTGTATCGGCGCCTTTGCAGTCCACATGAACATGCGAGCGTTTCTCACATCGCCGTTCTTTCATAGCCATGGCTTTTACGAAGTTTTCCGATCGATTTACTCTGGCAAACCAATTTACTTCACAAACTACGGATTGCCTTTGACAAGAGAGACAGTCATGGCACAGCTCAAGGCTACAAAGCCTGAGATCTTTCACTGTGTTCCTTACGTTATCAAGTTGCTTGCTGAGAGTGAAGAGGGCATTCAGATGCTGGCTGATATGAAGCTTGTGCTTTATGCGGGAAGTGGATGTCCTGACGATCTCGGTGATCGACTAGTCGAGAGAGGCGTTAATCTCTGCGGAAACTACGGAGCGTGAGTATCGTTCCTACTGTACAGGAACCAGCTAACATATTGTAGCACCGAAACTGGTAGACTCGCTACTTCTGCTCGTCCCGAAGGTGACAAGGCATGGAACTACATCCGTGTCCTCCCTCCAGCAGAACCCTACACCATCTTCGACGAGGTTGCCCCGGGCCTTTTCGAATGCGTCGCTTTAGATGGCCTCCCATCAAAGAGCACTACCAACTCAGACAACCCACCTGGATCTTTCCGCACACGAGATCTGTTCACCCAACATCCTACAAGGCCTAACCTCTGGAAATTCGCTTGCCGTTTAGATGATCGTTTCACTCTTATCAATGGCGAAAAGGTCCTTCCCATTCCCATTGAAGGCCGCATTCGACAAGAGGAAATTGTCAAGGAAGCTATTGTCTTTGGCGATGGGAGAACGTACCCTGGTATTTTGATCGTCAAGGCTGATCGGGTGGCTGACATGCCTGATGATGAGTTCCTCGATGCTATCTGGCCTTCCGTTGAAGACGCCAACTCCCGGGCGGAATCATTCTCACGAATTCCCAAGGAACTTGTCGTCATAGTACCAGCAGATTCCGCTTACCCTCGAACAGATAAGGGTACATTTATCAGAGTTCCTACATATCGCCAATTCGAGAAGGAGATTGAGGCTGCTTACAACAAATACGAGGGTCAAGGCGACCAAGCCGGCTCGCTGACACTTGAGGGTAAAGAGCTCGAAGATTATCTTCTCCAGCAATTAAAGGCCAAGTGCGGCGCAGATCTTGAATCGTCTGAGGCAGACTTCTTTGCCTCGGGTGTTGACAGTCTTCAATGCATTCAGATGTGGAGCCTCATCAAGCGAGAGATCGACCTTGGTGGTAGACAATCTGAGCTAGGACAGAATGTTCTTTACGAGACTGGTAATGTTAAGTTACTGGCTCGTCAACTCGAGAGGCTGAGAAGTGGTGCGGATGATGAGACACAGGATCAGCTAAAGGTTATGGAGGGCTTGATTGAGAGGTACTCTTCATTTGAGCGTCATGTCCCAGGAACTTCGCCTCAGCCTGAAAAGGAGCTTGTAGTAAGTTCAGCACTCGAAGTTGGCAACATTGAAGCTAATGACTTAGTTACTAACTGGCGTGACCGGTGCTCTTGGAGCTCATGCCCTCGCCCAACTCACAGCTCGGCCCAATGTTGGAGCAGTATGGGCTTTAGTCCGAGCCGCCAGCGACACTGCAGCCACCGAAAGACTTTACAGTTCTCTCCAAGCTCGTGGTCTATCACTCAACGAAGAGCAACGAAGCAAAGTCCTCGCACTTCCCTGCGATCTCAGCCGTCCCGACCTCGGCCTCAGCGAATCCCACATCTCCGAGCTGCGTACCAAACTCACAACCATAATCCACAGCGCCTGGGCCGTCAACTTCAACATCTCCGTCCAATCCTTCGAAGACCAACACATCAAGGCAGTCCACAATCTAATCCAACTAAGTCTCTCCGTGCAAACACCCAAGCCCGCACGGTTCTTCTTCTGCTCTTCTGTTTCATCAGCGGGAGGATCACCGCGCCCTGGAAAGGTTCTTGAAGCGCAGGTTCCTTCACCTGCACATGCTCAACATACTGGCTATGCGCGGTCGAAGTATGTTGCTGAGCATATTACTGGTAATGCTTGTAAGAATGCTGGTGCGGTGGCGAGGGTTTTGAGATTGGGACAGTTGGTTGGTGATACTAAGGTTGGGGAGTGGAATACCACTGAGGGAATTCCTTTGATGATTCAGACGGCTGTTACGCTTGGTGCTTTACCAGCTTTGAACGAGGTAAGTTACTCACATTTTGAGTTGAAGTATGGTTACTTACATGAACAGGAAATGACCTGGCTGCCGGTCGATCTCGCTGCTTCAACGATCCTCGACCTCGCCAACCTCGGCGCACAATCACCCTCAGACCGCTCTTCCGATCCTGATCTCGTCTATCATATCCTCAACCCCGTTCGCTTTCACTGGACGAACGATATGCTTCCATCCATGACAAAAGCAGGTTTCAAGTTCGAGACCCTCCCTACAGACCAATGGATGGAGCGTCTTCGCAACTCAGACCGCGATCCCGCGAAGAATCCTCCTATCAAGCTCCTAGATTGGTTTGAGGGTAAGTATGGCAACAAGGCTGCTTCATCGGCGGAGAAAGGACCGTTGGATTATCTTACGGATAAGTCGCGGGAGGATAGTGATACGTTGAGAAATGTGCCGGATGTCACGAATGTGGAGTATGTAAAGATGATGCTTGGACGGTTGCAAGCACGTTGGGCAGAGAAGGTTTGAGTTCAGCGTTGAAGTTAATTTGCTCGTTAAATGCTATGCGGTGCCGTGCTTTTAAAAGTGTTATATCTAAGTTCTAAAATGCAAGTGCGAGTGTCATTCGAATGTGCCGTTGTAAAAGTGTATGCATCCTCCTCTATGAACCTTGGTCCCTCTAAAAGTTGAACCCTTCAGCCTTCGTGGTTGTCCTCGTCCTCCGACTGGATTTGCTGCTCCGACAAACGTGGGTTTCTCAAAGCCAATGCAAAGATAATCATGGGTATGCAAACGCAAATTCCGGCAATGCAAAGAAGTCTTTGTACGGAACTGTAGCTGTTGATAATCGCGTCTCGGATGGCCGTTCCAACTGGATAATCTGGTATCACGGCAAAAGGGGAGTTGTAAATTCTCTTGGCAAGGGTTTCGTCTGGTTGGAAATCGAGGTCATGCTTAAGTGCTTTGTAAAGAGTTTGAGTCCAGATGGCACCTGAGAGGCATGTACCAAGGGCGCTTCCGACATTGTAAAATGAGAGGTAAAGACCTGTGAGAATAGCCACGTGCTCTCGAGTTGCCGAGGCTTGGATAGATGCTTGAGTCGGATAAGCGAAGAAACCACCTGCCACTCCGAGAAGAATCTGCGCTGCGATAATTCCGTCTTGAGATGATGTCGAAGCTCCACCAGGGTATAAGATCAAAACACCAAACGCAACCATGAACAGAAGTGTGCCTCCAACAATGATGAACTTGAGTCGACGGATCTTGAAAATGACTAGACCAGCTAGAACTCCAGTGATGACTCCGAAGAACGAGAAGAACGAAATGATGCGAGTTGCGTTCTCAATGGAAAAGTCAAAAGCAACAATGAGGATCGTGTAAAGGTAATTTCCTTGCGTGCACCATGCCAGGTTAAGAAGACTTCGAACTGCCAGGGCCGACCAGACGCCTCTATCGCGAAGCAAATGGAATGGAATAAGAGGGTGGCGAGCACCACGTTGCTCCCAAGTAATGAAAGCTATCATGAAACAGAAGCCGAGGACCAGAGGGAGGATGATGTACCAGCTGCGCCAATGACTAGCGGTACCGCCAGCGACGGTCAAAGGGGCCAGAATGAGTGAGAAGGCGAGGACAAGAAGGACTAGGCCCACGATATCGAGTTGGTGAAACAGATCTGCTCTGCCTTTCTTGGTCTTGAGAGAAACCAAGACAATCTCATCGCTCTCCTTTCCGCTTTCAGATTCCCAGGTTTTCCGCTCAAGGAAGTAGAGGCAGGAAAGAAGAGGGAGTGAAGCAATGGGGTAGATAATAGCCCACATTCCAAGACCCCATCTCCAAGTTGTCGTGCTCAATACCGCAGAAGTGATGTTTCCACTGATCCAGGTGTTGATCAGAAATGGAATAGCTGGGAGATAGCTGAAGAATACGCGCGCTCGCATGGATGAAAAGTCGGCGATGAGAACTTCCAGCAGAAGAACTATGCATGTGTATCCCGTTTGATAAATAACCGATCCCGTGCAGAAAACCTCCACTGATGGCGCAGTTGACTCGATCGCGATTCCGAGTGTATATAGAACAGTTGAGATGGCGATGACCTCGAACCTGCCGAAGACATCTGCCACCTTTGCCGCTGTAGGTTGAACCGCCACCGCGATGACATTTCGCAAAACGTTGATAGTCGAAAGATACGAATGCAGGTCAAAACTCGACGTTGCATAAGACTGATACGCTAAACGAACCTGACTCTCTAAACCGTAGGCATACCCGACGAGAAAAATACCAGTAAAGAGCCAAATTCGATGTGCGCGGGTGAGGTTTTTCGACACAACAGCCATGCGAGCCACACCCGCCGAAAGTCTCTTAGGATTAGCAGGCCTCGCGGCATTTTGCGACAAGTCACTTGAGCTTAGTTCTGGAGCGCCGAGAAGTGGCGCTGTTTCTGAAGACATTTCGGGTGGTGATGAGGGGGGAGAGTGAAGAATTTTGCCGGATGAAACAAGCTGAGATTTGAGATGCAGGTTCAGGCAACAGGGAAGGAGGGAAGAGTCATCTGATTTGATTACGAGCGCGTGGGGTGTGACTTGGCCTTGTGACAGCGCATGACAAAGCCATTGGATCTGATAAGATTTCATGTCCAATAGCGGCGGATCTAACCGTTGTCTAAGTGGGGACTTGACGCCATTATCACGAAGTTGATGCCTGAGGCTTGAACCATTAAGAGAATAACATATTGAGCTGGGGCAATAAAAGCTATATCAATAGGGAATACATGTCCCATAACTGAATTACTCATTTTTATTGTCAGATTGTGGACTATTAGACTGCTGTCCGATCTGCTGTGGCCTCTCCCTCCTCCGTCACGTCTTGCCGATGTTACCAAAGTCGGCATTGGGTTGGACTGGAGCTTATCAGATCATGCAAGCTGAAACTCAATCCAGCGACCGAAGTAACGGTATCTGTACGGATACAGAGCTTACTCAGGGCCGGTGAACGTTAATGAAGGCCTAAGCGTGCCTTTTCCCCTCCTTGACAATCGCATTCATCAAATTCGACCAGTAGCATATAGGGTATGCGAAACTTGAACAATTTAGTTACACTTACCCATGTCCGTAATGATAATTCACCGTATCTCAAAAACACTGAATGACCATATCCGACATCTCAACTGTTGTTTAACAATTATGCCTTAGTACAACCCCCAACAAATCCCGGAGAACCTCAATAGGTGCCAAAAAACGGGATTTTCTCCATGGCCCGACGAATCTGCCCATTGAAAAAGAACAGGGGAACAGCGAGAGATCCTAGGGCAAAAAGAATACCTCCAAACAGGATATAGGTATCTCTAATACCCATCGCGTTGATCCATGAATTGAATGAATGACTGTACCCAAAAGAAATGGCGTTTCTTCCTCCACAAGTCAGTACAATTGCAGGACCCGACATGTGCGGCAGCAATTCTCCCAACCAAACTCCGGTCACCGCTGAAATAGCGCAGAAGCCAAAGTAGAACAAAGCAAAGGCAGCATGCATGCCTACCCAACTATAGCTGGAGGGATCTGCAGCCACAACGCCATAGATGATCATGCCTAGAAAGCAGAAAATCGCAGGAAGAATGAAGTTCGGTAAAACATGCTCAGGCTCTCGAACGCCGCCATTTCTCTTGGTCAAGTAGCGACTGATAGGCTCTGCTAGCTCTCCATATCCAAGACCAAAGAGTGCCCCAATAGCTGCTCCAATTTGGACTGTTCCAACTGTTTCTGGAGAGAAATTCCAGGGCGGCATTTCAAGGCGCTGTGCGTAGGTCAAGCTCAATACTACAAGACCACCGAACACCATGCTGTTGAATAGGAGTACCCAAAGCGTTCCTGGGACGAGAATACACAGGAAAATATCTTTGTATGCGCCGAGAAACCGGGTAATAGGAGACGGTTGAACAGTGAAGAGCGCAAACTGACTCTTATACGAGAGCTCTTTGGGCGTAGTCTCTGACTGAGCATCGTCAATGTCGAAGCCAGCATCGCGGGCAGCTTGGGGCGAAGCGAAAGTTCGGTGAGTACCGTAGGCATCTGTTGCGTGGATTCTTCCACTAAGCTCGGCAGCACGACGACTGAAAAGGGTTTCGGGTACGCAGAAGACGATGAGTACCAGCGAAAAGACTGCAAATGCTAACCAGAACCAATAGTTGAGTCTCCAATTACCGCCCGCGTGCTCGACGATGAAGGGGATGGGGATCAGTAGTATAGACGATCCGATAGCAGTAAGTGCCCAGTATGCGATGAGTCGTGCGCTTCGCTTATAGAGGAAAGACATGTCGAGGACGATGATCGGTAACTACCACTTGTTAGCATCGGAGATAGTATTTACGGGTCGACTGAAGAATTAAAACATACCAGACAGTCAGAGATGCCCGCAGTGAGACCCTGCAAACAGCGTGCTCCAAGGTGAGACTCAAACGACTGTGACTTGGCGGCCCAGATGATCGATGCCACGAAGATGATGTTGCTAAGGATGAAGGAAAAGCGACGACCGAGTGCCATGGACAAGGGAACGAAGAAGAAGTTTCCCAAACCCATGCAGAGGGAAGGATAACTAGCAAGGTCTGCAATGCGCTCGGGATGGAATGTCTGGAGTCTATTTGTTAGTGACTATTGAGAATTGGTATCCTTTCGACTTACACCACGCGTTTGCTTCATGTATTCAGCGATGAGGTTCCCAAAGAAGAGCGGTGTAGATTGGATGACGCCGAATCCAGCGATGCCGTACATGCAGACGGCCAAGAGAACGAGACGCTGTCGCCAAATCCCAAAGTTGAGAGGATCGTTTGGGTCTGATGATGGAACTGGCAGATTTCGCACATTCCCGTCGTCGTCGTATAGGAGAACACCAGCACTGTTGCTTACAGCATCTTCAACGTTTACGGCCTTGCCGTTGTTATCGTCCTTTTCCATGTTGCACGACAAAGGGTTTAAGACGCAGAGATGAACTTCGATGGAGATTTGACAGAAGTAGTATCTGCGAAAGTTAAATCATGCCCGGTATGAGATGCTAGAGCGAAAATTCAGGACGATAACAGGAGGATCCGATGCAATTTAAACCTCAAGGCCTGGATGACTCGCAAGGGGTCTCACGGTAGTCTGGGGCCCCAGGAAACTCTAATTGCCAATCCAGGTTCTACCCCGCGGTCTTGCCTAGCAGATAATGGCATACCGCGTTCGGGCCGAACTGGCTTGTACGGCAGATGCTAAGTTAGCTCGTTTCGCTTCCCAACAACCCCGATGTTCGGGCCGAACACCGTCATCAACTAATCTTTACTCGTTTCGTTCGAACTCGCGAGCCACGACTTCAAGATAAGTTAATCTCGGTTGCCATGGTCCTATTAACCGAGGTCTTACGATTTGAGGTTGTCTCCTGTCAGCTTCATTGATGAGGGGATCGAAACCAAGTGCCTTTATCACCGTTGCTTCATGGTAACATCAAGAAAGCAATCTGAAAAGAAAGGATTCTGTAAAGACCACACCAATGGCCTGTATTCTACACCTAGGGCATTTTATGTGTAAGTCTTTTGTGCAAATATTCTTCTCGTAACAGAGACACAGCGGATATCCTAGTAACCACTGCTCCTCAGAGAAAACTCCCATAAGTGGTGACATATCCTCCCATTCGCTTGAACCTTTGTTTCGACATATGAGGGCAATCTGTATTACGCTCAAAACCACCGAAAGAAATCAGAAGGAAAGACAACGGTCTCGAAGCCAACAATTCTACTATCCTGCCAATCATAAGTGGCAGCATTTGAACTCTAAGCTGCGAGCATAAATGAAAATGCTAAACATTGATGAGAAAAGTCTGCTTGATCTGTAGAAAACTAATCTGCAAGGCCTTGCGAGCCCTGGAAGATCAGAGTTGGGAATGTCGCCAAAGATACAGCCGCCTGGTGCCATTCATCGATGTTCAAGCCACCGAGTCTTCTTATGTCTCGCGACCACTCCGGTCCACCGAAAGAGAATCGATTGGTTCCCGGTATTAATCAAGTGACTGTAATCTCATATTAGAGGCGAAAGCAATAATACGCAATTGATACGTCGAGAATTCCAAGGCTGCACGCCTGCAACCTCAGCAGCGAATCTAAAAACAACTCACCACTCAGAAGGCCCGGAGACTGAAGGAATCCAGACTCTTATGGGTGTTTACTAACCCGTTTGGGGCAGCTGAAAAGCAGGCTGGGGATGGATGTGAGACAGAACGAGGCAGTGCATTTTCAGCCTTATCTTTATAACCGCTGACTTTACCTGTACGGATCCACCTCCCTAATGTGGCATATCGATATGACAGAGATAATATCAGATCTGACTCACTCGACACTCTTGACTATCACATCTCCAGTGGCTTTGGCCGTCTTAGACCACGATGGACAGTCTAACACTTGTGGTTTTATAGATGGGAACTCGGGTAAACACTCCTCTCCACCTTCCATCACTATATTGTTCTCACAAAACATTTAGAAATCCCATGGACATGTCCAGGGGAAGGTACCTGTCTATTAAATCAGCCATATTCAGCCGCTGGCTGTTGCTGGAGTGAGCCATGCACCGTCGTCTCAGTATGTTTGGACTACACCGCGATCAGTTGAGGCCAATGCGACGAGGGAAACCTCAGCGCTGGTACGAGTTGCTGGTGAGAAGTCTATCTGAAAAGCGCTTTAAACATCATGACTTATGATATTTAGTACTGATGCCGGAATTCCATACTGCCAGACATGGAGATATTCCGACATCTCTGCATCACCTTTTTGGTGCACTGATGTCCAACCCACTGCAGAAGTTATCATGTTCGATCAACCTATCTTGACAGCATCGGACACTATCTCTACTGACAGAAGGCCTTCATCAACGGCGCCGACAGCAACCCTCGACTAGTGTATCGACTGAAAAGGCACCATCTCCAACAGAAACTTCGGAAGGAAAGTCCGGGGGCATGTCATCAGAAAACACAATAGCCCTTAGTGTCGGTGTACCTGCAGCTGTGGCGGGTATAGTTTTAGCTGTCCTCGGACTTTGGTTGGCGAAAAGGAGGAGGAGAAAAAGAGAAGCGACAGCAGTGCCTATTGTCCCATTAGTCCCAACGGCGGCCCCAGCAGTTGTTTCTAGTGACAATAGCTCAAGCTCGTAGGCCTAGGGGACGTATCAGAGTGAGATGAAGTTGATGTATCAAGGCAAAGAGCGGTAAGACGGAGGTAACGACAAACAGACCCGTTATATTAACAGCACAGTGCGGGTCCCAAACATATGGTTGTTATGTTGAAGTCTCTTGCATAGATTGCGATAATGGTGGTTAGGAAGAGAGCGAAATGACGTTCACAACTGTATATAAAGGTTATTGCTACTAAATCCCCAATCGCCTATGCTACACCTATACTAGGCAGCGACAAGAACCCAATATGGGCCAAATATTTAACACTCCTCTCTATCGCCACCTGCAGCCGTATTAAAGACATCCCCTCTTCACGCCAACTCGCTGCCCATACATTCTCAGCTGTCTCATCCAAGTCTTCAAGTATGTTAGATAATGTCCAAAGCGGATGAGCCTCCTTGCTAGATTCAATATCCTTGCGAATTGCTGCTGCACACTCTGAACCATTCCTTGCCTCAAGCTCATAGCCCATTGTAACCAGCGTTTTCCAAAACTCACCGAACGTCAAGCCCCCTTTGATCTGAACTATGGGATGAGGTGAGCCACCTGAACTTAAAGCTGTATCAGCGATGATTCTTGCTGTCATTCCAACATCAGATATCGGGAACCAGGTCTCGGAGGTCACAGCGTTGAACATGCCAACTCGAATGGAGGCCGAGGTCAGTCGCCAGATCCAATCATTAGTATTCGAAACGCCCTCAGTCATCGTACCGATTACAAAACCGGGACTCACAACAGTGAATTGTTTCGATCCATTCGCACTGTGGAGTGCTGCTCATCTTATCAATGCTTCAGCAACGAACTTTGTTTGACCGTAGCCCTTGGAGCTCGTCATGAGGTATTTTGCTACCGTTTCTTCATCTTCCTTCATTGGGTCTTCATGTCGGGCGCTGGACACATAGGCGAATCTTTTTCGCGGATTTGACGCTATAACGCAAAGCATTTCCGCTGTGGAATCGACATTGATGGGTCTCAGAGCCTCGTAAGTTTTCAAAAAGTGTACGGAAGCACCATTGTGAATGATGATGTCGACTGTACCATCCTTGATGAGACCCCATTTGATTGAATCAAGTCCAAGATGTGGCAATGTCAAGTCTCCTACCCAGACATCTAGAATGCAGTCATGAGATCCAGTCCACCAAAGTGCTTTCTTTGCTGCGTCGACAAGCCGCTTCTTAGCTGCTTCAGGAGACTCACCCCTTACAATCGCAATCACGCGGCCCACTTGATTATGCTCGAGAGGTTGACGTAGAATTTGGGTCCCAATAAATCCTTTGGCACCCGTGAGAAGTACAGTCGGTCACTTGGGAAAACAGAATAAAGTCCTCTTGGATTTATCATCCGGCCCGTTATAGCGATAGAAGATAGCGTCAAGTCCTCCAAGCTGCGATGATTGACGAGCCCAGCTGAGCTCGATCCGATAGTCTGCTCTCTGGGCCAAATCCACAAGATCCATTGGAGACATTGAGTTATAAAACTCTGCACTTTCGCTGACTATGGATAGCCAGTTACCCGATCCTTGATTATCCAACTCTGCACTTTCCACTGCTTCAACAATAGCTCTGGGAAATACAATCTTGCTGCAAGGGATGTTGCTGATCGCTAGTGTATCCGGGGCTAATATAGGATCCAGGAGGGTTTCCATCGATCGACTATCAAGTCTCTGTATTTTGAAGTCGACCCAACCATCCTCGCTGATATGCCTGATGGTATGGTGCACATTTTCAGAAGCAAGATGTACCACTGCGGCGTAACGATAACAACTTAGCTCGTTTGTCGCCGCCATGACTTTAGGTAAGATCTCGCCGTGGTCAATGTGTCCCGGTAATCAATCTGATAGACCTGTGAAGAAGCCCGGATCAACCATTAACTCTGGTTCAGATTTCTCCATGTTGAGAATGATGCGACTAAGATCATGTTGACTTATATCCCTCTGGGCGTGGATAGCTCTCATGGCCAAGAACTCTTTGTGAAGCGCATAAGATCGAACGTCTCCGAAAAAGATGGTTTTGGCACTCCCTAGTTTGATGATATCCCTGACAACACCCACGAGATACTCTTGGCTAGAAAAGTACTGAAGAACCGAGTTTATGACCACGGTATCTGGAAGAATGGGCGTACTGGAGGTGAGGCGAGAAATATCAGCGGCGGTACCCTTGAAGATCTTCACCTTGTCCTTTAGGTGAGGGAGACGAGCCACCGATTGAGCCACAAAATCCACAGCCTTTTCTGATGGCTCCAAGCCGATGTAGCTTTGTAGTTTGTGTGCCAGGTTGAACAAGATCATTCCTGGACCTGCTCCAATTTCTAGAACATGATCAATCGACTTGCAACCATTGAGGATAGACTTCAATATGTCATCAAGCCACTCGTTCATATCTTGATGATCAAAGTCCTCCCCATCAGTCATTGAACTCCACCCAACGAAGTCTCTTCCAACTTGTTGCGTTTGAACCTTCTCCATGGACGAATACATATCGTCGTCAAATTGAACTTCCCAGGCTTTGATCTGCTGTTCGGATTCTTCTTGAGCTTCCAACTGCTCTCCTTGCACAACAGTTTCATCATGAATAGTGACAAAGCTAGCAATTTGAGCGTTCTCCTTGAACTCGCCCTGAAGGATAGCAACAGCCTCATCGACGTACTCCTGACTGCGTAACGCATGTTCAATCTCCCCGAGCTCAACTCGCTGTCCCCGAACCTTCACTTGATCATCCTTTCGAGACACGTAGGTTAGGCTCCCATCCTCGTTATGCCTTGCAGGTCACCTGACTGCTACAAGCCAAGTCATTCAAGGGCTGTATTTTGGAGATCAGGATAGTCTTATTGACGGTCTCCAACCTTTGTTGACACGTCTGAAAACAACAGTCTCGTATATGGAGACCGTTGGATGGCTTGAGGGACTTCAGCATTACGTTGATGGTGAACCTCTGGACTCGCCTTCTCCCTATAATGCAGTACGTATATGATCCGGTACTAATTGGCGACTTTTCTCTGATGGCAGCTCACAGCACGAAACATTCTACACCAGCAGTCTCACAACCCCAGCCCTCGCTGAAGAACAGATCGACTCATTGACATCAACCATGTTTCGCAATGTCAATGACACCTCCGCTCGCCATTCATGGGATATTTTCTTCGAGATGCACGGCTGCCTCAATTCCGCAGTCTCTCAGGTCATTTCATCTGCCACGGCTTATGTTCACAGAGACAAGTTGTTGCTCTGGCAGCTTTCTGACATGGGCGAACCTAAAAGCCTACCCCAGAAAAGCTTCGCTGTTTTAAAAGACCTGATGAACAGCGTGACAAACTCTCTAGCACCTGGGCAGTGGGGCATGTACGCGAGCTTCATTGATACTGAGTTAGATGGCAAGACAGCTCAAGATCTATATTGGAGACAGAATCTCCCACGGTTGAAGGCTATAAAAGCTAAATATGATCCAAGAAATATCTTTTGGAACCCTCAGGGTGTTACGCCTATAGCATGATTGTCAAGTAGGTTGGACTTCAACAATTAGGCATTTCAGACTGAAAATCTAGCATGTTGAGTCAAAGTTGCTTGTCATATAACAACATCACTATTTAGTTGACTTTAAGGACCAGGGCTATTACTCTCAGCTCATAAATGCGTGAGTCACAAGGAGCAACGACTTCTCATGAGGTTTCAATAGGATGTTAGTCTAGGGTACGTAATATCGCGTAGCCCCGCCTCCCACAGCGAAGCATCCTCATTACTCTGTATTTTGAAGGAACATTGCAGGACAGACAATGAAAGACCCCAGAAGAATACCATATGTGAGCCTTAATATTAGGTGGCTGTTCGTATAGATAATAGGTAACTAATAACGGCGTGGCGTCGGGTCAGTCTACGGTACGTACTGGGAAGAAAGGTCCCCGAAGGTTTGACCCCAGCAGCCGAGTTACGCGCCTTGGCCTCGTAGCAAGCGACTTGACGCCATAAAAAATAAAAGCTACAGGCATGCGACACTTTCCCGTTCCCGACATAAAGTCTAAACGAATTAGGTGACTAGATCAAGTCCCCGATTCGCGCATAGAGAATACCACTTGAGCATTACATCACACGGCGAAGAACAAGAGCCCGTTGGACTCAAGAATTAGCACTGGGGATTCTAAGAAGGTGCAAAGCGTACACTCTGATTTGAGATATGTATGAGAAGTGATATTGCAAACCGTACGGCAACCAAACGATGTTGCTTTTTGATTCCAGAACATCTTAGGCGAGCTTCGGCCGCCGCCAGGCCCAAATCCACTCCAGCCACAAGAGCGAAGTAACCTTATACACGAGTTAAACCCAAATTGCAAAGGGGTAGTGTCACTCAAAGAACAGGCCCGTCAGTGGCCTAAGTACGAATCCCGGCATTCCGGGTCCACATGGCGTTGGGCTGAAGGCGCTTCTGCTTGATTGAGTGTAGCGTGAAGCGTAATGTTGGTCTTTTGAGATACGATAATTATTTTATTTTCAGCTATTTGTTATCAGTAGGGTCTGTAAATTGGCTTAACAGAGCTCCCAAAATATGGAAGGGGTGATATCAGCTCGGCAGATGCCTGGGATACGTAATCCCGGGGACACGGTACGGGAAACGACCTGCATTTGGGTGACCCCCACGGACCTGCATGCATCATGACATATCCTTGACAACAAATCCCGGACACCCGGAGCCCTGGAGTCGTCTCACTCTTCCGTGCCTCCCAGCGACAGAAGCCCAGGATGGTTATCCAGGTACTCGGTAATTCCAACGCAGAAACTCCCCTCGTGCGATTTAAAGTTCAGTTGATATAAAGACCATGTGCTTAACGACCGTTTTCGGGTTCTCGCATGAACACAGTAGCATTAAGGGCGGGAAGTGGGCACGAAAAAATGCAACCTCGCCAATCGATTTGGGATGAAATGTCATGACGAAGCAAGGGATTGGTGTCGGCGTACGGATGCACTTCACAGGGGAAATATTACGATTTCCGCATCCTTTTCCGAGGGCTCCGCTGACGAAGCAACCCTTAGGCGAACCGATCCATTGTTGAGTGCTGATCAAGCTCACTTTCTGGAAGGTGAACCATTCTTGGCTTTGTTGATCCCTGTCCCTGGTGGAAGTTGAGGGATCCTTCGATCGGGCCAACAAACACCGAATGGAAGCCGATTGCACACAATTGATCGAGCAATGCCAGAGCTTGGCCTTCCCACATGAGTACTCGGAGAATTTATTATTGTGGAGGAAGAAAATAGAACATATTGTTACAACGCGAATAAACTATTTCGAATCCCGCAGTATGCTTAGCTGACTCGAATTTGACGCAACCTCCGTTTCATCCGTCCGTGAACTCGTGCCCTTGGAATTCTTTCGAGAGTCGATGTATTCTGTGACAGTGACTTCTTGAGTCCGCATAATACCAGCCGAAGGCTCCCGACTGTGACGAACAGTGCCAAGAGCAAAGGTTTCTGTAGTAGGATCATCTCCAAGCGTAGCAGTTGCTCTCGTGTTCTTCCGACTTCTCATCCCAGTTCCCTGGGATTGCGAATGCGAGTAGACATATCCCGTGCCTTGTTTCTTCTTATTCCAGAATCCATATAACGTCGGTGCGTTAACGACTATCGTTGCGGTGAGAAGCTCGGTGCTGGCCCATGTCGTGCGATTGACCTGGCTGTCTTTGTTCATGGCGTTGATGGGCAATCGGATGACGGTAATGGCGACAATGAAGATACCGAGAGTGAAAAGAACGTAGAGCTTGAGTTTGCGCTTCCATGAAGTCTTGAGCGAAAAGAATAATGGAATCGGGACGGCGAGAAGCATCACGTCGGTAACGATGTTGAGAACACCAACGACGATGAGTTGCAGTTGGGCCTTGGAGCAAGTTCCAGGATCCGGAACAACCTGCCAATACAAATGAAAGGGGTTGCATTCGCTGAAAGTGGTGACTTGTACAGCGACGTAGGTACCAAAGAAAACGAGAAGAAAGGAATACATAATCGGCTTCTGATATCGCAAGTTGAGGAGTAATCGTCGGTAAACATCGAGAAGCACAAGCTTCTGTAACCAAAGGCTAAAAAACGTCAGCACTACTCGCCTCGAGTCAGAAAAGAACACTAACAATGAATTGTAAAAGACTCGATTCGTAATGGCGAATTTACTCCCGATTTCTCGTCGATAAATGATCTCATCAGTAAAAACCATCTTCTCTCGAAGACTGGGTTTAATGTTATTCGTTCCCCAGGTCAGAACAACATGAATAAGCGCAAGCCTCACAGCACAGCACAGTATCGCACCCATAGTAAGGTAGTCACCCAGTACAAACGACTGCTTGGAGACTTTTCTCCATATCAGCCGCACCCCCATAATCAGGAGGGACAAGCAGCTGAAGAACCAGTGAATGAACAACGTAGGATCCTCCATCGCGTTTGGTTACGGGAAGAAAAAATGGAAGATTTCGTAGTGGGGGATGGCGCAGATCACATATCTTTTATTGCAATTGTTCTTGATGAAACGCTTTCTGTTACCTGCTCTCTTCTTTTCAGCTTTGCCGCCACTTGAACCCCCCAGCGGGACGTTCCCCATTAATTACGCTTGTTTTTCTGGTGAGTTTACTGAGGATATGCTTCTGGACTTGTTAGTTTAGTGCTTAGCTTGGTTTCTTGTGGCGTTGTCTTCATTTTGGGTACCAGCGGTAGAACGGGCCGTTTTCCTTCAACGGGAGAATTAAACTATTCTTGCACGCTAGTTACGAATTGATGTTGGGAACGGTAGTATTAATACGTTATTTAATATTATTCCAGACGACGTCAACTGACACCGTCAAAAGCATATCGCTTGATATCGTCAATTTGGCAATTGGGCCGTTGTCCCTCATGCGCCATTTTCTTGTTGCAGGGATATCACGCGGTTCCTGGGATGCAGATGATACGAGCTGCAACCTTAGTGACTGTGCCGTAGCAGGGGTCTAGAAGTCTAGAGTTCAGTATGTCACATCCAAAATGGAAAATAAGGATGGCGATCCTGTCTAGTGTAGCTCACTAGCTGGGAGGCCTTGAGCAACCTCAATTCCGCAGTGCAAACCCCCTGCATGATGCAGTACAGTGGGCGTGCAAAAGTTCCGACACATTCCGGATCCACCCCAACTACCTCGATCTCATACTGCCATTTCGGATTGCAATTGCATGGGCAATAATTCTTCAATTTAGATAATATATATATCAATCTGTAGAGACTTAAAAGGAGATTCCAGAAATATAGTTTAATACTTGGTATAATAGCCATTTGCGTTGTAACAGGCGTTCAACCGGTCGGGCATCGATTTTATCACGTTTTTGACCACTTCATCTTCGACCTCCGACCAAAGCTCCTCTGCAGCTTCAATCAGCCGGGCCAAAGCTGCTGCAGACTTTGGATAAGCAGCAATTTCAGGATATCTATCGCATATCCTCTTCTTCAGGACTTTCCATAGATTTTCAATGGGGTTGAGATCAGGGCTGTATGGCGGCCAGTCAGCAAGAAAGACTCCTGTTCTTCTTGCCCAGGGCAGCAGCCAATTCTGAACTTTCCGGCATTTATATGTACGGGCGTTGTCGTGCTGAAAAGTCTCTCCTTCCTCGACCAGTCCGGGAAGATAAGACTGTAAACAGGATAGAATAATCCTTCCTGTTACGCCTCCCCTCTCAGACTCAGGATCGCCGGCAAGAGGGACGATCCTAGACGGCTTATCATAGTGAATTGCACCAAAGAACATCTGAGAATGTCTGGCAGGCCGTCTACAGGGCTGCACCTTATCTTGATGGAGTCTCTCACCCTGTGGTGTTGTCAAAAGAAGCTTCTGAAATAGAAGGGGCTAGACTTACAGCAGAGTAAAATGACCACTTGGTATAGTCACCGTCTGTACGGTCGATAGAGACCTCATCAGAAAACCACCAGCTATACCAAAAAGACTCATCTTCATGACGATATTTTTCACAGAAAGCTTTTCTCAATTGAGCACTTTCTTCGCTGAGAAACGGGCGTCGAAGTGCAAGCTTGTGTTGTATCTTCTGATTGATAAGCCAGCGACGAATTGTGCTTCTTTTGCAGTTCAAACAGGTGCAATCAATTATTTCTTGGTATGAGATAAAAGCGTTTCTTCCAATGAGTATTTTGATATGATTTTTATCTATATCTGATAGTCGTGATGGCCTTCCAGAGCGAGGTAAATCTTTTGCTGATTGTTGGTGACGGTACCGTCGAATGACTCCATAGATCGCGTGCCGACTTAGCCCCTCACTGTCTGCGATATCCTGCACGCGAACACCTGATTCGTACATCGTCACAAACCTCGTTCTTTTGCAAGGAGAATGATGTGTTTTTTGCCGTATTCGAGGCATCTTTTCCTATAGAAATAACGCGATGAAGTTGTGGTGTTGATGTTGATGTTTAATTGAAAGCGGGGTCCGGACCTCGGATGTGTCGGAACTTTTGCACGGGACTGTATATCTGCGACGCTCAATGACCTGTTTCTTTCGTTCTTTTCTTCTTTGTTCTCCTGCATTCGCGCCTTTGTCCTGCATCTCCTTCCCCATCCATCCATCTTTCATCTCATCTGCCCACCATGCGTTTCACTTCCCTCCTAGTCGCTGCTACCGCGACATTCTCTCAATGTCTCGCTGCAAGCTATGGAAGCCAGGGTGAAGTTCCTGCTATTCGCACTTACTTCATGGTCGGTGGAGGTTATGTAGATGATGGTGCAGGCGGAGAAATCTTCCGCGATCAGATGTACGTGGAGAGACTGGTCCCGACTAAGGGACCATACAAGTCTACACCTCTCGTGTTCATCCACGGACAAGCCCAAACAGGAACAGTAAGTCCCCTTCATCAATGCTACGAAACAGCCTCGGCTGACACACAGACATAGAACTTCCTAAATAAGCCAGACGGAGGCCGTGGTTGGGCGAGTCAGTTCATCAACCAGGGCTATGAAGTTTATATCGTCGATCAGACCTTCCGAGGACGATCGGCATGGGCGCCCCTCGCTGGTGCAACCAAGCCCTCGACGTACTCGGCGCAGATCATCGAGCAGCGCTTCACTGCCGTGCAGGACTACAAGCTTTGGCCCCAAGCTGAGAAGCACACCCAATGGCCTGGTACCGGCAAGCGAGGAGACCCTGTCTTTGACGCCTTTTACGCCTCCAACGTCCAGTTCATCAACAATGCTACCTACCAGCAGGAGACCGTTCAGGCTGCTGGTGCTGCCCTTCTTGACAAGATTGGCAAGCCTGTTATCCTCCTTGGCCACAGCCAAGGCGGTATGATGCCCATTCTCGTCGCTGATGCTCGCCCCAAGCTCACCAAGGGCTTGATCCTTCTTGAGCCTTCTGGTCCTCCCTTCCGAGACGCCGTCTTCAGCACCAAGGCATCTCGTGCCTACGGTCTGACTGACATTCCCCTCGTCTACAGCCCTGCCGTCACCGACCCCTCCACTGATCTCGTCCAAGAGGTTCAGCCCAGCCGTGGCGAGGACTTCGTCGAGTGCATCCTTCAAGCCAAGCAGCCTGCACCCCGTCGTCTCGTCAACCTTGCCAGCAAGCCTATTCTCCTCCTCACTTCTGAGGCGTCCTATCATATGCCCTACGACTACTGCATTGCCCGTTACCTTAAGCAGGCTGGTTGCTCCAAGACCAAGCACATTGAGCTTGGCGAGGTTGGCATCCATGGTAATGGACACATGATGTTTATGGAGAAGAACAGTGATCAGATCCAGGCTCTTGTTGAGCGCTGGGTGCGATCAACATAATGTGGCCTGTGAGCCCATGAGCGGTTGACGCTCCATGCTGCTGCTCGACAAATGACCTTCCGTTGTTGACCGGGAGCTTTGATGTTGTCCATGGCTGTTGTCGCTTTCAGTGACTAGGTAAGCCTGGAAGTATAATAGATTATGCATATTCGTCTCTGACGAACTATATAGATAGAAATAATTATAACTGTAATGCCATACCATATCTGCCACCCAATACTAGCCAAAATACTTTAAAAAGAACAAAACCTAGAATGCGACCTATACAATAGGTCTAGTGCTAACAATCAATCTGATAAAGATCCTCTGAAGGTTTGAATCAATGTCGATAATTCTGAATACGTCGAGATCTGGCGGAGGTTTAGCTGATGAGCCATTTCTAATTGAACGAAAGATGTAAAACTCACTTTGGAACCTTGTAACTCTTCATCTTAGGAGGTTTCGGGGCTGGCTTTTGCATCTCCATCAGCTGAACAGCTACAACAACGGTATCTTCGCTAACATCATTTCTCCCATTCGAGTCAAGGAAGAACTTGATTCCTGCCATTGTTTCTTCCTTGGTCTGCAGGTCCAGCTCAGCAGACTGTTCGCCTTCACAGAAACCCCACTTCTGACTCTCGGATTCTTGAGCCACAAACTGCAGGCCGGTTAGGACCCCTATGCTGTCGACCCATAAACGAAGAATTTTCAGATAAGCTCCATTTGTGTGCCATTCATCTGGTTCAAAGTGAGGTATATCTTCAATTTCTACTTCGAAAGAACCTCCATGTATGCATGAGCACTGACTGGTCTTGCTTACTGACATCTTTCTCATGGTCTGGTGAAGAGATGGGCGATGGTCCGAAGGACATTGGTTCATGGCCTTCGTCGTACTCGAAAGTCATGGACGTCATCATGAGTAGCTCTGTCGTCGTGCTGTGACACATCGTGATAGAGATAGTTTCGAGTGGTTTTGAGCTGTCGAGCCACGTCACAACTGCCTGTGGACTCGGTACACCAACACCACGATAACGCAGTCTTTGGATCTTGTCTGTTTGGCCTTGAATTGGCCCAACTGCGGCGAATGGATATGCGGTTTGGGGACGGTTTGGAATCCAGTAGAATCCCTCAAAGCCCTTATCCTCGCGCTCTTCCCCTGTCCACGCAGTGTCATCGTCGAACGTGAATACGCCAAAGGACGTCAAAGTGCTATTGGGGGTGTTTTTGTTAGACCAATGGCAATGGAAACCTTGGATAGTCTCCCCATTCCTCCCTTCTCTGGCAAGACTCTTCTCAATTTGCCCAGGTCTTCCAATGATGAAATGTCGTCCCTTGTTTGTTACGAAGCGTATGCCCTCGATTTTATGCTTGCCAGTGACAAAGCATTTTGTGATCTTCTCGCTACGTTCTATGACAAAATAATGCATAGCTGTGGTAATACCGATGGACTGTCGAATTGTTTTGTCTTTATATTCGTGTCTCACTTCAAACCCACGAAACTGAACGTCCACCCCAATAACGATTTTGTAGTCCCAATCATCAATCGTGTTCTTAAATAGCAACGCTTCTACAGGCGTTGGCATCAAAGGATCCAGCCGTGAAGGGTAAGAAGGCCAGATTTCGGGCTCAGTAGGGACCTGACCTCTCCAGAGAAAGTTTGCAATTCTATGGTCGGGTTGAAACTTCTTTGGAGTTTCATCAAAAGGGCCAATCCTGTCTAGCCCGATGCGAGAGAAGGCAGGAGAAGGTACCTCTTCCATATCTCGTTGCAGAAGAACCCGCTTTCCCAAGGGTTTTCTAGGAGCCCATGAACCGCCGATGGAAACCACAATCTGCCACTTCTTGGGGACGAAAACTTGGACATCTCCTTCAGCTTGACCGAGTTGTTTAAAGTTGTCGTACAGAAAGACAAACCTGATGTCTACAACCTTCCGTCGCATGAGCTTGGGACTAGTCTTGCCGGGGATTTCTTTCGTCGTGATCAAAACTGCTACTAGCCAGTCGTCCTTTGGGATCTTTGCGTCTTCACTCGAGTGAAATAGATCCTTTGACCCAATGGTCTTGGTTGTGTTTTTTCAGGATCATGAACTCCTATACCAGCAAGTTCCTTGTTAGCAGTCCAATAGACCCTAATCACAGGCTCAGCTGTCTCTACATCGTCCATTTTATTGACGAGGTTGACGCTGGCATAGGTCGTTTTAGACTCGGCCGGGAATGTCAAGAGTGGCATGGGACTGGAGACTGCGCCCTTGAGAATCTTGTTAGTCTGCTTGGTATCTTTCTTCCCAGCCACGGGGTTCTTTTTGGGTTCCCCGGCCGAGAACTCCTCCAAAAATCGAGTACACACGCCCCAGATTCGGCACCGATTCTGAAGGTGCATTCTGACGTTGGGTTCGAAATTTCCCTCCCCTAGGCCATTTCCGAGGAGGTCAAGATTCTTGTAGAGTTTTTCCCAATCAAGTCTGCGTTTTCGCATCTCATTGGTACACGGAAGATAGCACTTTGCCCATGGCATATCACCGTATATTGTCGAAGGAGACACCTTCTTGCCGTCGTCGTTCTGAAGAGAGGACTGCTGCGCATTTTCGTTCTTCGGTTTCTTAGATTTACGTGACTTTCTGAAAAGCTCCTCAACCATATCTTCCATACTTTCATCAATGCGACTTGGTGACACGAGCGCGAATTCGTTATTGGCATTGGCTCCAAAAGTTCCAGGTGGCAGGCCATAGTCAAAGTCCAGCGAATTTGAATAGCCTTTATCCCTTTCAGGAGAGCAATAGTTCGCAAGAGTGTCGTAAAGAGCCAAGAGAAAAACTTCTCGTGGTTTATAAGCGTCCCGAAGGATTTCAAAGCAATCGACGTGAATTGGTGCTGCAAATGACTGAGGACCTTGGCAGTCGTAACTGGGTGTGAATTAGCATAAGCTATCCGCCGGTTTCAGTGATAATATGCTTGCACTGTGACGAGTCGGGTGTAGAATGCCTCGCCATGTTCACCAACCTCATCATCATCATTCACATCATAGTGGTTGGCTTGATGATGCCGAGCTTTCTCAATTAGAAAAGCCCTCCTAGTGTTAGACCAAGAAAGAGATGAGGGAATATGACTTTGAGTCTTACTCTTGTGTTTCGAGGTCTCGAGCAATAATTGCAAATTCACCCATCCATTCTTTGTCAACAATATCACATGCAGAGTCGCTGCCGTCGTCACTGCCACAATGGGAGTCTCCCCACGAATCGTGTTCGTGGATAGGCGCACAGCACAAGGCGCAATAAACAGCATGTCCGCCCATGACAAAAGATACAACGAAGCTGCGATGGATACAATTGTTGCTGTTTTTCAGGGCAAGAGTAGAGAGAGTAAACATGGACTTGTTTCGTACAAAGGGGGCGCCTTGACTTATCCCTTTAACGGTCCTACGTCGTCAGTCACGTATCAGGCCCACAAACTGCCCCCCTTTTGGCTGTGACTTTTGAGACGCGAAAGTGATTAACGCGTGCCATAAGAGTTATAGGTGATCAGAAAAGAATGACCATTACTGTTAATGTCTCCACTGTTAGACGCCGACCAATTCTAGTTACCGATTGACATGATTACATGCTTTTTCTGTCCAATCTTTCCCCGCCCCAAACAAATCCGAGACACCGAAAAAAGCAACTTTCGTCTGTGGAATAGGCACATACATAGGTCGTCGCAGTCTCATATATGTAATTGGTTCCTATCTAGGGCCAAGAAACAACCATGCGTCTTATTCAATCGCATACACTGACGTGAAACGATTTGTTCCGTTGCATCCGTAAGTTTGACATGTTTTGGCTATCCAAGCCATTGGGGGCTGCAGAGTGAGCTTTATTTGCATTTATTAGTCGTAGAGGTACCCACGAGATTACAATTTAATGACAAATACTGAATAGACTGCTTCTCATAATAAGCCACGATGATGACCGGAGCGACATGGGATATGAACTCGGTGTAAATATAACCCGGCGCATGATTGCAACATTTGAGCGACAAGGATTCTGTGTTGGTTCATCTTTACAACTACCAACACCTACAAGGCTCAGCTCATGGATAAATCACTCATCAAGGCCAAGTTCGACGACCTTGTCCAAGAAGGGCTTGTCTTCTATGACCAAGAACAAAAACTCATCGAATATGTTGATGGAGGGTTGAAGGTATCTGCCAACGACCGCCGGGTATAACCCTCTATACTGACAATTTTGACCGCAGTTTCAGTTTCTTCTCACTTCCGCGCTGGCGAAAAAACCAACTTTTCTAACAACTGGTACGCAGACGCAACAGGATAGCGAGCTGTCCCTTCAGAAGCGCGATGGAAGTGACATCAGCACCGCAGGTTACGAGATCGGCAACGTTGGCAGCACTCATTTCCTGGTCGCCAATAAATTCTGTTTCGCCAACCCTCATCTGATGCTTCTGACTTCAGACGGTCATCAAAGGCAATACGAAGCTCTGAACAAAGACGATCTGGCCGCAGTATGGAATGTTTTGACCACCATGGGTGAAGCTTATGTCGCGTTCTTCAACTGTGGACGAGATGGAGGGTGTAGCCGATTGCACAAGCACATGCAGCTGATTCCAAAGCCAAAGGATAGCTTTGCATCCTTTCTTGATGGACATGTCGTGAAAGAACCCAACGTTCCGTTACGATGGTTCTATCATCGCTTTGGACACTCAAAGCCCGACGTGAACGACTTGGTCAATGTTTACAGCAACCTTTTGAAGCAAGCCACGGAAGTTGGCGAAGGACAATCGGAGCATGCTGATAGCTCACCTCCTGGTGCTGCAGTCCCGCACAATTTCTTGCTTACGCAGGAGTGGATGATAGTACTCCCCAGACGACGGGCAGCGGTTAACAAGGAAGCTGGGGCGAATGCTGTTGGAATGATGGGCGTCATCGCTGTTGCAACACAAAACGAGATTGACAATTGGATCAGACTTGGACCAGCTACAACTCTTGCAGAGCTTGGAGTGCCAAAATAGATATGAGCTCTTTAGTATAGCTCAGGAAGCACTTTTAGGATCAGATACCGAGACCTCTCATCATTATCATCATAACCATCATTTATGTCGTTCCCATCACTTAGCCTCCCTTACCAGCAGATTACTACCAGCCCCTTCATCAGTACTAACACTCACATAGCTCCCTGAAGTCACCGTGGTCTTCCCCTCACCCAAAAGCCCCTCCTTCTCAACAATCTGAACAGGACCTCCAGTACAGCCTTGACAAGTCCTCATCTGAGTCTCAGACAACATCCCGCCAGCAATCCAATTATAAATTACCCACGCCGCTTGCAGAAACACCAGATCTGCCAGCAGTATCGCCAAGAGCATTATGCCCGGACTTTTACTCTGCGGAACAGAGCAGAGATATTGCGAAACGATCGTCGCAGTCTTACACTCTAGTGGTCCCATTTCACTAGCGAACCGGTCATAAGTTTCGTTTAGAAGAACAAGGTTCTTATCCGTTGGTGGAATAGGTGCTCCTGGCGTTGGAATCTGGGCATAGCGTGTAGCTTGTCCCGTCAATGATGAGCCGTTTAGAAAAGAGCCCTTTTTTCGATTTGGGTCATCTGGTGGGAGGATGGCGTATTGAAGATCCTTTTTGTCCAAAAGCAGGTTGGGGGCGTTTTTGTTTCCTAGGTCAACGGCAATAAGGGAGTGAAGAATCCTTGTGTAGTGGAGGCTTTCCCATACAACTGGGACAAACTGATTCTGGAGCCTGTTAGTATTGGAAGTTACATGGCTAATATGGACAAACCTTTGAGTCACTCTTTATGAAAAACGTGTCGTTGAGAGCTGCGGGTTGTAAGTATAGGAAAGCCTTGATAGGGAGAAAAACCTCACGTTCGTTTTGTATGAACCCATCAGAGGAAAGAAACCATCCTGCGAGGTTGAATAATCTCGGATCACGAATGCTAACTCTTGTCAGGATATGAGACTGAAGGTTATGGGGGTTTACTTACTCCTTTGTGTCCGGATTCGTTGTGAACGTGATCCCTCCCGTCATCCAATATGAATCATCTCCCAGATCTTGAGTCTGCGACATAGTTGACAAAATACCTGTAAAATATACATTCAACAATCTTGTTCCCCACCAGGTACTAGCATGAGCCTTGTAATCATCCTCAATAACGTAATCATATATATGATCACTCTGACCAGTATATTCAACACCAAGGGTAATGTTCACCAAGCCCTCGCTTGTCATGACATTGCAAGAAGCTGTAGCGTCAGTGAAAGTCGTTATCCAAGAGAGCCACCAGCTATTTGAAGCCCTAGCATCTGATTTTCGGAGATTAATGTCGACCTTTGTGAGGTAGCAGTCTTCAAGAGTGTTATTTAAATACGCAATTGAAGGATATGTCTTTCGAAAGTCTGAGTCATCGTCTGATGAGGTGATTGCTTTGACGGAATATTGAAAACCAAGGTTGGTGGAGAAAACGCGATCACCGACAGATAATATCTTAGGCTGGCATTTGACCTTCATATTGTTATCCCAGTTCAACGGTGCTTTCATGAACCATCTGCGCAAGGTTATTAAAATGCCTGGTTGCAGGAAATCCTTGCTACATACCGGACTGACTGAGTCATTGTACCATTGGGATTCTGAGTAAACTCCGGCTTGAGGTAGAACGCACTCGACGCCAGATTGACAATCGTAAACAGGACTGTCAATATTAGACCGCCAACGATAGCTACCGGAGTAAACCATCGGAACGGGAACGGCCTCGAGATGGGGTACGAGAACCACGAGGAATGCATCGTGGCGGTTGGGCAGTTCTGCCCTAGTAGCTCTGATGAGTGACGATCCTGGAATCAGGAAATGTGGGCATTTATCTACCTCAAACCGAGTCCTTCCATCGTAACATGAAGGATCATGATCCCTGCGAGGGCTGGATAATGAGGTGCAGGGTAAGCTCTTGAAGCTCGGCAATTTCCTTATCCGATTGGATGAATGGGGCCAAATTTAGCACGAGCAGTCTCGCGTCGCACTTGAGCAACTGCTCAGCCTTCTTTTCCTGCAGTCCTCCTGCACCTAAGATTGGTTAACGTTTCATTGCTCCTTGCTATCAATTCTTCAGTGAAAGCTTAACATGCTCCCATGTCCAGTTGAGCCAATGATTTTTGTGGCATTTTTATCCGCAGTCACAGCGAAATGACTGCCTGTCTGGTAATTGCCGGAGATAAGACGGATAGCCGCAGGGTAACCCAACAACACCATGGCGTTGGCTTGCACGAAGAGCGTCATTTGGTGGTCAGATCTATGGTTAGAAACTCGGAACTGCTAGAAATCCGAGTTCTAAATATTTTTCAGGATTATCTTAGCATTATTGCATACTCAACTGTCTCAATACTACTGATAATGGTGGTATCTGTTGACATTTGATCCTCCAAGCCAGCGTTTCTTTATGAACGCCACATGCATTTATTATCCATATTTCACGACGCGTGTTGATACGCGCTTCTTAACCCTTGACTTTGGCCAACACTATGGCACCACGCAGCATCATAGAGGGAATTTTGAAAGATAAACCGATATTCACCCCATAAGTTCACGAGTTAGTTTGTTGTGAATCAGCCAATTTGCCTTGATGAGTCTCATTTTGGTCTCTCTCGCATGATTGCTGGGGATTTCATAAACCACTGTCGTTTGACCGAGCCTCTTTCATTGCCCGTGATCTCGTTATTGAAGGTGGTGGAGCGCATTGAGAGGAATTTTCTTCACCCTAGATGGGTGATATATTCTATAATTGCTGATAGGTTCTACTACAGTTAGGTATGCTTATTGTCGGCAGTGTCGGTGGCTTGCAACCTCCAGCAAGTCCACGAAGGCTTATTTGAATGTGTCCTGATGCTTCTCCTAGGAAATCCCTATGGGTTTAAAGTATATAGTCTCACAGAAAAGTTTCTCTTATCCATGTTTTTACCTAGAGAACTGGGAGTAGACAGGCTGCGGGTGAGTTGGTTGGTCGTGCGCAGCTTGCTCACATTCGTCGTGGTGTTTTCTCAACGAGAAGAGCCATTAATTTGGTAGCGAGACCATCCTAGTGATCATATGATAAATACCAATCAGTGACCCAGAGGGAAGTTTTGAAAAAAAGTTTGTTGTTCAATAACACCGATCTACTGGTTTAACAGTTTTTACACTGCGTGACAGTCGGCACTCGGCCGCTTATCAGAGTTCTGGCTGTCACATGATGTCGTGAATTTAATATTGGCCACGTAATTTTATCAATTAAAGAGTGAAAACTAATCGTTTGCATAGTTTTCCTCTTTGCCTTTTTATTATTTATGTATTGGCGGTGTTTCTCGGGCGACCACCTCCGAGCTTCCGCCGACATTTGCACGCCTCAAAATACCATCTCACCGACAACGTGATTCAATACACCAACACGCCATGACATCGTGCAGGCATCTCAAAAACCTTCCGCGTCTGCTGTACAGAAGAACAGATTGCTCGATTCGCTCAATCTCAGCGATTCCGAAATGGCCGGCTTCTGTGACGCGAAAGTCATCAACCCAAGCAGTTCCCATACTTGATCAAAACCCGCATACAACTCTCGAGGATCCGCTAACATTTCCAACAACTGCGTATGATACCATCAATGAGGATGTAAAAGTCGAAGAGGAGAAAATCTCCGGTTATGATGCCTCGCGGTTTTATCCGGTCCAAATCGGGGAAGTTTTCCAGGGCCGGTATCAAGCGGTGACGAAGCTCGGTTTTGGAAGCTCATCAACAATATGGCTTGCCCGAGACCTGAGGTAAGTCAACAAGATATGTTACGATCGTGGGTACTCAGCTCATTTTAGTTACAGAGACCGCAAATATGTCGCTCTCAAGATCTACGTCCATACATCCCGCAACCACCGAGAAATTCCCGTATACGAAACATTGTCACCAATTCTCGGCGAGACCAGACACCGTGGAGGGAGCAACATCAGAATGTTTTTGGACTCTTTCGAAATGAGCGGTCCTAATGGCCGTCATAAGGTCCTGGTGCTTGAAGGTGCACAAATGAGTCTACGTGACTACAAGGAAGTCTTTCGAAAAGATGGATTCAATGAGAATTTCGTCAAAAGAACAGTCAAAGAGCTACTGAGAGCTCTTGACTTTATTCACACAGAGGCACAAGTGGTACACACAGGTTAGTCCTCATTTGCCATTCTGTGTTTATTCCGATTGCTGACATTCTAGACATTCATCCCGGGAACCTATTGCTAGGTCTAGATGACGACTCACAGCTCCAACCTCTGGTCGCCATGGCCTTCAAATCACCTGTCGCACGAAAGCAAATATCCGAATGCCGGTCAATCTACCTCTCAGGGCTTATGCGTCCAAGGCCGGGTCCAATCCTCTTATCAGATTTTGGTGAAGCGAGGACCGGACTGGGACCCCACGCCGGCGATATTATGCCCCTCCCATACCGCGCACCTGAAGTCATCATGAGCATGCCGTGGAACCATTCTGTGGACATCTGGAGCGTCGGCCTGACCGCTTGGGATCTTCTCGGTACAAACCGGCTGTTCACGGCGAGGGATGGAAACGGAGAAATGAACGATGCAGCGCATCTAGCCGAACTCATGGCAACGCTGGGTCCACCACCTCGGGAATTTCTGCAGCGGAATTCTGGGAGAGCGGCTGAGTTTTGGGACGAGCAAGGTAAGTCCGACAGCTAAATTAAATATGCTTTAAGATGCATACTGACGTACTGTACTAGGGAAATGGAAAGGACTCACACCTGTCCCCAAGAATCGCTCCCTGAAAGAGCTTGAGACGAAGCTTGGGGACAGCTCGGCTTTCATTGCATTTCTACGGCGTGTCTTGGCATGGATACCAGAGACTAGACCTACTGCAAAGGAGCTATTGAAAGATCCGTGGTTAGCCAGTGATGACGGTGCTGGTGAGAAGGACAAGTCAATAGATGCTGAGGGGAAGCATTACTAGTGGAGCCAACCTGGGGTCCAACAAGACCTGGAGAGCGCGCTACGAAGAAGTTAATTTCTACTGGCTAGACGCTGGGCATTCATCTACTCACAGAGTATAAACATCATAATAAATTATCATCACAAGCTGAGGCTTGATACCATAAGGCCAGTGACTGAGAATACTAAGACTTAGGCAGACTCATCACGGTGTGAAGGAATGCCTATTCAATGAAGCAATGCCTAAAGACCAACCTACCGGTAGTAGAACAAACCAAAGAAATACATGATAAACCACCAAGCCTTACCAAGCCTTGCCCGAAATTGACTTCTTCTTCGTAGCCCCCCTAAGCCTCCCAAAGAAATTCCCTCCCATAACCGCCGTCCTCGCAACAGTCTCATCCCTCTCCCTATGCCCCTCACACTTCCTCGGCGCCACCCTCCCCTGACTCTCCCAATAAAACCTCGACACCTCAAACTCATGATGTGTCCCCGGCGCCACACAAATAACTTTCTCCTTCGTAGCTTCCAACTGCGGCCAGCAGGTATCACACCAATTACATCCCGGAAACTCCTCTGACTTGTTCGCGTTTGTGACTTGGATGATCTTTCCGCAGAGTTTGTTGGAGCAGCATGCTGTTGAGTCAATGGTAGGCCACCATTCGCGGAAAGACGCTTTTTCGGACGATATCATTGATGCTTTGCTTTTGAGCTCGAGTTGAGTGCAGATTTCGTTGCAGACGTGGGTTGCGAAGAAGAATTTGAAGCCTTCTCTTCCGAGGTTTGTGTCTGCGAGTTTGAAGCGTTCTGGATCAAGGGTGTGGATTGCTGGGTCTGTGAGGACGTGGCCTACGCCTTGGAGATCGCAGACTAGGAAACTTCCCCAGGATCGTTCATAGGTGAAGTGTGAGAAGGCTTGTGCTGCTTTGTTGAATTCATCGTCTGGGTTGTCTTCATTGACGTAGCTACAGTTGTTGTTGTACTTAACATAATCACCCTCGATAAAGGGCTCAAGCGAGATGTAATCGGTACCGGAATTGCCGGATTTACCCTTGAGGCATGATGTGACGATAAAGTCAATGGAGTGCTTGTCACCCGTAAGAGCGTTGAACTCTAGAGCAAATGCTTTGCAGAGAGCTTGACAGCGCATGTCCTCGGCAAGATGCGCAAGACGCTTTCCGCCACGCTTGAAGGACTTGACGACGTAGGGGTTTGTGGAATGAGTCGTCTTTGCACAGTATGCAAGACGTAGAGCGCCTTGAGCGAAAGGTAGGCGACGTTTGTGGACGTTGAGTTCCATGACACTCAACTTGATATTATCATCATGAGCCATCATGTCATTCAGCGTACCGGAGCGGTGAATTACAGTATCAGGACTGAAACCTTCGACGACGAGTTTATCTTCAAACCAGCTCTGGTCAGACCATTTCTTTTCAACATCTTCCAGAATTGCTTCACTCTGCTTCTCGTTGAACTCGTCGTCTTCCGCTTCACCGATGGCATCAAGATGAGACATTGGAGCAGTCTTGGTTCCCTTTTCGCCAGTTCGAGAAGCAGACTCTGACATTCGAACAGCGGTGCGTGAAGCAGAACTCGTAACGCTCTTGACTACCAGATGCCTAAGTGCGCTATAAGTAGTGCCCAACTCAGCTTCTTCAAAGAGTAAACCGCCCTTCGCAGTACCCTTGGAACTTCCACCAAGAACACTGCTCCTCGGTCCAGAGTTCGCCTTCAAAGCCTCCCGGTAATGCGGGTTAGACTTTAAAAGCTTGCAGTCTGCAGACGCAGCAGCATATTCCTGAAGAAACATGTATGCCATCTTATCGGTTGCACTCAAGATGCGGAGAAGAGCGTAGTTGAGATTCAAACCAATCATCTGCTTCAGAAGAGGCTGATACTGGAGCTTGTGCGGTTCGCTCCCGGGAGTGTAATAATCATCACTCTTCTCAGTCCAGCTGTGAAAGATGTTCCCGTGTGGCGGGGCGTCGGCGATGTGAATGATGCATCTGGTCTGATTCTTCCAGGAAGCATTGATGGCTTGTTGAATACCACCAAGAACATCCTCAGGTGCATCACCGCCACCCCGAGCTTTCAGCTTATCGATGAAACCCCTCACTTTCTCCACATCAGTAGTGAAGTCGATGAATTGAATGTGGTTCTTATCACAGTGGTCTTTGTAACTGACCACCGCGATCCTCACCTCCGCCTCATTATAGAACGTCTCGGTAATATCCTGCATGATCTTCTTGACCTGCTCTTTCGCAGCTGCGATGAAAGGACCCATGGAAGACGTAGTATCCATGAGAAATAGCAGGTCGGTAGCACAAGCTGCTTTGAACATTCCCTCGTTGGGAGTTCTTTTCATTTGTGCAGCAGCTTGAGCTTCTCGCTTGAGCTCGAGAACACGAAGTTTTGCTTCAGCAGCGGAAAGGCCCGTAAGACCTGCTTCGTGTTTTAGACGATCGTTTATAGCACGTTCTTGTTGCATTGCGCGACGGAGATCGTCGCGTTCGATTTCCATTTGACGGAGACATTCGCGGGTCCCGGAGGAGGTGGCATTGGATGTTCCGGAGTCACCGGGGCTTCGGAGACGCTGAAGAGCGCCGGCGATGGGTGGGACGGATCTGGGTTCATCGCTGCGGCTCGGAGCTGCGCGATCTCTGCTTGGGGGATAGGGAGGGAGGATGGTAGAAGCTGAAGATGCAGTGGATGTAGCGGAGGAGGTGTCGCGGACTGAGTCAGTCAGGGCACGAATGTCTCGTATCTCTCCATCATTTCCAGTAGAAGCTGGGGGTGAGTATGGAGGAGGGGCACTCATTTTGCTATATTTCAATGAATTGGACTAATTGATGGATATTGCTGTTCTGTATTGGAAGCAAGTATATATATTCAGCCCATCATCAACTCATGCTATTATTTCCATACCCGTTACCGAAGTCGATCGACTTACTCCTCATTATCGCAATGCTAGGCTCTTTCGGAAATCTAGTGTGTCCTCTTCGCCCGATAAGGCTTCCTTCGTGCATCGACATATCAAACGCATCTCCACTGAGCCTCCATATAAACCGGGCGTTTTTCAGGCCTCAATTCCGCGCTGTTATTCCCATTCCGCATAATCGGGTCCAATCACAGCCCCTGCCGACTTACCACTTTTGTCACTGATCAACACGAACTTCTGTTGGTTTAAATCGACCAATCATGTCAATGCACGAATGCGCCTGGTTTGAGGGTGTAGTCCTGAACGCCGTGTCTGCCTGATGGAGGCAGTGTTGGTGGAGTCATGTCGGTCGCCCATTAAGCTACAGCTTGGAACTTGAGCATAAACATTACAGGGATTGACGCCCGATAGCAGTTAACTAATAACATTAGACTTGGAGCTTGTAAATGGAGATTCTGAAAATGCCTGGGGCGGGGTTCATCAGCAGATACATCGCCAAGTTGCCTGCGTCAACCTGTCTTTTATCCGTCAGCCCATCATCCGTAGATGCCTATCTTGGGATCTCAAATAGAGCCTTGTCGGTTATACCAGGCTGAATATTTGTAAATAATTTTGGTAAAACGTCGGTTTGAACTGTGCCGCATTTCCTTCGCTCATTATGGGCCTCGATAGCCTCAACACCATCTTCCTCATTGCACCTTTCACTTTCATTTGAGACTTTTCATTGACCTCGACAACTTCCATGACTCTTCACTCATCAGAATAATCTTTTGCTTGAACTACGAAGCATCATCATGGCAGATACTCGTCGCGCAGAATGGTTCCTCTCCAAAGCCTCCCTCCAACCCCCTCCCCGGCTCGGCCGTCTAACCGAACCACCCGTCCAAGATTTCCTACCATTCACCACTATCAACCGCGACGCAGCTCGCCAGCTCCTCGTACAACAAAGAACGTCAGATCCCAACTACATATCCCCAGAGCGACAAAAGCGACATCTCTTCCGCTCCAGAGAACAAAAAGCCGAAGCTTGCAATACTTCACAATGGAGCTTTACGAAACGCGAAGTCGCGAAAGCCTTTGATGCGCTGCTAGCACAAGAGGCACTTCCACCGGCTGGTGTTGCGCAAGCTCTTTTGTTGCATACAACGCTTACCTCGTTGGATGAGCTTTGGGGTCATTTAAATGATGCGCAGTTGGAGAAGAGGATGAAGAGGAATAGAATGAGCGAGATGTTGAGTTTTGATTCAAACGGGATGACGTGGTTGGATAAGGCGACGTCTCGTGATAACTTGAACTATATTCACTTGCTGTGTCAAACACAAGCGAGCCAAGGAGTCTTGAACAGAGCGTTTGGTATGGCGTTGTCCAAATCGTCTCTCGAGTCTATGAAGCTTCTGTTGAGCTTCGGAGCTGTGGCGTCTGGTTACCAAGATCTCATCGGCCAACATATTCGAGCCAGAAACTTGGAGTTGGTGAGTTTGTTACTATCAGCACCTAACTCCATGGCACCTTCGGATTGGAAAGCATGCCTTGAACAAGACTTCGCGAGGGCAGAAGCTGGAGAAACTTTGTCTCTCTCGTTCATTCTACTGCTCTTATCCAACCGCCCAGAACTGGTCACAGAGTCTTTCCTTCTCAGTGCACTAAGACTACAGAGCTACCAAGCCACAGCGGTGATACTGGGTTACGCATATTCCAATCAAGTCTTCTTCGCTATCCGCCACCAAGCCTGCGAAATCATTTCTCAATACCAGAATGGCAACCAGAGACTAACCTTCTTTACACTCCTATCTCATGCTGGTCTTGTTGGAGACAACTTGGTCACCCGAGAAGAGCTTGTCAAGGAAGTACTCGCTCGCCACCTACCACTTGTCAATCTGCTTGTACAAGCTGGTGTTGCAGTTGACGTTCCTCCACACAATGCTTTGAAATGGGCTGTCTCACAACTGGACTTCGGTATGTTGGAAGTTCTCAGACACGGGACGTTTTCGTCGCCTGCATCTCAACTACTGAGCTACCTCCCCGAGAATATTCCAGAGCCTGATATGGTTCAGTTCATGAACATGTTTGGATCTATGGGGTTGGGTGGAAACCAACTTGATTCATGCCTAGTTCGTGCTGCGCAGAGAAAACAACAACACCTCGTTGAAACTCTACTCCATTACGGCGCATGCGTTGAGTTTGAGGAGGCTGCTGCCATCCGCGCAGCTGTGATTTCGACTGATCTGGATATGCTCAGCGTGCTTCTGCAAGGGCAGTGTGCATCAGCTATTCTCTCAACCCTTGTTCCGACCGCCATGGAGATATCGCCAAGAACCACGAGGCTCTCCGTAATGTATTCTCTCATTACAAAAGGCGTTGAAAGACCGTCACTTGGCACCGCTCTGCTGCAGCTCATGTCCGAGGGGGGCGACATCGACTCTGACCTCATCAAGCTTCTTCTCGACAATGGTGCGCCACTGGATTCGAGTTCGGACTTTGATAGTTCGCCGCTTGTACAGGTCATAAAGAAAGGAGATGTCGCAGTCCTCAACATACTCTGCAGCGCGAAACCCACCGCGGAAGCATTGGCTGCTGCCCTTCCCTTCGCGTTCAACACCATCGTCGCCTTTGGCTACGATATTGCGCTTGAGTTAATGACCCTACTTCTCAAGCAAGGCGCGTCTGGTCCGCCAGTACACGAGGCGCTTCTCAAGGCAATTACATCAGATGTACCACTCAACTTTGTGCAGTTGTTGACAGAGCACGGCGCCGATGTCAACTATGCTTTTGGCCAGGCTTTCGTGAGAGCCGTTGAGATGGACAAGCCTTCACTACTGGAGCTGCTTTGCTCGTCGTCCCCGCCAGACCAAATAACCGTCCATGCAGTTCTGCCCATACTCATCGACTCAAAGAACTACAACCTCTCTAACATTGAGCTCTTCCTGAGCGCTGCCTCGCGAGCAACTCCAAAGCCATCACTCACCAATACATATGCTCTTATCAAAGACCATCCACACCGTGCAGAGCTCTTACCGTGTCTTTTGCGCCATGGTCTGGACATCAATGAGGAATCTGGCATGATTCTCTGCCTCGCTGTTCGAGAACACGACATGGACCTCGTCAAGTCAATTCTTGCTCTAGACCCAAGCATCGCTACACTCTCCAACGCCTTTCGCGAGGCATGTCAAGTCGAAGAGTCTGACATGAAACTTGATCTTATGGAACGTCTACTTGAAAAGGCTTCTCCGGCTGAGATCGGGCAGTCTAAAGCCCTGTTGCAAGGAACCCAAGCCGCTCTTGATGGAGACATGGATGGACTTTGGTTACTCCTCGGCCACAAAGCCAACGTCAACTTCAACAACGGCGAAGCTGTTCAAGCAGCTGCTTCAAATAGTGCAGGGTACCCAATCATCCTCAACATGCTCCTCTCGGCTGGCGCTACAGACGTAACCGTCGAGGAGGCGTTCGACGCTGCCAGCGACGCAGATACGCCAGCAAGCATTAAAGCTGGTATCTTTGGAAGTCTCTTTGCTTTCAACAAAGAAATTTCAGTTGAAATTATCTCTCGAGCTTTTGTAAAGGTGCTTGAAAGCCATCCTGACGATGAACACCTACCGAACTTGCTACTGGAACATGGTGCTGGTGTTCAAGTACAGCTCGCGACATTGGAGGCTGCAGCTGAAGCTTCTCCAGGTGGACTATTTCAGAAGCTTCTGCGACAAGTGTCTGACTATACTACGCGTAATGAGATCTTTGAGTATATTCGAATGCATCCTGCCATTGAGCCAACGCACAGGCACCAAGCCTACGAGACTCTTTTGAAACAAGGCATAGCCCCGTCTCAGATCTCTGATGCCCTCTTGATGTCCATCAAGAACGAGCCTACCAACCGGGAAGTCCCTATGCTCCTCCTCAGCAACGGTGCCCAAGTCAACTACAAGGACAACGAAGCTTTCGCAGCAGCATTTCAGTCCCGCAACTTAGAAATGTTCGAACTCCTTTGCTGTTACCTCGTAAAGGGCGAACACGATGAAGCAGCGAAGCTCGTCTTTGAGCATCCATACCTACGAGAGAATCCCTCTGTTACTGTAAATCAGACTGTTCGTGCGAATATCTACAGAAGTGTCCTAACTTGCAACATTGACTCGAAGAGCATCTACACCACGCTTGTCCACTTCCTCGATTCCCCAGACTCCAGTCTTCCCATCGTGGAGCTTCTTCTCGAACACGGCGCTAATCCCAATGACGAGGATGGACACTGTTTCTATCTCGCAGCACGACACAAAGAAGAATCTCATTTCCGAGAGTTGTGCAAACACACAGATCTGTCCATTGTTCTGCCCTCCCTTTCACGCCGCATTGTCAAAGAGCACAACTTGACGCGCTGGTTCAAAATCTGCCTTGAGATGCAACCATCTCAAAGTGCCGGACTGTCAGACCAGCTTTTGTATCAGTGTATACGAAAGTTTCCCCAAAGTACTGCATGCCTAAATGTCCTCTTGGGAGCAGGCTTGTCGCCTTCTGCGACGATTAACTACCGTCTGCATAAGAATTGGGTGGAAGAGGAGATTTCTCTGCTTATTTGGTGTCTTGTATCCCCATTGAAGACTGGAAATGTTGTTATTCTTAGGTTGTTGGAAGAGGGGAATAAAGGTATGTCGACGTTTCAAGTTCAAATAGACAGTGCTAACGGTAGGACAGCCTTGCCAGACTACGTAACACCTGACTCGAAGATACCAACAATCTTTCTCACACTCCTCGACAAGTCACGCGCTCCCGTTTTGGAAGCTTTGCTCAAGCTTGACAGCACCAACGTCCTCAACGAGACCATATCCGGATCAAAGTTCAGCTCTCTAGCCTCATATCCAAAGAAGCCCAAACTTGAGTTCACAACTCTCTTCGAAGACGACGACGAGATCTCACCTCGTGAAGCATCCCTCTTCCTCGGCAATCTTGACGCCTTCAAACTACTCAACAGCTCCATGCTCCCCGACGACGGCACCCTTCATCTAGCAGCTCTCCTCGCCCTTCCCGATTTCACAGACTGGCTTCTCGAAACCCACGAGCCAAACTATGAGGAGGAAAACTTTGGCTTCATGGTTCCCTTAGCACTAACATGCTACTCCAAGCCCTTTCCCTGGTGTAAGGTCGCCAATGAGGAACAACAGTGGTTTTCACGCTTAGAGGAGACCATAAAAATTCTGATCCCAAAGACACTGTCCAGTTGGAGATATCGGCAAAAACTTCCGTTGCATCTTGCACTGGAGAATGGGAGCCAGGTTACTATGGCTATGCTGAATGCCCTGAATTCGAGGGGCATTGGCAATAGGGATAAGTATTTGTATACGGATAAGACGGGTATGCATTACTCGCCTTGTGAGTATGTTGAGACGTTTGTAGAGGTTGACGATGAGGACAAGGGTAAACTGGTCAAAATTCTTCAGGAGCATGGATTAAACTGATTAGGCATGATGTATCTATTTTCTTGTATCTATATTTGTTCTATTTTACATACCCCAAGCTCTGTATCCTATAGCCATTGTACGCTAACTCATCCTAACTTGAGTTAGTATTTAGTTAGCAGTCTCATAAGGTTCATGACTTTTAAACCAAGGTTTGTTGATCTTGTATATAAATTGGCTAGATTAGTTTGGTGATAGATTTTCCCTTGTTTCCACCATTGTAAACATCTATCCAAGCCCTGGGCATATCTTCAATTCTCGCCGGGACGATATTCTCGATATCAACGTTGATTCGTCCCTCAGCAGCCGCCTTGATGAGTTGTTCCATCCCATCAGGGATCTTATCCATATGATCAAAAAGAAAGAATCCCTTCAGCGTCAACCTCTGCGAGATAATCTCAAACCAGTTCTTCAACATGGTCGGCTTATCCGAATTATATGTACTAACCGCTCCACAAACTGCGATGGTTCCAAATTTCTTCATCCTCGTGAGAACACCATCCAAAACCGCACCACCGACATTATCAAAGTAGATATCAACTTCATCTGGTGTCGCCTCCTTCAAATCCTGCACAAAGGTGGGACTTTTGTAGTCGACGCATGCATGAGCGCCGAGATAATCTCTCACCCACGCACACTTTTCTTCGCCGCCTGCAATGCCTACTACGCGCTTGGCACCGAGTAGCTTAACGGCGGTCTGCACGACGATGGATCCTGTTGCTCCAGCTGCAGCGGACACAACGACTGTGTGTTCAGGTTTGGCTTGCGCGATATGCAAGAGTCCGACATAACCTGCCAGGCCGGACCCTCCGAAAGCACCGAGATAATGCGTGATGGACAGGTTGTCTGGTAGAGGGGCAATGTGTTGCACTGTATCTGTGTCCAGGATGATCTTGTCGCCCCACCAGGATCGATACGGTTCCATTACCAAGTCGCCGGGCTTGAATCGTGTGGAGTTGGACTCGAGAACCTCGCCGATCACTCCGGAATGCATAGGGTCGCCGATCTTGATGGGAGGGACGTACATCCTGTCCTCATCAACGGTACAGCCAATGAATGTGCGGAGACCTGCATCGTTGGAGATATAGAGGACTTTGACCAGAATTTGTTCTTCCTTGAGAGGGGGGAGCTGAATGGTATCCAGTCGAAATGTCGGGTTCGGGCCGTCTATAGTTGGAGTTCCTTCTGTCTTGTTGGCGAAGACCCAGACATTAGCCTTAGTGTGTTCAGTCATGTTGAAAGTATTGAGAAAATAGAGTTTGAACATTGAGATTATTTCCTTGGGGTCATGATAGCCGGGCCCTGTCTTTATTGGAAACATCTTCATCAAGTCTCCACTCATACTGGAGCATCAGTTGTGGGCCATGACGATGTAGTGAGGTATTAGCTAGAGTAATCATCCACTAACTGGTAGCATTACGATGAAATCTGCTGATACCAGGGTCCAAGAACTGAGTCCTTGGAGAGTTGCTCAAATGCGGTTAGAGAACAGGGTGTCGTGTCGCAATCCATGCAATAGATACGTGAACGTGTAAACCCAGAGCTATGCCTTTTCAAGGATTCCGACTACGGATGCTACGCGGTTTGAACTTTGTGTCTTTCCTCTGGCTTCATCTGCAGAAATTCTGCCAGTCACATACAATCATGACGTGTGATAGCTGCTTGAATAGGGCTTGTTGGGTAGGTTGATAGAGAGAGTCCTTGCTAGGGAGCCAACTGTTGCAACGTATTACAGGGCAAAGACTCTACGGAATCTTTTATAAAACCAATTAACTGTATCAGAGCCTTTGGACTTTTCTATTATTAGAATCCATCATTTCATCAGTCTACCTGCTATTAAGCACTACCTGTGCTGCGAGCACTCCCTATTTCTTTGCCTTCTTCATCCCATTATAAAGCTTCGTGGCGCTGCGTGATATATACCTCATCATTGTCCTCCGTGCCAGTTTCTGAAGACACCGAGTATGTTTTCCGGTGTTCCGAGCCTCATCTTCGTGCCAAAATTGCTAGACGATATGTGGCCTTCCTTTCCTCTAAACACTTGGAGCATAGTCTCGATAGGGGGAAGAATCCCTTTCATGCCTGCCACACTCAACGCACATTCTTGCATGTACCTTAAGTGCATTGATCTCAATTTCTTTGAGAGTGTTTGTTTTCTCATCATGCTCCTTGCACATAATTGCAGGAGGCTCGATACCTCTAGCGCATACGACGCAGCAACGCTGTGCTGCTGGGGGCAACATGGCTCCGCTGGCTTGGTCGCGAGCACGCCATTCGCAGCTACGACAGATTGGTATGGAGAGAGGATGATGCATAACTCGAGTACATTCCATGCAAAAACGGTCTTCAACTAAGTCAGAATGCACTGAGACGGAGGACTGGGCAGAACCCTCTGAATAATCAGACGTACCAGGCTCATCGGTATTATCATTGGTGGCCACTGGAGTGGGCCATCGGTATGGTATTTGCGGACGCGGAAAGTTCTGATTCGGTTGTGGAGGAGTGGGAAATTCATTGACTGTTTCCCTTTCTTTCCCCTTGCCCTTGTCTTGGCTACTTTGGCCAAACTCATCTCCTTCGTTGAGAAACATGTCAAAGTCCGCCATGTTTCTGACGATATGTTTTTAAATGAGTAAGAGTTAAGTAGAAAGTCTTATTTCTTAGTAATTAGTGTCTATGTGTAGTGGAATGTTCATGTCCCAGCATGTCAAGTGAACCGTCTGTAAGCATATATACATGCTTGCTCATGTGGTTCGTAGTGAAATAAATGTTCAGGTAAAACTACTCATCAAAGTTGAAACCTGACTGATCAGGTGCTTGGTGACTTATGATAGTGATTGAGGACTAGCAAACTCCTGTTATTCAACGCCCTTTCTTCTTGCTCCTGAATCATCTTTGTCTACACTGATAGACCGCCTGCCAGGAGCTCTGAGTGCTCAGCAAGCCTGTCTGAAAGACGGCATGAAATCTCTGTTGGTAATTTGATTAATCAATATCTCACGCTCGAACAATGACTTAGTCTTCTCTCAGTCGTTTGATTGGCCTATCTAACTAAGGGGCTATAAACAATTTCTGATGCACTTTCCCATGCCTGCTTTCCTTCACGCCTTGCTATGAAGATTGCCCAGACCCCAGTACTTTGGACTTAACTTTTATCCCGCAGCCTATGCTTTTCCCTGCACTCGTCACATCTACCTCCTAGAACCACAGCATGCCTCTTACGGCAATCATATCATTCCCCTCGATCTCTCGCATCTCTTGCTCGCTGTTGATGAGCTCTAATATGATTTTCCTTGCACATTTTGCAATAAGCTCCTCCGTCAGCGGGCCCAATGCCACACCGAGTACAGATACCGCGCATGCGTAACTCTCTTCTTTCGCTGATACTCCTGGGTCTACGTCTTGTGCGAACTTGATACCCTGCGGACCATGACCCGGGTTCATTTGGGGTTGTCTGTATCCCTTGACTACTTCCTGGTTGGTTAACAGGATACGGGGAGCCATATATACCCGAGCTAGAAGTTTGTGGATTGTACAACGAGCGACCAGCAACGGCAGGGTAGTTAGGATTGCTGTAGCTCGGTGCAGAATAGATGGTATATGCTAAAGATCTATCTTGCCCAGCACCTTCTCCCGGCGGTTGTCGTCTATACGGGTCGCTGGATCGGTATGGATACTCGGGCCTATCATAGCTATTATTTACACCTGCAGGTCTTCGAGAGCTTTCTCCCAGATTGTAACTCGACCTATGTATATTTTCTTGTAGGCCTGGGCTATAAAAGGCCGTACGCTGATTAACTGTGTCATATGGTAATCCGGGTCCAGGATAGCTGCTAGGACTGTTCAAAAGAGACAATCCATTGTTTCCTGGTGTATGGATCCCCAGCTGATCTGGATACAGTGAAGTGACTGATTGGCCTAAGCCTCTTATAGGAGGGAGTCTGTCACCATGTTCGTCATTATGGGCTGGTTGGTATGGAGTAATGTTTTCTCCTCGCGGACTTGAAGGTCCAGTGCGACTGGAATCTGATCTATAAGATCTGTAGCGAGAGTTCATGTTATTGCTGTAGGAAGGTAATTTATCTTATACGTTTAATCTATATTAACGTAGACACTGATATATATTACTGGCAAAGGTGTATTGTTTCTTAGGGAAGGCAAAACCGCCACCGGAAAGGGGTATTTATAAGGGATTAGCTTCGTGATAAGCAGACCCAATTTGAGATGCATTCGCTCATATTCTGACAATCCTAATGAATGATGCTGCTCATGAAGGTTTTCACCTATGCCATGAGGTTATGGTGTGAATATTAGCTAAAACAAGAAGTTACGGTGATGCTATGTGATACAGTGTCTTTGGTCAAGGTCATAGTGGTTTGTGAATTCTTGTCTGGGGGGGTTAGTTCATATTCTTAGTTAACACAAAATCTATACGGGAGCTTTCTTAAACTCCAGTTCGTCACTGATACATTGACTGAGTTCCAGTTTGACTTGATTTACCATGTCAGCAAAGAAAGAACGGAGAAATACAATAGCTTTGGGGTTCCTTAATAAGGATGTTGCATTATTTTCAAATATTATTTATTAGTCAAACGAATTACCAGGCTATTGAAGAGCGATACTGGCTGTCTTCACCTCACCTGCCTTCTTCTTCAAGGAACCAAAATCTCAACAGTGTTGAGCTACGACCATGCGTCATTTGCGACGTTCTTTGCCTTCCAGCTGCCCTAAGACATCATGCGGAATCTAAAAGTGCCCAGCTGCTGCGTTTTGGCAATATGAGAGTCCTGTATAGCGCTGTGTACGACATCCTGTGTTGAGAGCTCCGCAGTTGACAGTAGTTGCTAGGCCCAATGCATTGCTGGTGTTATCGGAGTTTCTCTTGCAAGATAGTCTCATTGACGACTCTGTTCATTCTCAGGGGGGTTCGCATCATCAGGCTTGGGGACAGGGTTTTTGATATGGGCAGGTAGATCACCTGGATGTAGTCCCGTTGGAGCCGGTGGGAGCGTCAAAGGTGCAGATGGCCCGCGCATGAAGTTCCTTGCCCACATCATTCGATCATCTCCAAGCTGAGTGCCTCCAGTCTGAACTGTGGGGAAATTGCTGATATCAGCAGTGCGAGACCCAGAGCCTTGACCCGGTTGCAGTGCAGACTGAGAATTGGAGCCCCCTGAGATGACCTGTTGATACGGGACACCGGCGTTGAGCTGCCTGTTTTGCCAAGTTACCTCGGGACTGATGTAGCCAACTCGAAGTGCTGCTCTTATATGAGCCTGTTCAGACTGCTGAGGAGTAAGGTTTTGGGGCTGGGTGCCGTTGCTAGCCGGCTGAGCGTTCTGCGCAGCTTGAGCCCGGCGAGCCTGCTCATCATTGTTATTTGACATTGTTTTGATGTTCAATTTCTTTGTGATTTTCGGGTTTCAGTAGGCAAAAAAAGGCGGTTCAATGATTGCTGTTGTGTTCTGGTAGCATCAGTCCCGGTCATGGAACTCACTGATATATAGGGCAAAGACTCCCAACTTCACTCAACACTGACACCTACAAAACCTGCGGTGATGCATTCGATTCAGTTTGCATATATCAGGGATGGGTTCACTGGAACCCTCTGTCTCACTGACCCGGAAGATTAACAGCAGTTATTGGAATCACGAGCTCAGTTTTCTGTGCCTCTGATTCCAAGTTCCCTCAGAGACGAGACATCAGAGCTGTCCCCAGAGTGATTGACATCACCTAAACCTGATCAGCCGTTCATATGCGAGATTATATGCTGTGAATCGTAACTATGGCCGGTGAAGAGCCTAATGTACTCTTACAGCGCGTCTGCGTTTCCGCCTGGTTTGGTGGCCTTTCGCCAGCAAGAGAATTCTCTTGCAGCCTCCTCGGACATCCATATCTTATTTTTCATGGTGCTAGTCTCATGGATCTTGTAACCTTTTTCTTTACAGTCATCGCAAGGATCCAGTTCTACTTGTAAATTTGGTACAAGCTCGGTAAGCATATTCCTGCGCCCCTTGAACTTGGTATGAAGCAATAATATCTACGGTTCAGGGTTAAAATGATGAGACAGAGGTTGGGAATCTTGATTAACGAAGTCCCGGGAGAGTTCATTCGATGCATTCGCTACTGAGCATTGTATTCCTCTACGACGAGATCTATCCTAGATCAACTCATCACCCCTCTTCGTCTCTCTGTCTCTCTCTTCTTCTCCTGTTCCTTTCTCTGGCATTAACGAAGCAACCTTGACATACAGTGCGCCCTTGAGTGCGCTCTCTTCCACATGAACACAGCCCTAGGCGCCGATATCGATCTCGTGATTTATGAAACATTGCATGACACTTTGCACATCGTCTGGAAGAGCCAGCATCTCGCTTATAACATATGTTACATATGTGATTCGCCACAAGGATGTCCTTTTCATCCCGGTGGAAGGCTTGTAGGTTATTCATATGACGTAGGCACAGCAGGTTGCCAGGATCATCGACATTAGACTTACATAGCAGGCAAAATTCTAATGCAAGAACGTTAGCATCACTTTTACGGCGCCTTTCGCAATCTTCACAGCGTATCCCGAATGTGGGAAGAGGAGTCGTGCAGTTGATGCAATATACTTGTAGGGGTGCGTTACTCTTCTGTCCGTATGATCGATATTCTATGATCGGCGAAGGGGCATCCAGAGCGTTACTGTCTCCGTGAGTATTGTATTGATCAGCAGCATAATCGTCATTGAATGCTTGTACGCCTTGAAGTTCATTTCCATATGGTTGATGAAGTTCAGAAGGATAGATGTACGGGGCATACTCTTGATAGTTCGGAGTGTATGTTGGTGGTTCATCGTAGGGCTGACCGTTATAGCCCCAATTCCCAAGATTATGAGGATCAGAATATGTTGCCTGATTTAGTCGCCCAGCCATATTCTCGCTAGGATACCATGGGAGGACTTCTTTTTCACTTTCGTCCAAGTCATTCCTTAGCCAGTTATGGACATTTGGGTCGGGGAGCGGATATCTCAGTGACGGTTCATAGTCGCCAAGCCTACTATCTAGACCTGCGTCATAGTTTTCGGTGCCGAAAAACATTCCTGAATTGGAAAACGGATTTTCAAGTGCAGCATTGCTATAGGCATAAGGACCACTGGAGCCTGGGTCATAGTATTGCGGGCTGAATGTGTAACTCTGGTCGTCTCCTAGGTTAGGCTGAGGTTCATGGAGCTGAGGGCCAGAGAGGTGGGGCGAATAAGACTGATAGTCGAAGACTGGGGCGTCTGGGTAGTGACTGCTGGCAGCTTGCGAGTTATGAGATTGGAAACCAGAAGACTCAGGGTAGTAAGGATAGCTGAGTTGGGGGTCGATTGGCATCGAAAGCGGCGGCTGTGTACCATATGTGCTGGCTGGTGGATAGTAAGTATTTCCAAAGGGGGTTTCCGTTGTTGGCTCCTCGTACCAAGCATAGTCTGGCCCAAGTCCGCTTTGAGAAGTTGTAGCCTCTTCTGGGGGACCGTAGGGCGATATATATGGTGCATGATTGAAATTCATATTGTATATAGATATATGTTGTAGGCCAGGTTTATGTTTCGAACAGTCAACAGCCCTGTAGGCGGCTTATATAGTAGTCAAAGAAGAGGCTCAGTGATGGACGTCTGTAGAGAACAAGCAAAATACAAAGCCAAATATATGCAATAAACACACAGCTCCCGACGGTCAATATGGTGTTTCAGACTCTCTCGTGATGTCGAGACCATGACAGTTTTCGATAGCTGGACTGATTCACTTCTATGCATGCCGGGAGTTCAAGATACATGATTGCATCTCACGACTTTCATTTTGCACAATGCATACAATTGGACTGATCATCACGGGATAACATTTCCTTTCATTAAAACTGTAGGGTAGAGCACCGGGTCTACATGATTCTTTTGAAGAAAATCATAGTGCTACGTGTCATTATATTCAATGCTTCACTACAGGACACTGCGTATCGCTCAAACATATAGTGATAAAGGGGAGATACAGCTCAAATCACTCTTCGCGTCATCACGATATCTTGGACTTATCACTTGTAACGTTCTCCTTATCGATAACCCTCCAGCTCCCGGCACTTATCGCGTTGCGTGTTTTCTCAGTTAAGTCTTGGCACACTATATCATATCTCATGACTCTTCTCCTTGATCGCCATTCGCACCCATTTCAATCATCATCATCAACACCAAAACCTGTTTTCCCAATCATATCAACCCCAGATTCGATAGTTCCCCCGCCTCCTCATTCTGAGGTGCGTCTGCCGCGTTAGCCAGCCCCAGTCCATCACCAACCCTATTTCCCCTCAATAGTGGCCAAGAAGGGCCGAATACCGGCGAAAACACTAGCACACGTCATTCAGCCAGCGATTCCAATTAAAATGGAAATGAGGAGACGAATTCCGGGGGATCCGGGGTAGTATTATAGCTTGCATTTATTTATTTGACAGGCGTGCAATTGCGACAACGCAGTGCGACCCTACAGCGCCAACAACATATCGAGACAAAACAATTAATCGCAGCAACAATTAAATATGTTTCATTTTTCTCGGTGAAACTTTATAAGCCAATTATAGATTAAAGAACTGTCAGGATTTCAATGATTCCACAAGGTTTGGCTCGGTAGTTATGATTCTGCGTAAAGTACTCAATCAATTTTTGAGGCTATTCAGGTGCATCAATCACAGGCGGGAGCCATGAGCGGAACGACAAATAAAGTTTGATTAGATGCATTTAATACTGCAACATTCATTCGCGCGAGACGTTTCTTGACATTATTCGAGTCATGCTAAAGCAGGAGCCGTATAGTAGCAATAGTATTTAGCACATAATAATTCACATCACCTGAAGCTACAGGGTAGTGCTGCAAATGACAAAAATTGTCCACCGTCATGGTGGTACACTAGTCGCAGACCAAAGACCAGGAAATCAGGAGAAGGTCGTAAAGAATGATATCAGGTTAAATATCGACCGGGGGCGCACCGAAGAAGGATGCCATTCATCACGCCGTTGAACGGCTCGTCACATTGTGTCACCAATCCCAGCAGAGGAACCTGCAGTAGCTAAACTCAAAAGCCTCAAAGGGTTTGGTTTGCGTAGAACATGCATAGAATATGTGATCAAATAGTGCCATCATTGTGATCCAGGACTATGTATGCATTGACTCGACAATCCTTAGGTAATCACTTGCCCTTAAGTTTTGAGGAAAATCACATGAGGGTATCGTGATTCAGTGTATGCATGACATTTTGCGGGTCTGTTCCCAACGGAGCCGATAGAATCCGAGGATCGTCAGTCCCAGGCGCCCGGCGAGGCGGCAACATACCCTGTTGACGGTTAGTTCGCCCGCAGTGAATTGACATCAGATCACTCCTTAGATAACCAAAACTCATAGACCAACAAGTATCACGGAGCCGTTACTCAATTCGGCATGTTTTTAACCAAAATACCCGGTGATCAAACTATTCGTGCTTTGACTCTGCATCACGAGAGCTAAAAGCTGAAAAGCTAGGCCGGAGAATATTGGAAACCAGAGTGATTCTAGACTCGGGGAAGATGAATTGGTTTAAAGGGGGGCGGTGGATATGGTGGGAATCATATGTCTTCGTCTAACCTCGGATCAAGCAGGTCAATTTTGAAATAGTCGAGCTGCATGCTTTTTACCCCTGGCTTACCTGTCAGATTGAGCTTAGTCCTTCAGCTGGAGTGTGCATGACTTGACAAGACGCAGGGGTACACAGGTGAAAGGGGTAAAAAGGAACGGAATGAAAATCAAAAGGAAACGCTCAGCCTTACGATCCAAGTGCCCATTCTCCATCTAGACCCTGAACTATTCATTCTACTAGCTACTCTTCCGGTCAGAGTCGCGAAGGACACGAGTAAGGCTGATCGTCTTGGCTTCACATGTCCCCGGAGCTGTTGTTCCAAGGAGAAATACCAGAGGCAATTCCGCAACCACAAAGCCTCAATACGTAATAAGGGGCCTGCGCTAGAAAGAACTTCCCTACTTCCGAGCCAATCCCCGCACGAGTTCCCCATGGAGAAGAGTGGATCCGGCTAAAATCGGTCACACATTCTTACTTTTCCAATGGTGAGACGCGGGCGTTGGTACGAGAAAAACTCGCGACGCAAACTAAAGTCTGGAGATTGTCAAATGAGGCTCTACAATTTCTTGGATCTAGTCTTACCTAAAGAATTGCCTTGGATGACACACGAGTGTCCGGAAGAGGTAGGTACCCGGACTTCGTGGCATACACTAGAAAGTCCTAGTCTCATTGTCTGACGCGAAGGATGATGACTATTTGGCACAATTAACCAACGGCTCACCCAGGATCCCTTGCAAATTGAGTCAGAACAGGTTTCTTTTTAAGACAATCCCACGTGTAGTCTCCCCTTTCCCCTAGTCCCCGTCCCAGATCGGCATTTTTAATCATTTTCAAACGGCCTCCATCTTGAGCCGCATCGTGAAGATCGCCGTTGTTGTCAAAGCTTCTGGAATACCACGTGGAAATATCTTGCAAGCGTAGATGCTTCTTTTCTGAGCCTTTGCAACGCTCACCCGCAATGATCGGATGTTTAGACCCAATAGGGCAAATGTCCAGCTAGCGTAGACCCTCCTCGGCCGACTTTTCTCCAGTATTTAAGTATCCACCTCCGCCATTGGCAAAAGCCGCCAAAATGTGAGAAACGCCGAGAGTGAGGCCGTGATAGAGTTGCGTTACAAGCTACCAGAACCTGGGGTGCATGGGTCAATTTCACTTCCCCAGTCGAGTTCAACTGAACTGTAACGAAATACCCAAGCGAGGGGGACTCGAGCGCCGATCCTATATATGTCAGGCCCGTTCCAGGATGTAACCCCAGAACCATGCCGATCATTCATTCATGACTCCGCCGCAAGGCATCCATTCCTTTTTTCTGAATCATCTTGGCCTTTCACAAAAACCACCATGTTCGGCTCTGGTAAAGCAGCCTCGGACAATGGTAGTAGCAAGGACGAGATAGTCCTGCTGCCAGTCCAAGCAAAGTCTGGCATCCTCCGCGTCACAGAGATCGAGACAAAAGTACACGATCCAAACCACCAGAACAACACTCCCATCCCAGACCCGACGTTTGATTTACCAGACAACCATCCCAATAAAAATGCCATCGAAGTATTATGGCTTCCCCGCGGGTCGCACAGCTCCGACGACACGGGCGAGAAAGTCCGTCGTGCGCTGAACAATGAGAAGGAGATGACCATCTTGGGATGCTGCAAGCAATTCCCCAAAGCAATCTTCTGGTCTCTTTTGCTCTTCCTCACCGTTGTTATGGAGGGGTACGATAAGAGTCTTGTTGCTGGATTTGTCGCATTTCCTGCATTTCGACGACGATATGGCGAGGAGTTTGATTCGCCGAATGGACCGATTTATGAGATCTCGCCGTTGTGGCAGACGGCGCTTCAGGTCTCGGCTATTGCGTGTGAGGTTCTTGGTCTGTTGCTACACGGTTGGGTTACGTATAGCATTGGCTATAAGAAGATGATGTTGATTAGTCTTGCTTGGATGTGTCTTGCTGTCTTCCCGGCGTTCTTTGCGCACGACATCGGTGTGTTGGTGGCTTCCCAGGCTCTTTGTGGTATGTCTGCCCCTCTTATCCATGCCTTATCTTCATGTCCCAGTCATGATCCACGTCGATGCTCAAGACTAACTGTCATACAGGTATCTCATGGGGTGTCATCCAAACACTCGCAGCAACATACGCCGCCGAGGTTGTCCCCTCAGCTATCCGTGCCTGTCTTCTCAGCATGACCAACATGTGCTGGGTCATCGGCCAGCTTCTAGGCACCGGTATCCTCAAATCACTCGTCCACAACAACTCAGAGTGGTCCTATCGTATCCCTTTCGCTCTTCAATGGGCCTTTGCCATCCCTCTCCTCATCGGCATTTTCTTTGCCCCCGAAAGTCCATGGTGGCTTATCCGTCGTGAGCGCAAGGTCGAAGCGCGTCATGCTCTGCAGCGCTTGACTAAGCAGTCTCAACTTGATATCGACGACACCATTGCTGTTATGGAGCATACTAACCGTATTGAACGTAAGCTCAATTATGGTGGTTCGAGCTACCTTGACTTGTTCAAGGGTGCGAACCTTCGACGTACTGAGATTTGCTGCATGGTTTGGTCCGTCCAGGCTCTTTGTGGTTGGATCTTGACTGGTTACGCTCCTTACTTCCTTGAGCAAGCCGGGTTTGACTCCTCCAAGTCCTTCAGTATGTCCACTGGCATGTACGGTATGGCTTTGGTCGGTGGCATGATCTCTTGGTTCCTTCTGTCTCATATCGGTCGTCGCAAGCTCTACCTCACTGGTCTTGTCGCTGCTGTAGTTATGCTTACCCTCGGCGGTATTCTCTCTGTTGTTCTTGATGGTCAAAAGGGTCTCAACTGGTCCCTCGGAGCCATTCTCATCACAACAACCTTCCTCTACAATCTCAGCATCGGTCCAACATGCTACGTCATCGTCGCCGAAATTCCCTCTACTCGTCTTCGTGTCAAGACCATCGCCTTGGCCCGAGTTGTCTACAACATCTTCATGATCATCAACAATGTCATCGTCCCTCAGATGCTCAACCCTACCGCTTGGAATATGCAGGGCAAGTCATGCTTCATCTATGCTGGTACAGCTCTCCTTTGTCTCGTCTACTGTTACTTCCGTCTGCCTGAGACCAAGGGTCTATCATATCTTGAGTTGGATATGTTGTTTGAGAAGGGGGCGCCTACTGCCAAGTTCAAGGAGTTGCAGCAGAGACTTGCGAACTCCGCTTACTTGACCGTGGATAGGGCGGAGCGCATGAGGAATGCTTGGCATGGTTGGCTCACATATTCATAATATTTTCTAGTGTTAATACTTGTTCTCCTTCAAGGACAATTACTCTTCAAACCTGTACTTCTGATTCCTCCGTGACGCCATGTGTGACATTATGCCTCGTTTTGAAGATTCCCCTCCTAAATCATTCCTCTTTGTACTGAACCAGTCAAAAAATAGAGCTGGCAGCTACGTTAGGAGTCCTACCACTGATGGAACACCCGCATCAAAACTCTGATATGTTGCCCCTTCTTGTTTGCCAATTAATAATTACAATTATGAGACCCAAGCGCTCGAGTCATCTCGGGTCTGAACACAGGTCGTTTGATGTGGACATGGTAACCCGGCATTAGCCCACGATCAGATATGGAATGCTTACCAACAATCGAGGCGAGAAAGTGGTGCAGATTACGAACATATAAAACCAAGTAATTCCATGAAAGTAATGATATAACCGTCAAGTGGCCCTGGATATATCATATTCCAAAAGAAGAAGGCTGGTGTTACACAAGTCTGCCTCACCGTGTCATGTGGTGGCCGACAACTTGACTCGGACTCGCATTTGTGACAAGAAAATGCAGCCACCAGCCGGCAAAACGCCACTGCCCGGATTGTGAAGGCCTGTGTCGTCCTTGTTGCGAATTGAAGGGGTATGTCAGATGTTGGCAATCACAAAGACGGCTACTGAGCAACGCCACTGTCTTGGTCCGAACACCGGCGATGTCTTAAACACCAGAACTCCTATTTGTACAGCGCTTCCCCCGCTTTTCATAAAGAAGGCTCTAGAAGACATCATCCATCAGAACAAACTCGGTGCCATCAAGACTGGAGACAGCAGAACAACGAAACGACCCATGTCAACTCGATCCAGCATCTCGAAACCCATTTCCTCCCTCCGTCCCAGAGCTGCCGGCATGGGGTACTATGGTAATCCAGTCGCTGTGCTTGGCATGAAGTCAGACCAAGTCCGACCGCTTGACAAATCTGACGTTGAAGGTAAGGCGCATACCAGTCAGGTTTTATTGCTAACAAATTGACAGGCAAAGGCAGCTATATCGCAGTTGAGATTCCTCGATTGAAGAACAACGTCCCAATCTACATCTCGCGATCGGACGATGCGAAGCAGGAGTTCATTGCGGAGGTCAATCTTTGGAGCATGGGGGTTCGGTACAACCTGCATAGACTTCTCGGGGAAGGACCTCAGCTCTACGTCGTGAATGCATGAGGATGGTCGGCGTGAGCCATGGCTTGGTGTGATGATAACAAGGAGGATATGATCATTTCCAATATTATTTGCATGTTTTGCAGTGGGTTGGGTGCGCCGCTTTGGGTATTTTTGGATATTACATGTTCTTTAGACAGTCATGGGGGACTCGGACAGTTAGTAAATGTCACCTTTAGCCGTGATTGTTGAAGATAGCAGTTCATCCGAGGATGCAAGTCAGCCGGAGAAATTACTTGGTCAGCTGCATGAAGATTCCATTTCTAGCACCGGTTTATGCATGATGACAGGCTTGAGGTGGCAAACCCGTTAGAACACGAGAACCATCCGCCTGGAAAGTGCTGTCACAATTTCACAAGCAATAATCTCCGTCGTGTAAGCCATGAGACTCGAGCTGAAAGCACTCACAGCCACGCTGAAAGTCACAATTGCAGTGAGGCCAACAAAGGTAAACAGGAGGAAGAGAGACCAGACGAGTGAATTCTGGCGGAGGTTGTGTGGAGATTATTGGGTGAGGGTTGGTAGCACGGCAGCCAATATTTCAAGCCATCTATTGACCGCGCGCATATCGCTACCATGGCTTTGCCCTAAGCTATCCACTCAGCGCCGCAGATATCTTCCGAAAAGGAATTCTTGTTATAGTAAGTTATTGGCCTTCAGTACGGTCTCTACTCAACTGGACTATCGAAGCAAGCAGCTGCTTCGTTTAGTCTGGTAGAACTGCAGTTGCTCACTTTTGGTCAATGGGCTCCAACATATCCTCAGACAGAACGGAATGCAAGCTATCAGGCTGTGGCGCCTCGAAGCCCCGCCCCCTTCCCCAGAATGAACAGTATGCTATCATATTTGGAAGCATGGGGGCAACATCATAGTTACACAGGTTGGGCGGTCTCTGCAGCAGGCTGCCTCGCACACCATCAAGCGCCCGATTCTGATGCGTTCTCAGAGCCTCGTTTGGCGAGGCATAAAACAATACCATGGATTCCGCATTAGATATTTCCCATTCTTTGTTAGATAGGACAAGGCTCTCACACTGAGTACGTACACAATCCGTTGTTTTTCATTTCATAACTGCCGAAACTTGGAAAGACATGGCTAGCTCACCGTCTGAGACCTCTCATACACTACATCCACAAGTCAGTGGAGCGAGTAGCGCTGATGTCGACCCTTCGATTCCTATTCGAGGACCTGAGCACATTTCAGATGAGGAAGGGCCTTGGGCTCAAAAGTCGATCTTAACATTCGGTAACGAACCACTCTGATTGATTGGCACCTTTTCTGACTATTGTATTTTAGATGGAGGCGGTGTTCGTGGCTACGCAAGTCTGCTGGTACTGAAACGTATCATGACTCGAATACGTGAAATAGAGCGTGATCACGACAACTACCCAGCCCCCAGCAGTACCTTCTACCCCTGGATGGGGGAACGTGGGCAGCCTGCTGCTGAAGATAACCCAGAATCAGAACGAGTCGATGAGTATCTTCCGTGTCACTACTTTGACTACGTCGCTAGGACTTCAACTGGTGGGTAGGTCACCTGAAACAACGCTTTGCACAGCCGGAGACTAATTTTCATCTAGTCTGAGTAGCATTATGTTGGGAAGGCTGCGTATGTCAGTTGACCAAGCTTTGGACACATACAAAGCATTCGGAAATGCTGTGTTCGGGAAACCTAGATGGTTTCATGAGCGCTCATTCCTTTGGTATCCACGAGAAAAGTTCTCATGCCGCAAGACACGGGAAGCATTCCAGAAGGTCGTCTACCAGACCCTTAAACGAGAAAGAGACTGTTTCCTTAGCGAGGCAGAGACTGAGCCACTGAAGTACAGAGAAGACCGAACCAGAACGTACAGTCCCCTGCACAACTTGGTCCTATTTCGGCCTACTGACACTGCCATATAGTATCGCCATCTCTTGGGCTATTAACAAAGAAGGGGGCGTTAGTAAAGAGTTCGTCTGGAGAAGTTATGATAACGACTTTAGTCCCAAAGCGCATGACTCTAATCTCTGGAACCCATCCAATGCGGGACCCGCTCATACTACAGCAATATGGGAGGTTGCTCGTGCAACAACAGCTGCACCAAGGTACTTCGAGTTCATCAAAATCAGAGGAAGGAAATTTCTCGATGGTGGTATGGTAGCCAACAATCCCTCCTTGATCGCTATCAGAGAAATCCATAACCTCCATGGCTTGGTTCCGGCCCTTTTCGTCAGCATTGGAACGGGTCTGAAGGTTTCTGCGGATGCTCAAAAGAATGGTGTCCCCAAAGAAGCCAATGGCGATATAAAAACGCTTAGAAGGGCTGCAACTAGAGATGATGTTCGATGCAAGCAGTTCTTGAAGAAGTATATCGAGATAGGTCGACATTGGAAGAACTGGATGGTTGACTGTGAGGGAATGAACGGCACGAATGGGTGGTGAGCGCACTGCAAAGCGATCGGATTGACAGAGCATTTATACAGACTCAACATGGAGGGCGACCTTCACACCATTCCTCTCGATGACCGGCGCCCTTCCAACACTGGAGAAGATACTCTCAGTTTCATTGAAGCGCAGGCAGAAGGATATCTCGATGAGAGCAAAGTTAACGATTATATCAGCTCTATTGCGAGGAAAGCAGTAGAGACAAGACGCCAACGCGCTGCGACAGAACAGTGGGAGCGATTTGCAGTGGATGTTATTTATTGCTGTTCCGATTGCGATACGAAGAAATATGACACTCGGGCGAAGTTGCGAGAACATTTGCAAAAAGGAACCGAGCATAGAGGGGCCAGGATAGCTGATTGGAGGCAGCTTGAGGAGAAACTCAACGCCTCTAGATCTTTAGGCCTGATAAATCAGTTGAAACAAGGGAGTGAGATCGCTGTTCGGAGGCTCTGGGACTTACAACAAGGCAGCTTCAGGAAAGGTGAAGACGATTATGTACAAACGGGTAAGAAGATATCATGTATATACAACCTTGCAAACTTCTATAATGCTTTACTCGCTTATTTATGCTTATGATACCTGATTATCATGTTTTTCTGTCTCCCTTCAGATCTTTAGGCAACCGAATCACCTTGGTTGACAACAACATGTGCCTTCTTCTCACCTTGAGAATAATAGCGCACTGCGATGCACAGAGTTCTGATGAGTAACTGGCAGTTCTGAATATAAGGCCCAGTAAAGTAGATATCCGGGTTCCCATGAATGCGACTATGCAACGTAGCCAGTTGACCGATGTTGTTAAAAACCGCAAACACCAAAGAGTGACAGATATCCGCATCCGAGAACGACTTAATATCCCGTACAGGATTTTCCGCTTCGTGATTCCCAGCATCAGGTCGATGTTCTAAGCTAAATGCTTTGCAGAATGTCGAAGCAACGGCTGTCATTTTCATACCAATTCTGTTGTAGTCCATTCCATAAATGTCTCCGATCAGCTTATCAACATTTGCGTTGCTCCCCTTCTCAGCTTGTTCAAGCATATCTTCATACGTGCGTGCCCGTGTGAGAAGAAGTAGCAGACCGCATAACGCTGAGCCACCAAATGAGGAGCCCGAGATACGCTTACATTGACTGTTTTCTGAGACTTGGAAGAAAGATACGCCTGAGCCGATGTTGACGAGAAGGTAGGGGTGAGATTTTGGTGGTGTTGAGGGGACGATTGTTTCGTCGATGAAGGTGTAGATATCGCAACTAGATCCAGGAATAGGTGGACGATTATCTGGCTCTGGTCAGTATTGGTCATTTAAGATGAGAACAGAGACAAATACCATGACTTGAGCCGTCAATTCCGTCTGATAAATGACTGCCATTTAGGGGGTCAACCAGATATTGCAGCTCTGCATCCCGTACATGATCCTCGCTTGTAGTCATGGTTTAATAAAGGAGCTTTAATGTAAGATGAGGTAAAAGACAGTATTTGTGAGCACTCAAGCAAGATCAGGTGTACGGACTCAAGATAACATGAGAAGTTCGTGATATTGTCGTTGAAATGCGGTGACTAAATGAGGCTAGTGTAGATTTGGGTTGGCAAAGGGGGGAGGATTTGATGAATTTTCACGTCAATCTTACAGCCGAGGGATCGTCGAGTATCCACCAGGGGACTTTCCTGCCAATCATACTTGAGAGAAAAGATCAGATAAGATAAGATTCATTCACAACCCTATCTATCTCATAGTCGTGATAACCGAGGCCAATAACCAAGTAGCACTGGTGTTATCCACGTATGTCGTGCTGGTTTCAATGCCTATGGCGTGACTTGCCTTATTTGCTAAGGACAAATGGTAAATGTACGGTTATGCAATAAGGTGTTGGTTCTCTACAAGCGAGAATTATTGTGGGGTTATCATATGATCAAAATGTTTCTTTACGCCGTGTCCTCTTTGCTTCAAAACATCATTTTGAAATTCAAATTCAAGAATTATGACTTCTATTCCGAACAAGAAACCTTTCTTACTCGCTCTCCCTCCAGAGATTCAGAGCCACATAATTTCTCTTCTTGCTGATTCGACTGATTTCAAATCAGTTCATTCACTTCTATTTGCGTGCAAACACCTATATGCAATGGCACTGCCTTTCTCAGTCCAGACGTTCTGCGATAGCCCGAGGCCTGAAGTGCCGAAGAAAGACTCTGTGGTATACTCCCGAGTCGTACAGTTTCTTTCCTACGTTTCTATCGTCAAGCCAGAACTTGCCCAACACGTTCGCACGATCAGGCTGTATGATTGGCTGACTGATAACTATTACAATGGAACGGTTCAAATCGATGCCAATGATCTCATCGTATATAAGCAATTGATCCTCAAGATATTCTCTGAGAAGTTGGGATATCACAAGCATTATAGTAGCGGATGGATTTGGGCTCTCGAAGCAGGAATCGAAGATGCCATGGTGGCTCTTCTACTTACCGTCTGCACAAAGGTCAAGACTTTGACATATGGTCACCCTTGGGGTCCAAGCTGCTTCGGCTATATCCTTGGAGCTGCCTCTGGAGGTTGCGGAAGAAGAGGTGTCGAACTTCCTCCGAGTCAGCTGCTAACTAGGTTGGAGAATGTCAAGCATGAGTCATACGATCGCGAAGAAGGATATCTCCAATTTCATGACCACGCAACCCGGTTGTTCCGCATCCCTAGTATTCGTTCATATGAATGCGTTGGAGCAAGAAGTCCTGAAATGGATGAGTTTGACCTACGCGCAATACCTGAACGATGTTCAAACATTCAATCAATCATCTTACGAGATAGTTGGTGTTCAGCTCCGTCCATTCGCTCCATGTCCGGAGCGTGCAAGGCCCTCAAGAAGTTCACCTATACACGCGACTTTAAAAAGCCGAACGATGATGACGAGTTCGAAGCGACGGCTCGGGATATCATGGAAGCCCTATTGCTTCATGAAGATAGCCTTGAACATCTTCATATCAATTTGATTGAGGCAACCCGCAAGAGCACTTGCGCGCCCGGACCACGAGAACGATTGTATATGGGTGTTGAGCTACGACAGATGCACAAGTTGAAAAGCCTTGTTTTAGGCTCTCAGAGCATCAGTGGACTTCTAGGTAATGGCAAGGTGTATTACTTCACCCTGAATAAAGCTTTAGAGGCTCCAAGGGCTGTTGAATGTATTCCAGAACACTTGGAGTATCTTGAAATCCATAGCTGTGGAGGAAACATCATCAGCCAGCTCGAGGAGTTTCTGGACACTCTGATCTGCGCAGATCGGTTTCCCAACTTATCATCAGTCAAGTTTATCTTCAACGAAAACTGGGTGAAAGAAGAAGAGATAAGGGGCCTTGTTTCGAATAGAGATGGCTTGGCACTGGAGGTTATTCGGCGTCGGTGATAACAAGAATAGTTGAGCCAATAGGGGGGAACACATGAGACCATAGCAGCTGTTTTCTAAATCACCGAAATAGTAGCTTATCTTATTTATATGTTGTATCTAACAGAAATTGATTGATACTAGATTATGAGAACAACCTCTAGAGACCGACCTTGATGCGCCGTCTACTCCAAGTCTGGCCTACAAAGACCATTGACCTTATCAATAGTATCCGTCCTTCGTTTAACAGGATCGCCTAACCTGGCAATATGAGCCTCTTTAATTCTACGGCGAATATTTGCGAGCTTGGCGATAGTACCAATTTGAGTAATAGCAAGAGGGGCGAGTACAAGATCAAAATGGCAACGATGCATTCTTGGGAACGTCAACCACTGTATAGATGTCCACGGCTGAGTTACCAGCAGCGCCTCGAGGAGCCATGGCATTTCCGGCTTCATTCAGTCCAGTGACACTGCCATTATCTCTTAGAGCTTGTCATATTCTCATAGTCTTGGGCTATGTAATCGGCGCCCCAAGACAGGTCTATGCATGCCAGCCTTGAGACGCTAGGTTGGTTCAACCCGGGTATTCGGCATTCACAGGTCGAGCCATATGCACTATCCCACAATTTTCTGGCAGGGAACTGTTGTATTAAATACCTAGCTTGGAAACGACCGAAAGTATGTTCTGAACCAACAATCAACAAGGCAATTGAAACCGCGGCTCACTTGGTCTACAGCAGGTACATAACCTCTTTTTACGACGCGCAATTTCCTTTGTCCGCCAAAGGATTCCGACCATTGAACTCATCTTCGTCGTTGTAGCCTGACCCCTGTAAGACCAAATGCGTCCAACCTCGCCTCATCATCAAGTGAACGAGCTCTCACTTATTTGCTCTCAGCCAACCGGCCAGGGAACTCCGGGTCGTTTGGACGAAGAGCTATCTTTGGGTGTGGACCCGAATAGCCTGCCGGAGAAGGCTTAAGAGTTACTTTCTACAATTGAGCCCGGCTGGGACGCTCAAGATCCACCACCACAGTTTGAGCGATATGGCAAGCAGTTTCAACCACCTCTTTACTGTGCCGCCGACATTTTTGACAACAGGCCGGAGGGTAAGAGCGAAAGGCTCCAAATGGTCACATCGCTTCTTCGGCAAGGATCCGATCTGTACCAGGAGTTTCCTCAGGCTCTTTATAGCCGAGAACGCTATTCTAAACCCAGAGCACCCTTCCCCGGTGAAGATCCCCCGCGCACATTTTTCCCAGACTGTCCCAAGGCGGCCGATAGCCTAAATTGGATGGAAGAGAATGAGCATCCGCACTTTTCAGATGATGAGTGGGAAAACGAAGAAACAGCGCCTGTGTGGGGTGCTCGACATCTCATACATGCTATCATCGAGGATGGGATTTGGTTCAAGCAGTTAATAGGCTATCCCGGCTTTCTGGAATCATTAGATCTTGAACATCGTGATCCTCAAGGACGCACACTCCTGCTCAGTGCGTGTCGAACTGCAGCCGGAGCCGATGTCCTTGCTGGGACGCCTCTCAAGGATATTGATTGGAGAGTGGAAAATGGAGAATCAGGCCAAAAGTTATATCCAAGCTGGGATAGAGACTCGGGGTCGACCGAGTCAGACTTTTCGGAGCCAGGCTCGGAGACTTTGGTTGAAGTATTTCTTCGACTTGGAGCAAACCCCCTCGCGGTAGATAACCAGGGGAAAAACGCACTGCATCATCTCCTCGTCGAGGTTAGCAATAACCAGAACGCAGATTTTCAAGAGCTGCCCATTGTTCGGCGGTCTTTACGTATCCTTTCGTCGAGATACCCGGCTCTGGTGAGCCAGCCTGATCACCATGGAATCTATCCACTACATGCAGCACTTCGTCGAATGCGATTTCACCCCTTGGCTGAAGATCTGACTCCGATCATCTTGGCAGAGCCTCTTGGGCGTGTCCAAGAGCTCCTGAGAGCTGGTGCTGATCCCCTGGCTAAAGATAGAAAAGGAAATGCCGCGTTGCATTACCTGGCTGACGACGATTTAACTGGCATCTGGTTTGCGACGGGTAAGCGGGAGATGTTCTATAACCTGTTAAAAGGCGGGTGCAGCCAGGATATAAATATGCCCAACAACGCTGGAAAGACTGTGGTGGAGCTCATAATGGATGATAACGGCCGTATGGAAGATGACAAGATCGGCACCTAAGGTCAATCTCGCACGACCCCTGATCAAGATTTCCAAAACTGGGAGGATGTTGATGCTGAGGTCTTCGCTGCTCTGGAAGAGGCCGGTGTTGATTGGAAGGTCAAGACGTCGGAAGGTGGAAACTTGTTACATCTTGTTGCGCGATCTGGGCTTCACCAGGACAGATTGATTTGGAGGAGTCGATTCCTGGTGAAAAGGGGATCGATGCAAAGGAACCGGATGCAGACGGTTGGACGGCGAGGAAGATTGCAGAGCATTACAGATTGAACAAGTATCGGTTCTATGAGGAGCTCGGCAAGCTGGAAAAGGGCGAGGTTCAGGTGGAGGAGCCGTAGCTTGGAATGAAAAGAGTCAAGTCGATTGCCGATCTCGCGTCAACTGGCTTGAATACTTAGCATAGAAAGACATGAAGATGAAAGGATGCCTTATAGCTATATATCATAAAGACATTGGGTTTGTATTCATGTTAACCTATCCGTGCACTTCACTAACTCAACTCCAATACACTAACGCCCATCCATGGCCGTAATTCTCTCTAATTCAACTCCTCATGCACCAGTAGTGAACAAGCCGCCGTCATGTTGATGATAAAACAGGTTCTTCTATGCCCCAGATAACCTAAGCAGCAACTTCCAAGACGCATCGCCCAGCGACTTGACCAGTAGCAAGCTTCTTGATCCATTCATCGAGATCCTCAAGCTTGCCCTTGGAAAGAATTGGCTATCATTTGTTAGTGCACTGGATCTCCTCTGAAAAAACAAGGATATACTCACACGGACCAGTCCTCGAGCAGTGAAATCAAGAGCCTCCTCGACATCCTTCATACTACCTGTAACACTTCCCACGATCTTCAAGCGTCGAAGAGCAACTGCCATTGGCGGTGCACCAGCAATAACAGTTGGGTCTTGAGGGAGACCAACAGCCACAGCAGTGCCATTGGGACGGAGGTAGTTGGGTGCAGTCTCGTACGCCGCTCGTGTCGCAGCTGTGATGATAACACCGTGAGCACCGTATTTCGTGATCTTCATGACCTCGGCGGTGATGTCCTTTGTTGTCTTGAAGTCAATAAAGACTTCAGCACCGAGTTTGAGGCAAAGATCTCGTTTCTCGTCGCCACCATCGATAGCGATGACTCGCATACCCATGGCTTTGGCGTATTGAATGCAGAAATGTCCAAGGCCGCCTCCTGCACCGGGAATAACTAACCATTGGCCTGGAGTCACTCCAGATCTTGAAGAATGTCAGCATTTTGTATTCTAACAGGTGCAATTGCTTACCGTTTGCAAGCTGTGTATGCTGTTACGCCTCCGCACATAATCGGTCCAGCCTCCTCATCAGAGACACCATCTGGAATTCTCGAAGTATATCTTCCATCCGCAAGAACATATTGCTGAAACGTCCCCGCAACAGAAAATCCGCTGTTCGTCTGGTTAGGACAGTGAACCTCATCCGAACCAACTCTACAAAAGTCACATTCGCCACAAGTGCTGGCAATCCACTTCACACCAGCACGATCGCCAATCTTCCACTTATGCTCCATGCCTTCGCCAATAGCTACGACATTACCGGCTCCCTCGTGCCCGGCAATACCTTTAGAAGCGTCCATCATGCTGACGCCAAAGTCCTTCCACTCATTGTGCAGGAGAGACTTATCAGAGCCGCAGAGGCCGGTCCATGTAATTTTGACGAGAATTTGGCCTGGGCCTGGCTTTTCAACGTCGACTGTGCGGATGGGAGCTGTTGCTTCTGCGCCAAGTCCTTGACGGACGGCTGCTCGTTGTTGAGAGGGAATTGACATTATGAGACGAAGGCGATGCGAGATCAAAGGAGGCTGTTCAAGAGTTCTGGAGTTGAGATATTTGCAAAAGCCATCCCAGAGGATGTCGAGTGTTTTATATCATGTGAGTACTGACCGTTCCACCGAACCAATATCAGACAACCTTCCATGCGGGCATGATTCCGCAAGATCTTTCGAAGCAGGGCGGAAACAGGGTGATTGTTGGTCTGATGGTGAGGGGTCGAATGAGGTGACACGAAGTGGATCCAGAACTGCGTTTGTTATCTCTATTCGAGTAACAAATCTGGCAAAGAGTAACGGACAAGAGGAGCTTGTCTGTTTCTGCAATTGCTTTGACTTGTCGCTTTGACATCATGTATGCCCGTTGGCCCGGCATGCATATCGAAGGATGAATGCGGGGAAGTTGAAACGACATCATTGTGATCCTGTGAAGAGAGGAGATATCACCTGATGGTGGATTCCGAGGAACTTGAGTCAAGTGAAACTAGTCAGGGCTAATGAGCAAGATCTGGAAACCGAGAACTCGCTGAAAGTTTAAAGAATGGTAAAGAGAGAAGATTGAGTTTATCGTAGATCGCCCTTATCGCCGAAAAGACACATGAGACGTGAAACAAACATGCATCATGGTGTCGTACAAATGCCACGCTGCAGGGATATGCTTGGCAGCAGAAATTTCTCAACAAAACGTCCGAGCCGATATCACTGCCACATGCATCCCATGTCTCCGACCAGCAATCATCAGTTCAAGATAGATCAAAGCTTTTCGACATGTCACAAGCTCCATGGCCTGATATCTTCTCAGCGCGTGGTTGGGGCGAAGAACAGACGATCTCGACAAGGATCGTTCAGACAGTGGGGGCTAAGGGGGTTTTCTGCGCGGAACAAAATCCGGGGATCACAAGAGATCTGGGGAAGTTGGAATACCCCGAGAGGCGGGTTCTTGATTTCTTGCTTACGATTGGCTCAGCTTTATCTATACGATACGCTTAGATGTAGCTCCTGTTGTCAAAAACGTGTTGAGGCTTCGGGTATATATCCCCGCTATTACCGTGTACCGAGACCGAGGCCCTCGTTCGGCCCGTTCGTGAGCCCCTCTATCTTTATCGCCTGATCTATGCAACGATATGTCCCTTAACAGATCAGTAACTACATAATCCATGAATTACTACTGAGACTCTTAATAACTTCTAGTAGCAAAAGCAAATAGAATTTTTACCTTCCCTGGCTTCAAGTAGTAAGGTGAAGAGAAGCATTGCTTGCATTCACTAAAGACAGCAGAGATTTGAACTATTATGAACAACTTCTCATGGTGATCATGCAGCCCAGCTAAGATTACTCTCGCTAAGTACTAGTTTGCAACTTGTCAGTAAAATAAAGGAGAGGTTATAGCTGTAAAAACCTTAATAAAGATATTGTGTTCGCCGATAGCTACACATCACACAAACTGAAAGACAGTTCAGGTTCTTGCATTGGTACATCTTATTACTGGGCTTATTGTAATGCTACATTTTGACACACCTAATGCCTCTCAGCGATTGACTATGTAAACACTTGCTATTGTTAGTTATCATTGTCTCCGCGAATGTGTTCTTTACCTTTGTACTGGGGCCTAAAGCTTCTTATAGCTAATGTAGCAGGTGCGAGGCAATCGGAGGCCAATTATACTCAAATGTTGATTATTGGGATATACATAGAGGTCTCGACAGATCTTCCATTATTATTTATCCACAAGAGCTGAAAACAAGGATATGACCCTCGACCAACACACTACATAGGGAACGACGTATCACAACGATCTGCTAATACAGCACCGAACTTGATATGCCGACTCTGAAAGTTCTTGCATAAAGTATTGGCGTGATATGATATTCATTCATGAATCTTCTCAATACTAAGGCTAAGTATAGACATGCATGATTCAGAAGATGAGTGGGTTTGATGGAACAAAAAGGCAAAGAGTTCAGAAGTGGGTTGGATTACTAGTACATATTGACTACACTACACCGAGAACCAATCTATCATCCCAGGCCTGCCCGCCGGTGTCCTGCACCAGTCAATCCCAGTATCATACCAGAGAGTCCTCTTGCAACTTGATACGAGTCGTCTAGTTGTTGCCAGCAGCCGCACCAGCACCGGCTCCTCCTGTCAAGCGCTCAAGGATGCTGCCGAGAAGACCTCCGGCACCACCGCCATTGGCACCACCTTGTCCAGCGTCAGCGCCGTCCTTGCCACCTTGACCGGCATCGCCTCCCGCAGCAGCATCATCACCGGCGGCAGCATCTCCGCCAGCAGCGGCATCATCCTTGTTTCCAGCATTGCCCTTGTTGCCATTGGCGGCATCACCATTGGCATCACCGTTGGCATCACCATTGGCGGCATCACCATTGGCGTCACCGTTGGCATCACCATTGGCATCACCGTTGGCGTCACCGTTGGCGTCACCGTTGGCGTCACCGTTGGCAGCGCCATCGTTGGCAGCACCGTCGTTTGCGTTACCATTGTTGTTTCCAGCATCGTTGTTACCCTTGCCGTTACCTCCGTTCTGGGCACCATCACCATTCTGAGCATCACCCTCGTTGGCAGCATCACCGCCGTTGTTCTGGTCAGCGTTGTTGTTGTTTCCGTTGTTCTTATCCTTGTTTCCCCTTCCGTTGCCGTTACCGTCACCATTGTTGCCGTTGTTGCCATTGTTGCCGTTGTTGCCGTTGTTGCCACCAGCGGTAACGGTAACGGTAACAGTAGCAGGGGCATTCTCAGTAGCGGCAGCAGTGTCGGTAGCAGCAGGGGCCTCAGTGACTGCAGCAGTGTCACCGGCCGCTCCGGTCTCGCCAGCAGCACCTGTCTCAGTAGCTGCAGCAGTCTCAGTGGCAGCGGCACCGCCATCCTGGGTAGCAGTGTCAGCACCAGTCTGGCCTGGGTCAAGCTGGCCGGGACCAAGAGATCTGGTGACGACGGTCTCGTTGGCGATACGGCTCTGGATAGCACCGACATCAGTGGCGGCATTGGTGGCTGTGTCGACAGCAGTAGCAAGGGACTCGGTGGCAGTGGCTTGGTCGCCCTGGTTTCCTCCATTGCCTTGGTCCTGACCGTTGCCTTGATCTTGGCCATTATCTTGACCCTGGCCGTTATCTTGACCTTGGCCTTGATCCTGTCCGTTGCCTTGGCCGTTGCCGTTATTACCACCTCTGCCTTGCCCGTCCTGGCCATTTTGTCCGTCTTGGCCGTTCTGGTTATCTTGTTCGTTCTGATCGTCCTGCTCGTTCTGATCGTCTTGTTCGTCTTGAGCATCGTCGTTGCCATCCTGTTGGCCCTGGTTCTGCTGACCACCACCACCTAGCACCAAGATCTCGGGCTTTTCTTGTCAGTAAGGGACAACTATGAAACAAATTATATGCACTTACCGATCGAGGTTCGATGAGGCCAATCACTGGCGCACCGGAAACTGGTAGAGCTGCAGAAGCCATCAAGGCCTGGGAGAATCATCAGCGTCAATGCAGCGAAGTGGCAGACAAGGTACATACCGCGAACTTTCCAGCCAGTGCTGGAGTCGGCCTTCTGTCACCCGACAGGGCCTGAGCTGCAAGAGCACCGATAACGATGTTGGAGAAATACATATTGAGTATTATCGAATGATTGTGTTCAAACAATTAAAGAAAAAAGGCTGCCCAGCAGTTATTGATAGTAAAAAGGCACCAGTCCGAAAAAGAGAAGAGAAATTGTCGCGTCAAGCGAATCTTAATAGTCTGAAATGAGAGATGAGTTTGGATGACGAGAAATTTGTTTGGTGAGAACAAGTCAGTCTTCTTATACATGATTTTCAATCTTGCTACACCCTCCAAAACAGATCTCAAAATAGATCAACCAAAAGCTTAACTTCGGAAACTTTGCTGATACACCAAACGCCAAGAATGGACTCCTGTGGCAGTGCTAGCCTCTTTTCCCCAGGAAAGCCGAGACTGCTTGATACAGGTCTCAAACTTGGGATCGGCTGTTAAGCTTTCCCTTGGCGGATGCGATGATCTATAGTGGAGTTGAGAATCGCGACTAGGGATGTGAAGTTTGGGGTTTGGTTTCATTCGTAAGTTGTGTGCCTTGTACATGAATAAATTTGTTCGGTTGAAACGTTGCCGAATGCCGATACTGGTTTGTTTCATGTATACGATTACATACTCAGTTTTGGTGAGGCAGCCCCTGGAGGGGCTACTACACCGGATGTGTCAGATTGCTACCGGATGATAATGGACCGTGTCAGAGCCTATAATCCTGGCTTTGCTATTCCGATGGAGCACGTGATTTGGTCTATCTTATTGGGTTGCAGTGAAATCGTTAAGGTTATTTCCTGAGTCGGTATTTGGCGCGAGCTCCAACCTCTCAAAAAGCCGCGTCATTACGTGAGCGTCACATCGCGCATGTTACAGAACCCTGGAACCTTTTTGACCCGTGCATCATCAATGTCTCAAGGTAGCATAATTGGATAATAGGGTATAAGATTGAGAAGAAACACATGCTATTGACGCCAATTCTTAAATGCGATTGGGTTGTCCGTAGAAATATGCCCTGCATTAAAACGAATGTTATCCCTCGGCGGCCAAAAATACGATCGTCAAGAAGAAAAGTAAGCTGATATTGCAGAAGCATGCCCATGCCAGCCAGTATACCCAAAGTCAGCCCAAGAACACTCACAACTCCGTTTCCTGGAGTCTTAGTAGAAGCAGCATTTCCATCGGTATCCTCACCGTCACCATCATCTCCACCATCATTTTCATCATCATCGTCATCCTCCGCTTCGTCCAGGTCAGACTGCTGGTGAATCAAAGGCACCGCAGGCACCCAGGTAGCAACAACAAGGTCCCTCGAGTAGTCCGACTGAGTAAGCATTCCATCATCCAGGTACGTTGTAGTTGGCGTTGTCAGAACTTCGAGAGAAAGCAACGGCTGCGTCAATGAACTGCCATCTAAAGTCGTGACAGTTAAGATGTCCACTGGCGCAGGGGTGTAGCACATGGACGAATAGTTGAATTCACTCCTTGGGCCGAGCGTCGAGAAACACTGCCCAACAGGGTTTGCTTGGTAATCACTTTAACTGTCAATCTCGATTTCTGCGCGTCAATCTATGTACCAACATACCTCGGACAACAGTAGGCAATTGTCTCTGACACATTCATAATTTCGCCCCAGAAGTCAGCAGGCTCGAGTTGCACCGCTCCAGTGGTAGACGCCTGTATACGACTTGTAAAAACACCAGATACACTCAGAGAAGATTCTCCCTCTTTGATCATGGTTCCAGCGGTAGTCCATCCAGATGGACAGGCTATTTCGGGCGAGTAGTAATGATACCAGGCCCGATTCAACGGTGTAGTCAGGCTTCGCAGTGAATCATAAGACTTTCCGCTGGGAATACAGCTGCCGTAGTCTTGGAAGCCGCACGTTGGATAGCCCCAGATCCAGTCGGCTGAGCTTGCATTGACAATAACATGATGATCAGTGCCGGTTGCACATGCCGACGAGGCCGAGAAGGTCGTAGTCAATGGTCCCAAGTTATGGGCAGTGAAACCAAAGAACTCTGTAGAAGTCGGCATGTTAACTCTATCTTGTTCAATCTACCGTTTAGTGATGCAAAAGAAGCTGAAAAATGGATCCATAACGCGACAAGCGGGCGCTTTTGTGCTTGGGGGAATTGCGCCAAGGATCATCATCATCATTGTGTCTGGACATTCGCTACGTCACGCGACAATTTGCCAAGAGTGATGAGCTTCAGCTCGGTTGGCTGGTAATCTTAGTTTCTGCGAAAGGCGTAGAGTGACAATCACTCTTGGCAAATCCTAAATGCAGGTGATTAAGCAAACGGCCCCCAACATACACACCATTCGAGACTCAACGGCCGCCATTCCCAAGGAATTAGGAGTCAATTTCAAGGCAGACGCTGATCATTTCATGTCAGGCTATGTTGGGATTTCCCAATTGAATTGAATATACGGGAATTCGGTATCTGAGCTGAGGGTAGGTTGAGGTTGAATGTGATTGTATTTTATTAATGCTACCCTGTATACGCAGACTTTAAATCAAGCTTGGCGCTTAGGTTTTAAGCCTGGGGAGTAATCAACGAATCGAGAAATCGCCGAGGCTCCGAGCGTCATCCTCGCATTCACCCCACCCATTCAATTGGTATCTTGTTTGGTCCTTGAGTCACAATTTTGTTCCTGTACCCTAAACAGAAAATCCGGAATCAATAACAACATTAGATCCTGTCACGGATTCCGATTTGATGAGCAAGATGATCTGCTCCGCGACGTCCTTTTTGGTTATCAGCTTTGTTTTTGAAGGCATGAAACTCGCACGTGCGTACCTCAACTTTGGTGATCTGCTTGAGGAGAGTCTTTTCTCTAGCATCGTCGATCTTTGACTGCGGCATGTTGGCAATCCAATTCTTCGTAGTCAAGTCAGTCAATGTCGCAAGGCACCCTGGTATAATCGGAGCTTACTGTCTCCATGAACCCTGGAGATACAGAGTTGACGCGAATTGATGGTGCCATCACCGTGGCCAGAGTCTTTGACAAATGAATTTGCGCTGCTTTTGTGACAGAATATGCCTGGGCAAGTGTCAGCTTCAACTTTTGAAGACGAGTGAATGGCCATTGCTCACAATAGAGCTCCCGCTTGGCTTGACTCCTGCAACAGATGCAGTCATAACAAATGCACCATTGGCCTCCTCCAAGTACTTCTTCGCCGCATGGCAGAGAAACATATGGGACTTGACATTAGCCGCATAGCAGCGATCCCAAACTTCCTCATCAACATTATCGTCGATGTCGTTGAAATTCGCAAACTTGGTCCATCCAGCGTTTGATACAACAGCATCCAGCCTACCCATTGCAAGGACAGTCTGATTGACCAACTGCTGAATCTCTGTCTTCTTGGTCACATCAGCTTTTATTTTCAGGCACCGTGGTCCAGTATCCTGCGAGAAGCACTTCGCAGCCAGTTGGTTGAGGTGCACAAAAACATCGTGGGCTCGTTCCTCGTTGGAGGCGTAATTGACGACGACTGATGCGCCAGCTTGAATTAATTTTTCCGCTACGCAGAGGCCCAGACCAGATGTACCGGCCGTTACGAGAACAACAGAGTCTTGAAGAGAGCGCGTCATGATTTCAAGAGTGTAGATGATAGCTTAGTTGATTACTGGTGAAGGTGAGGCCTGTGTCGAATTGGTGAGACAAGCACGGGGTAGCTCCGCATCACGGAGGCTGATCTCCAACCATTGACGCGGGAGACCGGTTTCGGAATCAAAGAGACGGACCAATCCCGAAGTCCAGTCGCGATAACAACCTCCATATGCTTGAGTTCGGAAACAACCCAATAATCTTCAATTGCTGCAACAAATCAATCACAAATGCCCAGACTTAATCCTCCTCTGAGCCAACAATGATGTCGCTATACCCGTCTAATGCCCGCTCTCGGCTCTCCGCTCAGGAGCCGACACTAACCATCTCAGCCTCCCATGTCCTGATTCACCGGTTCCGATTTCTCCTCAATCCACTCATTACCAACCATGGACTCGACGCCTCAAAAATCCCAACACGACAAACGTCGTCGCCAGCAGCGAAAAGCATGTGATTTATGTCGACGCCGCAAAGTCCGCTGCGACATAGTAGACCGACCATCAGGCCCTTGCTCCGTCTGTGAAAAGTCCGGGTTCGAATGCCGGTGCGGCTCCGATGAGCCCTTGTGGAAATGAAAATGATAGCTGATGGGGATACAGATCTACGGCGAAGTGGGCTGTTGCGAGAAGAAGTTCGGTTGTTTCTAGAAATGCATACGATCGTGATACACCTGTCAGATCACCAGGAGTATCGCAGCCGGATCCGGATGCCGGAGCCGTTGAGCGGGATGATCATCTTTCCATCCTCGGACCCGAGGCTTCGTCGCAGCCATCGCGGCGTGATAAGACATCGAATGATGCATCTCGCTCAGATGGTCAAGAGAAGCTCGCTCGGGAGGGATTAGCAAGATTCTTCAAGCATGGCATCGGTGCTGCTGCTTGGGCTGTTTTTGCATCTACCAAGAGTTTTCGCATCGCTTACGTCGGCACGGCTGTGTCGAACCTGGTTCATCTTGTCGATTTACACCGGTCGTTTAGACAGCCTTACTCTTCCATTCTTGGCGATAATCAACGACCTTTGTCTGCGCCTACAGGACCAGATACTCATGGCTCGTTCCAAGAATCTGCAGATGGAAGTACCAGCAGCGATAGGATCGGCGGAAAGCCATTGCATTATCCATATCCTCCTATTCGACAAGTCAAATCTTGGAAACCTACACCGAACTCATGGGTAACTCAAGATCTGGTGACGGAGGTATCTTCTTTCCCGGCGCAAGAAGTTCGCGATGCGTTGGTAACAGCGTACTTTGATCACATTCATCCATTTCTGCCCATCGTGTCAAAGCCAGAATTTCTCGCTCGGTATCGGACCCCTGATAATCCTCCACCACTTCTACTATTTCAGTCCGTTCTCATGGCTGGTGCCCACGCATGTGCTCATCCCCTCGTCGCCACTGATCGTCACGCCGTTCAGAACAGACTCTTCAGACGAGCTAGTATGCTATACCATATGCGACACGAGTCAGATCGAATGCATCTTCTCCAAGCAGCTGCTCTGTTCACATGGCATATAGGCGATGGTGATACAGTCGCTGGTGGTCCGTGGTACTGGGCTGGCATTGCAGTACGAATCGGCACTGGCCTCGGTGCTCATCGGAGAAGTTCCCAACTCCCAGCTACAGAGATGGCGCAGTATCGACGATGCTGGTGGTCTGCTTTCTTTTGTGAAGTCTTTTCTTCATTGGAGACTGGAAGGCCTTGTGCAGTGAGAGCAGAGGATATAGACCAGCTGCCACTTCAGCAGGAGGATATCACTGATACGCCAAGTACTGATCCGACTATTGCTGAATCTGGAGTTAGCCCTGATTTCTTGAATCATCTCGTTGACCTCGCCTACATCGGTCTCGACGTCATTTCACTCAACGCACCCGCGCGAGATCGTCTCATAGACGTAGCATCAATCGACGCCCGTCTAGGCCTATGGTCCCTCCGCTCAGGCATTTCCACCGTCGCAGAAGACGACGACTCATGGACATGTCATCTCCGAATGCACTACAATCTCCTCCTTCTCCACCTCCATCGCAACCTCCACGAACAAAGCAGTCAATCCATCTGCTCAGCAGCAGCCCAAGCAATCGTAACGTCCCTTGAAAAGCTCACGGCACGCGATGAACTGCGCCAATGCCACTTTACATCCGTCAACGCCGTGACAGCAGCCGGTATACAATTTGCCGGTGAGATTCGCGCAGCTGTTACATCCCAGACCTTTTTAGTCGCTATCAATGCACTTGAGAGATTATCGAGGCTGTTGAGGTCAACAATATTACTTGCCAGGCATTGGCCTAATGCCGAGGCTGTGCATAGTGTCTTTGAGGAGCTACATCGTGAGTATGAGACGCTTGTTACGCAGAGGTTGCAGGGTGAACAAGTTATGGTGCCGGAGAGTCCGCCTGATTGGAATAGGTTGCTTGGAGGAGAGGGACTACATCAGTTTAGTAACTTTACATCGGACCAGGATTGGATGAACATTAATAGCTGGACAGACTTATTGTAGACTCCAACATAAAATTAACCGTCATTGAACTAGCTTAGTGGTTCATGAATCCTAGACCCAGCGCGATGTCAACATGCTCTCGAAGTGAATCAGAAGATAGCTACGCCATTTGGTGGACTAGCTACGCCTCCAGGAACCTAACAAATATCAGACCAGCAGCTACGCAAACATGGGACGATCTGAGGAACTTACCTTGAGTGGCATACTCGAAAAGAAGAACGACCATCTTTTTCTCTTCTCGCATTCTTTACTTAGAGCTTCTAGGTCAAACAACTCCCCGATTGGCATTCCCCAGCCCGCTAGAAGCCACTCATGCAGAAAGTAATCAGTATTCTGGCAAGGCCATGCCTCCATACTAGGTTGATCTCCAGCAACTGCTGCAAAGTCTTGCTCCCAAAGCCATCGGAGTGTTTCTTCTGAAGACTCGATGCCATGAGCTGGTGGGACTTTGTAATCTGCTAATGTTTTACACTCGTCGTCGGAGAGCTTGTCATAGGCTCGAACCCAGCCTGTGCGGATGAAGAGAATGTCGCCTTGTTGGAAGGTTTTCCCTTGGCTTTTGGCAACTTCTTTTAGTGTTGAGACGGTAATTGACTTTGTTTCGAAGGGAGTTAAGGCGATGTTGTTCTTATCTGCCCATGATGCATAGTCGAGTAGTACTCCGCGTCCAACGACACCACCTCGCTCAACCCAAGCTACATCCATCAGCCATTTCCACTTACAGAGAGTATAACTTACCTTGAATGCCATTAACATCCGTGGACAGCAACTCATCCAAACTCTTCCCATTGAACCAAAGTTTCTCCTTCTGATAAGCATAATGCCTGAATCCATCCCATTGTGAACTACTCTGCGTATTAAACATCAAAGTGTCATCATTAACAGCACGAGGAGTTTTAGTAGTAATCTCATGTTTGAAAGGTGCACGACCAAAACAAGGTCGTGACATTCGATTGAGAGGCCAATCGGTAGAAACTCGAACGCCGTCGCGTATCTCTGATGCTGCTTTTGCTATGATTTCTGGGGTCAAGAGGTTTAGCATCCCGCATTCGTCATTGTCGCCGAAAAGGCCCCAGGCGTTTCCCGGAGGACCATCTTTGCGGAGGGGAAGGGAATCGAAGGATGGTTTGGATGACATTGCGAGTTTCTGGTAAATATCAAAGTTCAGTTGAGTTTGTTGATGTTGGTGTTGACGTTGATATCAAGACCCCGCCTTTTGAGGGGAACCGCGGTAAGAAGCCCGAACAACTTGTTGATCGAGATATGCTTTGTCATCAGTACAGAGGAAGATAATCGCAAGACTTTAAAATTTCAATATGCATACACCAAGATTTTAGTTAATTTGTGTCTTATGACCCCAATATAGTGTTGAAATCCGCCGTTGTATTGGTTTATAGAGTCAAAGAACATCGGATACCCTGCCAGATCTCATACCTGTCTCTACATCAAAACTCTAGCCTCCAGCCTCCAGTTCTACTTCGCATGCTGTATCAAAGTAGCCCTCTCAGCAATCCTAATAGATCTCACCCGTCTCAATTCCTCCTGCCTTCTCTGCTTACTCTTATCTCTATAGCACATAGTAATAAGAGTACATGTACAAATAAGTATAAGCCCTGAGAATACACAAGCTATAATAATACCAGCAGTGCCAACATCATTCTGAAGTTCCATGCAGACAGTAACTCCGTTACTTGACTGAGTCGCGCATAGAAGGCCTGGAGAACATGTACTCGAGGTTATATTCGCAGTATAACACGAATATGTGCTGAATCCCGTTGTCTCGCAGATGGTGCTGGTCTTTACTGTTGTACTGTAGCAGGAGGCACCGGGTTCTGTGGAAGTTGAGGTCGTGCTTGTTGATGATGGTTCACTTGAGGTCGAAGTTGATGTTGCGGTTGTTGATGACGTGATGCTTTCGTCGGTAGTTGATGCTTCTGTCACGGAAGAAGTTGTTCTGAGCGTGGTAGTCTCAGCCTCAGCCGTAGTGGTGGCTTCATCTTCTGTAGTTTGTGCGGCTGATGTGTCTCGTGTTGCCGTATCCGTAGCGTCTGCTAAGGTTCCGGTATCCGCTGAACTTATGTCTTGACGTGGAATCAATCGATGAAATTTCAGGTCCACAAGACCGTCCCCATGTTGTTTTGCATGCCACATTGGCTCTGAAGAGGAAGAGGAAGCACTCTCTGGGGAGACATATGCCTCAATGAGATCGTGTTCTGAGCGTTCGACTCGAATGCCTTGAGCATGCACCAAGGCGCTTGCGCCAAGGACCAATAAAAAAGATGAAACAAGCATTGTATGAATTCAGTGCTCGCGTTGTACTGGTATTGTTGAACAGTCACTTTGATCGTTCGCCAAATCATACTTTTCCTCATATCTTATAATTAATCACCTATGTTGATTCACATGTAATCGACTTGTATTCGTCTAAGTATAGTACCCGCATGAGGCTCATCCTTTGTTTTTCGTATGTTTCTATTGTAAGCTTAACTTACCTTTGCGCGTCCTATTATAAGAACATGCTGCGCATTTCTAGCGCGCCTTGACGCGGCGGCAATTGCGTCAACTACTTCCGCGCCGCTTAGTAACATGATATTCAGGGGAACCTTGGGGAGCGCAGAGGCTGCTGAATTTAAATTAGGGTGCTAAAAATAACAGCTCAAAGATCTTCTTAAGCTTCTGGCTACACTAGTTTTGTATTTTTGTCGCTTAGGATAAAAGTCTTGTGTTTTCTGTCCTCCGAGGGAAGACCTCGGGTCGGGATGTGGGCGGCTATGAGCGATCACCCACGATGCAACTATTTTTACGGTTCCGGCCCATCTGCCATGCGTCATCAGGGTATCAAGAGAGGCGCAATGAATTATCCATGACAAAGAGTAAAATAGCTTCGCTTTTATCTTAGCGTTGTTATCTGTCAAACCCTAGGGCTGAATACGTATTAACATGGCTGAGCATGAAAACCAAAAGAGATGTGAATTTCCATCATGATTCCAGCCGTATATCCAGTACGAAAAGACTCCACAGAAGAAACTTTCCAGAACAACAGGGATTTCGCCTCGCTACGCAAGCTGAGACACACAAACATGCTACCCGTTAGCAAATCATGATGTGAAAAGGGGGAACTAGTCGATAAAACTCTTGAATAGCACGATTATTGGGGAACAGACCGGAAGGTCAAGAGACTTGGTATCACCTTCGACAAGAGAAAAGTTAAAGCTGGCTTCATCTTCAGCACAGAGGCTTATCTGTATCTCGGTATGAAGTTATCCCCATAGCCGAAAGTCGAACCAGTTGAGAACTCATTTTGTTTCTGAAATGAAACTGAGAAACCTTTCTAAACGATAAAACAATTGTATCATAGTAGCAGTAAGCAGACCATATGATAGAGAACCTAACAGTAGAGGGTTGCACGAACGCTACTGATCCTCGATCCGAGAAGGATCGGAGATATTTTCTCCGGTGATATGCTTGAAACAGCTGTGGTGAACATCGAGCCCATAGTAACTCGGCAGTTTCTCTCAGGTATATATCACAGCGGGGCTTTCAGCTTTCTGTGATTTGTTGTTCGCGAGATATCCTGGCAATCGATTTGCAAGAACTGCTAAACTAAGTTACCACAAGCAAGAAAACTGTCGTTGGCGTGGTATATCTCGCATAGGTATGAACTCAATATTCGTATAAGGTTCTCGGATCTGTGAATCTGACGGGGCGAAGTCAAGCGACCTGCCTAATTCAAACGCTTCAGTGAATATCTCCATGGACTGCGTTGTTCAACCGCTGAGTAATCGGGAGCGAGCCAGATTAGACGTGCTGATCATTATGATTCAGTCGTGAATGAAGTTGAGTCACTGTTGAGCTATGACATGAAACCCTGAGCTATATAAAGCATCTTCCGCTACGTATCCTCTTGGTATCCTGTAGACTTTGAAACCATTGTGCAGCGGGCTTTCTTACCACATTCTTACCGCCATTAACATGAAGCTCCAACTTGTTCAGGTTCTCGCCTTCGTATCTTCCAGCCTAGCGCAGGTCGCAGCCAATCCTCCCGAGGGAAAACATTATTCACAAATTCCACTCAACACCTTGTCCGAGAACTCGACGTCCGCCAACGTAGCGTCTTACCAGTCCAACACTTCGCTCTATTATCTTGGCTATAAGGACAAAGACTGGTCTCGGCCGTTTGTCAAATACTGGAAACCTGCCGTGAAACAAATTTCCGATGATGTGCAGAAAGGCATTACAGAAAGTCCCCATGCCAGTAAATTGGGTGAGTTGCTTGTAAGTTATGTATACGTCTCGACTGATTTCTTCTGTAGTGTTCAAGCCACAGGAAGCAGCTCATTATCTTACTCAGCCGGGATACTTGCAGTTAGAAAATGGCTGAGCCGTGAGTGACGATAACAAGCTGATGATAGCCATCCGTACCGATATGGGCAAAGGTATTCTATTCCGCTGATCGTGAGGTCTGAGGCACTAACTCTCTAACAGTAACGGGGGATATGTATGACTGGTGGTTTGGATGGCACCTGGTTGACCCTCAAAGGTATGCTTGCTTCAGTATGCCCTGCCTTACTCGTTGTCTAAATCTGCCCAGATATAAATTATGGCATCCACTCGCTCACCAATATGCCTATCGAATGCCGAACGAGATCGACTGGAGTAACAAGACCTTACCTGAACGTTATATCGGATCATACTCCTGGATAGACGAGTTCATCGGCAACTTTGCCACTAAACTGACCGTTAGCTTCGTGGATCCTGCAACTCTTGGATTCAATACGAGCGCCTACGAGTCGCAGGGCATCGAGACTATTGTTACTGCCCATATTACTAGTGGTGGGTAGACTCATCGGCTTTCATGTCTCTAGCTAACCATTTAGGACATACTACCAACGTTACCAGCAATTCCTGCCTCATGCATCAGATCCGTCGCAAGGACGATGGACAGCGAGAGCTGCGATCTCGATTCTTCCTTGGCGTCTTTGCAGACACGCAGGGTCATGATCTTGGCGTCCATTGCGCCGTTGAGATGTCACGTGAGTTTTAAATCGCCCTTCATTGATTCTTACAAGAACTAATTCATCGTGGATTTGGCTACATTTCTGCCCGGACTGTTCGCTGAGTTCAAGGATACGATCTGATTGCGATTGGAGCTTGGGACGAGCGAGGTACCGATACATTAGCTAATGGTTCGAGCTGAAGGCCAGCTTCGGTGGCGTATTGCCAAGATTCGTGATTCGATATCCGCTACAGCTGGCCTCAATATTGGACCAGGGTCTTGAAATCGGGCTTTCGGTCAGATATGTCCTAGCTGATTCGTTTCTCCGAGCAGGGAAGCGAAGGATAAAACAATATGATTCGATAGTCATGCTTATCATGCATGCAGTTTTCTTAAGGCATATGTCACTTCAGCTTTTGTTGGCTGGTAAACGAAGGGCAAAAAACAAGGCTGCCGTCACAATTACAACCCCGCATTTCCAGCATTACAGGGTCTTGATCCTTCTTCTGCTACACTCTCCAAACTTAGAAGCGCAAAGGTATACTAGTCTAAGACTTAAGCATAAGCTTTCAGTTGTATTGACCAGTTGTGGACGCTTCGCTAACGGCCACGCCTTCACTCCCTAGCCACCACTATCTCATCATCTGCAGCACGTGGAGCATTTTCTGAAAATGCTCTATCTCGCGCCTTTTGTTCTTTTATCCTTTGCATTGCTTTCGGTACCAACCCGCGCAGATTCTGGTGATGATTTCAGCAACAACATGTTCTCTGACCTCGCCCCGTAAGTCTTTATATTGAATGCTACAAGTAGTGGTTACTGACTCTGGAGAGGTTACTTGCGTTATTTGGAGAACGGGTAACGATGCAATTCCTGAGCCAGTCCATGGGTTGGGCTGACTGCATCATCTTAGCAGTGGCACCCCTTGGTAATATTACAACTATCGTTAGTGCTATCCGGGTTGATGGACCAGCTTAGCTCAAGGCCATTATAGGGAGAGTCTAGAGAGAATCTATCAACTGCAGAGATGGAACTAATGTCATCAACGTCTCAAGAAACCTGTGAGCTATAGAACGGTAGAGATGTGGTAAGATGCCAGGGAAAGGCCCCTGTCACAGAGTTCATTTGTCTTGCCCCAACGGATGGGGGCAAGACGATCAAACGTATCAAGTTCATGAAGCTAAAGGAAGCCATTGACCAAAATCTGATCTGTAAACAGGGCATGTGGCCCTCACTCTTAGGTTCTACTGACAGCTGATGAGGAATGAGATTCGCGCCGGGCAAATACCTTGAGCGTACTTCCCCTATCGACGACTATACCCATAGTCTTTCTATTCCTGTCAGGGGTTTATTAGCTGCTGGATGAATGAAACATCACCACATTATACTACCACCATTTGCCTGGAGACATAAACAACTGAGATTCTGCTACGTCAAATTATTCCAGTTGACATGCTACTGAGAATTAAACTGAATTCCGTATTTAACGCATGAATCTCTATTTATCCTGTTGGTTGGTGCATTTCTACTCGCGACCATGGCTATCATGTTTGAAATGCTTCATCAAAGCGTCCGAGGTATCGCGCGATAGGATCCAGTCAACGGCCAAGGCTCTAAGAAGTACATCAACAAACATACCTTAATTATCAAAACCTTCACTAAGCTTGTATCCTCACATGACACGGGACAAATTTCAGTTGAGAGCCTTCAAGTTTTGCTAACGAATCCTCGAGGCAAGGTACTACGTGGCTGACCAGTGTCAGAGCTGTAGACTAGCTCTGTATGGACTAGTCCGGTTTCTGATTGGATCACTCATCTCGGTTATGCAGTCTGACAAGTCTGACTGTCAGAAATGTTGACAAAATCAGTAGCTCTCTGTCATTTTTTCTCAACCGAAGACAAGGTCGTCAGCTTTCTCTCGCATACTGACTTTCTCTCGATTTTTCCCAGGCCTCAAGCATCTATCTATCCATAATGAAGCCTAACTGGGAACCTTTCGTGAAATCTACTGAAGATGATTGGACTGCTGTACCAGACCCCGCCCAGCGAAAGCGGATCCAAAACAGGCTGTCCCAACGAGCCAGGCGTATGTACTATGATGACACTATTATGCGGAAGTACCTGGCTGATCTCGATTGCAGGGTCACGACTTGCTGGTAAACAGAAGCAAGTGGCACAGTGTGAAGGTAATGAGGGCACGGGAGTCCTCGTGAGAAGAGATGCACGTCCTAGTCCCGGGCAATCTTCTACTCAAGCCTCAAGCATGGCTTTCGCAGACATGTTCGATGCAAGCCTCTTATATAACCAGTGCCTACCAGAACAACCCACAATGGACAGTCATTACCTCATCTTGACCGACCTGACCGCCGCCACAGCCCTAGCCGTCATAGCCCAGCGTCTCGACCTCGACTGCCAGCAAATACCAGGCTTCAACATTAAAGCCCTAACCGACAGTCTCCCATCTGCTATAGCGCCCACTCAATTACAGAAGAGCGTTCCTCACCTGTCGTACCTGGACATGCTGCCCTGGGCGTCATTGCGGGATCGACTCCTCAAATCTCTCTCTATTATTAATGAAGAGGAGTTTGCGCGTGATATGCAGTATGGAAGCTTGAAGGTATGGGGGACTGTACCGTGGGACCCGATGGGATGGGAGGTTGGCGAAGACTTTGCGAAGCGGTGGTGGTTTTTGATGGATAGTGGGATTATTCAGACGACTAACTTTTGGAGATCTCAGCGAGGAGAGAGGCCATTAACTCTGGAACTGCTACAATGCTGAATCAGTAAATCCTTGCATATGACACTAATTCTATGTTCTTATCGATTAACTGGTACTTTGGAAAGAGGGCTGATGGAGGGGAATGCATTCTGACCACTATTTCGCTTGGCTGTTTCAATCTGACAACACAAATGACCTGGGTGTCAGACTTTATGAAGAAAACGACAACATAAGATTTATAAGCGAAGATATGTCAGTCTATAAAATCAACAGTAGCGTTTTGTTTCTTCTCACGAAAAAACTAAAGCATACTCATTTCTAGCACCATTTTCTTTAACCCCCGACGTTCTGTCACCATCTCTTAATCCACTGTCATGCAAGCTGCCTGGACACAACTATTCCCACCCAAGCCTACTTTCACAGAAGAGAATGTGCCTTCACTAGAAGGCAGGGTCTTTATGGTGACGGGTGGAACTAATGGCGTCGGCCTAGAGCTAATTAATATGCTCTACTCCAAAGGGGGCACAGTTTATCTCCCGGCCCGGTCCTCCACCAAAGCACAAAAGACTATCGAGACCATCAAAGCCGCACACCCAAAAAGTATCGGTGATCTCAAGACTCTTCACATTGATCTCAATGATCTTACTTCCGTGGCAGCCTGTGCCTCTGCATTCCTGGCTCAGGAGACTCGTCTGGACGTATTATGGAATAACGCGGGTATCAGCGCCGCACCGTCTGACGAAGTTACAGCCCAAGGATACGAGCCTCACATGGGGATAAACTGCTTGGCGCCATTCCTCCTCACCAAGCTCCTGCTCCCCGTTCTAAAACGGACGGCCAGCAGTAACCCTGGCCCCTCGACACGAGTCATTTTCACAGGTTCAGGTGTGATGGACATGATGGCCCCGTCTGGAGGTATTCCGATGGCTGAGCTTACTCCTGGCAATCAATCGAAAGACCCAACCCGAAACTACACCATTTCAAAAACAGCGAATTGGTTCCTTGCCTCCGAATTCGACCGACGTGTGCGCTCAGATGGAGTTCTCTGCATTTGCCAGAACCCAGGCAACCTGTCGACTAATATCTGGGACCGTGTGCCGTGGCATCTCAGAGTACCGAACAAAGTCTTCCTACACCCACCTAAGCGAGGAGCTTATTCGGAACTCTGGGCTGGGGTTAGCACAGAGATTAAGTTTGAGGACGGTGGTAGGTATGGTATTCCTTGGGGTCGATGGCATCCGAGTCCTAGGAAGGATCTTGTCCAAAGCTTGAAGAGGAAAGAGGACGGTGGGACTGGAATTGCGGCGGATTTCTGGGATTGGTGTGACCAACAGACCAAGAAGCATGTTTGAGGCGATAGGTCTTATACTTATCAAGACGGGGTGCATCATCAGCAGGGCATGGAATCACGGATGGATAATGGTGTAGGTTGCAGCAAGGAAGTTTCAATAATAAATAGCAGGCGTGCCTTTAATATTCATCCAGCGTGTCTCAGATAGATTAGCATTGAAAATGTAGCTCAAGCGACAGCTTTGTCTCTTCCCTGTGAAATCTGCCCTAAAATAGTTCCGATTCGCAGATGCAGCCCCGTCTCAACGTCTGATAGCCTCAGCTTGGGAGGACCGGAAGACTGAGAAGAGGCCTTCTAATTGAATATTGGAAAATCAATTCATCAAGCTTACTCTTTAAAAGAAGCCTTCAGCCTGCGTATGCAGTAGTATGTCGCTGGAATGGTATGTGCAGAAGTGGGCTAATTGTCTACACAGACTTCAACACGAAGCTCTGTAGTTTTCCCTCCTCATAAACCTCAGCCTCTACAAGCCTGCCCGTCTCCTCTATCCCTCCATCGCGAAATTCGAACCGAATCACGGTTGGAATAGCTGAAATGTTCCACGTGAGTTTGTGTGGATTATCTGGCTTCTTCCACCTGTGGACTTGTCAGCCAACACTCTCAACATTGATTAGAATAATCACCCACCCAGGCCGGGGACCGACGCTCTCGTAGATAGCCTTGGGACCGTCGTGCTTATCAAAGGTCTCTGTCAGGAAAGGCAAGGCAGCTCGGACATCAGAACACCACGGTGCACCGGTTTCCACGTCGTTGGAGCTGGTGAGAATAACATAAATGGGCTCGTCACCCCCAGCAAGAGGAACTAGGTCCTCGGGACTCGACAACTGAACATCATTAAGTATCGGCATAATTACAGCTATTTGTTGATACAGTAATATGTCTTACGTGCGGTTAGTGCGGACTATTTATCCTTCCATGTAGGTGTGGATCAAGGCGATGGTGTCATCAGACCCAGTGATTATTACACCGCAACCTGACTCATATCTCCTCTCTAGCGCTACCTATCACTATTCAGAAACGACCACAATGCGGAACCCGTTACCCCTCCAAAACCCAGTCGGCTCAAGACTACCGCGATAAGTGCACGTTGCCTTTGCTTGACCACTCGAAAAGCACCCGCCTCGCAGAACTCTCCGGATTGTACCGTCCGCTGCCAGATCCTCACGGCCATCTGAGCTTTTCCACGGGTATTCAAACATTGGCGTCGCCATGTCGACTCCCCATAACGTTGTACACCATTCCCATACTTGGCCTGTCATGTCGTAGCAGCCAAATGGTGAGCAGGACTGGGGAAATAGACCGACGGCGCATTTATTGTTCAGCGCTAGTTCTTCGCAGTTTGATAGACTCGTTGCAAAATTGGTGCCCCATGGATAGATGTTCTGTCCTGCCTGTGACTCCCGCTGATCTCCCCTGGATGCTCTCTCCCACTGGGGCTCCGAAGGTAGTCGTACGGTTTCGTTGGGTTTTATTTTACCTGTTTCCCTCCATTTCTGAGTGAGCCATTGGCAGTATGCTCTGGCGCCATGCCATGTGAGATCCGTTGCTGGTGTGTTCTGTGAATAGGGATCATAGCCATCTTGACTCAGCCAAATACGGCCTGTCTGCTGCACAAAGTCCCCATAGTCTCGATTCACAACTGGAAACGCGCCAATTTTGAATGGACCAAGATGAAGCTCATGAAGAGGACTGGAATTCGGATGATTGGATGATCCAAAAAAGCTTGTTCCTTCTGGGATTTCAACTAAGCCTACCAGATCGCGCGGATCCCCAAAGAGTGAGAGGTAGCGACCGGCTACAACCCGATGAGATATGGGGAGGGTTCCAAGCCTAACCACCTTCAGTAGAAGATCGATGACTTGGGTGACAAAGGGTATATTGCTAGGGTCTATGAACTCGCAAGCGACAAGTGCGGCATATTGAGCCTTCTCCCCATCAAGGTCATCGTCATGCCGGTTTAGAAGTTCACGGATGAAACTCTCTTGCTTTTCTCCCTTTGCAAACCGATGCAGAAGACTTCGAATAATGGGCATTGCCGCCTTAGCATCTCGGTCAAAGACCTCCAGTATCTCCTGGAAAGATGCTGTTTGTACCTGCGCAGCCACTAAGAGCTCTTGAACTGCGGTGCACGAGACGAATGGCCATTTTAGAGTCGTCCTTGCCAGGGGATTAAGCTGACTGTGCCGCTGATATGTCCATTCGTCCCACGCGGCTTGTAGAAGAGCTTGACGCGTCTCGGGCGATGAAAACCAATGCCCTAACCAAGCATCCAAGGCTGATTCGCTTGTGTCCCCAGCATGTCCGGCCGCTAGGGACAAGGCAAATATAGCTGGTCTCGAAGCCGCGGTTCCAGAACCAAAGTCTGTATCCAGACACAATTTTCGAGCGAGCTCGTGTCTTTGAATGGTCAGTAGCGGTAGTAGCTGGAGCTTCGAAAAGCCGGCTGGCAGGGTCCAGTCTTGGCTAGCATCGTCTATACCCAGGACGAGCAGCCTAACGTGCGGTCTTGGAGTAATAGCGCTGGCTATAGATGCGAGATGCTTCACACCTTGAAATCCTGCATTTTCGATGCCATCCAGTATCAGAAGCAGTTCTTCATCTCCGCTTTCCTTTTCTCTGCTATCCCAAGATTCAAGAATTGCCAGTAATTTTCCATCAGCATCTGCAAGATCTTGCGTGTTGGTGATTGTGACGAGCAATGGTAGCATTCTCAGCCCACTCAATATCTCCTTTCGTCTCTCGCCGCCTTCATTCCGAGGAATTGCGTCCCTATCCTTCTGAAAGATATCCGCGGCATGACCAAATACCAGGTACTCTGCGAACGTCGTCTTTCCCGAACCACTTTTGCCGGTGAGGAGTAAGAACCGATTGTCTCGTACGGCTTCGACCGCAGAGACATAGACTGCCTCCTCTCTCGTATTGCCACCTTTGTGCTTTCGCAAACCTTTGGCTGCCTTGTCTTCAACAGTGAGGTTCACCAGTAGTGGGATGTAGCCTTCAGATAAGGAAACTTTATCGTCATTGAGGGTGGTGAATAGCGTCTTTTGACCTAACGCCACTCCGTCCCGTTTGAACGAAGACCAGTCCTCCATATTATGAGATTCGTTCTTCTTGATCTCGGGGCGTGGGTGTGGCTTGATATGCTGACCAAGGTTGAGACCTCAAATTGTGTCAAGTGCATGAACGGGACTAAGACACGGCTTATGAAAGCGACTTGAGATGGATTTCGTTTTCTGGTATCCACATCGGCCAAGCACGTCATTTTGTACCCTGTCATGCCATTGACGACGCTAGCCCTCTGACGGAGGTCATTTGTTATTCAACTCTAAGAGGTAGCACCAGCCGGACAAGATAACGAACAGCGGCGAATTTTCCACAGTCTAACTATGTCACAAAGCCTTCCAGCGGCCATTTGAACTCAGAACATGATGAATATAACTGTTCTAATCATTGGTTCCTGTCCCGTACTTGTCTACATACAAAGCCCAGCCCTTCCATTCTGGACCACCATGTTTGCTCTTCTTTCCGACTCTTGGTGTTTCCATTCTATTCCAGAAAATTTAACTACGTCGATGATTATTTGACTCGGCCTGCTTTCGCGTACGCTAGCATTATCCACCTCTTAAGCCAGGAGGTTCTGAGCCCTGAGACTACTTTTTTCGGCTATACAGATACTTCATCGCCGTGATACTCAGAATGGCGATTCCACCAAACAGGATCAAAATCTGATAGCCATACTTGTACTTTGGCGCATCGTATGTCGGAAACAGGACCACTGCAGGCAAATTAGCTCTATCGTAGCCCCTTGTTACGTCATGCAAACACTTACATGGTACCCAGAGGACCCAGGCGTACGACACAAGATTAGCTGTAGCCACCAAAAGCTGCCTCGTGTTGGTATCAGCAGCATTCAATCCGTATGTCCAACTCTGTTTTATGCATTAGCTGCGAGCCTGAGAACAAGACCACATAACTTACAATGAGCACAGGAGTACATGCTGAGCCGGCGTAGGAGATGTAGTAAGCGAACATGAGAGCGGACTTGGGAATGTCCCAGACTGAAAGAAGAATATTGGCCACGATCATCAGAAGCGTGAGTGACAAAATCAGCCAGTAGTACTGTTTGGTTCGGTCCGCTATCATTCCCCAGGCTACCGTTACAACAATGGCGAGCGCATTTCCACCAGTTGGTAAGTAGTTGATCTTTTGCACGCTGTATCCCTCTGCCTTGAGCCAGAGGTTGAAGTAACTTGTAGCTGTGTGGCAGGCAGCGACCATGCTGTGAAGTATAAGCGACTGCGTTATAGAAAAGAGTGGCGTTGTGACTTACGTGTACGGGATGACAAACATCCAAATTTTCCATCCCAAGTAGATTCGCTTGATCTCGGCCCAGTTCAGTTTGATCTGCTCTTTGACGCCAAACTTGGCAATTCGCTCCTGGCCATACTTGATATGCTTGGGAAATGGTAAGTTTCTTGTTAGATCTTCTTGGAAAGTTGACTCACTTCTTTTGTCCAGTAAAAGGCTCTCGTGTTGTGTGGATGATCAGGTAGTCCGAACAGACCCCAGATGGCCACAGGAACTGAGATTACTCCGTCCATAATGAACAGCCACCTCCAACCAGCGAGGCCATGCCGTCCGTTCATACTACCGTATAAACCAGCCTGAAGATATCCGCTGAACATGCTAGCGATTGACTCAACCTCGAGTAGAATGGCCAGACGCTTTGTCAGCTCATTGGGACCATACCAACTGCCAAGCATGGCGATGTATCCAGGAAAAGCGCATGATTCGAACAAGCCGATGAAGAAACGCAAAGCGTACATCTTTTGATGTATCAGTCAGTAAGCCTTGAAAAATGGGAAATAATATCTTACCACTTTAATGCTGTGGGTGAAGCCCATGCCAATGACCAAAGCCGACCAGCATATCTCACAAGCAGGAATCAAGATGGAAGGGCGGATATGGCTCAGCTGTAGCATCTGAGCCGGGATAGTACCGACCATGATACCTAGACTGAACCATGTGCCAAGCCAGTTGCGCTCGTTGCCGTAAAGACTGAGATCTTCTTGCATGCCACTGACAAAAGCGTTACCTGCAGCAACGTCAGCCAAGGCCTTGGGATTATGTTTGCTTTGCTCAAGAACTCACTGTAATTCGTTTGGTCCAGGTATTTGATGAAGTAGCCAAGCAAAACCGTTGGACTAGGCGCCGTTAGCTGGGCCTCTCGCTAATGCAATGCAATGCAGGACGAGAAAGGAGGCACTACTTACAAGAAGATCAGATCTAAACGTCTGACATATGCACGGTATTTAGGATCCCCGTCAATCGAGTCCCAGAAGAAACCAGCAATGTGACGCCATTTAGAACCCGACTTTGCATTGGGGTCAAGACCATGGTCGATGACCTCTGTGTCCGACACAGGGTTGGTTTTGACGTCGTGGCTATGTTTTGACACGACTTCAGCGTCACTGAGGGGGTCAATCTGATGTGCCATTTTTGCCGTAAGCTTGGTCTTTGCTTGTCATTGCCCGGAAATAATCTGGCAGTTATATAAACATGACTGATGATGAACACGAAATTGCCCGATAAAGTGCAACACCTAAGTCAAGAAAAGTCAACTACTGTTCTCCAGTAGGGATCTAATTCCTCTAAGTCGCAACACAAAAGTAGGACTCCACTGAGCATGGCACTATGGATTTAGGCGAAGTGTTGATAGATATCTGATAAACTGATGGCGCAATAATAGTCTGAGGATGCGACAACAAGCTAGTACGGAAATGCCAAAGTGACATAAGAGTACATGGGATCAGTATGGGGAGCTGTCAGCAAAAAAGGTATTTCTATGAACTTGCTCCTCGATTTCTCCCGACCAATGCCATTAAAACCCGCTATGGTGTCATGCAAGACGTGGGGCGGCGTCCACATTTAGAAACCATTGAATTGAAGCAATTGATAAGAAGCCATGATAATTCGACTCAGGTAGGTATTGTTCATCGTGAATCACAAAATTCAGACAAAATGTCTGATATTCTTCGCATCGTTCTTGAAAATGTCGACTTTCGTCTGCCCACACAAGTGACCGACGACAACAGTGTCCTCGCTCTCAAAAGCTTAGTCTTGGAACCCTTGATTCGATGGCAGCCAGACGGCGAGGTACTACCAGGGCTCTTCGATCAATGGGACGTTTCAAACGATCAACGAACCTGGTTCTTTCACATCCGAGATGGAGCCGTCTTTCACGACGGGAAACCTTGTGACGCCCCCCTCATTGTCGAATACATCAAGGGTTTTCTTGACTCACACGATTACTTTGGCATGGCCTGGAGCTATAGTCGCTATTTCGCCAATACAGTATTCACCGCCGAGGATGCCAGAGTAGTCAAGATCCAGCATCAAGAGCCATTCGCAGATCTTCTGAACGTCCTCAATGACTTTTGGCCGTCGAGAATTGACTCGAATGGAAAACCAATCCTTGGCACAGGTCCATATCGCGTTGTCGACTTTACGCGTCAAGACAACGTTGGCTCTGCAACACTAGAGCTGATAGATTTTGCTCAGCATCCAGATTGGCCACGGAAAATAGTCGCTACGGCGGCTCGCAATGGTGAAGAAAGGCTGAAGCTTCTGCAAAGGGGGCAAGTGGATGCGGCCTTGAATTTGGAGCGCATTGACGATCTGAATCTTCTCGACTTCCAATCCTCGCTGCGGTGGGGAAGAATTTCAAGCACCTTGTCAGTCATCTATTACCTCAATTGCCCAGAGGGAGTCTTCTCTTCACCGCAGGTGCGTCTTGCTGCCAATCTGGCCATTGATAACCAAGCTCTGGTTGACGAGGTCTACTTGGGCCTTGCTACGCCAGCTGCAACCGTCCTCAGCCCTCACCATCTTGGCTTCAAGGAAGCAAACCTAAGTCCCATCCCTTATGACCCCGTACGAGCCAAAGAGCTCATCAAGCACCTCGATTTAAGCAACCCTATTCGCCTGCGCACGCCAGAATGGATGCCGGAGCACGCTATTAAGATAACCGAGTTTGTCAAGAGATCTCTAGAGGCCATCGGTTTCAAGGTAGACGTCGAGATCGAGACAGATCGTCCAGAGTACGCACGGTCGATAGGTCTGCGGAAGAACATTGGCGACCTTGCTTGTTTCGACTCGACACCTAACACGACCTTTCGGGTTCTTGACGACAAGGTATCGAGCGAATCGCACGGTACGTGGTGGCTGGGGTACCATGACGATGAGTTTCAGGAGTTGTTTGCAAAGGCTAGAACAGCAGCAAAGGGAGATGATAGGAAGAAGGCGTATGCGGAGGCTTTGAAGAGGGTGCATGAAAATCCGCCCTGGTTGTATATCGCTCATCCGGATGTCATTTGGGCTACCAAGCCCGGAGTCAAGCTAAGTATTGGTCCATCGGGAGTACTGGAGCTGGGCAAGTAAGTACTTACATGTTAAGCTGGTTGTGTTGGGCAGCAGCCATCTGGCTGGGGACAGGCGGAGGTAACGAGGGTGCCCTTCGGTGGTTCGGTGCGCGTTCGTGAAAACGCTTTAGACTTTGTAAAATAGCACAAGATAAATAACACAACCAGGATACTTCAAAGCAAAAGAGGCTAACAGAATACTCTGGAGAGTTTTTTAAATTATCAAGTATAAAGATAAAGATTAAAGAAGGTATAAAGATATAAGTAAGAAATACATACTACTTCTAGATATAAAATGATTTAATGAAAGTTAAATTATAAGACTTTTATTAGAGGATTGATTCTTAGGATTCTAATTCCAAAAAGAGACCCAATGTTTAGGGAGTCTGAGTAGGTGGCATAGATTTAAAGGTTAGGTCCGGAAATAGGAGCAAAAGCAGCACTGGCCAAAGGGGTGAGTAGAGCTGGGGGGGCTGATGGCCGCTGTACCAAGGCACGTTCATGTAGTCCGCGAAAAGAACGCCCTCCTATGACAGAAACGGTTACCTTGCCCAAGAACGCATTTGTAATCTCCGATTATGAACCTGCCAAAGTGGAGTTCGATCGCGGAGACCTGCGATTTTGATGCACCTTTTGGGTTAATCACATTTTGGGGTGCAATACCCGGCGTCGGATCGCGTATCCGACATCAGTCATTTTTTTTCCAATTCCCTTGTTCGACTCCTTCTTGTCAATATCAAGCTATATTCGCAAGTATTCGCGATATACGGAGTTTATGTGTGGCTGTTGATGTTGTGAAGGCAAGCAACGATGGCTTCACCGGAAAAGGCTGCCGAACCGACGGCGGGATGTGAGCCACAGACCGCCACAACGAATGCGCCCTCTATTGAGGACAACGAACCAGCGGTTGTAGACATTGAGAAGAGTTTCGCAGCGTGGATATGTGTCTTTGGCAGCTTTTTGTTCCTGATGCCCACATATGGTAAGTACAGCGCCACTTAAGCCCCGTCGGTCTTTATTAACATCATCTAGGCATGATGCAGTCTGTCGGAACGTTTCAATCTTACCTCGAGCTAAATCAGCTTTCCGATTACTCAGCTGGTGATATTGGCTGGATCCCTGGCATGTACATGTTTGTGTCCATGCTTGTCGCCATTCAGGTCGGCTCTTTTCTTGATCAAAGAGGTCCTTTCGCTATGAGTATCGTTGGAGGAGGCGGCATCGTCATCATGTTTGTTCTTCTTGCTGAGTGCAAGCAGTACTGGCATTTCATGCTGTGCTTCGGAATCTTTGGTGGACTCGCAACTGCTATTGCTGGTACTATCCCCGTAGCAGTTGTTGCAAAGCTCTTCTCTCGAAAACGTGGCTTCGCTATTGGGATAGCCCTCACCGGCTCATCAACAGGAACAGTGATTTTTCCCATCATGCTTCGATCACTGCTCCCAAAGCTTGGCTGGAGTTGGTCGATGAGAATACTTGCCTTCGTCATTCTCGGTATCTTCACTCTCGGAACAATTTGCTTCATTCCCTACCGTCGACTTATAAAACTTGTCAACATGCCGATAACGAAGAAAGGAGGCATTTCTCTCCTCAACTTCTCTGCCTTCCGGTCTGTAGCTTTTACCCTCGTTTGCGTCATGTTCTTCGCCACTCAGTTCGTTCTTTACGGAATTGGTGGCCTGCTGCCGACTTTCGCGGTTCAGGCTGGCTTGACAGCCGAGACTGGTTACACATTGGTTTCGATCATCGGCGGTGCTTCGGCTTTCGGTCGTGTTATTCCTGGCTTGGTTGGTGATAAGCTAGGCCATTATAATGTTTTGATTTTCATGATGGCTCTGACGTTGGTCTTTATGGGTACACTATTTGTTCCTTTTGGCGACAACAGTGTCGTGCTGTACGTCTTTACAGGCATATGGGGTTTCTGTTCAGGAGGGTTCTTGTCCATCACTCCAGGTAAGAGGAAATACAAAATTATGAAGAGAAAGGTTCATTAACGAATTTAGTCTGTGTTGGCAAGACATGCGAGCCAAAGGATTACGGACGATATTACGGTATGAACTTAAGTTACTGGAATTAAAAAAGGAACCCACTAATTAGTCTATAGGAACGATGAATTTCGTCATCAGCTTCTCTCTACTTATTGCCATCCCAAGTAGCGGTACAATGATAGAGAAGATGGGAACTCAAGCTCTGAGCGGTTTCCTCATGGGAGTCCTGGCTCTAGGTCTGGGCTGCTTGTTTGCATCACGAGCCGTCCTGGCAGGAAATTGGTTTGGAATCAAGACCAAGATTTGAAAAGGCTATGTGGATCTTTCGAAGAAAAAAGACCGTTTTAGACATTACAATGGCGTATGAATAGACTAGAAGCTTGAATTCCAACATCATGGCTACCAATGCAAGTGTTTCGAACAATGGTCGACGCAACAGGATCGCTAAATATCGCGTGTTGTGATATCACCTTTCCGGAACTTGGTCCAACCAGTGGTCTTTGTAGACAGCAGAGAGTGATAGTTTCCAGGCTTTTAGTGGTTAATCAGACTGTTAATTCAGCTTTAAGAGACCTCCTAATATATATCCTTACAGATACTAGACCGGAGTTATCATTCCAGGTGCAACTCTTGGCCCTTGAGTTTGAGCTAATAGACTAAATCTAGTAGTCGAAGCTGTAAGACAATCCTATAGTGAGCCTCAACCTCTTCCGAGATATTCCATCCTGTCTCCTATTCATTTATCCTGAGAAGCACCAATTCAGGCCGATGCTTCCTAACATCGAAAGTAACAATCGTACTAAGTTCTGTGTGGTGATTATAAGCTCTCAGCCACAGGTCTCAACTGCAAATAACACATCTAGCTCACTATTTAGACATTATACCATAATGCCTAACCAATTGCTACAGCATAAATGCTGATAAGAGGAAAACCTAGATTATGACTCTTTTGCGTTTATGAGTCAATCATAAGGTTAGCAAATACACTTCTGGTTTAACACAATGGGTAACAATCGTACCCTGTAGCTCTGCAGATTTATTCTCATCGGAGAATGCATCGACAGGAAATAGCCAAAATCCAAAAGCCGGTTTTACAGCCTTATCGAGATCTTCATCTCTAAATCCTGGGGTTTCCGAAGCAGGCATCCTGCCTATATCTAGTTCAGCGAAAGGCCCCTTACCAATAGACTTTGCCATCCACCTCCTGTCTTCCTTCTGCAACCAATACTCGGCGTCCTTAAGATTATATATGCCTTTACAATGAGGCTTAAAAGCGAGAAGCACGCGGTATCGTTCCTCAGTTGGTTTCACATCTATCTTTGAAAGAATATGAAGCCATGAATCATATAAACCGTTTGGATCGAGGACGTGAAGATGGCTTAGATCGTTTTCGACAGTGCGAGGATCAGGCCCAATACGATCGAAGCTCGGTGACGCCGCACTAATGGGAAATGATCTTTCGAAGAACGTCTTGTAGACTGTTGGCCATCCAGTTTCATAACCAATCATCTGTCAGGCCAATCACTGAATAAAAATAAACCAGATTTCATCAAGTCCATTGATGATTTCTTTGAAGGTGTGCATTTTTGAGGGTTCGATTCCCGATGACTCTATTGTGTGAAGACCGTGTGCACTTCCCCCTAGCTGATTGCGACAGAGTACAAGATTTCTGAGCCCGACGTTACGTGGATCGTGCTTTGTCTTCAATTCGCAGACAAAGTCAACTATAGCCATCTTGTCTTGCTGTATATGAAGAAAATCATATTCAGGGTTGTAATAGACCGTTCCAGAAACCCAGAGGCGATCTTTGGAAACTCCTCCCGTTAGCCAACAGGGTAGATGAACCCGATAAAAAGATAGCACTGCCTCTCTGGATTCTACATTGACTCTGAGAAGTTTGCTGAGGAGTTGGTGGCCTTCGACAACGGGATAGTAGGGTGGATCATTGTCCCCGAGTTCTAGCAAAGGAAATTGAATACCATGCTTAGTACGGTTTGCACAATAGCTGATGTGTGACCTTAGATAGATTTTGATAATTCTTTGATGCCGTAGAGTCCATGTCCATATTGAGACTCATATCTCTGCTGGAAGTGATGAGAACTGGGTGAATGAGGATAGCCCTGCAACATTGGTCCCGGGGTTGAAAATCTCTAAATGACTCTGAGACATTGGTATGATGTAAGCAAGAAATTATTTCTCAAAAGGAATGGCGTATTGGAGGATGTTGGCAGTGCAGTATGTTAAAAATCGTAAGATTGCTGACAGTTATTGATGCAGACGGCGGTCGGATAAGGGCTCCGCGGAAAGAAATTAAGCCGTGGCGCAGCTAAGCACGGATGGCAGAAGGATTACGGTTTCAGCAGCTGTTAAGCGTTGTCTACCAATCATAATTATGCTCCTGTTCATTGGTCTAGAGTAGCTAGTCCAATGCATGTACGGAGTAGGCAGGGGTAGGTGACCAGCGCTGAAGCGAAGGTGGTTGATGAAGACATGATGGATCAAAGTGATCAACATTAAAAATCGGAAACTTGATGTATAATCTATCATAACATGGTATAAGACATTTCGCTACGTCAAAGATAATCACGACCCAAAGCACCCCAACCTCTAGCCCTCCCCCTCACAAGCCCCATATCATCCATATTCAAGATCCCAATCCCGTTGTCTATCAACACCCTCCACGCAATATCCCTCACATTCGGTGGTTTTGAAGGAGTATCCCAATACCGCGCCAGTAGACCACGGGCCTTGGCCTGTTCAATCTGCGTCAACGCCATATCAAGTTCCCTTGATGGAGGGGTTTCCAGTATCCGCTGAAAGTTCGACCTGTACAGAATAGCGTTCTCGAATCTTGTTGAGGCAAAGTATGAGTTGGAACGGTTGAATTTGTATGTTGGAGGGTTTGTTGAGAAGTCATCTTCCATTGAGACGAGACGCTCAAGCTTGGCGTCCCAGAAAATGTCTCGATGTGTAGAGTTCATGGCCAGAACGGACTCGAAAGGGGTGTTTCCGGTTCCGACTATAGTGAGAGGTCGGATGATTCTATCTGTGCCGTTCCAGTAGGTCAAGTAGCCGAGATCTCTCAATGGCTGGAGCTGGGCGTTTAACACATCGAATGTTTCCAGGCCAGATGTTTTGAGATCAACGAGGAGCGTGACGGTTTGTTTGGGTGCCATTTCGAAAAATCCTTGCCAGTCATCCTTCTTCACTCCCACGTTCCGTGCCTCCAACATGCGCTGAAGAGGCTTCAGGTATAAACCCTGTAACGTTCGGTGAGGATTCATGTTCAATCGCGAGTGCGCAACGAAAAGGTTGTCATGCCGTAGGTGAACATCAGCTTCGATACTGATGCAACCCGAGCCAAGGGCTTCGAACAGTGGAATATGGCGCGTGTAGTCATTATGCGAATGGATCGGTACTGGACGAGCGCTTCGGAGGAATGATTGATGATTATCGTCCCAGATTTCAGGACTATCGTGACTGAGATGACCGAATCGTAAATCGTAGGGATCGTTTGGTATACGGACCATACCCGTGCCGAGGCGGGTGATGTAGATTAACTGGCTGATAGACCTGCAGATGCCATGAGCAAGGACCCTGAACATGTTTCGCGAATAACTTACAGTATGAGCAACAAGCCCGTAGCATACTTGAGCCAATTGGTCCTCATATGTCGCACAAAAATGACCCTAGGAGGGTGTCTTCTCACGATAACCTCCTCCGACGAACTCGCATCATTGTAAGTAAGTCTTGACTCCATGATATCCCTCGCAGTCTGCAGCTCTCAATCCGAGGAACGAAAAAGAGGGGTCCAACGGGGTAATAATTATAACCACCATCAACAGCGCTACCGAGTTTCAAAGGATCTCTGAAGTGGTTAGGCACCTTTTTCGGGTCCTACCCGACCAGGTTAGCTGGGGTGGAGAAGTATACGCTTCCACCAATAAAACCGGTCGAGAACATGGTCGAGACACGTTCGAGACCTAAGGACCCTACAACGCCGCGGGTTTTTCATGTCACGATTGTGCCATTTTCGCGCTACGGTTATACGACTGCGCCTTTTGAGAAGCGTAAGCACGGCACGGATTATGTGACTGTTGGTTACGGAATAGGGGGGCTGTGAGCATGGATGGGGCTTTTTTGGTGTTGATGATTGAGCTTGCGGGACGCGTCAACGGTGTTGGAAGGATTCGAGGCAACAGAATAACATCAGAGAATTTTGAAAAGAGACAAAAGGTACATGATCCTCAGCCGAGGCACCGTGGTTAAACGAGTAGTTTCGGGGGTTTCTGTTTCAAGCTACCTTGGAGAATCATGTTTGTTGGTCCAATTACCGGGAAATCGGCACAACGCCCTCGATGTTGGAACTTTGACTCCGACTCGGACCCGGAGTTGTATTGCACTGAGCCGCAACGTCTGTTCACCGTCGGCAATTGTCGTTGTGCGTCATCTCTTCAAGTAGAGTTGACATTTAACTTTGTATAACATTATGAGAAAGTTTCTCTCATCACCATGGAAGAAGAAATACTTCTTCTCCTTCGCCTGGATATCCCTGCAGGGCTGTGCTCGTAAGTCGCTAAGTTCACCAAGTGGGGCGACCCATGTAGCACATCATGGCTGTCATGTCCTTTCGATTTATTTATACGAAAGTTTAATAGAGATTGGTCCGCCCGCGGAATGCGTCGTGTCAATCAGTAAAAGGGATGTTTTAAAAAAGCTACGTGGCTACGTCATCTCTGATATGCAACGTTGTGATGTAATTTTACGCGTCTCTCGCTCCCTCCTTTCCCGTTTCATTCTAGCTCACTTGAGCTGGTGATTCGAGTCATACGAGCTCTACTTTCTAAGGGACATGCTTGGAACTGGAGACTATAGCATCATCTCAAGATATATCTAAGTAGAGCCTGGTAGGTCAGCTTCCTAGAAAGGAAGGCGATTCTGTCGAGCCGTCTTTAACATCTCACCAAAACTTTCCGTAAACATTAACAGAGTTGCGGGGGGGTAAGCAGGAAGTAGACAGCTGGAAAGTTCTGAAGAAGGAATGCTAATGTAATAATATAAGAGGGCAAGTTCTGCTAACTCGAGTATTGTGTTAACTTCATTGTATCAGATCAAATCTGACGTTGAACCAGAGTAAAAAAGGTTGGGCCTACCCTGTACAGCTGTCGTTGCGGTGAAATCCAGGTCAGGACAATGTTCTAGACCGCACGGAAAATAATTTCTCCATCTCTTGCGTGACAGTCTAGAACAGCGAAAATGCTCAGGCGTTGAACGGACTCATGCAGAGCGCTGAGCTAAAGAGTCATGGTCTGATCAGCTGCCACTCTCTGTCACGAGTAAGTCGAATCGAACCCCATCTATCATCTGGAGTACCCCGGACCCCATGCAGAACCTCGGCTTGTTATCTTATCTGATCGGATCAGGAACAATAAAGATGCGCAATGTCCGACGGAGTTTATGCCGTCTTTGGTGTCATCGTTGAACATCTTTTGGAGACAAGATATCGGCACAATTCAGTCACAGGAGTGTCAGAAAACGCCAGAAAACAGTTACAAACAGATCATACGTGCTTAATACCACGAAAGTTCAATATTGCACGTTATCATGATTTCTTTCACCATTTACAAGCGACCGAACTACCGAGGCACCCTCTAATAGCGTCGTCGTCATGATCCACTTTTTAAAAGAGCCGAGGTATCCAAGTCTTAGCCTCATCGATTTCCGACATCGCTTGGACCGAGCGACGCCCCATAAAGTTCAAACTCCCCTTAATCTAAACATTCCATCATCAACCTTTCTCTCCCTCTCAACAAATCCGGGGTAAACACATCCACAAACCTCTCCAACAATGCCTCCGCCAAATCCAGACTGGGTCAAGGCCCTCAAGCCCTCCGGCCCCCAAGGCTCAGAGCTTCTCGCCCAAGAACGCGCCAACTCTGACATCAACGTCGACCAATTGGCAGATTTCCTCTTCACAAAAGAAGTTCTTGAGCGCAATGATAGGATTCTCAAGATTCTTCAGGCTGATCCTGTTTTTGACAAGGAGCAGAATTACTTCAGGGGACGAACAGATAGACTTGAAGCTGCGCTTGCTAGAGCAAAGGCTTTGAGACGGTTATCTGTTAAGCATAACTGGAACGAGGAGGAGCATTATGCTGCCAATGAGCTTATCAGCGAGCCTACGCCTTACGGCCTCCATGCTTCTATGTTTTTGAAGACACTAGAGGAGCAGGGTACACCGGCGCAGCATAAGCTTTTCCTCGAGAGGGCGAGAAACTATGAGATCATTGGATGCTATGCTCAGACTGAATTGGGTCATGGTTCTAATGTTCGTGGTCTGGAGACTACTGCGACTTGGAACCCTGAGGACAAGACCTTCACTATTCACTCGCCTCATCTCACAGCTTCAAAGTGGTGGATTGGTTCTCTGGGCAAGGCTGCCAACCACGCTGTTGTCGTTGCGCAGCTTATCCTGAACGGCAAGCCCTACGGTCCTCATCCTTTTGTCGTTCCTATTCGCGACATGAAGACCCATGAGCCTCTTCCTGATATCCACGTTGGTGATATCGGCCCCAAGTTCGGTTATAACACCATGGATAACGGATTCTTGCTCTTCAACCACGTCAAGATTCCCCACGTCAACATGCTAAACCGCTTCTCTGGCGTTGACCCGGAGACCGGAAAGTACATTCGTCCGTCGAACCCAGCTCTCATTTACGGAACTTTGACTTTCATCCGATCATCCATCGTCTTCCAATCTGGATCCGTTCTTGCTCGTGGTGTCACCATCGCTACACGCTACTGCGCTGTTCGCCGACAGTTTCAGGACCGCGATGCTGATGCCAGTGAGACTGGTGAGAACCAGGTTCTCAACTACACAATGGTTCAGCACCGTCTTCTGCCCCTCCTCGCTTCTTCATACGCCCTTTTCTTCACTGGCCGCGCTATGATCAACCTTTACAATGCGAACCAGAAGCGCATGGCTCAGCGCCGTGATGCAGGCGACGCCAAGCGTAAGCCTGGCCCTGAGGAGCTCAGCCCTGGCAGTGATCACCTTGCTGATCTTCACGCCATTTCCTGCTCCCTCAAGGCTTTTGCTTCCACCACTGCTGCTGAGGGTCTAGAAGTCTGCCGTCGCGCTTGTGGTGGTCACGGCTACTCCGCTTTCTCCGGTATTGGCAGCTGGTACGCTGATTATCTTCCTACTGTCACATGGGAGGGTGACAACTACATGCTTACCCAACAAGTTGCACGATACCTCCTTAAGTCTGCACGCGCTGTTCTCGCTGGCAAGGCACCTGACAACGGTATCTCTCGTATCTTCAAGGAGTTCATTCGCCGACAGGACATCGGTGCTGCTTTCGACGTTCTTGACAGCGACCAAGACCTTGTTGATGCTTTCGCATGGCGTGTCTCGTTCTTGACCTTTGAGGCTCTGAAGCACCGAGATGAGGAGAGGCAATCATGGAACAGCCTGCTCATCGATTTCTGGCGTCTCTCTACTGCGTACGCCCAGTACCAAGTCGTCAAGAACTTCCACGAAGCTCTCCAAGACGAAGCTACCAAGAAGTCCCTCGACCCCAACACGCTCGCCATCATGCACAAGCTCTTCGAGCTCTTCGCTCTACATAATCTCCAGAGCTCCGCCTCCGAATTCTTCACCAGCGCCGCTACAACCGTTCGTCAAATCCAACTCGCTCGCACAAAGCGAACTCTCTCTCTCCTCGACGAGATCCGACCGCACGCTGTTAGACTTGTCGATGCCTGGTCATTCCCCGATTGGCAACTTGACAGTGCCCTTGGACGCTATGACGGCAAGGTTTACGAGGACTTGTTCCATCGCGCTTCGGAGGTCAACCCTGTTAACGACATTGTGTTTGATCCTTATCCTGAGTCAGATGTGTTGTTCCGTAAGAATGGCAGTGGTCCTAAGGCGAAGTTGTAAGAGAGAGCGCATGATACCTGTACTTTAGAATACTGTCACCTAGTCTTTTGTATCACTGTTTATAGATAGAGAAATATTAGCCTGCTTATGCTTACTATTGATCCCTTTTAGCATGTGAAGATCGTGTCTGAGCTGGGTGAGATTTCGCCCCGGTGATGATACCTGTGGACATATCCGTAGAAAAAGTACGAGGAGATGCCAGCTTGTTATCCACGGGGCTGAGCCTCATCACGTCCGTGGTATATCGACCAATGGAGCGCACGTTGTATCTGCTATACTGGAGCTCAGGGTTTGTAGAAATGCTGTTCAAGTCTTTGCACCGTCTTCGACTTTTCAAGACATGTCAAAAACTCTTGACACTCTTGTTCTATTAATATTGTCTGTATTTACGATGTGTCGAAGCATTTTCTTTCTAGCTGCTACGGCGACATAGATGATTGCTAGCCATAAGGTTAAACTTTAGGCTGCTAACACAGGTGATGAGGACACGATATAGCTGTTATAGCACTGTTGTCGCTGGTGCAAGGTGAGTCTCGGGATCCTTGTATCTGTTTCCCAAGCCTCTGTGCTAACATCTTACAGCTCAGAGCAACACTCCCCGTATTATGGCGAGCCAGAGATCATGGAGGTTCTTGAAGAAATCGCCGATGGCTTTCGAATCTGTCCTGATAATCTGAAGCACCGCTATACCATCGTCGTGACGAACTGAACCTTGAGTCCGAAGCCCTCACGTTCCCATCGGAGGACGGCGCACCCCTCGAAGGATGATTGCCCCCATGTAATGGATCAGACAAGACCATTATCATGAACAGTCCTCGCCTGTTCAATAGGGCCGGTCTCCAATCACATATTGTACCGTGGAGTACGTTGACTGCCCCATTAGGTAACAACATCGAGGTCAGCTTCATCTCCGACTATAAGATTATTCATGGAGGAAGTGCTACACATTTCGCAATAGGCAAACATCCGGAAGAGCTCAAAGACATCCGCCCCATTGTATTTCCCCAGTCAATATCTGCCAACATGAGTAGTACGGTAACCCTGTAAGCTGCTGGTATCGACCTTGACTATCTCAAGGAACCTCATGATATGGCCTACTAGCGCACCTCTCTTCACCTTGAAGAATGCTCCCTATTCCTTGGACTAGAAAAGCCAACATCCCTACGTACATGTCCCAAGTTCGTAATGATATTGCTACTCATTGGCAGGATGTTCAAGATGCATTTGATGCAATTCCTGCTAGGAATAAAGACAATTTCTGGAATAAAGGCACGACTAGAAGATGGGATGGATACTTGCACTTTCAGCGTCACCCTGATGCGATTATCAAGTGGCTTGACCGTTGGATGAACTAAGGTCTGGGTGCACCGAGATTTGTACTAGGACTCCTGTTTCTTTCTGTAACATTATTCCATTGATTGCAACTTTTATCTAGATGGATTTATATATATCTCGCCCGAGCATCATAGAACTGTTCACAGACTTCCTCATCGATTAACGTATCTCATGAGCTGTTCTCTGTGGAGCCTAGAACCGGCTAGCTCGAAATCAGACAACAACTTTGACTGGTTCGTTTGGGCGTGTTACCACATTTATCAGCAAAGAATGTTACTAATTATAGCACGAGTGAGCTCCAGGCAACTATCCCCCAACATCTTTTATGCAACATCATCCTTCAATTTCCTTCTCACTCATTGAGCACAACACTGTAACGTTTTCAGAAATAAACTCAGCAACATGGCCGACGAAAAGAAGCCCGAGATTATCTTGTATGACCTCGCCTGTATCAAGAACACATGCTTCTCGCCCGTCGTTTGGAAGATCCGCTTGATGCTCAACTACAAGGGCATTCCTTACAAGACCATCTTCGTTGAGTTCCCTGATATTGAGCCAACGCTAAAGAAGCTGTGAGTTATCGATCTCTTGATGAATTTGCTCCTTACTTCGCTTGGTATGATGAGCTGACTAACGGAAACCAGAGGCCTGGACTCCCATGATTCCAGCTCAGGCTCCCCTCTTTACACAGTCCCAACAATCCACCATGTCCCGACCGGCAAGTACATCATGGACTCACCCGCCATCGCCGAGTTTCTTGAATCAAACTATCCCGACCCTCCTCTCCCTCTGTCCTCCGACCTTGGTCGCGAGATTGAGACCAAAGCCCGCGGCGCCGTCGGTCCTGCATTTCGCATCTCCGTCACGCCACTCGAGAACCTCATTCTCTCACCACGATCTCAAGAGTATTTTCGAGCCAAAAATGAAGCTCGAATGGGGTGTAAGCTAGAAGATTTGATAGACCCCGAGAAGGAGAAGAAGACTTGGGACGGAGTTGCGGATAAGATGACCGAGCTGAGTGGTTTGATGTTGACAAACAAGGACAAAGGGCCATTTTTGCTTGGTGAGAAGCCGAGTTACACTGACTTCTTCATTGCTGCTTCACTTCAATCGGCGAGGACTATTGATGAAGGAATCTTCCAGCGTTGTGCTGCGTATCCTGGTTTCAAGGCTATTTACGAGGCTTGTGTTCCATGGATGGAGAAAAAGGACTAAGCGGGGGGACAGTTGTAGTTTACTTTGGCCTTAACTGCATGAAACAGTTGGTAGCTCTCGATAGCTCTCCGACAGAGATTCCTCCCATGTGAAATAAAGCCATTATGAAAATAGCACTCCTTATTCAGTCTACTTGAATAGGTGCTTGTTCACTGGCGTGACAGCATCCCTCCCCTCCAACACAGCCATAACATTCTCCATAGCCAACCTCTCAAACCCAATCGACGTATCAAGTGCACCACCAGCAGTATGACACGTCAAAGTAGCATTCCTCATAATTTGCAACCTCGGATTCGGTCTTGGTTCATCCTCGAAAACGTCCAAGCCCACTGCAAACAAATGTCCAGAATCCATAGCGTCAGCCACAGCTTCTTCGTCTACCAAACTCCCGCGCGCAACGTTAACAAGTCGTGACCCTTTCTTCATTTTGGCAATCTCTTCACGGCCGAGGATCTTCTTCCCGCCCGCTCCTGGGGCAGCTATGACGATGCAATCGGCGGTGGCGAGCATGTCTTCCAGCTTGGGGTAATTCGTTGCTTCGATAGCTGCTTCTTGCTCTGGCGATTTGGGCAAGGGATCGTAATATGCAATGCGCATGCCGAGAGCCTTATAAGTCTTGTGAGCGATCTGATAACCAATGTTTCCAAGACCAACGATTCCCAGTGTATGCCCGCGAGGATTAAAAGCTGTAAGTTGCGTATGAGCATGTGCATCTAGAAACTCCTCTTCACTGCCCCTCGCAGCCATGTTACTCCACTGCATATTTCTGAACACCGAAATGATATGATAAAGTGCCATATCAGCAACCGCCTCTGAAGAAGCAGCTGCTCCATTACAATAAAGGATACCGTTTTCGGCCATGATGTCAACATCAGCCCAGTCATACCCAGCACCAGCTGATGCATAAACCTTCATGGACTTGGGCAAGAGGGGAATGAGCTCTTTGTCCCAGCGTCCCATTTCCCCGCCTGTGATCCAGAATGGTCGCATTACAGCTTGGAAGTCACCCCATTTCTTTTGGCGAAGAGCTTCAAGGAAGGGTTCGCGTTGGCGTTCTTCTGCTGAAGGGCGGATGATGGTGAATTTTGATTCGAGTTGTTTGTAGAGGTCATGGTTGTACTTTATTGGGTCCCCGATATGGATGATTATAGGCTTCTCGGCTGAAGGCATGATGAGATGGGGGAGACAACGAAGAAGGTTGGCATATGGTGCTTGGGAGATTCTTCTAGTCCTTTTGTCAAACCAGGCATATAAATGATACCAACACAAGAACGCAATCATTAATCTGGGGAATCAACACCGATCTTCGTTCCGAGCTCTCCAGATCCCCCGCATCTCACTTCCCAGTATCTCCTCCCATGCAGGTCGGATATCACCATTACTACATGACCATCACCAATACAACTCGTCCATCTCCTCGGCTCGGCTACACACAACAAACGTCCCTCCTAGTGCATCTCACTCATCGGATAACGGCTCGGAATGTTCTTGGATTGGTGCAAGTTGAAGATCTACATGATTTATGTGGTTACGTTGCAAGGTTCATTTCCCCGCTTGCCTTGGTTTCCCCAGACTATTCCCCCGTACCCCAGGTTCTAGTCGTAGAAATCTCGGCAAGAAATGCGATGCTTAGTCTGGGCAGGTTGATAGTGTTAATAAATACACTGGGAGAGGACTCTCGATTTCCTTGATGGTAAACAAAATTTTGTCATCAATTTGTTAACGGATTGGTCTGTCATCATGGCTGATGTCAAAGAAACGGGCGAGGAACTCCATTTGGAGACTCTCGGCGGAGAAACAGCCGACATTGAGAACCGCGCCATCAAAGAAAAAGCTCTTGTTCGAAGAATTGACAAGCGAATGATGCCTCTAATGATGCTTCTATGTAAGTTCTCACTGCCTTTATCGCATCAGCAGGACTAATACCTTGCTATCAAAGATATCCTCAACTATCTCGACCGCAATAACATTGCCACCGCCCGTCTCGGTAACTTCGAGAAAGATACCGGTCTTGTGGCCGAGCAATACAACACCGTCATTAGCATCTTTTTCGTGGGTTACATCCTGACTCAGGTACCCACTAACATGATTCTGAACAAGATGCGACCGTCGATCTTTTTAGTATGTTGCTGAGTCAAGTGTTTGTGATACATTATGCTAATTCATATTGGTAGCCTTGCATAATGGTCTGTTGGGCTACTGTTAGTGCTTGTACGGGTGCTGTTCAGAGCTATCATGGGATGATTGCGTTGAGATTTATCCTTGGTTTCGTGGAGGCACCGTTCTTTCGTAAGTTAGTCGTTTTGATGCTGCTGATTTAACTGACTGGAGTAGCTGGTGCTCTGTTTTTGTTTAGTTCATGGTACACGAAGAAAGAACTGGCAGTTCGTATCTCGGTTCTTTATGCAGCTGGTCAGATGGCTGGTGCATTTGGTGGTCTTCTCGGAAGTGCCATCATGGCTGGAATGGATGGTAAGGCTGGTTTAGCCAACTGGAGGTGGCTCTGTATGTCCCCCTCTCTAATCTTATATACCTCGACTAACAACCGTCTAGTCATCATCGAAGGCTGTACCACTTATCCTGCAGCCATCGTTACATACTTCATCGTCCCAGACTACCCAGCAACAACAGCCTGGCTTAGCGATGAAGAACGCCGCATTGCAGTCCTTCGTATGGCCGAAGACGCCAGCAAAGAAGATGACCGAGCCGATGTATCAGCTTGGGAGGGTGCTAAAATGGCCTTCACTGATCCTGCACTCTACATGATCTGGATCATGCAGCTTGGTCTCAACACAGCCGCAGCTTTCACCAACTTCTTCCCTACTATTGTCAAGACTCTTGGTTATAGCTCGACTATTACTCTTCTGCTCTCTGCGCCGCCGTATGTGTTTGCTGCAGCGCTGGGTATTACGAACTCTTGGCATAGCGATCGTGTTAACGAGCGATGGCTACATGTTGTTTGGCCGCAGGTATTCTGCAGTATTGGGTTCATCATCTCAGCTGTTACTCTCAATACGGCTGCCCGATACATCTCGACATTCATGATGATGTCAGTCTACGGATCCTTTGGTTGCATCTTGTCTTGGGTATCTTCGTCTTTGCCACGTCCGTCGACAAAGCGCGCTATCTCATACGCCGTGGTCAACGCTGGGTCTAACCTGGCGTCCATTTACGCATCATACTTTTACCCTTCCTCTCAAGGCCCGCGATATTGGCAAGCAAACGTCGCAAACGTAGCGTTTAGTGGTCTTTGCATTGCTATGGCGACAGTTCTGAGATTCTTCCTTACTTGGAGAAACAAGAAGCTGGAGAAGGCGAGAGAGCATGATATTCAGCACGAGGGTACTTTGAGTGGCAGTGAAACAAGGCTGCTTGCTGAGAAGTGGCAGTGCGGAACTGAGTATATTTTTACGTTGTAAATGGGCTGACCTTGGGTGAGTATGAAACATCCGTAGTAAATGGAGAGAGACATTCGATATAATTCTGATATGATAGTAATCGGTAACTATTATGTCCGAAACTCGATTGCGTGACGAAGCTCCATGTGGAGAGTGGTTCGATTGACTCGTGACGCTGCCAAGAGAGCTGCGACGCTCCCTTCTGCTAACAATGGGCTGATTGAAGCGCAATGAGTAATTCCCCGGAGCCTACGGATTGGCCTTACAACATCGCTTGATGTCCCCATAATCAGATGGCAGTATGTTGTTTTGCGGCTCGTTGGTTCTGAGTCGGATATCGTGTCAGCTCAGGTGCCCGCCTTACCATTGCCCCAAGTGGTTCAACCTCCGTCATGCCTAGACCTCGTAGCTATCACGAACCAATCACGGTGCCTGCTCTATCATTCAACTTCTTAAATAAGACCGAACCCCCACAAGTTGAGATAAGGCTAAGAAATAGTTGTTATCGGGTATCTGTCTCTTGATCTGGGGATGGGAAGTGCCGTGCTTAGCTATTTCTCCCCGCAATGTTGTTGCGGGGTGCATATCAAGAGTTCAAAGGCTTTCGCGAGGAAAGCTCCAGTTGCGAGTGCCGAAATGTTGACGAATAGATCATGTTTGTTGTCGCACATGCTTCAGAATTGAGTCTTAAAACGTCACATCTGGTGAAACAAGTATTACTAACTATGACATGATGGTTGGGCCTTGCCTCGAACGAGAGATGATCTGAACTCTTCTCAGTAGTGAGCGTTGCAGCGCACGTTAATGCCTCGGCTGTTCCCGGTATTAATTTTACTGCTGACATGTCGAACGCTGACGAGCGATAAAGGCGCTGTACGATAAGAGCAAAACCAGGCACTGGTTGTACTGCATGCCGAGTGTCGTAGGTTGCATTCTTTCCGAAAATCCATCGACTCATCAGATCACAAAAGATCCCTGTATCTCGGCGCTCAAATCTCGATAACCATTTGCTTGTTTTCTTCAATACCAAGAGACATCATCTCATATTTATACCTGATACCAACATTCTCATTCATACGATGGTCTTCAAAACATGACCATCAGACGTTGTTTAACCTTGTCGATTAAGCTTAAAATCTTTAAATGACACGGCTAAGGCGGAATTGCCAGACTTGGCGCACTATACGCTATGAGTCGATCGCTGTGGGGAGCACGAGAGGCCGCCAGCGCCTCGTCGAGTTAGATGGCCAATACTTGGCCTGGACAGACACCGCTATGATCTCATGTTGCTTGGCTTGGCATCGGCTCATGATCAAAATACACTTTGCGTGTGACGTTGCGTGGCTCTACCCTCAGAAGCCCACTTCTGGTTTTGGGGCTTTTTTTTTACTGCCGGGCGGCGGGTGAAAAATTTATACCGACTATGAAAGCTGGCTGATCCTCAAGCCCTGCCTTTACTTTGGTGTTTCTACATTCCAACCGAACTTGAACTCAACAACTACTCTTATTATTCTTGTATTGATTCACTTACCAGATATGGGCGTCCGTATTGCTACTCAACAAGACATCCCCGCGTTGAAGGAGATCATCCTCAGCGGGCTGTCAAATGATTCTGTCTGGCTGTACTGCTACCCCTCAGCAGGCCGTTCAGAAGCCGCCTCAAATCATGTCGAGACGGTCCTGAAGAGGATCATTGATGACAACAGCAAAAATTGGCATTGCTACGTAGTCGATGCTCCCAAGACTCACGACCCTGTCTCCCTTGCAATTATCCAGTCCCTTCACCAGAACGAAGACGATGGAAAGGGCGTCACTGAACAGATTCAGCGAGGTGAGTGAACACCCACTTTTTTGCTCGCTTTAGTGATACGAATTTCGCTAACCTTATTTTTGCAGTGTTTGGTCTGTCAAACGACACCAGTGACGGCGAGAGTAAGACGGCAAAGAGAATTGCCGCACTGCAATCAGGCATCACGCAGACTCAGCAGACGTACCTCGCCCGCTACGACCAAGTTATGTTCCTCCATGCCGTCATCACGCATCCCCACCACAAGCGCCAAGGGTACGCCAAGACGCTCTCCAAGCAAACCCTGCAGGTAGCGCGTCAGAAGGGCGCCGTGGTAGCAGCCCTAGCCAGCCCCTTCAGCGGCTACGTCTTCTACTCTGGCACCAGCTTCTCCAACTGCGGCCGCACAAAGGTCGAGACGGACAACGACATCGAGAACCTGGAGCTGCAGATCATGGTCTGCACTCCGCCCAAACCCCTCGAGCAGAGGAGGAGCTCCATCATGGACTTTTGGGGAGGGGCCAAGAAGGCGTCGCCTGCGGGGAGCAGACGGGAGTCGTTGGACCAGGGTGCGACGGGGGAGAGGCGGAGCTCGTTCTTGGATATGTTTAGCTTTGGACCCAAGACTCCTTCTGCTGTTGACGATGATACCCGCAGAAAGTCTCACGCCTAGATCATGAGCGGGAGGATTTTTGCTTGCAGTTTTTTATATGGATTGTCATAGACGAGGTCTTTTCTTATGTACTTACCAACGAGCCACGATCTCAATACGATTACCAAACCCACAATCAGTGTCAGCGAAAATACAGTGGTGGACCGTGCATAACCTTACTGATTTTCAGGGCTCGATCATGCATTTTGCGTATGCATGACAGCGCATAATCAGCAAGTTTTCGCCAATTGCCGTCAAGGCTTACGCATCTTCATCCGCTTTGTCTGAGCAACCAGCGGTTTCAGAAATTTCATCAACTGCAACGATCTCCACAGGCAAGCATTATTCTGCGGTGCCTTAATAGTTACCTATTTTGGCCATTAACATTTTACTAGCAATAAAACGCTTGTTTTGATTGAGCCGGTTCATTATCGCGTGCGATTCTAGAGTTTCGTTCAGGTGCTTAATGACAAGGGACAGAAAAAAACAAAACAGGGGCAAAATAAAAAGAAATCATGACGAAGAAAGAGAGTTTGCTCCTACCTCCTACGTGTCAACTCCATATGGCTGCTTGATCAGATAAACTTTAGCCAGATCAGTGACCACCTAGGAGAGCTTCAGGGGACATCACTATAATATCTGAGGGGAAAGTTGGGGGGAAGGGACGGAGTTAGTAGCAAGGAAGAACTTCTGCGTGGGGAAGACAGTTATGCGGGCATAACACACGCAACTGTTATTGAAGAGTAGATAGAAGTAGGAAGGGGATAGAGAGGAAAAGGAAATGTTAGCTTCCCTTGAGTTCAAGGTCTCTCTTCCCGCGAATGTAGTGTATGATACACCAGTCCCATAGCCATCCAGGCAACAAATCGACCAGACCTTTGTAGAGGAACTGATACCAATGAGCGACAACTACACTCCGACGACTACCAACTCTTGCGATCACAGCCTTAGCAAGATTGCTGTCGGTTTGACCCATATTCCTTGACACCCTTACACATAAGGCTTCGACATCATACCCCTCGAGTTTCATTTCCAGGGCGGAGGATTCGGTCATTCTGGAAAGGAATGACCGACTTGCTGAAGTTGCGATTTTGAGTGGAAGGCCTTTGTCGATTAGGGAAGTGATGTTCATTAGGAGAGACGGGGAGTTGCCAATTAGGGTTGGAAGTAGAGTGCGAAAGAGTTGTATTGGATAGAGTGCGTCAACATTGATGTTCTCAAGAATAGACTTTTCATTTTCTTCAAGAATTGATTCAAGGTCAGTATCCTTGACTGCCCCATCTGCACAGTTGACCAAGACTGTCAAGTTAAGCTTGGATAGCTCAGTCTTAATAGCGTCTAGGTCAAGTTTACGTTCCAGCTTCCAGTCCCCGTAGCTTTTGCGGTACCAGAAATCCGCACTTCCAAGGACAGTTGGATCTGCGACGAGGATTTTAAAGTTTCGATCAGGAAACTCCTCGTGCATCCGCATCATGGCGGTTAGTAGATCTTGTTCGACCCGGCCATGAAGTACAACGTTGAACCCTTTCTTTGCGAGCTCGCGTATAATCTCATATCCAATTCCATCAGAGGCACCTGTTACTAGAGCCCATGCATCCGCGCCGTTGGGGGAAGGGTGGTTGAAGCGGTGTATTTTACTGCGTCGAAGGCAGTAGGTGTGAAAGAAGAAGGATGCGCTGAGGGCCCAGCCGAGAAAGCTCGCACTGCCAAAGATGGCGAGGATGGTGATGATCTCCTTTTGGACTGGTCGTATGTAATAGAAACAGTCGAATGTTGTAAGCTGTGTTGAGTTGTCGGCCAGCCACTCGAAAGTACGAGGCTGGAAACTTTGGTGTAGGGCGGTGTTCATCTTGTCAAGCATCCCGGGAATTTGGTTGATGTTTGGTCTAAGATGGAAGGGGATATTGCGGCTATATATACACTCGAAGGGCAATGAGGGGGTTTGCCTTTAGACCACGTATTGAGTTCTGCAGCGAATTGCGTCGGGAGAGGGGTGAGCGAATTATATGTTCCTGGACACGTAGGTCCGCCATCTCGAAGAGTCGTGAATCTTCGCAGCGACTCAAGCTTACTGTGACTGATTTCAAAACATGGGTGGAAGGGCAAAACAGCTTGAACTGAGGCGCGGAGTGTTCTTATAGGCTCTTGAAGGTCATATACGCGGCGCGGAGCCAAGTTAGGTTGGCATTTAAGTCACCGCGAACGATCATGCTTCGAAAATAACTGGTATGCCTGTCAGAACGCTGAGGCAAAAGGTAAGTTAGGGCCCATTAGATAACTTGCTTCAGGCAGCCGTGACGTGTAAAAGAATAAGGTTCGCTTCTACCATAATTTAATTCGTCGATATTGTCCCAAACTTTCCATCATAAAGCAACTGGGGCCAGATTCCGACACACAAAGGTAAAATGTAGACCAAAGGCAGCCAATCTCGCAATATGATTGGGAAAAGGGCTTGAGCAAGGCATCGAGAATTAGACTTGGTCACCAGGTGATTCAGACGCAGTGCGCAATTTAGATTCAATGCTAGTCTAGAAAGTCTTGTTAATATCTCGATACCAGATCTATTCCGCCAGATCAGCCCCATCGTCGGCCGTCAACACAAATGAAGGATCCAAGGGGAGAAGATCCAAGAAACTTGCAAGCATGTAATCCGCGCTACCAGATATGGAACTGGTGGAAAAGCCCATGGTGTTGCCCAAGGGCAATAATCCGGGCCTAGCCTGGGCTTGATCGGAGGTCTGACGCTGGTCAATAGCTACATGCGAGGATGGATCATCCATTCCACGACCAAACGGACCATATATATAACCTTCGACAGCATCTATAATCTTCTGTATGTGCAGTATTGCATTTCTGACAGGGTCATCATCCACCATTAACTCAAGGCACTCTATAGCGAGTCCGACGATGTCCCGATGATGTGGATGTTTTGATGGATGGCCCATTGATGCGTATAGAAGGATGGCGCAACTTGTTTCAAGAAAGAAGGCATTGTATCGTCTCATCTAGCATCGGACCGATTAGCATTGGTACCTTGTTGAATTAAAAGTAGGTAAAAGAAACTTCAAGATATGTAGTGGTGCAGAGATTGGTGTGTAGTGCCTTTTGCGTTGAAGGTTATCTTGATCGTTGGGTAGGGGTTCCAACTTTCTTGACGCTACCACCTTCTAGACGCGGCTATTCCCAATCCAAGCTACACTTACTCCTTTGCTATCTAAAGTTTTGAAGATTTCGCGGGTGAGTACAATGGAGTCTTCTGCGGCGTCTGTGGCATTTCTACACGCTTGTCGAAGCCAAATCGCATTGGCTCGTTCCACCTGACCGGCAGCTGTAAGAGCTGATTCAGCAATGAGAAATGGTCGATAGATGGTATGGATGAAGTGGTAATAGACTAAGCAATTAGTGGAAAGACCCCTCATCTGCTTAGCAGGATCGAATGAGCTTACCGTTGCATACTAAAAGCTGTGCCATCTTATTTGCCCCTGGGCTTTGGCATCGAAGGTGACTAGGTCCAAACCACAGACCTCCACAGACGTCCCAACTTCTCATGTGAAGGCTTTGGGTTTGATCGTACATCTGTGATAGTGTGCAGTATTTTTGCCCGCTTGGACACGAGGTTGCCTCTTCCTGGATAGCTGCCAAATTGCAAAGATCGACCAGCATGGGCTGATCATCTGGGTACTGGCAGGAGATATCGGATCTTTTGAAGATGCCTTTTCTTCCAACGATAAAGCAGATCCACCTGTCGTTGAAGTCAGCCCTCATATAAGTGGAATAGTACAGTGATACTCACGTTTGCTGGAAATACAATGCCCAGAAGGTAGTCAAGCGCAGCTGCAAGTCCTCCCCAATTACATCATCCTTAGTTCTGCTATGAAGACCCATTGCTATGGCTCTGGTGCAAGCCGAACAGACTTGCAAGTATGCAGCATTGGGGCGGCCCATGTTGAGGTGATAATCCGACATCAAGAGAAAGAACTGAACCATTGGCAATGTTGCGACATCATCAAAGAGGGCAACCTCACGCTTAGCGTGTATCAAGAGGGTCTCTGCGGTATCGGTTTCAGAGGTACTGAGTGCGCCGATGGCGAATATCATCAGCAGTAGAGCTTTGTCTTGTGACGTTGATGCATCGTTTGCTCCAGCGTTGTAGAGGCTATCCAACGACACCCGAGTTTCATCAGTGGTTATAAACGGTAAAGCATGGGAAGAGTATTTGTAGAAAGCTTGTAGAAACTCTATGGCGATAGGCTTCGGAAGAATGTCTTCCATTCGCTGTTGCGACGGAAGTGAGAGTGGGTCGACTCTTGATGGCAGACCAAAGAAGATATCTCGTTTAGTAAAAGCATCTAAACTTTGAGCTTTATCTCTGGAAGCAGGATTCCGCCTATGTATCAGCTCATCGTGTAAAGTCTGCAGAAATGCAAAAGTCGACGTCGGGCCGTAGACAAGCTGTTCATTGCTCCTAGCGTCGGTCCCATGGTTAGAAGCTGTGATTGCAGCCGGGTATACACTATCACTATGTGAATCCTCGGTAGTTTCGGAACTGGATATCTCTGTCGGTACATCTTTGTTCGTTTTGCGAGCTCTGTTGCGTGCTTTGACCCGATAAGTACACATGGCGGGCTTACACCGACATCCGCTGCAGACAGTTGCGCCGTCGCACTTGATCTTCCGCCTGCGGCATGGTTCACACGCTTTTGAAATCATGGTTTTGTGAAGATATCTCGGAGTTGGAATATGACGGAGAACGGAATCTTGAATTCTGGATGAGGAGAATGTCACGGCAGCTGCATGCTTACGGCACAAGCCCTTGGCCAAGTGGCGTAAGCCCGTAAGCCCGTAACTCCAACTCCGATCAAGGAATAGTTCACCCGCAAATTGTGGACATTCCAGGATTTCGGTAACAATGACGAACTATAAAAGGACCCAGTCTGCCAGAAGTTGGAAGCACCATCCTATCCATTTAAACAACCTCTAGCATCATTATCCATCGATTCATCATGCTCATTCTAATTGCAGGCATCACCGGCATGGTCGGCCAGACCCTTGCTCGCTATGCACTGGAAGAAGGCTATCAAGTCCGCGGGTTGAGCAGGAACCCTGATAAGCTCAATACCGATATCAGATCAAAACTCGAGAGTTTCGTTGCCTGTCCAGACTTCCTTGATAAATCTTACCTTGCGAAAGCTGTCAAGGGAGTCGATGTCGTTATCGCAGCTCTGCCTCCAGTGCCCAAAATTATTGGAGCAGGTCAACTGGCCCTCTTGCTGGAAGCTGAGAAAGCAGGTGTCAAGGTAAGCCCCGCACCAACAAACATTGTATCAACACTAATGGGCTGTTCAAGGTTTTCCACGCCGCTTCTTGGAACTTTGATTGGACTAAGCTCGAACTCGGCGATCACGAGACGTACGATGCTTATATCGCCTTTAAGCGCCTTGCCGAACTCTCATGCAGCTTGAAGCCAATCTATGGTTTCACAGGTGCCATTTTAGACTATATGCTCGTTCATATCAAGCACGCAGGTCGACCCAGTATGATCAACACCGAGACACGAAGTGTTGCATATTTCGGTACCGGCGAAGAAAAGATGTCCTTTACTACCCTTGATGACTTGGTTAAATATACACTGGTCGCTATAAATGATCCAGATATCATTAAGCGTGGTATTTACTACGTCGAGTCATCTCACTGCACCATGCCGGAGTTGGCTAATATTTATGGCAAAGTGCGTGGCTATGAGATTAAGAAACAGTGCTTTGGCGGCAAGGCTGAACTTCAAGCGATGTTGCAACAGGCCAGAGCGAACATTAATGCTTTGGACGCGAACAAATATATCGACTTGGCTTACGGGATGGTAATTTTGAATGGCAAGACAGTTATTGATCCTGTTGATAATGAAAGATGGGCCAGCAAGGTCAAACCAACGAGCCTGGAGCAGTGGCTCAAAGAGCATCCCGAGGCCTAGATTGGAGATTGGAATTGCCTGTATAGTTAGTGCATTACTGTCTTTACTAATGATTTCGTCGCGTTATTGAGTAGAAGGAAGTGAGGAACTTGTTAGTCAGTGCTAAATAATCCAAAACATTTCGAAAATGAAACCCCTCTCTCACTGCTGAACTTGGAGGTTCGCCCCAACATGAACTAAATAACTAGCATCCAAAATGAACGTAAGGCATCCAATACGTATTCCCGAGGTCTTTTTGATCTTCTTCCGGGCCCACCGCCGTGATATCTCTGACTTGCTCGCTCTTAAATCGTCCCTCATCTCTCAACTTTCTCAGCGCTCGATGCAGACCCCTGCGCACAGCCAAATCGGTCATCCCCTCATCTCGTAGAGTTTGGTAAAATGCTTCAGCTACATCAACGCAGTGTTTGTCTGACACCTCCCAAAGTGTTGCAATGACATGTCGAAACCCCGTTAAATGAAATGCACCAACTAGATGAATCCCTTCGTCTGACAGTTTTGACTCCATGATTGTTCCAGTTGAGCAAGCGGAGAGATATGCCAGAAATGGTTGAGTACTTTCTAGATTTTTGTCCCGGATGTCCTGGACCGTGAGAGGGCTATTCTCCCAGTCTTCGAGGCACAGACAGCTCTTTGAGGGCTCCACGGGGTCTAAGCGGCCATGGCCGGCAAAATGGAATACATTGCACGTTTCCAGGGAAGCAAGAACATCTCCCTTAAGTGGCTTTGGCGTAGCTGATTCGAGGTCGAGTGTTGGGCACATCTTCTTCAACATTTGGACCTCATCATCAGCATATCGCAGCGTGGTGCTTCCTGGCGTGTTACGCATGGCAACGAGTAGGGCAGCTTGTCTAGCTGGCACCCCCACAGAAGTAAGATTTCTCTTCCGCCCATGAAGCAAGGACTTTATTGTCAAAGCATATGACGACATAGTCCTGTCCAAAACTGTCTCCGTGGAACCTTGATCGTAGCATCCGGCAGCATGGATTGGTATACAACTGAGAGCATCAGTTGGAATCCACCATATATGCGACCAATTTTCATCTAGTATTGGAGACTTAAGATCGAGTGCATTCAAACATGGACGACACAGAGCATCCCAGAGCCATTCTAGCCGAGATGCTAACTCAGATCTGGCTGATGGGAAACTCGCCCATGCGCGGAGCTTGCTTTGCGACAAATCAGGTAACTCAATCGTTCTGATCCCTGTACTTTCGATGATGAAAGCATCACATCTGTAGAAGCTAACATTAATAACGATGATCGGATCCGGAGTAGCTGCTGCCATCAGTTCTGCTTCAGCTGGCGGTAGAAGAAAGGTCTCAAATCCTGATTTTCCTCGGACCTCATCAAGAATGACATCGAATTCTCCATCTGCTTTCCGAAATCTTTCTTGCTTCCGCTGCCAAGTTGCCAAGTCGTCCTCTCTTGTCGATATATCAATACCGCTTTGGAGCTGGCCCATTTCATCTCGAAGACGATCAAACTCCTTCGCCAAATCCGGGTACTCGAGTTCAAGCTCCGAGACATCTGTGCGAATATCCATAACGAAACCTGAGATTAAACCTCTTCCCAGCTCCAAGAGGCGGAGAGCATCATAAGGCCCTTTTTTGGCACTGATAGCAGCGGCGGCAGCCATAGATGTTAAGCCAGACAGACTCGAGAGCAGGCTCTGCCTATCTGTATGTGCCAGAAACCGTGGGCTCACTTTCGGGAGAAGCGACACCGCATCACGCAGCAAGGTACTGGCTTTCCCCCACTCTCTTCTCAATATGTATACATAGCCAGCAGAGCCAGCTGCACGTATTCGTTGAGAGGGAAGAGCTTTTTTTGAGTTCCATGCTTGGAGATACCAGTAGATCTGACTGTCGCGATCACTTGCGTCTTTGGTCATCTCAAATCGCTTCTCAAGCCAGTTGCCCAGATTATTTATCATGACTGAACGATGAGGATGATCTCGGGGCATCGCTTTCACTCCCTCAGTGATACTTTCGATACAGAGATCCAGATCATCCAAGGAATCTGTCTTGTTGAAGCGGCTACCAAACGCATTGCCGAGAGTATTAAGGTAGGAGGAGACATCAGGATGATCTTGAGCTGTCAAATCAACCGCCTTTTTGCTGGCTTCGATAGCTCGAACAATATCACTTTCTCTTCCCAGTTTCTCATAGCGTGTGCGATGCGATGATCCAAGATTATTGTAGTAGGCGGCGAGGCTATCATGAGACGACGAAGGAGCTTGTATGGCTTCATCAATGAGCTCGATAGCACGATCAAGATCTTGTACTGCGCCTGTCCTTTCGAAACGCGAGCTTAGCTTATTTGCCAAGCTACTCACATACGTAGGATAATGAGGGTGAGTCTTCGTCGCGATCTTGACGGTTTTCTCTGCAGCGTCAATAGCGTGTTCCAAATCTTGTATCGCCCCTGTGCTCTGAAACCGGGCCCTCAGTTGATTCCCAAGACTGTTCAGCCGGTTGGCTAGTTGTGGATGGTTGTGAGGAGTGCTAGCTGCTGATTCATGCGTTCTCTCAATGGCATGGTCCAAATCTGCAATTGAGCCTGTCCTTTCAAATCGCATGCCGTAACAGATCCCCAAGTTGTTCAAGGTGGATGCAAAATCTGGTGTAATGCGAGGAGTTGCTTCCAGAGCCTGGGCGAAAAATTCCATCGCTTCGTTTAGATCCTTCAATGAATCATTTCTCTCGAATCTCCTGCTGAGGCTGGCCCCTAGGATACTCAAGAACGTAGAGCGATCAGGGTGCTTCTGGCAGGTGATATCTACTGCACGACGTGCTGCATCAACGGAACGATCCAGATCCCTCAATTCTCCCGACGTTTCAAACCGGGCACAAAGCCATGCACCCAGGTTGCTCAAGAAGCCGGGGTCTCCACGTGATGTAGACTTCACCGCTTTTGATGCCGCCTCGATCGCACAGTTGATGTCATCTACTGCGCCTGTTCGCTGGAACCGCTTACCATGCCTGTTGGCAAGATTATTCAGATATCCAGCATAGTGATGGTGACCCTCAGGGGTCACTTTCACGGCTCTCTTTGCGGCTTCAACGGCAAAATCTAGGTCTTCAATCATGTCTGTCCTTTCATGTCGAGCACTGAGCCAGAGTCCAAGATTGTTGAGGTGGTTAGCGAGATCCGGGCTCTCGTCGGGCGTCAAACCGATAGCGGTTTTCATCGCGTCAATAGCTCCGCTTAGATCCTCTATCGCTTCCGCCTTCTGATACCGCTTATGAAGCATAACAGCGAGGTTGTTCTGCAATCTTGACGACTTGTGTAGTTCTACCATCGGTATCAAGTGTTCCACAATAGCGATGGCCACATTTAAGTCTTCCATGTGGTGTTTCTGTTCAAAGTTCGTCATTGATCTGGCTGCTTGGTTCTTGAGGAGCCTCATCCGAAGATCAACATCACTGAGCATAGCGTCACGGCTGACTCTATATGCCACCACGTCAGCAACCTGGAGGCTCCAATTTTGTTTCGTAAAAGGGCAAGGAGGTGTAACTCACCCCTGTGCGACGCGTCTCGCTAGTTGCTGGGAGTAATGTAGAAGCACCAAAAGCGTCGCGAGAATAGCGAACCACTCATCGAGAGTCTGTTTATCCGAATGCGACACAGAAATCCATCTTTCAATCCAAATAATGGCTTGTTCTAAGGCATGGTCTGAGTTGAACGTCTCGAACACGAGGTAGCTGGCATAGATACGGAGTTTCAGGTCCCCCTCACTGTCGGATGAGTTTGCCTTTTCCGTGAAGGCACGCAGATCAGCCTCACTCATTCTGCGAAGAGAGGCAATGGATTCTGGACTCAGCTTGAGGCATTCCATTCTGACTGGACTTGCACTGGCAATTTTGGTGTAGACACTGATAAGAAGATACAATTGCTACCTCTGATATAACATTCTGCACATTTGTTGTGATTTATCAGGGAAAAGCAAGAGACCCTCAGGCATCAATGCAGCTTCGTCGCTTACTCCTGGCGTTGTTCTCTACAAATCAGCATCAGCATTGAACGCCACCAGACCCAAGACGAAACAAGTGTATCCTAAATAACAAACAAAAAGGCGTAAGAGTATGAGGCATCTACCTGAGAGTCTGCGGTATCAGAACTCATGATGTCTACCATAAGCTGTACAAAGTTTATCCTACAATTATCCTAACTTATTATAAGAATACTCATCATTCTTAACACCTTGTAGAAAGCGGAACTCATCAAGAGAGAGGGAATACCATAGCCACATATAAAGTAACACAATAATAGCGTTTTTTCAACACAGCATGATACAAGGCGTCATAGATTACGCCAAAAAACACAATAAAACGGAACTCATAGGTTGCATTTAGAAGCCCTGCATCTTAGTGGGCCCTTTCCCCACGGTTGTGCAGTAGATGTACTGTCAGCTTTCATCTTCGATGGCTCTTCGCCCCGCACCAACTTGACAATCTAACATACAAACAACATTGATCCAAAGGAAACTAATGCATGATGAGGGATCAAGAATATCTACCGAGCTTCTTCCCGACAGAGATATGGCTTCATATCATCCAGCAATGCACGGTATCACATTCTCTCGCCGAAATGCTGAAATTATGTCGTGTAAGCAAAGACTTCAAGCTTATGACAATAGAGGCCATCCTCGAGTCCGACATGCTGAACCATGTGGGATACTGGGACCCTGTACGAGAACAAACCATATTCTACCACACGGTAGAATATGATCACCGTTCATCATATCCACCTCTTCTAGAGGATGCATCCGACGACGATGATACCGGCTCTGAGTCCGAATCGCCCGATTTGTACATACACTTGTCTCCATCACCTTCAGAAGACAATCGAGAGCTATCCGAGGATGAGAGCTGCTCTGAGGAAGAGCTCTTCTCCTCTGATTCAACGGTAGTCCCGAGCGACGATTTCTGGGTCATGTACTTGACAACCAGGACATTGGGCAGGATCAGGTCGAAACCACCAACTCGAGATCATGTTCTGCTGGCGAAAGTCGCAGAACATATCTACCAATGCCAAGAACGGACATCTTTGCAGATAGAGTTAGAAGATATGGTGCGGATAGTTTGTGAAGTAGCGGTCAAACACGCATACATATACTCTCATCCCGATTTCTACATCAAGAACGAGCCACCGGAATTCGATGCGACAGCGCTTCACTTGGATGAGTCTTGTGGGGTTTTTCGAGACGCCCTAACGGCAATGGCCGTCTACTTGAACGATATTCCTCTTCTCGAAGAAACCCTTTCCAAAGAGGATTTGATATCTTGTCCCATCCACCAAAAGCCACTATCAACGACAGGAAACGAAAGTCGAGCATTGCAACCGTTTCAGAGACGTATTCCTCTGGCTGGCCGTCTAACAGTTGACACACGTGGCTTCAGGCCGCCTAAATGCGGAAAGTCTCTAATCAGACTTGCAAACCCAATTAAACTTGCTGTCAAGTTGAACAGGATGGAATGCATCACCATCTTATTGAAGAGCGTTTCCGACAGCCAACGCGAACTTGACCTGTATAGGAAGGACATAGTCACTGAAGTCTCTCTTCCGGAGCAGATTGAGTTTCTTCGCATCGCAATTGAGTCGGGCCGGCCTCTCACGAGATACCAATTTCTCGCACCGTCAATTGCGGAAAGCATCTGGATGTATGGACGAACCGATCCTTGCTCAAGATCGCCTTCTGGTGTGAAGCTGAGCAAAATACTTCAGTGGACAACAAATCTTGAGGTTTTCAATTTGGCTTACGGTGCTATATTGGAGGGTTACAGTGAAGATGAAGGTGTTTGGTGGACCAAGGGCTTCTCCTCTGTGGCAGACACCTTGGCATCTTGGGGCGTGAGAAGGCTTCAGCGCGCTGTATTGGACGATAGTCTGCCCATCGTTCGAAGACTTGTAGGTTTGGGCTATACCTTGGGTCCAACACGAAGCATTGAGGATTTCACGGATGAGGAGTCTGATGTTGTTGATGACATAATTAATGGCGAAAGGACGGCAGATGTAGCTCTGCCAATCGCGGTCAAAAGAGGGAATTTGGAGATGGTGGAACTTTTATTTATGGCTGGTGCGCATAGGAAGCGCAGGAATGTTCGGAATGCGATGAGAATTGCTATGGAGCAGGGTAACCTTGAGATGCTTGATGTTTTGGCAAGTCAAGGATCTCCGGCGGGATTATTGAACCGAAAAGCAAAGCAGCGTTGGAAGCAAGAGTTGGAAGATTCGGGGAGGCAGAATATGCTGAAATGGTTAGAAATGATGTGAGAACGGGCGTTGATTACAGACTAATCCTTCAATCCTTCAACTCAGTTCAGAAGAAATTGTTATCAATTGATGCAGCTGTTACCCCTCTTATCCACCGCCAATTTTAGCCTGTGATAGGTCTTCGAGGTTACACGTGACGTGTTGGTCCACGTCTCGTTTCTCTGCTCACTGATTCTTATTCTTAACCTGCAAAGAGACTTTCATTTTTCCCTCAATTCAAGTAAGACAGAGTATAAAAATTTACTTCGCAATGACAAGTGCAGCAGAGGTCAAAGATCCTGAGGCCTTTCTCAAAGACCCTCGCTTCAACCAAACCTTTCAGCTTCTAGCGGATCCATCGGATGATCACGCCAGTATCCAGGTTAAATACTCCGACTACGGCTATCACAACGCCGCTGATGAGAATGTGCTACTTTTCTTTGCGCCATTATGTGCATCGAGAATTTTCCACTGTGCGAAAGATGAGCTAGCCAAGAAGTACCGTGTTCGTATCGTCGTTATGGACCGGCCGGGTTTTGGTGGGACGGATCCGGTCAAGTTGGAGAAGAGACCTGCCATGTGTCGAAGTAAGTCAACACTCACTGGAACGAAGTCAACAGACAACTAACATTCTCAGAAATGACTCTGGCTCTGCTTAAGCACCTTGGAATCAAGCACGTATCTCTTGCTTGCCACAGCGGAGGAACCGTCTACGCTCTTGACATGCTCTTTCATCATCCAGAGATTCTTCACCCAGAGCGACCCTATCTCGCCATCGGAGCTCCCTGGATCCTTCCATCTCACTCACATCTTCTGTCAATGTCTGTTACTCAATCCCTGCCCGCTAGTATGCTAGCTCAAGCAGATAAGTTTATCGGCTTCGTCAACGGTACTCTTGGTCCGGTTGTCGCGACATCAGCTGGTATGAGCCAAATGTTTGGGTTGTCCAAAAAGAAGAATGTAGAAGGTGGCGCTGAGGAGACCAAGGCTGATGCTCTTTTCGAAGAATCCTTGGAACCATTCTTGTTCAAACTTGTGCACGCAGAGAGTATTCGTGGATTAGGTGACGAATCGGTTTTCTTGATGCAGAAGGTTGAAGGCGTGTCAGGATGGGGTGACTGGCTTGACTACGATGACCTGGTGCCGAAGTTGGTACAAGCACTGAAGGGAGCTGGCAAGAAATTGACCGTAGATGTCTACTACGCAGAAGAGGACTCTATGATTGGAGCGCCGGGAACTGATGGTCCGAAATGGCTGGACAGTTGTTTCAAGGGGGACGAGGTTGAACAGGTCATTACGTACAACACGAAGACCATCGAGGCAGCGGACCACGACACAATTTGGAGTATACGTCGGGATGTTCCAGCCGATGTCTTCAAGAAGTTGGCTGGATAATCGCCAAGTTATCTTTTTCTATGAGCTTTTTGATACAGATAGACTGTCTTCTCAATCCATCTACCTTACAACTTCGCCGCAATGTTAACATGCACAGCCTTGATATTCGAATAAGCCGCAAGACCAGCCTCTCCCAACTCCCTTCCAATACCACTCTGCTTCACTCCTCCAAATGGAATCCTCCAGTCACTATCATTACTAGAGTTAATCCAAACCATACCAGCTTCAATCCTCTTGGCTACTTGATGCGCCCTCGTCAAGTTGGTAGTAAACAAGGCACTTCCAAGACCATACTGTGTATCGTTGGCTAGGTTGATAGCATCTTCTTCAGAGCTAAACTTGCTAACCACCACAAAAGGTCCGAAAACTTCTTCCTGGAAAACTCGCATCTTGGGGGAAACTCCAGTGAAGACTGTAGGTTCGATGAAGTAGCCCTTTCCATCGCCGACCTTCTTGAAAGGTTGGCCACCGAGTTCAAGTTTGGCACCTTCTTTCTTGCCGATTTCGACGAAAGAAAGGATACGGTCGTATTGGGCCTTTGTGACTTGAGGGCCTTGGAAGGTCTTCTCGTCAAAGGGGTCGCCGACCTTGGAGATGTTCTTGACTTGAGCTCTGAATGCAGCAAGGAACTTATCGTAGATACCCTCTTGGACGAGAATACGACTTGTTGCAGTGCAGATTTGACCCTGGTTCGACATGATACCAGCATGGGCCCAATAAGCAGCCAAATCTACATCAGCGTCATTGAAGACGATAAGGGGGCTCTTGCCACCGGTCTCTAAAGTGATGTTCTTGAGATTACTGCTAGCCATCTTCATGATGGTCTTGGCTGTTGGGGTGGAGCCAGTAAAGGCAATCTTATCAACGTCCATGTGAGAAGCGAGGGCTGCACCGGCGACGGTTCCGAGACCGTTGACAATGTTTACGACGCCGGGAGGAAAGCCGGCTTTGACGACTAGGTTGGCGAAGTAGAGAATTGAGAGGGGGGTTTGTTCGGCGGGCTTGAGGACTACAGCGTTACCGCAGGCGAGGGCAGGGCCGAGCTTCCAAGCTGCCATAGCAAGAGGATAGTTCCATCTATCAAGTCGTTAATAACAGATACCTCTCAAATACACGCTAGTAACTAGACTTACGGAATGATCTGTCCACAGACACCAATAGGCTCACGGATAGTATATCCAAACTTATCACCAGTGGTCTCAATGACCTGTCCAAACACCTTATCCGCAAAGCCAGCATAGTATCTTAACGTCTCGGCCACCTCAGTCATGTCCTCATTGAACGAAACAGAGTAAGGCTTTCCGTTATCCCATGTTTCAATCGTGGCGAGAATATCTCTGTTTTCTTCGACGAGCTCGGCAAGCCGGTTCATGAGCTTGCCGCGCTCTGTAGCTGGGAGATCTCGCCAGGCGGGATTGCGAAGGGCGCGACGAGCGGCGCGGACGGCTCTGTCGACATCTTCGGCCGATGCGGCGTAGACGGATGTGATTTCCTGCTCGTTTCTATTATTCTTAGTATTGGGTCGCGTTGAGGTTGGTTTGTGAGCATACGTTGGGTTTATTGAAGTGATTTTCTTGCCATTGGAAGATGGAATCCATTCATTGTTGATAAACAGACCAGTAGGCTGCTTGTAAGTTCGCCCATTGGGGGCAGTAAGTTGAACGTCTAGACTCATTGTGGATGTATGATGATTCGATTCTACAGAAGATATCTGGGGAAATCAGCTGAGGAAAAGCTATCCTTGTATACCTGTGCCCATTCACCAACGTCACTCGATATCGCTTCCGTATAACAGCGGAAGCTATCAACGTGGGGTTCCGATTCCCCAGACCAAAAAGGTGAAAAACGTTGCCCATTTTCGGTATAGTGTCCTCCGGGCCGGTGTGGATATCCGGGCGGGATACCCTGGATCGATAAGGAGAGGTTTCTCGCTTCCGTATCGGGCAGTCGTTTTGCAAGCGATTTAAGCAGAATCGGGGTAAGAAAATGCATTCGGCTACTGTAGTTGCAAGCGGTAGATCATTTGCCGCGTGCTAGAGACTCCATGGGACCCTGGATGCATGATCCAGGGGTGATATGACTGTCATGTCGTATGATTTGCTGTCAAAAATGCAAATATGCTTCCTAAATCAACGTTTCCTGTCACTGGAGATCGACTATACCGATTATGGTAGTAAGATAGGCCAAAGATACAGTGCAATTAAATAGAACGGGTTTTCCCATGCGCAAGTGCCATCTTCATTGATTCTAAACTTCAACTACAACTACACGTATCTGCTACATCTACACACCAAATCTCACTATGGTAGTCCTCCCAACCAATCAAGAAGCACTGGGCCCTCCGGTCTGAGAAGCTCGACGAGCTTCCGTATCCGTCTTGGTTCGGACATCGACATCAACATAGTTAGCCCGCTCCGCGCGCTGCGCATAGATGATGTTTCCCTGCGCCTCCTCGGTCTCCAGATAAGTGATACGTCCCTTGACGACCCAGAACACAAGCGTGATGACAAGCATGATGCCGAAAACAGCAATGGCGTAGTTCATGTCTGCAACCGCGGGGTTCGGTGCGCTCGGGAAGAAGAAGAAAACGGTGGTGACAGCACAGTAAACGACGCCGACCCAGTTGATGACTGAACCAAATCGTCCGAGGGAGAATTCGCCCGGTGGGAGCTTATCTCGGCCGACGAGGAGGAGTGTCAAAATGGGCATGCCGTACGATACTGTGAGTGCGATCGTGCTGACGCTTAGAATAGCTTCCAAGACTGTTGAGGCGAAAGTGTAGAGAACTCCGATGAGAGCCATGACACCGCCCTGAAGCCAGAGTGCACGAACAGGAACCTTCCAGAAATCGTCGACTCGTGCAAAGTAGCCGCTCCACGGAAGACCACCATCTCGAGCAAAACCCCAAGTCAAACGCGAAGCGGTCGTAACGATTCCAATACCCTGTCCGATACCGTTCACGATGAACAGTGTCAGAAGGACAGTTCCGCCTTGAAGACCGACAGTCTGCTTGAGAAGATCCATAAAAGCAAGACCAGTTGTAGGATCAGTGACAATGTCCATATCCACGATGCAGAAGAGACAGACGACCATGAAGATAAAACCGGTGATGGCGCCGATGACGACCGAGAGCCAGATAACGCGGGGGATGTTCTTTCGTGGGGAGGGAATTTCTTCAACCAAGTGGATAGCAGCGTCGAAAGCCGTAAGACCGTAGGCGGCTTGGACAAGGCCGATGAACCAGGTAACACCATCGGGCCAGCCAGTCTGGTTGATCCATTGTCCAAAGACGAAGCTGGCAGGCTGATAATGGAGGTTATCCTTGGTTCCGACGGAGATAAGCATGGCCAAGCTGATGATGAAGAAAAGACTGGCAAAGGAAACACCGACAAAGTTGTTGAACCATGGAAGAACGATGTCCTTTCGACAAGCCACGACGTTGAATAGAGTCATAGCTGCAGTGACACCGACGTAGACGAGGAATAGAACCCATCCCTTATCCGCACCAGCCCAGTCCGGCTGGAAGAGAACCTTCATCTTGAGCATAAACTCGGTCATGAAGGCAATCTGCGACGCCGACAAAGTGATCCAACCAGTCATGTTGATCCACGCACAAAGATACGAGGTGAATCGTCCAGCCTTTGTCGGCCACAATCGCGAGATCCAGTACGCCTGACCGAGCGCAGTAGGCATACTACTACACATCTCACCCAGCGACACAGCAACGCAGACATTGCAGACAAACACGAGACAGAGACCCCAGAGAATGGCGATTGGGCCTCCGCTGGTCAAGCCGCTGTCTATGCCCTGCGCGAACGTAGACCACGTACCCAGGACAGAGAAGGCCAGGGCAAGCATGCTCCACATGCTGAATTTTCGCGAGAGACTCTGGTCATGGCCAAAGTTCGCGAGATCTTCTGCATCGCGGATGGCTTGGTTGGTAGTATCTGTGCGCTTGAGCGCAGAGTTTGTCTCGACGTCGTTGGTCATGGCCGCGTCTGACGATGACCTCGTCGAGAGGAAAAGAATAAATGACGTAAAAGGGAGAAAAAAAGGCGACGGGCAGCCTTGGCGGGAATGAAGCGAGATGTGACTCAGAATGTTGCGATGTGTTGTATGAAATGGGAAGTAAAAAAGCAAATGCGCGTGGCGAGCTTATATCCAATTTGCTACGGGGAACGGACCAACGTCTTTTTGGTAAGGAGACTTTTTTATTAGGTACGATGGCATGGCATGGCACACAGAATTGGAATTGGGTAGGTGCTTTGGTATCAAGTATCGTGTGACAATTAGCTCTACGGGTATGATAGTACTGTACGGGGTACAGAGATTGTGTGGTAGCTGATTGTAGGGATGCTTCAGCACTGAACGAAAAACCTGGCAGAGGCCAAAAAAGCGCGCATTTGGTTTAGTAGCACAGAGATAAGGTTCTTTTTGGGGGGCACTGTTATCTCCAACCCCAGTCATACTGCCCTACTAACGCCTCCTTCAGCGACGGCGTCTGCCATACTGTAAGCCCAGTGATGCAAACAGGGCCGCCATTGACATTCTGACAGGACAACACAGCCAAGATGGAAGTTAGCGATCATTCCAAGGGCTTGGCCTGGCGGTTTGCGGGGAAACGTGAGGGTACCCCATGGGGAATTACGATGCGTCGCATCAGGAGAGAGGACGATGAGATTTCCATTACGTGATGAATTTCAGCGTTTTGTGTAACCACTTCCCCGTGGGGAATAACGCGTTGCTTTTTCGACCGGGCCGGTATAGACGAGGGAAGCTTGGGAAAACGTAATCAAGGGGGAGAGAAGGGATCACCTGTTCGGTTATCTCGGGGGAGAGAGGACATTCTTATCGGCTGCTGAGCGAAACTGCAAAAGGTTACCTATAAACGGTTTAGCGTGGGGCATGGGGGAAAAGCTGAGAATCAGATACTGAAAGCGGTTAGAGTTTAGATGAGGGGAAGATTGACGGTGCTTGGGCTGGGTCAGATGATTGAGCCTCGTGTTTTGTTCTCCAACCGTTTATGCTAGATAACAGTCAGATACAGTAACTTGTGGACCTCAGTAAACGTTCACTGTTTTGCCCGTTTTGAGAGAGTCCAAGATCAGAGAGTTTGAGCGCATCGAACTGCCGGAGATGGCTTGGCACAACAAAGTGATATTCCCCAGGATCATAGAATGCAATTCTGTAGCAGTTTTCGGTAGAGTCCCCCTGTCGAATCTAGATCTCGCTTGCCACTGCAACTGTAGCTGTGCTGTCAGCATTTGCTTCTGTATGTCTTACACCCAAAGTCTCAGCGGATTCCCGCTCAGTGGAGATGCAGCGGAGCGGTGTCAGTCAGGACAATCGGAGCGGGCGCCACACGGTGGATGCCGTGTCTTCTCATCCGCCTTGCTTTTTTACTTTTTGTTCTTCTCTATAAGAAGCTCTTTATCCTCTTGACAATATCTTCCTTTTTTTCTCGTTGCAGTAAACTATCAACTCACGCTTCAAGCTACAGTTCTTCTTCAACTTTGTCCCCTCCAGGTCTAAACCCTTGGACACTTATACGGATACTTGATCATCCACCGTATGGCACAGTCGCTCAGCCCAGACAACGTTCATCATGATTGCAGACACCTCATCCATCGCCGGCTACACCATCTTTCGGGAAGAGCCCAACGACGCCGCTCCCGACCTGTCCAATTCTCAACATTTACATCCTCTCGGTATGTTTTCCTTCTCGATTCACCCCAATTGAACCCCCCCTAACAATTCCAGATCCGCTATCGATTGACGAGATTCGCGCTGCCGCAAAGATCATTCGTGATTATGCCAAGCCCAAATCCCTAAAGTTCAACTGTCTCACTCTTCGTGAGCCTCTAAAAGCAGAATATGCTGCTTTCCGCGCCCGAACTGGTCCTCGACCTTCTCGTCGCGCTTTCGCCATCGTCATCGAAAAGGGCAATGGTCAAGTCTCCGAGGTCGTCGCCAACATCGCCGACGGCAAAGTCGAGACTTGGAAGGACGTCTCTGAAGTCGGTCCTACTCTGACCCTCGAGGATCTTGACGTCTGCGAGCGTGTTGCTCGTGCCGACCCTCGTGTCATTCAGGCCTGCAAGGACCTCGGCATCGATGACATGTCCAAGATCTACATCGATGCTTGGGCAATTGGTGTTGATCAGCGTTGGGGCTATGAGCGCCGTCTCCAGCAGGGTCTGGTGTATTATCGCGCTTCGCCCAACGATAACCAGTATGCGCACCCGTTGGATTTCTCCGTCGTGGTCGATACTGAGAAGGAGGAAGTTCTCACTGTTGATATCCGCTACGTCAACGGTGAGCGAACAAAGGTTCCTCTTACCTCGCACAACTACATGCCTGAGTTTATTGGCGAGAACTACATTGATGGTACCCTCAAGCCCATCAACATCACCCAGCCTCAGGGCGTTTCTTTCCGCATGCGAGGAAATGAGATTTCTTGGGCTGGTTACAAGATGCACATCGGATTCAACTACCGTGAAGGTATCGTTCTGTCTGATGTTCGCATGGAGGATCAGCATGAGCACCGTGAGCGCACTCTCTTCAACCGTATCAGCGTTGTCGAGATGGTTGTTCCCTACGGCAACCCCGATCCTCCTCACCACAAGAAGCACGCTTTCGACGTCGGTGAGTATGGAACCGGTCTTATGACCAACTCTTTGAAGCTGGGATGTGATTGCAAGGGTGCCATTCACTACCTCGATGCCGTCATGGCTACTGGCGAGGGTGATCCCGCTATCATCAAGAACGCCATCTGTATTCACGAGGAAGACAACGGTCTTCTATACAAGCACACCGATTACCGAGATGGCACCGTCATCTCTGCTCGTGATCGCAAGCTCATCATCTCGCAAATCATCACCGCCGCTAACTACGAGTACGGCTTCTACCACACCTTTACCCTCGACGGTACCTACAAGCTTGAGATCAAGCTTACCGGCATGCTCAACACCTACTGCATGCACCCCAGCGAGACAGCCGCTCCCTACGGAACAGAAGTCGCACCAACCATCAACGCTCACAACCACCAGCACATCTTCTCCCTCCGTGTTGACCCCGAGATCGATGGACCCAACAACTCCATCGTCCAGAACGACGCCATGCCTTCAGAGGCAGAGGTCGGATCTCCCGAGAACCCTTACGGCAACGGATTCTACTGCAAGAACACTCCTCTCCGAACAGCCAAGGAGGGCGCTGCGAACTACTGCCACGAGACAAGTCGATCATGGGCCATCACCAACCCCAACAGCATCAACCCATCCGCCAAGAAGCCCGTCGCTTACAAGATCCTCAACAACAACTGCCCAGGTCTTCTCGCCAAGCCTGGCAGTGTCGTGTACAACCGCGCTGCTTTCGCTCGCAAGAGTCTCTGGGTTACTCCCTACAAGGACTACGAGATCTTCCCTGCTGGTGACTACGTCTGCCAGTCCACCGGTGTCGAGAACCACCCTCACAACAGCACCATTCTCGACTGGGTAGCTCGCGATGAGCCCATTGAGAACACTGATATCGTCTGCTATATCCAGTTTGGTCTCACTCACTTCCCCCGTACAGAGGATTTCCCCGTGATGCCTGCTGAGCCCGTCAGCGTCATGCTTCGCGCCTCAAATTTCTACCAGAAGAACCCTGGTCTGTGGGTTCCTCCTTCGGCTCTTTGTGTCGATGCTGCATCTAAGGATGCTTTCGGTAAGAAGGAGGAAGAGGCTCCTTCTTCTTGCTGTGCTACCAAGACGCTTCCCCGTCTTTAGATGGATGATGTAATGACTGGGGTAGTGTAAACTTAAAACTGGATGAGTGTTTAGCATTTTGGCATATCATGGGTTTTTGCATAGTTAGTTAGCAAGTTGAACATCAAGAATGAATGAATTCCTTTCTCAAATATGTCTCTACCAGTGATCTCTCTTCTTGAACACCTTCTGCTCAGTCGTCGCTCTTCAAGTGAACAGCTATGACCTCAAGATCTGAATGTAAAAAGACCCCAAACCTACTAAACCCGCCACGGCAAGGAGCGATAAACCAACTCGCGACATCTTGGCGGGCTTGTTAGTGATGACATTTCGATACTCCAAATCATTCCATGCAACAAATACGCTTCGCAACCAGAACTTGAACTGCCAGTCCGGGAACATGATCGTGTTCCTATTTGTCTTTTCATCGATAAACCACGATGTGCATCCTGTCGCCCATACAAGGCTTTTAGCTTTCTCTTGAACTCTGTCAATGTCTTTCTTCTCAGCTTCGGGAGTAACCTCAACGATGTCTGCTTTTCCGGAAAGAATTGGGCGAAGAACTCTCATTGTGTAGTTAATCTGGCACTCGGTGGTGTAAATTACTGATAGATGACCGCTTAACGTGTTTGGACCCATCATGATGAAGAAGTTGGGGAACTCCGAGAGGCATGTTCCAAAGTAGGATGACGCCGTGCCTTCACTGACTTGATCCCACTGTCATGTGTCAGCAAATTTCAGACCACGATTGATAGAAAGTGGCGGAAACAGCACTTACATGCTCGTTGATGCTGACACCACCCTTTCCGTATATCTTCATGGGGAAGAGTGGCTTCTGGGTCTCAAAGCCATGCGCAAGGACAATGGCATCCGCTGTTATCAACCTTCTAGAAGACGTTCGTACACCTTTCGCTTCAATCTTCTGAATAGGGTCATCATATACCAGCTCGACATTTTCTTGATGCAAACAAGCAAGGTAATCTGTGTCATTTACCCTTCGCTTGCAGCCAACCTCAGTTTTGGGAACCAGAAAGTCCAGATACTCAGCCGGTGCCGTCCTTCGGATATAGTTAGTAGTATCTTTCGCCCACTGATTCCGGATTTGAAGACCTTCGGCAACTCTAAAGCCTGCAAAGTCTCGCTCTTTGAGGTAGTATAACCATGCACGATATAAGCGCATTATGAAGGGGATCCATTTCATAGTCCACTTGAAAGTGGCCGAGTACCTTGGATTAGGACGCTCAGCAAGCCAATGCGCTTGTCTTGCGAACTGGGTTGCTTTCTTCACGGCGCTGCCTCCTGAGCTTATGGCTGGGAGGACTTGAGTTGCGCTGCAGCCGTTTCCTAAGGCAGTGAGCCACTGCGTCAAGTACTTGCTGTGATAAGCTCACCTATTATGACAACTTCCTTATCTTTCCAATTGAGCGAATGATCCCACTTAGCTGTATGGAACATTCGCCCCTCAAAGTCAGAAGCGCCGGGAATGTCGCACTCTTTGGGGACAGAGAGGGCACCAACAGCCGAGATAAGAACTTTGGAACGACGGATGAGAATTTCTGCTGTCGTCATATCTCGGATGGTGACTTCCCAAGTCCCAGAAGACTCGTCCCAACGAGCAGACTCAACAACTGAGTTGAACCTTACATGTCTCTCAATATCGTACTTCTTGGCAACATCGTTGAAGTAGGTTTGGATCTCAGGTTGCATAGCATATGCTTGAGACCAGTTGGGATTGAGAGCGAAGGAATAAGAGTAAAAATGAGATGGAACCTGCAAGAAGAGTTAGTTGCTATATCTCTGGGTTACTCGATGCATACATCGCATCCACAGCCTGGATAGCTGTTGACTCGCCATGTCCCGGCCATTCCAGAGTCTTTCTCAATGATCTCGAAGTTCCTGGTGCCGAATTTGCGGATCAATTGAACACCGAGACCAATGCCTGACATCCCGGCACCGATTATGAGGACGTCTGTTTGACGCATACTGTCTTTTCTTGCAGAACACGTAAAACGAATACAGCTATTCTCAGAAGATGAAATAAATGAGGGACTCAGGTCTGGGCATTGTATTGATGGATATATAATCGTGACGCAAACTAGTAGCTACAAACACCTCAATCGAGATTGCTACGCCTTGTAATACATACATTGTTATTCTGCGCCTTCACCACTGCAGTCCTTAAGTTGACGACATCATCACATCCCAAAGTGGTAATCAAGGCGAAATGTGGGTATAAGCCACTTACGACCCAAAAACACGGACAACAAGCCGACTCCAAAGATTCCTCAACATTCGGGGGCATTAGGCAACGATAAAATTACATAAACGAGGAGACAACAAGCGGGGGTCGCATTCGCGTGGGTTTATGCCGCTGCACCTCGCTGCAATGAATTGAAGTGGCGTACAGCGAGAAGAGGGGAAGTCATGTTGACTGGCTAAGCCGAGAACAACACAGACATCAGGGTCACTTGACATCGTCGGTTACCTAAATAAGTAACCCGCGTATGCATTTGAGACTGATGCGTGGCACTTTCACAAGTGCAGCTCAATAACTCGCTTGTTACATTGCGGGGCTATTGTGTGAACTGCAGCTGAACCGAGGGATAGAACATGATCTGAGGTAAAGACTGGCTCTTGATGCTACAACAAACTAGCTAACGCGCTTACAAAGTTGAACCCCAGATTGACTTATCACCAAGCCACTCCCAAATACTCTTATCCGCCTCCTCAGTGTTACTAATAGAAACTCCCTTCGACTGACCAGTCGTATCGGGCCCAGGATCATTGAACAGCTGCACACAACGGGTGTTGTTCTTTCCAACCTCAAGCACCGTTCCACCAGGGTACTTGTCACTCTCCACACAAAGAAGCATGGCCTCGGCAACTTCTTGAGGTGTAACCCACTCATCCTGCCCCTCATTCACATATTTCAACTTCTCGGGATGTTCTGTCCATAACGGGGTGCGCACGAGCCCAGGTGCAACGGCATTGACACGAACGCCAATTTTCTCAACTTCTGCAAGACATCGTACAAAACCTGTGATGCCGAATTTGCTTGCTCCGTACATAGGACTTCTGAGCGCGGGGCATTGAGCTGCAATAGAGGAAATATGAATGACTCGCTTTGGATTTTCAGGTGAGACTTTCTTGGGGGATCCATGTAACCATTGTGAGATAGCAAGTTGTGTGGCACGAATCGGATGCGTGAGGTTAATATCAAGTAGCTTGTAATGATCGCCGTCAAGAGGATCTTTAGATTCAGCGGATCCCGGAGGGTGCCAAAAGTTAGAAAAATGAGGCTCGTAGACGCCAGCCCCAGGACAGACGATGTCAAAGTCGCCAAATTCTTTAACGGCGGTCTTGAATGCGTTGGTGAGATCTTTCCAGGATGTGACGTCTGTTTTGACAAAAACTGCTCGTGGAGAGGAGTCTTTGTACTTTGAGACTAGAGCTTCGGCTTCTGGTCTCAGGGAGAGGTCTGCTATGACGACGTTGCAATTTTTTGCGAGCAAAATCTGAGCAAACTCATAGTTGATTCCTGGGAGTTATGAGCATGTGGTTCATATGAATTGTTGGGGTAGATGTACCTGACCCAGCGCCTGTGACGATGGCGGTCTTACCAGAGACGGAGAATGGTTGAGCTGATTGAGAAGACATGATGATAAGATTTGATAACAGTACTTAATTCACAGAGTGTTACTATGCTGCTTATAGGTTAAGCCAGCAGAAATAGAAGCCATTCAGCTCAATAAATAACCTAAACAACTTCATATACAAGTCGGCTCCGCTAATCGGGTCCGCTTATCAACTGGGGCTTCAAACTGCCGAGACGTCACTCATCACCCCACATTCTTCACTCTCCTCGCCTTGATGCCCTGTTCTGTCCGCCCATCTTTCGGCTTGGTCTCCGCATCTAACTCATCCACCGGTGGCAACCCGCATCGGAACATGCACCTTGTTCATAAAACACTGTTCGGCTCGATCACCTAAATGCTTTCTATCAATTTCTCGGCTTGACGACAATGCGGTCTTTTTCTGGCTGGTAAGTTACCCCTCATCTTGATGGAATGAGGTACTGACGGCGAGCAAGCCAAACTTGCAGAAGCAGAAAGTTGAAATGTGATGAAGCAAAACCGGTCTGTGGAGCATGTAGCAAAAGTTCGCGAACGTGCAGTTACTCCAAGAGATCTGTATTTCGGCCATTTCAGAGCTACGCTAGAAAGAGGAGTCGAAGCGAAGTTGTTGAAGATTTTGATGCTGTTGATACCAGTGATGCTTTTGAGGCGGATCATGTCTGGGTCGAGGTTCCGGACGAACGTAAGTGCCAAGCTTATCGTGCGTGTCTGGTTGCTAACATGAGTATGCTCAGTTTACTTTGTCCATGTTGAGGATCCCTATGCGGAGCAAGATAGCATAAGGGTTGACTATACTGATGAAACACGGGAGACATCTTATACGGCAGACGCAGTGCAGGTGATAGAGTCTCCTGAACCACAAGCAGGCTCTTGGACCGGTACTTCTGTTATCATTGATGAAGAACCATACGTTCCAGACGCCGAATTCGAAGCAGCCTCAACTCCTGGCGAACATCCAGATCACTCAAGACTGGCAACACTTCATCTGCTAAAGCATTACAAAGAAGGACCAGGTATTTGGTGAGTCCTCCTCTCCATTGATATAAGTAGTTCTAACAATATAAGGTTTGACATCTTTGATACTGGTTGTTACTTCTCGGGCAAAGTCCCCGTCAAAGCAGCAACTAGTCCCTTACTCAAGTCGTCCATGTGTGCCATCGCTGCGAAACATCTATATCGCGTGAACAAGAGTCGCCTTAACCTAAGGTTCGAAGACTCCAGATGGCGAGGATATGACTGGCGATATGAATCCGCAAAGCACTACGATGAGGCTATCCACCATCTGAAGAATGCAGTTGACCTTTGTACCTATGAGAATAGCTTGAGTGACAAAGAGGATATGCTTGCTGCGGTTGCTATCCTTTGTATCTATGAACTGATGGATGCACCTGGGACGGCCTGGCGAGCCCATCTCAGTGCTTTGCCGCTGTTCAGTCCAACGGAAGATACTTCACATCCTGCTTCGCCGGTGGTGATACCACGCACAGCCATTCAGGGGCCTATTCTCTGGAGCTTAGCACGTCAAGATCTTCTCTGTGCCTGTAAGCTTCAACCGTCTCCCCCCAGCTGTTCATCTCACTGAATTCTCAGTCATTAGCGAAACTCAGACTCGTCTCGACCTAAAAGACGTACGTCTTTGGCAGAATGCAGGTCTTGCCACCACAGAAGACGGAGCCCTCATGCCCTTCAGTCCTCCATGCTCAGCAGATATTCGTACCGTAGCTGATATCGAAGAGGATACCAAAAGTAATGAATTAACGTGGCTCATTGGCAAACTCTCAAATCATCTCACCTCAGGCGACGCGATCAACCCATCAGACTACGCACTCCCTCTCGGCCAACGTCCTACCATCGGCGTAACGCAAGAACGCCTTCTCGAACGCTGGAAAATGCTAATGACAGAATTCAAAAAATGGCACGACAGTCTTCCATCAACATTCACACCCTACGCTCGAACACCATACCCCTCCTCAGACTCCTTCAGCAGCTTCACCCAAATATGGTACGAACTCCCTATCTGCGCCGCAACAATGCAAAACTACCATATGGCCATGATTCTCCTCCTGGTAAACCAACCCCAAGAATCAACATTTATACGCTCCACTGTCTCAGCGCGATTAAAGTCTTATCGACAAATCCAACAAGAAGTACATCATTACGCAAGAGAAATTTGTGGTGTTAGTTTAGCGGAGCCCTCGGATCCCGTAAGGGCGAATTCAGTGCAGGCCTTATTCGTGGCGGGGCAAGTATTTTATGAAAAGGGCGAGCAGGAGGCGGTTCTGAGGCTTTTGGAAGATGTTGAGAGGGATTTGGGATGGACTACGAAGTTTCATCGGGCCAAGCTTGTAGATGAATGGCCTCAAGATAGCTAATGAAGCATGAACCCTTAGTCGTGCTCGATTCTGTCGTGATGATAGCTAAGCCGCAACGTTCCGTTGATAGAGTAAATGAGGAATAATAGTTCCAAGCCGAGATTGCAAAGTTACATAGTCAACCATGCAATCGTCTGTGATGTTACCGAGGCGAGCAGTAATCCCGCGTTGATCTTCGCCTTGATTACCATTAACTCGTGAGACGGCCCCAGATACTCATTCTTATTGGTCATTCGGCTTGTTGTCCATTTACGGCACGTCACATCAGCGCTACAAGAACCAAACTCAAAATACTGATACCGCTGCGAGCGCTGCAAGGTGACGAATTGCGGTTAGGTCAAGGGATAAGCCGCGGCTTACAGTCCGGTAGCTCCGAGTGATACTTCGACATCTCTATAAATACTGACTGCTCAGATTAAATAAACGCATTAATTTCAATACCTTGATCAAGAACAGAAATGATGGCGACTTCGACTTTTGGACCTCGTCTGGCTGGTAAAGTCTGCATCGTGACAGGCTCTTCATCTGGCTTGGGCCGTGCAATCGCATTGGCTTACTCTCATGAGGGGGCGCATCTCGTCTGCGCTGATCTCCAACCGGCTGCACGCGCGAGTGTGAACGGAGAGGAGGAGGTCAACACGGATGAACTGATCAGATCAAATGGCGGCCAGGCTATATTCGTTGAGACAGATGTTACCAAAACCGCTGCCGTGGAACAACTGGTAGCTAGAGCTGTCATCCAGTTTGGCCGCATTGACGTGTAAGTAAAATGCCCTAGATAACCCGCCGAGAATAGACGCTCACTCCGTACAGACTGGTCAACAATGCTGGTATTTCTGTTGAGGCAGGCAAAGAACCTCGTCGGGTTCACGAGACTCCGGAAGATTGGTGGGATTTGACCATTGCTGTCAACCTCAAATCCATCTTTCTGGTCAGCAAGTATGTCATTGCTCAGATGCTGAAGCAAGACAAGTCTGAGACAGGTGATCGAGGCTGGATCATCAACATGTCTTCCATTTTTGGCCTCGTAGGAGGGTACACGAATGGTAAGAAACCCCCTCTCTACAATCTTCGCAATGCTAATCGTGAAGCTGCGTATGCTGCTTCGAAAGGTGGTGTAACAAACTTGACACGTACCATCGCCCTGGATTACGCGAGAGATGGGATTCACTGCAATGCCATCTGCCCAGGCTGTAAGTGCTTAACATGTCACAATTATCCTCACCGCTAACAGATGATGAAGTTACTGAGACAGCTATTTTTGCGGACACCATCAAGACTCGAGATAGGGACCTCATCCGATCAAGGCATCCTCTTCACGGAACTGGATCACCTCAAGATCTTGTTGGTGCTGCGATCTTCCTTGCTAGCCAGGAGGCGCGATGGGTTACTGGAGTGAACCTCCCCGTGGATGGTGGCTATACAGCACAGTAGTGACTCGATACAAGACATCATGCTCGAGTGAGCATTCACATCTAATCGGCAGTCATAAACCTCCCAATTTATATGTATTCATCTAATCTATTATCCATACACAAAGAAATATATCTTCTCATGATCTCATCGTAATGCACCGTTCCTCATACAGATATTGCATCGTCCGTCTTAGTATAACCTCTACATAACCATCTCACTACTCAAACATCCCAAACTCAAAGAAATAATACAAAGGAAAGGTTTCAAATGAGTGACTCGTTAAACATGTTCATACATCCATCTCATCCCATCATCTAAGCATCATCTAAGCATCAGCTGATCCATCAGACTGAGAAGAAGACCTCGTCGCAGAGGAGTTAAGGTTACGTCGTCGCACAATATGGCTCCTATAAAGGTTAGCATCACTACATCTTGAACAGTTAAAGGGGAAACCTTACAGTCCACTTCCATTCCGAGGATCTCGAACAATAACCAACTCCTGCGCCCTTTTGGGATCCTTGATAGGCTTCCTCCCCCCACCGCTCTTACTCCTCGTCATGCCGCCGTTGTTAATCTGAGCAACAAGAGCAGCAACCTGTGTCTGAAGTGAGGTGACTTCCGCGTTAGCAGCCTTTTGAGCCTTCTTGGCCTCGTCAAGCTGCTTCATAAGCTTGTTGTTCTCAGTGCGGAGTTGTTTCAACACGACGGCTTCTCGCTCAGCACTCTCAAGCTTCTTGGTGAGTTCATCGCGTTCAGCAGTCAGAGCATCGACGGTGGAAACTTTCTCTTGGAGCTTGGCTGCGTTTTCCTCGGCGGCGGTGAGCTTGCCTTTGAGATCATCGCGTTCGGTAGTGAGAGTATCGACAGAGGCAGCTTTTTCCTTGAGGGCGGCTGCTTCTTCCTCAACGGTGGCGAGCTTCTTGGTGACTTCGTCGCGCTCGGTAGTCAAAGTGTCAACGCTAAGTTGGAGTTTACCAGCGTTTTCTGCGGTGGCGGTAAGCTTGGAGGTAAGGTCGTCGCGCTCGGTAGTAATGGCTGTGACGTTTTCTTCGGCGGTGGTGAGTTTGCCGGCGATTTCGTCACGTTCGGCTGTGGTGGTGGCGACTTTCTCCTTGAGTTCTGTGTTCTCGCCTTGAAGTTCCTCGGCGGTAGGGGGAGCGGGCTCTTCAGGTGCTGGGACAGCCTCGGGTTCTGGCTCAGGTGCTGCTTCTTCAACCTTCTCCTCTGCAGCGACCTCTGGCTCGGCCTTTTCTTCAACTGGGGCTTCTGCCTCCTCAACCTTTGCCTCAGGCTCAGGCTCAGCTTCAGGTACAGACGCAGACCCTTCAACCTCCTCCTCAACAACAATCACATCCTCAGTGTCCGGTACATCCTCAACAGACGCAGGCTGCGGTACACTCGCAGGGTCTGGCTTCTCCGTAGCATCAGAGACAACACTAGCAGTGTCATCAACCGTACTAACAGAGCTCGAAATCGTCGACAGCGAACTCGACACCACGCTCGCAGTATCTGACAACGACTTGAGACTCGAGTTCTCCGACCTCAAACTCTTCACTTCAACCGCCAACCTCAACACCTGCGACGTCTGATCATCCTGATCATTCAACAGACTCCTCACCTGCTCCTTCATCGTCTTGTTCTCCCCGTGCAACTGCTCATACTTCTTCTTCAACTTCTTCCTCTTCGTCTCAACCTCCTCAACCTCCTTTGCCACCGCCTCCTTCTCCTTAGTGATTGATTCGATCTGCGATTTAAGCTCTCCGTTCTCGGTATCAAGACCAGTGATTCGGGCTTCCTTACTCTCAGTGTCCTTGGTCCAGGTGTCCTTCTCCTTCCTCAAGTCGTCGATCGTAGCCTGAAGCGTCGTGACCTGCGCTTCGAGTGCCTTCTTGTCGGTTTCGAGTCCCGTTAGCTGTTCCTGGAGTCTTGATTTGTCGCTTGTGAGATCAGTGATTTGCTTCAGCATGTTCCTCTTGTCCTCCTCAAGGCCTGACTTGTCCTTGTTCAGAGACTCGACTTGAGACTTGGAGTTCTCGCTGTCTGTCTTGTAGCGATCACGCTCCACAGTGAGCTCGCCGAGCTCCTTGGCCTTGTCGAGAAGATCTTCTTCCATGTTGCTAACGCGGAATTGCATGGACTCTTGAGAGATCTCCATGGTTGCAATGCGAGCTTGATAGGCTGTCTCTTGAGACTTGCGGATAGCCTTGATGTCTTCGAGCTCTCTCTCCAGGTTGATAGCCTTTGCTTCAAACTTGCTGTAAGACTGAGTAGACTCTTGGCTGGTTTTCTTGAGATCCTCATAGTTTCTCTCAAGAGCAGCCTTGAGCTCTCGGTGCTTGGCGAGATGGTCCTCAAGCTCCTTGACTCTGTTGCTGAAGTTCTGCTCAGTCTGCAAGAGCTCATCTCGCTCCTTGGTGAGCTTTGAGACGATCAAATCACGCTCCTTCTTAGCCTGGCTGATAGCCTGATCCCTTTCCTTCTTGACCTGCTCAAGAGCGTGGTCACGTTCCTTCTGGAGCTTAGCGATAGCAGAATCGCGCTCCTTCTTGGATTTGGCAATGGAGACATCAAGATCCTTCTTGGCCTTCTCAGCAGCAACTTCACGATCCTTCTGAAGTCTATCAACAACAGAGTCGCGTTCTCGCTGAATGCGCTGGATGACTTCATCTCGCTCGCGCTGAAGTCTCTGCAACTCTTGGTCGCGATCCTTCTTGGACTTTGAGATAGTCAAGTCGAGATCTCTCTGGGCTTGCTCAACAGCTTGGTCGCGCTCTCTCTTGAACTTGTCGACGACCTCAATAGCTTGGTCACGCTCACGCTTGAAGCGGTCAAGGACTTGGTCACGATCCCTCTTGACCTTGTCAATTGACATGTCGCGGTCCTTCTCGAACCTCTCCAAGGTGCGACGCTGCTCATCGAGACGTGTCCTTGTCCTCTCAAGCAGCCGGGTCTGCTCCTCAAACTCGGTAACGAGTCTGTCCCTGGTAGCTTGAGCCTTGTTCCTCTCCTCTCGGAGCTCATCCTTGTCTGTCTGCATGCTGGAGAGTCTATACCGAGCGTCATCAAGATCCTTGAGAGTCTCTTTCTGCTTGGCTTTGAGAGACTTGAGCTCGCTCCTGAGGTTCTCGAGCTCATTGTTCATAGTCCGCTCGACGTCAACACGTGAGCGAGCCCGTTGACGAGAAGGAGGACGCACAGGCTCAGGAAGCTGACGCTCCTCGGGGATGCGTTGAACTGGTGGAGCAGGCTGAGGCTGTTGTTGTTGGACAACGGGTTGTTGCTGGACCATGGGCTGCTGGAAAGGCTGTTGCATGACGGGTTGCATGACGGGAGGGCTGATAGGCTGAGCAGGGAACATCAAGGGCTGTTGCATGACAGGCTGGGCGATCATGGGCTGAGGCGCAACAGCAGGTTGATGGCTGACGATAGGTTGTTGGGCCATTATGGGTTGATGCGTGTAGGTCTGTGATGTAGTAGTCTGGGTGACCGACGATGAAACCATAGCATTTTGTGGGTTGACGGTAGTCTGTTGCTGTTGCTGTTGAGGCTGTTGCAACTGCAGTTGCTGTGGTTGCTGCTGCTGTTGTTGTTGTTGTTGTTGTTGCTGTGGCTGCTGTTGTAGCTGTTGCTGCTGATTGTTGGCGTTGCTCGCAGGCTCCTGGGCCTTGGGCTCGATGTGGATGTGAAAGGTCCGACCACGACTTCGTGATCGTTCCTTAGTCCGCTCTTGTTGACGCTCAACCTGACGACCAGATGTTCTCTCAACCTCTCGTTCTGTTCGACGCTCAAGCTGTCGATCTGTCTCAAACTCAACTCTCTTCTCTGTAGGTCGAGATTGTTGAGATGTGCTCATGCTTGACTGACGAACAATAGAGCGAGATCGTGTTGGGGTCTTGGCACAGTCGTCTTCACTGTCGCTCATGACAGTAGTGGCCCTTGTTGAGACAGATACATTGGATGAAGTGCCCCAGCCAACCTCTGAAGCTGAGTCGTAGTTGTCATCCGACATGTATGACATTCTGGGTGAAGGCTCTGGTGATCGTGTGTCTTGAGTGCTGCGGAAGCGAAGTTGAGGAGGTTGGAACATGAAGCCTCGTCCTGAATCCTGTCGTTGGTTCCGTAGAGGTGGGCTTGTGGATGTAGATGAGACAGTGTTGGATGAGACAGTCGAAGCGTCAGAGGCAGTAGTGGCTTCAGACACTGTTGAGAGCCCATCGGAGTCTGGTCGACGTGTTGGTGGTCGTGAGATAGATCTGTTTCTCGTCATGGCAGAGCTGGATCCTGAGTTCCTTGTGCTCTCATCCCATGAATCCGACTTGTTTCTGGGCGGGTTACCCCGGATCGTGAGGGCCATGGCAGTTTCTTGCTGCCGTTGTTGCTCATATTGTGACAATGGATCGAATGGCCGACGCGCTGGCGGGGCTTGTTTCGTCTTGGTCTGTGACTTCCTCATATTGTAGGACTGCTATACTGTGATAAAGAAATAAAAGAGAATATTATGTTTGTTGCGAGTTTGTTTCGTGTGTACTTCGTGGGTCCCGGGGGAAAGTAACGGTTCGAGTGGGTGATATGATCGGCGGGCGGCGGTGAGTTGGAGGGGTCGGGTACACTAGATAAATGGTCAAGAAGACGGGTACAAAATAAACAAGAATAAACCTCGCTGTATTAGATGCTGTGCAATCTCTACTTGGAAAAAGAGGAGAGAAAAAGATCACCTCAAAAAGAAGAGAGTGTCTGGCCATCCAGTTTTGTTCAAAATCGCCTTGATCTTCCGGGTGACAGGACAGGGCAGGGATCCTAGTGCCGTCCGGGTCAGAGAGCCCGAGGAGCCCAATTCAAGAAGGATAACCTTGTCTGTTGAACCCGGCTCAAGGTGGTTCGAGATCCACTGCCCAACCCCATTGGGCACGTCCCCCAGGTGCCAGCGAGTCGCTGGCCCATCTAACAGCTGGTCCAACGAGAGACTTTGGCTGTGCCATGACGCGTGAGGCATCACTAGCTCAACTGCTGTGGACGGGAGAGCGGGAAGGCGAACGAGGCCCCTGTAATCTTGACAAGTGACCCGACATTCTCAAGGGCCTCGATTGGTCTCAACCCC